GATGAAACAAAAATATTAATGAACTGTTTTACAGTCAAACTGTTTTAACATGAAAAGAAAAAAAATTTTAATTGCAGCGCGATGTAAAATTTTTAACAACTAAAAAGAAAATACATGACTAATGCAGTATAGATGAAGAGCGTCAAACTTTTTTCTTTTCTTATTTTTACGTTTTTAAAGCAAGTGCGCGTGATTAGGCGGGTGGGTTAAAGAGTGAGAAGAAGATAAGAGAATATAGGTACATAAACACATATACACACACAAACACACATGCATATATATATGTATATATGTATGCATGCACACACGCATACATTCACGCATACATAAACGGATAGGGAGCGAGAGAGAGAGAGAGAAAGAGAAATACCTATCTACATATTAGATACATTTAATATACAGTATACTGTATATATATAATTTAAAAAACAATGAAAAAATTTGAATTTATTTATATTTGTTTTGATTTCACCACCATCGCACTGTCCTATCACCTCATCTCTCCGCCTACACCTTTGAACGAATTAGAATAGAGACAAATAAACAAACAGACAGAGAGAAAGAATAAGAGAAATAATTATTTAAATATAAATTCTTTTTTTTTATTAAAGAAAAATCACACAAAGGAGAAAATTTTGATTTTAAAGTGTTAAAAGAAATAGGAACAATATGATATATTTACCATATACTTTATTTGTTCCAAACTATGGCATTCATTATCTTAAAACATGAAAAGTAATAGTACAATGTGTGATTAAAGATTTCATAAACGTTTATTATATATTATTTTATGTACTTTTAATAATAATAAGCGTATGTTTTATTACTAGCTTATAGGTGTATACTTTTCCACTGTGTGTCCTTAATAAAAGGAATAATTATATACGTATGAAACTATACGAGACACGTGTTATTAGACACAGTTTTACAGATGAATAAGTGTAAAACAAATAAAATAATAAGGTAAAATAATCTTTCATTATCAAACTTAATAACTCTCTGAGTGATAGTATATCCACAGCATGCAGATAATTAATATACTATGCAATAAGTAGGCTATTAAACAAAGAACCTACAATAGTCCGGTTTTTAGTTCGAAAAAGAAAAGTGGATTAGCTTTCTCGGCTGGATAATCCTCTAATCGCTTGTCATCCGATTAGTCGTGACCGCCGTCACACTGAGCGTAAATTCTCCTAACTCCTAACCATCTCACCCCAAAACCCTATGGGGTAATAAGCGGGGGGAAGAAGTAGGGGCTATATTGACGTTGAATGGAAAAAAAGAAAAGGGCAAAAGGACAAATCAAAAAAAAGGCGGTCGACTTTTACGCGTAGGAAACAATTCTTTATTTTCTTAGTTTTTTTTTGTTCTCTTTGGTTTCTATTCTTTTCAATATGTGTCTAGAATTCTGGCTCCATCCGTCTCTCTGTCTCTCTTCTGTACGTCTATTTTCGATATTCTGCTCTCTGTTCTCTTGTTCTGGTTGTAGTTTGTGTATGTTTGATTTTTTTTGAATTACTTTCTTTATCTCTCGTGAAAAAAGATAATTTGAGGGAAATTACAAAAAAAAGTTCTTTCTCCTCTCCAAAATCTTGCCGTTTGTTTATAGCGTTTCGTTTTCTCTCTTTTTTTTACGTTTGAGAACCGTACAGGTGAAGGTGGTTGAAGAAAGAAAGGAGAAAATGACTCTAATTTTTTCTCCACCATTCACAGCCGATAATTAATTAGCGATAATTAGCCAGAAAAATGCATATGGATTTGGTGAGCATTGATTTTATCGCTAGCGGCGGGAATGAAATGGGCGTGAAATATTGGGTGGACAACGACCGTCTGTCATGGAACGTGAGGGTTATAATCTAAAAACCCTAGTTTATCTATTAAGCATTGTACGCTTTTAGCAAAAGAGTAATAATAAATTGATAATAGTACAAAAAGAAAACGCGTGGTGTTTTGTATACACACGTAGCGTCGCTCTTTTAGACGCTGTAGACCACACCCGAACTCGTGATCCGGTACAGCTCCGCCTACTTATTAGTCGGTTCGGAAATTGACTTAAAAAACGTATGTAACCGTCACCATTTTATTCGAGAAAATTATGTGCAATTTTTTCTCAGACGTCTAATTGCAAGGCGAACAGCCACCAAGCTCACCTTTCCAAAAACGAATGTTCCCTTTGATTTTCAAACGTAATCGTACATATAGCCTTGCTTTATATGTAATTATCCGCGTACTAATTTTCTCAAATACATTTACACAGATCTATGTGTGGGAGCACACACATATACAGTATATATATATACGTATACATAAATTCATATATATTTAAACCAAGCATTATTCAACTTAATACCTATAAACGAAAGAGACAGATAGAGAATTTAAATAGAAATAAAGAAAATAAAAAAAAAGAAAATGCGCGTGCTCTCTCTCTCTCTCTCTCTCTCTCTCTCTCTCTGTGCTTCTGTCCCTTGTCTCCTTCGGCTATTGTTTAATCTTAGTCAATGCTCACATTTCAAAACAAACAGTTCATGCTGCTTGAAAACTGAGAGGCCTAAATCGTGTTGGAAAATGTTTTTTTTACGTCGTTTTGTATTTACGTGAACATAATCAATCTTTTCCCTGCGGAGAGTGCTTATACTAGTACTTAAAAATTTTCATTTTTAATGGTTATATTAAGAATTCTATTGTTATCATTGTAATGAAGAAATCTTATTAAAAAATCCTCATAAAAAGTTAAGGTCTAGAAATAGAGGTATTTTTTCTGTTATTCTATTTATAGATAGGATATACTTTATACATATATATTATCAATATATATTTAATCATTCATTCAATTGACTAAAGATAAACCATCCTATACCTAAACTTAAGTCGTGACCACAGAGAGTCAGATGTTTTTACATAAATACTTTTGGTCTAGCTGAGTAATAAAGTTAAGCATATGATGCCTGAATACTGTCTTAAAAGGTTCCTATTCAAAATAGACCAATAGCCGCAGACTTCTATCATTCCTCAATTATTAATCATGATATCTATTTTATGGTCTATTATTGGAACTTAATGATAAATACCATACTTTTACTCAAAATCATTCAAATTCAAAAGAAAAATTTAATGAATGGAAAATCTACAATATACTTTTCCTATTCTTCGCTTAAGGGAAATAATGCGCAGCCCCTCCCCCACTCCCACCTTATTAATAATTCAAAGGGGGAAATATATCAGTATAAACAGTATAGTACAAAATGTAAAAAGTTAAAAACAAAGCCGTACACTTTAGAATGTAGGTTATACATTTAGTGAAAATAAGGCAAGAGGGCAAAAGAGGGATAACTTTACGGTCATCGTCTTACACTCGATTAGAGATAGTTTCTCCTTACCTCAAGAAAGTGACGTCCAGCTGGGATTTTGTTACATTTTTATAGAAAACTAATTAGTATACTATTATACGGTTACAGTGTACTTTTTTTTTTAGTTTACATAGGATTAATTTTAATCCTACGACCTCGGCTATCACTTTCAACAATGGTACTTTATACTATAGTATATGAAAATGTACAACAAGATGGATTTTTAGTTAAAGTTTTTTTTTTATAAAAACAAAAAATGAAAAAAAAACAAAGAAACAAAAAAAAACACTTCATTATTCTACTCTCTAATTAAATAATTTTTTTATTATATATAAAAATTCTCTAGTTTGCAATTTTTATCTCTCTCTCTCTCTCTTTCTCTCTCTCCCCTTCTTTTCTCCATGAATAAGAAAAAAACAGAGAGAAAAAGGTAAAGATAGAGAAAAATCGTTAGAGTCAAGATCACAAGATAAATAAAATCCTTTTGTTAGAATATAAAAGATTCTTCTTTTTTTTATTTCTTCTCTGATTTTTCTTCATTTTTATTTGAAGAAATGGAAAAATATTTTATGAATGAAGGCCTATGTTACTATAGATTATTGCTATTCTGTTACATATTATTCAGCACGTAATAAATCTCGTAATAGTTGTAAAAGTTAGGATATCCCCCTATCCTATTTTCAGCGTAAGAGTCATCCTCAGTGATGACGAATTTTTCCTAGTTTCTTGAGATATGATAAACAGGGAGGTCCGCCCCCTCACGAAATTCCTGGAGTCGCCCCTAAAAATAGAATAATATAAGACAGCGCCGTCTATGTGTCCTGTCCAAAATTTTTTTCGCGATTAAAATTTACGGGCTTATATAGCCTTCTATTTTTAGTGAAGAATAGCCTGATGACGTAAACGTATTCTAAATAGGAAATCTTAAAATATGAATAATTTATATCAACCAAAGTTTTTCTAAATTTACGATCCTTATGCAAGAAATATTACTTTAGTATTCTTCCTTTTAGATTCGGGTATATTTTTTTGCTTACAAACATCTTGCTGGCACGTGACTCAGCCTGGCCAGTTGTTTAAACAGTAGAAAACTTTTCGGTTTTATCTCCCGAATAGGCCTCCAGCAGGCTGGTTCCTATCTATCCTATTTTCGTTTATTTTTAAAAAGACCTTGTGACAAACGTGACGGTACACAGATTGCTCGATAGGGGTAAAAGTTGGGTTTACTCTATTATATTGATTGTATAGCCATTAGAATGGGAAAAGGTTGAATTATACGCACAAAAATATAGAATGTTCATAAACATCCTGAGAGAAATTTTCTTGATCTTTTCAAAAATAATGAATGTTATATATTAAACAATTTCAATGGTTTTCTTATTAAAAATGATTTGTTTATCGCATTTAAATATTCATTTATTAATTAGCTTCTATTGTAATATTAGCAGTTATTTATTGTTTTTCTATGAGTAGGCCTATGGATTTTCAAGTAAATCTTCTAGAAGGACAATAGTCGTATTTACTCTAGTCTATACTGAAAAATGCTCGAAAGGTGCTTTATATATATAAGGCTCTATTTTTAGAACATGAGAATTTGGCCAATCAGAATCATTGTAGGATTATATTGCCCGTCAAATACTGCAACAGTTCGCATCCACTAGACACTTTCTGTTGGAACGCGGTAGCGAAATGATCGATTCCATACTCAATAATTATTCGCAAACTCCAGTTTTACCGGAGGATGAGGCTATGAACGTAAGTTATATAATTTTTAATTATATACATGAAAGTTATCAATGCTATTGCTGTCTATACATATCAACAATTCCTAATCGATTTATACAAACATATACTAGTTATAATATGGAAAGATATATAGAGATAGGTAGATAGGGAGTAAGAAAGCTAGAGAAATAGTGAGAGAGAGAGAGAGAGACAGAGAGAGAGAGAGAGAGAGAGAGAGAAGCAAAGAGATAGACAGAACAAACTTATTATCAACCACTCTTTTCTTATCAGAATCGATATTACTAGAGTCGGACCTACAAAATAAAATTATAATTGGGTTTTCTTTTATGTTTATAAAGTATTCTTCTTTCAATTAAAGATTTTCTTTGCGTCATATAGAATTCTACTATTTGCTCTAGTCGCAATGCGAAGAATATATAATTTTTCTTCTATTTTTTTGGAATAACTCTACTATTTAAATAGTAATAGCTTAGTATTCTTCTCTTTCTCCTCCTTTCTCTTTCTCATCCTTTATGTTTTTACGAATTAACTGCCTTGCCTCTTCTCTTCGATATGCTTCTTAGGCCACCATGAATTTTATTTTCTATTTTTCCTCCCTTTATTCCTTTATATAAAGAGAGCTTAGAAGAGATAACAATTCTTATATTTGATTTGATATTTTATTTGAAATGCGCATGCGTTAAATGAGCCCAATTGTGAAATTATGGCAGGTGGTCGACCGGTCCCTTCTTTGATATTTTTACGCACGTATAGACATATGTATACACTTAGATACAATTCATAAAATCATAATAAGACATGGAATTTTTATACGGATATTTAGCTTCTACAGTTGCAAGTAATATTTTCCACTTATCGCTCATTTATCACCTTACAGAACTTGTGGAAGGACGTGGAAAATTTGCTATATGAACAAAACCCAGCTATAACAGCTAATCCTACACCACCAATTAGTCCTCAACCAGATTTAGATCTCGATTTTCTTCTCAACTTTTCAATGGAACCTGAAAGGAACTCGACCTCAAGTTCAACAACCGATTTACCTGATTTTGGTTCGGCTTTCGTCGATATACCCGATATAAAGGAAGAGTTTCCTCACGTTCCGCCCCCGTATCCCGTTTTTTATCCTAACCAGGAATATTATTACCCGATACCTCCAATGAATAGTATGGTCACACCACCTTCTTCGCCCGAAGAACCCAAGAAACGAGGTCGAAGGAGTTGGGGGAGAAAACGTCAAACTACGCACTCTTGCACTTATTCTGGGTGTACTAAAACCTATACGAAATCATCGCATCTCAAAGCGCATCTTCGGACACACACAGGAGAAAAACCTTATCATTGCACTTGGAAAGGTTGCGGCTGGAAGTTCGCCAGGTCAGATGAACTTACAAGGCACTTCCGTAAACATACAGGAGATAGACCGTTTGCATGCCACCTATGCGACAGAGCTTTCTCTAGGAGTGATCATCTGTCATTGCATATGAAGAGGCACATGTAATTTTTTTCCTAAAAGACAAAAAAAACACAACCAAGAAAGACAAAGAAAAAAATAATGAAAAAAATCAACCAATCTAAAGACATGTGAAATATGAAATTATAACTAAAAAACAAAAAAGAACGTCAAGAAAAATATAAAAATACGAAAGAAAAGAATTCGAAAAACAATCTTATTTTTTTCGTATTTGTGACTTAAATATGTTCCAAAATGTGAAGAAAAAAAAAATTGCGTTCGTCTCCTCCTGCAGCCGCGGACACTGCCCGAATGTATACATTTTTTTGTACAGACCCAATGTCGTTCGTAAGGAATGTGCATGTATAAAAATTTAAATAGATGTTCAAAAAAAAAAGACCACACGAAAAAAAAAAAAGAAAAAAAGACAAAGTGAAAGGAAATCGTATTTTTTTTTTTTTTTTTTTTTAATTGATGAATGTCTAGTTAATATTTTATACATAAATTATTTTATGTTTTATTAGGTGCTTTTGTGCAATAAGCACTAGTCAAAAAAAACTTCGTAAATATATTTTCTTCGTAATATGCCATATTAAATACTTTATTAATTTATTCATATTTTAATATTTTCTATATATTAAAAAGAAAATAACGAATATCTGTAGTATTTAATTAATTTCTCTCTTTTGTATTTATTAGATCGATTAAGAGAAGAAGAGGAAAGTTAATTGTTGTTTTTCTTCTCTTCGCAAATGACACATTTTCTTTTTTGTCGGATGAGCGGGGAGGGGGGAAAGGACGGGGGAGGGGAGTGGGGAGACGCCAGTAACGCTTTAAAGCGTCCGCGCAGCGCGCCTTCAACGCACCGGTGACCTACTTGAGTGACGCCGGCGTCGAAAAAATTTTGTTCTCATTTCTATTTGTAATGTCACATTTTTTTCTCTTTTCTCTTTTTATAAGCCTTTTTCTACTTTCTTTTCTCTCTCTCTCTCTCTCTCTCTCTTTCTCTCTCTCTATCTAGCTATATATCTGTCTCTGTCTTTTATTTAAATATTCGCATCTATTCCTAGCAATGTTTTGTACTATTCATGAATATTAAATTATACAAATTACATAGATACACTTATTTATGTAAATAGTGAATAGTAGTATTCTTGAACACTATTACAAGATAATCTATAATAATATAAACATACGTCTCTTAAAATTAGTTGCTTCTTTAACCTAGAAAGCAGTATTTCATTGGTAAATATAAGTCTATTTTGAACGAGATAACAGATTTTCAAGTTAAATTTAGCCGTATTCTCGATCTATTTGTGGTGTATTTTCTCAAATTCAATCGTATTAATAACCAACAGAGTTTTTTATTGAGCGCTATCAAGTTCCTTCTCATATTAATATTATTATTATGTTTCATTCTGGATTACTAGGCGGCGCTACTACCCGAGAAGGGAGAGAGACAGAAGGAGAAAGAAAAAAGCTACACTGTGATGAAATTCTCTTGCATCTTATATTGACGATAGATGGCGGACGCAGTCGGAATATGAAAAAAAAACTAAATAAATATAATATCATATTAAACAGAGCGAGACACGGCTTTTTTTATTGACGAATAAAAAGAAATCTTAATAAATAGAATATGTATCTCTCTGAACCTTAAGGACAAACGCACTAGGTCAAGGAACTTTCTTCTCTCCTTGCTTTATATCATTGACTTGATATTAAAGACATTGCATGAAATATGATTTTGCAATTGGGTTATTGAGTATAAAAGAGGGCATTCGTCCTTTGTATATTTATATACTTAAGAAAATGAATCTTTATATCCTTTGAAGAGGGACGGAAAAATGTACAAATTTATATAGTTCTCATTTTTTATTCTTTTTTTCCCTTTAAGTAATTTTCCATGATATTTACACGAATAACAGTAAGATCGTGAATAAATTTGAGCAGCGTTTACCCAAGATTATAAGGATTACATAAGAAAAAAAAGTTTAGAATAACGAAGAAAAAAATATCGGCATTTCTTTTCCTCTAACTGAATCCTAATTCAAGGGATAAGACTGGACTAGAAGAAGGGAGGAGACTAGTCCTTACTTTCACGTCACGTTCTACTAGGACGAAGAAAAGACAAGATCTATATGTAAGGGATTTTTCTCTTTATTTGTATTCAGATATATAGATCAAAATCGTCGATTATTTTTCATTAATAATGTTAGAAGTTAAAAATATTTAGTCGGTAGATGGCGCTCTGACAGAGGATTGAATTGATTTAACAGGACGCCTATTGAATTTGATAGAAGTAGGCGTCATTTTAATGAACAGTATTTTCTGAAAGTAGAAATTTAGAAATTTTCGATAACTATTAAATTATGCTCCATGTTTAAAAAAAAAAGCGTGGTTTAATATCTATAGAAGCTTATCACTGTTTATTAAAGCTATTGAAGAAAGCAACCTATTTGTGCATCTTAGAAACGGCGTCGGCGGCGTCGATTATGATAATTACAGCAACTCGGTCACGTGACAGTTGGTAAGCGCGCCTTCGTTCGTTCAGGCCGAATGAGAAGGAAATTTGACTGCATGGATCGGCGAAAGTCGAAATTAGCCGATCCGGACCGCTTGTGGAAGTTGGAAAATGCAGAAATTGAGGAGAATGCCCTTTACAAATATCTCAATAATCAAAATGGTGGTAAATTAATTGATTGTTATTCCGAAGGCGGAGAGGAAGCCATAGAAAAAATGATCTCTTCCGAAATTGAACCTTTCCTCTACAATGGAGGAAAAGGTAAAATTTTAACGAAATTGGAATTTGTCCAGTGGAGGAATAGGTGTTCCGCAAAGAGACAAGGGCAAACTCTCATAGATACACGATCTGAGGAGGAAGTTTTGAACGAATTTCAAGATTCTTTTGAAACACATCTGGCCTGTTGGGATATAAACAAAAGAGGTGTTCTCGGAGAGACAGCCCTACATATATGCTGTCTTCACGACACGCCAATTCACTTTGAACTAGCTAAAATATTGGTTAGACTTTATCCAAAAATGGTTCTAGATGTATACGAAGGCAAGGAATACTATGGACAAAGCGCTCTACACTTGGCTGTCGTATCTGGGAATCTTGATATGGTAAAGTTATTGGTTGAAAATGGTGCTATGATAAACCAACGCGCTTCCGGTCCGTTCTTCCTTCCGGAGGACGTTAAGCGTCAAAAGAAGACGATCTCCACTTCGAATTACGCAGGATACGCTTATTTCGGGGAATACGCTCTAGCGTTTGCAGCCTGCTTCGGCAGGGAAGATATCTACGATTATCTTGCAGAAAAGGGGGCCGATCCAAATTTGAAGGATACTCTTGGCAATTGCGTTCTTCATATGCTTGTCATCAGTAATCAACTTGTAAGTCCTTACTGATACTTTCTCATACTTGGATAAACCTCGCAGTTTATCCGAAATAACCTTAATCATTTCGATACGGCTAGCACGATATTCTTTTAATCTAGCTCATCTATTCCGTTAAGAGTTCCCCGCTTCGGCGGAAAAAAATAATAAATCGAAGTAAATATCGACTGTTTGCGGCGTTACTAAAGTAACGCCTGTAAACAAGTAAAAGCTTTCATAGGCCTAACATTTTGATGAAATGAATTGAATGATCGTTTTTAAATACTTGACTATTTTGTTTTGTTTTGTTTCTGTTTAATGAAAGGTTTTGTTCGTGTTTCACAGGGTATGTATAGTTATGCTGTAAGACATCCGAAAAAGAAGGCGCGCGTCGAAATATCGAATGAAGCAAATTTGACGCCGTTAACACTTGCATCGAAGTTGGGTCGAAATGAAATTTTTAAGGAGATTATCGAATTGCAGAGCGTCGTAAGTATTGAACGTTAAACGCCGTTAATTGGATCAGAATGTCAATATTTGCCAAATCTGATACGTAGAATGGGTCTTTGTAATTTATTGCGTTTATATTTATCAATATCATGTCGTTTTTTAAAGCGTCTCTTTCCTGTTTACAGGAAATTTGGAGATATAGTAATATCACCTGCTCCACTTATCCGTTAGCTACTTTAGATACTATAGGGCAGGAAGGGAAGACGAGTGAGTAAACGAAATGATTTAAAGTAAAATTGCTATCAAAAGCTTGACTGAATATATAAATAATCAATTTAGACTGGAGTTCGGCCCTAATGTACATAACTGATGGTGAGACTGAAGAACATTTAGAAATGCTAGAGGGAGGCGTTATTAAGCAGCTTCTAGATGAAAAGTGGAAGACGTATGCAAGGCGGAGATTTTTCGAGCGTCTGGTGCTAGCTGTCCTACATCTGATCTGCCTAAGCGTCGCCATTTATACTCGTCCTGGTACCGATCTACTAGGTCCAATCGATAAGATAAACATTGTAAGTCATTTAGCTGGGAAGCATGAGTGTTTCCACTATCGTCACTTATCCCTCTTTTTCCTCTCTTATTTCTTTTGTCGATTATTGTAAGCGTTAAACAACTTGTATACATATTTCTCAATGCTCCACGTGCAGTATCTTATCTTTGTTGTTATTGATACTGTAAACTTCCTTCCTAGCTCCGATAAATTTATTCGCTCATAGTGACCCTCTAATATAACTCAAAACTAGAGAATTACTAGACAAAAGATAAAAGATAAAGATATCGATCAAGACGTTCGTTTAATTTACTTATAACCCCCGCTATTTTTTCCAGGTTCGTTATATAGCTGAGATTATATCTACTCTAAACTGTTTCATTAACCTGGCCATGTACTACGATGAAGTGAAATCGCAAGGGATTGTTGAGTTCTTTAAAAATCAAACGTCGGCCCCAGCCAAAATGATATTTAATATATCATGTGCTCTAATCCTCTCTTGTGTACCCATGAGATTCCTAAGGCTGGAAGGAGTAGAAGTGGTTTTGTTGGCCATAGCGGCACCGTGTGCCTGGGTCCATCTACTCTTTTTTGCTAGGTAAGTTAATTATGATGGTCAATTTAAACGCCTCTATACTGTTTCCCTCTATCATTCTATTACTAAATATATATATATTACATATCTTTTACCTCTAAACTATGCCTTGATCGTTCAATGTTGTACAATAAAATAAGAGAATACGTTTTAATTTTTTACAGGGGAGTGTCCCTACTTGGTCCATTCGTCATTATGATTTATAAAATGTGCGCGTCTGATATGGTGCGATTTATATTCATCTTCGGTGTCTTCCTCATCCAATTCTCCCAAGGTGATTAAAATCTCTCTTAATCAATGTTTTTAAATTTTATTGATTTATTCTTATTATTTTTCTTTCTCTAAACGCATTTATTAATTAGTTTTCGTTATAATTTCATCACAAAATCAATAGAGAAAAGTCACTTAAATGTAATTTCAATTTTTAACCTTTAAAAACTAATTAATAATTTAATTATAGGATTATAAATGTTGCGTGTTTACTTGTGTTTGTTTATGCATATTTATTGCATTTGTAGTAAGTATGCAAATTAGAATATCTTATATATTACTTAAAAGTAATGACATTCTAACATTTAAATTGTTTTTCTCTTGTGTTGAAACCCAAGCTCTATTTCTAAAGATTATCAATAATTATATTAAACTACTTTTATCATATGTAATTTTTAGCTGTAAAACTTAATTATTTAGCTTATAATTAACTATGTTAACGCTAATTATCATATATGTTTATACTAACAATGGTTTCGAATATAAGAAATGCTTTATTAGCAATTGTTTAATATCATATGATTACTTTTTTGTTATGTATAATGTATAATTTTATCCAATAAGATAGTTCAATCATTTAAAAGAAAAATTTAAAATATTTAACAAAAGAGAAAATAGGATATAATTATTAAATAGTTCTCTTTTTTTCATTATAGTTGTTCTAGTTCTAGTGGGATAACATTATAGAATTTATATGTTTTGCTTTGGTTAATTAATGGTTGAATGAGTTTTACAAGTGATTATAATTAATCAATGTTTTCTCTTAGGTTAAACTTGCCTATCTAGTGTTTTTTTATCTGATTATCTCTCTCTCTCTCTCTCTCTCTCTCTCTGTCTATCTATCCATCTCTCACTCTTCATCTCCTTTACCTCACCCGCTCCTCCTCCTCCTCCGAATATTTTTCGCCCCTCCCATTCTTCATTTTTCTTCCTTTTAGAGTCTATCAACCAACTGGGCCTTGCGTTACGATGTTCTATAAAATGTTTTTTGGAGATATTAGAAAATTCGCTAGTATTTATATCATTTTCCTTCTCGGATTTACTCCAGGTGCACTTATTTTACTTATTTATATACCTATGACATTTTTAATTCTCTTGTGTCTTTTGTTTCTCTTTTTTTTTTAAAAAAAAGAGAATTAAATGAAAATGTCCATCGCATTTCTTTTTGCACATATTTAATTATTTAATAGTTTTAGATTTAGTATTTATTTTTTGTTTTATGCTAGGTCTTTACTAAACTGATTAAATATCGATTACCTACATTTTTTATGATTCTAAGTAATTGACTTCCCTAGGTTTCTTCTTCCTTTTTAAGGATATTGAAGATCCAAATATTACAACCTTTAAAACGATTTTTGGTACATTAATGCAGTTGTTCCAAATGACTTTGGGTGAATTCAAGGTCAGTTTTATTTTCTTATCATTATTCTGTTTAGTTTTTTTTTCTCTCGGCAGTAAAAGTTTATCAATTTTTCATTCGAACTTTTAAAAAAAAGAAGAAAAAACAGCAAGAAAATTAAATAAATAATAAAAAAAAAACACTAAAAGAAAACAGTTAATAGAAAGAGGAAACAATGAAAAATTGTTAAATAGCCGTCACCTAACACATTTTTGATAGGTGTCGCTTTTTACCAAACCGTGTATTTCCATTAACAATTTACTTTTGTTTATTTTTTGTAAATATTATTTTTAATAAGTTCTTTACAGCGTAAATAAAAAAATTGTTAGAATTGGAAATTCAAGTGTTTGGGTGTTGAATTAAATGAAAAAAAAGTAACTGTTTATATGTTATATACTGTATATACATATATATATATATATATATATATATATATATATTTATATATAATGTACAAATATACACCCACATTCATACATATATCAATGTATTTAATTCTTTTTATAATAACTTAAAAAATGTCGTGAAAAACTAAAAGATGTTAAAAGAATCTTTACAAGTTCGATTAAAACGACAAAACATTCATTTCGAACATAAAAATTTTTCAATATGTTTATTTATTTATTTTTCTACCCGTTTTTTTTTTGCCTTTAATTTTTTTTATCCCTTTTGTTTCTTCGAGAAAAAAAATCAAAAGAAATGTAAGAACAATAATCTCCCTTCCTTTAGAAAAACTTTAGGCCTAGATTATTAAACAGACTTCACAATTAATGATCGAAGATCAATCAACGCACCCAAACACTTAAATTTGCCAATACTGCTATTATATACCGACTACCAATCGATATAATTTAGTAACTAATTATCTTAGTTGCCAGTCACGTGATTTTTAAATTTGCATATTCGAGCAGACTTCGAAAGGAGAATTAATTAAGGTGACGCCAGAAAGACTTTTTAAGTTGTTTTTGTTGCTACTTTTTGTCTTGTTTTTATTTTTTATCATTTCCCTTTGTTATTTATACTATTTTTTTATTGTTTAGTTTTTTATATGCTATATATACTGTATCATTTTCCAATATTTCGAAACAAACTATCACACACAACTCTTTAATTATTCTGCTTTGGTCTATAAACACAATCTAGGCCTATGTAAATAATAAGGAAGGAGTTTCTGGCCATTTTTAATTAATAGATATTAGAAAAAGAAAACAAATAGGATAGGATAGATAGGCAGATAGATAGAATTTTTTGAATGTTAATCTATTCATAACTATTCTCAACTGTTAAAGAGCATTACTAATTTGTAATTAGATAATAAATACCCGTATTTATATATAAATATATATATTTTTGTTTTTCCAATATTTATGAATCGGGGGGAGACTCGTTCAATTATTTTAATTTAATATTTGTAGGACAGCCATTAGAAGTTTCTAGCAACACGTTTCTTTACAAACATTATCTCTCTTTTTATGGATATATGTAAAGTCATTAGTCGCTGTTTACAATAATTTACAAGTATTGTATAAAAAGGAAGGAGAGAGAGAGAGAGAGAGAGAGAGAGAGAGAGAGAGAGAGAGAGAGAGAAAGAGAGAGAGAGAGAGGAGAGAAGGAGATAAAGAGAAATAAATAAAGAATGTTATTGAAAAAACTGTTAGATCTAGCTATTGGACCATTTTTAGTCCAATGTAATCAAGAAATCGATAATTTTCTGTGTAAAGAGAATTATTCAATTTCTTTTTTTGTCTTGAGGAGTTTTCTTTAGTATTTTTTTCATTCCTTCTCTATTTTTAGGAGAAGGAAGATAAAGCAGTTTTTTTTGACAGAGAGATACGAATTTTTTCTTCCAATTTCATCAATAATTTTTTATTATTTTTTTCCTCTTCTTCGGCAAAAATTTTGTGGAGTTTGATCTATTTTTTGCACAGAACAAACAAACAAACAAACAAACAAGCAAACAAACAAAACATACAATGAAAATGCCAAAAAAAAAATAACTAAAGATAAAAAAGAGATAATAAAACTTTATCAGTTTTTATGTCTTCTTAATTATGTGACATAAAATAATTAGAAATCTCTAATTGGTTCATATTCGCTCTTTACTATTCATAAAATAATTAACTTTATTATTATAATTATTAATGATAAGTTTGTTTATAAAAAAAATACAGTATGAAGATTTTGATGCGACCCGAATGCCAATTCTAACAAAGATTGTGTTTGCTGTGTTCGCCATCTTGGTTCCAATTCTTCTACTTAACATGCTTATTGCTATGATGGGTAATACGTATCAGATGATCATTAGTAGATCTGAGAAGGAATGGACAAGGCAATGGGCAAAGATAATGATTGTTATTGAGAGAACATTTGATGCAAAAAGACTAATGAAATACCAAGAAGAGTACTCAGTTGCTTTTCAGGCTGGAGGAGAGAATGCCAGAGGTTTGATGGTAATAAAAGCATCAAATAAAACTAAGGCTAGGCAACGGAAAGGAGCAATAGCGAACTGGAAGAAAATGGTCTATATGGTCAAAAAACTGCTGAAGGAGGCTAAGCAAACGGGCAATCCCCCTGCTTTCGCTCTGTCAAGGAAAAAGTCCACATTGAACAAGATTATGTTAGAAGAACCACCTGCATTGGATATGGATAACTCTGGTTTATTGGGAGCTATGGCCCAGCTGGCGTGGGAAAAAGACATAGATCTAGCTCCAATATCAGGAGGTGAAAGTGATTCCAAAAAAAGAAAACAATCGACATCGGGTTCCGACTGTCCAACATCAATTGCCCAACAACTCTTGAATGATGAGGAATTGAAAAATCCTCACCCTCGACCACCATCTGGTAAGTCGTTGGCCAAGAGGTCTTCCAAAGTGACGCCCGAAAACTCGGTTAGCCCGTCACCTGATTCCGGCGTCTCTAAGTCATCAAAACGTAGTGCAAGGACGTTTTGATCAGTGAGCACCAGACTAATAGTTTACTTGAACTTTTATTTATATTAAGAAAGAATATACAGTATATAAATATATATATATATATATTGTCGATGTAACGCTATCTGCAGGCACTTCATTAAATTTTCAAGCTTTAATCGCATGCAAAAAAAATAAATCTTCGTCTCTTCTAAAGAAAAAAAAACTAAGGAAACAGAATACACACCTCATTCTAATTGCTTTTCTATTCTTAATCCTATTCCATTCTATTCTCATCATTGTTACGGAAACGAACGGTGAACATTTTTCTTTATAATTAAAATTTTCTTTTACCATTATCATCATTAATGTCAGGTCACTGCCACAAGCTTTTCATCATTATCTTCATACCAATATTGTCTATGATTTTGTCATCCTATCCATTCTTTTTTTAATTGAGAATTAAAATAAAACCAAAACGAAAACAATATTGGCATCAATTTAATTAATTATTAATAAAGCTTTTAAAATTCATTTATAATGACTATTTACCTAAATTTATTCAAGGGAGCAAAGTCTACAAAAAACAAAACTGCTATATTTACCATATACCTATCATTAATTATGCATATCTCATTACTCTTCGTTAATTATTCATTAACCTAATTTAACTATTAATAGAGTTTGTATTAAACGTAAACAAATTTATGTAAAATGAAACATTCGACTTTTCATGTTTTGCTGAATTGATTGAAAGTTGTTTGCTATTTGCCTAAAGTCATATTTATAAATTGAAGACTGCTTTTAGAAAGTTCTTAGTTATATAGACGTATAAAATATAGATCGGGCAATCTTCTTTAAAAAGCTTAGATTGTTCGCTAAGCGGTCATTTGCTAAAAAGCTTTTAATATAGGCAGCTTTAAAAAACGTTCTTTCAACAAGACAGTCAAGACTAGAGAGTATTTTGATTTTCTTTTTCTTTTAAAAAAAAAATCAATCTATTTCCATTTACTTTTTCCTTATCATATTGCAAAATGTCATATATCTTCCTTTTTTTATTTCCCCGTTATCAGTAATAATTTAAAACAATGGAATATGTTACCTTACTTTTTATACCTATAAAGTTGTTAAACCCATCAAAAGGAATAAAATTATAGATATACTATATACGTATATACTAGCATACATATAATTTCTAAGAACTTGTATCGTTTCTGAAATATTGAAAAATGATATATCATTAGCTATCTAAATTTATTTTATCTCCCCCCTTCCCAATCCTATGTTTTTGCATTCGATATTTTTTACATTGTTGTTGACTATTGACCCAAAGTTTCCCTAGGTGAACGTTTTTATTGATAAAAAAAATAACAATAATTACTGCTAAGTGTGAATAGCGACACCTTCCTACATTCTAGTAAGTATTTATTGAATATTCAATTTTTTTTTTGTTTATTGGAATATTATTTTCTTTTTATATTTATATTTATATTAATATATTACTATATACAGTTTATATCCAATCTTTTATGCAACGTAAACAAATATACATAGTTTTGTTTCCAATGTGAAAGATGCCAACTAATTATTATAGGGAAAAAAAGTTATACAAAAGAGTTTATCTTCTTTCGTTGTACTCCCTCTATCGGGTAAATAAATCACCCACCTGTCGACCATCTTGGCGATATATAATTTCTGCTAATAGACACTGCAAACAAAGCACGAACCGATCGACCGTTGCTTCCTTGACAACCGGCTTTGGCGTATACACAAAAAAGAACATATTTCCACTTTGTTCTCGCTTTTATGTAAATAATGAACGAATTATGGGTATGAACAAGGTGGACATTGTCGGAACTTGGGTAAGTAGAACCGCTTTAGCTTAATTTAATTAATACTCTGATCACCTTAATTAACACTAAGTATTCTCTTCAATTTCCTCTCTAGTATCCGACCAGCTTTCATGGCCATGCTCGGAACAAGACCAGATATGACTTTCAAATTGATTACAGACAAAGAGCCAAACCAGAACCACCTCTGAAGTTTCTTAGTAGGTCTAGACAGAATATTAGTAAGCATCCATTTTCTCAACACGACAATCGGCATTCGTTTCTCTCCGATGCTTTATACTTTGAAGAGGGACTTGGTCGAAGGAGAATAGATAACTCAACATGTAAATCTGAGGTAGACTTATTAGATTGGAAACCTGTAAAGACAGACTTTTCAAGGCAGTCATCTGAATATAAGTTTGCTTATTCTGGAAAACCGGTTGTAAATCGTTTAGTTAATGATTTAAAGAGACCAAAAACAGCCAACTTTAAACCCTTTTCAACATCTTACTCATCTGTACATGGAAATTGTACTTGGTTTCGCAATGAACCTATCAGGAAGCCCAACGACGGTGATACAATAACCAACAGAAGGAGACGAGCTGTATCTGCCCATCCCCATTTAGACACAGTGGCAGCATGCCTATCTTGGACTTCGTCCGAATTTGTACCAAAACCTCCGTCGTACAAAAGATGTAGTATACCTGCTGCTACTCAGACAACGATGCCTCCAACCGAAAAAGAACCGGTATCGCTTGAACCAGCAAAAGCTCGGACAGTTTGAAAAACTTGCAAAACATTTTTATTTTTACTTAATAACTCTCTCTCTCTCTCTCTTTCCCTCTCTCTCCTCCCTATTCGTCTTCCTCTTGCTATACCTTTATCTACTACCATTTCCTATTCTATTTTTGTTTTTTTTTGTTTTGCTTATAAACTATAAACGAATAGTAATTAATTAATTATTATTGACTATTAATAATATCTAAAATTAGACCAAAAAAAAAAATAAGAGTTTTTTTTTTAAAAAAAAAATATTTTATTTTTGTACAGCTTTGACAAATATTTTACAATGGAATTAAGTTAAGAAATATTGATAAATCTCTTTTAATATATTTCTTCTCATTCCTTTCTCTCTCTATATTTATATTTTTTTAAAAAAATAATGGTTATAATACTATGTTAACTTTTAGCCTATAAATATAATGATAACAAATCCCTATATAATTATTCCTTTTAAAATACAGTTTTTAGATCGATTTTAATTGATTGTTCTAAAAATGAATCATTCAGTAGAGTAATTACATCTATTCTTTTATACTTTAAAAGAAAATTTTTCTATGATTAGTTAAATTGATCTTTGAAGAACTTTGACAAACTTTTTTTTTAATTTCATAATCCAACAAGATTTCTATTGTTAAACTCTTCAATCTGGTGTAATTATTTGTAATTTATATAGGTTGATATAAATAGAGTTTAAATATTAAAGAAAACAATACTTTCTTTTTCTCTCTCTTTCTCTGTGACTCGCTTCCTCACACATACATACACACACTGTCTATACTTTTATGCAAATATAACATAATTTGCAATACTTTTAATCATAAAAATTGTATTTACAGATATAATAGATCTATATCCGAATATTTGTTTACAAGTTAAGTTTATACTTCTTTTTTCTATATCAAAATTCATTGGGTGTGTATGAGAGAGAGAGAGAGAGAGAGAGAGGTAAACTTGTTGTTTTAATGAATACTAGATGGCGTTTACCGTGAGAGTGAGCTTATACTTTTTTTTTCTTGTAAATTTGAATAAGGAAAAAGTATACTTTTTTTTGAGCTCTAAAATTAATATAATCCATAATTAGATAGTATTTATATTAATCCGTCTAAAAATATATATCTTTTAATAATTAACAAAAAAACAGCTATCTCTTTTTTATTATTAAAAGTTGCAAAGAGTAGCTAAAAAACAGTAAATTCAATCTATATTGAATTCTATATATAATCTTCATAAATATATATATATATTTATATTGATGATCTCTTAAATCCAAACCACATTTATGGACCAATGTGTAATTATCATAATTGTTTGTTTATATACTACCTGTTGTATTATTAATACGTTTAATTAACTTACATATAAATTTACTCATAGTTATACCATTCTTCTTTCGTTTCTATAGTATTTTATATATAAAACTATAAATATAGTTTTTAAAATGACAAACTGTAGAATAATTTTCCATATTTAAAAATAAATAAATAAAGATATAAAGTAAACAAGATGCAGGATGTTTAGAAAATATTATCCTTATAATAAAGATAAATCGTTAAATCTTATCAAAGCAGTGATATTGTTGATTTCGATTGGAAATAGTAATAAAATATTGAATTATTGTTGTTATGATTTAATATTTTGTATTTGTCTTTTCAAACATTAATTGTTTGTTGAGATTTCAATAAAATTGTTTATAATTAACTCACTTTAAAAGTAAAATGTTAAAAATTAAGTTTTGAAAAACGCGCCAATTCTATTGAGCATGCTCAGTCGGATTCTATAGCAACCGGTTGCTAACAACATGGCCGATCTGATTTGAAAAAAGGTATTGAAGAGAAAAAATCTTATGGTACAGTCATGTCAGTAAAAACTAAAAGAGAATGTAAATTTGATAAGGAATTTGACGATCTCTCACGCAGCGTCGATACTTGCATAAACAGTCTACAAAAAAATAAGCAGTACTATGTTACTCCGGAAATTTGCCGCGAACTCCGCCACCTTAAGAATGGGGTTCAGCATATGCGTTTGGACGATGATCTTTTGAGAAGTTCTAGGGAATGGTGCCAAAAAAACGATGCCCATAGTTTAGAAATGGAAAGAAAGGTAAGAAAATTTTTAATAGCAGGGTTTTCCACTCACTAATCTCGAACAAAAAGTTTTCTAGGAATTATTAAAGAACCTTATTAATTTATTTTCCATTTATATGGTGTTTTGTATTTTATTATTTATAAATAATGTAGAATGTTTTGTTATTTTCAGGGTGCAAAATGTTCTTTGAACGTTGCCAAATCGAGATTAGAAGAAACAGGTAGAACGATTGATGTTAATAATTTTTCCAAATTATTGGATGGACAAAGCAGGGAAGCTCATCATAATACAGTTGGTAGGCTTAGAAACGCTCAAAGGGAAATGGGTCCATTTGCTCATGGTAGCGTTAATAGATTACAAAACTTCTGCGATTTTGTGGGAGTTACCGATCGGTATCAGAGCTACCGTGGCAACTTGAATTATCAGAGGCCGTCTACTAATCGTCCAATACCTGCTCGCTATCAATACGAGTCACGACAAACCCAATCAGCTCCGGTACAATGTAGAGTTAAGGAAAGATCGCCGATTAAAGAAAGATCCATTCAGGAGCAGTGTGGAATTAATACACTCTTTCCGGGAATATCCGAATACGCTGAACGCTACATAAAACCACGAGAGAAAGAATCAACTGATTTTGAAATAAACCCGTCACCAGACTTTTCAAGAACTGGAAGGAGAATTGCCACTCTTCGCTACGTTCCTGGAACTTCTGAATATCAAACAAAGTACATTTGGCCGGATGGCAGTACACTAAAAAGTGCCCCCTGGATAGCGGAAGCCTATTAGTTGAAGCTCATTAAAATTCTACACAAGTAGTATAAATGATTTATTAGCGAATTGGAGGAGTACAAAAAAAAAGTATTATGAGTGTCAAAGTTGATTAATCAAGTAAACATTTTTTATCATATTATTTAATGATTTGGGGCTGATTAACGTTGTTATGGTGACTGCAAATGAAAAAAATATCAAAATTGATACAAAAAATGGAAAGAAAGTTTAAATTTTTTCTTTTTCTCCCCCTTCCCCCACTTCCTTCCCACCTTTCCTTTTTTCTCTCTCTCTCTTACTTTCTCTTTTATAAGGCTTTTTTTCAAAAGAAAACTTTGAAAAAACTCTCTGCTCTCCTCTCTATAGTCAATCTAAAAGTGCTGTTCAAACACTTTTCAAGAACAAATCTCTCTCTCTCTCTCTCTCTCTCTCTCTCTCTCCCACTTAATGACATGCTCAATAAAAACTCAAATTATTTCATCTTGTTTGAATATTTTTACAGATAAAAAATATAGCCAGGTAGTAGCTTATCAGTTTTAGATAATAGATAGATTAGACTATATAATTTATTATTTAAATTAGGATAATTCATTCGATAAGCTCGTAAAAAGAATTGATATAATCAATAATAAATAAAACATACATGTTCCATTTTCACAATTAATATTAACATATTATTTTATAAGTGAAGATTTTCTTTATCTATTCAAGAAAAAAAAGACTCCTCGGACATTTTTAAGTATTCTGCAAACAACCATTTTTACTTGAATCTTTTGAATAAGAATTTCAGCAAATATTCAACAAGATCTAATACAAAGGAATATTAATTTTATTGAATTTTTTAGTTGTACGCAAAAAAACAACCCGATATCTCTATATTCCTAATGTTTATAGGCAATTTTTATATATAATCTATTTATTTTGTTTGTGGAGATCACTTAAGTCTGACACATATAATTTAAACAATATAAGAGCAACAGAGAGAAATAAGAAAAATATAGGTTATTCTATCTTATTTTAAGTATTCCTTTTCAATTATCCACTATATACAATAGTTTTATGTTTACATTGTAACTAGGACAACATGTTTGTACCTAAACATCTAGGGTTATATGCATAAAATATATAAATCAAAAGATTTCAACAAGAATCTTATTATAAATTCAAAAATTGGAAGTGAAAAGAGGTCAAAAAAACGAGATAAATAAATATGATAGCTGAAAAGTGTTAATTATCATTAATTCACTTATTTAAATAATTAAAAAATTTTTATAAACAACTTAAAAACGAAAGTGAAACTTATTATAATACAAAATCTACAATATGAAGAAAATTGGTTTAATAATGAAATAGTTATGTTAAAAATTTAGTTTTCGTTGTTGATCTTATTATTCTGGCTACTTTTCATTGATAAAATAAGAATTGTTAATGATATAAAAACCATTAGCACGAGCACAAAGTAACTTCCTGCAAGATAGAAAAGAAATTAGACAAATGTATTATCTCTCTCTCTCTCTTTCTTTGGATATTACCTATTCTTATCCTTGTAAATATCAAGCATTCGCCACCCTTCTTGGAATTTCTCTTTCCTTGCCTTAATCTCTTCAAGTCTCCTATTAAGTCACCATAATCACCTACGCTACTCTTCCCCTAATCAATAAATAATTTGTTAATTTAATTAAATAGTTATTAATAGACTATTTTTATTCATTAATACATAATAGTTAAATTGTCTCAAAGATAATCCTAAAACTTCTCTTTTAATCCGTTTTTTGAATTGAGTATTAAGGGTTCTACTATCTTTAATGGAGACAGTCCAATTGAATTTTTGCGTACCATAAGTTAATTGAAAATTGTATCGACCTATACTACTTGTATTAGGCTTAAGAAAGATTTTAATATAGTATCTATTAGCGAATTTCTCTTCCAATAAAATAAAATAACTCTCCAAATCAATAATATTCTGAAAAAGAAAGAACAGTTTTTCCCGATCTTAATAAAAAAATGATGATCATTCTCTTTCTTCAATTACCAACGTCATTCAAAAGAATTAAATAAGAAACGTTGAATGGAGGTAATATTCTATCGAGAAGAAAATTAACTTCTAATACAGGCCTATAAATATCTATTGGTGTAATACTATTCGATAGATTTTTCGTTATCACAGGTTTATCTAAAGGGGAAGGAAGGGAATAATATATGTATTAAGGAGTTTAATAATGATTTTTCTTCTTCTTATACCAAGAACAAATAAGAAGGCTGAATCAAAGTCAAAAGAGTCATTGTTCGAACTGTCGCATTGTATCGATTTAAACGCCTTGTTCATTCTATTAATTTTCAGTAAAATCTCTTTCTCATTATCTCGTCTTCTCTTAATTGATTGGCTAATTTCCTCATTTTTAATCGTATCAATTATTTGTCCGTTCAATCTCCACCTACAAGTAATAGAAGGTTGACCTCTACAGCGGCAAATAGCATTGAATTCATCATCAACAAATGAAAATTTTGATTTCAATAGCAGATTGACTTTTGATTTTTCGTTTAAACGAAAGTAGAACTTTCTAGCTATTACCTTTCCCGAATAATTTAGGGAGCAAGAATAGTTTAATAAGTGTTTAAGAGAGAAATTATCTACAGTTAAAGAAAATAGCACAATAAACGCATTAGAAATATGTACATAGGTGGCGTTTTAATAAAAGAAGTAAAAATTCTTGCCTATTCTCAGATAATAAGCAATAGTTGATTCTTGCGGAGTTTTTATAAAAGGGTATGAAGAATTTTTAAAAGGTTGTCCATCAATCTTCCAATCAACGTTGATCCTTAGCGATTAATTAGATAATATAATAGGGTATTGTGACGATTGTTTGATAAAAAAAGATTGAATCTAACCTTATATTAGGAATACAAACTATAAAGACTGATTGACCTAATGTAACATTCTGAATTGTTGTGGTAAACTTTGGAACTACTATATCGACGTTTTCCTCTCTCTTTTCCTCATTTCCCCATTCAAGATCTTTCGATTCAACTATTCTCCATTGATTTTCAGTTGATCTAACAGCGATAAGAAGACGCGTAGCGTCTGTTCGCTTCGGTTGTATAAAATAACCATTTCCGGCTAAATCATATAAATCACATTAATAGTGCCAATCAATCTTTTTAACATGTGAGTAAAAGAAAAAAATACGCTTACTCCAAGGGTCAAAAGCGAAACCTAATTTGCTTTGAATGCGCCTTTCGTTCAAAATGGATATAGGCCTATTGTTTCTCCCAGATATAAAACTTTTAGTATCCAAGTAAAAATATCGATAGAAGCATGTTGCATGGCATTTCCAGTATAATGTTAATCTATTGAATTTGCCAGGTAGGATTGTAACTCTTTGAATTTGTTTTACAACAACACCCGGTGTTCCTATTTAATTATATAATTAAAATGCCAAAGTAAGAAATACTTAAAATTTTCATACGTTAAAGTTATAATCTCTTTGCTGTGAGAGTAATTAATTTTAATCTATTGAAATAACTCACCGATATATGCTAATTCTAAGGATCTGGAAAATCCAATACCGCAAAGCGTTTGTGAACTACAGAGGTAAAAGCTGTTACCCCGAGTTGACAAAGGGACGCTTATTGTCTCGTTTTTATGTCCGTAAGAGTACTTATTCTCTTTGTTATATAAAGTTGACGGTGATGAGTTGCCGTCCAGTAATTCGGTTAAAAAACCTGAATCCCACCTATACCACTTGAAACTAGTGAAAAGAAGAAGGAGTTTTTAATTAAATTCTGATAGTGTAGCCCTATTTACTCAATTCCCCAATTAGATATAGGACAAGGAATAAGATGATGTATGCAGGATAAATTAACTCTATTCTCTTTACTTAATATTAACTTTCCATCAATGTCTAAGCCTATATTTTACGAAATATATAATAAATTGTAAAAACATAAGAAATTATTAATTGATTTTACAAGAATTAATTAAAATAACGATGAATATTAATATCATATTTGGAGTGTGTAATCTCTCTTTTCTCTATCTTTCTATCGTCGAAGCCAAGATACTATACATTTTTTTTAAGTAATTTTTTGAATAAATATATCGATTGAATTAAATTTAAATAGATCACGTACATAGGCCTATTAAGTTTAATTTTTCATATTTTTAAACTAATGATTTTATAATTTAATTATTAATTGAACGGAGACAACTGAGCGTATAGTTATCATTAAAGCGTACTTTGTATACTCTCAAAAATTCGAAAAGAATCGAAGGAGGGCGTCACGTGTACACAAGCTGACGTCTACAGATGTACATCAAGCTGTTTACATATGCGTTTAGTCATCACCGATTTACTATATAAAGGTTCCTCCAGGTTTTATTAGGCGTAAGTTGACGGAAGAATTCAGACTGGAACGGAAGTCGTCATTTATTTCTCTGCATTGAGGTATTATAGTCTGTAATAAGCTATCAAATGCTTACTTTCTATTAATCATTTATATTACTCTCTAAGGAATATATATGTATATACAATACTCATATCACGCAAAACATTTAAAGCATTTTAAAAGGATTTATCAATGAAATATTGCGAAAACTGATGCGTTCATCTCTTTTGAATAGAAACTCTAAAATCAAATGGAAAGCTTTTTAAACCAAATCGTAACTTGATTTTTCGTCCAGTGATATTTTGATTGTTGCTCAGATAGTTTATTTGAATTTTGACTAACTATCTACGCTCAATCAAAATCTGAACTGAGCGAATATTCAACAGCAACCCTTTATCAGTCAATACCAACCAACAGGATTGGACGGACGCAATATAATTATATTAACATATGTTATACTATCATAATGACTAATTATCATATACATATCTAATTTATTTATATGTTGTTTGTAGTCCTATGTAAATAAAATTTGAATTATATATATATATATATATATACAGTATATATATATATATATATATATTGTATATAAGCATTACATTGACTCGTCTCTTTACATAACATTTTTAATCAATTTCATAAAATTTGCAATGAATAAAGAAAAGAAAAGAGCAAAATATAAAAAAAAACTACATCCTATATGTAAGTCTTTCTTCTTTATATTGTTTAATATTATAACAACACAAAAAATTGATAAACTTTTAAAATTAAAGGTAAATATTTACAAACAAAATAAACTCTTAAAAAGTTTTAATAAAGAAATTTTAACTATCAAACATTGAATTATTATAAAAAAATAATAAAGAGGAATAAAGTACTACTAAAAATAGATTAGAATAATATTGTTTTTGTAATAAGGTAATTTGTATACGTTTCTTTATATACTTTCAAGTAGGAAGAGGGATGGATTATACAGTATATATACTGTATAAAATAAATTCAAAGGTTGAGATTATGAGATTTTAACTTTAGATATGTTATTTAAGCAAATATGATCATGAATATCCACTGTATACACAAGTATATAAACTTTAAAAAAATCATTGGACGACATCTGCAGCCTTTAGCCTGAAAGAGCACGCTTGGTACCACATATTTTTATAAGTATGGTAACGACTTTAACACTCAAGCAGATTAGGTAGGACTAATCTTCAACGACAGATGTTAATCCTATAAATCGATATTTCCAATTCCGAAAAAAATAAAAGTACTATTCAAAGGTCAACTCAATCAATCTTATAATATAAATAAAGTTATACGATTGTCTTCACCTCTTACAAAAGCCTACTTTTCGGACAATAAATCAGAATTCTTGTAAATGCTTCTTGTATTTAGAAAGTATCTAAAACATAGATCTATCAAACATTTCAACGTATTACATTCTAAGAAAACATCGGTTGTACTTGATCTAGATAAATTACAATATGGGACATACCAGTTCTAATTCTTTGACATCCCAAATGTTTCCCATTAGTCGATTACAATAGAGAGTTGAATGAAGTAGTTCAGAGAAGACATGTATTGCATAGAGAAGTGTATCTTCAATTACTAAATATTTCAAATTGTGTATAACATTACTATTTCTAAGAAAAATGAATAATTAGATAGTTAAAAACCTGTATTTACAACTACAAATATAAACGATCATTATGTTTCTATAATTGGTGAATATTTACTAAAACTACAAAATACATGTTAATAATAGACTTAAATTAGCCTCTACAAATATTAAAGTGTATATAATAAGTACTTTAAATACTTATATACTTGTATAACCTCTCATATTTCTAAATATTCGATTCTCATTAGCATAAACCAAAGATTAACTTGTTCATTTTTTAATCAAACAAGCAGTGCCATCTCTTGAATAAAAATTGAATTAAATTTACAACAAATATAGTATCTAAGCTGTTCAATAGGATCGATATATCTTAGCATAAATTTCAAACAATAATTGCCAATTCATAATGACTATTTGTATCACGATTATTGTCGTATAAGACAAAGTCATGCATCCATCAGCCTATATAAGAATAAATAGATATAAAAAAAAATCTAAATATGTATACTAATGTAATTCGTAGAATTGATAGACTAGAATTATTGAAATGTACTGATTAAATCAATGTATTTCTCTACGATAAAACATAATATAGAACAGTGCCTTATCTAAGGATAAATTCTTTATTAATTATTGGAAAATCAGTAAATCTTTATAAAGAGATTATCAATAAATAGTATATTTTTTGCACTTGTCTTAATCAATGTAAAGACATTTTTAATTCTTATTTTGTGCAATTAGTTTTCTAATAAGATTTTTTTTTGTTTTAATTAAATAGGTCAAAAGAAATCTTTAATTTATAGTAACAATGAATAGACGGTGAACCAGAGGTGAAATATAGGGATGTAGTAAAGAGAGAATGGTATAAATTGCTATTTAGTCAGCGGATCGTAGCCACATATTTTCCCCTATATTGTAGGACTATTACAATTGGCCGTTAGATGTCACTGTCATAAATTGGTAGCAAAATATCAGCTTGTTCATTCATTCTCTATTCAGAAAGATGGCTTCGTATCATCGCCCCGATTCGGTAACTCTACAAACTTTGAAAGATATAGCAAATAAATTGCGTATTCATTCAATAACATCAACGACTGCTAGTAATTCTGGGTATGTAAAAAACAGTAGGAGCGACTTGGTTAACTATTCTTTAAATATTGTAGATTAAAAATTGTCTACGTTCTAAATATTTATTGGCAAATGTCTAAAGAACTTTTATTATATTGTCTGTTTAATTATAAAGGGGCTATAGAATATTTTCTGGCCTTGAATCTTTTAATAGTATTACTTATTCGTTATATCAAACAGAACTTTTTCAGGCCTTTCTAGGCTTAAAAAGGAAATTATTCTATATCATATAAAGTTCATTTAACTTCTATTCATTCTAGGCATCCAACATCATGCTGTTCTATTGCCGAAATTATGTCCGTTCTCTTCTTCCATGCAATGAAATATCGTGTGGACGATCCAAGACATCCGGCAAATGATAGATTCATTTTGTCAAAGGTAGGCTTCATTCGTTTGATATATATATATATATATTATAAATTAATTTGCTGATGAAGAGTAACCTTTTCCTTTTATAGGGTCATGCCGCACCTATTTTATACGCAGCATGGGCTGAGGCTGGACTCTTTCCAACTTCAGAACTTCTAAATCTAAGGAAAATCGATTCAGATTTGGAAGGTAACCAAAAACTAGGGCAAACATTATTTCAGAATTTTTACATTATGTTCTGCTTCTTCCAGGTCATCCCACCCCACGTTTAAGCTTTGTAGATGTAGCTACAGGTTCTCTAGGACAAGGGCTTTCTTGTGCTGCTGGCATGGCGTATACTGGAAAGTACTTTGATAGAGCAGAGTAAGTTATACAAGTATTGTAACAATACTATAACGCTTTATCATTAAATCGTTCATTTTCTATTTTTAGTTATATGGTTTACTGTGTTATTGGTGACGGCGAGAGTGCTGAGGGTTCAATTTGGGAAGCTCTTGCTTTTGCTAGTAATAATAAATTGAACAATTTGGTTGCTATATTTGACATCAATAGACTTGGACAAAGTGAAGCTACAGCATTTGGTCATGATGTTGAGTCTTATAAAAGAAAGCTGGAAGCATTTGGGTAAGTTACCCTCATTTAATGAATGCAAAGTAGGAAGAGATAAATAGCTGCTTTCAGCAATATAAAACTATAATATATGACGTATTATGAGGAAACATCTGTTCCTTTAGAAATGAATTAAACCTAATCAAAACCCCTATATATTAAATGTATGCAGGTGGAGAACACACGTGATCGACGGACACTGTATCAACTCTCTTTGTAAGGCCCTTTATGATGCTAAAAATACTTCCGACAAACCTACTTGTATTCTGGCCAAAACTCTAAAAGGCAAGGGTATTGTTGGTATTGAAGATCAAGAAAATTGGCATGGAAAGCCGCTCGGCAATAAGACTCAAGAATCAATTGATGCTATAAGTCTTTGCATAGCCAACCATGGACCACACGAGTTATCAGCACCAGTTCCCACCTGCCAGGTCTTGCCCAATAATATTACTAATATAACACTTTCGAGGCCTCCATCATATGATCTAGGACAGAAATTGGCACCTAGAGCAGCCTATGGAACAGCTTTAACGAAATTAGGCGAATCTTGCCCCCATGTTGTTGCTATGGATGGTGATACGAAAAATTCAACTTTCGCCATAAAATTCAAAGAAGCCTTTCCAGATAGGTTTATTGAATGCTTTATTGCAGAGCAAAATCTTACAGGTGTCGCTATGGGTTGTGCAACGAGAGATAGAACCGTTGCATTTGTTTCAACCTTTGCCGCTTTTCTTTCAAGAGCATATGATCAAATAAGAATGGGAGCCTTGTCAATGACAAATGTCAATTTCGTTGGTTCTCATGCTGGCATTTCCATCGGAGAGGATGGGCCATCTCAAATGGCCTTGGAGGATATAGCAATGTTTAGGGCTGTTTCTGGTTCAACTGTCTTTTATCCCAGTGATGCAGTCTCTACTGAAAGGGCAGTAGAATTAGCAGCAAATACTAAGGGAATCTGTTTTATAAGAACCAGTAGACCAGCATTCCCCGTGTTATACGGAAATGACGAACCATTTCAAGTGGGTAAAGCCAAAGTCGTTAGGCAATCTAATAAAGATCAAGTAACAATCGTCGCTTCCGGCGTTACTTTACAAGAAGCTTTTAAGGCTGCAGAGAAGGTAATTAAAAAAACCTAATGGTTTTGCCCATGTTATTCTACTACAACCATATTCTATTTTACAGCTTGCTTATAACGGTGTTCAGGTTCGAATTGTTGATCCTTTCACTATCAAACCAATTGATAAGCAAACATTGCTCGATTGCGCAAAATCAACCGGAGGAAAAGTTTTAACAGTTGAAGATCATTACCCTCAAGGTGGAATAGGGGAAGCAGTAGCTTCAGCACTAGCCGAAGAAAGAGATGTACTCGTTAAAGTTCTTGCTGTTACAGCTCTCCCAAGATCTGGTAAACCAGAAGAACTTCTTGATAAATATGGTATATCTTCAAGATGCATTGTAGATGGAGTATCTTCTCTATTAAAACTATAAATTAACCATAGATAGTAAAACACCTTAAATGGATTCTATACTTACATATTTTATGTTTTTTTTTTTAAATAATTTGCTGTTCACCTAAGTTTGGTGATGATGGGTGTAGGGGTGTTTCTCTTCAAAATTAAAAAAAAGATATTCCTGCTAATAAACTATTAATGGAGAAAGAGTCTTTTAATTATTATTACGAAAATAATAGGACAATATTGATTACTAATAGTTAAATATAAATTTCTCGTAAGCCTGGGAAAAGTTAAACTGTCTCGAACTTCCGTTGAGTGAAGAAAGGAAACCAGATGTCTCTGCTTGTCAAATACATTCTGTGCGAAACTATTATCTGTACACGTTGAGCAGACAACATGGCTTTAATTCGTGTAAATATCCTTCTTTTGTTTTTGTTATATAATAATTAAACGACCTAACCAATGACTTGATTAATTCAGGATCCTTGTTTGTATTGTATAAAAGCCATTATAATTCTTGATAATGATGGAAATCGTTTAATAGCCAAGGTTTGCCTCTTCAATAATTATTTGTTTATGATTAGTCAATTTAATAAAAAAAATTGATAAAACCCAGTACTTTGATGAGACGTTTCCAACAAATACTGAGCAAAGACAATGGGAGAAGAATTTATTCAATAAAACTCATAGAGAAAATGGTAAATCACTTATTGTTCTTTCGTATGAAACAAACTTCATTAATAGCAATCATCTCTCTTCAGCGGATGTAACGATATTAGACAATTTAACGATTGTATACAGGAGCAACGTAGATCTGTTTTTTTATGTCGTTGGAAATTCGTCGGAAAACGAAGTAATATAAAAATGATTTTCCATAAATACATATATATGTATATATTCTCTATATATTTTAGCTCATCTTAGCCAGTGTATTGTCAACGCTGTACGAGGCCATAAACCTAATGTTGAAAAAAGATGTTGAAAAGCGATCTTTGTTAGATAATATGGAAAATATTTTTCTAGCTTTGGACGAAATATGCGATCAAGGGTATTGTATTAGAAATTTTATGCTATAACGTTTTTATCAATAGTATATTTATGTTAAACAATTCTATATAGAATAATATTGGAAAGCGATCCTCATGCTATTGTTAGTAGATGTGCTGTTAGAGGTGACGATATTCCCTTAGGAGAGCAAACAGTGGCTCAGGTAAGAACAGTTTCAATATAAATATATATGTATATAGTTTTGTATTTTTGTACATATATATGCTTATAATATTTCTTTAGCAATTAACAAACAAACTAAAGGTTTGAATAATATTTCAAAATTAAAAGAATTTAGGAAAAGACATCAGAAAGACAGTTACAACAATAATACATATATATATATATACAGTTTATATGTATTATTGCATGTTTTATTTTTTAGTACTATATACAGTAATCAAACACTATTTCTATGTTTCTTAGAAGTCTTTTTTAATGTACTTTTTTTATTATTAAAAGCTTTTTAAAAAGTTAATGCTAACGGGTGGAAATGCATGATTTTCAGTTATATAGGATAAACTTGTACTTCTATTTTTATAAAATGACTTTATTTTCTTATAAACTCTCTAAAAAAAGTCTATTTTTGCTTCAATAAATTCATTTTAATAAGGTATATAATAGATATATAACTTTTAAATTTAATTATCTCTTTTCAACAGGTTCTGCAATCGGCGAAAGATCAATTCAAATGGTCTCTATTGAAAAATTGAAAAATAGACTTTCTTTTCTTTTTTTTTGCATCTTTTTCCTCCTTTCTGATAATCTGTTCGAATCATCAATTTTTCAACATTATGGCTGAATAATAAATAACATAACCATCAATTTAATTAATTATCCTTTAATTCTCTGTTAAAAGAGGAAAAAAGAAATAAATTTGCATTTAGTATGTACAATATCCTTATTATATATAATAACGATATTGGAAATGACATGAGCATGTTTAATACATTCACTGATATCAGTTATAGATTACTATTTATTTAATATTCTCTTTCACTTATATGAATTACAAATGATTCTTTTTTTAAGTCCTTTTAACTTGCTTTACTCCAGAAAGTGACGTCACTTAGATATAGTAAAAAAAAAAATCAATGAAGATATTTTATCTTATCAAGCTGTGTTAGTATGCCAAATAAAAAAACTGTTCAGTTCATTAACCGGGAAATAGTTAAAAGATATAATAATTAGGCGTATTGTTTGATTGGTTTAATTTTTGAAATATGAAAGGATTGATATAAAATATAAAAGAAAAATTTACTTTGATTAACTATTTTTATTAGACTGTAAATTAATTTTAATAAAACTAACTCTGATGTCATTAGTCCTTTTATTGCCCTTTTTGTGACCTTGATGAGAAATTTAATTAAACGTTTCTGGTAAAGTAATCAATGGTATTTCAGAACTTCCGCTCATGTATTTGCATGTGACTTGACTGACAGTTTAAATCGGGGATAAATATTTATATAATCTTATTTCAGCACTCCTTATTAAACTAACAATATTTGTTTAAACCGATAGAACTAGTTAAAGTATAATAATTTGGGTCAAGATTTTATTCAGTTTTTACACTATACAAAAACCTGACAAACTCTATAAAAATTTCAAAATTAAGGATTTTCATACAATTAAATTCGTCATTTTAAATATTAGTATAAATAATGTGATAGAAATCGATTTTTATTAGTGCTTTTGATAGGTTAAACTAAAAAAAAGTACCGCTCAATTAGTGTGGTTCCGGACTGTGTGATATATTTTCCGCAAATAAAATGAAGGGGATGACAAATGATGATGATAATTTCATTTAATTTTTTAAATAAAAATGTAAGTAAGTAAGCAAAAAAATATTAGTAATTTCTTATTAAAATTATTGTACTGAAAATACGTTGAAAACGCCCACAAAGACGTTTGGGAAGTAGCATTTGCGCATGCGCTATGTTCCACTACTTAAGTCCGTAGAAAAAAAGGGCAGTCTACCGAAAAAACTCCTTCTGAAGGTACGAATATGGCCAGTACTAAACCAGCTGGTGAGCCAGAAGTTCCAGCAGCTGATCATAGGGATAGTGGTGACGAATCGGAAGATGAAGGGGAGGTTCTTGAGGAGAGCCCATGCTGTAGGTGGCAGAAAAGAAAGGAAAGAGTGGAACAGCGTGACGTGCCCGGCATTGATTGTGCTTATTTATCTATGGATACAGAAGAGGGTAATTATATGTCTGTTAATATCGAAGTTACATGTAAAAACAACGTCTCGATTCCCAATTAACGACGAATATAACATAATTATTCATCTGTTCGATTACGAATCAGTTGGTATTAGTCAAATTGGGAAATTTTGATGACGTAAAAACTATTAAAAATGAATGAATTTCAAAAGAAACATGATTCTGCCAGCTGTCTGATCTTCTCTTAGCCTATACATACTTTTTATGTATAAAATTTTATTTAAAAAGCCACAGTATAAATGTATGTAAAATCCATATTACGTAACACTCTCGCTCAATCCCCCATTGGTTAGCTTAGACACCCAGACAGTCTACTTTCCATCAAACAAAAAAAACTGAAGTTCACTAAACTCATTGTGTTGCCTTTTCAAACAAAAAATATAGGCCGTACGAATCATTTTCCAAGAACAAATTGATTGTTATCTGTAATAAAGAATACTGTACACTGAGACTACGTATAAATTTTGTATTAACTACTTTGTTCTAAATCATCTTTTGAAGCTTTAAAAATAGTGTTAAGAATATCCCTTACACTTGTAGAAATAATTAGAAATAAAGAAAATAGCTGTTTAAACCTCTTATATAATATACTTTCAATATTATTAGCTTCTTTTTTTATACTTCTAAAAGTAATTACTGCAAAAAGCAGATTGTTCAGTTAGACATAGAAAAAAAAAGTATTGAAAAACACAAAAAAAAGATAGATTCAATACAAAAAACACCATTTATATAATGTATATTATATATATTATATGTATATAATATCTAGATTCATTAATTACTATTTATATTTTATCTTGATGGACAATGCCATTGGGAGTTAATTCTAAAAATAGTCTCGAAAAAAATCTTATTGTACTAGATTGTTTCGATTAATTCTATGCTGAAGAATAAGATAATTTAATCGGTGATAAAGATATTCTTTTATTCAGGTATGGAGGTTGTATGGAATGAAGTCTATATGCTACCTGACAAAGATTTGAAATCACATTTGGAGGAGGTAAAAAGAGTATTCGACACTTTAATTCACTTAGATCACGCCAACCTTGTTAAGTTTCATACTTATTGGATTGTATATGGAAATAATTCAAATGATAGAAAGAAAGTGGTATTCATAACTGAATATATGTCATCGGGATCTTTTAAACAATTCTTATATAAAGCTAAGAATAAGCCTAAGACATTGGATATAAAAAATAAAAATAAAACTCTAAAGGCGTGGAAGAGATGGTGCACCCAGATTTTGTCAGCTCTCTCTTACCTTCATTCTTGTGAGCCGGCTATAATCCACGGAAATTTAACTTGCGACACAATATTTATCCAACACAACGGCCTCATAAAGATAGGTTCAGTGGCGCCGGACGCCATCACCAAGAACGTGAAAACGACTAGGAGAGATATTAAGAAAAATATGCATTACTTTCCTGCAGAATGTGATCGAGCCGAAAATGTAACAACGGCAGTAGATATTTTCTCATTTGGAATTTGTGCCCTTGAAATGGCCGCCTTAGAATTACAGCCAAATTCAGAAAACGGTGTTGTAACAGATGAAGTCATTAGGAACGTTTTAAATAGTTTAGAAGATAAAGATCAGCGTGCCTTCATTAGTCTTTGTTTAGATGAAGATCCAGAAAAAAGACCGACAGCAAGGGAGTTATTGTTTAATAAGGTGCTTTTCGAGGTGCATTCTTTAAAGTTATTAGCGGCACATGCCGTTGTCAATTCGTCCAACGAGCAAAACATTCAAGAGGAAGTTTGGAAGAGAGATCCTAATTGTGTAATTGCTGAATGGCCCAACTTAACAAGCGGTTTAACTCAGCAATGGAAAGTTTCAGATTCTCCTGCTTTAGAATTAGACAAATTTTTGGAAGATGTTCAAAATGGTATTTATCCACTAACTGCTTTCACCGACAGTGTTGGAAATATAGCTCCAGCTAGAACAAGAGCCGTATCCCCTGAAATTCCCGAGTCAGTTAAATCTGAGTCACCTGAAATAGTCCAAGACAGAGAAACAAGAAGTTGCCAAATTGTTACATGTGACATTAAACCTATGGAAGTTATCAAAGAAACTCAATTGTTACCAGGTAGTGGAGATGAGGGTGAAAAGAAAAAATTTCAAGTTCATCTATTACTTAAAATGGAGGATAAAACGAATCGAGATTTACAAGGTGAAATCGGTGAGAATGAAACCCCTACTGTTCTTGTTAAAGAATTAGTGGATTTAGGTTTTGTCAGTTTGACTGATCATGATAAGATTTTAACAAGTTTAGAAGAAGCGTTGGATAAAGTTGATGCTCCGTTGATTGCTACTTGAGAAACCTAAATTTTTTTTATCTTATGCTTTTATGTATATTTTGTGTTGTATATTAAAAGCGTTTGCATATTGGACTTGTGTATTTTTTAAATGTTTACAATGCAAAAGGTGTTTGTTAAATTTTTCGCTTAAAATACTAAGGCGATTAATCTGCTTAAGGTGAATTCATTGCACACTGCCAAAGTGATATTCGACAATTATATATAAATAAAAGTGAACATATCTAATTAATTTTTTTTACAATATTACTGATATCGTCACTGCAAAGATATTATAAACTAAGAGAATCTTGTTCCTTATTCCCGATTCTTTTACGTGAAGTTTTTATTAACTATACAATATTTTGATATTAGATGTTGAATAATAATAAAGACTATACTAGTTGCTTTCGTCTGATAAACATGATTCATCGTACTTTTACAAAACAACACTCCTTTTTAACTTTTATTTAACCAGTGTCTGAAATCTAGGAATGATAAATAAATACTTGTTCGTAATATTATGTTACTTTCAATGTCTTTTGTGTTGGTTTCGATATTTTTTAATACTGGAAGAAGAGTGAGCTCCATGTCGCTTACCCCTGTTGCGATGATGACGATGATGACTTCTTGGTCGGTGATAAATTGATCCTGATGATCGAGAATTTGAACGACGTCTTCGATTATGCTTTTGTTGATCAATCTTTCGACGCTTAGGAGACTTTTGTCTTCCAGAATACGAGGAATTAGATCTGTTGAAATACAGAAAAACATTTTAATAAATACCTAAACGACTTAAAAGTATTTAAATACTTGTACCTGCTTCGGGATTCGTAAGACCGTTTACGCAATTTTCTATTATCCTCTGTATATTTCAATCTCTCTTTTTCACCATCCCTAAGTGAATAATTTTCAGTATTACTCTTATCAATGATGTGGTTGCCATTTTGGATTGGTATTTTATTCTTTTCAGTAGTAGCAGTAGATTTTATACCGACCGGCGGTGTGTTTTTATTTTCAGGTGTATCGGTCAACAATTTCGTTGCTTTAGCGTTTTTCTTAGCTTCGGCAATGGCACTTTTTATAACGTTTACTCTTTCTTCAAGAGTATCTACACTTAATCTGTTTAGAGCATATAATTTGAGGATAGTTAAAGAGATATCTTCAACTTCTGCGTCTGTTGCATTGAAAACTCTGTACCAAGGTGGTCTATTAGGAAGAGGAACTTGCATCTTTCGGCTGGCAAGGAAAATGCATGCGCAAGCAATACTTTCCGGTCTATATCGTACCCATAGGTTCGTCCTTAAGCTATCGTTCATGTAGTTCCTGTGAAAGAACGGCGTACATGCAAAATGTTCCTCTGCACATAATTAGGGTTTTAATTTATCGAGACCCTGTGCAGATCTGCGTTGATTGGAGTTAATTTTAAAACTGAGTCTCCATATTAAATTCCTTAATTCTTGTAGCACCGTGTTTAAGATATACTCAATATCAGTAACTTAAATCCATATATATATATATATTGGATCAAGATAAATTAGTAGAATACAGTTAGATAACATTATTTTTTCTTTAGTTGTAAGATTAAGAAAAAGAAATAGAGCAAGAAGAGGCCAAAGTTTTAGACTATAAATGCTTCTTAGATATATTCTGTTACGCATAAAAAAAATATCTTCTTTCTCGTAAATAGTATAAAATGAAAATTTAGAGGAGAAAACAGCTTTTCAAAGAGTAGATCTTATGGAGGCGTTACAAAAGAACATGTATCTGTATTCGATCAAACAATCGATGTGCTAATTTTTTGTCGCAAAACTATATATTATGTACAAGCGCCACGATATATGAAAAGTTATATACATTACCCCTGGTCATTGATCCGTCATAATCAATAGCTGGAATAGCACAGATTGGTTGGTTTTGCTATAAGACATAACAGATTACTGAAATTATTAAGCTATTAAAAACAATGGTGTAAGGCGTACAGGAACCACCTGTCACACCAGATAGCTGTTGAATCTTGACACCAAACTCATAACAGCAGCTGATTCGCACAATTTGTCGCCACAACTCTCCATGTTTAACTGGTTAAGGTAAAAGCCATAAAGTCAAAAGAGAACAGATATTTTTTTAAAAATGCTTTTAAAGAATATCTTACTGCCTCCCTCTGCGTTAAATTAATTAAGTACGATAAATTAAACAAAAATGATAAAGGAATTAGATTAAATCTAATTTTTTTCTCACAGCTATACTGTGTAGTATTAGTCAATAAATGGAAATCAACTTAAATGAAAAACTATATCTTTTCAAAAGAGTATCCATTTTCATTTAGCTTAAGTATAATATTAAAGATTAAACTAAACTAATCCCTAAGCTCTTTTTCTAGGACTAAGTATAAAAAAGAGACTTATCTATAGATACTTATACATTATATAAAGTTAATATAATGATCTAGAATAGATTTATGTAATGAAAACTTTCATTACGAAGCGATGGTGTAACTAGATAGGACGAGGAGGCAGCCGAAAATAGTGAACGAAAGACACAATGTAAATAGAGATATATAATATAAACGCACAGGACCTCTTGAATAAATTAATAGAGTAAATTAACTTACCATGCTAATTGGGCTAATGAACTATCACGTTCTGATGAATTTGTATTACTCTGGCGGAGTGCTTTAAGATATGCCATAATTATCTGGAAAATTGGGAAATTCTTATGAAAATTAAATTCACTTTGAATAAAATCGGAACTAATAATAATAGTAATTATATTAAGACGAGAAGAATTGAGTAGCTGAAAAAATAAATTAGTATTTCTCTTACACAAAATACTATCGAATTATCATCGTAGGATGGATTATTTAAGGTTTTCAATAATTGGGTATTAATACGCGGAAAACGATAAGTCGTTTGCTTTAGTACCTTATATTGAAAACCTTCTGAAACTCTTTCTTACCTTATGAGGATGTTGAACGTGAACACAAAACCCAAGCTCAATTAACAATCGTCTTTCTGTCTTTATAACCAAATTCTTTAAATGGACATAAGATTGATCAAGGATCATTGGTATTGGTGATCTATATTGATACAAAGTTATCGTAAATAAGTATTAGAGTTTTTAACTGTAAATTTTAAAAGTATACTTTTGCTTTCGAATCTGCTGTAAATGATGAAAAACATTGATTACATCTCGAATTTTCCGTGGATCTTCTTCAATTTTGGAGGCGAGATTTATACAAGCCATGGCCACAATCTATAAAGATATATAAAATATATTTATTTATTATTTAATAAATTAACTTATCTCTTTCTTTCATCCTACCTCAAAATTATGTTTTACAAATGATTTCGAATAGTAGAATCTTTGATAAAGTATTTGACCAGTAGCCATCGCCACCTATTAGATAAAGTTTTATTATTATACAACTAGCTTTTGAAGCGTAAATCTAATAAATACTTGGGGTAATTTTAAAAGAATTCCAGAAGTCTGAATCAATTCGCATCCCAAAACTCTTAGTTGAAGTTCGATTTCGTCGTCTAAACCATCGATACCGGAGGGTGTTGTTAATAATTTTTCCTCTGGTATTATAATATTTTCCAAAGAAATTTTAACTTCAGAAAAATTCCTTGTCGTCAACGGATTTGGTTGTTTATTTTCAACCATGTTGAAAAATTTTGACATATAAATGGCGTCTGTTTGCTGCAAGTCTATTATGTTATTACCCGATAAGATAAATCGAAACTAGTCGATCAAAATAGTACAATCGTTTGAAATTCAAATGTAATTTTGTGTTATTATTATCTAAGACATATGAGTTAAAAAAATTCTACCAACAATTACTACATAAAATTTTGGCTTTAGGATCAAATTTTTGCAATTATATTCCTTAACAAAAGAATATTTCAAGTTATAGCTTTTACTTAGCTGATCGATATAAAATCGGCTGCTAGATAGGCCTAACAAGCGCTATTTATGCTAAGTTTGTTATTATGTAATTTCGTGTAATAAGTGTTACTGTTCAATGTTACAATCAATATAAATAAACAAGATAATTTTTTAATTTTATAAAAAAACTATCAGACTTTGGAAGCTTCTAACAATATATTTTTATTCAGATGTTAAGCTTAGTTACTTTTCCAAGATCCATTAGTAAAATATAACTCTCTCTACCAGTTTCTTTCCAATAACAACCTCTTCCTTTGATATAAAGCTAGTTACTTACTACGTTAAAATTGAACTAGAGGAAACAATACATTGGAAAATACAGCTCATGAATGAAATTCAATCTGTAAAAATTCAATTTGAAAGAACTGTTGTCATGTTTAACAGAAGAAAATTATACTCTATTATCATTCTTATAGGAATAATATTTCTTTCGTTTACTGCACTTGTTAAATCTAGATCCATTGAACGTTTCAATTTTCCTAAAAATAATGAAAATGCTGAAAAAGTTAACTTTGATAAAAAAAATCGTTTGGTAGTAGATGACTTAAAACCGGTAGATCACATCGATGCCGTTCGAATGGAACAGGATGGAGACCTTAATAAAGATTTTAAAAAGGAGATATTCCTGGGTAATCATGAATCTATCGATAATTTAAGTGAAAAGGATAAAACGGAGAAGCTTACCGAGATATTCCATGCAGTCGATTTAGACAAAAATGGGCAACTATCGTTGATGGAAATGCAGGATTGGATATCGAAGAAAGTTGAAGAGCATTTCCTTGAAAATCATGAAGATAATGAAAGAGTTTTTAAATTTTTAGATTTAGATAACGATGGTTTTGTTCATTGGAAGGAATTTCACAAACAATTTTTAATGGCCAAAGGTCATAATGAAAAACAAGTTGACAAACATATTGAAGAGTATGATACACTATCAATTGACGATGAAGATAAGGATGCAATTGTAAATTACAAATTCCGTTGGACAGATGCCGACAGCGATCCTCAAGATAACAAACTAACATTAGAAGAGTTTAAAGAATTTCGGCATCCTGAAAGAAGCACTAAAATGATCCAGAGAATGGTTGATGAAATTTTAGATAACCTGGACTCTAATAAAGACGGAAGGGTCATAGAAGAAGAATTTGCGGCTGTACCTAAAGGAGATCATCATCCACAATTCGAAAAGGTTGACGAGGTAAATAAAATCACAGTGAATTCAATTTAAAATAGTCATTTCACTTATCTAATTTTGCTTTCTACATAAAAGACATGGCAAAAAGAAAGAAGAAAGGAATTTAACGATGTTATAGACATTAATCACGATGGTATAGTTGATAAAGATGAGCTTAGAGTAAGAAAACTATCTTTTTATCAAAACATGAAAACTAACAATTTTCTTTATATCTCTTTATAATTAGAAATACGTTGATCCTCGAAACAAACAACACGCCTTAATGGAAGCAAAAAATTTACTTCAGGTGGCAGATAATGACAACAATGGAGCAGTTAGCCTCGAAGAAGTAATTGAAAATATTGATCTGTTTTTTGGTAGTAAATTAGTAGATGCAAATTCTGCTCTACATGATGAATTTTAAATATTATTAGTTTAGAAATTGTAAATTTATATTTATATTATTTTCATTTGAAATTATAACGAAGTTGTTTCTACTTAAAATAAAAACAAAAAATTTCATTAAATCAAGAAAACTGAATAAATCAACTAAATATAATTGATGCTTCTTATTTGCTATTGATACTATCAGATTTTATTATCAAAGGCAAGTATTTGAATACATATTTTTATGAAATTAATAGACAATATAAGAGAGAGAGATAGAAATAAAATATTTTCATATTACCTAAAGAGGAAAACCTTTCATATTAAAAGTTTCGTATTAAATAGCTTTTTTCAAAAATAAGAATTAAAGAGTATTCAAATTCTTTTCTATTGTGGTAACTATTACTCTAAGAAATATCCTATTGTACTACTATATTCAAGAATATCTAGATTATTTTTAGCCTATAAATATACCTGTAAACTTTTGACAATAAAAAAATTATGCAACACTTTCATATATAAACACACAAATATATATATATAAAGATACTCAAAACAGCTTTTGCATTACTTTTTCACTCAGTAATCTATCGTAAAATCATAAAAATTTTAATCTAATTGATTATTTTTCTTAAGTCCACATCGTTTTTAATAAATGTAGTTTAGAAAAAGCGTTTTTTTTAATAATCTCATAAACTATTAATTACATTTGTAATACTATAGCCATAGATACTTGTTTTAGACTCAAATAGGAAAATTTTAACATTCTCCTTCTATACTGCCTTTTATTCGAAACAAATCAATGGGATAAATATAAATGTAGTATATGTGTAAATATATATATCTATATATATTAAAATATCTATATTGAGCAATGAATAATTAAGATTGGAGCTGTTTATAAGAAATAAATAATAGAATAAATATACTTCATTTATAAATATCCCTGACTGCTGTGGATTAGCTATAATTTATATATTATACTCTGAATAGAATTTTGTGGGTGGAATCGGACTGTTTCGCTTAAATTATTTCTTTCATTCAATGAATTTATTACCAGGTCTACTTTGCCCTTTGTCCTCTATACTGCAGGTAAAATGATTATTTGATAATATTAAACTGTTCTTTAACTATAGGATGGAAATTATTAGGCTAATCAATATTTTATTTTTTATTTATTATTTTATTATTGACTATCAAAGAATATTCTTGTATGACTCTTGTAAGAATTTTAAATATCTTCATTCGTTACTAATTCCTGTAAAAAAAAATACTACTGATAATAAGATAGCATATATACTCATTGATAACGTTTCAAAAAAGCTGCCAAGTAAGCATTTTTAATAAAAAGTTTTTTCTTTGGTACTCAATAATATAATTTCATAGGCAATATAACGTATATGAATCAATATTCTACCCCAACCCTTTCTTTTGCCTTCCAGCCGCCCACTTCTTTTCTTTTCACCTGTATAATATCTCATTAATCGATTTTTTCGTTTCAAATGAAAAATAAAGTAAACCCTTTTTTTACGTCCTACGTAAATTTAACAGTTCAATTCAATTATTAATATTTTTTACTATTACTTTCAAAATAGGACTATTCAAATATTAATCACATAATTATAAATTATCTATAACGGTATACAAGCCATATTGCTCTCTTGAACCGGTATAATAGAATTGTCTTATTTTTATAACAATTTCCAAATATGATATCAGCAAAAGACATAAAATGAAAATAAGAGAAGACAGAGAGAGAGTTTGTAAAATTTAACGTTTTTCTAATCGTTTGTTGTGTCTATGTTTTATTGACTGTTTGAGAAAAAAAATTAGGGCAGATATCGGTTAAAGAAGTAAGATTAAGTGTACTTGTCATTGATAGTTATTCTGATATTATACGATGTTAATAGCATGAGGGAAAACATTATAAATATATAAAAATAAGATTGGTTAAAACTCCTATATTAGAATATACTATACAATACTGTTTATACTGTATATATAGTTTGTCAATATTTTATATATGTAAGAAATTCTATAGAATTTCACGTCTAGTTAACAATAAAAATGTCTAGGGTTTTGTGTTTTCCTTCCTTATTGATCGTTATGCTTTTCAAGAAAAGTGGGAAAAGCAAGTATTAGATAAAATATCTCTGTAAACATTCTCGCATTTTATGTTGAATTATTCTTAGAAATCTTAACGAAAATGCCGCATGTAGCCTCGAAATTAATGATTTTGTTTCTCAAATTATAGTATGTTATGTTAGGTTAATTCATAATTAGAAAAACGGACGAATTAAGTACTGGATCAGATTCTTTTTAAGATTAATAAATTGAATAGAGCTCTAAATGAAGTAAAATGTCGTTAAAAATCGATTAGAACATTCTTGCTTTCAAGTTTTAAAAGTTTTTTTTTAAAGATGAACAACATCTGGTCTTAATATGTAGAATCTATTATATCAATTATAGTAAAAATATAAAAAAACAAAACATAAAAATCAAGCTTTAGAATGTTTTTATGGGTAATTATAATATTTTCTCTAAATAAAAGACTACTTTTTCTTATTATCAACAGCTAAAGGAGATTAATGATATCTAATTTTTAATCTAATTAGGTAAAAATTTTAGTAAAACTATGACAATTTATTCAAATTTATGCATTTCATTTCTCCATTCAACATTTTGTGTACGTAGCCAATCGACAGCTAGTTGACAGTTGTAAATCGTCGAATCAGAGAATTTTTTACAGAAGCGGAATTTTTAGTTTTGTTTCCGGTTTGTAATTGAGGCGAGAAATTTCGGGGAAATTTCTCTTTTTCCGCCCTATCCATCGGCTGATTACAAATCAATTATCGGTAGGCAGAATTTTTTATTTATGAACAGTAGTTGTATGATATTTTTTATCAAGTTGCGTTCTTACTTATCTCTGTAATTATATTTTTATTCATTTTCTCGATTTATCATTCGTAGTCGAGCGTAATTCAACAGCGTCACGTGTTGAAACGTCTATTACAAATGAACTATAGTAAAATAAACAGCGTCCCTGTTAGAGGACAGATCGCTCTGCCAGTTCGATAAAATTGGGGCGCCATCTGCATCACTAGTACCCATAGTTCCTAATTACGAACAGTAGATTTGTGGCTGAAGTCATATTCAAACTGTCAAGTAGTAGTAACTTTATAAGATTCTTTTTCCGATTGTCTATTTATTAGGATAACCCACTCAAATGCAGAAACACTGAGAGGATTTAGTAAGAAATATACATGACATAAAAGAATTGTCAGTTTTATGTTGGATTATTATAACATAAATTTTACACAAACAGTTAATTATTACTTAAACATTAAGTCAAATTTCGCAGAGAGCGAAATATGATACAGAGATAACATGAAACGAATAATTAGTGCATTTTGATGTCTGAAACAATGAGTGAAATATAAAGCTCAGATGAAGAGTGCGACAATAATAATTCCTACAGAAGTATATTATTTCCCCTTATGTTTTTGTAATAGATTTTGATGCCAAATATTCTTTTAGTTTTATAAATTTTTTCCCTAAAACTTTCGTAATTGTTACGGAACGAACTACCTGAGCAGGGAAAAAAATCCCAAGGTGTAAGATGAGAAAGAATAATCAATGGCAACCAAAAGTAGTTGGCATAAAGTAACATGTTGCGTTATAGACGTCAAAGGATAAAAGCCTACTTCGTCTTACTCTTATCCTTTCTTTATTTTTCTACAAAATTTTTTTCCTTAGTCAATCTTTTTTATATTTCTATTAAAATCAACAAAAAGTTGATTTATAGAATATATACGTAACCATTTTTTTATTTCATCATTTTAGACGAAAACTTAAAGAAACTTAGAATAAAAGAGAGTATATTAGAACTACCAAATTTAGGAGTCCAAATCAATTCTATATACCGTTTCTAACCTCACGTTTTTGAACTCAACAACGGCTAATTTGTGCGGAAAAAATCCGCGATTGTTTCCGTGGCTTCTTCTGCCCTTTGATCCTACATTCGGTCAATTTTTTTTATTATACTTTATCCTCTCACCGACCATTTATTTATTTATTTTATATTTTTTTTACTGACTATCCCCGTTTAATAGATTTTCTCGTTTTTAACGAAACTGTCCTTCAACTGTTAATTAAAAATATTAAGAGTTTTATTCAATTATGCTAAAATAACTATGGTATATAATAAAATTTAATATTATTATTATTATTATTTAGGCGTGCAATAAGTAGTCGTATATAGACTATATATAGTATGAAGTTTGACCTTCATGTGTGCCTATTGCCAATAGAGGACGAGTTTCAAATTGTTCACACGACTGAATTCTCTAATTAGCTCACCATTTGTTTTATAATAACTATTATTATTTAAAGGTATTGGTGTTAAGTGTCTATGTAAAAAAAAAAAAGAGTAGGGGAAGAGAAGGAACCAAGGACGCATCGAGAAACGATTGACGCGCATAGAACATTCCATTTGATTATATTAACAAAACTAATTTTCGGCTTATAGATTGTGTGTGGGTTTTTCTTTTTGTTTTATTCTATTTATTATAATAGTAGTAATAGTAACAAATAGTATTTGACTTAAATAATATGATAAATTGATTTTTTTCTTTTCTCTTTTTTCTCTACAAGTTAAATCTATTGCAAGAATGATGTAATAATATTAATATAATTACAAGACTCTTAATTTAACTTAAAGAATAAAACTTGTTCTTATTAACTTAAAGTCCTTTTTAGTTGAATTATATATAGAATATCTTTTTATTATTTATCAATTAACTTCATTTCTTATATGTAAATATATATATATATATATATATATATTTAAGATATATTATTTTCATATTCACGAAGATACAGTGTTTATAGGATCATGGTGTTTATAATTATTTTAAAGAATATATATATATATATATATATATATTTATATTTCCTCTTTAAGTAATGAAAAGTATTTAGACTCGTTTTTTTATTATTTCTTGAATAATCTGAATAGATAATAAGGTTTGATAATAAAAATAACTAGGATTAATTCCAGCAAAATCTATTGATTACCAGCATTCCAGTCATTAGTAATTTAAAATAAATTCACCCAATCGGTTTAAAATGCTTCTGATGTCCTTAATAACAGTTAGTAATACAATTATGTGTACTACATGATATAACAATTGTTTTTTAAGTGTATATATATATATTAGATGTATATTTGGACTATAAACAGCAAATATAAATCTCTTTTTCTCATATACTATACATTAATTATTGAGTTTTATATACGCTATATAGATAACATATTGGACATAAAAAAAAGTATATTATACTTATGGAACTACTCTATGCGCCCTCTTACAGCTAGATATTTTAGTAAGAAATATTTAAAAAAAATCCTCTTAGCAGACGGATTATTTTTTATTCTGTTCATCACGTGACTATTTAAGGGGTAGAATTGTTAAAGAATTCTTGTAATATGTTTCATTAATTTTATTATAGATTAACTGGTTTTTTTCAATATAATTCCAAGATAAAAGTATTTAAATAAGTTTGTTAACTTGAAACATACATTTATTATTAAATAATATGTATAAAAAAAGATTTATTTAGTGGCCTTTTACTAAATTTAATTGCAGCTATATAATAATGGCGTTATGGGAAAGTGTGTCGAAATTACCGAAAGAACTGGCCGATAAAGTAATAATTACTAATTTTTTCTAATGTAGTAATTTATATAAATACAGAATAGATATTTTTGATAAATTTCGCTTTGAAAACATTGATAAAATTCAATTTTTTCAAATAAGAATGAATATATAATGAATATTGACAGAAATTTTTCAAATTCTCTCTATCTTTACTTTCTACTAGATTCAACAGCTTTATGGGACACCTTTTCCAGTAGAAGTTCGTCATTTCCTTGCCGAATGGATCGAGGCTCAACGTTGGTAAGTTTTTTTATGTCGACGCAGCGTCTATCGTCAACGCGCCCCCTGTTAGTAATAATTTATCGCCGCGAAAAAGACGGCCTTTTATACACGTTTCCCGCGTGTGGCTGTTCACTTTAGTTTTAAGGTCGGTAAGAGATGATGTAGAAGTTTCTCTTTGTCGGATCAATCTTTTCCTCTCCTTTTTTCTTACTATCTTTCAATCATCATCCTCTTAGAAGAGGGATGATGAGGTCCTTCAAAAGGGATATGAGAGAAGTTAATCCGTACGAAAAACAAGAAATGCTTGTCAGAAACAATTACGCCTATTACAACAGATTGCAGTATCCTTACAATGCTTATCACAATCAGCATTATACAACAAGCGATAGAAGGTTGTAAGTAATTTTTTACTTGTATTTGTTATTGTTCTCTATCTAAGACAATCAATTTGTAGGAAAAAAGGGGAGTTAAGGATCGATTAGTATAGAAAATAAAAAGATACAGTAATATGCTACAATATCTAGTAATGGTTAACAATGCGATTTCATTCGTAGAGGGCTGTGTTGTTTTCCTATCCCGTTTTTCAAATGCATAATATATATATATATACAGACCCATATACAGATATATACATGGAGATAGAGATAGAGACAAAGACAGAGACAGAGACAGAGAGAGAGAGAGAAAAAGTATGCAGTAACAATGTATATCATATCTGTGTATTTTATTATTCATTTTCATTTGAACTGTAGAATGTGAATAAGTGCTTATATTTATATGTTTACTCATGAGAAGATATAGGAATGTATACAATATATAAATTATATATATTTATGTATTTATAAATATATGCAGATATATATATATATATAGTATATCTGGATATACATTCTGCATATGTTTATAGACAAAACGGTATACACCCCATCTTTCCTTTCTTTTGCAACCAAAACTTACCGGATACGGGAGTCGAATGGTTAAGGATTCAATTATGATATCGTATGCTTGTTTACAGGTTTTCGGTAGGCGAAAATAACCCTGCTTCTGCTAATGATTTAAGAGATAATTTATGCGCTCAACTGATGACCAAGGTACGAATTTACTATCTTTTCTACTTTTCAATTGATATTAAAGAATGTATAGCTTTAGTTTCATCTTATTATATTTAAGGTGTTTTTAATTTCTTTTCGGAATTTTTATCTTCTTTCTTTCATGTTCAGCTTTTTTCTTTGCTTCTATCTATCTCACTTTCTTGTTCTTATGAAAATATCAATTTTATATTCCTTGTAATTCTTCTTTCAACTCCTTCTCTGGTGTCTGTTAAGTTCGATAATATTAATTCAACTACCGTGCGATCAAACGCGGTTCCGGATGTTGTAAAGAGGAGACGCCAATGTTGTAAAAGGAAGCCGTAGAAGAAAAGGGGCGGAGGCAAATCAGTAGAATTTTGTTTCACGTTTCAGGATATCATTAACTCTTGGTGGCTCATTAGATTGGTAGGCCTGTGAAAAGAGAGATGAGACCCAACACCCTTTCGATGACTGTGAATCGATAAAAGGCCATGCTTTTTCTTCCTTTTCCTTTCTTTGTCTCTCTGCCTTTTCACACCACTACTAAAAAAAATGCTTTTTATGATGCATAATTTATTATTAATTTTTTTCTTTATATATTCTCTTTTTCAATGGATTTTTTATGGATCTATTCTAGAAAAAAATCAATTTATATTTTTCTAGTCGTATTCATTCCATGAACATTGTTTCTAGGCTGAAGAACAAGAACGCTCAGAAAATATAATAAACCGTTTTCGTCTGAGGGAGTGCGCTGAATCGATTCAAAATCATTTTAGTGGTGATCAAGGAGCAATGAAGTTAGTTCAAACTGTCCGTCATTGCCTCAATGCAGAGAGAGAGATTTTGAGTCAAGTAGAAAATTCAGCCCAACCTTATTACCAGCAGCAAATGTTTCATCAGTCTGGTCCTGTCGACTTGAATCAAATTTTGTCAGATATTGCCCAAGAGAAGATTAAATGCGAAAACGCTTTGCGACTTTTACAGCAAAAACAAGAACATTTCATAATTAAATATCAGGATAACGCTCAAACTGAACAGCAAATTAATTCTGGCAAGTGTTCCCGAGAAGTGCTTGGTAAGCTGCAAGAGAAGAAGCGTTTGCTGCAGAATGAATTGACGACACTGGCCCAACAGTTATTGAATGAGAGACTAGCCCTTGCGGATCTGCTGCAAAATGCTATTAATGGTATGATGGAGGCACAGAAAATCATTTTGGAGGAGAGGCTTATAGAGTGGAAAAGGGCTCAGCAATTGCACGGTAATGGTTATCCAGACTTTCAAGTTGGACACCTGGACGTTCTACAAAAATGGTGTGAAGATTTAGCTGTTTTAACTTGGTCTATTCGTCAACAACTGAAGAGGCTACAGTTGCTCAGACAGCAGTTGCCGATCGCTTTACCAACTGGAAAATCAGATATAGTTCCAGGATTATTAGATCAGGTATGTAGTAAAATATAAGCTGTAATAATAATGCGAGAGAAATAATTTACTAAATAACACACCTCTAGGCCACTCAACTCTTATCTCAGCTAATTACGAGCACCTTCGTTATCGAAAGTCAACCACCACAAGTTTTAAAGAAAGATGCTAGGTTTTCAGCCAAAGTTCGTTTATTGGTCGGAGCTAAACTTTCAGTTCACCTTAACCCACCAACTGTAAAAGCCACTATTATTAGTGAAGAACAAGCTAGAGTGTTACTTAGAACTGTTGTTGGTCAAGATCAACGAGCCTCTCATATGTCCGAATCCTGCGGTGATATTTTGAATAATTCTTCCACTATGGAGGTTCAGAATAATGGACAACAGCAAGTTCTGGTTGTTACGTTTAGGAATATGGCTTTGAAGAGAATAAAAAGAGCTGAAAAGAAGGGTAACGAAACGGTTACTGAGGAGAAGTTTTCAATTCTCTTTCAAAGTTCATTTACGGTTGGCGAAGGTGAACTAGTTTTCCAAGTGTGGACTCTCTCCCTACCAGTGGTTGTTATTGTTCATGGCAATCAAGAACCGAGCGCCACAGCAACAGTTTTATGGGATAATGCATTTGCTCAACCAGCCAGACCCCCATTTGCCGTTCCCGATGAAGTTTTGTGGCCTGATCTTAGTAGAGCATTAAACATGAAATTTACAGCTGCTGCTGGAGCCAGTCTAAATAAGCAGCATATGGATTATCTAGCTTCCAAGTTATTCGGAGTGCAAGAGGAATACTCTAATTGCTTAGTCAAGTGGAGCGCCTTCAATAAGGAACCACTCTCTCCACGTAACTTTACATTTTGGGAATGGTTTTATAATTTGTTGAAATTAGTTAAGGAATGGTTGCATGACTTATGGAAAGATGGTTTAATTCATGGTTTTGTAAGTAAGCAACAAGCCAGTAATTGCCTGTTGAATTCCGGTAAACCTGGAACTTTCATGCTAAGATTCTCTGATAGTGAATTGGGTGGTTTGACCATTTCATTTCTTGGATCAAGACAGAATGGAGCAAGTGATCACGTTGAAGTTTTAGCCCTGCAGCCGTATAGTGATAAGGATTTTAGAATCAGAGGTTTGGCTGATAGGGTCAAGGATATACCTAGCCTTCTTTGGCTATATCCTGATAGAAAGAAGGAAGAAGCTTTCTTGAAGCATTGGGGTCCTGATCCATCTAACGCTCCATCGCTTGACGACGGGTGAGAACATATAATCGATTTCTCTGCTTATGCACACCTAATGCACACACAATAATAATTATACCAGAATGTGTAAAACATAATATTTTTTCTTCCAATAGCTATGTCCCCACAATCCTTGTGTCCGTAGTGCCTGGTATACGAACACCTGAACAAGAAAGACAGCAAGATGCTGTTCAACAAACTACTCAGAACAGTACATTTACTCCGATTCAAAATGCTGAAGGATCTATATCGCCACAAGAGTAATTATAAATAAATGACTTTCTTTTACTCTTATTAATATTTTTCTTGTTTCTTCTTTTCATCTTTACATCACTAGCTTGGCATTTTTGGAGAGTCTTGATCATTTTGGCGAAATTAATGATCTAAATACAATGATGGATTACAATCCTTGCGATATAATAAATGCTAATCAATTCCTCTATGGACCGGAAGAGTCCGAAGGGGATCCTGATCATAGAGAAGTCGAAAGAATGGCTTGATATGTTTTTTTTCTTGCTTTTTTTTGTGCTTATATAAATGACATTGTTATGCCCGCTAACGACGGTAATTTGTATACCTTACCTCTTGACGTTTCGACATATCTCTCTTTCTGTTTTTTTTCCCTAAAAATTTTCAAACTAAAAATGTAATATAAATCTTTTTTTCCCTTGTTTTTTTTCCTTTTTGTAAAATTGTAACGAACATTTTTTTTTGTTGTGGAACTTGCCATACTGGGTTATTGCGCCATATTTACTCAACTCTACTCGCATCTTTTACGATGTACTGTGCATTCAATAAAAAAGGAAAATAAAAGAATAATTAATCAAAAAGAGGTATGTACCACGTCAATGATTGTACAGCTGCAAAAACTTTCGGTTTATCTTGTAGAATAATCTATATAGGCACATTGTCTTCTATCCATATAAGAATTTATTACAGAATGTACTAAACTTTGTACATGAATACACTTTGAATATGTAAAATTTGTATATTTTTTGTTTTTTTTTACATCTATTTGAAACTTATATAATATATATAAAGTATATTATATATGTATAATTACTGTATATAGATTTCTGGTATCAAAATTAAAACCAAAGCCCCGATGATTCGGATGTGCAAAATATTACAAGAATTTTTCAACTGTTTTGATCCAGTGTCACATAACTTAACATGCTGTTTGTTTCATTTTTACATGTTAGTATACAATCACATTTATTTTTAAATGTGAAAATTAAAAAAACGTTATAGAACAAAGCAAGAACCTGACATTTTTCTCTGTTGCTCATCTATAATATGATGGGAGAAAAGGATAGTTAAAAGCTCTACTAATTATTCAAAGGTCCATATGAGAGAGAAATGAGATACAACAGAGGAGGAGAATAACAGTGGGTGAAAAAAGAAAAGGTTTTTATTTAGAAAGGTAGTGGACAGGTTGATTATTTTAATCATGCTACATTTTAGACAACTAGAATTCTTACAAACTTATATGCTATATGTGCTATATATTCTGTACAAATAGCATATAGCATATACACTGTAAATCTTCGCCAAGGCACTTGTGAAAAAATATTTTCTTTAATAAAAACATTAAAAACACAGAAAGGAAAAGAAAGAAGAAATATATTGCTTTGAGTAGGCAAATGGAAAGGTAAACTTGCTCTGTTCTTACACGGAAATGGGAAAGATGTCTTGAAAGATCCTCTGATAATGATTCTTTACATCAATTCTCTTATTTAACATTAAAAATACATATAATTTAATAACCTATTAGACTTAATGAACAGAACAAGATTTTCCATTTCATCTAATGTTATTTATAGGTATAAAATATTGTATACAAATTTTTTATATAATGTTCGACTGTTGGACGTCTGAAGAAAAGAAATCAGAATTGTCTTCCCCATACAGCTTCTTCCACCAAGGTAATTTTAGTTTGGTTAAATAATTGACATGTTCGACTTTAGCTTTGGTAGCTACTGCAACAGAGTTTGACCTATAAGTTTCGATATCCTTGTCAGTTGCATTCTCTAACTTTGGAGCGTCTACAATACAAACATAGTAATAAAAATTCGACTGGATAAATATTTAGTAAAATCAAAAGCTAGAATCAAGCTAATTTTCTTTACCGAATAATAATTGAGAGTCTAATTGTAATCTCGCCAATATGGCTTTTCGTCTTTGTTCTGACTTCCTTATATTCTTCGATTCAAAGGCATGTTGACGTAGTAAGTTCTGAACAGAATTGTGAAAGTCGTTTCTATCTTCCATCTTCGTTTTAGGCTGAAAAAAAGAAGAAAAGGTAAATGATGAATATAATTCATTCGTATTTCTAGTTTTATATTTCCTTATGCGCTCAGCTTCTTTGAGAATATGCAAAAGCAGCATTATTAATAATGCAGTATTTCCTTAGGCCTTCACATTAAAGCTTTTTGCAGTTGCTCATGCGTGTGCTTTAGCAGTTAAACAAAAAAGGGACACGATCGTGTTGCTTATCATAGAAAAGAATAATTCTTAGGTTGTATCATTTGTTTAATTGGTACAATGCGGTTACATTCAACTCAACCATTATTGTTTGACTATTTTAGAATAAATTTATCAATTACGTACTGGATGTAGGTGCTTATAGAGTTGAATTTTTTCATTCAATTCCACTCTTCTCTGATCATCTAAACCTGGAGGCCTTTGCCAAGCCGGGGGTTCATTTCTCCTAGCTAGAACCTTTTTTAGCCATTTCCTTATACTTCTTTGTAGTACAACAACAGCTCTTAAAGTCTTTATTTGTTCTTTTTGGTTATTAAATCTTCTTCGACTTAGTTTAGATCTATAACAAGCTTGAATTTTTATGGCCGCCTTATTTCTTTCACTTTCTAAATGCTCTTCGATCTTGGCTAAAAAGGAAAAATATTTCGATAGAATCACCATCAAAATAGGATTGATTTATGAGATTATATTAAGAAGAAAACAATTACTTACAAGCAGGTACGGATTCTAGAGTGAGGTAAACTTTTTCGTGAAATTTTTTCATAGTCTGTTTCCTATTGATTAATAACTGATGCTGTAATTCTTTCTGTAATCTGCCTTTTTCTTTAGTTTGTTCCTTTTCAACTCTCTTTGCCCTGTTTTGAAAGCATTGAAAAATTAAAAATGACATATTAATTACCGTATCAATTTACCTGAAACTACGTTGAAATCGAGCTATACTTTCGTTTCTCTTTTTTATAGCTTCCCTAGTTTTGTGGGCTTTCCATAAGGCCTGTATTTTAGCAGCTGCCCTATTTCTTCTCTGTTTTATGTTAATAATAGTTTCTTTATATTAACAATAAAATCTTAAAAAAGAACTTTTGAAAGAAGTACATAATATGAAGAAAAAATCCAAAAAAAAACAAACTCTTTAAAAGGTTATTTTTATAGGGAATACTTGAAAATGAAAACACATTTACCTCATTAGCCACTTCTTCTAAACTACCCGCTTCCAATAATAAAATCAATCTATCCAAATCCAAATCGAAACCTTTTTTATGCCATCGGTTTAGTAAAGGTTTTAAGCCCCTTTTAAAAATTAGATAAATTAATTGTAAAGAAACGAAATTCGTCGCAACAGAGAATATAATAAGAATGAGAAAAAAGAATCAGTAAAAAAGAAAGTTAAAGATTAGGAAAAGGAAAGAAATGAAAATTATATTGTTCTAGAAAAAAAAAAGAGAAAGGCCTCTAATGTTAGGTAAAGAATCTATAAAATATAGTCTACAATTCCACACAATTAAGCTAACAATCTTGAACAAGACCTAACTAATTAATTGTATTTAAACTCTACGCCACGTGATATTCTACCTATTCTACAGTGTAGGGCAAAGAAGCGCTCATTTTCCCGTTAATTAAACATGATACAAATTTCCTCCCAATTAATCTCAAAAACGTATCACAAAATTAAAGGCAACAACATTGTACTCGTTAAAAAAAGTTATCCACAAGAAATAAATCTTTAAATCAAAGTAAAAGACCCTCTTTTCCTTGTTAATTTTTTTACCTGCTAAACTCGTTCGTCCCTAGCCTAAATTAAGCTTATTTTTATTTAAAAAAGATATATCTAATGTCCAAAAATATATTACAACATCTTAGATACAAATAGAATAAATGAATGCGTGTTTTATATAATTTTCTCGAATGTATATATAGAAAAAAAAAACAAAAAAAAATTCTCTTTTCTTTTACCCTTAAAAATATTTGTATATCTAGTCTTCAGGAAATATATATAACGTATACTGAATACTTACTTGTAACGTGTACACAGATGATGGACAATAGATGGGTTAAAGTCGCAAGCTAATAGGACAGTTTTGATTGATGCCCTATAATTTAAAAAAACACAATATATATGACGTAATAGAGATGAATTGAAATAATATTTTTTTTTACAAACCAAGCAATTTCGGGTTTGTCAGAAGAAGTTATTTTAAAAATAAGCTCATCTAGAAGAGTGAATACAGTACTGTCACCGATCTCTTCCATTATTCCTCTGAATAGGGAAACATACACAAAAAAATTACAATTATCTTTTGTTCGATTTTCTTTTAATAGTAACTAACGATGATTTTCTGCAAATATTTTGAAAAAAGGTTGTTATTATATTGACAATATTCGCATCCTCTGTCATGAGAATTTCTAGAAACTCCTCTGATTTCAATACTAAAATAGAATTTCACTGATTTATATTAAACACGCTAATTAATTTATTTGTTTGCTTACCATTATAGCATAGAAAATTATGGCCACTGCAAAGTAAATCTAAAGATTCCAGAGAAGTCTTTAAGCATTCAGTTATGTCCTTTACTACTTCTTTTTTATAGATCAAAGTCTTCTGTAGCTTTAAATGAACTTTTTTACTCAAAGTCAGTACACATTTCACACATTCAGGTAGAAAAACCGTGTGATATTCATTGCAATCTCGCATATGCAATCCTGAGCAAGCATTGCTGTAAAAATCATCCAATTAGTTGTATTTGAAGTATCATTTAATCCCTGATAAACTCTCTCCTTATCAACGTTCATTTACAAAAATATTAATGAAAATTTATATACGTCTATCAAACCTAGCAAAGTTTTTTTATTATATCTTTATGATAAATAAGTAGAGGTAAAAGTTGTATTATGAAAACTAACCATAGAATTCGAACCAATCTGGATGTTAATGTCCAAGCATTTCTAAATTTCGTAACATCTTGTTCCAATACCGATACAGTTAAATGTAATAATTCTAGTGTCCATAAATCTTTTCGAATTTCTAAGCCTTGCTTGCTTCCAGATGAAACGGATGATAATATATCTATTATTTAAAATTTTGATATTATCGCTCATTTTTTTTCTTTATAAATAACTTAAGATTACCTTCTACTTTCAATAATAACTCAGGTATACGATAGTCAGGGTTTTTATCGATTTCCTGAGCTAGATTGAGGACTCGTTTATCTCGAAAGCTTTGAAGCATTTTCCCTTCCGAATCAAAGATTTGGAATTATTTGAAAAAAACGAGTTGATGCACGTTCCAATTCCAAAACAAAACATGCAATCGATAAAGGGCGGTAATTTCAAATTATTACCCTGACATTTCGAACAGTAAATAAATAGGTCATTCAGTTATTTCTATTTAGTTCTTAAATTAAATTGTAAAGGTTCTGTTCTAGAGAAAATAACTATAAAGAGACATTGCACATTTCCTTTAATATCCTCCATATAAAAATAGATTATAGCACTTTTTTTTAATGTTATCAATTAAATAACTTTTTGATTATCATATAATTTATCTTTCTTGATATATAAGCACTTTAATCGTCACTAATTTTGTCGTCATATATAAAATATATATATTTAAAGTAATAACACAAAATTCTAATGTTTTTGACCGCCAGATGGTGTACTTTTAATGCCACGTTTTTTTCAATTACCTTATAGTCCACAATCTTGATACACATACTCTTTTGCTTCCGTAAACTGAGTTCAACGTATAATATTTTATAATTATTCCATCTGCTTATAAAAATCGAGCCTCAGTGAGTTTTAAATCATATTGTCTAGAAACGACCTCAATAATATACAAAGTTTGTACATACAAATTATATTTGTTACAAAACCACAACCAATTTCCAGTATTCGAGCAAATCCTTCAATTCGAACTTCGATTAAAAAGCTGTTCTTAAAAATTTACATTTGAAACCGTTCGTTGATTAAATGACCAGCCGAAGGCGTACTCAAACCCCTGCCTCTCAAAATAAAGAGAACTGGCCCTATCAAACACCTAATTACGGTCAAGAAACTGGCAAAGGAGAATTTTCCAGCGGCAAATTTGGTCACAATGCTAATGAAACAGATAGTTTTCGAGATAGAACAAGAGAATTTCAGTCAGTTGCTAGATCTATTTTCTCAAGAAAAGTTGGTTATTCTTATAAAGAGCAGATAATAAGATCAGAATTACAATACTCTTTGTTTATTTACAGTTTAATGGGCATGTTCAACCTCTACAATCTGCAAATAATTTGCTTCAAAGAAGCCAATTCATGATGGCTGCTAGGTAGAAAAAAATTTCATTTATTGTATGTTCATTTAAATAAGAATTACGATGTATTCTTTAGTAAAATAGGAGGAAATTTAGCATATTCAACTGATAAACTAGAGAAATTAACTTTCCGTACGTGCAAATTATAATAATTTTAAGTACGTAATTAATTATAATAACTTTTCAGTGGTAAATAATGAATCATTGTACGAAGATTATAGTGAAGAAATACGGAAACTTACATCAATTATCCAAAAAGATATAACACAGTTAAATAGCGAAATAGAATATTTACAAAGAGTTTGTTTAAACCATTGATAGAAGAATTTATATTTTGTTTCTTGTATTATTTTATTACAATAGATATCTGCAGAATCACGACAAGGAGGTAAGCATAAACAGATGCATACCAGTACAATTGTTATTATATTACAAGTAAGCTTTAGCACTGTAATTGATAAAAAAAGAAGAAATACCAACTGTAACATTATTCTTACAGTCGCGTCTTGCAAGAATGTCAGGAGAATTAAAAAATATTCTCAAAATAAGAACGGAAGTAAGAAAAATCTTACCCTTTTCAATGCACAATATTAATAAGCTTTGTCTTCCTAATAGAAAATAAAAGAAAGACAAGCAAAAGAGCAGCATTCTAATCGTTCTATAGATTCTAATCCATCACGTAATTCTGTTCAGGATAAAAGTAATAAACAAATTTTCTATCTATAGATAAACAGTGCATAGTAACCGAAACAATTTTTCTTTATAAAGAAAGCGCGTATGTTATGAGAGATGAAGCAGTTTCTGACAATGGCCAAGTTAACATAGATATGGGAAATTCGCCGTCTCTATCTCCTTATAATAACACCATGGAACAACAAGCCCAAGCCTATATGAGAGCCAACCAGGAAAGATCCGACGATATGGTCAAGGTTGAACAAGCAATTGTTGATATTGGTGGTATATATGAAAGATTAGCTCTAATGATTCACGAGCAAGAAGAAATGGTTCAAAGGTTGTAATCATAAGAAAGCTAACACTTAAATTATTATTAATAAATATATATATATATAAATATATCTTAACAGAATAGATACATATACTGATACAACGCAAATGAATGTGGAAGCTGCTCATACAGAAATTGTAAAGTATCTCAAAACAGTTACAAACAATAGATGGTTAATGATAAAGATATTCGGATTTTTAATATTTTTCTTTATCATATTTATTAAATTTGTGGTCTAAATATAAATTTGAATATTGTCTGTTTATTCTTGATTAGGAATTTTTTTTTGCTTTGAAAATGATCTAAACTCATTTTCTAAATTATTAATATGAAATTACCTTTGTTGGTTTTAAATAAAAATAACTGAATTTTATTTATCAGTCTAATTAAAATATAATAAATATCTTTAAAAACAAAAAAAAATAGATTCTGGAAGGAAAGAAGCAAAAGTTAGTTTGTTTTTTCTCTTTGTTTACATTTATAAACAATTAAGTGATTAATAAAGTTGTTTAAATACTAATTAATATTTTTATAGTATTGAATTTTGTCTTGTAAAAGAGAATTTGACAAAAAATTTCCCTAGAAAGATTAGATAAATGATTTCCTTGAGATAACCTTAATCTTCGCCCATACCGTCAAAGTAAATCTTAAAACGCTCTGACCTAGGCGCTCTGTTGACTACGAGACGGCCGTCGTAACTTAATGATGCAAAAACCCAAGAGTCGGCGGAAGACCATTCTGCAGCATATACGCTTTCTTCGTGCTCGTCATATATTTTAACTATTCCGTCTTGTTGAGGAACTCTTTTATTTTCTTCATCATTTATACTTTTATCATTTGTATTATCGTCATTTATGTTGTCTTCCTCTAGCAAGGCTCCATAGGTTTCACTAGATATTGATACAGTACTTGATAATATAACTCTACTATCGGATGAAGAAGTTAGAACTAATTGGTCATGAAAATGATTAAATCGAACTGACCATACCCAATGAGAATGGTCTGAGAGAACTTTAACCTCTTCCTTAGTGTTTCGAACGTCCCAAAATTTAACTTTACAATCGTCACCACAGGAGGCCAGGTAGTATTGTCTATTTGGATTGTAATCTAAGTCTCTAATGAGCTGGGAATGAGCATTTTCTATAGTATATACAGATTTTTTCGTTCGTAGATCCCACCCCCTTAAAGTAGTATCATTTGCAGTGCATATTTGAACGCAGTTGTGGTGAGGACCCCACTTTCCGCACGTTAAACTCTTCTGCCCCTTAACCTCCAAACTAAAAGAATTTTTTATTTTGCACTCATCCGATCCGACATCCCATTGTAAAATATGATTATCAACCAATGTTATTACTTCATGGTCCTCCGTGCTGGGATGAAAAATGACTTGATTAACATCACCATAATCCAATGTTCCAAAATCAATTAACTTTGTTAATTCTTTGGCGTGATGATTGTCCTGGGATGAATGTTTGTCTGATTCAGGAATTTTCCACAAGGTAGATGTAACCTCACGCTTACTTTCAACAGTTTTGCTGTAAATCGTCGAAAAAATAGTTTTATCCCACGGACAAGCTGCTATATGCCAAATTTCGCCCACATTGTGTGCATAGACATCTTTTGAAACCGTGTTATGATCATCATCGTATTCGATGAGGTGAACTTGATTATCGTGCTTTAAGCTTTGTGTGCCGGCTAAAAATTTTATTAATTCGGTTTCAGCTATTTGTGCTGTTAAACAGCGGCATTGGAACTCTAAACCGTAAATAACAGCTGCTTCATCCTCCATTTTCGAACGATTGCCTCTAAATAACAAGCAGGACTAAAATATTTAAAATGTATTAAAAGTTTATTCCATTCAAAAGCATCTATATTATTACTTTTTTTAAATTAAATAGAACAATTTTTTTCAAAAGTCTTACACTCAAAAAAGATTTTATCGATTTAAGTCAAGTTAAGGATGTTGAAATAAGTTTATCGCCACAACCATATTGCAAACTGCTACTTAGCAATACCGTTGATTTGTTCTGGCGTTTCATTGCAGTAGATGCAGTTGATGTTTATCACAAAACAGACTGAAAACAATTTGAAAGTGCCGAAAACGGAATGCATCTTTCCTTTAAGATATTAGAAGCTTTATTATGTTTTATAATCGTTCAGCCAAGTGCCAACAGCATAGATCAGTAAGTCTTTTTCTTATTAAAAGCTAATATTTTTTATAGAAAAAGTCGATAAAACCTTTGGTTTATTAATTAGCCCTAATTAAATTGTTCACATTTCTACCAGTTTTATGATATATATATACATTTACATTATTCCTTATTGTTTCAAAAGATGACCTTTCTTAAGTTTTTATCGATTAGTTTACTTGCATATTTAATAGAAACTTACAAATATTTAATTAATTTCTATTATAACAAAGGCAAAGTATTCGTTCTTTTGAAGAGAATCTTTTAAAGATTGTAAAGGAATATACTTATGTAAAAGATATTACCTCCTCCTATGACGACAAAATAAAAGAGCTTGGGGCTACAACTTCTAGAATTAATGGTTTTAATTTAATTGGAGCACTGGCTAGCGGAATAGAAGAGATTCTAACGCAGAATATAAAATCCTTAGAGGTATTTTATTCCATTCTATAATTTTATAAACGACTTGTTAAAATATATCAATAACAATCTAGTTCGCCGTTGAAGAAGCTGAACGAATAGCAGAAAATTACACAATAAATCCCGAGGTTTGTTTTATTGGAATATAAAACTTTAAGATAATCAAATTTAATTAAATTCAATAGAACAATTTAATATTTAAAATGATCTACTAGAGAGAGCTAAACGAATATTTTACATAATTTACATAACACAGATGCTAGGTAATTTTATAAACGTCACGAACGCTATTGTTAGGAATCGATTCTTTCGCTTTTTTTAACTAAAAATCAGCCATGTGCTTCCATCTGTTAATTAATGAATATTTTCGTTGTTTAGTCTCGTGCTAACTTTGATTTTAATTATTTTATACGAAAGAAAAAGACCTTATTGAATAATTCTTGTTTTTTTTTTTTTTTTCATTAATAGTTAACAGAAGTCCATTATCTAAATGCTAGGAAGCTTGATCCAGACAAGGAAGGTTTTGTTTATCATCCAGAATATATGGAAAAGATAGGTGATAATGTGTCGGCAGTTCAAATTCCTGTTGAAATCTACGAAGGCCGTCAGTGTCAATTACATTAAATTTTCATATTATTGAACAGGACGCAGTTATTATTATTCTTTTTTTGTTATTCAATATTCATATATCATTACAGGCAATGACGTATTGAACGATCTAAAGTGGACAAGTGCTATTGAAAAAACCTGGATTTCAAATAGGAAAAAGTATAATCAAACTTTATTCCAATACTTTGGAAGCTATACTGGTTTGATGAGAATTTATCCCGGTATTTATAATATATATATATATATATATATATATATATTGTATACTCGAAATATAAATATTTTATATTCTTATCAATATTCTATTAGCGACTAAATGGTCTACTCCCGAACCGGATTTGTATGATGCTAGAAGGCAGCCTTGGTACACCCAAGGGGCAAGTTCACCCAAGGATATGCTAATATTAATAGATACGTAAGTTAATTTAATACTTTTAATTACTACTGTATATAGATATACTAATACATTAGATAAATTTGCTTTAACTTAATAAACGTACATATAAAGTATATACATTTATATATATATATTTATATATATAGAAATATGTATTTAAATTTATATATTAGTTGAATAGGCTTATAATTAATTGATTATTAATTGTAAGAGTCCATGGACTCTGTCCTTCACAAAATTAATATATACAATAAATACAATTCTAATTAATTACTGAAACAAAAGGAGTGGCAGTACTCATGGACAAGCATTGACATTAATAAAAGAGACCGCCAAAGCGATTTTAAACACTTTGGGACAAAACGATTACGTTGCAGTCGTAAAAGTAAGAGATTGTAAAAAAAAACAAAAATATAAAAATTATAAAAAACTATAAAAAAAAAACTCTTTAAAATTTATCATCTTCTAATCTTTTTCTTTTATTACTATTATTATTAATATTATTGCTTTTTTTTTCTTTTTTAATTATCCGATTCATTGTATATATGATAAAATAACTCTATTATTAAAACATTAATTAATAACATTTACTTTTTTTTTTTACTTAATGAGAGATAGAGAGGGATAGATGAAAAAAAAATTATAGTTTTCATTAAATTTTGTTTTTATAAAAAAAAAAATTACAAATGAAACAATGAATCTGATAAATAAAAAAGACGCCTCTCTCGTTTCTATTCTTTTAGAATTATCTTTAAAAAATTTTTCTTATATTTGTTACTGTGGAATTGTTTGAACACGAATGCAACTGTAATGCACATTTTTATTATTTCATTCTTAAAAAAAGAGTTACAAGCTAGTTATTTTCTCTTATGGTCTCGGATAAAAATATTATGTATCCTTCGTCGTCGTCGTCGTCGCCATTATTATCATGATTAATATTATCTGTCACTTCTTCTTCTTCCTCTTCTTCTTCTGCTTCTGTTTCTGTTAATGTCAATAATATTTCTTTATGCAAGACAGCTGTCTAACTCTAATAATATAATTTCTTTCTCTTATTTCTTAAATATTACCAAGCACTTTTTTGATATTATTTTACAAATAGAATTATTCTAGATATACACTATTTTTGGTTTTCTATGGGTTTTTCTTATATCTTATATATTATTATATAATCCTATATTTTCATAGGATATTTAAAGAAAAAACTTAGTTAAATGATGCATGATTAATGCAATATATGCATGATAACTTCTAAATAATGTTATTATCTATATATTTTATTCATTTCTTTTTATCATCTTTTTTCAACAAAATAGTTTGCCGAAGCAACTCAATTTATTGGTTGTTTTAAAAATTTTGTTCAAGCTAATCCAAGGAATAAAGAAGTAAATAGTCTCTTTCTTTCTCTTTTTTTTGAAATATTATAATTATTGCTATTAATATTTTAGGTGCTACTCAACGATATTGATAAATTACAGGCGGACGAAATAGCAATGTATAAGCAGGCTTTTAAATTTGCCTTTGAAAGAATTAGGGAAGTTCGTATTGAAATATTATAGATTTTATGTCAAACTTTAAGACTTTATCATAAAAAATATCATATTCTCTAGTTTAATAAATCATTGGAACAAGGGGATCTTAATGGAGCAAAATGTAATAAAGTTATAATGTTTCTTACTGATGGTGGAACAGATACTGCTGAAGATATATTTAAAATGTACAATTGGCCAGAAAAGAAAGTAAGAAGATATCGTTACACATTTCTTTTTTAATGTAACAAGTAGTTGACTATTTCTCTTGTTTATAGGTAAGAGTATTCACATATATGGTGGGGCCACAACCTAATGCTTACGCAGCCGTTAAATGGATAGCCTGCGCTAATAGAGGTAGCAATAATGAATTTATTAATTTTTCAGTTTGATTAGTTAAGCGTAATACAAGAGTAAAGCAATCGAATTACAGACATAAACGAAATTAACATCTTTTTCTGTAGGTCATTACTCCCGCATTCCTGCTATGGGTGATATTAGAGCAACAGTCCAGGTACATTTAAAATCAATATATTAGAACTTAATTATAAATTAAAATGCCATTATTTTATCAATAGATATATTTAGAGCATTTGGCTCATAGCGCCAAAGAGTTTGTATGGACAACAAGTTACCATAAAGTTTGTTTTCAATGACAAACTATCATCATTCCATCAATTATTAATTAATGTTTTTCACTGAAGAAATTAGGCATTATGTCGACTGTTACACTTCCTGTCTTTAATACCACAGCTGATCCACCTGTAAGATCTAAAACATATTTAAACAATTTACATCATTCAAAAGCTAATTAATATCTTTTGGTTTTAAAATCTAACTCAGAAAAATACATCTTTACTAGGCGTAATGGGTACAGATGTTCCAATTAATTTTCTAAAAAGACTGATACCGAAAGAAAAGGTTTACAGTTTTTTATATTAAAAGAAAAAGTGTTTTATGATCGTTTTATATAAATTTTTTTCTATTTATATAAACAGTTAGGAATTAATGGATATTCTTTCGCTATAAATAACAACGGATATGTTCTCTTTCATCCTGATCTAATATCTCAAAGGGGACTGCTAGGTTATACGCCTATACTCGATTTATTAGAAATTCAAATAGAAAGTACAGATTTAATAGAGGTAATAGGTTTTGTTATATATTTTCGCATCAATGTCAATATGATTTATGTTTAATATAGCTTAGAAAGAGAATGATACAAAAACTTACTGGTACACACGAGATGGAGGTAACAGGTCCTGTACGAATAATAGGCGATGGTCATATTTATAACGCAACTCGACTTTATTATTATACGTTTATACCGAAAACTACATATAGGTAAACCTTATATATTTGTTGTATATTTTATTAATTTATCAATTCAATGCTATTCAATTCAAGTGTGGCCATAGTTTTACCATCATATCGTAAACATTTCATTAAACCATTTGAGAAAAGCATTAGGAATAAACGTTATTCCGATGGGAAGAATTCTTTAGATGAAGACGTAATGATCATATCACCTTGGTACGTGATAAATATAATAATGTAGAGGTGATAGATGATTGTATTGATCGATTTTATTAGGGAATGGTGCAAAAATGTGACTGATGTTGACAAATTGAAAGATACAGACATAAGTGGACCAGATTGTATGTAATAGGGTCTTTATTATTTTATTCTTTTCATCTTTCAAAACAATCCATTCCAGGTGACAAAAATTTGATTGATCACTTATTCTTGGACATCTTAGCAACCGAGGATTTACTATCAATATGGAGAGAAAAAAACTCAAAGGAATTTGTTTCCTCGTTCTTCTATACATCCGAAAGTGGTTTGACAAGGTTCTTCCCCCTTTCGTAAGTTTCTATCTTGATTCCTTTCATCTTTTACCATATAATCAATATTCAAATTTACCATTCACTTTGTTCCCTAATAGAAGTCGAGATTCCTATCAAGATGATGCCGACGTACGGAAATCATCTTTCTTCAAAAGATCATTGGACTCGAATGACTGGTTTTTTAGCACAGATAATCCCACAGGTTTTATAATAATTCAACAATTCAATTATAGTATTACACTAAAGGTAAACATTGCTTATTGTTTATAGATTGTTTCAATGGCAGTTGTACATCAAATATTGTAGTTGGAAAATCATTTTCAACTTTTTCTGGGAAGATGAAAGCTTCAGGTATGCCATCTGTCGGTTTATAGTTATATTTTTTTCTCCTCTTTTTTTTAAATTGGTTTTCAATAAGTAAGATCACATAAAGTAAATAATTCTAAGTAAAAAAAATGAAATATCCAAAGAGCTGTAGAACTGAAAAAGGGACAAAACTTTTAAGAAATCCAGACCACAATAAACAACGCTTTTATAGCTTGAACTCATTATTGAGTAGTTTTAAATGAAATGACTCTAAACTACTGTGTTCAAATTGTCACTTGTCCACTCTTAGTCGTTCGATTTTGTCCCTTTAAGGGTAAGATAGCTAGAGTATGAGCTGCGTGTCTGGAAAATTCATATACTTTCAAAATATCAAATGGAGACCAATATTCCTACTCTGTGTCCTGATACTTTCTCTTCTGCTTTTAAAAAGAAATTTTCAATCGTCAACCAAATTGGACGTTTTCAAAAGAGGTTTGTTTGTCAGTGGTAGTGCAAGTGGAAGTTCCAAGAATGGGGTATACAGTATGAAAAATAACGTTGGGAGTAATGGTGTACTTATTTGCGAACCATCTGGTGGTTTTGGCAATAAAGTTCGAGTTATTACCTCCTGTTATAAATTAGCCGAAATTCTCGACAGAAAACTCATTATTTTAAATACTTTTTCAAAGAGAACATGCAATATATCAAGACACTTCAACTTTACAAAATTACCAATTATGGGAAGAGATTCGAACCTGACTATTGAAAAACAAGTGATTTTAACCTACGAAATGATACAAGACAAAGATACTTGTCTCAAAGACATCATTTACAATAAAGCCAGAGTTATCAAACTAATTGCTTATCACAACTTCTGGATGCATTGTATAACTGGTAATAAACAACTTCAAACTCGTTATACACCAGAAGCGCTAGAATTTAACAATATGGCTTATAGAAAAGTGTTTGAGAACCTTTTTCAGCCAACACCAGAATTTAATAAAATATTAAAGTATCATAAGGACAATATTGTTAAAAGAAAACCTAGAGATAAGATGCTTTGTCTTCACATCAGAAGCGGTATGGTTAAAAGAGATTCGGCAAATGTTGTTAGCAAAAGTTGCCTTATCCGTTATATGATGAAAGTAAGAAGATTTGTCAGGAATAGCCCACAAATAAAGTCAATACTTTTGGCTAGCGATAACGTTAACGTAACAGATTTTGTTTATCGACATTCACCCAAGAAGAGAATTACCCATTATATACCAGGAAAAGTTGGACACTCAAGTAGACACGTAATGAGCTGTAAAGATATGGACAAATTATTTACCGAGTTCTGGCTAATGAAATATTGTGATTACGGATTGTTTCTATCATCTTCGAGTTTCTCTTACTATGGCATTCTAAGAAGTGCTCATCTTAAAGAATTAAGTATTTTCAATTGCCAAAAAAACGATTTAACGGAAACGCCCAAATCAAAGGAAAAATATTGGGTTTTGAAATAATTTTTGGCCAAATTATGTTTTTGTCCCAAAATATTTATATTTATATTTTATTTTTCACTTATAATTATAAAAAAAAATACATTAATTTATTTAACGATCGGGGAGAAGACTATAGACAATATCATAGTGTAGGCCTATTATTAGTTTGGATAGTTGTTTTTTAATTTTGTTAGTTTTCAACACTTTTTATATTTCTGTAGTAACCGGTTTTAAGATGACCGCCAACAAACTTCGAAAAATCATAATAGATAATGTTGCGTCTTGTACGAATACTGATTTCTGTCTGCTAATTGATGACGGAGGATACTTGATTGCATCTTCGAATGAGGACGATGAGAGATATGTAAATATTAATTATCAAACCATATGTTATGGTATTTGCTATAATTTTATTAAAAATTTACTTTTTTAAAAACAGATTGGATCTTTTATTGGCAGTATTGAAACTCGTGAAATTTATGCGAAAGTTATGAATTTATTAGTAAAACAAAACGTTTACAAGCAGTAAGTTATTCTATTTATGTAAATGTTTTTAGTTTAGTCTACAATACTAATTTGAAATAAAATATAAAACTAGGATTAAAGTGTTCGACTATCAGGCCAAATGTCCACAAGTTAGGAAAAAGACTAGCGGCGTATCTAGAACAATTCAATTGGTAAGAAAAAGTGTACAAAGTAGTCTTTTAAATTTTAGTTAACCCTAATTAATTAAAAAAAAATAACTAACAAATTCTTTTAATCCATTTTTCCTTCCTTTTCTTTTTATCGTTCAGCCATTCATTTACGAATTACTAACATTTAGTTGGTGGAACTTAAAAATGAGTGCCTTATTTACTTATATAAACTTGTATGTATATATTTTTAACCCAATTAAAACATATATACAGTATTATAGATTTCTTTATTCTTTTAAATAAAGATTCTTCGTCTCCTCTGAACCAGCAGGTATTGGTTGTTGTTTACTTTCTGAGTTCTATATAAAATTTCAAACCAATACACTTCTGATAAATTGTGTTATTTGGAATAGATTCCGCCTCGCTAGACGAAACAGCCGAACAAAAGAGCTGCTTAAAAGCAGAAACTCTCTATATGCTAGAACATATTCAAAATGTACAAGCTGTATTACGAGAATGCTCAGAATGCGATATAGGGTGAGTTCTAATTTAAATAATTATAAGAAACCATACCTTTTTAAATGTAATACGTACTCAATTTTTTATATGTTTAATTACAGAAACGTCGAAGGATACAAAATTAAAGAGACAAATCTATTTTTCGTCTCCTATAATGATTTTAACAGACAATGCGACATCTCTTGCCCATTTGATCTCCTTCCTCATAAATCTACATTAAATATCCTTTATTATTATTATTATTACTAATGTTAATGTAGAAAGACATTAAGACTCTTACTTTCCCAACTAAAAATTATTTTAATATTTTTACAAAAAATCATTCAATTTAAATTCTTTAACTCATTCTATACGTGACGATCCAGATTACGCAAAACTCGAATGTGTTCCAGATCAGAGATTTAGAAGAAGACCGGATTATTGCTTTCAAATTAAAGTAAAGGTTTCTTCAACGTAAAAAAAAATCTAATATATTCTACTATATTTCATATTTCTCTTCTTTAAACAGGAAACTCAAGTTTGCGGGACAACTTTTACCTATCCAAATCTATGGATGATATTAATATTAATTGTTTTCAAATTTAAACTACTTTAGATCAAACATTCGGCAGAAAAACGACAAAAAAAACGAAAAAAAATAAAAAGAAACTTTTTCTCTCTTCAAAAACAGAAAGAAAACACCCTCTTCCTGTTCGAAAAAAATACTCTCTTTGTTTTACTACGCACAATCAATCCTTTATAATCGAATATATCTTTTCTTTCTTTCTTTACGGGTACTTAAAAAAGTGAAGATGTTGTAAATTTTTCACCTAGTAAGAAGAAGAAGAAAAGTAAAGGATCAGTTTTGTTAAAGAAAAGGAAAAAAGATAAATGAAAATTTTCTTATATGGAATTATTCTTTTTTTTTTGTTGATTTTTTTTTCCCCTTTTTCTTTTGATATTAAAGAAATGTTGATAAAAATAGACAAACAAAGCGTTACGTTTTCTAGTTATTGTTTTTTTTTTATCTATAAAGCTAATTTTTTTTATAAAAAGATAAGATCAAAAAAAAAAGTAGGTAAAAAAATAAAACGATAAAAATAGATATATGATGTATAAAATGATTAAAATAAATCATCGTATTCTTTCCCTTTTGTCATATGAAAGAAGATTTGAATGAATGGTATCTTCTTTTTAAATATGACAATCTACGGCTGCTTCGTCACTCTTGTTTATGAAAAATTTGACGCTATTTCTTCTGGGTTTCTTTCCATCGGGTTCATCTATTGGTTTTGTAACGGCCGGTAAAATTTGTACATTTTCCTCTTCATCATTCTCCGTAAAGTTACTTGATTTTCTTAGCAACGATTTCAGTGCTTGAGGTTTCTTTTTATTACATTGCATTAATAGATCGTCTAATGATTCAACTTTAGTTTTTATCTCTTCGCAGATATTTAACTGAAAAATGAAAAATATTCTAATATTTCATTGAAATTTTGCAGTTTTTTAAGTGAAATCTATAATCATTATACCTGCTTTGTATCGCGATCGTAATGAATCGTTCCCAATGGTATTTTAAGAACTCTTCCATCAGGTAGTTCAAAATTTACAGTTCCCCTTGAAACTTCAATAGTATCGCCATCGCCTTCCAATTGTAATCGAGTTCTTCTTGAATCACTGTCTTTTCTGTGACTTTCAGGCATAATATCATCCAACCATTTCAATTCGTTTCTACTAAATAAACTGTTTAGTAATTTACGAATAGCTGTCATTCCTAATATCAAAAGCGGAAATACTATTGAAGCGGGTGGCATTTTCTTCACTAACCACAAAAGAGCTAAACAAAATAACTAACAAATAAAAAGTTATTACTATTTTTTATCCAAACTAGAATAACTGATAAATATCGTCTAGTTGATTGTTACCTGTATTAATGTGAACAAGTGAACGCGTTTCAGCTGAACGTGTCGGAGGTATGGATGGTTTGGTTGATATTTCTTTGGCATAAAAAATATTAATATTCTTTGAACAATTTGAAGCCCTCTTAAACTTGATATTCCCATGAAGAGAAACACTCCATATAGAACAGGCATTGGTACGTGTTTCAATAACGGCGTCATGAATATACTTTGACTTATCAGAACAAAAACCAAAATTCCAGTAACTCTTTGCTCTCGAACACCGAGAAATTTTGGCTTTTCACCCGGTATAGAACACTTAGAAAATTTTGATAGAGATCTAACATGATTTATAGATAAAACCGCTTCCGCAACGAACCAAGGTAAGCCAAGAATTGAACACAGACCAATCTAAATAAATTTTTAAGCAATAATAATATGATCTTAATTACACAATAGAGAAAGTCATACACTTACCAATAATCCAACTATTAAAAGATCCAAATGGTAGGCACTACCCTTTACTAATGTATGCTCTTTACGATTGACTATTATAGCCGTTATTTGCTGATCCATAAATATAAGAATTGTTGCAACAATAGCCGGTCCTAAAGCTGCTATACATGTCCATTTTGGATTATCATTAAACGGTGGTATTATCCAAGATCTATCTTCTCTTGTAGGCTTATTTGAGAAAAGATTAACGTAGCTATCGAGTATATTTTCTTTAGATAAATTGTCAACTTACCCGAAATTTATCTGGAACAATTAGTTTCGGTGTTGGTAAATCTAATATATAATCAACAATACAAAATACGACAATAGCGATAAAAATGCTAAAATCACTTATAATCACTCGAACCTAGAAAACAATAATAAAAGCATTTTAAAAGCAATTATATATACATATATATAATATACCGTTGAAATGGATTTATAAACTCACCCTTTCTGGAAAGAATCTTGTACTTTTGAAGGATTTACAACATTTTGCAACGATAAACGTGCCAGCGAATAGTATTATTGATAAAAAATATATGTTATCTTTGTATACCGTTGCTCCACAACCCGATCCAATAGCAGTTCCATTCATCCTAAGACAATTTTTGTAGTTTAATTGCGAATAATTTACATATAAATTATTGTTTGTCGTCGAATTGGAAACGTAAAAGTAATCGTCAGTGATATTCTTGTCCGTTATATTATTAAAACTATTATTCGATGGTGGAAGGCAATGGCAAGAATAATCGGGTGGATGTTGCCAATTAGGATGAAAATTGACTGGAAACTTATACTTAATGTTATAAATATTCCTGAAAGCTTCAACAATGAAGATAGCTCCTATTAGAAACGTAAATGATTCTTCTGTAAAACGCGTTATATAACGGACTAAGAATGATAAATCGAAAGCTACAATCACTATTATTATTGCACAACACCATAAACCAATCCAAAATCTAAATGATAGATAATTCCAGTTCCATTCACTGTAAAAAAAATTCAACAATATACATAAAATATACACAATATACGTATGTTTATAATTATTTACAATCAACTATACTTACTCGCATAATTGATAAGATATTGTTTCATAAACTAAAATTGGTCCTGTTGCTCCTAATATTATTAAAGGTTGACCAGAAAATACGTGATAAGCAATACCACAAATTGTAGCTCCAAGAATACTCTCCATAACTCCCTAAAAGCAGAATATTACATTATTTATTATTAATTAACTAATTGGAAAATGTAATATTTTCTATATTACCAAATTCTCGTCTGTAGCATCACCAAATAATCCCCCAAATGTTACTATTGGTGTTAAGCACGCAAAGTACATGAAAAAAAGAGATCCTATACATTGAATGTGAAGGCCATCTTTAAAATCACTTAAATAGTGTCCCTTCCTTCGTTTTACATCATTAAGAAAACCGCCAAATATACTATTGAATATATAGATAGATCATTTTGAATATTTAACTTTTATACTATTATTCTAATGCTTACCGATTTGTTCTACATAATCCAGCATCTGGATAGCCACATTCATTTTCTTCATCAATATTCAAAAGTAATTTTTTGAAATTTCCAGTTTTTACCGATTGCCTTCTAGTTTCCTGTATATTTTCATTAAAAGAGCATATATAAATTAATAAATAAAGCATATAGACTTAAGCAAAAGTTTTACCGGATCTCTAACAGAATTTGGTGGTTCTATTTTTATTTTTGGATCCCATTCAGTTGGAGGTAACACTGTAACCTCATCTAAAAATCCATCAAAACCAGCCAAGAAATCACTTTTATCCAGTGCTTTATAAGCAACCTCTTGAAAAATCTATAGAAAACATAGATGAAATAAACGTATAGAAAGAGTATGAAACTAGAATTATTTGTACGTACATTATCGGCCATTAATGTGGATATACACCTTCCAATTTCGTGTAATTCATTTTTATAATTAATCGATCCAAGGATAATTACCATAAATCTAGTTGGAACACTTACTTCGGTAACATCCTCTAGATGAATACTCTTTTTCAAACGAGCTATTCCTACTACTGGTTCAGATATAAAATCCATTGTAGCCAACATAACGTTACTCGCTTCAGCATCTGCAGGTATCTTCTTTCGAAAGTGAGTATTTTGCTGTTGATAGAAAATATTCTTCATATTAAATGGCAATGTCAAATCTTATGAATAAAGTTTTTACCTTATGAATGACTCCATTGGTTACATTCCCATCTAGTAGATTATGTTCACTACCTCTACTTCCGAGATTACCTTTAAAAAAGTCTTTTGTCTTAGTAAAGTTTAAAGAATACTTTTAATAAACCGTTGGTACCATTGACGTTAACTTTTCTATTATTGTTGGCAATTTCAGAGAAAGTACGCTTGAACAACGGAATTCCATTACGTTGTCTTGTAACTTCGTGCAAATGGATAACTTGTGACATCATTGTTAGAAAGACTTCCTCCTTCTTTTCAAACGGAATTAATTGATCTTGACACAAGTCAGAGAGTATATGTTCTTTAGGGAAAGATAATTCATCAGCTAATCTATCTTCAGTTAATATCTTTAATTCTTAATTTATTACTTAGAATTCCTGCTCTATTATTAACTTCAATATCCAAGCAAAATACTGTACGATTTGTAAAGCAATCTCGTACTTGAAATAGAAAATACAGTGGAAGAGATGCAACGTACGGTTTAGACCAACGCTGACCTTCCTCCTCAACATCTTCTTCAAACTTTAACCATCTTGATTTTCAAGTAATTTGTCTTTGTTTATTAACAAACATCGCTAGAATGAAAATATTTACCGTGCAGTTTCGTGGAATGTACAAACTCCGCTTATTTCATCTCTTCTAAGTTCATCCATTTCACAGAATATTGTATGTGCTTTTTTATCTTCATTCTGGAGTATCTCTGTTATTCTAGCGTTCGACGCATCTCCTAATAAAAGCAACAGGAGAGAGAGAACAAAGACACAACCATTACATTTAACCATTGAAATACATAAAAAAAACTATACTATAATAGCAATGTTTCTGTTATGTTGATAAAAGTAAGAATAACAAACTTTGAGTAATTGTCAAATCTCTACCATCAGCTGATACTCTGGATTCAGTACTTATTTGCCTTGAATAGACATGTTCATATCCATTATTTAGTTCATTCCCTTCTTCACCTTCTCTCGACGTCTAGTTTAAAAGAGATGCTTTTTTAATATTAAATAGTTGTATTTACTAAGAACCACAAAAAAAGGAGAAAAACTAACGCCTTGCTGAGATTTAGATTTATGCTTCCTATGTTTCCTCTTCTTTCTATGGCTATCTCTCTGACAACAAGATTGCGCAATATAAATAGAATTATTTGCAGATGGATACTGCTGCAGATGATGTACTAGAATTGATTTAGTAGCGAAATTTAGGTCAGGGTAGCTATTTCTTCAAAATGTAAAAATAAAAACTTGTTTACCTTCGGCATCGACGTCTTCATCTCCGTAAGGAATATGAAAACATCTTTCATTTATAATAAGTGCATCCAGATTATCTTCTCTAAAATTTCTTGCCATTGCTATTTTATAGAAATGATAATAATTACACTAGTATACATGTTTAAAATAAAATTTGTTAGTAGGCTCTAGTAGTAACCAAACAATATTTAAGTGCATCAAAATATGTTTTTCTGTTCTAGTTGGAAAGATTGATGTTGTTTAGTTTCGTACTTTTTAAACTCTATATAAACAGATTTATATTTATGAAAACTTATTGACACTCTTTTATCATTCTTCTTCTTATTCTGTCATATATAATAAAATTAAAAAGAGATTAAAAGGTTAAACGCAAATATCGATAGAAAAATGTAAATGGGGCTATATTAATTTTTCTTTCATGGGAAAGTGTCAAGTGTTGGGGTGAAGGAGTAAAAGTTCAACGGTTAAGACAGAAGTTTAAATATATTCCAGATGTTAACAGCAACAAGTGTTGTCTATATACCCAAAAAAAAACACACCTTTATATTTAAACAATCAATATATCTGTCATAAATACTGGAAAAATAGCGCAAGCTGTTTCAGGTTTTCAATTAAAATTTACCATAAAGGGCTTTTCCACATTTTGGTAGAATTTCAAACACAATGGTTGTCGCAATAGTAAAGGGAAAGTTTCCGATCTCCTACTTTTTGACCCGGTTACCAATAGAATTTAATACCCAAGACCCAGTTTTCAACCTTTCAGTAGTGCCCACCTGTCTAGCCCTTCCCATAAAAAAAATGGCAACTGTAATATTATACAGTCAGATATTAATTAGTTTCAAACACTCTTAAAGTACAATTCATAACTCGAATTGGGTCAATAAAGAACACCAATAAAATATGAGTATATATATATATATATATATACAGTATTTCAAATACAACAATGTATATTAGAACGTGAATCACAAACGGGGGAGTCAAGAGATTAGAGAATCAATATAGATGTTAACAATCCCATTTTAGCAGCATAAATGCAAAATATTATAAGAGGGAATGTAATTTTGAACATTAAAGTTTTTACTTAAAAGCAATTTGAGTGAAAAATTCACTGTTGATGAAAATAAAAAGACCATTCAACGACATTTACCTTTAAACTCTTATAAATATGTTAAATTCGCTATTACTTTCCAGCGACTTTCATCTGCTATCTTCCTATTAGACCTTAACCATAGTGTAGAGAAGCGTCTCAATAACGACAGTGGACTGGTTTCGAAACCCACTACGCCTTAAATTGTCAAATTTAGAAATTAAGCGGTCAAGTTAACCGGTCATCTGTCATTACCGGTTCATTAAACTGTCTAATTGCATCCCGTTCAACTTTTTTCCACTGTAAACAGTCCTTCATAAAGAATTGTTGGTTATATGAACGTGTCCCTACGTTGTACACATTATATAAAGTGAAAGTATATCTAAAGAGAATATAGGAATACACACCGGAAGAGACAGTATATTACTAATATTACATATAAACTTGACTAAAATCATATAACCTTAAACAGATAAGGAAGCACATAGACGACAAAAACTTTTCAAGAATAATGTAAGTATTCTTTAGAAAAAGAAAAATATTGTACATTTAATAAATATACATATATTTGTTTATATTTTTAGTCTCATTAATTAACCGATTAGATAAGCTAAATAACGATGATAAGATAGTAAATAAAAATATAAATATTCAAAAATTCTTCTTTTTTATTATTATTACTATTACTTCCTTCTTTTAGATTTTTTCGTAATTTGTAGGCCTAGTAAGTATATATATATATATATGTATATTGATTGTTTATAATTATAAAAAATAACGGCTATTTATGTATATAAACAAACGAAAAAGAGTTATCTTTATACTAAATTTTTAGTATTTTAAAATTTGTGCAATATGATTCATAATTTCATAATAGGTCACAATTTTTTAGGTTAGGACAGAAAAAGTTCACTATTTGTGTCGTAATAAATCCTAAGTCTATTTATATACATCTGCAGAATAACATATTTTATTAAATATTGTTGTTAAGTGTTGTTAAGTAGTAACGTTTTTCGTGGTATTTTAAAAGGAACGCTGGATATTTCGTTTGAGTAATATGGCGGTGATGTAGGATTACTTTACAGTGCCACGAAATTATACTTACATAACCTGATTGAGTAACTTAAAGTTACTAGATTGAGTTTTTTTTAGAGCCTATGATATATTATACAAAATAAGGTTGACATAGCAATCGAAATCGGTCTATTCGATCTCGATATCCGATATTCATATCAATAAACAAGCACACGATGCCTGGCGCAACACGCGTAATAGGACTGCGCATGCTCAATTGCCGGTTTAATCTTGCTAAATCATTCTTGCATTCTTCTAGAATATTCTATATTATCAACAATTTACTCATTTCGAAGACCGTACGCAACGAAGCTTTATTTGGAATAATTTGACAAAATCGACAAATCGGTTGAATTTTAAGTACATAGCACAACATCGATCCTTTGAAAGGTTTAATCTCGGAGCCAGTGCCTCTCTTCGTGCAGTTCATTATCTTTGTCAAAGAACTTTCTTTGTTTTCAAGAACTGATAAGGAAACTCTGCTGTCTACGATCGTCAATTTTTAGTCAAGTTTACCCCAATTTGTTGGACATTTAATATTTACAATCTAATTTGGTAGTAAAGAAGCGGTTGAGGCATTACGAAATTTTGGTGACTCATTCGATCATAGGCCTCACCATGTGGAAAAAACAACTTACTAACGGACTCGTACAACTTGCAATCTTGCTTACTGTTTTGAAGTTGAGGAACGTCAATGATTTAAATGATTTGCTGAACATTTCAAATAATTATCCAGAAATTCGCGAGTTCATCGAAGGACCTACATCAGCTTTCACGCAGACGTTTTCCTATCCCCTTTCAGAATCATATCCGCACCCCAAGATATTCAGAAATGATTATGAAAATATTTTGAATGAAATTTACGATTTAACAAACTACGATGAGGTTTGTAATTATTTAAAGTAATTTCTGGTCTGAATTATCAACGAAAAATTTTTAAAGCATGTGATATCAAGAGGACACCGAGATATGACTACGTTGTTGATGGTCGAAGCACAAAACGGTGCGACTGGTGGTGAAGTGGAAGTTGCGGGCTCGAGTACAGCTTCCAGTAATGCACAAAACTTGTCAAATTTTACCGACGGATTAGATATTTTTCCTGGAACTTCACTAACTAAAGATGTAAGTTAACATATCTTTGCAATCTCGTCACTTCGACATGCAATGTATTCCCTTTCATACATACTGAATGCTGTCATATCTGCTCAATAACATATGTTATAAATCAGCAGCTAAATTAATGCACATGTTAATTACTGCGAACGTTTACCTCATGTGCCGAGGCCAATCAATTTTGTGACCTAACGAATAGAACTTACTCACTTTTTATTCAGATATGTTCTTAAGATGTATTGCCAAGCTGGCTAAAAGTAGAGCAGTTATAGCTCGATTGAGAATGTATCGAGAAGTAATAACATATTTTAAGCATATTTTGATTAATAGTAAGACCCTAAACAACATATTTGTTATATTAGTCAGACTAAAATACAAATGGTTAAGGTATAAGTTCAATTTCGAAATTATTTGGAATGGTTTTTAAATTTCTTGCTGACGATAAGTACACGATAAAAAAACTGGTTGAAAGGATTTACAAAAAACCGGTTAACGTAATTTTTCGTGATAAAAAAGTCCCTGGAAGGATATGTACAAATAATTCTGTATTATATTTTAATTGCAATCGTGTTTTTAAAAAGTGAGAGATAAATGCTATTTATATTGAGAAAGTTTAAATGATATCACTTGTGTGCTATTTGTTATATGTTTGAGCAGTCAAGGCAATGGGATCTTGAGAACTATTCAATGTGCAATTATTACTCTTTTCCTCCAGGATATCAATTTGATTGATGATCTATGGCAACAAGAAGAAATTGATTCAGAAACAAATTCAGAAAATGCGGTCGCTTCACTCCATCAGAAGGGCGCTTATTCATTTCTAGACACGTTCACTCCTGTTTTGGACAAGTTTGAGACAAAGGAGCCATTTCTTGGCAAACCGGATGCTTTATTTCAATCCACAAGTGAATCTTCAAGATATCTGTCGGCGAAAACCAATGATTCATTCGACGAACTGGGAATTCAACCCACAAATGAGAACAAAGGAAATGAATTGCAAGATTTTTTGAATGCTAATTTCACAACCAACACAGATGCTTTTGGAAGTTCTATTCCAGAAGATGTGCTAATGAGCGACGCCTTTATATCTGATGACCAAGAGACACCATTAGATAATCTATTGCGTGATTTAGACGGTAAGTTTTATTTATTCAGAAATTGAAAGTGAAATTAATGATTGTTTTCCGTAACAGCCGCCGAATTGGAAGTTACTACTCCAGAAATAGAAAACATAGCCTCTAACTGGGGCTTGGATATGATTCCAAACTCGCCTGAAGCAAATCAAGGTTTTTTAATAATAATATCATTTTGAAGAAGTTATTAACTTTTGATGTCTTTAACAGATGAATCCAACATAAAAGATGATAGTTCTGATAGTGGGGTATCAAGTAGAGGAAGCACAACCAGAGTAATTATATTTTTCTATCAGTTTAAATCTTGCAATGCATTTTTGTAATCGATTTCTACAAAAAAGGGCTTGGCCAGAAACACCACTCCCTATTATAAATGTTTAAAAAAATCCATAATTGAATATTTGTATTCTTTTCAGTTTTCCCCAACTGAAGAACACTTAGAGGACAGTCGCTTACCTCTTTATTCAATTTCCAACCCACCTTCAGATATTTTATCTCTTGCTTCCGATTACACTGACACCGAGCCGTTAGAAGCTAAAGTATCTCATTATCAATATGAAAACTCTACCAAATCTGATGATGAATCTGAATTGGAGGAAATGGGGGCTTATGGCGGCGTTGATCCTTCTTGGATTCAACACGATCACCCATATTCTACAACCGAAAGTCAACATGTTCATCGACAAATGACTGCCCAGAGACATCACTCTATTGTCAATACCAGGAGGCCAAGGCAACGTTCTATGTCTGCTGCTCCAAGAAGAGCTCTTCCTGAGCCAGTTAATGTTCAAAAACACACAAGATCTCGAGATGAGAAGAAAGCTAAGGCTATGAAAATACCATTAACTATTTCACAAATTGTTAATTCAGCAGTTGAAGATTTCAATGATTTGATCGCTGATCACCATCTCACTGAACCCCAATTGCAACTTATTCGAGATATCCGCCGAAGAGGAAAAAATAAAGTTGCTGCTCAAAATTGTAGGAAACGCAAAATTGAAGTAATTGATCATTTGGAAAAAGAGGTTAATACTTTAAGGCAAGAGAAAACAAGTCTAGAGAAAGAAGAGGACATGCTGAAAAGGCAGGTAGAAGAATCTAGGAGAAGAATTGAAGAATTGTCTGCTAGTCTATTTAACGAAATACCGAAACCTTATGAAGGGACTGATAGGCCAGGAGACTACACTCTTGAACAAACAGAAGATGGTAGACTCTTTATGATGCCAAAGGAGTCTACAGAAAAAACTAGACAATCTAAAAGTTCAAGGAAAAGGAAAGGAAAGAAGTAAAGTGAAAATTATCTTTTCTGAAAAAAAAAACTGCTTTTTGTCCAAAATTGTGACAAATATTCTTAAAAAAGACCGTTCCTTTTTCGTTTACTGTTTATCAGTGTTTGCGTGTATTTTTCAGCTTTATTTTTTCAAGTTATATATTGTGTTTGTTGATATTTTAAAAATGTTATTAAGAGAATATTTTTATTTTGTTTTTAAATTCAAGCAAAAATAAATGATAACATGCTACATAATCTTAATGACAGAATTTAACACATCATCAAAAATATAAACTTAACGCAAGAGGGCATTGACAACAGCCGTAGCATTCAGATTCTTCAAATCTGAGTAAGTCTGCCCAGTACCAACAAAAATAATTGGTTGCCCGGTCGTATAGGTCATAGAAATGCAAGCTCCAACCTTGTCATCTATAGTATCAAACTTTGTAAGAACGATACCATCTATCAAGCGAGGATTTTCCATGTTTGAAAAGTCAGCCAGAGACTGGTTGAATTTCATCAATTGGTCAACAGCATCATTACCAACGAGAGCTTCTCCAACAAATAAAACCAAGTCTGGTTGATTTACTTTGATCAATTTGGATAGAGCTCTCATTAGAGGTTCATTATCTTGCATGCGGCCGGCAGTATCAATTAGAACCACATCGTAATGAGTGTCTCTAGCTATAATAAGATAAAAATAATTAATACTTTCTATTGAGAATTGAAAACTCGTACAAACCATGCGCAATGGCCTCCATGGCAATAGCAGCTGGATCTTTCCCGTACCCTCTTTCGAAGAGGTTTACAGTTTCGGGACCCTTATCGACAGGATGGAGAGCATTTAGCTTTCTAACATGAGTTCTTAATTGTTCAACAGCACCAGCTCTGAACGTATCACAAGCAGCTATTGATACTTTTAAGCCATTTTCTATTAGCCAAAATGCTATTTTAGCCAAGTTGGTCGACTTTCCAACACCATTCACTCCGCAAAATACAATCGCATAAGGTCTTTTATTGGCGCGGGCATCCAAAGCATCCCTGAGAATATCAACACGTCGTTTGGGTGACAAAATTTGAACACACCCTTCATAAAGTGCCTCCTTAACAGTAGATTGCACAGTTTTGAAAGTTCCAAGAACTTTACCGATAAGTTTCTTTGAAACTGATCCACAAAGTTGTTCTGCAGTTTCTGCAGCTACATTTTTACTAATCAAGTGCTCCTTCATCTTGCCAATAATTGGCGAGATGTCCTTCTCTTCCAAAGATTTCGAACCTATCAGCGAAGTTAAACTCGAAAAGAAACCCCTCGTTGGTTTTTTGGTATTGGTTTCAGCGGTTCCATTAATTTCTTCGTCCGAAATATCAACATCATAATCATCATCATCTTCACCAATATCGCGTATTTCTCCACCAGCAGTTCCAACGATTTCTCTCTGCAAACATTACGCTCTTGTATAACTCTATCAATATTTGTCAAAAATATTTTAATACCTCCGACTTGGTTAGAACAACTTGGGATGTATCTTCTTTTTCTCCCGAATAGTCTAATTTTAACCCAGCTTCAGCCGATTTTCCCTCATTGGGCCAAACAGTTCTTGATTTGTTTCTCGAAACCTTCTCTTGGACTTGAACCGGGCTTTGAGAAGGCTTAGGTTTTTCACCAGGTGGTTTTCCACCTAAATAAATTTAACAGAATTAAATTTATAACTTAAACGATGATATTATAAATTTATTTACGGGCATTTCTGTGGGCTTTCTTCAACTTCATCTTTTCTATATTTCTGTTCATTTCATCTTCTTGAAGTTTGTTAGGTCGTTGTTTTTCCACTGGTGCTACATTATTAACTTGTACTCCATTCTTCTTGATAATCATTGATGATACCGTCTTTTGTGCTTTGTTAGATTGACTAAAAGCTTTCATTTTAGCTGGGGCTTTTTTTTTCTCATCCTGCTCGACTCTTTTTAGTAAATCCTTGAAATCGCTGTCAAAATTAAAGCTAAAAGAGTAATTCATGTTGGTAAGCTCATTCTTGTATTTATCTCTAAATTCGATTTGAATAACATCCAAAAATTTATCAACATAGGATAACTGAAGGATCTTTTGATAACCAACAACGAACACCAGATCAAACTCATTATCTCTGGCATACTTTAGAGTTAAATCTTCGTGATTGAAGTGTGATCGGTCAGTTCTTTCCTAGAAATAAATTAAAATGTGTAATTGTTTAAATGAAATTAATAATTTTAACATAATTTATTGATTTTTAGTTTTTTAAAATACGTTTCTATTAGTGTCTATATTTTTATTCCATAACCAGGCATTATTCAACGTGGAACAGATTTTTTTCCTGGCTAAAGCTGTCTTGCCAGTACTCAATCAATACGATATGAAACATATGGAAATTAATAAAAGTTGAATTTTACCTGCAAAAAGACCGATTTTATAAGTGTATTGACAGCGGGAGTAAATAATTGAGTAGTTTCTTGAAAATACCAGAGAACAATCCCGCCTCGGGTAAATATAGCAAAAAAATCAAGCATTTCGCTTTTTCTTCAAAATTTGTCGTGTTGTGAAACAACGTAGTTCCGGCTACGAAAATAACTATAGCTCTCTATGTATTACATAAATTCTAGGCGCCATCTAGACATAGCAGAATAATCAGAATATTCTAGTTAATCTAGAACTTTTCGAGCTAATTTTAGCAAATGTTTTGCAAGAGTTACCATAAAAGAATTTTTTTTAAAAATCATATTGAGAACTATTTAGAAATATTCTTAAAGAATGATGTATTATTTACGATTTAAACATTTGATAGATTCTTCTAAACTTATCAAAGTGTTTACAATAATTCTCATCAAAAAGATACAATAAGCCTAGGCGAAAAAAAATATTGTTTTTTATGTGCTATATACTTCTTTAAATAACAATCAAATAGGTTTTTATTCATTTTAATATAGGCCTACTTAATTTTTCGTAATATATTAAAAAAAGACTATAAACGATTAATCGTAATCTTGATTAATAGTTAAAAGACTTGCAAGAAAAAAATAGCTCTATTTACGCAGCTATAAATTCGTGAATATTTAATCATTTAATAAATCCTCTGATATTTAAAACTATATACAATGCTCTTTTTATTAGAAAGTTTTCTTTACAGTAGATGGAGCCAAAAGCATATCATAACGGTATCTAAAGCAATCTATCTATAATCAATATAAGGCTCTGCCTGGGCGTGCTCTGGCGCCAGCTAAACCCCCGTCCCCATTATTCTCCTAAAGCCAAATTCGCAGTGGCAAGGAAAGTAGGGGAAAGAAAGGATCGTTTTTTGTTTATTCTAATTTATAGAGGACTATAGAAATTATAGGAAAATGTATCAACGAAATATAAAGATACATAACATGTCAACAGAGGATTTGGAGTTGGACGAACAGGGTATTTATAGAGAAAAGGACTTACCACCCGGGGATGGTGCAATTTTAATTGATGACGATGGAATTTGGAGAGATGATGCCGATCGTTTATCGCATTATACGTTCAAAACAGACTCTGGACTAGGCGGAGACTATGGAGAAGGTAAGAGATCATTTGTTGAAGATCTTAATGATGAAGTTCAAGAGAGCAGCTGTTCAGTGCAGACAATTCAGGTAAACAGCTTTACAATGTTTGATAGGCTGTCTTAATATAGTCTTTCTCACCATTTGATTTATCTACATAGCCAAACGATGCTAAGGATATGAGTGTTTATTTACAAAAAACTGCTCCCCCCGATTCGAGCGGAACAGAAATAGCAACTCAAGAAGGAACCTTTAAGGCTGTAGAGCAACCAGGCCACAGTCTAATTGAATTTGAAGAATTAGAAAAGCATCTTATGAGCGACGTTGACGAGAGAGATTTAATTGGGCAATATTTACGAGATTTGGAAATTCGCCAAAAAGAAGAAGATATAGAACCTCTGGAACTTCCCAACGAGATAACTTCTCAAGATATTAGAGATAATGCTAAAATGGTAGCTGCTATGTTAGATAGGCTAACGACGTCTGAAAGTGAAACAGAGAAAAGCATTAAAAGTCCTCGAAGACAGCTTCCACCCAAACCTAAAAGTAGGCCTTCAAGTGGATCAAGAATTCCTGTCAGGAGTAGAAGTCCGTCCGCTAAAAAGTTAACTCCTAGATCTTTGCCTATTACTCCTGGAAAAGGTAAAACGAACTTAACTAAAAGTAGTATTTGTCATTTTCTTTCTATTTTAGTCGATTCCACCCAATCTGATGATGAAAGGTCAAGGTTGAAAACTGCAACCAAAGTTACTAACCGTCCCCCATCCGTCCCGTCAACTCTAAGAGTTAAACCAAATATAGCCGCTTTTACGTCTCAACCGTCCAATATCAACAATAAAAATTTACTTTTGACCGGAGGATCGTCCATGGATGAAAGTGATGGTCCAGAACAATCTGCGAGATCGGATAAGAGCAAAAGAGAATTAACTAAGCGTCTCCAGAAAGAATTATTTGAGAAGGAGAAAAAAGACCTAACAATTAATCAACTACAACAAGAACTTCATTCTCTCTATAAGAAACACGCAGAAGCAGAAAACGTTATTGACGAATTAAAAATTGGTGCCAAAGTAACCCTGGATATTTCAGCGCCAACTGGGCAGCTCCCACAGTCCAATAGTGTACCCAATGCACAGCATGCTCAATTTATAAGTATCAGTACTCCTGTAGCTGGCCAGCAGGCCGCTATTCAAAGGCCTGGTTCAGCAAGAAAATTGGGTAGTAGTCAAGCTTCGTTAGGTAATCAATATTTGATTTAAACTTTACAAAGGATTATGTTAATCCACTCAAATTATTATAGGTATACAGGCTTCAACTAATCCTGGCAGGCCGATTGAAGATAATTTCGTTCGACAAAGAGAAGATAGCGTTGTAAAAGACGATATTTTCAGAAGACGACGAAATTCTTCTATTCAATCTAATCCTGAAAATCTGCTAAGTGAATTGGCTTCCAAAGTTAGGAATATACAGGATCAAACGGAGTCTTTTAATATCCTTCTTGATCAAGATCAATTGAATATCGGTGAACAGCAGGATACTTTAACAAATATTAGAAAAAAACATGATGATTTACAAAATCAATATAGCAATCTTAAGTCAGAAACTCTTAGGCGAGATGAAGAGTTTGACCCCGATTCAGAAGTAGCAGGAGAACTTCATAAACTAAACTTGAAATTAGACGATCTTGAGGGTACTGTTAATAACAATGTACGATTAAAAGCTAACGAACGGCAACCGTTTAAAAATAATGCCTTAAAAGCATCCCATAGCGTTGCTTCTGGGGAAGGCTCACTGGGTGGTCCTCATACTGGCTACCTAGCAAACAGAAAACGAACAGATGTTCTACCAAGTGTTGGAAATATTCAAACAGATAGAAGGAAATCAAGTGTCGGATCGATCGCCTGCAGTAGACAGGGAGGAGAGATGGACGATATGATTGAAAAAGTTAACGAAGATTATGCCCACCTCATGGATAGATATAAAAATCTAAAATCTATGTCTAAATCACCTACCAGAGATGCCGAAGTTGATAGGCTAATGCAGCAACTTAGGAATATTTACGACGAAGCGCCAGAGAAGATGAATTTAATACCTCCCGAAGCAATTCAAGAGAAATCTTCAAACAGAGGAGCATCGTCGGTGTCTAGTAGCAACCCACCTGGACTAACTCAGAGTGATTTGGATTTTAGACACAGGGAAACTTCATCTCTGGCTAGCATTTCTACGATTGGCAGGCGAAGATTCACTCCAGATTATAGCGGAGAAAAAATCCCGTCTGTACCTGCTGATAGTGGGATAGGAACAACAACAGCTAGTTCTCTCACCGGTCAAAAACGATTAGGAGTCAGCTTGAATCATCAATCGCATTCGCAAGGTCGAAAATCAACAAACTCAAAAAGAGGAGATAGACCACCATCCAGAAGATCTTTGCAGATAGAACAATCAAGCTCAGATTCCGACGATATGAGAAGGCCTCCTAGACGCTCGCCAGGAATACGACCACCATCAGAATCGCTACGGGGTAGTCAACGAAGTCAGCGAATCAAAAATGGCCATACTCCAACAGATTCCGAAATTGCTCTTTATAATGACACCAATCGAAATGATACAGAACTTAAACAACTGCAGAGGGAAGTTATCGATTTAAAAGAGCAACTAAATCAAAGGGGGTCATCAAAGAGTACTCCCATAGCTAGACAGCCTCAACCCGTACCACCGTTCGATCTGCATAAAGTAGCTTCTTCTCAACAAGAACCAGTTAGACCGATTCAACCGCAACCTTATGCACCATACAGTCAATATTGGCAACCTGGACAAACTTGGAATGTTCAACCGATGTACGAATCGGTCGTTCCACAACCTGAAATTCAATCTGCCACAGTAGATACAAGAGCAGATATCCCATCGGAGGTTTATGACCCAAGATATCCTGATACGTTTGACTATAGACAGCGTCGTCAAAGACACTATGAAAGATCCAAACGTAACCGACGACATGTAGAACCAAATGAAGAAGTTTACTTCGAGAGAGGACAAGCTGCTGATCACAGAAATGACTATGACAATCCCGAAGATGATTATCCAGATAATCCTAGTTACTTTCAACAGACCGGTCAAAAACCAAAACACTATACTCAGCATATGCACGACGATAGCCAACGAACTGGACACCCTTATAGTTCATACGGAGAAAGCCCAAGATATGGTGGACCAATGAGTCAACAATATTACACATACGGTCAAGGGCCCAACTATGGTCAGAATCCTAACTATGGTCAAAATTATGGCCAAGACCAAAATTATTCCAGGGCACCAAACAATGGCCTACCCCAGGATGGAAATCAATATTCAAATTTTAATCCAAATTATGATCAGAATCATTCTTCTAACTGGGATGCTACAGCTCCTCCTAACTGGATATTACCAAATGGAAATAACTCTAATGGGAACAACTGTAATGGAAACAATCCACAGATATTTTTACAGAATTCTAAAAATTCGGCTCAAGTACAAAGAGGCAAAAGTAATGCATCCATATTCGTTCCTGCGAAAATAGAGGAAGCGCCAAAAAGAGTCGCTAGAAAATCAAAGATTAGATACTACATAAGAGAATACGACGATTCGGAAGACGAGAAGAAAAATCGCAAGCTTCATCATCGTCATCATCACCATCACCACCACCATCACAAGCATCGCCATCACGATAAGAACCGAAGTAGATCGTCATCCACCCACACCAAAGATGAACATGATAGAAGATGTAAATATTCAACATCAGAAGATGAAAAAGCAGATGATTTGAATAAAGTATTAGAAAAGGCAAAGGTATTAAGAAAATTATCTGGTAAAGTAAAAGATACACTTTCCGAGGATTTAGAAAGATCTTTTCACGAATCTTTCCTGCACGACTATCTTTAATAGAGTGATTTTTTTATATTCGTATCGATGTGATTAATTCAGCTGTGATAAATTTTTTTTCATATACGGAAATTTATGAAATAAACAGTTATCTTGTTGACTAGCTTAGTTTTGTTATATAAACATTATAAACTAATATTTAATACTCCTTTTATGAGATCATTAAAATAAAATGCATTTTAATGACGACTGAAATTTTCTTGTTGATAAAAGTGTTCATTATTCCAAAAATAAGCTGAAAGTTTATTAAGATAGCACGAATAGTTGTTCTCTTGTTCTTTTCACTTGTAATTTGTTCTAGAACGAAACAAGGCCCACATTTTAGAACAATAGTTTTTTTTTAAATGTAAAAATTGTATTTATGCATGAAATTTTAAGGATTTAAAAATTGTTCATTTAACCCATTCTATAAAAAAAGTGTTCCTTTTTGAGTATCTTTTAAATGGCACTGTAATCGCTTCCTGGTCTATGATATCCTCTTTTACATTCTTTTCTATATTTTCTTGCATGATAGAACTTAGAAAATCCCCATTTCCAAGTTAAAAAACACCAAACAGCAGAAACATAATGGCTAGTTGGCGAAAGTTCTACAAAAAATCAGACTACTTAAAAGCCAAAGATTGGAAGTATTTAAGAACTCACTGTGATGATGATTTATTGCTAAAGTCAAGTACGCTACCAAGCCACATATGCCAGCTAATTGTACGATGCATCCACAAAGCATACACTTTCGTAATTTATGGTGATATTCATACTTTGGTTTGTGATAGAGAATGTGGACCAAGAATGTACAAAAGGCAACAATACCTTTAATTATTAGGAGGTATATTTAAAGATTCAATATATCTGGTGTATGCTTGACTAACCTGATATTAAACCCCAGACAGCCGCGTGCCAATTATGAAAATAAAGACCAAACGAGCAGAAGGCTGATATACCTATAATAGTTCCACATATGGCATAGCCAATATTGAAATAATGTACACATCTTTTAGGTTGATTAGGCTGAACCAGCCCATCTGTTTCGCCTGCCATGTTATTTGAATATTCTCACTTCTAATGCTTATAACTAAATTATACCTCTGTGTGAACAACTAGGATTCGAAGGTATTGAATATCGGTCGGGTAATAGTCTTTCTTGATAATGATAACTGGTAACTGCTTGTTACCATAGTAACAATACAAGAAAAAAACATATTCACTTTAGAGGATACAGATTTTTTTCTTTGATAATAATAATAAAACTACTAAAACTTAAAGATACATTTAGAGGACAATTTTTCCTTCAGATACTCTTTTTTGAAGTTTAATTGAAAACAAACATTGAGTTTTTTGAGCGATAATTTCGATATTTTATCATGTCAAATAAAAAAAAGACGGAAATTAACTTCGATAGAATCGATAAACAAGTTCATAAAGCTGTTTTGGCCGATGAAAAATACAGTCGGGAAAATGACGCAAAATTTCGAGCTCTTCATCAAAAAGTAGCGACATATGATGAATTTAAGTAAGTCTAAAGTGTATAGCTGCTTAAAGTTTATTCTTTTTTTTATTGTAGAGGCATAGTTGAAGCTTCTCACTTAAAACCATTGGACAAAACTGATAAAATTACTACAAGTGGTACATTTCAACAAGTATGGAACTCACAAGCATCATCCAAGGATGGTGACGACTTAGAGACAAATCCGTTGAACCTTAATCTAGTTAATATTCCAAAAAATAGTTCCGATTTTTGGAAAGAGTGGAGAAACATTAAAATATCTGAAGAGAAAACTAATTACCTTCTAAAATTTAAAGATAGTCAAATAAGGCAATTTTTCAAAATGGAAATACCAAGCGATCAACTAGAAAGTTTGATAAAGAGTTTATCATCTGTTGGAGAATTAAATCGACTGTCTACCATAATTGAATGTATTCAAAACTCAAAAAGATTCAATTTAGCAGTATCTTTTATGAGTTTAGAGCTAAAAAGAACTTTGCAAGAGTTAACAATGAAATTAGAATCAATTAATCCAGATTTAGTAACAAGTATGATGAAAATTTTATCGTTGTAGACTTTTATTATGTTTTACGTTAATGTATATTTTTTTACGATGAACTATGCATTTGGGTTGTTTTGAAAACCTGGTGTAGAAACAAGTCTTTTGACATCTTGCTTGTCGATATTGACATGTCTATAATAGAATATCAATTATTACTAAAGTATCTCATTCTAAATAGAAAATACTTACGGTTTCAACTGATCAGCGTAAGCTTTAATTTCATCTTGTAAATGCTCAGTACCCGCTGGTGCTGTACAGCTAAATTCTATCAGATTCGACTCTGTTAAGGGTTCGATCTTTTCAGTTTGACCTTTTACGAGTACCTATAAAAATTAAAGAAATATCTTTTAAGAAATATGATAGACTGTATCGCTAAAGCAAACCCTATGAATTTTAGAAACGCTTATTTTTGTCCTTCCTCTCCTAAATACATATCCTTTGGAGACGAATTCATATTCAAAACTGAAATGAAATTATTTTATTTAGACAAGTACAGAACATATACTGAAGATATCTTCATCTAACCTGAAACCCAATGATTTCAAGTATTGTAGTATTTGATCCTCATTTACGGCTATATCCAAGCAGGTTCTTACCATGGTTGGTTTACTTCTGTCGCTATCCGGATCATTTGTGTACCTCATTTGACTATAACAGTTTAAATCATCGTGTTACAAGGGTTTAAGAAATTTTTTAACAAGAATTCTACCATGGATTACGAACAGCTCCAGAAGGAACCGGCAGAAGAGATTTACGGATAGATACATTAACGTCGGGTGCGTTCAATGCTTGTCCCTCTAAATAATAATCGAATATATTAATAATTCGCATGCTTTCATCTAATTTTTGTTGTATACTTAATACAAAGACTTGTTCGTGGTCGAGAAATTTACTCTGATCTCCATCGCAAGATCCTTGAAGTCTATATAGCAGTGTTTCTCTATTGCTATCCAATATACTTCCCTATATGATTTGGAGAAATTTAATCAGGCACCCAAAAACGCTATCAATACTTACATGTAAATAGTATTCTTGAGTTGGAACAACTCCCTTTACCATGGCTTCTGCGTTGCTTTTATGACTTATGAATTGCTCCATTTTAAAAGGTATTCTTATTATCGCTCAGAATATTAAATAATAGTCAATTGTCAGCTTTGCCTTCTGTAAAATTATCTTCACACTTCTTCAGACTTTTAATGAATATTTTTCACTTGACTTATTTTATATAGTTAAACTCTAATGGAGATAATATTATGAAAATACGGTAAATTTGTATATTCCGGCGGTTTATTCTACAATACAATTAGGAAAATTCGAATAGTTCGAAATGTCAGAAAATTCTTTAACTCTTGACTATTAAACTGGAAAAAGCCGTCATTTAATTCTCACAAAGACAATAAATTAAACATTAAATTAACAATTAAATTTCCATTTAGTGAAAGCCAAAATTTGATTTCTGCAAAAAAATAAGAAACTTTCATACTTTAATAAAAAAATTGAAAAGTTAATTAAATTTAATTAGAATTTTAAGAATATTGAGTTTATAAAATAATATATATTTTAGTTGCTCTATAAAAGCAAATACTGATTACGATATAAGAACCTTTTTCAATCAGTTTAATGGTGTAAACATGTAAACGGTACTAAAGATTAAAAATATTTGAAACATACAAAAATCAATAAATAAATTAGATAAAAGTATAAAAGTATATTTTTTAAAATTATTATTCTTTTTTTAAAATGATATTTTAATAATGTAAAAAGTAGAGCAAAAGATATTTTATTATTTCAATAAATCTGCTCAGACGCGTCCTTGGATTCTTCCTTCATTATCACCCAGGGAACGCGCAAATATGTCATCTCGTCGGTCTAGACCGGCTCCAGCGCCAAGAAAACCATACTCTGATGATCAAAATCACATATATGAATGTAAAGCGGCTTACTTAGTGATTACTGATGACATTGATGATAATTTACGTTCTAGAAAAGAGTTAATTCAAGGTAAGAGCAGGTTAATTGATTATTACAATGTTTTGAATTTTTGGTATGCTATCTGGCAGCTTTGCAACAGAGTGGCAGGAATTTAACTCGTAGAGCATTGGATAAATACTGGAAACATGATACAAGTATGTTGCCATGTTAACGTTATAACAATATCCATAAAAATAATTTTTAATAGTAGGTTTGATTTGTAAATAATGAGTATTTAAAAATGATATTTTTATCGTGTTATGTTGGGGAACAACTATCTGTAGATTATCATTTTAATATTAAAAATCTTATGTTTTTGTATGGTTACTACTAATAATCTTTGTATTTCTTAATATATTACTATTAATAATCTGATGACGATATTTCATTGATCGCAGGCTCAATTTCTTTTGAAGAGTTCTGTAAAATTTGTAAGAATGAAAAGCAAACTAAAGAAGATGATCTTATTAAAGCTTTTAAAAAGATTGATATAAATGGCGATGGTTTTATTACAAATGATGAATTGTATCGTGTAATGACAACTGTTGGTATTATTTTTTATAGTTTAATAGTACTTTAATTGATTATTTATGAATAGAGAGGAGAAAGAATGACTAGGGATGAAGTTCAAGAAATTATTGATGACGTTGACACTAATAGAGATGGAAAATTAAATTATGAAGAAGTTTGTAAAGTCTTTTTTATTTTCTAAAACACAAAAATTTAAGATGCAAACAAAAATTTCTTTATTATTCTTTTTTTTTAAAAAAACAAAAAAAGTATTATAAAACGTTTTCCCTTTATAGATAAAGAGAGTAAGTACAGTATTTACTTGCATGTATAGTTTATCTTTCTTAAAATGGGACAGTTATATTATTAATGGATGATGAGTCACTAGTCTTTATATTTAGTAGTTTTCTGAATTGTTTTCAGATGTTTCTTTAATATCAAATGTTATATTTTCGTTCTTTGTTTCTTTTTAAACAGTTTTCGCATATGATTTTGAAAACTCAACAAGAATCGATTGAATTTGCTAAAGCTCGATTAAACAAGAAGGAAAAACGATCAAAATCATCATTATCTTATTCTTCGAAAAGAGGTTTTTCTTTTTATTTCTTTTTTACTTACGGTTAATTAATTAATTAATTAATTTCTCAACTTTTTCAAATCTTTTTTTTTAAAAAAAAAGCGCTTGTATACCAAAATATTCTTGTTCATCTTCCTATTCTATAAATAGAACAGAATGCATTTTTTTCCCCATTTTTCAACGGATGATGTTTTTTATGCATGAAAAAAAAAACCACAAAAAAAAGCAACAAAATGCATGATATTTTGCATGAACAGACAAAGAAGATAATGACAAGGATTTATACTTATCAGCAGATGAGACAAAATCTGATGATTCTATGAGTATGTTAATTATAAACATGAATGTCGTTGCAGTGAGAAATCATAATGAATTTTTTTACTGTTTAAACGGTATAGAAAGTAAATCTATTAATCTTTTACAGGATTAATAGATTTCTTTATTTTCTTTATGATTTTTATTTTCCCCTTTTTCAATGTAAAGTATTTATTATTTCTTGTATACTTATATAACTTTGGTATGCAGTAAAATTGCTCGTAACATTCATGATTTATCATTTAAAAGTATCAAAACAAACAATAAGAATCACAAAGTTTGCATTTTGAACTAACATTTCCAAAGAGCAAAGATCGCTTTAATTAGCATGCTTAATCTTTTTAATACTGTTTTACACGCACACACACACAACTTTTCTTCTTCTTCTTCTTTTATTTAAACAAGAAATGAGCTTACCTATTATTATTATTACAGTTTTTCATTGCAGTTTTCTTTTAAAGCTATAGGCAATCAGTGAAAGCAAAAATTTTTGCTAGACACCATTGTTTTTTTTTTTTATAAAAGAAGAGCTAAATGAGGATATATTTTATATATAAGAAATTTTTACAGGAGTATCTAGTGACAATGAAAAGCGTCCAGCCAGAAAATTCCAGAGTAGAAACAGCGCAGCAGCCGCTAATGATAGTACGCTTAGTTTTTTTTTATCCTAATAATATATGATAAGAAAGGAGATTTGTAATTAGGTAGTGATCTTGATGTCGATGATGACGATGACGATGATGATGAAGACGATGATGGTGATGATATCGTTATCGCCGGTTCATCAAGTAAATCAACAAGACACCGATCAGACAGACGTGAAAGCTCAGGTATATTAAAGTCAATTAGCTTTAGATAATCCCTGTATAATAATGATACTAAAATCATCAATCATTTAAAATCATACATATATCAACTCTTCAGAAAGTAGTATTTTTACTTTTATAATTGTCATCAAATTACTTTTTGTTTCAATTCTTTTTAAAAAAACAATCAAAATTCTTTGTTTACTTCATTCAAATTTACCTTTTTCTGTTGCTGTTACTGTTTCTATGTATTTATTTAAAGAGTAAAGAAGTAAACTATCTTAAATAGTTCATATATACTAATATATAGTAAATACGTATTTTTTAATAATACCGAAACTAACTCTGCAGGTGATAGAAAGGATTATGGAGTGGTGAAATTTTCGTCGTCGTTGAAAACTCCAACTTTAAGCAAACCAAAAGGCTCTCAAGAATTGGAGAGAAGGGTACAATTCTTTTAAATATACTAATATATGTATTAGCTTCTATTTCTCTTTTTGTAGGGTTGGTACGGTTGTAATAGAAAAGGTCTTTTCTTTGCTGAAACTAATGATGTTACAACGAATCATACTTATACGTTTAAAACAAGGGAAACAACAAAAGTGTTCATAGCTTTAAAGTCATCCCTTAATTGGAAAGATATTATTGATACCATGCTATTTATTTTTGACGATAGAAATCACATAGTGGCCTGTTCTGACGAACATGACGAACTTGGCGTTAGTATTATTATAATTTATAGACAACAAAGAATATTATACATCCTACTTTTCTTAAATATAGAGAATTATTCTGTCAGCATCCCTAAAGCCAGGAGTGTATACAGTTGTTCCGCATACTTTTGGTTACAAATTTTCAAAAGCTGAGAGGAAACAAACAAGAAGATCAAGTAGACAAGTTGATCTTGTTAAATTAGAACGAAATGCTTATAGAATTACTGATGAATTTAAGTAAGCTATCATCATTTACAGTAATTAAATTTATTTATATAATAATTATCTTTACAATAATATTAGAACTGCGCTAAGCAAGATATTCGAAATGAATGATTTGGATAGCAATGGAAAAATGAGTAAAGATGAATTTTTTGTGTATAATATACGCACTTCCGGTGATATATGTAGAGAGGAGGAATGGAAGGTTGTAGAGGGTAAGAATTATAGATGAAATTGAAATATTTCTTCTAAAAAGTATATTACTTTTATCAGATAATGTAACAATGGAAGAGAATGAAATAACAAGAAAAGGTTTCTTTGAATTAAATCAAATGGAAGCAGATGAATGTGAAGGAGATACCGATGATCTCTGGGTAACATTAAATTCTATGGGCTTTAATAAACAATTGGAATTAACTAAGGTAAATACTAAACAAGCATACATTCATCCAAGAAAAAGAAAAATGACAATTTAAAAATTACCTAGGCTCATCCATTTGTTCTTCATGTGTATCAAGATAACAATAAACCAACTCTAACAATAAATCATTTCGAAGATAAAAAGAGTGTAAATGTTGGAATGGACCCTGTGATTTTTGATAAGGCCCTGAGCAGCTACATTAGAAGCAAAGGTCAAAGGAAGTCTTTGGATGATATCACAATCTATGTCATGGAGAAGGAATTTAATGTTCTTGTTGTAGCAATTAATGAGGTGACTTACTTTACTTTTGATAAAAAAAGAGTTAACTCTAACTACGTGTTAATTAAATAGGGAAGAAAGAAAAAGTTAAACCTTGACTTTAACAAAAGTCTCAATTTGGCAGCAATAGAAGAAGACTTAAACTTTTCATTAGAATTATCAAACGGAGAACAGAAGGTAAAGAAATATTTTAATTACTAATTATATTCATACAAACCATATTCTTAAAAAAAAACAGATTATCGACCTGTTTGTCGAAAATGAAAGGAGAAAATGGGAATTTCATCTATCGGCGGAATAGAATTGCAGAGAATTTATAACTTCTTTCCTTCCAATATAATATTATTCATTATTCTATATTAATTAATTTCATAATCAATAACTTAGATTTTTAAAATGAAGTCATAATTTAATTTAGCTTCGATTAGTCTTTTTATTTTTATGCAGTTAATTTCTGTGTCTTATATATGTATAAGTATTTGGTTGAATGAAGAATAATAAGTAAGTAATACAGATCAGTCACCGTATTCCTAAAACCTTATTTATTAAAAATCATATTTAAATCCATTCATTTAGTAATCTTGCTTATCCTGGTCGATCTCCTAACCGATTTTTCACTGTTTGAAATACAAATGTCAACTAAAAGAAAAACTCTTCATTTTTTATTTATTATTTTACCTTGAAGGTGAAAATGACATTAAATCTCCTGCAATAGCAGATTTCGTTTTGTCATTCATCATTGGAGTAAACATATAGGATTCCTGAAAGTACAAAATGCAATAAAAAAGAATGTCGCTTTTAAAATGGTATCTTACATTCGCGTCAGTTGTTTTGTTGGATATAGCAAGTTTAGAAAAATGCGTTGATGGAGAAGGCATAGAATCTAAATTTTTAAATGATATATATTAATATATAAAAATATACATATTTATTTAAATACCGAAATTTATAAGTGCGTTGGATGATGGTCTAAGGAATTCCTCTCCAATTGCTATTTTCTGGTTTTCTTGCTTTTCCTTTAGTTTCTTTTTTTTAAATTCAGCGAATTTAGAAGTGATTTTGGTGATGTCGACGGTTTTCTTTGAAACTTTTTCATTTTCTGATGCTTTCTTTTGGACAATTTTACGTCTTCGTGTCTCTTTGCTCTTCCAACCGTTTTCTCTCTTCTCTTCTAAACTTTTGAATTTTTTATCAACATCTTCAACTTGAAAGTAAACCATTTCCCAGAATCCTTCTAAATCCTGACAAGTAGTTTCTTTTTCACCGGTTTTAAATTCGCATGCATCAATTAAACCATTAAATTGCTTGAATCGTTGATTCATCAACAATTCCGCTTGACCAACAGTTGTTCGTATATCACCGGCAACTTCTTCATTTACGGTATTCTCGTTCAAGTACTTTTTCCACATAGCGCAAAACTCTGTTAATCTTTCGGTTTCTTCGACTAAGGTTTTTCGGAAATATTTTACATCTTTCTCGTTTTTATTTTCTTTATCATCGGTAAAATCCTGTGATTTTTCATCTAAACTAAATCTAGGCGGGGATTCCTCTTCCTCTTCATCATCATCTTCTTCGTCTTTAGTATTGTTGGAAATCAAAATGGTTGGCAATGACTCTACAATTAGAATATGTCGAAATTTTTAACACTTTTTGAAAAGAATTTTAACTCACTATTGCAGGATTTAGCCGCTCCTCTTCTAACAATTTCAATCATTGGGCTTTCAGATAAGATTTTAACTCTATAATTTTATCAACAATCAACATTTTGTAAACAGTTCAATCTGTTTTCAACTTACGCTTCTTCGGCATTTCTAATGTTTTTTAGTCTGCGACTATCCGTCAAACTATAGCTTCTCTTCTTCTTGGCTGGTTTTATTTTACTACCTGTTGACCTCGTCTTGCGTTCCATACGAATATTTGGAGTTTTAACTATAATTGAGATATTCTGTATTTAATATATCATCAATATCCATATATGCACTCAACTGTTATCAAAATTCTCTTCATTCGATTGATTTTTAGGAGTCCCTTCAGATAATTTACTCTTTCTGCTAGATTTTGGTGTCTTAAGTTTTTTTTCTAAAATGATTATTAAATATTACCACTTACAAAATTTTCTATTTTGTATCATTTTAATACTGACCTTTTTCAATTTCTGAATTTTTTTTGTCGTTTTTAAAGGATGAAATTCGACTTCTATTGTTTACAGATCGTGGTGTTCTTGCTGTTTAATTTCGTTCATTATAATAATTTAAAAATAAAGTATGACGAAGATAGAAGGATATTTAAAGATTAAATTAATCTATGGGCATTATTTGTTATTAAAAAATTCGATAACAATTTTAGATAATAAAATGAAAATAGTTAATTACCGCTTTCTTTCTTTTTCTTTTTAGATAACGCTTTTGGTACTTGTACTTGATCGGTTTCCATTGATTCCATAGATATGTTGTTTTCATCTGTAAAACTTTTGCATTCAAAAGAATGCTGTCCGGAATGTTGTTCTCCCCTCTGAATAATAAACTTTCTAACCGGTGTTTTCTTTTTGGGTTCTACTATTTTCTTTGTCAACTTAGCAGTTTTAGAGGGGATTTCACTTATCATCAGTTCCCTTTGTCTAAGGCTATTAGCAGTTGATCTTGTAAGCCTCTTAACGGGTTCTTCTCTAGCCTTCACTGGTAGTCTTTGTGTTTTAGCAGTTCCTTGCACTTTCATCGAAGTAGACCTTGCAACTTTTTTATTGGGCTTTTGATTAACCGGAGCGGCAATTTTTGTTTGGCGTGTCACAGGTCCCGACGGTTCTTTGATTTTCTAAGAAGGTCAACACTTACACCTTGCATTAACCTTTCTATGTTATTTAATATACCTTGACTTTCAATTCTGGAAGCTGAGCCTTGGTAACTTTGAAGATACTTTTCTTTTCCTTTTGCTTTTTTTCCTCAGCCTTTGCTTTTTCTCTCTTTTCTCTCCATTCTTTTAACTTTTCCAATCTGGACTGCTGTCTTGTATTGGAAGCCGGTTTGGCTAAGGTTCAACATTAAAAAAGCAGATTAACTATATATGATCGATAAATATCAAAATTTATTGTATACTTACCAACGGTTTTTTCATCTTCTTCGCATTCGTCCAACAAACCAGTAATGTTTCTATACCGATTGAACTTTTCAGTCCGCTTTTCTTTTCGTCCCTCAGACTTTTGAGTCGTAGCGCGTGTTTCCAATTTTCTTTCGTTACGAGATTTGTACATGCGTAATCTATATGATCCGTTCTCCATTTTGAAATTAAAATAATTATAAAAGATTCACCAACTATATTAAATCTCAAAAAGAAACGTAAAAACTAAAATTCAAACGGCAACTTCCGGCCGTTTCTTACTGCGCATGCATGACTGCGTCCATAAAAAGGTAAAACAGGAAACAACATTTTTGATACAGCGCCACATAACGGATAGCAGTAAATTTCTTGCGAACTTTGTTGAAATCCGCTAGGAACGCCACAGTATTGTAGATTATATTCATAAGCCAAAGAATGATAAGTCTTTTTAGCAAACAGTCTTAATTTGTTAACCCGTAATTTTTAGAATATTTTTCCATACACCACGTAAATAATGCTAACCCGTTCAAAATTAGAAATAAATTTCCTTCGCTTATTAAAAAAATGTGAAGAATTAGCTGAAGGAGATGATAAAGATTGGAGGTTTGAAAGCTATGTTACATCATTGCAAGACATGTTGTCAGAAATTAAAAAATCTCCAAATAAGCCAATGGGTGATAAAATAAGGGAATATGGAAAATCGGTCGAATTCCTGCAGAATTTATTAGCAAGTCAACAATTAAGTACAGAAGAAAAATGTGTTGCAGCAGAATTATTTGCTCCGGAATCGAAAAGCGCGTCTACTCTACGTCTTACCAAGAAAAGTCAATTTGAAAAGGATGCTCGAAAAGAGTTGATGGGAGAAAGCCGAATTAGAAAACGCAATGTTGACGCAAAAATGCTTTTAAAAGAGCAAGAAGCCGAACAAGATAGTATTGTTGAAAAGATGAAAGGCCTAACTAGCGCTATGAAGCATCAAGCTAAAGCTGCTGGGGATATTATAGTAGCTGATAGAAAAAAAGTTGAAGACAGTTTAAATGTTGCTGATACCAATTATGATAATTTAAAAGTTGAAAGTGACAGATTAGAAGAATACGTTGTTAGATCAGGTTGCAGTTGTGCTATGTGGTTAATGCTTATTTTTGTTGTGGCAACATTTATAGGAACTGTCTTATTTATGAGATTATTTCCTAAGAAGAGGTAACACAAGATATGATAAATATACTTTGAAAATATTATTTATTTTAAAAGATTCTACCAATGATAATTTGAAAAAGTAAAGAAAATAAAAAATCTCTTAACTTTATTAATTTCTTTTATCATTTGTCTTTTTTTCAACTTTTTCCTCTCCTAAATAGGCAATTAATTCACTGAAGTAGAAGAGAGATGAAGGTAGAAGCTGAAAATAGAAAACTCATTAAAAGCAAGTGCTTCACATTATTTGAGAAGCTGCTACTTTTAAAAAGTTCTATAACCTGCACTATAACTATTTTGTAGGAATTATGAATGAAAATAGTAAATAAGATAAGAAGTAGGGTTAAGTACTCTGTTTTCTATTAAACAAGAGACTTAACTCACATTTATCGAACCGAGTACATTTGTAGACGGATCTTATAAAATTTAGATTGTAGATGTATATACTGTATATATGTACATATAAATTATACTTATTACGTATGTTATTATATATAGATTACAGCCTATAAAAACTACACGTTGATAATCTAGATGTGAGATCCATGCCTAGTGTTTATAACTGTGGCGCGAAAAGAATATATATATATATAAAGGTAAATTTTAAAATAAAAATATTTAAAATAATAGTTTAAGTATGCATAGTAATTGTTGAACTAACGCCATTTTTCAATTATTTCTACAGTATAATTCAATGCCGTTTCAGAATGAATTTTAAATTGTTCTTAAAAAATTATTATGTCAGCTTTCTAAAATGGTTGAAAATATTCTTTATAAAGTGCCGCCATTTTGATAACCATGCTCATGTTAGTATTCACAAAGTGTGCACAGAATACAACTTTATACCGCACCGTGCTTTCCTACAGGCATGTTCTACTATTTCTTTAAATGTCTTTTAACAAACTTTATTTAAAACAGAATTTATTGACAAATAATGGCAGATTATTTGATAACTGGAGGAACATCTTATGTACCAGATGATGGCCTTGCTGGAGCTGAGTTATTCGGAAAAGGGGATGGCTACACATATGAGTAGGCTTTAAATCGTCATCGCTTATCAGATATTTAATAATTACACAATTTTTATTTATTAGTGATTTTCTAATTCTACCGGGCTTCATAGACTTCGCAGCAACCGAAGTGGTAAGTCAAATGAAAATCGCTTAGATAAATATTATAATAGAAGGGTCATAAATGTTCAACTTTGGGATAGGCTGTCATAGAAATTCTCCTTTTAACAATAACTTTTCAAGTATAACTATTTGAAAAAACCCATTTCTTTTGGAAATAATTTTTCTAAATCAGTTTAATGAATTATGAAGAAGGGGATAAAGTTTTCTTTTAAAAAATTCATACATTCTTAGACGCTTACGTAATAAACCATGAATAATTGAGGAAAAAATAAAACGTATCAAAGTTGCAAACCAAAGTCTAGCTCTTTAAAATAGGTCTTCTGAAAATAGCTGTACCGTCCTTGAAACTCCTATTGAGACATATCCGATAAGAAGCATGGGCAATATCAAATAAACGATAATTTACTAATTCCAATGAATACTTATTTTCATTTGACTGGTTATTGCTAAATCTATTTCCTAATATTCATACAACACTCCCTTAAACCACTATTCTTAATAACTTATTGATAGAAATATTCCTATTAGTGATTGTAATCTATTAAATGTGGGTATTGGCAAAGGTGTTTTTATTATTAATATCCTTGTCTCTATATTTATCTTTTATTTTATAATTATATAGGATTTAACTTCGGCCCTTACGCGAAAAATTACTTTAAAAACCCCGCTCATCTCTTCTCCAATGGATACTGTAACCGAATCTCAAATGGCTATTGCAATGGCTTTGTGTGGTGGGATTGGCATAATTCATCATAATTGTACTCCTGAATTTCAAGCTGATGAAGTAAGAAAAGTTAAAAAATTTGAACAAGGTTTCATATTGGATCCAGTTGTCTTGTCTCCAAATGATACTGTTGGTGAAGTTTTATTGAAAAAGAAAAGACTAGGATTTAGTGGAATGCCCGTAACTGATGGTGGAAAAATGGGAAATAAATTAATTGGTTTGGTAACACATAGAGATGTAGATTTCTTGGATGACGATAAATACGATACGCCCGTAAAGGACGTAATGACCAAATTTTGCGATTTAGTAGTTGCACCGGCTGGCGTTACTTTAAATGAAGCTAATAAAATATTGCAAGAATCGAAGAAAGGAAAGCTGCCAATTGTTAATGAAAATCAGGTAAATTGGTTTATTAATATTATTGGAAGTTTAAATACTGCATATACTAATATATAACTAATTATAATTAACCAACCAAATCAAAGGAATTGGTCGCCCTTATATCGCGTACTGACCTGAAAAAGAATCGAGAGTATCCCTTGGCTTCGAAAGATGAGAGAAAACAGCTTTTAGTTGGAGCTGCCATTACGACGCATAACGCTGATAGAAATCGCTTAAGACTTTTATCGGAGGCTGGTGTGGACGTTGTTGTTCTTGACTCGTCACAAGGAAATTCCATATATCAGATAGACACCATTAAATTTATTCGTGAAAATCATCCTAATTTACAAGTTATCGGTGGAAATGTTGTAACTGCTGCTCAAGCTAAGGTTTTATTTAGTATAGACTTCGTATATTTTAGAAACTTTATACTTATTTATCATTAACTTCGCAGAATTTAATTGATGCCGGAGTAGATGGCATAAGAGTTGGTATGGGATCAGGCTCAATTTGTATTACTCAAGAAGTCATGGCTGTTGGAAGGCCCCAAGCTACAGCCGTTTATAAAGTAGCAGAATATGCCAGAAGATTTGCTATTCCTGTAATAGCTGATGGTGGTATTGCTAATGTTGGACATATTGCTAAGGCTCTAGCTCTTGGAGCGTCTACTGTGATGATGGGATCATTATTGGCTGGTACTTCTGAAGCTCCTGGTACTATATTATCTTAAATAAATATTTGTATTCAATAGGGTTTCTTTTTTTGACTAGGTGAATATTTTTTCGCCGACGGAGTTCGTTTGAAAAAGTATAGAGGAATGGGTTCACTTGACGCTATGGAAAGAACTAAGACTGCTGCGTCAAGATATTTTAGTGAAAATGACAAAATTAAAGTGGCTCAAGGTGTTGCTGGAAATGTAGTCGATAAAGGTTCAATTCACAAGTTTCTTCCTTATTTGATATCTGGAATTCAACACTCTTGCCAAGACATTGGAACGAAAAGTCTAAGCATTCTAAGGTAATATTTTCCGCAAACTTCCTATAAAGAGATAGTAAACGAATGTCATTTCAGATCGACGATGTATTCCAGCGAATTGAAGTTTGAAAGGAGAACAAATGCTGCCCAAAAGGAAGGTGGTGTACATGGCCTACATTCGTACGAAAAACGTTTATTCTAGGTTACTTTCTTATGATTTTCGCTTATGTTCTATATTTGAATAAAGAGATTCGTTTGTCTTTTACAAATTCGTTCCTAATCTTTCTTGTTTGACTTATATGCCCTTATAAAAGTTTTTATCATGAAAATATTAAATTACTGTATCGATTTAAATAAAGTGTCTGTTATATTGTAAAACGCACAATGATGTAATACAGGAATATGGCATTAACAGAAACAACATTGTTCAAATAAGGTTGAATTACCTTTCAGATTTTTTTAAAAAATAAGTTTACTTTTTTGCTCGTCTACCATTTTTTTTTCACAAGTTAAGAATAATAGGAAAAGAAAGCTATACTGTGTCAGAAAATTTGTCGTTTATCAATCAAATTCTTCTCTATTTAAAAGATAGTTCGATTGTTTTATTAGAGATCTTTATAGTATCAGAAAAATATGTAGCACAATTTATGTAAACTATTAAAAAAAACATGACACATTTGTAAACAAATAAACAAATATCTCTTTACTAACTTTAGATATAGTCTTTTCATTTGTATGCAAAAAAAGAACAGATTTGCAGTTTTGTCTCTAAAACTAAAAACACTAGAAGAAAATTTCACTTTTCATCAAAAATATATATATGTATATATATTATTTCATTTGATTACAAACAAAGATTAATAACAATACACTTACAAACATTGATATAGGAGGGAAGAAAGAATATTATGAAACTAAAAAGAGCTATACTATCTGATAAGTTGAAGAATTTAATTTAGTACAAATGCATAAAACTATTAATATATATATTAATTATTAGAATCTATATATATATATATATATATATATATATATATATGTGCAGAAGGCGTAAACAAAAATTTACGTGTAAAAAGAAATTATGCGGAATGTTTAGTTTCCTTTTCGCTCTCTCCAACTAAATTTTGCTTATGTAGAATTCAATAAACTTTTGATTATCGAACAGCTAGAATATTTCAAGGAAAGGCGAAAGATTGATTAGCCAAACAAGCAGGTGAAGCATCAGTAAGAAGGAATTTATAGTCATTCAAGTCGCTAATAAAAGCGATCTATATCCATTGAAATATATTCATATATGTGTGACAAAGTATGGCAGTCATAATGATGACATATATACAGTATATATATATATATAGATATATGTATATGTATATATATATATATATATATGAATATACTTATCTAATATTATTTACCTTATAGGTAATTGAAAAAGAAGAGACATTGAAACTATCAGACCTACAGGAAAGAAATCCAAAAACCAATTTTCGAAGAAAAGAATTACTAACTAAATTTAAATTGAGATCCATTTTGAAGCACTTCCGGATTATCCTTCCTAGTCCTTGAAGGAGAAATGGTAAAAATATTTAAAGAAATTTTAATTAATTAACACTAGCCCTTGAAGACAAATCCAAAGGTACTATTTGGTCGGGTTGATGATCGCAGAAGGAAATTGGTCTATAAAAGACTTTCACGCAGAAGGATCCATCAACAATAAAGGGTGATTTCTCATCCTTCAGGCACTCAACGTCGATAACGTTATCAATATCTAGAGGCTCGAATTTTTGAAAGACATGATGATGGTTGACACCATGGCTAGCAAACAAAGAGCCATTTTGAGATGCATAAAATAGGACAGTAACTTCAGCCTCCTCTGGGGCTACTCCACCCCTGTGAGCTATAATCATTTTAGTTCTGTCAGATGATTTGGCCAAATTAACTTGACCATTCCATAATGATGTCAAATAGTAGCCAAGTGGATAGAAGGTTACTTTAAGCTTACATTGACGTTCATGAGTTCCACCAACTGTTAATGGAACATTTAGAGCTCTTTCTACCTTAGAGCTTACTCTGGGGCAGCTTCTATAGCTCTTTCGAATAACATCAGTGGAAATTGAATATCTCTCATCAGTATAATTTCGGTAAAGCACAGAACACTCTCGCTGTTGTTTACAACCTCTAGCAGACAAAGCGTGATATCTATACGCCTGTAATAAGTGTTCCGCAAAAATTGCATGATATTTCGTACAGAATTCGCTCATTTCAAAGCGTTCTAAATATTCGGGAAAAATCATACAGAATCGTATATGAGGTAGAACGAGTGACAAATTCTTTTCAAGTTCATTTACTCTATGTTCTGCCTGTTATCATAAGTAAATTTTAAGATAAGATTTCTGTCTCTCTCAATACATATATACAGTATATACATCTATTTACCTCTAGCCAACGTACAACTCCACTTAAGAGTTTAAACTCGTTTGACACAACCAAATCTGACCTCACTAAAAAGGAAATCAAATGATCAATTTGTAACCAAATCCAATCTTCTGTTTCCAAAACTGAATCGATATTACACAACATGAAAGTGAAACATTTCTGTTGAAGTTGATCGCAACCACAAGCAACGGCGTATTGATACCAGGTAACTGCTCTATTACTGCTTGCTTGAGATACTAAGTGTCGGGCCATGTAGTCGGTACAGCAAGTTTTCAAATCTTGCAAGTTATACTTATCGGCCAAAACCAAAAGACCAAGAACTGTGTGCACTTGCAGTTTTATTTGACCTGAGTAGATGTAACTGTAATAGTTATCTTTTATTAGTATAAAAGCATATCATCTACTAATTATCCTATTATTTAAACAATTTAATACCTAAGAAATTCGTTAAAAACTGATAAACATTCCTCAGGCTCCTGTAGCACAAGTTGATCTTGACTAGAATCGCTCCAATTGGCACTTGTAAGCATTTGTCTAAAGTTCATATTTTTAAAGAGAATTCTATTGGAAACAAACAACGTTTACTTACTCAAAAACATCACTTGCGTTTGCCAACAACAATTTGTGAGCATAAAACTTTTGGCCATCGACAATTAATGTTATATCACTGAATTTAGGATTGTTGCAAAGTTGAGAGAGTCGTTTTGTACATCTTCCCCCATTATCAATTTCTTCGGATGTATCAGTTGAGGATTCTTCTATTTGTCTGTTTTTTTGTACAAAAAACGGTACTATATAACTATTCGGTGTGATTGATGGTGTGAACGTCGATTGCACAGGTTCAACTTGAGACATTTTATCTGCTTCAACAGATCTGTAAGATCGCTCACAAAAATCCAAGAATTATTTTAGAATTTATGCGCCTTTATACCAAATATATAAATATCTATTAGTAAATAACTCTTTAAAATAAACATCTTATTAAAAAATCAAGTAATGAGTTCATAAGTCTTATCATTCCCCATTTATTCCACGCAAAACACAGCTGGATGGTCATGTGACCAAATAAACATCTAAACTGAAGTATGATCAATTCCATTGCATAGTCCACAATAAATAAGTAAGAAAAACTTAAAGTATAATCTATAACTTTACTAAGATGTTTTAATTAATAATAAAACGCAGGCTAATTCCAAACAATTTAGACGTCATTTAGCTTAAAATAAAAAAATGATTTGAATGTTTTATGTATATATAGTTAAGTATATGGCATTTCCTCTCCACTCTTAGAAATATCGCTCAGTCCGGTCGACAAAAAAAAATTATTGAATCATGTCGAAAGCTACGTCTGAAAGTTCCCAAAGAAAACGAAAATTAGAGGAATCAGTATCAAGTCCTGCAACTCACGATGGCTACTACTCACTTTCAGATCTTAACTTTAATCCATTTCCTGATAAAGATAGGGTATTGAATTTTCTTGAAATTTTATAAATTTATTTGCATATAGTCTAAAAATATTGAATAACTTTGCAAACAGATAGGTCAATGTAGAAACGTTACAGATTTCCAGAAACTGAACACGATTGGAGAGGGAACCTATGGAGTAGTGTGTAAGCGATTTATTATATTTTATCGATGTAGCAACTCGACCAGCTAATGAAATATTAATAAAGACAGGGCAAAAGATTGTTCTACAAATGAAATTGTGGCTCTAAAAAGGATAAGAATGGAAAAGGAACGAGATGGTATTCCCATAAGTGGTCTTAGAGAAATTAACATTCTATTACATGTTCGACACGAAAATGTCGTTAGGTTGAAAGAAGTTGTCGTTGGACAGAATTTAGATAGGTCAATATTAAAAACCTTTTAAAGTCTTTATTATTATTTTTATTGATTTGTATTACAAAATAAATTAATTTCGTTTAGTATCTTCTTGTGTATGGAATACTGCGAGCAGGATCTTGCTGGGTTGCTTGATTATATGCCTAAACCTTTCTCAGAAGCTGAAGTAAAATGTATTATTTTGCAAGTTCTAAATGGGCTATCCTATCTACATCATCGATTCATCATTCATAGGTTTATTCTACAAGTTTATAAACAAATAAAATACTTTACTAATAAGTTTCTCTTTTTCTAGGGATTTGAAGGTATCTAATTTATTAATGACTGACAAAGGACGCGTTAAGATTGGTGAGGAATAGACGCTAAAAAAACATTTATGCATATGCCTAAAGTATTTAATTTCTGTCCCTATCCAGCTGATTTCGGGTTAGCTCGTAAATTTGGAATACCTAAGAAACCTTTAACTCCTAATGTAGTTACTTTATGGTATCGGGCCCCGGAGTTGCTACTCCAAAGTGAAGATCAAACAACGGCAATAGACATGTGGGCTAGCGGTTGTATATTAGGAGAATTGTTAGCCCATAAACCCTTACTTCCTGGTAGATCTGAGACAGAACAAATAGCGTTAATAATTGAAATGTTTGGAACACCTAATAATAATATTTGGCCGGTAAGCTTATAAGTAAATTTTGTTATTAAAAATTATACGGGTATTATTTCAAATTTTTCGCAGGGTTTTTCAGATCTTCCAGCTTTGAAGCACTTTAGTTTGAAGAGGCAACCGTATGTCTTTTTACCCCATAAGCTCTCGTTGAAATTTTATATTATACAGGTATAATAACCTGCGTCATCATTTCCCACTATTACAAGATGCTGGCGTCCGCCTACTCAATTACATGTTTATGTATGATCCAAAAAAACGGTTATATTATTTAATGTACTTTGATATTCTGTATCTTTTTAACACGTTAGACCTATTCTTGGAACAGGGCAACCGCTAATGATTGCTTGGAGAGTTCTTACTTTAAAACAGCTCCTTTACGTAAGAAAATTTCTTATCCTTTTATGATACTAATCACACATATTTGTCCTTTTTCTTTAATTAAATAGCCTGCAGTCCGGAAATGATGCCATCTTTTCCCCAGCATCGTAATGACAGGAGCACAGCAGTAGAAGAAAGTAGTAGTAAGCAGAAAAGTCAAGTTTATAAAAGTAACCAATCGAATATTTCCCTTTTGGTATGTTTTTTTTTCTTTAATTTATCTAATTGACTAAAATTATTAAATTATCTTTTCCTTCAGCAAGCGAAAAATAGACGTTTTTAAATTAAATTAAATGAAAGAAACATTTTAGTAATTAAACCAACTTATTTGTTATTTTTCTCGTTTTTTTTGCTCGTTTCTTGTTATATGTTTACGAAAATAGAAATTGCATATAATAAATTTCATTTTCATACAGAATGTTGTTTTCTTTTTTGTTTATGACCTTGAAAGTCTGAAAAATATTAAAATGTACGTTTTTTTATGTGGCTATATAGACATACTTCGGCTTTACAAATTTTTGTGAAGGTCACTTTGAACTCAATGTTTCGAATGGTATAGTTAAACTAACAAACCTTTAGGATTCTTTTTTTTATAATTAAATACATCAGTCGAGAAAAACCCTTTTAAAAAATTTTGATTGAAATTTAGTTCTCTCATTTTATTCCATTACTATCAAATCCCTACTTTTTGATGATAAATGTAACTCTCACTGTCGCTATCGAGCTCATTAGGCAACAACGATTTATCAACAACAACCTCTTTTATAACAATTTATGACTATAACAATATTTAATAAGTTACGTAATTCTAGAAAGGACTTTTTTTTAAGTTTCGGAAATAAGAAAACAAACAAACAAAAATAACAGCTAAATCTTCACTTAAATAGGCAAGTTGGACAGTTTTATTAGACATTAACCTCATAATCCTCCTTAATATTGTAATTTATATTAAAAATCAGTTTAATTATGATAACACAAACAGCAAAGAAAATTTCGACTAGCTTATTGGAAATTTGTTCAGGACTTAGATATACCCATATAGTTAAAATGGCGGCTATCGTTAGAGTTTGTAAAAATGGTGGGATTTTGTCTAAAAACATTAGACTTTTGAGTTTGTCATTGCATAGACTAAATGAAAAAAATGAAGCCGAAGCTATCACACACACTGGGCAGGTAATTAAGAAAAAATAGGACTGATTTTTGACAATTTTATCCTTTTAACCTCGTCCTTAATCGACTTTCATATATTTTAGCAATATTCTGCTGATGATTATAGACGTGCCAGATTTGAAATCGGACAAAAAATTGTTGGTAGTTCTCTATTCTATCTAATCCATCAGTTAAATTACTTATTTTTAATTAAGGTTACCAAGAAATTCGCTATCGACATGATCAGAGAAGATCCAGTTGTTGTAAGTGAAAATCGCGTTGTTTGGAGTGATTCTGGCGGTGCCTTGGGTCATCCTAAAGTTTATATTAATTTAGTAAGTTAACAGTTATTTCTCATTAATTTCCATCTCGAATTACCCTTAAACTAAAACTTTCAAATATTAGTATTTTCCTTGTATATCTCCAAAGTTACACTGTCTGATCTTTTAAAGATTAGTGTATCGTATAAGTAGATTATTCAATGCAGTCGGGTGAAGAGAGTAATCGAACTAACTTACAAATATTTTTAAAAAAACAAACTGCAATAAGAGTGTAAACATTCTTCACATTTCATTATAGTTCGATCATCGACTACAAAAACAACTATTGAATAACCACCTAATTAGTTAATTTATGATAATTTTTTTCTATTGATGTAATCATTATTTTATATTTTAATTTTTGTTTTTTTTTTGCCCTTGTAGAAAATTGCTTAAATCACAAAGTTATAAATATTTTTAGCAGATGTTGTTTGTTGATAATGAAAATCAATCAGATGTCTCTACACTCGTCCAAAATCAGCCGAATCGTTTACACAATCAACTAATATATAATAAAATTAATAGTAATCCGTTTTAGTGGCGGCTTTCGTGACAAATCAAGACCCACTGTCGAAAAGAGAAGGCAGATGGGATTTCTTAAATCATTTACGTGATTTGGGATAAAAACACGTTTCTTGATATATGCCAAAATAGTATTGAAAAGATAAATACCGCGAAACAATATGCTATGCGTGGTATATAGTTAACATTTGCAGTATCCAATAAAGAGAACATCGTTGTTACGTAAATAACTTACTGTAAGATTTCATCCCAGATTATTAATAGGGTTTTTTTGTTGCCAAAAAAAAGACGAGAACTGGTTAGAGGAGCGAGTCTTTTATGCTTAATATTTAATAACAATCAAGTGTATCTATTTCAGGATAAACCTGGTGTACACACTTGCGGGTACAGCGGAAGAAAATTTGTCAATAAGAAATACTACGATGAAAAGACAATGGGGCCGTCGATTTCATACGATGAATACTTATCTCAAGTCCGACCTAAGGCTGAAGATTAATAGGGAAAGTATCAGAGGTTTAAGAACTGACTGATCAACTATTGTGCGAATGTTTAGTATGAAAGTATTGTTAAAAAGTACAAAATTCGACGAATAAACATTAAATACGATACTGTTTTTACTCCTTGATATATTTTCCTTCTGACGCTTTAATCCTATATAGAATCGATATCTCTTCTCTTATTTATTATTTATGTTAGTTTATTGAAAGAATCCAAGGTGAAAGCTTAAAGATTGTTTTTCATGAATTTTAAAGATCTCGAATCAGACTTCACAGGGCTACTCGTAATCATTACGATTTAATACAACAAACAAGATTTCAGTATATGTAAATACACTTACATTTGTTTATTTTTTTCCCAATATTCTATTATAGTAAAGATTTAACATGATTTATTGATTTCGGCCCTTTGATCCCTAATAATTTTAAAAACCACAAGATATTATCAAACAAGCCCCTGTAAAAAAAAAATTCCCCTAAAAAGATTTCAGATTATCTATAACAAAATCCCGTTTTCTCCCCAGATGGCGCTGTCAGTCTCTCGATAGCGAACAGAAGACTTTATGGCCGATTTTCCACTTTCGGAAACAATAATAATATTTTTATAAATATAAATAGAGCTTGTCGAAAAAAAATCTTACCAGTTTACGGCCTAAAGCCAATCTCATGCAATGTTCTATTTTGATGATTTACATGTTAAATAGTATTTAGGTCATAACTATAGGTAATTGTACAATCGTTGGATTGTAATTACAGTGCTTTATACAATTTCTTCTCGCTCTCTCGTAAAAGCCTTAGTATTTTTTATTCTAGTATTTCAACAAGTATCGATAAGAAATGATTATTTATTTAAATAAATCTTATAAAAAACTGTTTGAAATAAATTAATACTCGAAAAATAAATTATAACTTGTTGCGTAATCTGAGAAGTAAAGTTGATTAATCTATTTTGTAAAAAATAGCAGAATTCTTCGGAAGTAGAATAGGAACACCTGCCGTAAAGTGAGCGTGAATAACAAGGCATTGAAATTGCCCTAAGGACAGTTGGTCACCTATTCACAACACTTTTCTGGAAAGAAGATTTTTGTGAACGTTTTTGAGCGTTTATCCATGCTTGCTTATTATTTTTAAGTGGCCAACAAAATGTAATAGGTTTATAACAGAGAGAAAACACATGCACTCGATTCGCAGTACTTCTTTTATTCCTAATTCTAGGAAAAGATAGAGTGCAAAACCAAAGTTGAGCGAGGAAATCGATCGAGCAAAAGAAAGAAATTCCTTGTTATAAAAATAAAGAAACGAAAAGGACGCCTTCTCTCTACCCCTCGCCAAATGCTGTATACTATTATTAGCAATCAGCGTGACGACTCTTGAAGAAAAGGAATAAAGAAGTAGGTGTCACCAGTGTTTATATAGTCTCAAAGCCATCTTATAAATGTACTATACATAGTATACAATATTGTCCAGCTTTACTTTAGCATAAAGGAAGCCTAAGGCGCATGAAAGGGCTATAAACCGAAATTAATCATCTTCCAATACAAAAACTAAAAAGGTCGAGAACAGTTTAGGAGTTTTATCCAACAAAATGGTGCGGGTGTCATGAAACGCTGCTTGACCCCTTGAATTTTCACATCTGGTAAAAATGCTTTTGTGGAAAAATGCATTTTTTACAAAGCGTATATATACTTTATCATAAATATAAATATACCACGTTCCGCATGCTATAAAATCATATGATATTAATTAGATACCTCTACTAATCTTATATAATGCCATAAATATGCCTTTTAAACCTTCGGTTGAATATTTATACTTTAAAAGGACATGAGCTTCTAATGATCTGATACCATATAAAACAAATCGTTAAATCAAGCGTCTATATCTGGTAGACTGCTTGATTTAATGATTTTCCATCAAACGTTTTAGCCGTTGTACACTAACGATCTTCTTCCTACAGACGTTATTTATTTGTAACTATTTTGTTTATTTGCTTATTATAAAGAGATTTTTTTTCTCTCATTCCTCCGGGAAAAATCAAAGCATTTGTGAAAACTTGTATTTACATAATAAAAGAATCTTACAAAAAGGGAAAGGAGGCAAAAAAAGGGAAAATACTCACGTATATGCTGACAAACACACACACACACACACACATATATATACATACATACATACATACGTACATACACACGCATATACACACTAAATGCTTTTATATATATATATACGCATACGTACAAACGCACATCCATGCGTACGCTCTTGTAAATACGTTGACAGACAAACGCCCAAATAGAATATGCTCTTGTACAAAATAGCTAAAGAGGTAGAGGAATCGACTTTCAATCGTTTCAGATAACGGATAACCAGAGGTGATATAGGCCTATGGCATTCGACCGTATAATCCTCTTGGTAATGATAGAAGAAAACGGAGTCGGTCGTATCAGTATATAAACGGTAAACAAATCGACGAAACGCGACTAATAGACGCTTGATTTTCCTTCATTTGCATGACAATATTCCCTCTACAGAGAAGAAATGGGGTGGGAGTGAAAGAGAGCGAAAGAAATGTAAAAGGATTATCATTGTATTGATTAATTAGTTTAGATAATTTAAATTTATCCTAGTATTGCTTCTAGAGCAATTAAGTGAGGAAGATATGTTGCAGAAAACAATTAAAAAGCAAAGTAATTGCATACTCTTAAAGTAAAGCCGCGACAAACTAAGGATACAAAAAAAACAAAAAAAAAGAGCAACTACTCCCGACGAGAATCGAGATGAATAATGATCTAATTCTTTCCTATCCGCCTCACGACCTACTTCGCGTTATATATGAAAGCGTTTATGTGTACCTGCTGGTAATTTATGCATGACCCTATTTTGACCTTCTATAAAAACGGTTTGTCACGTTCGCTACAAGAAAAACATAGACGCTCCTTTTCGTGTTTACCGTATTCTTTGATTAGAAACAGTTGTGTTTGTCCTAACTAGTCGACACATTCATTTTTTGCAATCGTTTTACATTGCATAGCGCAGGCGTATTAAGAAAATTGTTTGTTCCTAAAACCAAGACACGTAAAAGTTAAAAAAAGAAGAAGAGATATTTACAATAATAACACGCTTAATGAATATTCATTGTGCAGCTTCCTTCTATTTAATACAATATGTAAATGTGAATGTAGAAATTTGTTTGTCTATAAAAAATAAAGTGTAAAATGCATTTACAAAATGTCACACTTAATGAATATTAATGAGTAATGCGGGTATATCGAAAAAGACGCGACGAGCACATGTTTGTCAATCGATATCAATCGTGTTTTTTTATTCGGTAACCTTTTACCGTAATCGCATCCGCGCATTATATAGTCTTTTTATATATAGTTTTGTAGACCCAATAAGCTTTAATCAATGGTAAACCCTAAACTTCCGGAATTTTATTGTTATATAAAGAGAGAGAGAGAAAGAGGAGGAGAGAGATAGATAGAGAGAAACGGAACAAAGGAACAGGTGTGTCGATTCTGATCATTAGTTTTTTGTTTGAGTGAGAGACGCTCAAAATTGGAATGATACGTTAGGGAAGTGTCGTTAGGGTATTATCTCACGATACTTTATTCGCACGCTTCCGAGTAGAAGGCGTCGATGCGGGCAAACGTTAAAACAACGTCATCTCGCAACTGATAACTTAATTATATCGTTTAAAAAATCATTGTTAAATATTATAATTTTATTAAACTATTATCCTATTAAGCCGTAGTGAAACTAATATGGATAAAAAAATACGAAATAAATAAATAAATGAAACTATAAGCCTATGTATACTCAGTTAAAATTACCTTCAATCATTTACATAACAAACAGCCCTACGCCCCTACACCGTCAGCAATATTTTACTTTCACCTCATTTCTATCCCACTCCCTCTAAATTCACTTTTCTTTGCTCATATCTCACAAGTCACCGGTTACTAGGGAAATTGAAGTAGAAAAATTCTCAAGGTCACTCTATAACCTTTCGAAATGCAATCTTCCGACCTTTTTATCGCTTATTTGTAGCTGGGTAGACCGAAAAGTGTGATCAATTGGGCAAGTGAAAACGTAAATAAAGAATTACTAACTTGCTTCTCTTTCTATCTGTTTTTTTTTATACGTGCAATTTATAAACAAAATGCAATGAGTAAACGTATTTTCCAAAATATAGCGCATTCTTTTCACTACGAGCGAACGGAAGAAGAATACATCGCCATATTGTGCCGAAAATCCTTTTCCTTTTATAATTTACGCGTAATTTAATGCGGCAAGTGACAATCAATAAATACCGTAGATGTCATATAGCCATTTTTACAAGGAGGTCGAGGACGGTAACTTTAGATGAATTTTTTAGCAGGTTATGTAACAATATATTTTTGCGTGATCATCTTTATCATCGGGATTCTATTGTGAAAAAATATTTTCCATAGTAATCATTAATGTTTTATAAACAAAGAATAGACATTTCCTCTTTTTTTATTTATAAAAGCGGTGAGCCGTGAAGGAAAAAAAGGAGAAAAACCACTTCCGGTCTCGATTAAAGAGTGCAAATATGGAATAAGGAATAGCTACAGTCTTTATAAGTAAGGGAAGAAAAAAAAGTGACGCCATCGGGAAATTAGAAAAAAAATCCGTTGTAAATAGTATTTATTAAATACTTAGATATAATAAACGTATTTAAATTAATTTCATTATCGTTACTAGCATTGGTTCTTAGTGATTAACTTACGATAACTTAGAGGCGTCAACTGTCAACTATTCACTTCCTTTTTTTCTCTCTTTCTCCCTGCCCTCTCGTTTACTCTTTCCCTGCCGCCCACCCACTCCCCCCCTCTCTCTCTCTCTCATACACACATACACACACACTCTCTCTCTCTCTCTCTCTCTATTATTCTAGGCCTGTTCTGTCAAGTAAATAAAACTCGTATAGACGGATTAAGGTCTGCGTATTTCCGTCGCAATATCATTATTTTTCTTCTTGGAAAACAAAATAGACACATCATATAAACACATTTTAGAACCATAAGCTAAAAGTGTTTGTAGGAAAAATCAATTAATCTAATGTAAATAGACGCTCAATTTGATGATCCGGTTGCACTTTGTAAGATAAAAAGAAATTCTTGTATACATGAGAATGAAAGTATTTCTGACCAGTTATCTCCTAAACTCAACTTTCACTGTTAAAGATGCTGATTTAATTAAAATACTAGAAAATTTAATTAATTTATCATCTTTCAATAATATAAAAAAGTACTTACGATTAGTTTTTTTTTATTTTATTTATTTATTGTTTCTTCTTACATAACTGTTCATTGATTTTTTAATACGAGCTGTTTTTTATTACTATGTTTGACCTGTTATATCGTTCAATTTGGTTTTGTAATAAACAATTTTTATAGTATATTTTATAAATAAAATGAGGGGGTGGGAGATAGGGAGAAAGGGAAAGAGAGAGAAGAAATGGAATTAATTATTGAATAGTTTTAAACGTTTATATTTAGACGATTTAACTTCGTTTAAATGTCTATTTAGAGGTGCGAAAAAACCTAGTGAACGGCAATAATGTCGTAAACTTCCTGAAACTTATTTTCTCGAATCACTCCCAATAGCCCTTAACACATACTATATATTTTCACAAGTTTATAATACAACTGCTTATCTCAAGATACTTCTTATCAGTGTAAAGCTTGCTCTATTTATCTACCTCATTTTCTGTGGACATACATAACAACAAAAATAATCATCACCCTCATCGTGCCAATTATCTAAATTACATAATAACTAAGAATCAATTATACCGCTTAGTAAAGAACAATCGCACTATTTTTAACATTGACGTCCAATATAGACGCCTACGAACCTAAAAATAGCATCAGTATAGCGCACAAGTCGTAAAACGCAGTTTTACATAGGAATAGGACTATGTAAATTCGGATACAATAGACGCCTATGACGTCAGGAGTAGGCGATTTGAAGAAAGGCACGAGGCTCCACAATGTTTATTGGTTGGTTGTGGAAATCCTATAAACTGGCTCAAATTCCCTATCAATGTCACCAGCCCTTCGCGTGCATGCGATTGGGGTACCAGATTATCGCGTCGTTGACCGTGCCAGTCCATCAACAGTATTCTTCCAGAAAGCTTGTAGAAATTTTTTTTGGTATAAAACTATTACGCTAACAGGTAAATAGAAAAAGTTTATTTCAAATTATACTAGTTTATGTAACTTGTACAAACTAAAGATGGATCGTAATATACTTCTCAGGCCTAATAGACATAGAGCTTTTTCTTTGTTTAGACTATTTTATATAGGTCATCGATTAAACGGATATATTGTAAAAAAAATGCACCTGTTCAATGTTTGTTTACAACTAAAGAAACTGTCTATTTGTTTCTAGGCATGACGCTAGTTTTACGGCCGAATGGAGCGTTCAAAGGCGTCACTTCTTTACAATCGTCTTACGTCAATCGAGAGACGCAAACTGGTAAGTAATATATAAATTTTCTACTTTATTTTTAGTTTCGTTTGTCGTGTTAAAGCTGATAGTTAGAAAAAAAAAAATCACTATTTTAAAATTTCAATGTCTATGCAGAATTACTAAGTTGTGGCGTAATACTCATATTTGTAATGAAATATTCATTAGAAGGAAGTTTCATGTTAAATTCACGGATTTTTAAAATTGCGCCATCTATTGCTTTTAAAAAATCTATTTAAAAGAGTACAATCAGTCTTGATTCACGTAGTTCTTTATAAATGAAAAATACTTTAATAGTTTTACTGAGAATCAATAAGGAAATGGGAAATATCATTAACTCGAAGATTAACATGAAAACGAGTGTTAATTTTCATACGCTAAAAAAAAAATCACCGGACGCTTACAATATCACGTATACACCATTGTGCTACATTGTGTTTGGATAGTTCACTTAGATTTTTAAAGATAACAATACAAAAATACTATCTAATCTCTTATTACCTTTGGATAATACCTTGTTACCTTTAATTTTTAAGAGATTTACTTGAAAAAAAATTGTAATTAATATATAATGAGAAACATCAGATGCTATTACCGTTAACTTGGCTAACTTAGCATTATAGTTATTTTTACTGTATTTCTTTGAATTTTATAGACGACGTAAACTCGATGACGTATTTAGATCTTGATCTTTTATCATAAGAAGCTCTTTAAGCTTGTGACTCTATAATCGCCAGTGTTTTACGTTTATTACAATCAATTCAATTTTAAATAAGATTTAAAACGGAAAAAAAGGTTATTCATAATCGATAAAAACCATAAAAAAAAAACAGCTGCTCTATATTATAATACAGAAAAAAAACCGCGTTTTCACATTCTATTTATTAAGAACAACTGACCTCTTTAAAGTTCCTACACGGTATCCGATGGATTTAATAAGACTAATTAAAGAGCATCTGCAATTAATATTAGGTTTTTTATTTCTTTTTTTTTTCAGGACGTAGAAACGACTCGATTCTATATACATAATATACAAGTCTATCTTTCCCCCTCCCCCCCCCTTCTAACAATCCACCTCTCTTTATAGATGTATACAAAAAACGTTACAGTTTAGATTAAGGCCTAAACAAATTAATTAGCAATAAATTTTATAAATGAGAAATAGACTTATCGTTGCTCTGGTAAACTTTTTAGCATTATTTTTTAAATAGTAAATGAAATAGTCTTGTTACTTGTAAACTGAGCATTTTTTTTTATTATCAAATAGCCAATTGTAAAGCTTTCAGATGTATATCGGAATAATGGAAAAATTCACTTTCTAATAACCGTTTGATGTTGAAAATAAGAAAAGAAAGAAAATCTATACAATTTCTAAATTACTATTGTATTTTTCTTTCTTTCCTCCTTTTTTTTTCTTTTTTACTTATTTCCATCTTTTCTATTCGCCCCACAAACCTTCCCCCCCCCCATCTTTTCTCATCTATCTCTCTGTCTTCATTTACTGCCCTTTTCACCCCCTGCTAGGCTTCTTCTTTCACTCTTTTAAATTAACCATTAAATGCTTACAAATTTCTTGTGAAATTCTTTTCCCGATAAACTCACTATTATGTAATAATATATAAGCAACCTTCGTAGTTCGATTACTGTCAAAGATGTAATCTAAGTTGACCGTAGCACGTTTACGTTACCAATAGATGGCGTATAGTTTAAGAATAACATATGCTTCTTACAGTTTGTTAGTAGTCAAATACGATCCGACGTTATCTCTAAACACTCTATAATTTTGTTATCCTACTAGATAAATTTTAAGGTGTGATAGATCGGAAGAATTGAAAAATAGCAGTTTTTTTTTTTAATTCTAATATAGTTGTTAATGGCATGTCTGTGTAATTGTTGTTTTTTAATTATTGTACTAAATTTTCATTTCACATTTACAGCAGATCAATCAAAACTCGGAAAAAGACAACGTGATTCAGATGATGAAACGGAAGAGATTGATGTTGAAACGTCTCCGCCCCCCAGAAAAAGGATTACACCGTTTACAAATACGCCTATAGAGAAAAAAGAGGAACGACGACGACTTTTACGAACTTGTCAATCAAAAATCAAAAAGTTGAAAGGATACGATGAGACACTGCATAGACGGTTATTGATAAATAGCGTTACTAAGAGGGTTATGGCAGAAATGAGACGTGATAAAATGATTAGAAAATGTATGTTTGAAGAAGACTATATAGCTCATTTTGACGAGCCTGTTGACAAAATACAAAATGACGATTATTCTGAAAAAATTTTCGGATCTGATACTCAAAATTCTCCTCCAGAGTGTTCGGATAAGGTTGTTCAAGAACTATATGAACGTATGCAGATATTTTTCCCAGAACTCGATTCCGATAACGATGTTAAAGTTGAAGACCAATTTTCAACCTTATCTGCTGATATGGACACTGTATTTTCGAATGCTCTACTCGATGTCTCTTAATATCATGTTACAGAGAATTCAATTTTTTATCTATGTATTTAATCAGTTCAATTTATCGTTCAAATGTTCTCATAGTCTTGCTATAATTGTTGTAAATTTGAGAATATAAATATTTATAAATCTTTAAAAATATGTATTTCTTGGCGCGAAATATCACTAGAGCGGTTTCCTGGTCAAAGTAGTGGTTTTTCTCTGATCAGGTTCGTAAGCAGTTTCATGCAATAGAGAAACAAACCCCTACACATTAAATATAGCTAGTTTAATTCCATTGTTCAGCCACCAGTCGCTTGTAAGAAAATGGTTCTTTACTTTGTCAGCAATGGTAAGGATATATTCAAATTTATTTCGTGACTACAAAAGTACTCATCCCACGTTTCAATCGAGTCATGAATTTCGTAATTGTCTCTTTTCAGCTGTATCACCATCTTACACGATTTATATGGGAGAAGATAAATTTGAAAGTTTGTGTATATCAAATAATTTTGTCGCGGAATACATTTTTAACATTTTCCAGATGAACATCTTATAAAGTGGGGTTGGCCGGAAGATGTATGGTAAGTTATTTTATGAGAAATAATGTTGTATAGTATTTTTACGAGATGAGACATTTAAAAAAGCACAAAGTAAAAACATTTTCTTCAATATAACTCATTAACGAAATTTGTTTTATTTTGTATAATTAACTTCATTCTATTGTTATTTATGTGTCAACTCAAAAAAATTTGAATTGTATATAAGACATACTATGTTTTTTATGGTGAATAACGAGCATATAGATGGCGTACCGAGTATATTGAAGTATCTCGATTAGCTCTACCGTATCGCTTGACTTTTGTTATAGATTTGTTTATATACATAGTATATGTATACACTCTTATTACAATCAAGGTTTCACGTTGATAAATTATCATCGGCTCACGTCTACTTGAGGTTGAGAAAAAACGAGACACTGGACGATGTTCCTCAGGATGTTATCATCGACTGTGCCCAATTGGTCAAGGCGAATAGTATTCAAGGGAATAAAATGAATGATATCGATGTTGTTTATACAATGTGGGAAAATTTAAAAAAAACTGGAGGAATGGAAGTTGGTCAGGTCGGCTTTCATCGTGAAAAAGAGGTAAATAGTCACAAGTATTGACCTTAAAACTATAATTTTTAAGGTTATAACGTAAAAGATGAAATATACCAATTTCTATTATTAGGTTAGAAAAATTCGCGTGGAAAAAAGAACTAACGAAATAGTAAATCGATTAAATAAGACTAAAGTAGATAAAAAAGATGTTGACTTGCAAGCCGAAAGAGAGGAAAGAGATAGGAAAGAAAGAGAAGTACAAAAAGCAAAACTAAGAGAACAGAAAAAGAGAGAAAAAGAAGAAGAAGAGAAAAGACAGAAGGAATTGGAAGTTCGTAGTTATAAATCATTAATGAAATCAGAAAATATGACATCTAATCAGGATGATGGTAATGATAGCGATGATTTTATGTAAAATTATACTCAATTAATATAACTGTCAAAGAATTTCACTCTAAAATGACAATACAATTTTAATACACACTAAAAAAACTGAGAAGATCTTTAACAGATTACAATAGGAAACCGAATATTTACCGTCTAGAAGCTTACATGATATGATTTGCAACTATGGAGATATATTTCTGATAAGACTTTTCTGATATGATAATAAAACTCGGTTCCAGTTTCAGAACGATATTCCAGGTTATTGCACGCATATACTCATATACTAATTAAAAACACCCTGCTTGTTTATTATTAATACCCTGAATTGAGTTACGTTATACGCATTTTATATAAATATTATTCGACGTCTTTTTTATAAAAAAAAAAGCATGCAAAGTATTTACACGGAAACAAATGGAACAATATCATTTCAGTTTTTCCAGCTGTATAGAATATGGCGGAGACTGATTTTCATAGGAGTTGTATAACGTCTATAATTAAATAGATTCATGTACAAAAAAACACCAATGTTAAACTGTATACATCTATTTACAATGAGTTATGTTTATTTTAACATTGTAAAGAAATAAACTTGATGTCTTTATGTTGATGATTAGTTTCTTTTTCAAGAGAAACACTTTATTCTTACCTCTAGTTATCTTTTTGTTCAGAGTATAAGGGTATTTATACATTATACGATAGTTTCTATATTAGCTTTCCCTTACTTTTAGCCCACTTTTTTGTTTTATCATTTTTGGTATTATGTGCATGACGCTTCTTATCAATTTATGATTTTTATCTATGAAACGGTTTAATTATTCATAAAAATTAAATTCTTCGTGACTTTCTTAAGTTGAAAAGGGATGGCAAAGTTTGATAAAGTTTTTTCTATATAAATCTGGTTACCTGTTCAAATCTATTATGTACTAATATTTTATCATTGTGGAAGGGATAACCATACCGTTTCTTGGACTGTTACTCTTTTAAATTAAGCCTTTTCGGTTTAGATTTGCTACCAGACGTTAGTCTTTAAAAAACAACTTATCTAATAACTCTGATATTTCACACTTTCTTTAAATTCTATTAAAGAACTTTTGGAGCAAAATGCTTTGGAAGGCGTGTGCTCTGCTGTTTTTCGTTGCATCAATTGGCTCTTCTTTTGGTGATCGTAACAATATTACAGCAGCTAAAATATGGCTTGAAGAATATAATACAGAGGCTGAAAAAGTACGTCCCGAAGCTCAAGAAGCATCTTGGACATGGAATACTAATATAACAGACTATAACAATCGCCTAAAAGTAAGTTAATATTTTCATATAAATCATATTTCTTAAATTTTTTTCAATATTATTTCAATCTTTTCTCCCTTCACACAAAGTATGATGTTAACCATCAAATATCTTTGTTAATCTTTTAAAAACCTTAACGAAAGAGGAGATTATCGAGAGTTTATATAACTTTTGAGTGGATTAAAAGAAAAGTTAAGCACTTAATTCATTTTCTCCTCAACTAAAAGAAGCTGTTTTATTGTGTAATGTACAAAATGGGCTGTAATCAATATACTAAGATTTTGATAAGATACTGCAAATTTCAAGTGTTTATGAGCAAATTGTTTGATGAGAAAATTTATTATTTCTAACAATGTTTCTATTGTTTTTCAAGAGGATGAAAGATGTTTACTCTCTCATCTTTTAATTTCTGATCTATTTAGAAACAAAACGTTAGTTTTCCACTAAAAAAACATTAAAAAGCTTTTTCTCGTATCAATTTGTTATAATGTTCGATATACAAAAAGTATAAAATATATACAAAACACATATATGCTATTGTCCATGTGCCAAGAAACAGCAGATAGAAAGGTCGACTGATAACTATGTATAATATAGTCTTGAGATATAATATTCTATTTAATTACCTTTTCCAGCTACCTGTTACTAATAAAATACATTCTGCTATCTTTTATTAGAGAGTTACGCCTATTGAGTATCTGTTTAGATAAGACAAAATGTCTGTAAAGTATAGATTATAACTTAAGAATGTAAATTAGAATAAAGTTTAACATTTTATTTTATCGCTAATTTTCATGTTTTAAGATTAAACTCTATTATCTAGTGTACGTCTTGATAAATATGTATTTATAACGTATTTAGCATATAAAATAACCTTACTGCAAATGAATAAACAATGGATAAAATATCAAATTGAAGTTTTATTACTATTATTTTCTTTAATTTCAATAGTCAAATTAAATTATTTATACAATATTATAATTATTATTAAATGTCAAGTAATTTATTGTATTTATAACCCAATTAATTGTAACTTCAATATGTCGCTTTGCTTTTATTATATAAGTATATTTTAGCTATTAAGTTTATCTTTAAAAATGTTCATTAGTTGGAAGCTGAAAAGAAGAAATCTGAATTCGATAAACGCTCTTATAATCAAACTTTGAATTGGGATTGGAAAAATTTTACCGAGATCAATGCTAAAAGACAATTCTATAAGATTGCCGATATTGGAGAATCGGTTCTACCGACAGATAAATTTCAACAGATCACTAAAGCAAAATCCAATATGCAAAGCGTATACTCAAAGGCTAGAGTTTGTAATAAACCTGGAGATCAGGATCCATCCAAATGTTACCCATTAAATCCAACTTTGGAGAATATTATGGCCAAGTCAACTGATTGGAAGGAGCTAGCTTGGGCTTGGGAGGGATGGAGAAATGAAACTGGAAGGAAAATGCCCGATGATTATGAAAAATTTGTTGAACTAGCAAACGAAGCTGCCGGTATGAATGGCTACACAGATAATGGAGACTATTGGAGAAGTTGGTACGAAACCGAAAACTTTGAAAAACAAATGGAGGAGCTATTTATCGGTTTGAAAGACTTGTATAAACTACTACATGCTTATGCAAGAAAAAAGCTAAAGGAAAGATTTGTTGGTCATCCATTTCCCGATAGTGGTCAAATTCCAGCCCATCTCTTAGGAAATATGTGGGCTCAGAGTTGGGGAAATTTGTTCACACTTTTAGCTCCCTATCCCGGAAAACCTTTAGATGTAACTGAAATGATGAGGGAACAGGTTCTTTTCAATTCTTTCTATCACCTATTCAATCTTTACATACTAAATTTTCTCTCTTAGAACTATACTACAAGAAAAATGTTCGATTTGTCTGAAAAATTCTTTACCGATCTCGGTTTGGACCCTATGCCACCCAAATTCTATAATGACTCTATGTTGGATAAGCCAGAAGACGGTAGAGACGTTGTATGCCACGCATCGGCATGGGATTTTTACAACCGAAAAGACTTCCGGTATGAAATTTTTTAACTTGAATTTCTTGTTAAACATAACATCTTCAAGTATGGAATTTTTTATATGTTTTCTTTTTATTTCTAATTTTAAAAGTATTAAACAATGTACTCAAGTGACAATGGATTGGTTGATAACAACGCATCACGAAATGGGTCATGTTCAATACTTTTTGCAATACAAAGATCAACCAGTGGTTTTTAGAAGGGGTGCCAATCCAGGTTCGTTTAATAGTAACAAACAAACAAAAAGCAAATAGAGTTTTTTATATATTAATAGTATTTTTTTTATTTTGTTTATTTAATCTTCTTTAAACTTGAATTGGCGTCTCTAGTTGATAAATATTTTGTTTACGATTTTCTCACATTTACTCAGGAATACTGAGTGACAACTTCATTTAAAATTATCATACAGAATCAAACAATGTACTCGAATAACTATGGATTGGTTGATTACAACACACCATGAAATGGGTCATGTACAATACTACTTACAATACAAAGATCAACCAGTAGTATTTAGAAGGGGTGCCAATCCAGGTTAAAGAAGTTTAAATTCGCAATAACTTCATATCTGAATTAATATTTCCCACAATTTGCTTATATTTTTATAATGTTTTAATATAGGTTTCCATGAAGCTATTGGAGATGTTCTTGCTCTGTCTGTATCTACACCTAAGCATTTAAAAAAAATTAATTTACTCAGGCCAAATCAAAATCCAGATGATGAAGGTTTAAAATATTTTATAATGATGATAATTTAATTAGTGAAATATTTTTTTTATGTATTTGTTTTTTATCTTAGAACTACAATTAAACTTCCTTATGAATCAAGCTTTGAAAAAAATTGCTTTTATTCCCTTTGGCTATCTTATTGACCAATGGCGTTGGAAAGTATTTAAAGGAGAAACTAAGAAAGATGAATACAACGAAGACTGGTGGAATTTAAGATGCAAACATCAAGGTGTCTCCCCACCCGTCCAAAGATTTAACACAGATTTTGACGCTGGTTCTAAATTTCATGTTCCAAACAATACACCTTACATCAGGTAATAAATATATTTTCTACTATAAAAAAAAGACATGAAAGTACAGTTCCGATGATTGTTTTTTCCAGATATTTCGTAAGTTACGTCATCCAGTTCCAATTCCACAAAGCTCTTTGTAAGGAAGCAGGACACAACGGCCCATTACACAAATGCGATATTGATCAATCCACAGAAGCCGGCAACAAGCTTGCGTAAATTTTAAATTACACTTAATTATGGTATGCATATTTCCTAACTCTAATAAATCCAATAGAGCTATGATGAAATTAGGATCATCCAAAGAATGGCCTGACGCAATGGAAGCAATAACAGGTATATAACACAAAGATAATTAATCTTTTAATATCGTATATTCATTGAAAATTGAACAACAGGTCAAAGAAAGATGAATGTCAGCGATCTTATAGAATACTTTGCACCATTGGAAGATTGGCTTAAGAAAGAAGTTAAAAATGAAACACTTGGCTGGGATGATCAGTGTGGAAGGGTTAGTATTATTACTTACTAATACATATAAATACAGATTTACATGCATATAAATATATAAATTGTTATAGAATTTTACCATCCCCACTCCCCCTCCAGTAAGATAAATTTAATACTTTAGCAATTTACCATTTCTTATATTCAACAAAAATTTTCAGACTTCACCTCCAACTACACCAACACCAACACCCCAATCGTCTACAGTTAAACCTACTAGTGGTTTTGATAGTATCCATAATAATAAAACTTTTATTGGTATCTTTATAGCAATTCTTGCTATTTTTGTGCGATAAATACACACTTGCGTTTAAGCATAGTCACTATCTCTCTGTCTCTTGTAACTCAAAGCTGAGCATTTTTGCTACATAAATTCCTTTTATATATCTTATCTCTCTCTCTCTGTTTGCTTAATAATTGCAGATATTTTAATAGTTACAAAGTACTCTAATGATACATATTGTTTGTCAACAATAACTACTTCTATGTTTATTTTAGTTTTCTGATTTCTGAATAAAAGATTTAGATGGATGTATTAACTTAAACAGTAAATAAACTTTAAAAGATACTAATACATCATGTTTCATATGTTACTATTATTTTTATTTACAAATAAATAGAGAATTTCTAATTGAATATGTAATTTAATTGATTATTTCACTTTAACTGGAATCTTTGAACGATTTAACCAATTTCTTTTCAGATTTGGGGTAATGGAATGCGGACAAAATCCATATTTATAGCTATTTATATCATTTTTCATTGAATTAGATTTAATCGATTTTTCAATGACTTGACCATTATTTTCTGGATATTTCAATTCTTTTGTATCTGTGCTAAATGTAAAAGTTACATCAACACTTTCGTCATCTCCTTCTGTATGACTTCCTGAGACTTCTGATTTTGATTTCATTGTCGTTTTAAACAAGTTCACTTTATTTTTTCGATTACCGGATATTGTCTTTGTTTTAGTGTTTGACCTTTTGACCGAGTTTATCGCTCCATCAACGTCAGTTACAGATTCTAAAATTGATATTGGGATGCCTTTTATTTTTGACGATAGGGTTCTAGCTGTATTCATTACAGTTGGACTACAACTTCTTCGTCTTGGGGGTGATACTAAAGATTTCTTAAGCCTATTAGAAGGAGCTTGAATTGAAAATGATGCAGCTTTTACAGATTTTGATCTTTTCATTGGAGTTCTTTTCAAACTTTTGACTGTTCTTAAATATTCGTTTGCCTCTAATCTGACAGACTCCATCTCTTTCCAAATGTTTTTATTCTCTTCGTCTATTTGTTTATATTTGCCTTGGTAAACTAAAAATAACTTTTCGATTTCATTGAATGAATTTTTTATATTCTCCAAATTTTTACTGACATCTTCTTCAATTAAATATTTTTGGAATTCCACCATTTTTTTATGTTTTCCTTTCTTTCCTTTCAGATTTTTTAAATTTTTAAATCACAATCAAATTAAACTATTTAATTTAAAGGTCATTTTTTCCATTCAGTGCTGAGATTATTCAATTTATTATTGTAATTTGAGAAGAATAGTCAAGTTATTTGTAGTAAATAATGATCTCTTTGATATTTATTATTCAAAATTCAATAGTTTTCTTTCTCTACAACAAACAAATATTTATATCACTTATATTCTTGTAGGAGGACACTTATACACATTAGTTAAGAAAGTTTTAAACAATACAACCATGCTATTCCAACGCGGCTGAAGAAAATTTAACAAGTACCCGGCTATTATATTACGAAAAAGACGTTTAATGGAAATTGGTGCGAAACTTATTTTGACAGTAAGTTTATTTTGAATCGTAAATACCGAAAATGTATATATTCCTCGATGAATCTTTAATAAAGTTACGTTTAATTGTTTTTACTTTCAGACAGGGTACCATTTTAAGATAGAGATGTCTCAGAATCAATCTTTATGCCATGATTATAACTGCGTTCATTATCATATAACTGATCCGATTCCATCAGCAATTTTGTCAAGAGAAGAACTAAACGTATTTTATATTTTATTCCATAAAATACAAACAGCTCTGAGGCGAGAAAAAAAAGACACCTTCAAACAACCTTTTCCTCCTGACTTTCCTTCTTTAAGTGTCGGATCGAAGAGAAAAGTAAAGAGTCTCCAATCTTCAAAAGAAGAAAGTGTAAAAAGCATCAGAGAATTACCTCTGGATTCCGTCAGATCAAGAAAGAGAATATGCGAAGAGGCTGAAAGAGGTGTTTATTGACATTTTTGAAAGTTATTCAAATGTTTTAAGTCAAAGAAAATTTTCTTCTTTTTTATAACTCAGATCGAAGCTCAACGCCAATCACAATTTACAATAAAGGAATGCTACTGGATAGACCGAAAGAGGAAAAGATTCAGAACGTATTAAAGAATGAGAGTGAGAATTCAGAAGAGGACATCGATGACATTATTGAAATGAATGACTGGTCATTAGTGGAAGTACCAGAAGAACAGTCGTTAGCGATCTGCGGTATTAGCAGGTTATTATTGCAGTAAGATCGCTTTTTTATAGCAAATAGTTTATTATTAATCTTTCTTAGGAATCGAAAAGGATATGAACAATCACGAACTGTTATAAGAAGACGATCCTCGAGAATTGTCCAATGTCTTGGAAACTCATCAATTTATCTAGTAGGGAGAATAAATGAGGAAGCAGTTTCGAAATACGGTTGGTTTATTTTTTAAAAAGAGGCTATAAATCAGTGTATTGAAGACCTTTCAATATTATAAACTTAGACTTCTCTCAAGAAATGATAGCAGCTTTTAAAAATGGATTTCCTCCTGACTGGAAACAATACGTTAAATATCACTATAAGCAAAAGACTATAAGAGATCGAATAGAGCAGCCAATAAGCTACAATGTGAGAGACAATTTGAATGACAAGGTTCTTCGTAGACCATTGTACTAGTAGTAGATTGATTATTAGGAGAAGTTGGTGAATTTCGTCTAACTTTCACACTGCTTGGGCTATTTTTTGATTCCTTTTCTAATTAAAAGTATCTAATCGAATACTTTCAATTAATTTTGTTTATAATTAACCAGGCTTATAAAACAACAGTATTAAATTTTTGTTTAATAACTATGTCATTGATTAACGTAGATATAACAATTGTTAAAAAATGTTAATAAAATATTTTGGTTTGTCTTTTCTAAAGTGAGAGTATTTCAAATTCAACGATAGTCTAAAAAAGATTATTTTAATTAGATAATTTATAATAACATTTATTGGTTCTTACCGTTATAATATGAAACGTTTTGATAAATATTTTAAGGCTGTATGAAAACATTTCAGAGTTTTGAAAATGACTCGGCGACATTAGGTCTTGGTTGCAATTCGAAAAACTGCTTCCATATTCATATGAAGGACAATTACCTGATAGAAGTGTTATCGACAGAAGAAATAAAAATTTTCACAATGCTTGTTCAAAAGATTCAAACATTCAACGAAACAAGGTTTATAAAATTTGGCATTTGTAAAGATGAAGTTAGAAGCGTCCTCTCCAGAGACAGTTTCGATAGACAATCCTCAAGACAGAACATGAACTGTGCTAGAACAGTAAAAATTGAAGATAGCAAGTCAGAGACTGATTTCTCAGACTCAGAGGGAATAGGTAAAAAATATTTGGTGATTAATTGAGTAATTTGAAATAGTTATTTGTAAAATAGATGGGAGAAGAAAACCTGAAAAATTTGCTGTAAACAGTAAGATTAAATTGATTGTTTTGTCGGCCTCTAAAAAAATTCTATGTGTAATTACTAACATTTCTATCAATTTTGTAGATCAGAGAAGAAATCCTTCAAAATTTGTTGGAAATAATCCTCTCCTCGAAGACCTAGAAAGCAAAGAATTGAATGAATCAATAGAATATGAAATGGATGAAATTTGTGAACCAAAGTTAGGCGATTTTAAACAATTATTCAACTGGTCACTTGTTGAAAATAAAACCGAAACTGGAATATTTTATATTGGAATAGAAGGGTTCATTAAGTATATTTTTTCTTGAATTAGTCTAGCTCTTATATTTAATAGCTGTTGTTTTTCAGCGACAGTAAAAATGATATATATAAGTCAGATGAAGTTGTAGAACGCTGTAAATCAAATTTAGTAGAATGTCGTGACGGCTTGTTATTTTATCTTGTTGGACAATTAAATATTACTGTTACTCTCCAAAATGGTAACTTTCTTACATCTGTATTGACTTGATGTCTAAAAATATAAAAAAATTCCTTAATTTTAGGATTTTCAAAAAAAGTTATCGATCAGTTTAGAAATGGTTTCCCAGAAAACTGGAAAGATCTCCTTCAACAGCATCTTAGAAGAAGGAAAATGAAAAGACCAAGTTTATTTACAAAATGAAAGTTTATTCAAAAAATTCTTGAAACGTTGTCCGAATTTTCATTCTCTATTAATAATTGTATACTTTTCTGTTTTATTTAAGTTACTTTTATAAAAAAAATACTACATATAGTTTTTTAAATACAGTCTTTTAGAATTATTCTAATTCGAACATACTCACCTTGTAAACCGGAAGTCACTACTAAAATGATTTAGGCATACCCTTTATTTTGAAAAGCAGGCGCCATTTATCTGGTCCACTCTAAAAAATAAGAATTATTTTTCCTCCTCAGAGGAATTCTTAATATTTTACCGAAAATAATATAAAGGATATTAGAATGCCAATCCATCGAAGATTGTGTGAGCCTATGAATTGTGTTCATTTTCATATATCGGATCCGGTTCCTTCTGAGCTCTTGACCAAAGAAGAACTAAATGTTTTTATGACTCTATTTCATAAAATCCAGTACGCTCTTGAGAAAGAAGAAAGAGAGGAAGGTGGTGAAGTTTTTAAGAAGCCAGTGAACCAAGCTAGTACCAAGCCAGTGAAGAGAAAGTACAGAAGCTCTACTCATGATGATAGCAGCTGCGAAGACGATATTAACTATGTAAAGCCAAAGAAAAAACTCTATGAACGAGATTTTAGACCTCGAAAGAATTCAGGTAAGGTTCTCTTATACTTTTGTTGATGAGACGAAAATGAAATGCCAACAGATGACAGGAGTTCATCGGTTACGGCCAATTTTTTTGAAAGTGGAATGATTTTGGATAATTATTCAAGAGAGGATAATTGTAAAGACGGTATATAACCCGTTGAAGTTAATTTTACAATCTTATATTAATTATCAACTCTTACTTTTTCAGAAGAGTCATCTTCAACCGCCACCTTTTTTGAAAATGGAATGCTTTTAGATGAAAACCAAAGGAAATCTGTTGAAAAAGCTGACAGTAAAGATTCATCAGATTTATTTTATTTCATTGAGTTTTCGAATTGGTCTTTGATGGAACTTCCCGGTTCACCTGCGATATTAGTTGACGGCTATATAAAGTAAATCTATCGTTTGTGTAAATAAATAATATTAATGAATTATCATTTTAGCGGAAATAAAGGAATGTTGGAAAAATCGTATCCTGTTGTAAAAAGGCATTCTAACAACTTTATAGAATGTTCAGATGGATCCTTCTTTCGGCTAAACGGTGAAATGAACGCCGAAGAAGCAATAAAATCTGGTTTGTTATCAAATAATATCTTTAGGAGGAATATACATTTCGAACTGGTTTTAGGTTTCTCGAAAGACTTAGTGGATGCATTCCTACATGGCTTTCCACCAAATTGGAAAAAGTTTATTAAGGATCATTTTAGAAGGAAAAAGGCAAAGCATAAGGAATACCAACAATCTTTGCCATATGAAGTAAAAAGGAGCCAGCGAAGACCATCCTACTGTAGAAACGATCTAACTTAACTATTCTGAAACATATTATCATTCAACTTCATACTACTTTTGTCTTTTTATAATCTGTACTATCTTGTGTTTAAATCTTCGTTCAACACATGGAAAAGTGACGTGCAGATATTATAACAGAAAAGTTATTGAAAAAATTGGCTTTATGAAATATTAATGTTCATTCCGGCCTGATGACTTGTTTTCACTAAATGATTTCAGACGTAGCTGAGTAATTGACAATGTTAATTAATAGTTAAATTTAAACAAAGTATCTAAAAAAATTTTGTACATTATCCTTAATTGATTAATATGCATGAGGCTAGCAATCAGATATACGTAAGCCAAAAGACTCATTTTCAAAGAGAAGAACGGATTTGTGACTAGATCGAATTATCAATAATTGAAAAGGATAAGAGGAGAGAAAAGAACCTTTTGTAATTGATATTTATTGATTTCTCTTACGAATAGCATAAACGTATTTTTGTTTTTTAGTTAAGTGAAATTGTAAAAATTTTGCATGAGGTTAGGTTTTGTTTTCAAAAATGACATAGATGTTTTAATGACTCTTCTGGAAAGCTGATATGTTCAAAAGAGAAATAAACAAGTGGCAAAGTTAAATATAGGGAATATGAAAATATTTCCATTAAGTATCCGAAAATTGTGTTTTTCAATGTGGCAAATATGTAGGTCATGTTGTGAATGAAAATTCCATAAGCAGTATATATCTATTAAATTGAAAGGATATAAATAGAGAAACTTTCAAGTAGGTAGAGGCTTCGGTTAATGTTTATCTGATCGTTAACTTAAAGTATTATGGTTGGTTGTAGTCGAGCAATTCGAACAAAAAGAAAACAATTTAATTTATCAATCATTTCATAAAATAAATTAAAATTCTTGTATTTCATAACTCAATAAACTTTTCAACACAAGTGCAATTACAGGCATTGAAAGATTGTTTATAAATATATATTAGAAGTCTACCCAAAAAGTAGTATTATTACGCCTCCTATAAAAATCACTTGGGTTATCGCAAATTACAGTGAAACTCTTATCTTCGTAAGTTTTTCTCTTTGGTAATAAGTTCTTTTTTCTACGTCTTTTGTTTTGAGAGAACTTTGATTGGGTCTCAGTCTCCTTAAAGTAAAACTGAAGTCGTGAGAAACTAGTATCTATTGGGTGTGTTATTTATAGCTTTAAAATCGGAATGGTGGTAATTGTTTGGACTTCAGTTGTACTTTAAAGTCATTTTTTAGTCTTCGATTATTCATCAGCGATTTTGACACAATTTCAACACTTGTTTTATGCTTAGGAATCATAGAGGGTTCACTTCTAACATGCAAAAGTGTTCTTGGGGGAACTGGGGTTGTTTTGGTAGGAGCACTATGGGAATTAGAGGTATTTCTGTTAACAGTCCGAACTGGTCCCAAATTAATGCTGTTTCTTTTCAAGGGTCCTCCAAATTTTCTTGCCGGAAGAGGTAATCCTCTTGAAGCCCTAATCGATCTTCTAAGAATTTCTCGTAAAGCATGAATATCAGCGTACCCAATCCTAGGCCATGGATTACTATTTTCAATGTCAAGCGCTGACACAGCAAGAGCTCGGCCAACTTCTTCATAGTGAGTTGGAGTATATTTCGGAGGAAAAGATGCTGGAGGAGGTGGAGTAGCACGGCCATCGTCACCCTTTGCAGGAGGAACAGCATTTAAACCTTTACCAGAATTGTAGTTGCACTCTAGTGTATAGCTGTGAGTAATTCCGAAAGTCTTCCAGATAGAAACTCTACCTGAACCTTCTTTTGACAGCCCGTCTCTCTTATCTCTGGTATACATATTTTTCTCAGTAAAGTTACAGGCACTAAAATCGAAGTGAGCACTGTTGACTGCCATTAGCTTGGCATAAAGAATGTTTTTTACCTGTGTATGAAAGAATAAAAATTAATGAAAAGGTAGATGAAACTTGGACAAAATTACTTGTTCTTCTTCATCCGGCAAGTTATTTCCATATAGAAAACACCCTCTTTTAGAAGCGTGTCCATGTAAGTCAATATAAAAGGCAATTCCTGAGATTTTCTTCTCCATATCGTTATTAATTTTTCCAGTATTAATGAATAATGACCCTCCTTGATTATTATCTTTATTATGCGAATTAATATGTTCTAAAACTCCCGAAGTACTATGTTTGTCTATCGTTAAATTTGAATGAGTATCATTAAGAACAGGAAGAGTGGTTTGCCTCTCTATAGAAGCGATAGAATTAGTTTTGCTAAATAATAACTTAGATCGGTCTAATGCTACATTTTCTTGATCAGATTTTTGTGAGCCGGAAGAAGAGCTCAAATCCTGGAGAGCAGTAGAAAAATCTTTATTTTCACACGTGGAAAGCTGATTGTCGGGTGAATTGGCATCATGATGAAAACGGATAACGGCTTTAGCAGCATAAATAGTTGGTTGGAGACTAAAATCAGGTTGAAGGTAATATCTATTTAAATTTGCTCCCCTTGAATCCGTTCTATAATGCCCCATTTTGACTCCATCAGGATTAAGTATAGGTATTAACTTGAAAACGTATTTCCTGCGCAATTGTTTGGCTCTTTCGTCGTTTTGTCGAAGTATGAGATCTAAGAAGCCGTTGAACACAAAGCTGGATGGTGTTTCACCAGGATGAACTCTGGAGCTCACAAAAAACACCCTTTTCTTTTCAAATTTCCTCGGCCTCTTCTTCGCTCCATCAGGAAAAAGATGTTCGTCAAAGACTGGTTCTAACTCTGAATGTATGCCTTCATAATCAGATATAGTTAAGAGGTCAACTCGTAGACCATCAATTGATCTACAAATATACATAAAAAAGATAATGTACTTTGAATGGAACTCTCAATAAATTTGTTGTAAATTACCTGCACAATAATTCACGGTGATAGTAAATTTCGTTATCTTCACGAAAGCGATCGTCCAACGATTCCAGCATTTCTTGACACTCCAAATAAGAGAAAGGATAGCAAAAAGCAAAGTAAACTGTTGGTGCAGTATTAAGAAAGCGATGGGTAAAAGTTAATCTAAAGTCATTATCAACACTCTGCCAAGTTGGACGATCCCTGATTCTTTCCCATTTTTTACCAGATTTGACTAGAGGAGCATGTCCTTGAGCGAACAATTTCCCTTGTTTATTCAAATTCATTATAGTTATTTTAATAACTTTAAGCATAGTTCCTCCCCTAACTCCAAAATGAAACCAAGATCTATATAATAATGGGTAATTATGACAAAATAGCAATAAATCATAAAAAAGGATTTTTTAAATAAATTTATAACATTGATATAATTAAGAGAGTCTTATATATAGATATAAGCACTTAAGAGCATTTATTAAGTCTTTGAATTAGTTTTTGATAGGTTTGTTTACTTTAAGTTTTCTTTTGTGCTAGTTCGTATGCATACAAAAGGGGCGAGAGGGAAAGAAATTATCAGTAGGCATACACGTGCTAAATGCCCTGTCACTAAAATAGATTAGCAAACCAATCAATCTTAATACAAATCTATATTTAACAGAACCTAATGAAATGGACTGGATCTTAAGATTATATGCTAGGCCAACCTGTTTCCATTTTCATATTCTGTCCCCCCACAGTCAGGTTTTGTCCATACTTGATACTCATAGTCGGCTTTGACCTCTATACTATTCGTAGCTAAAAAATATATACAATTTGTATGAAGAGATTTGAGTAGAATCGCAAAATAGCATGATTTTAATGAATCTTTTTATGAAATGTATTCAATGATATAAAATTTACCTTCGCTTTCTTCATCGCGGAGCACTTTTTCAACTCTGGCTAGATTAGCCGAATCAAAATTTGCCAAAAATGTCAATCCACCACAGCGAAATTCAGTCATAGCATTTTCTCTCTCAGATTCTGATCTTCACTGATAAGAGATGATTGAACGATTTTTTAATAATTGTCAAATATCTGTTCGTTGCCAAGTGTCACTGGCCTTGGATATGACCGATTAAATTTTATGCATTATAGATCATATATCTTTCATGATTCATTCGAGGGAAATTAGCAGTTTTCGAATAATAGCTTAAATCTTCCAGTAGTTATTTTGGTTGCCATCACGTGATTAGCAGTTACAAACCAATCACGGAGATATGGACTATTTTTTTCCCCTAATTTTCGTTGAAATATTTCCAGCTTAATTTTAATTAAGGCTTTAAAGAAGAAATAATAAATTTGATACATTTCATAAAAAAATTATCCGCATGTAAAATACGTAGGTAAAAAGTAGATCGGCCGGATGTAAGTGTTATTCTTACGCTGAAGTATGAAGAACAACAAAATGATTTTATGAGCAGAACAATGGTTAGATCTAGTGCTATTTGTAAAAATTGTACCGTAAGATATTCTGTATAATCTCATATAGTATACGTAAGATTTTATTTTTTTTAAATGATAAAATTAAACGTCTATGCCATTTTATGCTCCTGAGAACTTGACGAAAAGTCCTCGTTGTACCTCCGATGTAAAGTAAAATTAGTTTCATAAATTATTTATATTTATATATGTAACCTTTATATTACTTTGATTCTATAATATTATATTTTTGAATTTACCTATAATTCACTTAGTAATAATCCGTCAGTTTGACACCGAAAAATGAATAACTAGATATATAGTGTTTATATGTATCATACATATACGCAAAAAAATCGAGGGACTAATATAAGATTTAAATTTTATCTTGTGTTACTTTGTGATTTTATTGTATTTTTATTTGAGAAATGGTTATTTAAAAATTTATTAAATGAGCCAAACAAAGTAATGTAAAAAGTATTGAAACAAATTATAGCGATATAAATCATCTTGGAAACCAAATATATGAAGATCGAACAGGGTTGATAACTCTCTTTGTAAACGATGATTTGAATTATTAGTCACGGGTGTGAATTTATTTCTCTTTCTATATCGCTTATTCAATCCCCTTAATTTAAATAGATTTAATGTAGGACTTGTAGATCCTGAAAAAATCAATAAGTTTAAGAATACTTTAGCTGTTTGAACTTCTCACCAGAAACTGAAGTCTTCGTACGTTTCCTATCAGGACACGCCTCTTATGATATAATTCTATGTTGTTGGCCTCTTCTTCAAATTTGCGCCGGACCCGTCATATTTGCATATATCAGTTTTTTAAGGTTAAAATGACGGTTCCCGCCAAATTTTGAAACTGTAGGCGGCGCTTCTCAAGAATCAAATGTTATTAGAGGCTGTAGCGAAAAGTAGTCATTTAAGTTGATTGTTTTGTAAAATATCTGTCAAACCTTGCCAGCTCTCTTTGTAGAACTTTGCTTGGAATTAAAGTTTAATTATTATTCTCACTCTCTTCAGACTGACACTTTAATCAAAAAAGAAGCTTGCAAAATGGAAGAAGCGGATTGTTCTATTACAGCACCCAATGGAACGAACGGTCTAGCAAATGTGAAACTTGAGGAGGTGCAAGAAAATGAAGTAATTATTAAGGAGGAGGAAGCGGAACCGGAAATAGATATCAATGTCAATAACGTCGTTTGCAGTTTCAGTACAAGATGCCACTTGAATCTCAAGCAGATTGCGATGACTGGAAGGCACGTGATTTATAAAAGAGAAAATTCCGTATGTATTATTTAATAATAGAAATATTTTCTATTAGGAGTAGTTAAATATCCGTAATTAAAAGTTGTAAAAAGTTCAGACTCAGTCAATTATTAAAATTTGTTTTTTATTTATTTGTCATTTCAAGTAACTAACTATAATATAACATTTAACATATGTTTCTCTCTGTTTGACTTTCTTCTATCGGTAAATATGGAGTAAACAGAATAGAGACGAGCGTAACAAAACTAATTATACTATTTAATTTGCGTCCTTTTTTCACCAAAGGTTAATTGCCCTTGGTTGTTAAAATACTCGAAAAAAAAATGAAATGCCATGCAAGTTGTGTCCAAATATGTATTTGGATGCAACTTTCTGGCTATCTTCAATATTTATTCAATTTTATGCAATAGGGTTTCATAGCATTTAGTTTGCATATGTTAAATTGAGAGCGCTTGAATTTTTTAAATAAGCTTCTAAATGAAAAATTTTTTACTCTCTTCAGATGGTCAACATGAAAATCAGGCGTCCATATTCGACAGCCTCAATTTGGTCATCGGGAAAAATTACATGTACGGGAACAACAACAGAAGAAGAAGCCAAAACAGCGGCTCGAAGATTTGCCCGCACTTTACAAAAACTCGGTTTTAGAGCTAAATTCTCCAACTTTCGAATAGTTAACGTTCTTGCAACTGTGAACCTACCATTCGGTGTCCGCTTAACGCAGTTCTCCCGCCAACATCCTAAAGAAGCTAGCTATGAACCAGAATTGCACCCAGGTGTCACTTACCGAATTAAAAAGCCTAAAGCAACTCTGAAAATTTTCAGTACAGGCAGTATTACCGTCACTGCACCTTGTATTAGCAACGTGGATGCAGCTATACAGTTTATTTATCCCCTTGTGGATGAAAATAAAATGCCGATTGATTTAGAGAGTCGAAGAATGCGAAATCCAGCTTTGAGTAGGCAATTGAAAAACTTAGATGCTGAGTTTATCGTTGACGATGATGATCATATGAGTGACCTCAACAATGATGACGATAGTGATTAGCTATTTTTGGAAATTTACTGTTGTTCAACTTTTTTAGTGCAAGAAGCATAAAAAAAGCGTTTCTTATAAACAAATTTCTGTGTAACTGGGACTTGCATAGTCTTAACATTTTTTCATTTATAAAATCGTACGTCTAAGCTCGTTAAGTGTTACACATTACGTATTCGTCATTATTTTAATTTTCTTTGAAGCTTTGCTTCACTGATTAAGATAAAGCGTATCATTAATAAATTTTTCAAATTTATTTTAAGATGGCAGTTGTAAACTTGAAATCTATTTTACAATAATACAATTTAAAACGGTAGAATACCATTTAAAATAGAAGTTGAATAATGTCAATCAGGATGAAACAAGCTATTTTTAGTAGGTTAATAAAAATCCTTTTTGATATTATTGGCGAAGAGAAACTGCCCACGCGATTGGTTTGTGTAAACGCTATTTATGCAATAGACATTTATATAATATTAGAGAATATAATCAGCCTAGTTTAATATGTTTTTGAAGCAACTGTTATTAAATACTGAGTTATTAATTAGAGAAATAATAATCCTTTACTAATTACTCTTACACCTTTATATAATTAACTAATATAAATTAAGAATCACCTCAAATAATTACATAGGTAATAATACTACATTTCCAACGATTCAAATTAATTTTTGCCATCAAACAGCCGACTTTTTGAAGTTAAAAACAGCTTACACACCAGCTTAGTATATTTTATAATCTGCATACGTTTCTACAAGGGTATGACATTATAAGCTATCTAATTTAGTCTCATTTATTTGTTTTTTTTTTATATAGTTTTTGTATTTAAAGTTGTTTTTAGACTATGATAACTAGGTAAAAGCAATAATGAACTGAATATTGATATTTAAAACAGGAATATTAAATAAGCTTTCTCTTTATTATTTTTCTTTAAACAATCGTCAGAATAAAAGAGTTTTTAGAGAGTTCATTCCTCAGGGCGTTCTGGTGGTGGTCCACATGGTTGAAGCATTTTTTCCATATAGTTAAACTTTATTCGGGCCTTTGATTCGTTTTCGATAACAGAAAAATAGGAAAGCAAATCGTGATGTCCAACGTAAGATGCATAAGAGTCACGGTGGTGATTAGTGACCCATTCCCATTGAGTAGAATCGGCGTGACCTGTACCGATATATTTGGACTGCAAATGTTCAATCTGACTATGAATATTATATCTCTCTGCCATATTAAAAAAAAAATTCGCACACAAAACGCCGACAATAAAAATTGCTATTGCCAAAATGTCTCCAAGGTACTCGAATATGATTCTAAAATTTAACGGTGTCCAATTTTAAACCGAGTCTTTGCTTATTATGAAGGGCAAGCATACTTCTGATAGTTTCTATTTAGTTCCATATTTTCTTACATAAATTGATTTATCTTTGGTAGAAAGCGATCAATTACTTAAATTATTTTTAATAAATTAATGCTTAGTTTTAAAAGAGAGAAGTTTTCCACCAGTTTTCTCTTCAACACACAACTTGTAAAATTCATTTTCCGGTCTTACTATTTACCGAACAATTAAATATCGCTCTGAAGTAAAATTTATATAAAAATATAATGAATAACGAGCCTCGAATCAAACCTGAGGTCTATCAAGCTATTCAAAATGTTAATTGTGAAATAATAAATAGGACAGATAGAAAGCATCTTCGGCAACTATTGCCATGTATAGTACGGATGACTGTATGCCATCCCTTAGATTCATCTCCCTCTTGGGCAGAAAAAATTCAAGATTTTTGGCAGATTATTTACCATGATGAAAACGTTGGTGGCATTATTAGCATACTGGATATCAATTATCTAAACCTAGAAAAGGATACTGAAGCAGAGAGAAACCTATTGTAAGTTTTAGGAAAAGTTTTCACAATGTTCAATTCAATAATAGGATCTTTTGTAGTAATCACTTTAACACCCGATCATCTATTAATTCTCAAATTAAATGATACTATGACCATAAAGGTTTAAGCAGTTTGTTTATCTTGTAGGACTGGCTTATTATATTTCATAACTTGTTAACCCATACATATATTTTTTTCATCTTTTAGCAAAAAAAATCAAGCAATACCGGATGAAAGTATTCTTCTACCATCATCGGAAGATCCCTTAATCGACTTTGATAGTGCAGACCACGATTCAAAGGCCAGACAAATTTTAAGAGAGCTATTGAAAATTGTCTTCATTGTACAAAATAAGGTAAATACAATTCAAGAAATCTTTTTAAATCATAATAGTTAAATGATAATGTTACAAAAAAACTAAATATTCTACAGAGCAAATCGGCCTTAACCATGTGCAAGTCTGATTTACTTGATGAAGTCAATTTCTTGCCTGATATTTTTGATATAACCGCTTGCTTGGCAACAGAACTACGGACAATTATCTCAATTCAAGACTTATGCGATATATCTATACATACTAATTATGGACCATCGCTACTATGTAATGTACTAGCTAATCAACCTATGGCTTTTTATGAAGGTTAATCTTTGTTTTTAAAAGTATTTATAAAATGAAAAGTTATTTTTATAGCTGTTGAATTATTGATTAAAACTTGCACTTATACGCAAGATGAAACGTCCGTATTGGCAAGGAGAAGATCTCAATTAATCTTTGAATTGTGTCAGATAAATACAAGATTAATACCAAACGTTAAAGCTCTTTGTGTAAGTATTTAAACTTCGATTTTTCTTTCAGTAAAATGATTATTACATTCGATTTTTTCAGCTATCTTTAAATAAGCTACCTTCTTTAGCTGTTAGTTGCGTCATCCATTTAGATAGTGGCCTATTCCCTTTTCTATGTTCTGTTCTCCTGTCAGAACATATTCAAACGAAACATCTATTCAAAGAGTTTATAAAACAAGGTCTAAAGGTAAGTTATACAGCATATGCTGTATTATACTACATACAGTATATAAAAAATAACTTGAATCATCTTTCACAGCGTCGAATGGATAATGAAAGAACAAATATGACGGGTGTATTAAGTTGTTTAAAAAGCGAGTTAGATAATATTTTAGATCAGTGTACACCAACGGCTATCCCTGAAAATGTTGCAATGAATGCATGTAATTTTCTAAGAGTATTTTGTATTCTAAGGGGAATAGCATCGCTAAAGTAAGCTATTCTAATAAATATTACATTCCCCCATAAGTTCTATTCTCACTTTACTTTAGGTTAAATGACGTTGATCAACAAGCAATACTTCAGCTAATTTGTAAAAGGCAACCATATACATTTCAAGGAAATAGATTAGCATCTGTTGGGATTTGCACACTAATGGTTTGTCCAACATTAATCAAGTAAGTAATTGAATAATTTTGTTTAAATGATCAATTTATTCATTAATATAATTTTAATGTTCTATTATAATCTTTACAGTCAAAAAGCTCAAGAAAAATTAGTTATAGATTGGATTAAATGGCTTACATCTCACCAATCTCAATTTCATGCGTAAGATATTTTATCTCTTTCTGGCTTGTCCTCTCTCTTTTATATTAAAGTGTTTACGTTATATAACAGAGTTGGTAGTGGAGAAACATCTTACGGAGAAATTCTTCTCCTTACAGCTATTCATTTCCACTCAAATCAAATGAGTGAAGTTGCAGAATTGGCTAATGACATTATTGGAATAAAAGTATAAAAAAAGATACTTTTTTATAAAATCTAATAAAAAATATATAATATTCATATTAATTATAGAATATCGTCAAAACCTCTACACTCCTACGTCTTCGAATGTTATTTACCAACGAGCTTTTTCCAGAACAAGTAATTCTCTTTTCCTTTTTAAATTAATTATCAAATTTAATTAATATGTGTACTATATTCTGTTAATATTTAATACCTTTTTTTAATTATTTTTCCATTAGGTTGTTGCTAAGCACGCTGTTAAGGTTAAACCAACTAAGAATCTTAATAATAATATGCATGGATACTTGCCAATTCATTGTGTTACCCAATTGCTTAAAAGTCAATCGTTTGCTAAACATAAAATACCAATTAAAGATTGGCTGTTATCTCAAATTAGACAATCGAAAGCTCCTTTACATAGCGAATTACCGATTGTTATTACGGAATTTGTTAATTCTTGCTTAAACTTAAAATCCAAATTGGAAAATAGAAATGAACCTTTTGCCGAAGATGAAATTAGAAGTGTCTTTCAAGTAAAAATTGCTTCTAAGGAGAAAAAACAGAAAGTTGACAATAATCAAGATATTCTATTAGAAGAACATTTATATGAAAGAAATATACTGTTTCATAGTTTAGACGATTTCGAAAAGCAATTTGATGATATTTGTAAATATGAAAATGAAATTGGAGACCCTTCCGATTCAAAGGATAAAACTCCTCAAGTGTTATTGCTATATTATCTATTACACTATCAGAATGTGTTTTCGACAAATTTACCACTACTGAATCAAATAGGAAATGAAGGAAAGCGTCAATTGGAATATTCTCAATCCTTTTTTGATCAATTACCTATTAGAGCACTAGTACATCACGCCCAAACTCAACAAGAGCACTTTTCCAGTATTATTCCCACACTTCAAAGGTACCATTGTATTTTTTTTTTGACAAATTTTAAAAGATCAACCTATAAACTGTTTTATTTTAGGCTCTTAGTGCAACACTTTCCTCATTTATGCCTTGTTGAAGAATGGTTAGAAGATGAAGTATCTTATCGAACTGAACACATATCCAAAGACCTTACAGAGGAATCATTAACAAAAGGTAAACGCAACATTTTTGATATAAGATCTAATTTAATCTTTTACTTTTTCCTTAGCATTTGAAAAGACATCTCAAAGCAACTCCAGTCTTCTTCATCTAAGATTACAAGAGTTGTTATTACTTGATGAAAATGATTTGCAAAAATTTGCTGATGTCTTTACGAAGAATTTGAATAGACTATTAGATGAAAATGTTCCTAGGATGGTAATTAATTTAGCTTGTAAAGTCTGGGAAAGATTACATAGAGTAATGCCGAGAAAGTAATTAAAATAATAATACTATTAATTGAAGTGAGCTAGTTATTTTTAATTATTATTTTTAAACAAAAAGGTTACGAGTATTAACGGTTAATGCTTTTATGACTGATTTTGGATATTATTCATCGAAGATAACTCAAGAGCATTTAACAATAGAACCAGTGCTAATTTTAAAGTGTGACCCAAGAATATACAGGTATACAAAACAAAGATAAATATAATTTCCCAAATGTAACTATTTCTTATTTTGCTATTATTACAGATGCGCACCTCTCCTCTCAATCCTTCTAAGAATATTAGAGTCATTCGTACTTGCTTCAAAGTTATTTTTTAGAGATAGGAGTCAGGTTTGTGTGTTAATTTGATTTATTTAATCAATATGAAAATATTGAAAACTTTTTTTAGCGACTTGGCGTACAAGAGAAGAAACAAAGACCTAATTTTGAGATTTTAACAACTAACGAAAAGGATGAATTGAGTAACGCCATACTTATGACTCAAGATGCGGCTGTTATTCAAATATTACTAAATATATGCCGACCTCAAGCAGAGGATGAGGAAAAATTAACTTGGAGAAAGGAGATGAGATGTATAGTTTTCGCATACATTCACAAAGCATTTATAGCTAGTACTGCTTTATGCAAATTAGTTCACTTTCAAGTAAATTATATAAAATAAAATTAACATCTATTAGAATCTACGTTAATTGCAAATTATCCTTTCAATAGGGTTATCCGTCATCTCTTATCCCTTTGACTGTATCAGGAATACCTTCAATGCATATTTGTTTGGATTTTATACCAGAATTACTTTCTCAACCTCAAAATGAAAAAAAGGTCTGTTACTTATTGGAATATGAATTGATATCACGTTATTTATTATCTTGTACTTTTCCTTCTTACAGATATTTGCTATAGATTTATTATCGCATATTTGTCTTCATTATGCTCTTCCTAAGACACTTGCTCTAGCAAGATTGGCAATAAACATTTTATCAACTATGTTACCAAGTAAGTACAAAGTATTTTTTTATGTTTTTAAACGAATTTTTCTTGTAAATTTAATTTTTTTCTTTAAATATTTTCTAGTATTAAATTGTGACGATCGTGCAAGCTTTTATTCTTTATGTTTGAGACCGTTGAGCCGAATATCAAAAGCTTTTCCACCGACTCGAGATGATATAATTTCTATATTGATTCAATTAGCTCAGATGGCTCTGGGAGATTGTGCAGTTTTAGGTTTATCACCAAGAGCCGGTTGGTACAATTGTATTTCTTTTTTTTTTGCCATAACGACTCCAATCGTTTAATTTCATTTTTTATTTTTGTTTCAGTTCAAGCTTTGGACAATCTAGTCAAAGATACTGAATGCAAACTTCAGCCTAGAGACTATCCTAAAGTTAAAAATGGAAACAAAAGGATAAAGAACAAACACATTGACCTATGCTTTGAAATTAGTGATTGTTATAATTGTATTATGAAACAAACTGTTATGATATCGAAGTGACCAACCATTTATGCTCAAATTCTTGTATATATTTATATAATGTAAAAAAATTCTTACAACTTGATGTTTTGCTTATTTCCTTCCTGTGTAGTGTTTTGTTTTATATAAACATAAAGAAAATGAATTTCATCCTACATGAGGACTACAATTATAACTTGAAAATATCGTTTTTACTAATATCAAAGTGTTTTTCGTTTATACAAATTTATTGAAATTTTTTGTCATATTTAATCTTATGGTACTGATTTAGTTGGCTTTTCTACTTATTAAAAGATTAGAAAATTTTTAAAAGATCAATCGGAAACGGAAACACTGTTGATGACCTTGTCTCTTGCTCATTTTCGCTCTGTTCTTAGAATCGCGAAAAGAAGTGCGACTTGACAATATATATATATATATATATACTATGGCAAGTTCTAAGGCAAGAGTAGCTGTATTAAAATCCCTTTTTAGAGAACTGCAATTGTCAAATAAGGTAAACAATTTAAGGATTGTAAAAACTGTACTACTATATATAATCTTGATTAGAAACCTTTGAAAGAAAATCCTGTATATATATACGCGATGGAGCAGACGAGGAAACATCAAGTTACGGGAATGAAATTTTGTAGAGAAAGAGATGAACTCTTTCATGTTACTGATACATACAGATGTCTTTTGCATAGTGTTCGAAAACACGAAGTAAGTTTTACTCAGGTTTTTAAAGAGAAAAGCTTTCAATAATACTACAATTTTGTCGAACAGGAATTAATTGAAAGATATAAGGGAGCTGGTGAAAGGACAATAGAAGAAAGTGCCAATATAGTTGGTCTAGGTTTACCACAAGTTGGTGAACCATTAAAATGAAATAGTTACTTTAATTGAAAAATCTAATCATCTCAATGACACTACATTGTATATAGCAGCATATATAAACAAATATAGCCAAAAGAAAATGAAATAAAGTGGCTAACAGAATAAAACTCTTTAAACATTCGCTATGGGCATATCGCTTTGCTTTGCCGAGTTGAAAACCAATTTTTTTATTGGAAAATCTTTAGGAGTATCATCTATAAAGATGAATTTTCTTTTTCCTTTCTTTAATTTTTCAGGTAACATTGTCCCATCGTCTTCCATTCTTTTAATTATTAGATCATTCTTCTCTTTTGCAACTTTTATATTACCTGCCATAGTTGGCATTGTAATACGATCAGAATCTTTTTTAATAGACCTAACCCACAACCTACTTGGCGGGAATATGAATCTTTTACGATGATATAAATATCTTAATCTTGCTCTAACCTCTCTATCTAAAATTGCAAGAAAAAGAATAGGACAATCGTTATAAATGCTACATAAGCATTTTAGACATTCTAGTCTTTCCGAATGGTTAACGACAGCTTTCAAATATTCCGCTTCTCTTAAGGAAAAAGCAATCACTATACAAGTCAAAAAGAGAATGTCTTTTGAAACTTGAATTTCCGGTAGATTTGGTAAAGGAACGTATCGTTTAATCTGGTCCTTTTTTAGAGATATTAATAAAAAGCTTATAATCGGGTGATTAAGCTTTAAAATCTTTTCTTTAGAACTATACTAGTCCATACTAAGAAATTTATATAGTTTTATCGGTTTACAGCTTATTCACCCTGTTATCTCTCGCTTGTTCGTTAAGATTAAATCGAAAACCTCTTCGACTCGTCTCTGAAGATAAGACAATCCATCCTTATTTATTAAACTTTTCTCCTGAAATATTTTTAATATCCTAGTTGGATAGGATATTTTATGCGATGATAGATCGTGCAATTTCATGATCCTTAAACATATTTCATAATAGACTTCTTCTTTATAAAGTAGCTATGAAAGATAAAAAACACAGTAGGCGTTTATAATTTAAAAAACAAACAAAAACTCTAAAATTAAAACTTTACACTAAAATATTTATGTCTTCTATTCTTTTGCTTCAAGGTTAAATCTTTATTATCAATGTTCCTTTGCATAAAATCCAAAAGTGTGAGTATTATCGTGTGAAAACCGTTGTGAAAATGTCTCCAGACATTAATGCCTTCTTTGATTAGTAATTGTTCGTAATCTTCTATATACGATATGCATCTTAGCTTTATGTCAATGTTTAATCCAAATTCATCACATACTGCTAGAGCATAACTGTTGATATTATCCTTTGATTTTGGAAATAATAACATGTAATAGCAGCTTTTAAGATCGGAGTAATCGGGATAATTTTTGGCGAATTTTCTCAAATATGACAAATTCTCTTTCCATAGAGTTTTATCCATTTTTTAAACGTTATACAGAAAATGAAACTTTCGAACCCTTGACGTAAAGCTTTCTTTTAAAAATTATTAAACTGGATCAGCTTACCAATTACATTAGTCATATATATAAATTATAAAGGAGCTCGAACCTCACTACGCATGTTACTCCCTCCAAAAGAAACTGGTGCTCTCTACAACTCGAAAAAAAAATTTTCAATATAGAAGGCTTATAGACAGAGAAATAACGATCTATGATATGAAGAATATGGAAAAAGTTCACATTCCATTATCTTTCTATTTGGATGACTTTGATGAAAGCTTTGCCTTAATTTTTTTAAATACCCCCATAGAAAAAAACGATAATGTGGTAAAACAATTGTTTAAGAAAGCATCATTTAAAGTTTTAGTTGACGGTGGTGCAAACAGGATGTTTGATGTAGACTCAGAGACAGGACATTTTCACATTCCCGACATGATAACTGGAGATCTAGATTCGGCAAGATCCGATGTCTTAAAATTTTACAGGGAAAAGGTGAGTTTTTAATTATGATTATTCTATTATCTTGTTTAATTTTTCTTCCTTTCTTCCAGGGAGTAGAAATTATCGAGACGTATGATCAGAATTTTACTGATTTTACTAAATGTTTAAAGATAGTTCTTGAAAAAATTGAAAAAAAGGAGCTAAATGTGTGTAAATTGAAATTTTGATATGAAATTTCCTTTGTATTTCATGAGAAGTTTTTCAATCTATTAGGTCAAATATATTTTAGTTCATGTTGGAATAAGGGGAAGATTTGACCAAGTAATGGGAAATATTCAAACTTTATATCATATGGTTCCAAAGACAAACATTCCTATTTATCTTATATCTAGGGAAAATATCATTTTCCTTCTCCTAAAGGTGACTTAATTTTTCGGTATTAATAATATAATTAGATGATAACTTTGGAATTAATGCAGGGCTCTCATAGAATAATGCTCAATCAAAAGTTTAATGAAGGCTATTGTGGACTTTTACCAATTGGTCGTTCTTGTGATAATGTCACGACTACCGGACTTAAATGGAATTTAAGTGAGTGTAGAAAGTTTTTGAAACGTTTCTTTCCTCTTTCTATTCAATAGTTCCCTTAATTTTCTAGCTCACGATAAACTAGAATTTGGAAAACTAGTTAGCACATCGAACAAATGGATTCCCGAAAGTGATGATATTAGTATAGTGACCGATGAGCCTTTAATATTTACTATGTCTTTCAATGAAAATTAAAGCAAACAAAACTAAACAAACCAAAACTGATTCAAATGCTTGATGGAATTTATCAGAAAAAATTAAATGCAAAAATAATTTCCTTTTTTTGTTTGATTGTCTTTATGATTTTTATGTTACGTTAAGTTTGAAATGATTTTAATTGAGTAATATTAATAATAAATATTATAGAAAAGTATTTGCATTACATTTTATTAACTTATCTTTTGAATTAGAAAAAAAATGAAGTCACATTCGGGAAGGACATCTATAAAAAATCGATCAGACGGAATGACTTTCTTATGTTTAGAAATGTACTATTACAGAATATCGTAGTTTATTTAGTTGACTTGTGGTACATTACATCCAACTTTCCATCTCCTAAAAGCATAAAAATTGATAGTTTATTTAATTTTTTTGAATAATAATTTTTTACCTCTTGAAAACGATTTTCGTCGATGAAAGGCTTATCAATCGCTTCGATCATAACAGAGCCACAAAGAAAGCAGTCTCTAGCTATTATATCATCAATTTCATTCTGAATTCCACCTATTTTTGACACAGATCTTTGAAAGTGACGGCCATTAGGGGCTGTGGCAGCGTCCAACTTTCTCCTCAGAGTCTCTAGCTTCTCTCTTTCATTTGATGATAGGCAAGGCAAGAGACAAATGACTAGACAATCTGTATGGAAGCGATGGGAGCAGGGAAAAACATGGAAAGGTCTTGTTAAAAGGCTTTGTGAGCAGCTGTGACATTTGTCGGAGGCTGATATACAAGCATATTTGTTTCTTAATGCTTGCATTTGTGCTCTGATCTCTTTTGAACTATCTGTGGCTTGTTGCATCTCTTGTTTCAAATTGTTAATATGCTCATTATATTGTTCCAGAGATGAACAGATAGCATCCTTAAAGTGGTCTATTGTAACAAAATCAGGGAAGAATGGTAAAACGTCTTCAATATTAATCAAATCGCATCCTTCCAATAATTTCATTGTTTTTTCAACATCTTTCTCAGTTTGAACAACATGTTTGGCAATGAGCAGCCATAGTTTCTTTTTAGTCTCTTCGTCTTTAGCTTTCGATGCGTTTTTCTTTGCCAAATCCACATCAACTTTTAAAGCTAATTTTACAGCTTCTTCATACAATTTCATTGTGGAATAAATGTGTATACAAGCTCTTTCTAAATGCAAATCACTACAAACTCTTAAAGCGTATTTTACGTCGTAGCACACTGAATCTTCATCCTTTGAAAAAATATTAATTAATTGTTACAACTTAGGAAAATATCAAAAGAAACTAACTTCTCCTTGCAATTCCAAATAAGTGATTAAGTCATTCGGTTTTAATTTAGCATACAAAGATATTAAGTAATTATGGATAGCTTTCTCTTTGTTCCTTAATTCTTTTGTACAATATTCCACATATCTTATTGCTTCATTCTCCGAGTCTCCGATATTTTGTTCAATTGAACGATCGTATCTAACAAGAGCAGGAATAAGACGAGATGGATCTAATGCTCTCTTCTGAGAAATCCATGCATTAACGGTTTCTTTAGGTAAATGTTGCATAAGTAATGGTGAAAACTTGTAGAAAAGAGAAGCGTCCTCGTTTAAATCACTCTGTTTAAATTTTAAAAACAAATGCTCTATTCATTATACAGCATTTAGAATTAAGAAAGAAATTACGTGTTTAATTAGATATTCTAAGGCTTTTGGATAATCCTCTGATTGAACATAATGAGAAATAACTTTCTCATAATCTTTCATTAGGACAGCAAAGAACATCATATCATCTTCAGCACCGTGGCTGGCTATTAAATTGTATACAATATCTCTATGAGAGTATACGCAATCCTGTCAAGAAAAATTATATGAATAAATTAACGATTGGGTAAACATGTTAATAAAATATTACTTTAACAACTGAGTCATTTATGAAATTCCTAAAAACTGATTGCAATTGTAAATACTCCGGATCATTAGGATCCAGGATTTTTTCCCTTAATTTTCCTAATTCATCCAGATATATTTCTACTAGCCATGTAGTTATCAAAGCACTCTGAGTTTTATCATTAGGAGAAAGGCTTTTAAGTTTTTTTCTTAAATATACTTGAAGTGGTTCGGTTTGTTCCAGACCAATGAAACGGAGCGCTACTTCTTCAAACGATGCCGAAGTTTGAGCATATAGTTTAGCGCTCTTTGAATAGCTGGTAAATAATGCTTATATTATATATTAAAGCAATAAATGTTATAAAAACTTACTCTCTATTCATAAAATGATATTCTGCTTCTTTCGTTAAAACAAGATCCAAATGCTTAGGGTTATCTTTTGCGTGTTGTTTAGCTAATCCGTACGCTCTTTTATCCAAGTAACATCTCCAAACATTTCTTTTTAGGCAAATGCTTAAGTTTATGGTAAACGACTAGCAAAAGAAACAATATTACCTTTCCTCTCTGTCAATTTTATATTTATAAATTGCTTTTTCAGCATACACATAGATTATCTTTTTAGCTTCATCTTTCCAAGCTCCTAGTACGTTTCCAAATTTCTATTTGTCAAGAAAAAAAAGAACATATATCTGCTATAAATCATTAAAAAAATTGAATTCTAACTTCTTGGAAACTATCTTCATGAACAATTTTCTCGTCAAGAATATTTATAGCACGTAGACTATAAGTGTTTGACATTTCATTATATAATTAGTAAATTATAGTAAATAAAATATAAGCTAACCTATTAGAATAAATAAGCACTGTATGGAACTCTGTCATTATAATATCAATAGGAAAATTAGGGCATTTTCTTGGATAAGGTATCAGTTCAGAATCAATAGCAACAATATCCGGCCTCATTAGACCTGTTGTATCTATTTTGCCACAATAAATACCAGCACCTAAAAAAACCATTATTGATATGTTTTAAGTGTTATTCGTTAACTCTTTTGTAAACTTACCACACATCCATGAAAATTTAGTCGAAACTGATCTCAAATCTGGTCGAAATAGGTCTAATTTGCTTCTTTCACATTCTCCTTGTAAATTAATTGATCCCTCTAGTTGGAAGCAAAATATAAAGAATTATATAAATTTAAGATTCAAGTAATATTAAAATTTAATTACTTGGAACATCTTTGTATGCTGAAAATACGTGTTGAAAGATTGGGGCTTCAGTTGAAGCAGGTATCGATGATACAAACTGGTAGAATTGTCTGATAAAGTTATAAAAGAGAAGATAGTAGTTAATAATTGAGAAAAAAACACAAAATTAATTTAAAAGTATAATTATACGAACGTTTTTGTTGTTACAAGGAAAAAATATCTATAATCACTAGTTGTTTCAGAAGGAATCTATTAACATTAATGAAATTGAAAATAAGGAAGAGTAAAGAAGTATATGACATACTCTTTCAATCTTTATATTTGTAATTTCAGTTTGTTTTTGTACTTCATCAGGAACGATTGACCAGACTTGTTTCAAGTATTGTTCTCTTTTGGGCTTTACCCTTATACCTTCATCTCCAGCCATTATTTGAGTTTCCAAGAGTAAACCATTACTCGTTCCAATTAATATTTCACCTGTTGACGATTCTGACGAAGCTCGTATATTCCACCCAACTGCCGTAATGACATAATCCTAAAAAGAGTTAATTTAAAAGCTTCAAATTCTAAAAAATAAGAATATTGCTACTTTTAGGCGAGACAAAATGTGTATTTTTTTGGACCCTCTATTTAAATAGAAACTTTCTCCAGACTCCATACATAATATTGTATGATATCCAGATGGATCCAAAAGGAGAGACGTCAACTTATCATCAGGACGACCGAAAGGAATTTCTGTGGAAAGATATTTTTATGCCTTAATGTAGCTTATTAAAATAAATAATTGTACCATCAAAATTGTCTTGTTGATAATCCAAGTTTTTACAAAGTAAAACTTTTGTATCCAATGCAATGATTAAATAGGAATTAGCACAACAGAAATGAGTGATTGAAGAAGGAGGCCTTTAAGAAAACAATCCACATTGTATTGAATAAATATATCAATTTAACAAAATCATCTTACGTATAGCTAACTCTACTTTTAGCAAAAACGGGTGATTCGTCGTCTTGCCTTGTTCTTAAAGCCTGTAGAAATTTTAAACAGTAAAGAGGCGTAAACGATTGGTCGATATTGTTTATATTCTATTGTTATGCAATCGTATCTCTTAGGCTAAAACATGTCCCAATGTTTTATGAGCAAAAGATAGAAGGGTTGATTTTTATTATAAACGAAATATTAACTAATTTACCATTTCTAAACGTTTCCCTCTTGAACCGAAATTAAGAATACGCCAAAATTAAGAATATAGAAAGAGCAAGTAAATAATAAACTAAGATTTGTTATTTATGATGCATGAATGAATTACATTAAATGAGCGCCATCTTGCGTTTGGAGTGCTATATTCACTAGATCATACAAAGGTTTACGCAATCCAATACGAATATACAGACATCATATATTTTGTCCATTGAATAATAAAATGAATTAGTTTTAATTAAATGCGATTTCAATTTACTTAGAAAATTTGTTGAATTCAATGCTATATATAGTATAAACTAGATGGCAACACAGTAAATATTTTCACAGGTTCAATTCAATAGAAATGGAAAGTATCAATGCTCAATTCTAATAGAAAGTCCGCGGAAAATTGTAAAAAAACTAAAGGTCAAGGTTGAACATATGGGCTAATAGTCATGGAGCAAGAAAACAGAATAAAAGCTTCTCTTTATAGATTTTTAAAGCGCTTGTCGCATGCAATAGCATCTAGATACGCTTTCATTCATCTTATATTAATTCTTATGGTCCTAGATGAAAATAGTAAATCAGAGAGGTTTGTTTTTCTTTTTTTTTTACAAGTTGCTTTTAAGACGTCTAACCGGCTTTAAGTATTGAATTATAATTATTTTATGGCTATTGAATTTACAATGTAAATATATATAGTATATACAAATGGATAAATTTGATTATGAACCTGTTATATCTCAATTAATTTCCTTGAAGGAGGTTAATCACAATTACTTAACTAAAAAATAAGCTTTCAGTTGACAATTGTGAAATTATCATCACTTTTAGCGACCATAAAATTATCAATTAGTCAAAAATCAGAAGAAATCTGGCTAAATATAATTAGAAATATTTTTATTTAAAAAATTTACTTTCAATCTGTCACGATGAGAAAGATCGTGATTGAAATACGATAGTACACTTGAATATATTATCTATTAGTCTATAATATACATTTATTCATTATTAAGATAAATATATATTTACTTTCAGACCGGATCCCTACCCAAAACCTTACATATATGGTTACTTAGGAGTTCTTTTGTTGGCTGGTTTCACTAATAGTGCCCACATGTTCAAATTGCAGTCCTCTATTTTGACCGGTGCATCTTTTCTTGTATCGTTGGTTTATGCATCCAGAGAAGGAAAATTAAATTATAAAGATTACAGCTTAATAAGATTCTGTTCTTGCCATATTGGAATTTCTGGTGTCATGTTCATTTATACTTACTTTAGTAACAATCGTAAATCGCGTACACTCTTGCGTATAGGAGAAGCACTCTTAGGTACACACGTACTATGCTTGTGTTACTTATTTATGCAAAGTCAAGCTGATATTGGTACTTTATTGAAATTTACTTATGGAGGTCAAATTCTACATTATATTTTATTAATGATTTTGGGACTATCAATGTTATGTCTACTGCCTGGTTTCTTCGTTAGAGATATCCTACATTTCTTACTCGTTGCCGAGATTTTATTGATAATATTTGTTTATGGAAATCTTAGATATTGGAACGTTAAACACAAAATTTTCTATTGGAATCAAGTTAGAGTTATTGCCGACTTATCTTTTGTTTGTTTTGGTATCATAATGTATATTTCGGATACAAAACGAAAAGACTATTCTAAGATGGAGTAGCTCTTAACTAGAACATATTTTGTCTTACAATCAGAAAAGTTCAATGGTTATTTATGATTTAAAAAAACATCCTATTTTCTGTATAAATAATGGAAAAACTAGGACAAAAAATGTTTAAAAAAATTCTTGTTTCGTTTCGAATATACCGTTTGTCTCTATAGCTTTGTTCTGTTTTAGCAATTTCTAAATTTGTTTGTCATATACAAGAGATATTTTCCAGACGGGAAAAAAGATGTAATAAAAAAATGTTACAGAGATTGTTTCTGCAATGTCTTTCAAATGCTTCAGTGTGGATAATAAATATTTTACTAAACCTAATAAAGCATATCTATAATCGTGAGAAAAGAATTAAATATCCACAAGGTAGTCATGACAACACACATATTTTTTTCGTATATCATTAAATGTATACAGTGTTATATGTTAAAGTATATACAGGATTGACATTTAAAAGTTTATTTCTTTTTCCAAGAACATCGTTGAAATGCACTTCTTTCACATATCAATTGTCTTTGCGTTTTCAATTATTATCCACAAGATAATCTTTATCACTTCAAGTGCATGATGTCGTGTCACATTTCATCGACGAGAACTTTTGCCCCTCTATTTATTCGATGAATTTCTAATACGGTATTCTCTGTTACGTCCATATTTTCTATTTTCATTTTTATTCCAGAGAATTTCTCTTCAGGCATATTCTTATTACCGATAACTGGCATATTCGAAGGTATTGATTCTTTTTCACTCTCGGTTGTTAGAGGATTTTCTTCGATTTTAACGTTATCAGTGGTTGAATTCTCATTAGAGAAATCATCATTGGCCAATGTATTAGCCTTTGCTGGGACGGATTTAACATCATCATCCGTATGCAGTAATTGTCTTCCGGATCCGCCATAAATACCAGAATTATCAACTCTTGCAAAATTTTTCTGTACATCTTTCAGCATATTCTTTGTTTCTTCTGATAAACTGTTTCCACTTTGATTACCACCAAATGGATATGACGGCATAAGAATAAGAGCAAATGATAAAAGTAAAACTGCCAAACAAGTGTTAGTTTGAGCCGGACGTGAAGCGGATGAAGTTAACATCGATTGTAAACGTTTCAATTGATCTGTTAACGAGGAATTCTCCCTTTGTAGGGAGGTCACTTTCTTTTGAAGTTGTGAATTTTGAGCTGTGCATATTTTGACTCTCTTTTCTAAGCCGTCAACATATTCTTGTTTACGTTTTCTTGATTCTTTGGCTGAGATTTTATTACGAATTTTGCGACGGATTCCTTTTAGTTGCCTTTCCTCTTCCTTAGTTAAAGGCAGGTGAGTAGGCAACTGAATACCTTCACGGGCTAACAAGACTTGTTCTTCTTCAGTTAGCGAAAGATGATCTCCATTTTGTTTCTCTTCTCCCTCTTCATCAGTAATAGGACTGAGCTGAACGTCCTGGACAGTGTATGGGATATTAGATTCATTATTATCTATAGCAGAGAGATCAACATAGGAATATAAATCATTTGTTTTCTGATCTGTAGTGCCTACAAAAGCGTCAGCATTGATTGTATTGTCTGGAAATATATCATCTATGTTATATCTTTCTGGACTTGCGTCTGATGTGTATGGGGACGATACACCGCTATCACTGTTGTTTCGTTTGTGTTGTACTCTAACTGAACAGTATGGGTGATCATTTTCTATCACTGTAGCACTATTTTCTTCAGTAACTGTATCTTCAAAATTGGTGAAAAACGCAAAATCGGATTCTTCAAAATCTTTCAAAACATCATCCTTTAGTAGAAATTGTTTAGTATTAGTAATGCTGGATATAGGGGATTGTTTAGACCTTACCGTTTTGCTAGAAACGTCTTTTAGAATACCAAAGTCCTTATCGAATAGGATGTCCAATATATCTGAACCACCGGCAGGATCTGACATTTGAACGATTGTATCGTCCATTATTTCTTATAACTGACACGTTGGGAGGAGGTTCTCGCGGTGAAAGCTACGTATACCGAAATGATCAAGCAGTTGTGTTGTATCTGAGTCATCAAAATTCCGCGTCTGACGTGGCCAGCTGGCCGGAAGTTGCAACATATGTAGTCTGGCGACCTGTTGTTACACGTTCTGACAGATTAAGTTTAAAGAAAAAACTAAATACATGACTAGAATCCCAGAAGAGGAAGTTCATTGAAAATTTTCTTTTTCAGAAATTTTTTGTTTTGAGTAGTTAAAAAAACCACATTAAGACTGTTTTTACAATAAAAAGTGAGCAAGAAAAAACAATTTAAAACAATGTGACAATAGATGGCGTAGGATTATTACTGTATTATTTTTGATAGATAAAATTAAATAAGACTAGAAAATAAATCATTTGACATAATTTAATTACCTAATCAATTAACTGATGTAGGTGTAAAACGCCACCTATATAGTTTTTAACGTACTAAATGCAATATTATCTGTGGAATGGTAAAACACTCTGATATTAGCTTAAAATATAGAATTCTGCTGGTGCAAGCTTAATCAATATTTCCTTCGATTACGCAAAACATAGCTACACTACCCTTCAATTTTATCCCATCTACTGCAATTGATTGAAAGGGTGTATTTTGGTGTATTTGCATTTGACCTTAAAGTTTATTAGATAACTAATTTACATATTCCTGATCTATCCAAATGGCTCTTCAAGAAGATGATGAAAAGAAGCTTTCGGAAATCTTTGATATTGTATATAAGAACTATATTTTTTGTGAAACCACAAATGAATCCAGTTCCAGTGTAATTGTTCAGGTTAATTAAATTTTATTCAATAAGATTTTAAATATTACATTGCTCTATCTTCTATCTTTTTAGAAAAAAGTCAAAGAATCATTTGAAATATGTGAAAAATTAGTCGCTATGGTAAATTCTTTGGAATTATTTAGCAAAAATGAACGTCTTGAAGAGATTTCAACTTCTGATATCAAGTTTGTCATTTTTTGAAATTAGTAATAGTATTGAAAAGATTTAAATATTGAAATAATTTATTCTTTAGAATGATGATGTTACCGGCTTTTATGGGCTATTATAGAGGAAAAGTAACAAAAGATGACCGAATGAGCGTTTTGAAAGAATCTCAGGTTTTTAAATTTTCTTCTCTTTTACTTGATATCACTTTTTTCAATTTTAGATTTTCTTTATTGATTTTCTCAAATTGGCAAAACTTTATGGAATTGCAAGCATTGATTTGCCAAATGTTGGAGAGGAAAACGTTAGGTATGAAAAACAATACTCCACATGCAAAAAACTAAAACTACTAATAAATTCTGTATTCAATCTTTCAGTGAATTAGAAAATTCTAAAACACAAACGGAAAATTTGGTAGAAATGTCAAATATAAGAGCAAAAAAGATTGAAAGGCATAGGGAGAAAGTTAAGTTAAAAGAAAAACTTAACGAGTTACGATCAGCCATTGATAAGCCCAGCGCTGATGAAGAAATTGTTGTACGTAGCAATGACAATTTGAAACATACTAATAGATTGAATATTATACGAATATCATTTTTCTTTCAATTCTGACTTTAGAGAGATTTTTATATAACTCAATTAAAAGAATGGGTTTCTTTATCATATGAAGAATTAGATAATATTGATAGTAAGTATTTTGTTTGAATTATCTTATACAGAATTATTATCATCCCTTATTCGATTAACAGGAGAGTTAGAAATTTTTAACTTCATGAAGAATAGATCAGCCTCCGACTCCTCCGAAGTGGGAACGAAGCCAAAAGAGCAACCAGTAAATTACATTATCACTATTCATATACAATAGCTTTCATTTGTACTTTTGTCTGCTTTTAGAAAAAACCTTTGAGACCCTTTATATTAACCAAATCTGCCGTTCAAGCAGCTGTTTTTGGAGCAGGATATCCTAGTTTACCTACTTACACCTTAGAAGAGTTTTATGAAGAGCAATTTGCAAATGGCAACGTTCCTCCTGCTAAGTATATATGTTATAAGCAGCTTTCATAGGTTCTTCTAATTCTCTTTCATTTAAAGTCCGACTCTGCTAAAAATGTCTGCTGAGGAAAGGGAAGCTTTGGAACAAGAAGAGCGAGATAAATCCGAAGTTGAGAAAGAGCAAAAACTTGAAAAAGACGATGAAGAGGCTGTACAACATTCCAGAGAGTGGGACGATTATAAAGATGGTTTGTTTGAAAAATTTTATTTTCATTTTCGTAACCAACTGCTTCTTTTAGAACACCGAACCGGATGGGGAAATACCCAGAACAGGGGATAAGAAATCATTTGTCTGATAAACTTTTGTTTACTTGTAAACTCTTTAAGATACATTTTACGTTTAATTACAATAAAACACGACTTATGCTAAATATAAAAGATACTTTTTCATGTAAATTCAAGTTCATGTCATCTTGAAAATATACAAGCAAATAAACATACAATCCCGCTCAAATATATGGTTTAAAATTTATATTCAATTTACAAAATGTAAGAAACAAGATATATTCCATGATGATACCTGAACCGTTTGAAATATCATTTATTAACAAAGTATCTATTAACCAATGAATTAATTCCAATTTGGGGGAGGAGGAGGAGGGCGATTAGATGGAGGAGGTGGAGGTGGAGGAGCCCCACTAGGCGGCGGCGGCGGCGGTGGCCCAGGAGTTGGTGGTCCCATTGGAGGCATATTTTGTGGAATTCCTGGTCTTGGAGGACCTGAAACAGAATGTATATACAGCAACAGTACAAGTGTATAAATTAATGTCTTACCTGGTGGGGGATATGGTGACATCCCGTGGGGAGGTGGTCCAGGAGGAGGCATAGAGGGAGGAATAGGTGGTGGTGGTGGCCTCTGAAAGTGTCCTTGTTGCCGAACGAAATTTGATGGGGGAACTGGAGGAGGAGGGGGACGATGCATGTTTCCACCTCCTGGCATTGGAGGTGGAGGTGGTTGGAAATTTGCTGGTGGCATTGGAGGAGGGGGAGGTGTGTTCATAGGCATCATTGGAGGCATTGGGCTTGGGGGTATTGGTGGAGCATCAGCGAACAGTTGATGAGGTCTATCAGCTTGTGACAGTGGGTTTTGAGCTGCCAATAGACGTTCAGCCGCTGATCCGTGTCTTTCTCCCTTTGAATCCTTCTTGAAAGCGTACGAAATAGTAATCGCTCTGAAACAGAATAATAATTACATTTTTTCTGAAGTGATCTACAGATTACTAGTGTACCTGTTGCATAGATATTGTCCATTCATTGCCTCAATAGCAGCATCAGAGGCATCAAAGTTAGCATAATTTATAAAAGCGAAACCTTTTGAGTTCCCTGTGTCTGGATCTCTCATAATTTTCGGAGTTTGTAATATCACTCCAAAAGCACTGAATGTATCGTATAACAACTTTTCATCAACTTCTGGATCAAGATTTCCAATAAATATATTTGCTCCAACATCTAAATTCTTTTGATGGGCTGAAGCCTATTCAGTAGACATAAATATAAGATAATACTGAACATATTACGATTTTTTTACACTAACCTTATTTACACGTATAGGCTTCCCATACAACTTTATCATGTTCATAATTTTTATAGCATAATCTGCATCTTCTTCACCCAAAAACTCTACAAAGCCATAACCTTGATGGTTCATGGATATGCGATCCTTAGGCATGTGAACGTTCACTGTAAATGTAAACTATTTAGTGGAGGAATATAAATTTGGTTGTCAACTTACCAACGGGACCTCCTTGCAGGAAAAGTTCCCATAAAATTGACTCTGACACTTTCTCATCAAGACCACCGACATAGACGGTTGCGTCTGAAATACGTAAAATTTACCAAATATCACTCAATCAAATAATTTTCAAATAGATTTCTCAGAGTTCGACATATTACAATGCAATAGATAGGCTACTTTTTGTAAAATAATTTAATGATACTGCTAACTAAAAATTACAGCTTGAGTATGTCTATTTACCTTGATTTCTCTCGGCTATCGGACCGGCAGCCATTTTATGTCGATCTGAAAGCGATAGCTGAAGCCGACAACTATACTATATACGAGCACGAAACTATTACCCAATTTTTTGCGATGTCCATAAATCACTTTGAGAACCAATTACGGGGCTTTTTCTTAAAGTAAAGTTATCATATTTATCAGTTAGCTCCTTGAATAAGTTAAACATTTTTTACAACAGTAATCTAATTTTTAATTCAAATTAAATTTATAAGAAGCTATTTGATATCTCTCAAGATTAGCTTTTTACATAAACTTTATTAATGAATAATTTGATCCCTTACTAAATAAAGTGGCTTTTTCAATCGTTATGAGAAAATAGACTTGCAATATAATCCAAGATAACAATGTAATTTTAATTCTTTTTCTGTCGATGTTACAAAATAATTTTAAAAACACCAACAAAAATGTAATTTTTCAAGACAAACAAACTACTGTGAGTAGTTTGAAAATATCATTGATAACAAACTAATAAAGTCTATTAATAATTAGGGTTTAAAAAATTTCAACTCTTATTATACTATTTCTCTGCAAAACAGTCAAGGACAAGGACGATAACGAAATAAGAACATTTCTTGGATATTGAAAAAAAACTAAATAATGGGAAGCTCTAATAGTTCACAGACTAAATCCGTAACACTTAATAAGGAGGATACTGTTGTGAGAGTAAGTGTTTGGACATTTAATTACGGTGTTTTTAGAATATTTGGCTAATGTTGAGCGATATTAAGAAGATTTGACATCTAACTTGGTTGTGTTTTTGTTTCATTAGGTTTCTGAAAATGTTGCTAGAAGATTAACTGGAAAGCCTGAATTAGAAGGTATGATAAAAATATGATTTCATCATAGAGTGAAACATTTTTATTGCAGAACCGGAATATTCCAGTTCGGAAACTTTAACTCCTGATGAAAAAGATAAAATTAGCCAACTTAAATCTCTTTATGAAGCAGAAATAGCTAAGATTGAAGAGAAAGTAAGATAATTTAATGTAAAAACAGAAATACTGATTATTTTTAAATAAATACATTATACTTTTTAGAAAGAAGCACTTACTTTAATGGGAGTTGGAGAATTTGAAAAAGCAATTCAAGAAGTAGAGCATAAATTTATGTAAGAAAAACTATATAATAAAAAAATGGCTTTACTCTAAAATTACTATTTTTTCCATATTTTTCTTGTTCAGGACTGTAACTCGTCCTGCCGTCTGCGAGGATTTACAGAAACAAATAATGGAATGCTATTCTGCTAATAAAGATAGAAGTTTACAGTGTTCATCTGTAGCAAAAGCTTTTAGTGAATGTGTTAGGAAAACCAGAGAGGTAAACAGACAAATATTAATTTAATTTCTTTTCTCAACTCTTAAAAATAATTGCTTTGTTTTCTCTTTTTCCAGAAAACTATAATTGAGACTCAATAGTCATAATATATATAGCTACAAATGCATAACAAAACTTTTTCAAAGATTAAATTTTAAAGATCAAATTAGAAACATCTAATGATATATTTGTTAGGATTCTTCATCTTCACTTTCACTATCTCCAAAGACGTCATTTTGAACTTGTCTTTGGCTTTGAGCTATTAGAGTAGCTTGACTTGCAAGTAACTTGGTTATATTGCCTGCTGAGCTTTCCATTTCATGAAATGATGGTGGAACAAACACAGAATTATCAGTTTTCTCATGTTCAGCTAGACTTTCTTTAAAATTTTCGCTTTCGTCTTCAATCTCTGCATCTGGATTCTTTCGAAGAATTGCCCGTTTTTCCCTTTCTTTCATATCATCAGCTCGGGAGGATATCACATTTTTGAGTTCAGATAGCATTTTTATAGCATGTTTTTTCTGATCTTTACAAGTTTCTCTTGTATCGGTATCGCTATTGTAATCTTCTTCTTGTTTAAGTTCGGAAACACCTTCGAAAACTTCATCTTCTACTTGTAAATCATCTTCAGCGGAAATTTCTATAACATTTCTTCCAGGTAAATCGTTTGAGGGAGAATCCTCCTCAGGCTCGACATCTTAATGATAATTTCGAAATAGAAGTAAAATTAGAGCATCTGGGATGTAGAAAAAAGGTACCTCTAGACTGATTCACTTTATCATCTTCTGATGAGATAATTCTAAGTCCTTCATCTATACATTCGCAGCAAGAATTTACTATTGACTTAAGTACACTTAATTCATCGTGTATATTATCTTCAAATGAGTTATCCATTTGAGACTCCAGTTCCTGAGATCTATGAAAGTACCTTAATTATAAGAAGTCAGGATAATTATACATAAGACAAAAATAACCGTTTAAAAGCAGAATGTAAGTGAATTATTAAGCTATGCACTATATCAGAAACCTCTTCTGTCTTAGTATGTTTTTCCAAACTCTCACAATTGTTCTGTTGCTTTGTATTCTCAACAGCTTCTTCGAGTTTGCACAATTTATAGTATTTTTCTATATCTGACATATGACTATCGACAATTACCAGTAATTCGTTTAGAGAAGATTGAATAAATGAGCAATCTAATTTGAGAAAGAATTGAATATAAATTAAATATGGAATACTACAGAAAGAAGAAGCAATTTTATACCTATATCCCATTGTACGTATGTTGTGTTTATAATAATAAGAATTCTTCGAATATACTGAGAAGCGTATAATTGGAATATGTAAGATTGGTGTTTCAGTTGGGATAAAGTAATGCCCTGGTCAAAATTGACAGATATCAATTCTTTTTTAGACAAGTAATATCCTTCATCGTCCAAAGGTTCATATAAATTTATTCTACAACGAAAATATTTTTATTTATTGATATACAAACTTTTCGAAATATTACCCGTCTAATAAACTGATTGTGCTCTTCCTCGTATTATCAACCAGACTGTTGTATTTTTCTTTTATTACTTTTCTTAAATTCTCAAATTGAAGAGATTTTCTTGCTCTTTCCTCATTTACCAATGAATTGTTTACTCTGGTAATACTACATAAATAAAATTTTGACTAAAAGGTTAAGCTTTCAGTAGAGAAACTAATTAGATTATACAAACAAAGTATATCCTCTAAAAGCCAATTCCATCTCTAATAGAAACCGAAGACAGGTTTTGTTAAGTTGTTTTAATTTCTTAATTCTTTGAGTAAATGTAATAACCAAATCTAGCATAGTATTTAAATCCGATAGAGAATCCTTCTTATCTGATATTTTTATGGTTTGTGCTGTTTATTTTTAATATCAAATTAGTTATTAAACTTACAGAAAACCCATTTAAATGATATGAAGGCTAAAAGAAATAAGAAAGTATAATATCTGAAGGTTGGGTACAGTGCAATTATTCCAAAAAGAATTCCAGTAATATATCCAGTTGACGGAATTCTGTAATGATCAATTATTGAACTTTCACATATTTATTCATTCCAAGAGGTTTTACTTAGTGTCTGCTCTTTTCAAGTACTCTTGTGGTTGGGATTTGCTTCCAAAACCATGCTTTCTTTGTTCTTCTACCATTATTGATGAATACGTACGAATAAACGATTCATCTTCTTCTTCAAGAACAGCAGCTTCCAAAATTTCATTTGTTTTTTTTATAACAATATCTCTTTTCTATTTTTAATCACAAAATAAGATAAGGTATTTTTTTCTTACTGAGATGCTGATAATGGTTATTTTACCTGTTGGTCCAAACCGAAAGTCCACCATTCGTCAAATTTATTAAGTAGATTTGAAAAAATATTCTCACTGGCAGTTGACAAAGACTTTCTCTTATTATCTTTACCTTGAGTCTATAAAATGTATAGAAATTGAACACTCACTCGTGGAAACAAATTGATTAGGATTAACTTACGATATCGCTTTTTTCCAATAATAAATCAGTATCGTCTAATCCAGCTTCTTTAAAATATTGATGAAATACGGAATTCTGGTAAAACGTCAAATGAAAAATGTATACTTTTTCGTAAAATGAAAGATTGAAGTTTTTATTATTATATTATCGCTCAAATAAAAAATATTTTTCATGAAATGGTGATTTTTTAATGACTGGAAATCATAATTTGAATACTCAAACAAATATCAGTTAATATTCATGCAATACTTTAAATAAAAGAGATCAATAGTATTACCTCATAGACAACATTTTCATCCTCAAGATCATCCATTCTGAACGTCTAGTAAACAGTAACCTGAAAAAGCGCCAAATACAAAAAAGCAAAAAAAAACAAAACTACTTTAATGATCTTTTACTATAGCAATTAGATTGTTTATTGTTATTATTTTGTTTATTTTTTTTGTCTTCATAAAATTTTTATATGTAAATAAGAAAGAAGAGAGATAAATTGATTTGCATATTTTAGTTTAATAAAATACATTTGTATTTGTCAGCTGAATAAAAAAATTTAACTTGGATAAATATTTTGAATCCATTCATGTAAATTCTTCATTTCAGTATTGGTAATTTCATGAAAACAATTATGTCTATGAAATTGAGATTGTACATTTTTGGAAGTTAATTTTTGATTTGTTAACTCTCCCCATTCAAAGGGAACTACAAAGTCTTTAGTTCCATGAGCTTGATAAACTGCAGGTAGTGAAGATTCGTCTGCACCATCTAAAGACTGTAAGGAATGACATTTTAAAACAAAACATTTATTAGTCTGATAAATTGTGGTAAACAAGGTATTCTGGTAATTTGAGCTGACCTTATAAACTGTTGAACTTTTATTTAAAAATGAAGATAGGCAAAATACGGCTTTAAATTCTCTTCTATGTTTCAATGTATAATAAAGAGATAAAGCTCCGCCCATGGAAAAACCTCCTATAAAATAAAAACGTATAATATTTCCATGTGAAAATTGTAGTGTGTCTCCTTTAAGTACAAACCAATTAAAATTCTATCTGTTGGTATGCCATTTTCTATTTCGTTGTTAACTATGTCGTCCAGGTGTTTGCAAGCAGTATCTAAAGACGGCACGTTTTCATCTGCGTAGAGGGATATCTTGTCTCTATCGAACCAAACATTCCATGGTTTTCCTAAGGAAAAATGAAATTCAAGATAAATAGTCCCTCAAGATGTTGTTCTTTGTGGAAAGATGGTTCAATGCTTTGTAATACTAGACTGCAGATTTTATATTGTTCTTTTGAAAGTTAATACTTGTTTGTCTGCACAAATGTCATACTTACCCTGAACTGGAGAATATGGTTGACATGGCGCCGAAGGATATAATATTTTAATATTGGGGAACACAAATTTGCTGCCAAAGACCTTTCTTATCCAATCTTTTGCGCCTTGGCCGCTGTCACCTTTTAGACGTGTAAATTTTAGAGCATTAAACAATTTTGAGCGTTAATAGAGGAATTTAGATTTAATTTTACCAGATCCGTGTAAAAATATTAAAGAAGCAGTTTGTTTTCGAGTTGCCTCAGTAACTAGAATTGGAGCGAGTATTTTCAATCCATTCATTATTAGAAAAATTAATTATATCTGCTAAAGATAACAATTCAAGGTTCGCAGGTCGCCACCTGACAAGAAAAAAACTAGTCTAGCAGACGATGTCTTCCGGCAAGGACAAACCGTATGTTATCCTACTAAAATCACCGAAAGATACCAAAAAGGATCCATTTCAGGACCTTTTAACAGAAAATAATATTGAATCTGTTTGTATACCAGTTTTAAAATATGCCTTTGATATAGATAAACTGTCTACCAGTCTGAAAAATCCAAATTATTTTTCGGCTTTAGTTCTTACCAGTCAAAGATCATGCGAAGCTTTAAAACTCTGCACGGAGAACATTAAAGTAACTTTGAAGTTCTAATTATAAAATTATGTATCCCAAGAGTAATTTAAGTTCATACATTATTATAAACTAATTAGAATGGTTCCCCTCTGATAAAAACAAAACTTCTTTGTTACTTTAAAGAATGATTGGAATAAATTACCGTGTTACGCGATCGGAGAGGCAACAAAAGATGAAGCGATAAAGCTGGGATTATTTGTGATAGATAATGCAAAAAATGCTTCACTGTTGGCCGAAAAGATTATAGAATCCAAGGATCGTTTTAAAAAACCTTTACTGTTTCCATGTAGTTCAATTAAAAGGGATGAACTAATAATTAAATTGAAAAGTGAAAACATTGCTCTCGAATGTATTACTTGCTACAATACTATTCCTGATACCGAATGGCCAGTTCATTTGAACAGGATTACCGAGAAGGTTTTACTGTGTTCGGTGCTATTTTTGATATTTTTCAGTCCGTCGGGTGTTAAGTCGTTTATCAATCAAAATGATAACGATATAGTCAACAAATTAATAAATGTGAAGAATAAGCGAATTGTGTCTATAGGAGTCACCACGGCAACAGCACTTAGAGAATCTGGATTCAAAGTTGACGGAATCTGTGAGAACCCTAATGCTCAAAGTTGCGTTGAAGCTATACAAATAATTCTATCTAATTAATTTACGTATAAATGATTGTAGTATATTGAATTCTTTAATTAATGAAATGCAATGCGATCGTTTTATGCTAAATTTCTATTCTTTGTCAATAACAAACAAACTATGAACTAATTAAAAAAATACCGAAGCACCAAAAAGAAAGCATTTTTTCTTTAGTTCATCTTTTGTCTTTTGCTTAAATTTTCATCTTCATTTGTGTCATTGTCTTTATCAATTTCCTTTTTTACATCATTTGAAGGTATGCTAAGCATATTTGGGAAGACATTCTGCCCTGGGAATACATTTGGTGTGAAAGCAGCTAGTCTTGAAAAGTTCAAAATAGGAGAATTGACTAGGAGAGGAGTATTGATTACGCTATTAACTGCTTCATTAATCATTGAGGTATCATTGTTCTCCGAATTCTTATTCGCTCTTTCTCCAGACCAAAGAACCCCTTTGTCTATATAGTCCTTATGGCACCAAGAGAAATGCTGTTTCAGGTATTGTTCGTTGTTAAATTTTTTATTACAAACAAAGCAAACATGATCCATAGGAATCTGTTGAGATATTTTTGTTGTACATTAGAATAAGGCCTGATAATAGTAATTAAATCTGAAATTTTGAAATATTAACCTCCCGGGCGTGTACGCGACGAACATGGGAGCAAAGGGAAGCCAAGTGAAGGAAGGTTAAATCGCAATACTTGCAAGCATGCGGTCTTTTTCCAGTGTGTGTATTTACCTAGTTTTCATGAATAATGGATAATGGTAAATAAAGGTTGATTTTATGATAATATGAGCTTTATTTAAAAACTTTGCCCCCTGATTTTTAGTATGATAAGATAAAAATTATTTACCAAGCAAAGAAAGTATTTTTGTTACTTTTATAAAAAAAAAAGAGAAATATCATCATTGAATTAAAAAAAAAAGGAAACGGAAGCAGTAACTCTGCAGTTAAAAGATGAAAAGAACAATTTAACCTACTTATAGCAGGTTCAATTGGTAGTATAAATATTATTCAAAATTAATAAATAAATAAATATATATATATATATTAGTATATATATTACATATTTATTAATGAATAATAAAGAAGGGCACTTAAAGTCTTAGCATAATTTGTTTGTAGGGAATAAATACCTTAATCTGTATAAGATTTAAATTATAATTGAAAAATAGATTGTTTATGAAAACTAGGTGAATATACATGATCTTTTAATGTATGTTTGAAGCTGTAATGAAAAAAAGAAACAATAATCAATTAATTTATCCTAATTCATTCGCTAATAATATATATTTATACATATAAGGGATAGGAATAGAGAGGAGCAAGATAAAAATTATAAATATGCACGCATTTGTACTCAATACGTAAAAAAAAAAAAAGTACTTCCAGCCACTGGTACATACTAATATTGTCTGAGTATGCCATAGACAAATAGGTTTTAATTAACAGTTGATTAAGACTATTATGTGTCATTACTAGATAGCATAGTAATTACTTCTCATATGCACGCCTGTTAGTCATTGCGGGCTCGTTATTATTCCATTGCCAACCTATTACAAAGTTCTTCCAATACTAGTAGAACACAACGATATTAATCTATTTGTATTCTCAATATATTTCAACATTTTACTCTCAATTTTTTTACACTGCCTTTAGTTGTTTCTTTTTTAAATCTATTTTAATACTAATAGTAAAAAATTTCCGGTCGGACTTGAATAAAAAGCGTCAATTTCCGGTCAAGCGTAAAAATGTTCGAATAAAAAAAGTTTTACAAAAGAATACGAATAGTTGTAACTTACCTGTAAGATTTTGGGCACATTGGGCATTGAAACCGACCTTCGTCGTTTTTTGTTAAAGTTTCTTCCTCTACATTTACGAGAGATGCTTGAGAAGGCGCTTCATTCGCTGTTTCCTGTTTATCAGGCCTAACTACCGGCGTCTCCTGATAAGACGAATTCTGAGGTAATCTATCATCTTCTTCTTCATTCTTTTCTCCTTTTTCTCCAATTGTTTCACTTATTTGAGTAATGAGGACGGAGGTTCTGTCGGAAGTAACGCAAAGCGTTCCTTCAACTTTCAATTCGTCAACGTAGAATTGTTGCTTTCGACATATTTCAACGATAGCATTAACTATTCGACTTTTTAGGTCCGTATTCATCATATTGTTATCGAAAATGCTCAAAATGGCGTTGCCGTCTGCAAGTGCGGTTGTTGTAATGAGGTTTTTATTATTATCATTATCAACAGAGTCTCCACCTAGAGAGAACAGAATTTTCCGCGAGATGTCGCTTTCAAACTCTTTTCTCAATGAATAAAGTATGAACAAGGCATATATTCTTCAATTAAAGTCGTAATTAAACTTCAAAAGCATATTAATTAAACAAATATAAAGAAACTGCTCAATTAGCTTTGAAATATAGATGTCCAAAAACAAGTTTCCCAACGACATTACACTTAAAATTTTATTTTTAGATGCTTTATCTATAAAAACATTATTATCGAGATTCTATAGAGCAAATCTAATAATCAATTATTAAGATATAGCTGACATGAAGAGGACCGCCAAAAATAAAGGAAAAAGTCTACTTTTATAGAGGATAAAAAGTATATTTTATGTCTTCTATATACAGAACTAGTCATTGTACAATGAAAAAAAAAACATCAAGGCACAATAGAGCATTTTCATCTTTAGAATATATTGAAGATATACGGTGATATTCATCTTCTACGATTAGATGATATGTTTTATGACATTCAACGACATAAGTATATTCAGATTGACTGACAATAACAAAATAATGATACTATAAGCCTATCATATATATAATAATAATAAAAAAGAACAAATTATATTTAATCTGATTGGTTAAGATTTCAAAGTAAATATCTTTAGAATAAATAAATTGGATAATAAGTAAATAGTCTATTTATCAAAACTATAAAATTGCTTCTCAACCCTTCAATTGCTATCTCTTTTGTATTAAAGATAATGATATTATTGAGCAAAATTATAGCTTAATGTATTAAACACCATTATTAAGATAAAATGTACAAAACATCGATGCAAACAGTCATATTGATGCTAAATTCGTAAAATCAATAGTGTATATGGCAATTAGTACATAAAAAAAATACTTACGATGACAAGTGCAGTAAAGCACACGTTACGTTTTTGACAATTGAATTAATCAACGTGATTAGGGATTATGAGTCCAATCTGCCTATATAATGTATTTATTTGTATACGAATCATCCTACTATATTAATAATTTTTTTAACAAATACATAAATCTTATTGGTATAATATTTCATTTGAGTAATCTGTTCAGTTTATAGATGAAATCTATCCCATCTCCAACCTCTTTTCGCTCTCCTATGTAATTTTATATATACAACACAATGTAAAGAAGTCGTAGACTGTTTCTTTTCTTGGATTAGTAGAGCGGTAAACTTTTCAAAGTGTTTCTTTGGAATAATCCTTTTACACAATCATCGTTTTTTAGTCTACTTTTACGACTCAGTAGAAATGTATTCACTAAAAGTAATTTTTGATTTGATTTTACACCAATAGATGGCATTACTATCTCTATATAATATTTCAATGGAAAGTTACGTTTTAAACAATCTTACATCGTTAAATATTGTATGAAATTTCTTTTACCAGCTCTTTTGAGCACAATAGAATAGTACTATAAATATTTTAAAATAATAATGCGACGTAGAGTAAATTAAGAAACTATAAAATGTAGTTTTTTTAAGGAGACACATTTGTAAACAAGTATGTGACCCAATTTGGCGCCAAAAATTATACACAAAATAACTATAGACTTTTTGCACTATATACCTAATAAACGAGATGAAACTTTAAAAATATTCCATAGCAAAATCAAATTCAATTTTAACAACCAAGAGAAATTTAACATATTTGTACAAGAACTATTTTATATATGTATAAAATGGGCGTAGGAATATCAGAGCCTTTCGCACGTGAGCGACATCAAAGTGAGAGATTCTATAGTCATCAGTGTTGAAATTTGAAATCAACGTTATCTCATTCTTATCAGTCATCAGCCGTATTATTATCCGTAGAGAGATGGGAAACGAAGGAAACAAAACTGTGAAATATAGTTTAATTACCCTAAATGTTTTTCTAATAGTAAGTTAAATGAATTACTTAAAATTATTGTTTTTCTATTATGGTTATAAGTTTAAATGATTAGAAAACATAATATTTCTGTAATTGTACAGAGTAATGAAAATCTTATTAAAAAATCTTGGATGATTTATGTGCTAAATATTAGGAATTTTGTTCAATTATAACGATGACTCATTTCCATTTTTCTACGAAATTCCCTTTTTTTAAAGCATTATGTTGATGTTCCTTTTTTGAATAAGCACTGAAAAAATACCTGATTATTCATTTATGAAAAGGATATACAACTATATAACTTCATTGTTAATATAGACTGTTAAATTTAAGCTTTCTAATTAAATTCTTTATACAGTTTTTTGGTATTGGCTTGTTGATTGCCACACCTTTTGTAAAATATAAAATAGATGATCTTAAGATTGCTTTTGATGATGACTTTGAGGCATGCTATCTTACATCCCTTATTGTTGGAAGTGTTCTATTCCTTCTTGGTACCTTTGGATTTTTAAGTATCTATAAAGAAAATTGTTGCCTAATGACTATAGTAAGTATTTTGTTTTTGTAAAGTGATTCAATATTTAACCTATACATTGTCAACCTTATTTTAATTTCAGTATTGTATACTACTATTTATCATTTGTGGCGGAATGATTACTCTCTGTTCAATTGCGATATACCTTGATAACACTATATATAACGATATGGAAAGAAATCTGCATAATTCAATGCTTGCTTACTCAAGGAATAACGAAACAAGGGAATCTTTTGATAAATATCAAAAGGAAGTAAGTAAACTGTAATTACACAATTTCTTATTTAATAAATAATATATTTCCTTATAGTTTCAATGCTGTGAGTTTGGTTCTAAGAAATGGTTCGATACAGAAAATGGAACTGTTTTTATTCCAACCTCTTGTGATTGTCCTAAAGAAGATGTAAATGATGGAAATATATGTATCAATTATAAAGGAAAGTCTATTTTCAAAATATCATGTCTCACTTACCTTAAAGATAAGGTGGACTATATTAGGATAGGACTTATTGCATTTGGGTACTTTGTGGCATTATTACAAGTATAAAAAAAATATTAATATAACTTCTGTTCTGTCAATGTTAAATTTTATGAAATTTCCAGGCAATATCTTTCATTGTCACCTGTGTCTATTCTTACCTAGCCAACAAGGTAAACAAAATTTATTTTCATTCCTTAAACATCATTTACATTCTAATTGGATTCGTCGTGTTAACTGTTTTACTTTCAGTGCTTTTGCTGTCGAAGAAACCATATGACACTAAAAATGTAAGAGGGATTATCTCTGGAAAGAAGTCATACTCATTCCAGGTTTTGAGTGCTCAATTTTTTAAACTTTTGTCTAAATATTCAATTTTCTTTTTTTAAATTACATTTTACAAATAAATTCAATGTTAACTTAACAACTTCTTCTCACATATTATTTGCCAATTGAATTAAAAGCGATAAGTGTTATAGGTTTTCGAAATATTTTATCTTTTGTTATCATTCAAGTAGGAAAAGAGATGAATGGAATATTAGAGTTGGCTTCTGTTAAAGTAGTTTGTAAAGACCTTGATATAAATTCAGAGTATACAATTGTCATTATCACTCAATGAAAGAACAACTTTAAGATCTTTATCTTGAAATATGAACATTATTCAGGACATTAGTCCTGGGAGAAAAGCGTTTCATCCCGCTTTTCCAGAGACGTTAATTCCTCACTCACTAAATTTCCTCGGATTTTGATACGACAGCAACAACACTGAATCAAAGATAATATAGCAAAATTTTAGTTAGATACACAATTGTTTCCAAATTTGGTAGCTTACATACCTTTTTAACTAAACAACCAAAGACAATGGTGGTTATGAAACATATTAGCTGCCATTTAATGGATAAATGAATATACGCATTATTATTGAAATAATACAAGATTTAAATATTTTTAATACCTCTAATCCAGATATGACACAGACATAAAGAAAGAAGATAATCATGTAATTTGATTTTTGTGGAAAGAAAAGTTCTGCACACTCTCTTCTGTAATAAGTAACTCCTTTGAATATTTCACATTTATTTCGATCATTTTCCATTTCTTTGGGACACAAACAAGATCTTGCAACTGATTTGTTATGTTCAATTTTGTATTTATAATCAAACTGACAGCATTCATACTAAAAAGAAGTTGTTGGACATTTTGAAATGTGTTAACTGTCTATATTATTCTTTACTTACATTCTTTTGTATTTTATCTAGGCTTTCTTTTATTTCCTTGTCTGTAAAATAATCAGCGTTACGTAGATTCTCTTTAACCGATAATTCCAAATTGTAACTGAAATGTGATGAAAAAAGACTACAAAAGAGTTGAGCACAGCATGCCAAGATTATAAATGTAGAAAACTGGTAAATTGAATATAATTTTCCATAAACACTAATGATTTATTAAAATAATATACTAACTATTGTTATCAGGCAACAATTTTCTTTATAAATACAAACAAAACCAAAAATACCAATGAATAAGAAAATGACTCCATGACTGAGGTACCAATTGAGAACTCTATTAACATTTTCAGTGGTAAACGCTACTTTATACTTGTGCATTCCAACTCTTATCAGAGGAGTGGCAATTAAAAATCCAATTCCGGATATCTACACAGATAATAAGTATTTCATTTAAGTTTTTCTTTCTTTACTTCATTTTTAAATGAGTAATTTTTCGTTTATTTGTTCTATTTTGGGAATTAAATTTCCATGAAAAGTTCACTGACTCGGTAATAAAGGTATAGTAAAGATTTTCAAAGATTATTCAAATAGAGAAATTTAAGTATAGTATGTCATTCTTTTAAAAAACTCAGGAATAAAGTTGTATAGTTTACTTACAATAAACAATAGACATAAGGCTTGTGAAGTATATTTGACGCTTTTTTTCCCTCTATCTATCATCTTTCCAGATAATTAATTGACGAAAATGTTAACTGTTCCTTATAAATAAAGCCCTTTCGAGAGTTATATATACTGTATATATGTTGGTTTTACGTAACAAGATACTGAAACTATTTTACACTTATTCCTACGCAAATATTAATAAAATATAGTTCTGTTTCAAAATATGTTGCCCAATCTACACTTTTTTTATTATATAAATCCAAAAACGTACTAGGATTTGTTCTATTTTTCAATAAAAACATTCAGTAAGTTTTCCAGTAAAAGTACTGCAAAATTTGAATATATCTTGAAAAAAGAGGAAAGAATAAGTTATTCGAGAATTCTTAAATTTATCCTAGTAATGTGAAATATAATAAAAATCAATAAAACAACTGCGAAATAGAAAAAGAAATGATTTCTCAGACTTCAAATTTTCTATATCAAAGTTCAAAACATAATGATATAACCTTAATCATAAATTTCTTCTGAATGTAAAAATCATCAGTAAAACAGTATCTTAGTATTGTCATAATTATTAAATATACAGTGTGTCAATAATTTCCGGTCTTTTTTCAATTATCCAATCGTACAAGTCGATTAATTGAAAATGTGATAATACAAAAGAATATTTACCTTCCCCTTTTGTTTTTGGTGGTTTTTATAGAATTATGAAGGCAAACCATTCTCTTCTATTTCTGACAACAAAAGTATCTATCTATATTTTGGAAAAATTGCAGTATTAATTTATCGTCTGAGTGAGAAATTCCTGTAATTACACGAATATATCAAATTTCAGTTTAATACTGCAAAAATTTTACGATAAATTAGATGAAAGAATAAGTTCTGAGTTAATCAAAGGTAATAGAAAATGATACATTTCGAGTGTTGTCATCCCTCCTAAAATATCGAGAATTACGAATTAATACTATAATAGCATGGCTATTAAGATAACGAAGTGGCAAACATTAATGCAAACAGTCATAGTGATGCTAATCTCGTAAAGTCAATAATTTATCAAGTATATATATTGATACATTAGCCATGCTTATGGTAATATTCCTTATAAAAACGTATGTTACAATCTAATCAATTGAAGAACTAATAAGATTAGAGATTAGGAAGAATAATCTTTTTATTTTTACTATTTGTTTGTATATGAAATTATCAAATTACTTAGAGTAGAATTATGAATAAGGATATAGATTTTATAAATAGTATAACATGAATAAAACACACTCCATTTAAAGAATCTCTATGATTATATAGCTTCAGTCTTCTTAATCTGCTTCTGTTTTTAATTTATTGTCCTACTATGCAATTTTATCTAAAGGTCAATAGACTTTGTTACGTAACAAAGGCGTAACTTTTCCCTATTATTTTCTTTACAATAATCCCGTTATAGAAAACTATCACTTTTACAGTTAAGTTTAAATTTATGTAATAACGTCTACAATTTAATTAGTTATTAAAATCATACGATAGATGGCGTCACAGTCAAATATTTACTAACAATTAAGGGTTAATATTACTTTGGCATAGACTGCAGAAAATTATCGTCAAAACCATTCTCTACTCTTTTTACAAGCGAAATATGGTCAAAACTTGTATACAAATGCTTTTGAAGAATGTCTTTTTAGACAAATAATAGCAGCATCTACATAGGTCTTGGAGACCTATTCCGCCCTCGGTCTATTTATATTAACAAAAAAAACTCTTTGCCGCCAACGGCATAAATCTTCGAAATTTCTCTATCATAGTAATTCAAAAACAGTAACAAACTGATTAAAACTTATTCCCCACTTAGACAGCTTGTTAATATCAAAGTCATATTGAAAATATGAATACCCCTATGAGTAAAAAACGAATCCGTCGAGCGGACTATATTTTTGCAGAGAAGCGTATGAATATCTAAAATAGGCAAAGCCTCGTTCCAGAACCATACTTACTAAAGCGGCATCGACGGAGCAAACGTCTGTTGTAAGCTGTTCAAATTCTTTCATTTCAACGTTATCTCTTGGTATCAGCTGATCAAAAATAAGCAAACATGGTAGAAGGAGGAATGAAATGTGTCAAATATCTCTTATTTACCTTCAACTTACTTTTTTTCGTAAGTATAAAAATGATAATCGACCAGTATATGTCGAGTAGTTTGCCTGACCTATTTTGTTTTCCAATGTAGTTCTATGTTTTATATAAAGTCTTAATACGTTTTCTATTATAATTTATATTTAGATAATTTGATGAAATAGGATCTATTATATAGAAGGAAAATGATGAAATTATTTAGCATTGTTTTCCGCAACATATTGTTGGTTGGACTAGTGTGTATTCTGAATACACTAACGGTCATATGATAGTATGCAATTTGAAACCCATATTAACCAATGGCTGACGGGTACGCACTACAACACCATGCATGTACCAGTGTAGCTATACGCTGTTCATGATATAAATAGAATTTTTTTTCGTACATGTACATAAAATATTTTTGTCTATTATATTCAAACCACTATGGTTAAAAATAACCAAATATAACAGGTTATCCAAAAGCAGTGAATTGAACATTGAATTCCGGTTTGTCAATAAATTTATCCGTTGCAGATGTTAAATTGAATTAACTTCAATTTTTAAATAAAAGTTGGATTATAGGGTGTGAAAAAAAAAAAACTGCAAAAAGGCCAAACATAACCTAACTATGTCATCATATTTTTTTATCTTTATGTTGAGTGTTTTTTTTAATAATAAGAAAAAGAAACGTGCTAAACTACAAATATACGTAAAGAGGAAGATAGAGCAAGAGAGAGAGAGAGAGGGAGAGAAATATATACATGAATAGATTTAATAACAATCGTGTTTTATGGATAAAGGACAAGATACATTATACATTTAGAACTTGGAACGGAAAATGTTTTTTATATCATTGTTGTATTAACAAACAGCGTCTTTAGTTGTTTCTTGACGTCATGTCCGCCTAAATGGCAGGCACTCACCCCCTTTCCACACCAACTAGTCTGAACCCCCTGGACATATTTAGTCTACAGTATAATAGTGTCTGGTGTGGTTTTTTTTTCTCACCCCTGCTCTTCTCTATCTATCAATCTTTTCTTTTTTGACTTATCTATAGTTAGCTCGTGTATCTTTGAAAAAAAGCGATTGTTACCGAGGAATTAAATTTAATATTTGGCTTAGTTTAGTTTAAAATTTCACATACATATTCTATACAAGACGATAAGGATCATCGAACCATGACTATTAATAATAATTTCCATATTGTATTCTATTTTTAAACTGCATTAACATTTTCGTCAAATATTCTTTAAATCGCTTTTGAACATTGTCTAAAGAAAACAAAAATCACGAACGTATGACTATTGGGGTAAAATAATCTAAAAGTTGGAATTTATGATGAATCACGAAGATTAATCAATTTAATACTTGTTGTCTGCGCTAAACACTTCAGTGAACGAAAGGAAACTGGTTCGGTTAGCCTCATAAAGAACATAACATTTCATATATTGATAGTCTCTTTCCGTTGATTTTTAGGTTATATAGGCTGCACATGGTCTTTTTTTAGACTACTCCCGTCTTTTTCTCTCAACACACACGCATGTAGATAAACATATTTTTACATATAGTATATATACACACTTACATACTTGCTCTGAAATGGTTGGCATGGATTAAGGATAAGATAGATGGATTTCTTCACTCTATCATACAGCTTCTATTATATGGATAGATAGATAGGAGCAAAAGGGTGTGGAGAGTGTATCATATGTGTAAGTTTGGAGAGAGAGAGCGAGAGAAAGGAAGAAGGAAGCAGAAAAAAAAACAAACAAAACAAATAACCAATTGAAAATAGAAAGGAAGAAAAATCTGTTAAAATTAAAAAACAGCATTTTTACTTCTCTTTTTATTCTAATTTTTTTTTCAGTAATTTATTGATTAAAACAATTTTTTTCCGGATGTGATAAAAAATAAACGACATATGGGGATTTTTAGTTTATCCATATTCATCATGTTTGTAATTAATTATAATTACAAAAGAATTGGAAAAATTTCGCCAATAAAGCAGATTTAACTACATAATTATTTAATTAATAAGCTGCTTGTTGTTTGATAAAATTTCATTAATTATATAATATTTCATTATTTATAACAGCACCATTTGGTTAGTTTTACTCGAGTAAAACGTATCGATTTTCGTTTAGGTTTCAAATATTTTTTTATTCGAAGAGAAATGATAGTGGCACCATCTAGCTTTAACTTTTTTTTGCTATACGTTGTTTATAGGCTGAGAGAAGCTAACTTTAGTTAGCAATCTTAAAATAACATATCCCATAGGAAAATACTTTTAAAATGTTTGTAAATTTGATAAATGGTTATTGATATGTTTTGTAAATAAACAAAACAACAATTTGGAGAAAAATTATATTAATATTAATATTCAATAAGGGAAGAGAACTAAATGAATTATAGATAAACAATTCTTTTTTCGAAGATAAATTATGAAAGTAGATGCGATCTAAAGAACAAAAGCTATATTGATTTCGTTCTCTGTACGCTTACACCATGTTTTTGCAAGTGCTGTATGTTTTCTTTATCCAGTCCTAGGGTTTATTCTCTTCCAAAGAAATTCCAATTAAGATTACAGAATGTGTTGAAAAATTCAGAGTACGTCTGTATTACTAAGGGAATACATCGTGTAGTATGAAAGTTGTTGAAATACCGCTAAGCCAACGAGCTTTTTTCTGTGTGAGACATGATTTTATTCTTCATAATTATCTTTTTGACCAAGTATATTTGCATAACCACCATATTGAATACAATCATATCAATTTTTATCCCTCATTCTTTTCTTTTCAGTTTGCCGGACTTGCTCTCATAATTGCAGGAGCCGTTGTACAAACCAGATTTCGTGAATATATCGCATTTTTTGGTAATAATTTCTCTGCGGCCGCAATTGTTTTAATAGTTGTTGGAGGCATCATCCTCCTCATCGGCTTTTTCGGATGTTGCGGTGCCTACAAAGAAAGCTACTGCATGACAATGACAGTAAATATATTTAAAATTTCTTTCCATTTAATAGAAAGAATAAATGATGACTTTTTTTTTCTAGTTTGCTGTTATACTCGGACTTATTTTCGTCTTGGAAATTGCTGTTGGAATTGGCGCTGCTGTGATGAAAAATAAGGTTCGAAAGATTATTGAAGATAAAATGACCGAGTCAATGAAGAACTATAATGATGATCACGAGGGTGTTAAGAAAGCTTGGGATAGTATGCAAGAGAAGGTTAGTAAATTATTGGATTAATTACAATTTTAAAACAAACTGATTACGTTTAGTTCGAATGTTGCGGTGTGAAAAATTCTACTGATTGGAACACAACTGTTCCCGATTCTTGTGACTGTCCTGCGGATAAGAAGACGGATGAAAAAATATGTCATAAGGAGGATGGCAAAGATATCTTCAAAAGAGGATGTATCGATGGAATTTCGGAATGGGTTGAAAAGAACGTCGTAGTTGTTGTTGGAGTTGGTATCGGATTTGCTTTCTTGCAGGTACGCATTAGAATCTTTTTTATCTTTTCTTCGTTTCAAAATCTCTTTTCTCTTTTCTTTTTTACCTTTTCAATTAATCAATCAAAAAAAAAAAACACCATTTCGAAATATTCAAATAACTTTGTAAAACGAGCAGCTTTTCGGAATCTATGCTGCCAAAAAATTGGCTGATGCAATTTTGAAGGGTTATCACAGTGTTTGAAGGTAGAGAAAACGCTTTTCAACCCCCTCCTTTCCCTATTCAATATATTTTTCAAACTTTAAGTTGATTAAACAATGATGTATTGTATTAATACTCTCTATATAAAAAAAACAAAGAATTAGTCATTATACCTATAGATGCAAAAGAATTTTTGGGTGCATATATTTTGTGTTAATAATGGCTTGGGATAGGAGAAGAGGTGTGCTTTAAACTGTTGCTTAACCTGTTCTCGTATATAACAATTGGTTTCATTCTAAACATAAAAGCTTTTAGCATTCAAAAAAAAAAACAAAATGAATAGAAACGAAAAGGTAAAAGTTTTTAGAGAGTTTTTCTGTAAACCCAAATTTTATATACATTTACAATGCTATTTACAATACTATTAAGCCTCATTTTCTGATTTCTCTTGAATGATACCAAATTACAGACAGTACAATAAAAACGCATAAAAAAAATTCCTATCCTATTTCAATTTTCGATCGTCTTTTCATTCGTGTTTTCAATCGAATATCAATATCTTAACTTTCATTGTCCTGCGAATATTTTTTTGGATAAAAAAGAAAATGAATCTTATATATTTTAATAAATTTTTCCATACAAAAAAAGACTTTTGCCTTTATTATCCTTCTTTTCTTTCAATTATAATCTAACCCCTTTACAACAGATTATTGGAATATTTATTACGTGCTGTTTATTGAGAGAATACGATATGTAAAATAGCAAAAACTAAATTTAAAAAAAAAATAAACAAATAATTGAATCCAACATTAAAAAGAAACAAATATGGTAATAAATAAATTGATTATAATAATTAAGGAATGGAGAAAAGATGCTATAGATAGATATAGTTGTATCTATTTATAGTTTTTTTTTATTTTTTTATTTTTTTCTAGAAAAAAAAAGAGCAATAGAAGAGTTTCTCTCAAATATTCCTTTTCTTTTTATCTGTTTGCTAAAAAGTCTATTCTTTTCTTTTTATTGTTTTGAAAAGGGTTCGCACAAAAATTTATAGGAAGATAACTGTATATATATATATATATATATACATATATATATACACAGTTTGTCCATATTTGGTGGAGCTAAATTTTTAATGAATTATCATTAATTGAATTGAACTAATTAATTTATTTTTTGTTGTTTTTTTCTTTTACACAGTTGATTGGTATCGCTTTCGCTTGCTGCTTAGCCAGGACCATTAAAAAGGAATACGAAGTCGTCTAAATATTTAAATATAACGCCTTATTTAAAAAAAGCGTTTAAAAGTTTATATATTTATATATATATACAAAAAAAAGTTATACTAAAAGAAAAAAGTATATTGTATGTTTAATTGTCATAAAAATTTAGCTAAAACTATGTTTTAAATCTTTCATACAAAAGCTAAATTTTTAAACGGAAAAAGTAAGAAAGTATCTCTAATACTTGATTAGTTTTTCAGTCTAATATATAACTAATATAACCCTCTGCCCTTTTTTTTTGTCAATTAGGTAGCTCTATTACATATATAAGTAGACATATGTTTTATGCTTTAGGAACAAACTATAGAAAAACTATGAACAGCGCACACGTATAATAAAATATATTATGTACGTCGGTTTAAAAAGATTGTTAATATGATTTTAAAATGGAGAATTAATTGGAAAAGGATAATTTCGCATTTTTTTCTTAAACTTCTCTTTTAAGCCGTAAAAATATGACATAAATAGGAAAAAATATAACGAAACAGAAAAAAATTGTTTGCAAATCCTATGCATGATTTAAAAAACGAAAACTTGATCCCCATAATTGAAAACAAAAAACTATAGTCATTAACAAAAATCTGCATTGTACTCGTTTAAGTGTTCGATTTTTTGTGTGTGTTTTATTATATATCTGTAAATACTCTGTTGATTTGCAGACTAAAAAAAAAACGCGCATTTAGAGCTTACTTCGGTAATTCATATTATTTTGTTCTCTAAAATATGCTTAAGAAATTTTGGATGTCGTAAAACAAAGCATTAAACAGTTATTTTCCTTATAACATTCGGTGAAAGTCCACTTAATAAAAATCAATAGAATTGTATATGTTTTATTTTTTATCTTATCAAATAGTTTTCATCATAATTAGATTTTATAGCATCCTTATTTCCTAGTAGGGAATATTTAGTTATTATTTCTATTTATTCAGTATTATACTATCACTTGAGAGAAGAAGGAAAAGAGAGATAAAAAGCGAAAAGACAGAGAGATAGGGAGGTGCAGCAAGAAGGGATGCTGGATATTTTCATAGTAGAGTAATCCTTGTCTAACATATACATCACTAGCTTCCCTCTTTTCTTACGCTATTTTTTTATTGATCCATTAAATCTTAGTCCAGAATCTCTACGATAAGCAAACAAACAAACAAGCTCGTACCGCAATACTAATTTGCTTGGTAAGTTTTCCATTGATCCTCAAGTCATCTGGCCATAAAAATTCATTATTTTATTGAAAATGTTAATAGAGTAAATTAAATAAATAAGCTTTTTTTTCCCTTTTATGACTTTATTCTAGCTTTCAAAAGGCAATTTATATATCTTTATTTTAATTTATTTATGAACAACGATAGCCTTGTCGTCACCAAATATTAATTATAGTATCAATTTCATCTATAAGTAAATAAGGCCAAGGTTAATGATCCGATGTAAAAGTTAAAAATATAAAAGAAGCAGAAAAGTTGTGTGCTTAAATGAAGAATGTAATTAGTCTAACAAAACAGACTTTTCTTAGGCTTCGGTCAGATCATCGTTAAAATATAAATGGATTGCTTGCAGGAAAGTATCATCATTCATCCCTAACTCGTAGAAATCACCATCTTCATCAATGATATTATTTTCGGCCAGGGTCTTATCCATTTCTAAATTTAGGCAATCGTATTTCCAAGTGTAGCTGGAAGCGTGAGCATTGAATTTAAGATAACGTTGTAAAATCTCTTCCATAGTTTCCTCGGAACAAACCTAAAAATAGAATAAATCAAACAAATTATTTATCAAATTTTTCATTCCTTCTCTTATTTACTTCGATTATCTCATCTTGGGAAGTAAGCGTATTTATGATTTTAATATTTCGAGTTTTAATCGATAATAGACCAATGCAGTAACTTTCATCCCTCCACCATGGACGACCAAAATCATTAGCCCAATTTGAGTCTGGAAATGGTGGTGGGACATGAACAAAACGACCGTGTGGTGTATAAGGAATTCTACATCCTGTCAATGGGTCAATATGGCTTCTTATCTGTAACATTTGTATTCATAATAAAGATATTACAACGACTAATCAAATCTTACGTTCTTTGTTTTTGGATCAAACCAATGTGATATATCTGTGCCTCCAGCCTGTACAATTGGTTTCAACAAAATTTCACCTAGTTGAACCATCTATTAAATATTGGCTAAGATCTTGAAAAATTTGAAACAAACCCTTATATTTTTCGCATAATGGGGTTAAGTTAAAAACTTTTCCTAAGAATGATACCCATAAGTCCTCTGGCGTATTATGTACACTAACTTCTTTTGGAGTATAGAACTTCGGTCGAACGATGCCCGGCATTTTTGTTGTTATAACAACCGCACGATATCTTCGTACTTTACTACAGCATTTTTTTCAAATAATATTATCATTATACGCTAAAATTATAAATATAAGGAAAAATTTAGTAAATGAAAAATTTTACGAAAATGACTATTCTGTATAATTCATATACCTTTTCAAACGTACGAATATCAATAAATTATTCTGCTTAACCAATAACCTCCACTAAACAAACTTACAAATTTTATATAATGTTCTAACTCTATTTCTTTATCCGATAGTGTCTTTCCCCTTAGAAACAAAAGAGGAATATTTTCTATGAACTTAAAAAAACTCACCAACCGTGCTATTTTAATAAAAACACGCAACCTAATAAATGTTATATCTAGTTAAATGTTACTATGTTTATAATGGATTAATTTAAACAATGTAGTTTAAATTGATAGGCTTTTTTTTACCGACTTGTCTTCTTCTTTAAATTTAACATTTATCCTTAGTTAATAATTTCAATGTCTATGAAAGAAATTATTACAATATGGTCCTTACAGATATATACATGAATTCATTTAAAAGCCTTTATAAAGAATTACTTTCCCACGAATTAGTGAAAAGAAAACCCGTTGCATGATAATGTATATACCTGATTATTTTTGTAATCATGACTTTTAATAATTAATGGCTTTTTGTTCTAAAAACGAATATGCTCTCTCCGCGTGACTGGTTAGGAGTTGAAATGTTCTAGTTACTAATTTGTGATACCTTTATAAATAGTTATTCCAATAGTTATCGACTTGATAACATAGTAAATAATATAATCTATACAAAATTAATTAACCTGAGAAATTCCTAGAAAATATCGTTATAGAACTGATTTATGCCTACGAAAATTAAGAATTTGGAAGATATATCATATTCACTACAATTTTATTAAACTAGTCATAAATCTATCCTAATTATTAGAACTTAGGAAATGGAATGGAAGATTTTCTTCTCCTTTTAATCGATTTTTGTTAATAAAGTAAAATGTAAAGTTGAGTTGTTTTAAAACGTTGATCAATAATTAATCATTTTGAAAATAATATATTTAGCGTTCTTATATGTTAAAAAATTCTTATTTATTATTCTCGGAACTCGAATGGTATTAATTTTTTGTATCAGTTTGTCAACTTTTCCTCAATTATTGTATTAGAATTACAGCAGGAGAATATGTAATTTCTATCATTTTTCTTCTGTAAAAACACAGTTTTTAATGCATAGTATATGATGTCTTTACGATTTTTAATCATGACTTTACAAAATCCAATCCAATGCATTCCTTAATGATATATGCTGAATTTTTTCTTGTTTAGATAACTAAAAATAATTATATTTCATGCTGGTCAGCTGTTTTACATTTGTACGAAACTATCTAATATGTCTGCCGCTATACTATTGCTTCAATCATGTAAACATGCCTCTCGAAAAACTTCACGGTCTCTATATAGGGAATTGTCCAGTATAACTGGTAATAGAAAAACAGATATAGTAATCGATACGTTAACATTGGGTAGAGCAGAAAGATGGCTGAAGAAATATGAGGATTTCATAGGTCTTACAGAAGTTCGTGAAGCCCAGAGAAATGTCATAGAGGTTAGCCGGCTCTCTATTGTAGAGTAACTATAATATAAATTATGAAGTAACAATAGTATTGTAAAGTAGAGTAAACTAATTATTCAATATTCTAAATTTGTTAATAAGGTTTATTACTATCATTTAATTTTAGTTCGAAAAAGATTTTCTTGAATCGCAAACCGTTCGCAGAGAGCGCCAAGCAGAATTATCAAAAGTTCAATCCCAATTGAGAGATATAGGATCAAAATTGGATAAAGTTCAGAGAGGAGATGAAAGATATTTACAACTATTAACGGAAGAGCATAAAATTATCAAAGCTGAAAACGACTTAACTAAAAGATTAGAAGCAGATGAAAAGCTTGAGCGTCACTTGTTTGCAAACCTTTCTTCCGCTGTGAGAGAATCTCATGAAAAGGAACGAACAAGAACGGAAAGAACAAAGTATTGGTCTATTATTGGGTCTTGTGTAGGAGCTCTGATTGGTATTTTAGGCACAACAATAAATAATTATCTAAGAATGCGGCAGCTCAGAGAGTTGATTAGTGATTCCACTCAAGATGGTGCAGAACTTAGAAAGGTCGTTTCATCACTGTCAACGGCCATAAATACAGAGCATGAGAATATGAATAAATTTGTAGGCGATTTAAAAGAAGCAATAGGCTCGGAGGATAAACCGGCATTACTATTATCCAACCAATTCGATTTCAAAGATAGAGAGAAGCTTGAAGCGCAAACTCAACGAATACTTAGTGCTGTGAAAATGGAAGAAGATGAATTAAAGAGGCATATGGAAGAGATTAAGTCAGCATTAGCTATAGGACATAAAGGTGAAGGCTCTGTTGTTTACGTTGGACCAGACTTGCAGGAAATACTTGATGAGAACGAAAAAAAAATAGAAGTACAAATGAAAGTGAATGCTTTATGGACTGTAACGGCTATATATGGTGCTGTAATGTTAACAGCTCCTCTCCTATTTTACTTCCTAAAGAACTCATAGGCAAATTAGCTTAATAAAACTTTATAAACCTAACGGTCTTTAATAAGACCAGAACGGACAAAAAATTGCATGTTATAAAAATACACAACCTTCATTGAGGAAAGTTATAGAAAATACATTAAGAGTATTAATATATCTATCAGTTTTGGATTACAAAGAAATTAAATAAATTCTATCCAAGAAATAAGCTTTATATAGGATCGTAGTGACTTAGATCGCTTATCAGAGTTATCTATATTCTTTTAGTCAGCCTGTTGTTAATTTCAAAGCATATTTGTATTCAAGTATTTTTTTCCACGAAAAAAATTTTACTAACAATTCAGAACATAAGAGGAACAAAATGCATAGGCTTAATCATAGCCATATTAGAAGTTCAGACTAAAAAATTGAGTTGTACAATGCAAAACACACGTACAGTCAAAATCTCTATTCAGTTATAAACAAACTATCGATAATTACTCCGAAGCTAACTTGAAAGGTTCAGCTAAATAGATGCAGAAAATAATTAAACTTTTATCTTAATCGGTTTTTTTACTCGGAAATTACTGCAATACTAAATTGTTAATCTTTCACCAGCTGTCAGCAGAAATTTGTAATGAATGTTATAGGCCTAAGATTTTTCGTTAAAAAATAAAGAAAATATACCTCCTTACAGTATCTGGAATTGTCTTATTGTAAAAACAAAAAAAAAGAAAAAGCTGAATATCAATGTCAACCAAAAAGTTATGAAAACTTGTATATTTAACGGTAATTATGGTTTCAGTGAGGTCCTTATTAATATTCAACGCGTGTTTCGTCCATGTTTGAATTTATAATAAATATGGTTAACAGAAAAATTTTCTTTCAAATATGCAGTGGAAAAAAATTAAAAAAAAAAAACAAAACAAAATTTAAACGCCCAACAAATTATGTAGTTCATCATCGGAGATCACTTGTCCTCCCCTTTCACTCGGCTGCTTATTATGGGAGATTATTTTTAGCAAGTTGCGATAATTGAATAAATACAGAAAATACTCACAATCCTTTTTGACTCCGTTTCAATTGTAGGAGGTTCGTGCAATATTGCGTCTGTTTGTGAAGTTTTTATTATGTGTTGAATTCTTTCTTCCAAATTCTAAAAAACAAACATTTTATTCCTGATTAATTGAAGGTTTACAAAATCAAACCTGAATGTCATTGGATGGTTCATCATCCTCGTTGTTTTGCTTTGTATCATTTTCATTAATAACATCTTTGACTACTTCATCGAAGCCAAGGTTAGCTGTATCGTTTTCTGGCTCTACAACTGGCGCACTATCTTTCTCATCATTTGGGATATCTGGTTCAACATCATTTGTAGCACCTTTCTCTTCTGCATCATCACTCTTCGTACCTTTTTCAGATATCTCTTCAGTCTTAAGTTCGAACTTTTCGTCAGATTTCGTTTCCTCCTTTGATAAATTTTCATTAGCATCAGTAATTTTTTTATCATTTGATGAATCGTCTTCACTGGATTTTACAACTTTCGAGTCCGCGTCATTTTTTGATTTCTTATTCTTGTTTTCGAGTTCATACTCATCAACAGCTTTTTTAAATGTCTATTAAAAATGTAATATAAATTATATCTTTATATGATTAAGAGTGTAACTCTTTACGGTATTTAGCATAATCGACTTTAGAAACTTTGGAATATATAAACAAGTATCAGGTTACTTAATACGCCCCGTAACGTATTGTTCAAACTTTGTAAATAAATTCTTAACTTTCTTCACAAAAAGTTATCGAATATTTAAATTACCTCTGTAAAAGAAAGGCCATCCGAAATTATAAAACATTCTTTACATTTGTGATACACTTGAGCGGCTTTCGCTTGGATTTCAGGCGATTTAGTATAACGTCGACACTATTTAACAATTAAAAGTTATTATTGCTTTTGTAACAGCTGATTGAAATATTTGTAATTACCTTTCTAATAGTGTCAACAACAAAATGATATCTTTTTAATAAATCTGGCGTGAAGTGCATATTGCACATTTGGTCCAGCACATCTAAGCATTTTTTAAAATCTGGATCAGTAGCTTGTAACGACTTCTTAATTTGAAGATCTAGCTCCTTTAACATATTCCCTCTCTTCTCTTCATATTTTGCTCTCTTTTTTCTCTCTAAAAGCTCCTTCTTCTTTTGTTCTTTTTTCTCTTCTCTATTTTTGTTTTAAATATATAATTAATCCATTATTTAAATAAAAAAATTGATTCATGCATTGATGATATGAATCATTAAAATTACAATGTTTAACTACAGCTGTGTAATTTTTTTTATTAAATTATTTACTTAAACTTACTTAGATATTCTTTTATTTTTTTTAGATTTTTCTTTGTCTTTCAAGGACTCGTGTTTGTGTTTGTCGCCTTTCTTACTCTTCTTCTAGTATTAAAGTAAAAAAAAAACTTTACAATAAATAAGAATAGAAATAATTTTCTCAAAATCATACGTGATGTTCTGTATCTTTCTGATCTGTTTTAGACGAAGACCTACGACTTTTCTCTTTTCGTTTTGGTCGATCTCCTTTCGCCTTGGTTTTTTTAATTTCATCTTCCGAGGATGATTCTAAGACACTTTTGTTTTTTTTCAATTTTTTTCTAGGTGATGATATCACTTCTTCGTCATCACTCTGTTTCGGTGTTTCTTTAGTTTCGTTATCAGTATTAAGAGGTTCCTCCTTCGATTTTTCAACTTGAGTTGTCTCTTCAGACTCTTCTGAATTTCGGATATCTTCGAAAAGATCATCCTTTTGAACGTTCGAATCTTCATCCTGTTTTGGTCATAATGAATATCCATAAATGATTGTATGTTTTTTTAAAACTCTCACCTCTGAGATATTTTCTTTTTCCGCCTTTTTTGAATTTGAATTCTCTTCTCTATGAATAACAAATGAAACAATTATATATAAGTGCGATTAAGATACAATTTATTTTACTTTTCTGTCTCATTGGGCTCTTCATTAGGGGATTTTGCCTCCTCTGATCTGTTAGAACAAGCGGGATTGAAAACTGTACAATTTGATTATTGTAGAAGACGCTTACTCGTTTATTGAGCTCGGTTTCCTTCGACGGCTTCTTCTCTTTGGAGCTGGATCGTCTGTTCTTCGGCCCTTCCGGCGGCTTGGCTTACTATTTGTTGGCGGCGGGGGAGATGATTCGGATTCATTTGAGATGGCATCGTCATTTATTTCTTTATCATTCGTGTCATCCCCAGATGTTTTCTGTAAAAATTAATTAACTTTGTTTATTAAGTAGAATATTTGAAGAGTACGAGTAGCGTCCTCTAGTGTTTTATAATGCTACTAATATTAGAAGTTTTGAAAAGTTTTTTAGCATATTTACCATTGGGCTTTTACGATCTGTAGATTCAGTATTTGCTGTAATGGCATCTTCTCCAGGTTCTTGGTCTTTTTCCTCGGACGATGTAGAAACTCTAGATTTTTTTGCTGGTTTCTCAGTCTAAAAACAAGATATTTTCAAAATAACAGCAACATCTTTCAGAAAAATACCTTTGAGGAACTATTTCGCTTTCTCTTCCCTCCTTGAGCTTTTTTATCCTTTTAAGAATATCAGCTATTTCACAACAAACAAAATATTCAAGTAACTTACGCTTTGTGTCCTGCCTCTGGATTTTTTAGTTTTAGTTTCACTCTAAACGGAATTTTAAAACAATAATACTTAGAATACTAGGAAAATAAATAAATAATATATATATATGCTTGTTTTCAAGGTATAAAATTTACTTGAGTTTCTTTTTCTTCGTCAGAAGCAATATCTTGCTCGTCGTCCCTATTTTCTTTTGAGTCGCTATCCTCTATTTCCTCGTCCTGAAGAGATAAAAGTATATAGAAATTAAATTCTGTTATTAGAGAGTAATACATTTACTTCAAGGCAAACGCTTGGGTTATCTTCAATCTCCTCCAAACCTAAATTAAAACCAGTGCGTTTATTAGGTTTGCCATATTTTTCTTTATGTTCCTCGAACGGGAAGAGATCTTTAGCGTTTAGGAATGCACTGAAAGTATTCCCAATTTACTACTAAAGTTTTTAATATAGCTAATCTATACATTTCGTGCGTTCCGTAGAAAAATACAGCATATTTCCCTTTCGGCGGGGCTTTTCTTTGAGGGCCCAACTCATTTATCTAGAATAAACGTAACTTTTATAAATTCAATTTTCTTCTCTTTAAAAGTATTACTTACCCGAGCTGGCCAATGAGGATATCCTTTCATTTTAGCAAAAACTCGATCATGAAGCTTGAACTCATTGGACATCTTTCCTGAGGAAAACAAGACTATTGAAGAGAATTTGCATCATAATTAGTACGATTTGTAAGACCAATTTATTAGGCTGAAGGTTTTCTTAAACTTTGTCACGTTATTCATATACAAAGAGAAGATGTTGCATAACACTACTCAAAACTTATTTTCAATATCTAACGGTAAAGTACTCAATCTTTCCTGGATTTAATTTATATGATTGCTATGTGTTCACTACAATTTCTACTATAAATTGAAGTTGTCGCCTCCTTATTCTTGATCAAGAAACAATAGGATTTATCCTGTCAACTTATCAAAGCTACAATTGACCAAGACCAAATCAGTTTTAGTACTTTATAGATTTTATGGTCATATTTACTTCACTAGAATCGTTTTATATCTTACAGTACAAATTGAAAATTAACGTATTTGAGCCTTGATTGATGAAAACGTCTATCAAGGATTCATTCCAACAAAATCACTTACCGAGTAGCTTCGCTTCGGGAATACGGTCAGGAGCGGATATAGTTATATCTTGACAGAGCTCAAACAAATTAGGAATAACAAAATGGCGGTCACATATAAAAGTGTCTTAAGACCGCCATGTTTAAAACCGTTTTATTTTTTAACGTACGAACTTTTCCAAAATATTCTTTGGTATTGCTAAAAATGAGACGTATCGCAAATGTAAAATTATCACCAATTTTATAATTTCTTTATCGTTTAGTTCATCCTAATGCTTTTTATCTGTAAATAAGTTTTAAAATTTTACAATACAGACACTTATATTAAAGTTTACCTTTACATTTATAACTTTTATGTACAAATTTAAATTTAAGTAAAGTCCATTTTTCTTAGTTGACATTCTATGTACTTATTTTCCAGATTGAACTATTTTATAATAAACAAGGTGTTTGGGCTAAACTTTAGTATAACCTCTTAAGAAGCAGTTGTCTTAGAATTTCTTCAATGAAAGCTGTGTCTTATAAAAAATTTTATCATTGATAAAAATTCGTAGAAATTATGAATTTTAAAAATGGTTTCATTTATTTATAAAATTTTTAGAAAATTAAATTAATATTAAGGAAAAAGTTAATGTATAATAAGATTTTTAGTTTTTATCGAAGGTTTAATCATTGACGTTATTACGCGCTATTCCTTCCAGTATTTAGTAATTTCCTTTTTTAAAAATACGAAAAGTATTGAAGTGGATAATTATTTAAACTTCGTTATTATGGAAGAATTATTGAACGAAATTGTCGAAAAAACAGTTGAAATTGTACAAAAGAATAGCGGAAGTATGAAAATTGATCTTCAATCTTTAAAATCCGTAAGTAAATTCATTAATCATTAACTTATGTTAAAACCCTTAAAAAACCTTATAATTCTCTCAGTGCTGGTATTTAAACCATAAATTATTTAGGAATAAATGTAGACTACTGCTTTGTAATGTAAGTTATCACGATCGCGTGTAATTGCGTAAAAATCAGTCTTTTGTTGGCAATAAGTTAAAAAGATCTCATCACCAAGTAACGAACTACTAACCAATCGTAACCGAAATCGTAAACGTTAACGCAATTTCAAAAAACACATTATTTTTAGCCGAAACATAAACAAGGCATGTTTAATTTTAGATACAAGGCGATATACCAAAATCTCTCTCTGTATTTGCACCCTTTTCATTTATTTATCCAACAGACACTAAAACAGTCAGCTTTGAAGGAATTAAATGATAAAAGGAATGAAGACTTAGCAGCAGTTAATTTTCAGAAGGAACTGATTCTAAGGCAAGAACGAGAGCACAGGGCGAGAATTGCAGTAGAGGATCGAATATACTACGGTAAAAAATGTGGAAAATTGATGAGAGAAATATGCAAGTTGGATGTAAAAAGATGCTCAGAAGCAATAGTTAAATTAGATGAAAGCACCGACACTTCAGTTTTCGCACCAACATTACAACATACCGAATTGAGAGATATAGAAAATCGGATTTCAGAAATCAATAGGAATTTAACGGTAAAATTATTTTTAAATAGTATATCATAAGAATTCAAAAACTCTAATTTACTTTCGTTTAAAAAGATGGCAGAGAGAGATAATAAAACGATGAAGAAAGTGTCAACAATGGAAAAGTTACTTTGATATAGGTTACATTAGTTTTATTTGCTAACATATATAAAATATATATATATATATATATTTATATATACGTAGATATGAAAAGTTTTCATACTTGTGTCTAATACTTTTATTCTTTCCAGTTTTTTTGTTTTTGTCAAATTATCCATATATGGTATAATTACTTCAAAAAAAGCTCTTAATAAGATCGTTGTTTTTAGAAAACAAAAATATTATTTATTTACAATATTGCGTCGTATATAATAAAACAACTTTGACAGATATTTTAATCCTAACTTTTCATATATCTATTATTAATAATAATTGTCTTCCATTAATTATTTTTCATGTTAACATATTCTAGAATCCTTCTTTTTTTTTTTGCAAAACGAAAAAACAAATATATTTATTAAGTTAATAATGTAAGGTAGAATCTTGTTATATGCCACATAATGTATAATAAATCGGAAATCTCCTAGTGATGCAGTGTGAATGAAAAAAAAGAAAGCAACGAAATATAACCAGCTAAGCACCGATACTGTTTTTTTTCTCTTCTAATGGTTCATATTTGAAATATATAGAATTTCATTTAATATTAAATATATATATATTTATATATATACTGTATATGTTAGTATACATATATATATATAAATGTAAACGTCTTCTTTTTTATTTTGTGCACATGTTGTATGCATATGTTACAAAAAGGCCATTGACTCCACATATACATATACAATTTACATGCAGTTAATTTGTTTTAGTATTGTCTCTGCAGATGAATATTCACCACATTGTTTTATGTTAGACGGGGTGGAGCATCTGGAACATTCGAAGATTTTCCTGATGTTAAATAACCAACAGTTCCAGGGGTTCCTTAAAAATAAAATAGAAATAATTAACTATTAATTAGATAATTTCAATAAGCAGATGGCAACTAACCAGTTAAATAGCCACTGACGGTTTTGTCTGTAATGAACAAATCGTGCTTCTGATCCCTGTATTCTCTCCATACTGGGAATTTCTCTAAAATATTTGCGACTTGTTCACCATATTTTAGACTGTTTTGCATTGCCTTTAAAGCCTTTACAACTTGAGCTTTCGTTGCAGCCGGATTTTCGCATTGTTCCAATCTTGATTCTAATAATTTAACGAGAAATTGTACCATTTCCGTGTCGAGGGCCTGCTGTACCAATTCATCATAAACACTTTGAAAGAGAAGATGAAGGGCATCACAGGCTAAACCTGTTTAATCATACGTTATGTTAAAAATAGTATATACTTTTAAGAATGATCCTATATTTTACCTATTATGTCAGGTCGTTTCATCATGGCTTCTTTAATGGCTCCAATACATTCGATTTGCGACATACTTTGCACACAAACTGTACTCGATGTTACCTTTTGCACAACAACAATGGAATGTTTAATAACTGCGGTGTCCTTTGAACGCATTGCTCTAAAGAACTTGGGCATAACTCCTAGCTGAGGTAAAACATCTAGCATAGTTGGTTGAGCACTAAATAGAGCATTCAAAGCGTCGGTAATTGTTTCTAACATTTCTCCATGATTCGTACTATTATCAACCAGAGACGACCATTTTTCTAAGAGCTCTGTTAAAAACTCTCGAGGTTTTCTTAAAACCCATCCAGGATTTGCTACGAATAGTCGGAGGAATACACCCCCTATCACTACTTCTCCCTGACTTTGAGAATAAACTACTGCAAAATCTTCTGGCAAATTCCATTTAGTATCTGGATTTTCTCGTTGAGATCTATAATGTTTTAAGCACATCCTCTCTACAACACCACATACTTTTTCTCTTCCTTCGTCATTCCATATGAGTTCTGGGTTTTCGTGAACGCTTTCGAACATATGAACAGCAGCTTCAGAATTGTCTCTCATTGCATCTAGGAATATAGGCGGGAGAAATTTTGCTAAAAGTAATCGAAGTCTTGGTCCGACCAATTTATCTGAGAGAACTTTAGCAAATAGTCCTGCCGTTTGAATTCTGACATCAGCGTTAGCAGCAGAGCAGAATAGATGTAGCAAGTAAATTAATGCTCCTTTGTTCATAGCTTCTTTCAGTAACTTCGTTGAAGATGTTAATGGAAACAACACTTCTAAACTTAAACTTCTGGCATTTTCGATTGAAATGAGCGTCATCAAAAGGTAAGAAATGACATTTGAAGCCGCGATATCAGCCACGCATTCTTGGCAGCCTGAGACGCAACACATTACCTCTAGGGCAAGTCTTTGCAAATTTTCACAGCCCTCACAGCGTAATAAAGAAAATAAAAGTTTAAAATGGCCAATGCATTGAATCTCAACTCCAGGATTAGCTCTTAAAACGTTCCTAAGCGCCTCGAGAGCCATTTCGCAATGCTTTGTTCTTGTAACATTAATTCTTGCATGACGTTCTTGAGGATTTAATGTCATTAAACTATGAATGTATTGCGCATGAGAACCAATAAAACCCAGAGTATCCAGCGTAAAGCCTTTCGGATTCTGAAAGTGAATAGAATTGACTTTGTAATTTGAAAAATTAACTATTTGCAGTTTAACCTCTAGTGGGAAATTCGGTTGTTCATTGTATACTCGGACGAAAATATCTCCAATTATCAACTCTTTCTCGTGTGCAGTAAATACGAATGTTCCACCGAAATCTGGATCACTTTCGCCCTATAATACAAGGAAAAATATACTAAACTACATTTTGCAAAATTCCTTCAATGAAGTTATAAACAAACAAAAATGAAGTTATAAACAAACAACAGGACTAATTGTTAAAGATACCAACTCTTCTAATATGGTTTGTTTGTTGCTCTTCCAAATAAGCGTTTAATTCAATTCTTGTACTATTATCCCAAATTAGATAAGGATTTTCAGAATTGCAATTTAACATCTTCAAGACATCGTTTACTTCATCTTTCTTAGCTAATTGTTTAGCAACATATGGAGTTAGTAGCGCTATCAAAGATTTTCTGACTCCCGGATTTTCTGGCGTCTCCTCTTCTTCCGTTTTCAAATATCCTCCTAATCTCGCGCACGCATACAATGATAATCTAGCAAGGCGGTTAGATATTTCTTGTTGGTTTGATTCACCAGATTTTTCAACACCACCTTCATCCAATGTAAAGTCGTAGTTAAAGAGATTCAGTAGAAGGTGCCATAAAACCCCAGATTGATGCAGATGTGTTTGAAGCCATAAATCACAAGAAAATGCTGCTACACATTCTGTAGCAGTAATAGATAATCTTGGAATTTGCTTGTAATATAAACACCTTATTGAAGAAAAAAATTGACATTAACAATTAACATATATCAAGGTGTATTGTTAAACTATACTCTACCTGCAAATGTCTCTGACGACATCAGTAAGTTCCTGTAATCTCTCTCTACAATGTTCAAATTGACTAGCAACCGAATAACATTGCATGACATGGCCACAAACTTGAACGCCCATATCCTCCTCTTTTGAACTTTTTGAAAGAACTCCAGCGCATCTTGAAAAAGCTAATTGTAAAGTTTCTAATCCTTTTTCTCTTCGTAATTCTTCTGCATTCAAAGCAGAACAAGCAACAGTATGATGGCACAATTCAGCAGCAGCGGCCAAAAGAGGAGCAGCCTTAGAGAAGAGACCATCGTCATCTGTTTCCATTTGTACAGTTTTAATAAGCATCGGATAACCAGCGTACTTATAAGGCTGTAAGACGGCTTTATAGCGACTGAATAAAATACTCTGAGCTTTAAGAATGAGAACTAGATTCTGAGGATCAGGTCCGTCACAAATTTTGTTCTTTGAACATACAAATTCATACGCTGAGTTAACTTTTTCGAACATATCTCTTCCGTCAGGATTCTTATCTGGATGGTATTTTTGAGCTAACTTGAAGTATGCTTTTCTAACAGCAGACTCTTCATGGCTTTGTCCAGTGGGCAAATTCAAAACTCTATAAGCATCGTCAATCGACATTGTTGGTGGTTTCTTTTCAACTTCCGTTTTCCATGCTTCCAAAATGTCTTTTAATAACTTGACTGGATTCTTAATTGGCCAATCAGCAAATTTGCTTATATCACATAAATGCCTCAAGTAATATATATTGCAGAATAATTCGCTTTCTAATTGTGGGAATGTAATAACTGGAATTGGACAATATTGATAAAGTGCGCGCGTGTTGCTTTGTAGTCTGGGGGTGAAATCGGCTAAATGGGAGGCAATTTTCTCTATCATCAATCGGCGCATCTCATTAGACCATATAGCCTCTGGAGTATCAAATTCTCCAAGGAAAATTTCTGCAAATTTTTCAGGTTCGTAGTTCTCTAAATAGCAAACCATTGCCTCAGGAAGTAGGTGACCCATAACAGACCTTTGCATAATATCCGATGATTTTGAATCATCAGATCGAAGTGCCTGGCGTAGATGAGTGTATTTAAGAAATTTAGCCACTGGTAAAACGTTACTGCCAGTATACATCATAATAAAGAAGAAAACACCTGTAAGTTAAGTCAAAGCTTCGGTGATGGAAAGAAATAGGGGAAAGTATAGGCAACAAACCAGTTAGATATAATCTAGAAATTGTCGGGTTATCCTGAATAACATCGTATAATAGAGTAGAAACTTTTTCTACCAAAACAGGATCAAAAGTTAGCAGCAGTTGAACGATATGAGGTAAGCAGGTAGGTTCAGAAAGAATTTTCTTAACTTTAGGAATTGGTCTAACAACAGAATCATCTGAATCTCTACTGGGGTAAAATTCGCACATTCTGATTAGCATGTTCAGAACTAATGTCGATAAATCTGTTTCATTTAGTACTGCTTGTCCCGTAGCAAGTAGTCCCCATTTTAATTGAGGAATCGAATGTAGGGGCCGCCAACCGTCCATACCTTGAGCCCAGCATCGAGTTTTAGCAACTAGGTGGCCCTCCTTATAGAATTTTTGCATCTATGGAAATTATATTTTTAAAAATAAAAACTGATCATTACAAATATATGTATGAAGAAATGTACCTCTTCATAACTATAAGGACCTAAACGCTCTTTATCTTTATTACCATAATACCATTCCTTAGCAGATTCCCTTTTCATATCGCCACTTTCAATAACATTCGATTGAGCAGGAACAGTTGCGCGAGAAGTATGCAAATGAGCTAAAGTTAATAAGTCCACGAGAATTTTAATACCATTGGCGTCGATTATTTCTTTCACGTTTGTCTAGTTGATAAAATAAAGAAATTATATATAAATATATATAAGTATATATGAATATGTGTATATTACTTATATATAAATATATATTTACATATATGTTAAATATACCTTATTATATATAAGCCTATTGAGAAATTGTAAAATCCTATCTCTTTCCATTCTATCAACGCACTATTAAAAGCAAAGAAAAATATTACCATTACTTCTATTTGAAAGTTCAAATATTTACTCTATCTAGCATTGCTACGATGTATTTTGTATCGTTGAACGCTCCAATTTCCTCATAGCAACGACCGTAAACGACGGTTAACGCTTGCAAGCACAAACATTTCATTGCAGTTTTTGGGGTGAGTAAAAATCGATGATACAGATCGTTAAAAAATTCATTACTGTGATATATGATAAATTATAAAAAACATTGCTATTTAGTTATTTTACTTACGATTTCTTTATTGCACTATATTGTTCAGTTTCCTCATCCTCAAGCAATAATCTTAGGTAATAATCGCCAATTTTTATTTCTTCATTCAATGATGAATAGTGTACTTCAAATTCTTGATGATTCCACGATATAGTTATATTAGCGGACAGATCCCTATCAGTCGTGAAGGCTCTTAGTTCATCCTCTAGGGCTGTTCTTAATTCTTCTCGTGTCTTAAAATTCCATATTAAATTTGGTTTTGCATGATCCTTGGAGAATTGATAATAAAACATTTTCCAATTTGCCTCTGATTTGATTCTTTGCCGCCTGTTGATGTTTTTTGACTAGTCAAAATATATTGATTATAATGTTTTTTTTAAATAGTACCTTCTCCTTAACACAATTGGCTTGTCTTCCTTTGAAGGAGTTTGTTTGCTTTCGAAGCCTATTCTTGCTCTCCAATGTTGTAAAACATTTTCAATTTGTTTTTCAATTTTTCGCCATTGTACTTTGCGTTTACGTTGATTTTCTTCTTCTTCAGCCTGCTTCAAATTATCTCGAACGTGTAATCTATCAATATCATCATCTTCAGGAACCTCGTCCTCACTATCTAAATATAGCATTAATCCTGCAGGCTATAAAAAGAACCGTTTTAGTAACTCATTCAATCTACTGTGCTTTTAAATGAAAAATATTTGTTGATACTTACTAAAATTCGAGATAGTAAAGCCATTGCTGTAGGATTTCCTGTCACCCATAAACCAACTAGATGTCGGCTTAATTGCCTTTAATTGAAAAAGGATAAATTATTAATTATGTCTTTATACTAAAAAATCATATTCCGACTAAAGATAAAAAGAAATTATTTATTCGGACCTAACGGTTAGCATTCTCGAATCAGCACTTTGAGTAAACATGGACGAATGTAGATGACGTGGAAGAGCACCTTCAGCTAAAGCCAAATCTTGCATTTTAGCGGCTATTTCGGCTTCACCTAATTATATTTTTTAAAGAGCTTATTTCTCTACTAATATTATCTATATTGAAAATATTAACCTTCTTCGATAAGAGCTTTCATAACCAAGCCGGCGCCTTTTACAACCGCCATACTTGGATGCTAAAAGAGTATGACGTTAGTTAATTAGTACTAATAGGATGTTCAAGATTTACTTGAAACAATCGGAAAATAGTTCGTCCCTGAGCAGCTACCATTTCTAACAAACTATCAAAATATGCTCCATCAGTTGTCTCTGAATAAGGTGCGCATAGTGCAAACGTTAGAAAATCTAACATTGCAGCGATAACTAGAGCGCCAGTTCCTTTCATCTAATGAGAACAACAAAAAGAGAAAAATCACATATATTTAAAACTGAACACAACTAAACTCTAAAGAGATATGAATCATACTTACAATGTGATTAGTGAACATTTCTAGTAAATTTTCAAGAAACATTTTAGATGACATAAGAGAAGCTTTATTTAGCTGCTCTTGCTTGAGATCAAAATCATCGTGCATGGGCTAAAAATTAAGGTGATTATTAGTCTCTTGAATATTCATAATAAAATAAGTTTTAGTTCAAATAGAAATTTTAATAGAAAAATATAAACCTGCATTAATGCAGTCATCATATCTAAAGCAGCATGACTAACACCCTCGTTATTTCGTTTCAACGCCTTGACTACTTTCATTCCTACTCTTTCCCTCATTCTAAGATATTTAAACAAATAGTTAGTGTCGTTCTACAAAATACAATTTAAACAGACTTTGGCAAATGTGTAAAAGCAAAAAATCCAGCTTTTGAGGCTACTAAACGACGTAAGGCATGAAATTGCGCCTCCAGTTGTGAATTAGTTATCACATTCTGATCCCCTTCCTTATCTAATAAAGCACTCAAGGCTCCGTTTATAAGTCGTTCTTTATTTTCGGCAAATAGACCATCGGCTGTGACCGCATGTAATAAACCCGAATATGACACATTGGCGTTAAACCTAAGTAATAAGGAAGGTAAGTGATACAATATACAAAATATTAAAAGTTTAGTGACACTAACCTATCCACAGCTGATGAAAATGTCATACCACCGGGAAGAGTTTGAATAAATTTCATATGTTGGCTCTCAACTTCTTCATCAACGGGAACTGTGAATGGTCCCAATCGCAATCCTCTCAGAGTTGAAGTCATTCGAACGCAAATATCTCGATTGCCTGATGCTCTAACGCCATCCATCAAACTTGCTATCAAAGAATCCCGATCGGTTGACGTATACGTTCTGACAGATCCTGTACAGTGTTTTTGGAGGAATACATAAAGTTTAATATGTAATTTTCTTAACATAATATTTTAATACAGTACCTCGAACATATTCAATTGAAAATTTTTGTGGGTCTTCCGGATTCCTAATAATAGCAAAGATTTCCAAAAGTGGCTTAACTGTGCATACTATATAAGATGCAGGGTCTCTTTCTACTAGGCACGTTTCAGTAATACATAGATTTCTTCTCACCGGTTCTTGATGTCTAACAGAATGTTTATAAACCATAAACTCGGAACATGAAGTTAGTGCTTCATCAGTTCCGTATTTTCCTAATCTATGAGTTTGAAATTGATCAAGGGTAATTGGATCTTTGCGAAGTTTTATAGAAATTCCTATGCAAGACGTTGCTGCTTCTTGAATTGATCGTATCAAATCTTCTCGCTCAGACAGAGCAAAGAGATGAAGTCTGCTCCATCCTTCGTGTATTATCGCCAAACCACCGGGAAAATCAGACAGCTGAGTTAAGCCTTCCATGTCTTTATAGTTATAAGAACCAATAACTTTACCATTGGGATGAATTTGATCCAAACTAGCTTGGTTTACTTCCAATAGAACATTAACTCTTTTTTCACTCCAATGAAACTTATAAGCATTAAATCTCTTAATCGAATGATTTTTTTCAGCAAATTTGTTCCTGAATTTCAAAGCATCAGTAAGTAGATCTGAACGATGATCAGTGGAAAATTTCATGGTATCAGTCTTTTTTACTCCCTTTTTCATTGTAATTACGAATTCGGAATGATTAGCACATTTTGGATTTGGTACAATACTGATAAACTCTTCGTATGGCCACTGTTTAAATTTGTAAGAGATAAAGTTAAATGTTAAACTACTAAAACCAAATGTTACATACTTGGTTAGTAATTTCCATAGAATTTGGATTGTAAGTTGTGATTCCATGTGTACCAACAGAAAATATTCTTTTATACCTAAAAATGCAAAATTGTTTTACAAAATTCTTGACAAGTTGAAAATATTATAGAACACATCTCTTATTCATTTTTGATTGAATATAACAAAAGAAAATAAGGAGTTGTTAATATGACTCAGACTCAGCTGGGACGCTTTGACCTACTACTGAAATTTACTCGTCCATCAATTAAAATTATGAATAAAACGCTTATTTGCATTTTAACCATGTCAATATATATATATATACTTGGAAACTACAAATCAATTGCACACTTTACTTATTTTGTATAATACAGTTGTGATTCTCATTTAAGTAGTGCAGTAAAAGTATAAGAGAACAAAAATAAGAAACTACCTTCCTTTCCAAGAATGTTTTGTAATAAAATAACAACTGATATCTTTGTTTTCTTTCATATCCATATTTTAAATAATTCTTCTAATGACCTGATTGTATCCAATTTCTAATTTTTGTCGGAACAGTGAACTAAACAGATAGCAAGTTTTCAAGAAGATTTTATGACGAAAGTACGCTTTGAATACAAGCTTTAACTACAGTAAGAGTCAGTGTAAATGATTTCTAAGTATTTATCTGCACTACACTTTATAGAAAATTTTTCAACTAAAGATAATCGTCTAGTTTTTGTTTATAGTTTTCCATCAGCTTCCGACATTGCAATATATGGTACGCATGCGCGTAACTCCTACTTCCTTTAGACTGGCGCCTTGATAAACACCTTTTCTATTAACATTGTTACATGAATTTACTAACATTCCCAGCTATTCTATTACAAAACTGGTTCGTATAGTGATGATTTATTTGTACGATAATAAATAGAATAGACTAGTAAACCATACTTCTTGTGGGGTCTCGTAAATCGAACATCTCTCTATTTAAAACAATGGATAGCGGAATATCTCAACACGACGAGGATGTTTTAAACCGAATATTTAATCCTAATCTGCCGTATAATAATGATGAAGAGGCCAAAGAAGTAATTCAATCAGGTTTTTTAGGAAAAAATTCAAGGTTAATTAAAATTTACTATGGCACATTTTTAACAGAAATTGAAACTGAAGATGACCTTCGAGCAAAACCATATGAAGTGGAAGCGATAAAATTAGCTGAGAAAGGAGAAATGGATCAAGCTTTTGCGAAACTTAATGAAGCTATTAAACTTGCTCCAAATAGAGCATCTTGCTTCAACAATCGGGCTCAAGTGTATAGATTAATAGGAGACTTGAATAGTAGGTTCTGTTACATATACTGAATATAGTATAGTGAAAACGCTAGATAGCATCATTCTTTTTATTGATTCATTAGAACTATCTAGATCATAAATCTTAGCCAGCTATCGCAAATTAGATTTAAAAATCTATTAAAGTCGGAATAAATGCTAAATTCATCTGATAAAATAACTAAGCTTAAATATTATTATTACTCATAGATGCCCTAAAGGATCTGGACACCGCCATAGATCTAAGCAAAAGTAAAGGAAAGGCTGCTTGCCAAGCTTTCACTCAAAGAGCTTTAATTCGAAAATTGCAGGGTAATTATTAGAAAATCAAACGTTGCATAGTTGCTGGCAGGGGTAACATCAGGCTATTTTACAGGTAATGATGACGGAGCGATTTGCGACTTTAAAAGCGCTGCTGGTTTAGGAAGTGACTTTGCAAAAAGTCAGGTAATTGCTATGAATCCTTATGCTGCTCTCTGTAATCAAATGCTTGGAGAAATGATCAGTAAACTGAAAAAGGGTGAAACAGATTAGACATTTTTCGAAAAGTATATACGGTGGTGCTAGGGGAATAATTTACTGCTAAGGAAAAACACTTCGTTATCATTCTCTTCATTAGCATAAAATATATCATATTTAAACTTGAATGTTTAAAAAAAAACAGTTTATTTTACTTCAAAATAAAATCTATTCAAAAGATATTGAAAATTTGATGAATGAATAAAGTAAACAGTTAGAAAAACTTTAAAATTTGATTAAAAAATTTAATTATCCAACTTCAAAGTTTTAACTGTAATTCTCGAACACTCAATGTGCTTTTAATCATAAAGTGAGATATTAACAACTGAAAGAACAGTTTAATTCACTTTTATTAGATGATGTCTGTTGCAAATTGCTTCAACCAGATTTTAGATATTGCAAAAAAGCTAAGGCAGCTGAGACTAATAATCCGAAAAACGATATTATTACTAAGCCGTAGGAGAAGTGTAATCCAGTTTTAATCTTTGCACCGTAAACTACGAATCCAATGAAGATGAATAGACCTATGAGGAATTAAATCATTAAAATTTATTTAAAATAATCGACTTTTTGTTTCAACTTACAAGATACACCAAGTAGAATAATTAAAGCTAAAAGAACCAGCCTCTTATCAAACGTATGAATAAAGGCATAAACGCACAGGCATGCCGAGCTGGCAAATAAGGTAATTAATCCTATCGTAGTCATTGCTTGAACGGTCCTATGGAAGCCTGATTAATTTTAAAAGGAAAAGTGGTATAGAATAAAGGATATCCCTGTTTCTTTGATATAAGGAAAAAAAGATAAATCATACTTACCCATATCTTTCTGTATTCGACCTGGAACATTATCAAAATCTCTAGAACAAACGCACCATTGCCATAAACCCTCTTGATAAGTGCCTTTCAACAGTTCATAGTCATATGAACCTATTCTCCATCCATTTGAAGCATAGCTGGCCACATAAACTACCATTGATATTGAAAAGACTAAACAAATGAGACCAAATAATCCTCCAAAATTGACATTATGTACTGTTGTTGTTCTATGAGAATCCATAGATAATTCTTAATTAATAACTAACTGCCAATAGACTTTCTTACTGAATGTAAAGGATACACCTAACCATACTCTTTTCGATAAATCAATACTTGATAAGATAAAAAGGATTACGAATTTGCATAGGCCCCCTGAATTTTTTTCCTTTTTTTTATCGATAAAGTAAAATCGATTGCCATCATGTATAACATTCTAACTAGAATGTCTGAGCTTACATTAGAATCACGAACTAAGTAATTTCCTTATCTGTGTGATGGGAAAGGGATTAAAATAAATCCTAATAAGTAGAACCATAGAGAGATCTGACTTGTCGTTGAGAACCTCTTATTCATCTTGAGAAATATAATTATTTAGTCTATAAATTTTAGAATGTTTTTTTTTTTTTTATTGATTAAAAATGTTTTGAAATTGAAACTAATTAATGATAAAAAGGGCTGACTTGTGCAACTTTTTTATTTAAATACTGTAATGAGAAAAATTATTTTTCATGAGTACGTTTTCTTCTATCTAAACCTATATTTTCTGTTCGAAAACGAGTACTTTTTTATTATTATGTTACCAAAATAATATATTTATTAGTAATAAAAAGATATTCATCCTTTAATAAAAAAATGTAAAATCTGTTAAATTCTACAATAGAACTCAGTAAGGTAGTTCTTTTTAATCTTGAGAAAAAAACTATTAACTTATTCTTAATGAATTATTAATTATTTTTATCGGGGGCGTGTTTTTTCTTTAAAACTTAACTATTTCAGATTTGTAAGTATAGTTAATGATTTTTTCCACTTAAATTCCAATTTTCTATAAAATATTGATGAATTTCTTTACGATAATTAGCTTTTTTCATAAGGGTTTTCAGCAATTTTCCACCAATTTCACAGAAATAGATTGAATATTTGTAATTTCACTTTAATGATGAAATCTCAAAAAGAGGATAGGTAGCCTAACTAAATAAATTCGATAAAAACACGTCATTAAGGCAAAGTGACAAAATGGATGATTCAGAAGGCAGTGAGGCAGGTCCAGAACCAACTAATAATGAAGGATCACACAGCGAACAGTTCCCAAAAAATTCTGATCCACAACTTTTTTTAAGTATATTCAGTTACGGTAATTTATAAAAGTTGAACCGATTTTCGTTTGTTACTTTAAAATCGCTTCAACCACAGCTCGACAGTTTTTGGTTGAGTATGGATGGCAATTGCTATTTTTCTTCGCTGCATTTATGATAATATATGAATTCTTCTTAAAAAACATCATTAAAAAATGGATGGAAAAGCGAACAATTAGTTCTCAGTGGGATTTTCGTAAGTAGTTTCCATTTCTTCGAATTATAATCAACGCCAGTAAAATAAAAGTAAAACTAACGTTATTCAAAGAAATCAGGTTCTCTTATTTGGTCGGGTCTTTCTTCTTTCTTTAAAAATATTAATTAGTTTCGTTATTGACAACTATTTTCAATTAAATCCAAAATTGGAAATCAATCTAAATTCAACTTTAAATAACGTGTATAATACATATCGTCATATACATATAGCTATATTTGTAATAAATTCATAAATATGATATAGTCTTTCCAATATAATAATATTAGGTAAATTATAAAAAAATACGTTAATTCATAATTAATCCTATTTGTTAAATCAAAAAAAAAAGGGAATCAGAGAAGGAATAGATAAATTTCCCTTAAGAATTCCATAAAAGTTTCATAGTGATTAGCAGATAAAATTTAGCCAGCCAAATGTTAAGTCTAGGAAAGTCAGTGTTATTCTGTTGCCCTTTATGACTTTATAATTTTTTTCAGATGCAAAATCGGCTGAGAAACATCAAGCAGCTTTGGAAGAAGCTAGACTAAAGATGCAAGAGAGACAAAATAAGATGGCAGAGGAACATGCTCAAAAGATGAAGGAGGTTAGCAATTGGGAAAAATTGGATTCTTAAATTTCCTAATTTAATAGATAAATATTTTTATATTAAAACAATAATATCTACAAGATATTATGTAAAAAACATAGACAATTTTATATGTAAATTAAGCGTTGTCTAAAGCTTATTTCAATTTTATTTATATATTGTATTTATAAAAATTATGTATACATTTGTTATATAGATCATCCGTTTTATAAATATTATCCTATGTTTGTTCTTAGAAAGAGGAACAAAAGCGTCTAGAGAAAATTGAAGAATTTGAAAAACACGAAAAAGGTCAAGGATATTATTCTAAACTAGTTGGTTAATTTTTCTTACGGTGTATTTTACAAGTTCTTCTGTTTAATTCATTGAAATTTCTCTAGAGACACACTGCAGGCTCAAGTGTTTCTAATGAAACTAAATCTGAAAAATCTGACTCTGCCACCACAAGGCGGAAAAATGTCTATAGACAAACAGATTATAACCCTCTTACCGGTGGATCAAGTAAGTAAATTTATCATCTTTTTTATAAAACGTAAGGAAGACAAACTGCTACTTTAATGTGAACTTTACAAGTAGCACTAATGATTAATGAAGACCTCAATATAAAAAGATGTAAAATTACATACTTAGATAGACAAGGAGGGAAAAGCTTGTTTATATAAAAGGGAGCTTTTTGAAAATCAATAAATGTTTTCAGCAGATTCTTGCGCTTACCGACCAAATAGAAGAGGACCTTCATCTGGTGGATGACGATAAATGAATACCTTATTTTCAAATTGGTTTTTCTAAACTGAAGTTATGACGTGTGTAGTGCAAACGACGAAAGTCGACACTTCGCATCGATGGTGCTCAGTATCTTATATAGTAGAAAAGCCAATGTTTATATAAACAATAATTTTGTAAAAGATCCCTTATACTATTTAAACGTTGATTACAACTTATAGATTCATTTCTATAGGATATAAATAATTTATATAATTATGTTTTCTTGTGTGCAGTATATGTATGTGGGTGTGTTCTTTGTATTTACTTGCATACAGCACCTATCAGAAGGGACTATTTATATTTTCTGCTATATTTATTATATTTAATAAAATGATTCTATCAAAGTTTGTTTTTTTTTTGGAAATGGAAACAATTTTATTGCTGCTAGAAAAAATGTGGCTGTATACAGCGTATTTACAATAGAGAACAGAAACACAAAACGAGTTTTCTGTTTATAATAACAACGCACATAGAAAAATGTGAAGAAACTTTCTTACGAACTCAGCAGTAAAAATTTTGTATAGTTTATATGCTAAAATTATTGCGGCTGATCTTTCATCCTTCTTATTATCTTTTATCTTCTTCACTTTCGATCTTGATGATATTTTCCTCTTCCTGAATTATTTTTTGTCGATAATAATGCCATGTTATTCTATACTTCAATTTTTTTTGTGGTTGAATTGTTCACAATTATAGATGATATAAAAAAATCTGACAAGATATACAGAATATGGACTTAACAATAACATTACAATTCATATTACGTGATAACGTGTTATATTCCTTTTCTTCATTTAATTATTTCATCAATGACGTACTATTTGTTATATTTTTTATTTTCCTTGGTTCCTCTCTTCCCTTTTGGAAAAAACCTTTTTAAAAATTGGAAGGAAAATTCATTGATTAACGTTAATTAGCTAAAAGAAAAGTGATTAGAACAATTACAATGTTTTCAAAATGACATGAAGGATTTGTAGTACGTCACAATATGTTTACAGTTTATATAATACGTATGATAAAAATTAACCTCACAGAAAAGTACCATTCCAAGTACTATTAACTTCAGACAAACTCAAAAAACGGCAGCCTTAAGCAAACACTCGACCCGCCAGATGACGCTACTATGAATAATGCATGATGAGAAAAATGTCTTTTTTTTATCACACTCTATAGTGGTCTATACAACAAAATACGCGATAAAAAATAATTGAGCGTTTCAAAACAATCGACATGTGCAGGGTCGTTTGAAAGATTAACAAATTATGTACACTCTTCAGGTCGATAATTTCGACCGATGCAGTACTAGTAAGCTCGGTTTCGATTTGGATTATATTGAGCAAAAATTGTTGTAGTTTCTATCCAAATATTCGCGCTTCTCGTCATCCCTCCTTGTTTCCTTCGTACTGTAAAAAAGAAGAAAAAAAACTAACCTTTATATATTGATATTTATATTTATGTGACCTTTTTCGGCCTACAATTTTCCCCTTTAAGATGTCTCTTTCCCCTCCCTCTCTCTCTCTCTCTCTCTCTCTCTCGCTTTCTCTCTCTCTCCCTCTCTCTCTCTCACACACACACACACTTCCTACCACTTTATGTCTCTTTCCCATTCTATTTATACTTTTTCTTTACCTTATGAAACTCTAAATGATTTATTAAATGATAGCCGTTAAGGCATGGAACAAGGAAGTTACTACTCAGCAACCGATTCTCTTCTCATATGCTAGGAAATATGAAAAAGTATATCGACTCTAATGAAAATTGATCGTTTGAATAAAGCTTGTTCGACTTAATTAAACGTCTCATTCCACACCTGCGCAAGAGCCGATTAATTAACAATGTAGATTTTTATGATTTTTTTACGCCTTTTACGCCTTTTTCCGTAAGTCTTTGGATAAAAAACTACGAATGGGAAAGTTGCTTATTCGATTTGAAATGTCAGCGCGACTAGTTGACCGTATGTATAGTTTATAATAGTGAAGTATATCGTAAAATAGCATAGTGGATGCGCGTAAGGCTTTATTACTTAAAAGAAAATTTCCAAATGGCGAAATCGCTTATTAATTACTCGAGCTTTTAATTTTACTCATCTAATTGGTTTTAGCCGCGGTTAATATCAAATGATCTTTACTCGTTCTGTAAGTTATTTAAATTGACAGGTCTGACAGCTTGATCGTGAAAGCGGAAAATATAAGCGTTTCAGTTCAAATAACACTAATTTATAGATGTGTCAATATAAGCAAATAAATAAGGATATATATATATTTATATACAGTATATATAAATATCGTTTTCTTAACAGGAAAAGGTCCAATTGGGTGCTAATGTACTTCCTGCCGAGTAAAAAGTGCTCTTTTCCCGTCTTACGAGATAAGAGTAGAAAATATATAGGCTCAAAAAAGCTAACGATTGCCAACCTTTTCTCTCTGCAGTAGCGTATTGACGAGTTTATTGAAGGTCAAAAAAGAAAATACAAAAAAAATAGACTAAGTGTCTTTACATTGCGGTCGATGATAATAAACGAGAAACTTAGCTTAAGGTATCTTTATTAAGCCTAACGGAACAAGCCCACCAATAGTGAGAGAAAGAATAGAAGAAATTTTTTTTTTTGTATTATAATCTATTGTTTTTTTTAATTAATCTCTATTTTACCTCACTTGTAAAAAAAAAGAGAGAGAAAACACATACTATTAGCCGATATAGACATTATTCGTTTGCTATTTTCTCTCCCTCCCCCTCTCTCTCTCTCTTTCTCTTTCTTTCTATCTCTCTCTTCTTTACGGCTTACTAGTATACTAGTAATTTTCGAGTTGTTTTTAGAAAAAGAGCTGAAGTGTTTGTCAAGATAAGAGAATCGAATAAATTTAGGTTGATTTATAAAATTCCCTTCTAAATAGAAAAAAATGGGGAACAGGCGAAGAGATAGATAAATAGATTGAGAAGAAACAGATATATGCATAATAAAATCACAAGTGAATTATTTTTATATCTAGGGAGATTGTAGGATGATTATTTGTTTTCACTATTAGATGACCACGCCCTTTCGCTAAAAAAGTAAAGTTGCAATACGTTTCAAATATCATCGAGGAATATTTTCTTCTTTTACAAGGCTACGACCAAAGAAATGAAAAATGGTGGGAAAATTCACTTAATTAGCTACCTCGAGGCAAAGTACTTCGTTTCAGACGAGGTAGGATAGGATTATCAGGGCTGCCAACTCTGTTTGGGTGTGTTATTATTATTGTGAATTGCAAACCTCTGATCGATTGGTTGCTAACTCGTTCTATAATTTAAAAAAAACCTTTCTTTCTTTCTCTCTCTCTCTCTCTTTCTCTTTCATGCTATGCTAACGACGTTTTATTTATCTTTTACTATTTTTTCAAAGCATGGCTGAAAAGTTCGATTGGAAACTATTTTGCGCCATCTAACGGTGAGCCCTAGTCCTGTAAGGAGGGCTAATTTTTTGTTCGATAGGAGAAGGTAGTATCAATAAATAAACTTACCCATTTCATCGATTCGATGCGACATCGCGAGAGTTATGCCCACCAAAAGAATACTAATGATAATAAGACCTCCCGCTACTATCATAACAGCTCTGGCAATCTTTTTTTGTTTCATAGTTTGAACTTCATCCTCATCTCCGGCAACGGTTCCTGCCAATGCTCGAACTTCGTCCCCGGGAGATGTTTTAAAATAGGTATTCGAGTCAGCTGTGTATGATATTACTTCTATACCGTCATCGTTTGTAACCGAAGTATCTTGTATTGTATGAGGTGGATAGATGCAGGAAGAAGAGGAATCGGTCAGTTCCATTCCAGCGTTGTATTCTTCGTCCACCGTCGACATGTGATTGCATTCTATCTATCCAAATCCATAATTTCTTTTAGTTTTTACACATAGAAATTGGATGGGATTTAGTTGCGAGTGTATTTTCTCTTAAATCGATCCTTGTCTATAATTTGCTTGTAATCCAATGTATTCTTTTGTCTACACCGTTCGTAATTTTGTTTACGACTGTCTATTATACTCACTCATTCACTCTTTCAATCTCTCTTTGTATCTCTCTCTCTCTCGCTCTCTCGTGGCGAATGTTGACGCCGCGTCGATACGCAGTTATCTTTATTCAGTAGTAGACGTCATCCATGCATATTCATTTGCGTTTGTTAGTAATGTTAGGTTTATAAAGCGCCATCTTTCGTCGTCTTTAAATATTTTTTGATTGGGTATTTTAACGTCATAAAATATGACAAACACGTAAAAAAGACCTAACAAGCTATGGAAAGTAGCGTATTTCTATTCCAGATATAATTTAAGTAAAGTATGTAGAAGTTTTTACTTAACAATTATTCCTGATTGACCGTATTTTAGTTAATTAATAAGAGTTTAATAGATTGTTTAAAAATTTATATATACTTCGTATATTTTACTAAAATATAATGAAGGGAAATTTTTTAATTAATGCTTGACAGGAGAAATGGAATTACTGAGTCACGTACTTTTGCAGCTTTATCAATAAGAATAAGCATTAGATTTTTCGTCAAATAGGCTACTTTTACTTATTATTTATATATTCAATTCTATTTTAACAACTAGAAAAACTAGACTAAGCTTCTTACAACCTAAGAAATTTTAACTCAATTAGAATAGGTATAAGCTGTCTATCTAGTCGCCTTTTTTCTCTGACATTCATAAACATGACTTCAAGATCAATTAAAGAATAGAAGACGATTTGGGTTATATAGAGAGTAAAATGTTTCACTTCCTTCTATTCAAGTAATTCTAGACAATACCTTTTTCAATGATAATTCCCAATTAATTACTACGAAATTGGATAGTTTATCTTCAAGGACAAATTCATTATGGATCAATAATAATGGTAATTTCGTAATGATTTGGTATATACAGTATATACAAAATTTAAAGAATCTTGAAAAGGATAATGCTTATATACGTAATGCACAGAGAATAATCTCTCTCTCTCCTTTAGTATGATTATTTCAAATATATTAAAACTGCTCCTTTTTCCACAATCAATTAGATATTAATTTGAAATTCTGTCTCTTCTGTTTATCCAGTAAATATGCCTATACAGCTATTTAATTCACTTTTATGAGATGTAAATAGTTAATATGTAAATTAAGATCGAAATAATTTCACTGTTTTTCCAAATGTACAGAAAATACATTGATTCGGCTTAGCTTTCTAATATAATTTATCAAGGATTAAAAAAGTATCACTTTTGTTAATGCTTCGCTATTTAATGAATAATCTCTTCTTTAATGGAATACCATTGTAATTTTAAAAGACTTTTTTTTTATAAAGTGTAAAAAATCAATGATTACAATTAGATTTTATGAAATTTATAGAAACTTTACTTATTCATTAAATATCTATTGAAAAATTATATGTATTTCTTTATATAGATGGATGTAAATATTATAAACAATTATAATTATGCAAATAGCAACACTTTCCCTTTCGTCAGCGAAACTTTTTCATTGTCAATATAGAGTGTTATATATTCGTCTCAAATATCAATATATGATAAAGGAATGTATTTTATCATGTTAAATGATGTAAATATTTTTGATTTATGTGTTTGTCTATCAATAAAACAAATATTAATTTAATCCCAATTCGTCCAAATATCCTTCAGGTGCTTCAATCTGTAGAGTAACAAATTACAAGTAAACAATTTAACACTTAGATAAATTAAATAGGCTACAAGAGATTTTGACTATTTTCCTATAAATTAAAATATATTCAAGTGTTCAAAAATTGCATTTGCGATTATGAGAGTAGAAAGACAGAAAGGGATGAGAAAATTAAAAAGCGTATAAAAATTAAAAAGAGAAAATAAATAGCAGTGTTCCAGTAGTAATGAATCCCCAACCTCACGTCCAAAACTAGCAAAAATTGAAAAAGCCCCGAGAAAATTGAAATAAACTCCCAAAAGAAGAAAAAAGAGAATAGATTTTTATTTCATCTTAGTAAGCTTGTGACACAAAAATAATATCTAAAATTATTTTGGTTAGATACTTGTGGATAGTGACAAGTAAAGAAAGAACAATACTAATAAGGGATTTTCCAAGAAATTCTTGCAATAGTGTATTAACTCAATATAAGGTTAAATATATAAATATAGTCAGAGAGTTGAAGCATTATATTCATTATAAAAGCAGGCAATATTAGTTTAGAATAATTGACTGAAGATAGCTATAATTTTATTTTCTATATAAACTTCTGGAATTTGTCTGGTTGGTTTGGTATCTTATTAAATTACAGCATCACAAACTCTTAGAGAGGTTTTCGATTAAAAATGACTAGCCTAGTCCAAGTTCTTCAAAAAATCCTTGAGGCATTTCATCCTGTATGAATTATATATACAAATAATATTTTTATTATTTTTTTTCTTTTAAATAAAACTAAAAAGAAATCAAAATAAAAATAATTTTTTCTTTCTTTTTCTTTTTCAATTTACTTAAAAAAAAATAGAAAAAAAATAAAAAAAAGTACTTTATTCGGATTTATAAGAAAGAAAAGTGTGTCTATGACAGTTTTTTCTATTGTTACTACAGTTTTTCAGTAAAACTGAAAGAAATCTGTTCAGTTTAGAAAAGACAATTTGTATAGTTTTCTGATAAAGGAGAAGAGAAAATGAATTTTAAAATAATATTAGTTGCAAGTAATGTATTATTTAAAACATCTTTTCCTCTCCTCTTTGTTATGCTTATATTGTAAGGGAAAAAGAGGAAATATTTTTTACTTCTCTAACATAGAGACCATGTGAGAGGGAAATAGTTTTTCTATATTTGTACTATGTATTTATATTTATAAAAAAATAATTATTTATAACTAAGTAAGAAAAACTCTATATTTAATTAAGTAATTAAATATAAGGAAACTTATGTAGATTCTTTCTTGTAAGCATTGATGTTTTTTTTTAAAACGTGAAGACTGATTGAAAGATCAATAAGACACCTTGCAAAGAAATTAACCTAATCCATGATCTTCGAAAAATCCCTGGGGCGTTTCTTCCTGTACCAAAGCAGAAATTTGGCCTTAGTTTTTTTTTAAAGTTTTAGTCCTTTCATATTATGTTTGGGGATGTAATGTAGACAACAATAAGCCAAAAACTTCGTAAAAAATCTGTTCATGCTTCTAGCGAAACGTTAAAACATGATGAAGGAATTAGTACTTCAACTGAAATTTTCGGATTGTTTACTTTTGTCATCAAAGAGAATAAACTCCAGTTAATAAAAAAAAGACAACAGAGGGACAGAACGATCACTTCAAATAAAGTGAGACTGACTTCTTTATAAGTCTCAAAATAGATTCAGGTGTGGTTGTTGAAATAAGTGTAAACTCTCTCTAACTCATCTTGTCAAACCGTTCGTTTTCAGTGCTTGATCGAGAACTTCATCCTTTTGAAAAATATTTCTAAGAAAGATTTCAAGGTCCACGCTCTTCATAAACTTTTCAGTATATATGCACGATCTACTTGCTTGTTACAGGCCAAGTGTAATTAGTAAAATTTTAATACCCTGTAACACTGTTGTTCGTGTCTCACTCTTTTAAATATATATATATATATACAATAACATATATATATGTCGTTTCAACATTACCAATGTGGTTTGAAATATTCTGTTCTTGAAGAAGTGAATACGATATTTTAGGAAAGATTTTCAAGAAAATGCAATGGTAAAGAAGCGTTTATAACTAGATTTTTATCAAGCATTACTTAATGTCATGCAGGGATTCGACCTACAAGATCTATTTAATACAAAAATCATAGAACACAACAGAATGAAATAGATGGATCATTCTAAAAATAGATTTAAAAAAAAAAAGCAAATAATAAATAAATTTCGTTACCTCTTGCAATAGATCTTGAGCGGCTATTGCCTTCAAAACGTTCTTCTTAGAAGTCTCTTGGATTTCTCCACCAAGAATAAGTTCGTCGAGCATAAAATAGGCTTTTTCAAAATTGAAAATTATATCCAATTCGCATACCTAATAATAAAATGTAAGTTATATACATTATTATTCATAACAAGGCTTTTGTAAAAATTTAATTAGAGAAGGAAAAAAAAGATATTATACAGTATATATATATATACATATATTAGTATATACTGTTTATATAATACGTCCAGTATAAAACTTAAAATGAAGCGCAGGTATATACAGTATACACATATATATATATAACTATTTATGCAATAACCAACAATACAGATAAAGCCATGCAATAAAAAAAAAAGAAGAAAAATAAGGTATTTTATAGATAATTCAATAAAAAACATATTATTGTTTCCTTAATAATATTTTTAAAGCATAGAACTTGTTTGGTATTTTTCGTTCTATTGTTTTATTTTCTTTTCTTTGTTTATACATTTCTTTTTACTCAGTAAGATTAAGATTACAATAGGTATATCCTTTATAGATCTTGTTTCCTTTCCACTATATAAAAAAAAATAAAGCAGCTTCAAAATAAAAAAAATTTAAACAGTATGAAAGATGAGAAATATTTCTCTTCTTTCATTTTTTTCTAAGCTACGTTTACAATTTAGTAACTAAATATATCTTTTTTTTTAAGCTTCCTCTCCTTTTCTCACATGTGTAGTTACAGTGCTAAAAGATTCACAATACTTTTATATTTACATATGTCATTCTCTCTTTCTTTCTTTCTTGCTTTCTTTCTTTTTTTTTTCTTTCTCTCCTCCTCTCCTAAGCCATTACAGATTCAATTCATTAACTTTTTCTCACACAAACTTCTGTTTGATTAAATCTATAAAGACTTACGGAAGAAAGCGAACTTTTAATTAATTGACAAGATATATGCTACAAAAGAGAAAAATAAAGCTGTAGTAATTACAGTAGCACGATATAGTTACATTCGGGATGTAAACATACTAAATAAAAATTTTTTAAAACGTTACATAATAAGGGAGATGCTGCATAATGATTATATAACACTGGCTAAGATGCAAAATACAAAAAGAGTTTTTTACAAAGAAACTTTCAATTCGAAGGAGACCATTCGAATTAAACTACTCTGTATAGAAAAATGTACCGAATATATATATATATATATATATGCATATATACCGATATATAATGCTATATTATATATTTGCATCTACACTATATATATATATATATATATAAAACATTAGGCTTTAGCCTACATCCACTCACACTTCCAAAATATTTATCAAGCAATTCCACATAACGATGTATGATCTCCAATGTTAGTAGTTCGTTATCATTGTTTTCCACACAGCAACAGAAGTATAAGCTAGCGTACCTGTTCGTATTTTTATATTAAAAACTTTTTAATTCTATAATTAATATATTTAACCTAGTTGTTTCATCCTTAATTTCTATAACTTAATTATCATCTTTTTTTATTGTGTAATTAAAAAAGGGAAAATACATAAATAAATGAAAAAGATTCATTGATAATCACAAAACAATACAAGAAGATACGTGAACGCTGTTGTTGAAATAAATAAAGTGAAAATAGGAAAAGAAGTGAAGTAATAAATCACCCAATAGATGTAGCAAATTTTTGTGAAAAGTGTGTGTACAGTATACAATATACATTATATTATATACACATACATATTCATGTATATGTATATATAATATAATATATAGCTTTCTTAGAAAAATCTAGAAACTTACGTTTCCAAAATATTTATCTAACAGCTCAACGTAGCGGTGAATTAATTCAAGAGTCATTAATTCATTATCAGTGTGTTCAATACAACAACAGAAGTATAAACTTGCATACCTGTTTTATTTTGTTTTGATTTGATTTAATTATTTTTGAATAAAAACAAAAAGAAAAAGTTTGTTCAAGTAAATAAAAAATAAAAAACAAAATAAATTTTCTGCAATAATTCAATGAAAAAATTGATAAAATAGAAAAAGTTCTTTTTTTTAAAAACTACAAAAATCGTGCATTAATTCTTTTTTTTTTAAGTATAAATTAGTAAATGGAAAAAGTGTTTATTTATTTACTTTATTAATAATTACTGTACTATAAATATAAAAATTTTTACAGTATAAAAGGAGAAGGAGGGAGGGGGGGCTTAAGTAAACTTACCGTTTGTAAACGATTTTCATATCCTTCCATTCTATGAAACTGCACATTTTTGGTTTTCTAGATAGAACGGTTGTAATTAATTCTCTGGTTATTTTTTTCTTTGTTTTCTCTGGATGTGCTCCATACCATTTTTGTAACCGTAATTTGCCTTGCCGGCTAAATAATAGCATAAACTGCATCTAAGAAAATAATGATAATTAATACGTTAAATGGCGGTCTCCTTTCTCATGTATCGTTAAACTTACCATATTTTAAGAGGATTCTGTAGCCTGAGATTTTGGTATTATGGTTGAAAAATTTTTTGAATACTTAAGTTGAATGTATATATACGAATTTATTTAATTTTATGTGTGTCAACTGACAGATGGTTACATGCCGCAAGGGCTACAGGTTCCGCGCTACTTGAATTATTTATTATATTGTAAAGGAATGTATTCCATGCTGAATCACATGACAAAATAAGCCAATTTTTGTACATTTTTCAATCAATACACGGAAAATCAATTATGCTAACTACAAGCATATTTATTCCTAAACTGAGTATATTAATATATGCATCCAATATAATATAGGCACGAAACTCATCAGCAATAAATGTTTTATGAAATGAGTTTGTGGCGCGAAAGTATCGCAGTGAAATATACTAAAAGTTGAAAGGTCAAATAAAAAAAAAGTTGAAGATTAATTTCCGGCGACTTCACGACTACGAAAATGCTGGGCTTTATTTTGCGAAAAAACGTGGTATTTTCAAGCATTAAATCAATATGCGGTTGGAAAAATATCGCAAGACAATGCTCTACTAGGTAATAATGGACTATCGATAGTTATTGCCTCTTTTATCCTTTAAATATCATATATCTAACTAAACAGAGTACTGAACTTATTGTAGACCATTACGTGCTACATAATAGCTGAATTATTAATAATTTGAAATAGCATGTAAAAAAAAATACAAGCTTTTTAATGATATGAACAAGTCTTCCTCAATATTATAAATTCTTAAAAAGTCAATTGTTTATATTAACAGAGACTTGTCTGCTCTCAAATTTTTTTTATACTTCTCTACAACAAAATCAATTGTTGATTATATGTTTAAAATATGTAATATGCTTGCTTTCTGACAGCAATACTATAATTTTTTCCTTCTGTTTCGAATGATTAGAATTTTTAACGTTTATATCTTTGAAAATCCCTTATTAATGATAGTTAAACTAGCTGTTTGACTGTTCGTATAGTCATTTGTTTTAAAACCTGCTCTTTCTCTCCATGTCAGTTCCATCACATCCAATTATATCGAGGTACACAACATGCGATTGCATTATGAAAGAAAAGGTAATGGTAATGAGTTTATTATGTTGTTTCCCGGTGCTCTCGGATCAACTAGAACAGACTTCTTACCCCAGTTGGAAAAATTTAATGATAAAGACTTCACCCTGTTTGCTTGGGATCCTCCGGGTTACGGCAAATCCCGACCACCACATAGACCTTGGCCAACGAAATTTTTTCAGAAAGATGCTGATACGGCAGTTGCTTTAATGAAAGCTTTAAATCCTGATAAAAAGTGGAATTTACTTGGTTGGTCGGATGGTGGTATAACAGGTTTAATTGTAGCAGGTAATCATCCGGAAATTGTTAGGAAGCTGGTAGTATGGGGATCTAATGCCTACGTGACCGCTCAAGATATTATGGCCTATGAAAAAGTTAGAGATGTAAATGCATGGAGTGAAAAGATGCGAAAACCATATGAAGATGTATACGGAGAGGATTACTTTCGAACAGAGTGGAGCAATTGGCAAGTGTTTTACATAGATAATTTTTAGGATTAAAAGTATTGCTATTACATAATTTTTGTTGTGTAAGAATAGGAATAGCTTATTTGAAATTTAATATTCATCAGTTAGATCTACCAGACATAAAACTTTCTGAAATCATATTCAGGTGTGACGCTATTAGCAGATATTTTACGGAATTTAATGGTGATATTTGTAAAGATGCTATACATAAAATTGAATGTCCTACACTTGTTCTGCACGGAATGAAGGATCCTATGGTGCCTAATGAACATCCGGAATATCTTAAAAAAGAGATTTCTGACTGCGAGACGCATTATTTTCCAGAGGGGAAGCACAACATTCACATGCGATATGCGGACGAATTTAATAAAGTTGTCAATAATTTTCTATTAAAATAGTAAATGACTTTGTTTTTAATTAAGCAAGAAAACTATTTCAATTTATGCAATAAAAAGTAAATTTAAAAAAAAAAATTGTCAAAAATTTTAGAGTGCCTTGAATTTGTCCCGTAGATGGCGATAAAGTTAATTATAGAGACGCGCGAAGGGTACTGATCAAGGAACAAATCATGGCTGATGGCGGGCGGCCATTTTTAATTTTCGTATTCTGAAATGTAAGTTGAGTCTCTTTGGCTGCGCATGCGCACATATACTTTGCATACTAAGATTTGTTGTTTTCTTTCACGAAATCGTTATTGCTGTCGATAAGCCGGCTTCCTGGAATTTTTTCAATATACCTAGTCCTAAGGTGGATCGGTACGTTATCATATCAATTTTAAACCATTTGATTGCTTAAAATGGAATATATTACTTGAAATTCGCTTGATCTGCGCATAAAGAAAGCACGCCAAGGAATTTTCCACGTTCTGGTTTGATTTAACTCTATTTTTTCGTTTAGATGGCTACTATGCCGAGTCCTTATCCACCATCAGGTGGACAACCCACGGATAATGCACCACCCCAAGCCCCAGATAACCTAGAAAAAATGCAGAAAGCCATTCAGTCAATGGAGGAGAAAAACATGACCGACGATCCAAGGTATCATCAATTGGTAGCCTTAGCGAACAAGACAAAGTTGCAGCAGCAAAGTAAGAATGTTTAATCGAATACTAAACAAAGCAAAGTATTTACTTATATACCATTTAGCAGGAAAAAATAATCCGATCACTTGCAACCAACTAGCCCAATTGAGGGCTCAGATAATGACCTATAAACTTATATCTCGCAATCAGTCAATCCCCGATAATATTCGCTTGGCTGCGGAAGGTCGATCTACATCATCAGTCGCATCACAGCCGACACCAACTCCTCCATCCATGCAATCTTTAACGTCCGGACAAAAACAGGTTAAATTAGCACCGGTTAAGAAGCCGGCTAGCCTAGATCCTCAAGAGATGCTGGTAGAGAGAGAAAATCGAATTCAAGCAAGAATAACTCATAGGATTAAAGAATTAGAAAATATGCCAACTGTAATGGCAGACGATTTAAAAGTCAAAGCTATGATAGAGTTAAGGGCTCTTAGGCTCATCAACACTCAAAGACAATTACGTCAGGATGTTGTTTCATCAATGCGTAAAGATACAACATTAGAAACTGCTCTCGCTCCAAGAGCCTACAAAAGAGCTAAAAGACAAGGCTTGAGAGAGGCAAGAGTTACAGAGAGAATTGAAAGGCAGCAAAGACTCGAAGCTGAAAGAAGACGGCGACAGAAGCATCAAGAATATTTGAACGAGGTTATGTCGCACGCTAAAAATTTCAAAGATCATCATAGGACTATGAGCGCTAAGATGGCCAAGATCAACAAAGCTATCTTAACTTACCATGCTAACACCGAGAGGGAAGCTAAACGAGAGCAAGAGCGTATAGAAAAAGAACGTATCAGAAGACTTATGTTAGAAGATGAAGAAGGCTACAGAAAGTTGATTGATCAGAAAAAAGACAAACGCTTAGCATTCCTTTTGCAACAAACAGATGAATATGTTGCCAACTTGACAAAATTGGTAGCTGCTCATAAAGTAGACGCCCAAAATAAGAAAAAAGAGATGAAGCGACAACGAAAAGAGGAACGAATGGCCAAAAATGTACTTAGAGCTGTGGGTGCCGACGGCGAAGAACGAGTGACCGTATTTGAACCTCAGTCGAATATAACTCTTAGCGGCGATGACGCACCAAGAGCACACGAACTTGATAAATGGTTGGATGAACATCCAGGTTGGCAAGTGAAGAAACAAGAAGATATTCCTGAAGACGAAGAACAAGAAAGTAGTGATGAAAGCGATGATGAAACAATTAATGATGCACGAGTTGACGTTATCGCTGAAAAGGCAGCAAAGGCTGATGATGATGACTATAGGAAAGGTGATTTGGAATCATATTACGGCTTAGCCCACTCTTGTACCGAAAAGATAACTGAGCAGGCTGATATGATGGTATATGGAAAATTGAAGCAATACCAATTGAAAGGCTTAGAATGGTTGGTATCGCTATATAATAACAATTTGAACGGTATTCTTGCCGACGAAATGGGTTTAGGAAAAACAATTCAGACTATCGGATTAATTACTTACTTGATGGAAAAGAAAAAGGTCAACGGACCGTACCTAATTATTGTACCTCTTTCAACTCTATCAAATTGGTTATTAGAGTTCGATAGATGGGCACCTACAGTTAAGAAGATGGCCTATAAAGGCTCCCCGAATGCAAGACGATCCTTGCAAACACAATTAAGACATACAAAATTTAATGTTTTATTGACAACTTACGAATATGTAATGAAAGACAAAGCGGTTTTAGCCAAAATTAACTGGAAATACATGATCATTGACGAAGGACATCGTATGAAGAATCATCACAATAAGTTAACAGCAGTTTTAAATACCCACTATAACGCAGGGTATAGATTATTATTGACTGGAACCCCTCTCCAAAATAAATTACCTGAGTTGTGGTCTTTAATGAACTTTCTTTTACCAGCAATCTTTAAAAGCTGTACGACATTCGAACAATGGTTTAACGCTCCATTTGCAATGACAGGAGAAAAAGTAGAATTAAATCAGGAAGAATCTCTGTTGATTATCAGAAGATTGCATAAGGTACTTAGACCATTCTTACTTCGTCGTCTTAAGAAAGAAGTAGAAAGTCAGCTGCCTGATAAGGTGGAATATGTTATCAAAGTTGATATGAGTGCCTTACAAAGAACAGTTTACAAGCATATGCAAAGAGGTGTAATGCTTACAGATGGTTCTGAAAAGGACAAAAAGGGCAAAGGTGGTACCAGAGCTCTCATGAATACTCTTATGCAACTAAGGAAAATTTGCAATCATCCGTTCATGTTTAGAGACATCGAGAAGGCATTAGCTGAACACCAGGGAATGGGCCATGATGGTAGTATTCATGGCAAAGATTTATTCAGGTCAGCTGGTAAATTTGAATTGTTGGACCGAATTTTGCCAAAAATGTATAAAACGAATCATCGCGTTCTCCTGTTTTGTCAAATGACCACTTGTATCGATATTTTAGAGGATTTTTGTAGACTTAAAAGTTTGAAGTATCTTCGTTTGGATGGTACTACAAAATCTGAAGAAAGAGGAGAACTATTGGAACTTTTTAACAAGCCTAATTCAGATTATTTTATTTTCTTATTGTCGACAAGAGCCGGAGGTTTAGGTTTAAATTTACAGGCAGCTGACACTGTTATTATTTTTGATTCCGATTGGAATCCTCACCAAGATTTACAAGCTCAAGATAGAGCTCATCGTATTGGTCAGAAGAACGAAGTCCGTGTTTTACGTTTCTGCACTGTCAATTCCGTTGAAGAAAGGATTTTGGCTGCTGCAAGGTAATTTTTTTGTTTTATTAATAGCATAACAATGATAATTTGAGGGATTTTTTTTCAATAAAATATAATTTTCAATTATAGATACAAGCTTAACGTCGACGAAAAGGTTATTCAGGCTGGAATGTTTAATCAAAATTCTACATCAACTGAGAGGCGACAATTTCTCCAAGCTCTTTTGGAGCAAGCTGATCCTAATGAGGAAAATGACGCAGATGAAGTCCCCGACGATGAAACTATTAATCAAATGTTAGCAAGAACGGAAGAAGAATTCGATCTTTTCCAAAATATGGATTTAGAACGGAGAAGGAGTGAAGCCAATGCTGGCAGTCGAAAACCCAGATTAGTTGAAGAGTCAGAACTACCGAAATGGTTATTGAAGGAAGAAACCGAAGTAGAACGGCTGACAAGTGAACAGGAACAGGATAAACTCTATGGTAGAGGCTCTCGGGTTCGCAGGGAAATTGACTATTCCGATCAGCTAACTGAACGACAATGGTTACAAGCAATTGAAGAGGGTAATTTAGATGAAATCATCGATGAACAAAGATCAACAAAGGTAGCATCTGGAAGGTCAACTCCACAACAACCTACACCGTCACGAGGACGAAAAGCTCGTGGAGGAACATCTAACCGAAGTAGTAGGGGACGCTCAAGAACTAGTGGGAGAGTTACGCCAGCTACTGCCAACAATCCTAATCCTATGAAATTAACAAATTTAATGAGAAAGTTACTTAGCGTTGTCATCTCTTATCAAGACTCTGATGAACGCTATCTGTCGGAGCCTTTTATGAAATTACCCTCTCGTCGCGAGTTACCCGATTATTACAGACAGATAGAATTACCAATTGATTTTGAAGCTATAAAGGAACGTGTTCGAACACATATTTATCGATCTTTAGATGATTTGGAAAAAGATGTTACATTGTTATGTAAAAATACGCAGGATTATAACATGGAAAATTCGTTAATTTATGAGGATTCTATTGTATTACATTCGGTGTTCACTAATGCCCGTCAAAGGCTGGAGGCGGATCCAAATAGTATTAAAACTCCTCCACCAAGCGAAGATGAGGAGGAAGAGGAAGCTCCTACCCCAGCTCGAGATGACATTGAAGAAGAAGACGAGGAGGAGGAGGAGGAGGAAGAAGACGATGACTGGAAAACTCCGAAGAAGAGAGGACGACGGCCTAAGGGCCATAGATCGGCAGGAAGGGGTAGGAAGAGGAAGGATGATGATGATGACAGTGATGAAGGTATACCGAAGAAAAAAAGATCAAGGAAAAAACGAATTGTCGAGGAAGACATTAATCCAGAGGATGAAGATGAATAGGATGCTACATAAGTGTTGTTTCTTTTACTTTTTATGTATCAATTTAGAATTGAGATCATGATTTTGATAACATGAAAGGAAATACGTCGATTCTTCGCCCATTACAATTATTTACTTAAGCCACTTCTTTTAAAATACAAGGATTTTCAATTTCAAGGAAAAGCTTAACTTTATCTTTACACAACAAACTCAACACGTTGTATCTTTATGACTATGGACTCAATTTATAGCGCCATCTAGCATGTGCATGCCTTTATTTTGGTTTAATGAGTAAATTACATTTTACTCAGATGTTCTTGTTTTACATTGTTAATACATTTATGATTGATTTTTATTATATTAAAAAAGAATAATAACTTGAATATAAAATTGTATATCGTAGAAAGAGAAAAAATGACATCCAGTAAAAAATTAATAGATCATTTATAAAGTTTGATTTAAAGTTGAAGAAACTTTTGTATATCTTCATTTATTTCCTCTTCCTTTGGAACACGTCGTTTGTATACACTAGGAACCAAATTTAAGTCGGAAAGTTCAAACTTATACTCTGGAACTTTTTCTGTTCTATATGGTGCTAAAAGATCAGCACCCCTTTCTAATTGAATTTCATTCAACCAATTGCAAAGTCTATCTACTGTTATATTCATTCTCACGAGTGTTGAGATCAACTCTTCACCTGGATTTTTACTCTCTTCCATTTTCTCTATTTCAAAGTTCGTCAATTTTATAAATTGTGCAATTTCCCTCCATTTGTGATCGAAATTTAACATATTAGATAATTCATCTCTGATCCGTTGTTTTAAACATAATAAACTTGCGTTGCGCTCGCTCATAATTTTTAATGAAAGCGAAAGGAACAAGGTAGCTGATCGGTTAGTCACCGGTTTCAATGACCATAGAACAAACATTTCCTAACAAGTTAGGAATTTAAGCGGCTCTCCAGTGGAAATTTTCTGGTAAGTCCCGGCTCTCTATTATCTCTCTATTTCTTAAAAATTTGTAAAAATTTCCTATAAAAGCCACAAAACATTAGTGTACGAAAGCAACTATGTCATTTTATATATATCTACTTCCGGATCGGTAGTTACTGGTTATTGTAATCTTACAAAATTGGAGCTGATCGGTTCAATTACGAAAGAATTTTAATGAATTTATGAAGATATTTATTATGAACAATGTCAGAAAAGATTTTGGAAGAGCTGAAAGAAGTAAAAGAAAAAATCCTCTCTATTCCCAACACCGAACTTATATCATGTGTCCCTGCTATTGTCCAAATCAAGATTACTTTAACAAAGTATAAACAGCTGGTTGTATGTATGCAATTTTCTGATAATTATCCCTACGATTGCTTGCTAGTGGAGCTTAAAAGTAAACTTTTATCAGATAATTTACTTCAGAAAATGACAAAAATATGTGAAGAGGAATTACGTAAATTTGAGGGTGAAAAACAAATAATTCATCTTGTTAAATTTGTTAAAAACTTTATTATTGATAATCCGTTATGTGTTTGTAGTGATGAGATATTATCACTTAAAAATTTATTGACAGACGGAGATGAAATTAAGCTTAAACAAAAAGTTTCAAAAATTATTTTAAAGCTTCGTGAAGGATCTTATATGATAAATAGCAGTTTTACAATACCAAATGACTATCCGGTCAGTAGAATAAATGTTACAATAAGTGATTGTAATTTACCAGAAGTGCTAAGAGTTAATTGTGAAAGTCAATGTCAGGAATTGGCAAGAAGAGCTGTAGAGCCTCCTTTGAAAAGAAAATCTTCTGATCCTCCATTTGAACCGACTCCCTCTCTTCTTAAAATATCAGAATTTATTATAAACAATGTTATAAGAAAATATCCCACTATGCTGTGTCCTTGTTGTCATAAGTCAGCTCTTCCAGCAGACGCTATGGATGTAGTCAAAGATCATCAGGCAGACCAGTTTGTAGAAAGAGTATATTGTGGACACCTATTCCATCATAAATGTATAGACGATTATATGAAAACTCCTCCATTTACTGGCGGTAAAAAATGTCCGAGTTGCGGAAGTAGGATATTTCACGACAAATGGAGAGCCACGCCTGAGTTGGCTGAAGCTAGATGGGCTCATAAACAAGCCAGGCAACGAGAATTAGACGAGGTTGTTGATTTTCTTGGATAATACTCAACCTTCTAGGAAATAAAAGAAAACAAAGTTTCTTTTCAATATGAGAATTCTATTTATTTTTAAAATCTATTGAGAAAATAAAAAGACACAAATTTACACAAAATTCTTTAGAAAATCATCTTTCCTTGTGCCTATTTTCGTTATTTTCCGTTAATTGGAGACGTTTCGAAAGGAAGACGTCAAGTCTAGAGTTTAAATATTAAATTTAGTCTTATAGTTTACAGCTCGGTCGCGTAGTGTAGTGGTTATCACGTTCGCTTTACACGCGAAAGGTCCCCAGTTCGAGCCTGGGCGTGACCAGTTTTTTTTCTTTTTTTTATTTTATTAAAATGGATTGGTTAGGGGAATTGTCGATTTGATAAAAGTAATTATAGAATGATTGACTAAATATTAGAATTAGCTATCGCAAACGCTTTTAATATTGTATTGATTTGTGGAATAATATTTTAAAAAGTAGGTTAACTCAAAAATGAGATAAAGTGCTTAGGGTAACTTTTGGAGGTCTTCCTCTCTTCGATTTATTGCGAGGTTCTGCGTGATGTTTCGATCGTAAATGTCTATTAAGAATATATCGTTGAGTGAATTCTTTTCCGCAGAGTTCACATTCCAATTTATCGGGTTGTGCTCCGTGATGATGAAGAATAGAATGCATATTTAAATCATCAGTATCTTTACATTTATGACCACAATTTTCAAATTTGCATTTTAATTCTTTCTCTTGATGCGCTCTTTGATAATGTATGGAAAAACTCAATCGATTATTGCAAACTTTGCCGCATTTATCGCAAAAGAATTCCGTAGGTGTTGACATTTTCTGATGTAGACAATTCTTGGCATTTTTTCTTAAATATACATCGCAAACGTTACAATAATGATCTTTTAATTCAGCTTTAAGGTCTTCCGGCATGGGTATCCGGTGCCTGTTGTACTGATGAGTTTTATAATTAATATATTTTTGAAAGATTTGTTGGCATTCATTGCAAAAGTAAGGTTCAATGGCCATATCTCCGGACGGTAGGTGAAAACGATTTTCGTGAACGTATAATGAAATCTGAGAAAGATAGTGAAAGTATTTATAAAAAAAAAATTTATTTTGTAAATTAAAAATATAAACCTGATATTTAAAGATTTGCCCGCAGTCTTCACACATTAATTGATCGTCGAAAATTTCATCTTTGTGAATTTCTTTAACGTGAGCGTGCATATCTTTCTTCGATGTAAACAATTCATCACAAAATTTGCATAAAACATTGTTGTCGTGTTCGTCATGTTCCTCGGTAAGATGTTGTTCAACGTGACATTTCATTCCTATAAAATAACAACCATCTCTTGGACAAAATCTTAGTGCTCGATGTGTCGGGTAGATTGGTCTAAATTGGTGCTTATTTATCATGTGAATAGTATAAAGAACTTCGCTATAAGAAGTAAATTCAGAGCAGTAGTTGCATTTAAGTAGGTATTCTTTTGAACACATGGTATTTTCGGTTTGGTCATGACCATGAACTTCACGAAAATGCTTGATTGCTTCGTTTTTATACAGCATCTATTTTAAATATATTAAAAATAGTACAAAAACCATAAATGAAAACATGCTCTATATTGTTTAAAAGAGGAAAAAACAGACCTTAACAGTTGAACAACCGTAATAATCACAGGTAATCTTAGTTGGATGCTTTAAAGCGTAACGAGATATAACTTTACTGTGGCTCTCAAAGTGTTTTTGTGTTTGATTCAAGATGTATTGATCACATTCTCCACAATACTTATCTTCCAAAAGCTCTCCAAGTTCATCGGGTAATTTTACTTTATGATCATTGTACATGTGAATATGTAGATTTTGTTCGGGTTCGTGAACGTTAAACTTTTTATAGCACATAGCACACGATATAGATTCGGGTATATCCTCTTTTTTAGCATTTATTAGGAAAGGATCCCCTTCTTCGTCATTCTCTTCTTCGACATTTCCCACTATGTCGACATCTTGGTCGTCATTAGCAATATTTCCATTATCATTTCTTATAGCATCAATGATACTCCTGTTTCTTGGATTTTTTTTGCAATATTTTAAATGCATATATATTAAATTAACTGTCTTTTGAGTAGCATTGCAAAATTTACATGTATATTTTGTTATTTTGCGTTTCATACCATCTTTTTCTACAATATATTCAACAGCTTTAAAACCTTTCTGTTGAATAATCCCTTCTTTTTGTTGCTTTAGTTGAGCTTTTTCACTGAGTTTAGGGGTCCATTTAAGCGAAACTTTACTTTTTTTCGTTGGTATAATAATAGACGAATCGCTTTCATCATCTTCGTTATCCTTTCTAAGAATTCTTTCCAATTCAGTTTGAAATTCCATTTCACACTTCTCCGTTTCTTTGGCCTTTATAGTTTTACTATTTAAAGCCGATGAAGAAGCTTTTTTTGCAACTGCAATTTCTTTGTATATTGATTGATATTTTTTCTGTGTTTCCGTAACTTTTCTTGCAGTTAAATTTAAAAGACCTAAATGAATTTTAAATATTCTTTAATATTCTATAAATAGTATTTGATATTTTATTCTATCTAACCCGGTGCGTAATCATTCATAGATACGTAGATTATTTCAGATTCCGATTCGAATAATTCAGGACGTAATTTTTCTACTATGTTGTCTTCTTCTGGCTCATCGAAAAAACCGATTTCTTCTGGATCTTCATCAATCCAATTTCCTTTCGACATTTCGTCTGACAGTAAACTCAGGAAATTTTCTTTTACATCTATCTCCTGTAAAATTCTGTGTAACATTTTTGCATCTTTTTCCGTTCTTTTAAACTTTCCAGTGTAAAGAAAAGATAACAGATTTTCTAAATCACTTTGTGTGAGTAACAATTTATTAAGCGAAGTTTTCCATGTGTTCCCTTTGCAACAAACTCGAAAGACAATCGAATGACATAAGACAGGCTTTTGGTCATCTGTCATTAAAACTAAATCGCAAAAATGGCCAATCTTTCGGAGTTTGGCAAATTCACCAAAGAACTGGTTGGCAAATTTCAAGCTGGGCTTGTCGAATGGCATCGCGAGCTGTATTATCGCTCAGCTCTCTAAGCTTACACTCATCCTTAGAGTTTATGCAAAAATTAAAATGCTATTATTATAATTCCTTAAAGAAATTTGTAATCGACTACTGTGAGAATATTATTTAAAAGAAATCAAAAACGGATTCAATAATTCAATAGTTGTGGATAATATTGACTATTGTTGGAATCCATAAACTGTACGAGATCTATTCTTATACACTAGCGTAGTCCATAGAAAGCGCACTATTTTCATAGCAGATATTATAAGATTTATCTCCAAATATCTGACATAGGCTTACATACTTTCTTTATATATAAATTCTAGTTAATAAAATAATACCCCTACGTTATTTAAACTTAAACGCCAGTATGTAAGCAATATACAATATATACAAAATAGATAAATTCTTTAAAGATAAGTTGATAATATAGAAGAATAGTAGTATATGAATGTAAAAATACTATTAAAACTTTTAATGTAATGTATTCATACAGAATTAAAAAGATAGATATATAACATCACCAAAAAATATTTGATATAAAACATAGAGCGATCTAAGCTTTTGATAGAAATTAAGTAATAAATATATAATATAAGCTTTATATAACTTATATCTATTCAATGTGTCTATACTATATATATAGCATATGTATATATATATGTATACTGTGCATTATACTATAGATATTTATATATTGACATGATTTATGCAAGAAAAAGGAAAAGATATAGCAAAAATAGAACAAATAAAGCAAGTGGAAATGCGTGGAAGGCCCTTTCTTTCTTTCCTTCTTTCTTTGCAATGAAGACTATCTTGAGGTATAATTTCTTATGGAAGAAATGTAAAGAGTAGTCGATAAATTGCTGTTCTATAGTTTTAAGAGTAAATAATGAAGAGATATAATTCATGTAAAGCGTTTAAACAAAGTTTTGTCTATTTAGTTTTCAGCAGCTGAGTACAATGGGTTTTGTCGCGTTTCACCAGGTACCATTGGTCTTCTGAACTCTTTACCCTTATCATCTTCTTCTTCAAGGTTGGCGTTGACATCACTTACGTCGTGAACAAATGATGTACTCACTCTATTGGATTTTTTATCCTCTGGTATCCTCGTCAGATCTAAGGGATCCACAGTTGAATGAGTTTTTCCATTTGGAATATACTCTTGAGCATTTGGTACACCGGATGCACTAAGGATTTCGGGAGACGGAGGCGTATGACCAGTTCCAATTACTATAGGAACTTTCATTATTATTCCTTTACTTGACGCAATATCGACAATAAACTGTAAGTCGTAACTTATGTCAATGATATCACAACCATCCAATCTGGATTCTGGAATATACGGCGGAATGGTTAGTCTAACGTTTGTCCACTTTCGGGCTTCTCCAGCTTCCAAAGACCATTCGTCACGTCTCTTATTAACAACTTGAACATTGGTTTGGTGCTAAATGGATATTTGTTTAATAAAGATAACATTTATCAAATAGTTGGGTGACAAACCTGATGCTTCGCATTAAACCGACTATTCATCACTAGAGCAGCTTGAACGCCTCGAACATCTCTCGGTGAATTGTTAGCAATATGAGCATTGATATAAATATCCTCCCCAGGAAAATGGCCCGTTTTATTAATACCAATTGTAGCTGACACTTTACCATTAATGCAAAAAGCAAAAGTACCAAAGAATCTCTTTTCTTGCTTTATAGTCTTCTGCTTTGACAAAGATTCCTCGCTATTTATGTCCAAATGTCTGTAAAAAATAAATTTGTATACGTTAATAATTAATGGATTTATATGAATAATTACCTCAACACAAGAAAAGGTTCCGATGTTATTGTTGTGCTCATGCCCATCTGTTTATCTTCTTTTAGAGTGGCTTTCACAACGTAAGTTATAGAACCATATTTTCCTATAAATGAAGATGGCAAATTCAACGGCAAAACGTACTCCAACGGAAATTTATGTTTTCCTTTTTGTAGGGCCAACGGAATACCTGGGGTGGTTTTTGTGACGTCGTATGTTAAATCAATATAGACCTCATCGGCCCTTACAGTTTCTCGAGACGAATCTTCCCAAGAGACGCTGGCTTCACCTTTGATTTGAACTGTAATCGACTTAACCTTAATTGTGTCAGTTAGGACGAGTAAAATATGTCCACGTAAAGCTTCACCAGGAACATATTGATATTGTTCATCAATGTCATGGTCTAGATTAATGTCAAAACGATCTATAACTTTCTTTTTGGTAGAATCTTTTGTGAAGGCCATGATTTACTTTTCTTTAATCCTTTAAAATAAAAAATAAAAAAGAACTAGGTCAGTATGCCTAAAAACTAAACTTTTCATATTCCCTCATAGATAATGACCCATAACCAACGAACTTAATAATCCTTAGCAATCTTATATTACACAAAGAACTCTTTTTTCTTATTCCATTTTATTAAATATACATTTAAAAATATATTATCTCTAAATCTAAATATTCAATTATTTTGACAATGAAAATGAAAAAATAACATAATCATATCAAAATTATATATAAATATTAATTTTCTAACAATTTTAAAACCCTGTTCACGTATTTTATCTTGTACATAGAATATTGATAAATTTATTAAATGGCCTATCCCTTTAAGTCAGCAGAAATGAATTTTTAGACGCTGACGATATAAACGTAATATTTAATGAATAATGAATAAGTTTATATAAATATTACATATAAAATGAAGAGAACTAGAAGAGAAAATAAAAAACTGGGTTGGGTTAGCTAAATTAGAAAAGAAATGATTATCTTTATCAAAACGAGACGGAATAAGTTAATTCGTCTCTTAAATATTTTGATGTTGATAATAGAGGCAGAGAGGAGAGAGAGAGAGAGTTTAAAATCGGATTTAAATCATATTTTTTTTATTTATATATTTATAAAGTTATTGTAAAAATGTATTAATTTATAATTACCTTCGTTTAGAAATATAGCCTTATTTAGTAAGAATTTAACTCAATTACTTGAGTGTAAATGAAGAATTTGTTTTTTTTTAGAGTTTTATTTTCGACTTTGTTTCAACTCCTTGAAAATCTACTACACACACATCATGACTATAGCATGCCGAATAAACATGGCGAAAGGTCCACACCCGCTATCAATATATATCAAAATGTTATAGAGAAAATAGAATGGGTTAAGTCATTTTTGCACAAAAATCGGCCAATTTTATTGAACGGGGGCCACTGTCTCAGATCATTCATATTAAAAAAGGTTGAAGGGTGGGGGGAATAAAGGTTTATAGGCAGAGTAGAGATTTCAATGCAAATTTTTTTTACTTTTCTTCCCTGGCGCTCTCTAGCGTGTTTTCGGAACAAATCTCTCTTGCAATTGAGCTTTTAGATCATTATTAACGGTTCTTAAAGATCTCGACAATGAATATAAGTATTGAATGATCATTCTGAAAATATAATATTCATTAGCGAAATGTTAATAAATTGAATGGTAAAACTAACATCAGTAAGACAATTAAAGGGCAGATTATCCCTGGTGATGCTATATAATCTAGAATTTTCGTTATAAACTCGGGGAATTCTTTAACTATTGTTGAAGTCAGAACGTAGTAAGATCTCTCATAATCACTACAAAAGGGAGCCATTAAAGATATGTTATTATGTCGTTGGGGAGAATTTACAACCTTAGTGGGCCACAATCTGGAGATGGTCTTAATTGAACGAGTAAGAAGGCTACTGGTAAACAAACCAGAAACAACATAATCAGTAGTAAGACAAAGTAAAAGTTATTGGATTTGGAAACTTTGAAAACCCTTTCCAAGGGTATATTACAAACTAGAACAGCCCATGAACGAACGTAGAAGAGAATAACTATCTTAATTAAGTTTCCAACAGCCAGGAGAGGGGCAAAGAACATTCCCATCCTGTATATGATCAGTCATGAACGTTACACGGAAATTCTCTATTCATATGATAATCTTACCAAATCATTGCCTGATTATAGATTAAATGCAGTATATTTTCAGCTAACTTAAATTCGCCATACTCCGGCTGGAAGATTAAATAATTTGCCTTTATTACTAGACAATACAAACTAACGAAGATATGAAAATTACTAACAAACTTCTTTTCCAAATCCCAACAACATGAACCATTTGCATATCTAACGATAAGATCTCGGAGAAAATCAATAACGAAGATCATACCAAGTGTAATAAAAAGATCAAAAACCGTTAATTTAAAAAACTCTTGACCAACCATAGTTTCCCAACAAATGAGTTTTGATTTATCTTCTCTTAAAGTTGTTGTTTCATTAAAAGAACTCGTTGGTGAGACTCTATTTGCGAAATCATCTCTCTATTCAAGGATACGAGAGTGTGTTAATTCATATATATTATATATGTATATGTTATATAAATATTTATGGTAATGTGTTGACACAAACCTTATTAACTATTTTACCATAGAGAGCGACCGTCAGTGTATATAAATTTAGTAGATATAACACTAATATCCTCGCTAAAGACCATCTCAAATTGATTCTTGGATGGTACTTTTCAATCATTCCCAAAATTTCAAAAATTGATGGAAAAAGCGCGGTAATTAGAGACATAACAATCGATACCTAAGAATCAAAGATTCTTAATTAGTATACTAAATATAATAGCTAGATTTTTACCTCATTTTGTTGCCACCAATTAACTTCTACGCCATTTTCTTTATCCTTTTCAAATTGTCTTGATCTTTCAACAACAAGATAGATTGCGTAAGCGCTTGATGCCAAAACTAAAACTACAATAAAGTTTGCCCAGATCCTTAACAATATTAGAATACCCCTGTATTTTGTTTAAATAGTTAATTTTAACACTTTAAAATCTATTAATCAAAATTGAAATTATTACTTTCTTTCACTTCTCTGCCTCTCCTTTTCTTCTATTATTGTCTCCTTTTTTTTATATTTATTTCAAATATTGATCAGTTAATTAATTATATTGAATAAATTTGCTTATTACCCTAAGAACAGTTACTATTTCAGCCGTTTTATTCTTGGCAGTCTCGGCATTTCCAATTGTGTAGTCCCAAGATGCGAATGCCTTCCAGGTGAAGTTTAATTGGCCAATGCTGGTATAATTTCTGCTTAGACTGGCATTTGAAGACATCCTGAACATTGCAGAGTATTCTTAATGATAGTTTTAATTATGTTTTTAATTTACAAACTTTAATAGAACAACAACGAAACTTAGAACAAAAATTGATATTCCAGTGAGAAAATAGGCCAAAGGGCCTCGGTAGAACCCGCCTACCATTTCAGTATTTCCGTAATAGCCGTAAAATAATGGCGAATACTTTAAATATCCTTCAAAATCCCAGATACTTGCCAAATCCAAAGCCTGATCTTTCTCTTCTGGTGGAACAGTCTTTAGTGCTGTACCTTGATCTTCACCAACGATTATCTTATAACGTAAAAGGAATAGACGAAGGATATAAAGTTATTATGAGAAAGGCATACTTCAGGAACAACTATAAAGCTTATTGTAACAACTGCAAACATGAAATTAACCCAGAATAGCCACCTCGCAAAAGTAAAATAGGATGCGACAACAGAACCAAAGTGACCTAAAGGGATATTATAAACAATACTAGTTTTCAGAATATCCACACATTAAAAAATATGAATAACAAACTTTCTATTGTTTTGATCCTCATTTCCCAAGGTATGAAGATGACTATGATATTGCTCATAATTCTCTTGATTCGATGCCATATCTGATTGAAATAAATAAACAATGTCGACCTACATGAATCATAACCAATAAAATATGAATGATAAACTGTCCGTATACTCTTTCATCGACTATGCACATATCAAATATCCGATAGTGTAAACGGAGCTAGAGCTTCAACAAACAAGACGATGATTTTGTTTGTCAGCACTCTGGTGTGTTGCTTAAGCTTACAATTTTTTGCATTAAATCAATTTACCATGAAAAACAATACATGAAAAAGCGATTTAGATTCATGAATAAATACATTCTAATACTATAAAATCAACCTTTGCTCCAGCTTCCTGATATCCGTGACTTTTGGAAAGTTTGCCCTCATATCTTTCAACATAGGACTTGGCTAATCTGAATTTTTAAATTAGATTGTCTAATCAATATATTAATATATTTTAAGTATAACAATCATAAGATTCTTACTTGACCGTTTGATATTTTTTAACTAGTTGCCATGGTTCAGATCTTACACTACTAATAATTTCCTTCTGCAATTGAATATTCTCGAATATCTGTGATTCATCCAGTTGTTGTCTTTCTTCGTTATACATTTCTAGGCAGGAATCCTTATCTTCCACAGCAACTTTCTTCGATCTTCTCCTTTTCATCTTTTTAATTATATTTAAAATCAATTAATTTATATATTTTTGAAAGAAAAGAAAATCTTATGTTTTACTTTGAAAGATCTCCTTTTTCCGTTTATCATTTTTGCGATTGAATTTAATAAATCGACATTTTCATGTAAATTTAAAGAAGATGGCTGTTTATCCTTCCCATCTTCGTTTGTATTTGTTTGAACAATAATTTCAGGTAGTTCTTCATCAGGTTGATCCGCTTCGTCTTTTTCTTCTCCTTTTCCGTCGATATCTTTTATTTCTATAAATTCTCTTTCATTTTTAGTTTGTTTATCGTCATTACTTTCTCTATTTTCCACAATAGGACATAGATTTGATACAACTTTTATTTTGGAGTCTTTTACTTGCTGATCTTCATCGGTCCAATCATCACTTTCATCATCGTAATCAATTTCCGGCTCTGGAAGTTTGTCCATATTCATTTGTTTAATAATTTCTAAATATATGAACCAAGCATAGTATCTATAAGCACTGCTTTTAGAAGTTGTTCATATGTTCAAATGGAAGAGAAGATAGATAACGGGTGTGGCGGTCTATTTCCTCAATGATTGTATAGCTTCCATGAACTGGGACTCAAACTAATTGATGGACAATCCACTTTGAGCTAATGCGTATAGTTTTAACAAACAATCCCGAATGATCACGTGATTTATCCGCCATTCAGAAAACTCATCGTAAATCCCATTTCTTAATGATTATGTATTTCTACACAACAAAATAAAAAATTCAGCACAATAAAAAGGGGAAAAGAAAGATTTTCCTTGCGATTTTTGTATTTCAGAGAAGAGAACGAATGCAAAGTATATATTTGAATACATAGAAAACAAAAACAAAAACGACAAAACAACTTAATCTTAAAGAGAAAGAGAGATAGATAGATAGAGAAAAAAACGGACGAATAAAAGGTAGAATAAAATTTAAAATAAAAAGTATAACTGAGAGAATGAGACAGATTTCTTCAAATTAATTGTCATGGAAGGGTTCGGATTCGATAAAACTTAGTTTTGTTTTTTCGTTTCTTGGGAGACATCATATGAACCTTTTAAGTCTTCAGTAATAAAAGTCATTTTAAATAGACAAACTATTTAGGGAGAAAGACAACACAAGAAAAAAGATAGGAAAAACCTACAGTTATAACTTAAACAGGTTCGGCGTCTTTCTCCTAGTCGAGTAAAAATTCATATTTAAAAGGAGTTTATATCCTCGCGTTGAGTAATCTCATTAATAAGAAAGATAAGATATATATATATAAGAGATAAATAGATTAAATATATAGTTAGAGAGGAGCGAAGAGAATTTAGTAAAGAATCTTAATTCTTCTTGTTAATTAAGGGACTTTGGTAGGCTTTAGTATAGAGGGGAACGCGTTGATATCCGGCTTGTGATGGAGAAGGCCTGAGCGTTATATCGATGTTGTTAAGTTTTTCCGCAGACATAGGAGTTAATTTAGTGTCCATTGTATCAACTGAAGGAAGTGCCAATTGTTGTTCAGCTAAAGTCTTCCTTAAGGTTCTTCGACGCTTTTTTTATTATTTAAGCAGTATTATATAATCAAGAATAATATCATAAAACAAATACTACCTCGATATTACTACGCCATCTATTGGCTGCGGTCTTCGCTAATTCTAGTTCCTTTTCCTTTAATCCTCGATGTCGTTTATACGCCATCTCAATAATAATAAGGAAAACTCCGGCAACTATACCACCAGCTACCATCATAAAAACACCAGCCATATTGGTCAATCCTAGAGTAGCTGGCGATTGATCTTTCTCAACACAATTTGTGTCCTTTACGAGAATCCATTTGCCATCCAATTGTTCCATTTCCCCTTCTGGTTATGTCCATGTAGAAGAAAATAAAAGAAATTGATAGAAATGTTTGTTGAATGAAATTCTTAATACAAACTTTCGTGAAAGCTTAAAATAGCCAATGATATAGTTTCTGTCCAGGGGCTGTCCTTAGGAAGCCCAATTCCGTATCCTGATCTTCCGAAAAGCTCTCCAGCCGTGACTAAATCACAATGTTTAGCTTCTTCAAATTCGAGTCTGGATGAGTCCCAAATAAATGCTTGCAACTTGCTATAAATAAATGGAAAAAATCAGGGATATTCAATGTAAAACAATATAAATAAGGCTATGTATAATAACGAACTCGTTAATCACGTCTCTTATAGCGTCTTCTGGTTCGTAGTAATTAAGTTGCTCCATTGTTCTATACATTGTTGACAGTTCTACCTGACGCTTAAAATACATGGCAACAGCACTGTTTTTTACTGTAGCATAACGAAATTTTTCTTGTGGATTCCTCAAGCGGGCGTCGTCTATACCAGATATTGCTGCTTCCGGCCTGTCCAACACGAGAAAGGCAGCTAAGTTGGCAGTATATGAAGCAACTATAATCATAGCAAAACCAGCCCAGACCATACCCAGGACCCTAGCACTAAAGCTTCTTGGAGTCCCTTCTCCAATTCCAGAATTCAACAATACACCCCAGGCAAACCACATAGCGCTGGAAAGATTAAGAGCATCTTCTTCTGTATCGTCATTTTTGGCCAACTTAAAGCGGCCAAACGGAGAAAACCGATCTAGTAGATATAAAACAAGTGCAACCACGTGAACAGAAAGTCCTACCAAAACCCATAAAGTATCCCGAAAAGGTTGAAGAAATGAGCCCAAACTTGAGTCTTTCTCATTCTAAGTAAAAGTAAAATATTAGATTATTTATGGATTAGATTAACAAAATCTTATAATTAATCAATATTACTTTTTTGACTAAAATAGTTAATCCTTGATATTTGAAAGGTTTTGAAAAGTCAATGTGTTCCGCTCTTTCAGGATTTATTGTTAAAGGAGCGACAATCATATCAGCCACATTATCTATGAGTTCTCCAATCATACCATTCCATTTTTTCGATGACCCATTTCTCTGATAGAATAAATAAATATTTGCGAAAGTGATTGGATTCAATGGTAAATCTTTACCTTTTCGTAGTTTCCGAATTGTCCATCACCCACCAAGTGTAGGTCATACGTGAAATTTGTTTCAGCTGCCAAAGCTATAAGCATGTCAATAGCATAGCCATAGCAACAATGTTCTATAATCTCTCCCGAGTAATTTCGAGGGCACGGAACCCTTTGAACACTCTTTTTACAATCAGCGGTCGACACGTTCTCTACATACACGAATGGTATTTCCTTAATTGTAACGACATGAAGATGAGTTGCTATTCTTATCCCTTTTGGTTTCTCTTTTGCCGCTCCTAGCCATTGTATCTTACTCAATGATATATTAACTTTTGCATCCACCGGTTTGGAACCATCGTGTAATCCAACTTTAACCAATTTTCCTGAAGATTGAACATTCATTATTTCATAGGTTGCATCAATTCTATCCCCCATAAAATTGAAGCGAACGTTTCCCGTTTCACCATCGTCTAATACTGTATCTCTGAGTCGACTAAAAAAACAATGAAAGTAGACAACATTTAGTTAACGTCTTAAGGAAAAGGCTTTTTAAAACTACTTGAATAAAATCTCTGATTGTTTCTCCCATTCATGCGACGATTCAACGTCACAGTTACCGGAAGTTAAAGGCTTTGAACATGAGTATTTGTTTTCAGTCGAATTTTTACACAGTCCTCGAAGAGCTTTCTTAACAACAAATACAGCATCTTGAATATGCTCCTCAACATGGGAACCTTTTGACAATTGAAGTCCTAGAACACCTATACAATAAAGATTAAACATTTAAATACTCTTTACGATTATTTAATAAAAATAAAGCTTATACCATCAGGAACTTTTGATGAACGTAAAGATTGTTCCGTAACAATCCATCCATAGCCCTCTTCTAGTAATTTTAATCTTTTAGCATCTTCAAAGATGACATCAGCATCATCTTTTCTAATAATATAGAAAGGAAATATCAGCCAAAGGAAATGAGGAAATAAAGACAACTTACGTTGCATAAAGAATAAATATTCTTGACTTTTTCAAATGCAGTTCTTGTAATTTGTCCGTATAGTTTGATAATCCAGCATTATATTCCATTATTTGTTCCAGCTATTATAAAGATTATACTTAATTTCTTAACAAATAAAGATTGAATATTACAAACTTCTATATCATGTTTTTCTGCTTTTGCCACAAATTTTCCAAATACTGCTCTTCCATCTGGATCTGAACTATGTATGAATATAACATGTGTCCATTTAAAATATAATAAAAGATCTGTCCAAGCTTGAGCTTGGTCTGACCAAGGAGACATAGTTCTCATAAACCAACCATGAGTATTCTAGAAAAAATGATATTACTTATTTTAAGTATCAGAAAGAAGTGTTCAATTTCCCTAAATTAATACCAACTTTATCGGAGAATACGTTATCTCTTACTGAAACTCCAATTACTGGGATAAATTTGGATCCACATGTGTATGATACTGCCATTGCTGCAATATCATTATTGGGAAAACTACTCGTAATAACCACAGAAACCTAAGTGGAGAATCAAATTATTGTATATACTAATTAACAAGTATGGAAAGCATAGGGATAGAATATCAATATAGTAATTGTATTTCATTTCATACGTACATTTTTAGATATTAAATTTTCGCAAACCAACTTGGCGGCTGCCATCGGATTTGGAACCAAACGATGGGCTGTATATGCTAATTTTGGGCATGAAATATGCTTCCCACAATCTTTAGGGCTGAGAATTTTTTTGTCCTCTAAGGCTTCTGTAAAGGATGTCAGTTCTTCTTCCTTTGCATACATGAAACCTACATTAAAGGTATTTTTTTCTTCAGCTCTAGATCCTATAGACAATAATAGTAGAAGTGTTGAGAGCGTCAGAGCGAAAAGCATCATTTTTATAGATCTTTATCAAGTGATGGTTGAAAATAACTGTTACAGTCTCATTTAGGCAATCAGAAGATGTAAGGGTGTAAAGATGCTTATTATAAATTAGAGATGTTTTTTTATATTTCAATGCCTCCTATCAAATATCTCGTCAATCAAAATAATGAGAAATATAACAATTTTGCTTTAGCAATTCTCTTCGAATATTAATTCATAACTTCCGATTAAGGATATTTTCGAATGGCGATAGGTTTTTACTATTTTATGATTTATTTATCTAATAAGAAGATTTAGTGTGTAACTAGTAGCTCATTTTAAATATTTCTATAAAAAGTATACGAAGACAGCTTATAACGTAAACAAACATGGCGGATCCAGCACAAAATGAATTTATACAACAAGCTATCAAACTCACACAAAGCTTACGATATTCTCTGTCAAAAACATTGGAAAGGGTTGCTCACCCAGCGGATGAGAGCAAGGAGGAAAATGAAGGCGACTATATAAATTCTGTAAAGGAAGGATTGATCTCTATTTCTCAGGAGATTGAGTGAGTCTCTTAATATCGCCCTTCTAAATGCATTCACATTTCTGTTAAAATAGAGACTTGGAAAAACTTGCAACTAAACTAAAACCTATAAATGGAGTTTATGCATTAGGAAGTACCCTAGCATTCGGTTTGGACAGTTCACAAGAAAAAAATAAACACTATCAAGAGCTTAACAAAAGTTATAGATACTTACAGAAGGTAATATTCTTTTACACTTATTTGATAGCATTTAGCATTAACAATTCTGGTTTTCAAAATTTAAAAGAAAGATAATACAGTGACTTTTTAATTTTTTATTTAGGTAAATATACACTCAAACACATCTTGGCAACATCTTCAACAAAATATGGGACAACACCGAAGAAATTATGTCCCAAAAAAGAAAAAAGTTCATCAGCTGGCTACAAATCGACAGTAAGTTCATATATCATGCAATTTACATATATTTCTCGACACTTTACAAATTCTACCATTTGATCCCAATCTTTCAATATTTATTGAAATTTTCTGAATTTCTCCCTGGAAGAGGGAAATCTTTTCTATACGTATTAATCACTAAATCAACCTTATGCTTTATTAAATTCATTTCAGTGAAAATTTATCCGTCATTGTTGCCACTGTCCAAAGAAATCTGCCGCATACTGCTTTAAGTGCAACAAAGACAGCAGATAATTTTAACGTTATCCAAATGACTCAAGGAAAAGTATTCAAAGCTGCGATTGCCCTTCGTGGAACAAATATTGAATGGATTGTTGTTAAAGCTTCCAATGAAAAATTACATAACGAAAATGGCGAATTAGATATGTGGGGGCAGTCCAAATACGAGGTGTTTAGAAAGATAACCGAGCAAGCGGAAATTGCTGCAAATATGATGTCCGCTAATGCAAATGAAATTGCACTACAGCACTTATTAAAGTGGCTCCATGGTTACCATAATATTTTTACGGCCAAATGCTCTAAATGTTCTAAGCATTTAAAACAGATGCTACCACCAGTTATTCGAGAATTTCGTTCTAATGATATATTCCATGAACAATGTAGAGCTTAATACATAAAATATTACTACTTTTTAATTTGTAAATACAAAACCCTATAATGCATTTATAAACTGATTCTAATTTTAAGTGCAAATGTTAAAAAATGCAAAAAAATATTTAGGGGTTTGGGGGGAATTGGAAGTCAACAACGGCTAAATGTAGAAAATAACAATACAGAATTTTATTAAAGCTGCAGTCATTGAACTAAACAAGACATATACAAAGAAGAATCTTTTAAAAAACAAAAAAACAGCTTGACAGTATAAAGGTCGATAAAAAAACATATTTAAAAAAAAAAGAGGGGAACAGAAAAACTTGTTCACGGCTTGAACTTGACGAGCGGTACCGTTTTAGTTCGTATGCAATCTTCACATGCCCATTCGGCGTATACTTCAGTTGTCAGTAACTGGTATGCTCGCTCTGTCAAACCTGTACAAATTCTATGAAACCAAAAATTACATCCACTTTCACACAATATAGCATGCTCGTTCTCTGTAACTTCTTTATGACACACTCCACAGGGATATATCGGCGGAGCACTAGGATTAGCCGGATTTGCTACAACTGGCTGTCCAGGGGGATATATTTTGCTCATAATGCCCATCATTCCACCCATAGAGGGAGGCCCAGGAGATATCCCTTGAGGGGGGGGACCAGGCGAGATTCCCTGAGGAGGACCAGGGCCCATGGACATAGGCGCTCCAGGACCTAAAATATCCATACTGTGACTATGATTTGGCATTGGAGGTCCTTGCATTGGCATCCCCTGCATTGGGGGACCACCATAAGATGGACGCCAGTTTTGGTTAGGTCCCATCATCATTCCTTCATCCATGGGGGGCATCATACCATGTTGAGGACCTGGTCCTGGGCCAGGTCCCATGGGGCCACCCATATGTGGCGGAGGTGGACCACCCATTCCAGGTCTAGGTGGCCCGAATTCCATCTGAGGTCCCTGCAAAAAAATAATTTGGAATAATATAACAATAATAATATATTTTTTTACTATTTAAAGACAAAGAACTATTTATATTTGCAATCATTACAAATGAGTGGTTTCATTGCTGAGTTTCGAAATTTTTGTTCTCTCTAAACTCAGATGAAAACCACTTCAAGCTTTCCAATTTCAACAAAATTTAAGTCATTATAAAAATATTCCATCAAAAATTAAAACAGCTGGTGCAGCTCTTTCAATATTTGTGAAGGAATCTTTATCCATTTATTAACTCACAGGCATAAATCCGCCAGAAGGCATCCCAGGGTCCCAACCGGGAGGACCGCCCGGTCCCGGACCAGGTCCTGGATGCATATTTATCATATTCGGGCCCATCACTCTCTTCATCCCAAAGTCCACATCGTGGGGCGGCATTGAAGGGGCGGCTGTTTAAGTTTAAATTTCAAGCATTATACGGAAAAGGTAATAGGTTTATTAACCGAAGGCGAACTGTTTTCATTTACATAAGAAAAATACATTTTTCAAGATCTCAGCTCGGTAATCGATTATTTAACTAAAAGCAAATGAAAAATAATTTTCTGGTATAAACCCCGACCTTTTCTTTACAGAAACTTCGGATTTTACGCAAAAAGAGTACTTTACAAATAAAATCAATACACAACAATAATATGAGCGATAATTTATGCATTTAGTACCGCTTTATTATACCCACTTTTATTGGCCGCCTTTTTCTTTCTCTCTCTCGGCATCTGTTACCTTGCATCTAGTCTTGCCACTTTAATCATTATTTTGTTTTACATACCGGTTTAAAAACGAATATAAATAAGAAAAATGAAATCAGTAAACTGAAATCTTCAACGTTTGAAGGAAGGAAACGACAAGCAGAGCTAATAAAAATAAGACGAAACTAAGTCCATCATTGGTGACGGTGTCCATATTTTTAAAGGAAACAATTGACAGAAAAGAATAGTATGATGAATCATTATTAGCACTGTTAAATAAATTATTGAGTAAATTAAAGAACGTTAGCTTCCATAATTATGTCCCTTTCATAATTTACGCAATTCTATAAGGGTTTAAAAATCTGCAACTCAACCTTCATATAGAAACTAATAATACTTGCTTTTCGAACAATTTCATATATTTTGCAATAATTTTTGTCATCCATTTGAAATAAAAATCAAATATATACTGTATATATTAACAATTAATTGTATTTATTCATAAATTTAACATTTCAAGTAATTAGTTGTAATAATGTGTTTGTTTGTTTATTAGCTTGAAGAAAAGTTGTCCAAATCGGTATTTTCAAATAATTAATATTTTAATGAGATAATTTGCTCTGTTTTTTCCTCTCTCAGCTGATTTAAACATTAATAATTCAGATCTTAATGAAAATATAAACGACAACGTGAGCTTTTACTGTAGATTGGTTTTAAGGTTTCAAGGATTGAAATGAGCGTCTTGTTTATTTAACCCAGTAGCTTTTTTAATACTGCCATCAATTGGTTGACTAGCTAAGGTGCTTGCCAATTCTCTGTATCCGTTGTTGTTTGCAATTTGAATTGGTGTCATTCCATAAAAACACTGTTGATGAATGTCTGCACCATTAGAGACTAGAGCTGAACAAATTCCCTTTTGGTCTCTGTCCACTGCGTAGGATAGAGCCGATAGTCCACTCTTACCGTCCTTTTGGTATAATGACGTTGATGAATATAAACATAAACATAAATACTAATAGAAATAGAAAATCTTACCGGGGCATCGATTCTAACTTTAGACTTGATCAATAAATCAACTATTTTACTATCACCGCCTAATACAGCATAGTGTAAAGGGGTTAAACCTTCGTAGTCAGTAACATTCCATATATCTTCATTATGTTTCTTGTCACAGATTAACTCTAAGCATTTTATTGCCTTATATTTGACGGCAATGTGTACTACATTTCTTCCTTTTGTGTCCCTTAAACTACAGTCTGCACCCTCTTTAAGTAATAACCGAACAGTTTCATATTCATTTAATGTGGTTGCCAAAATGATAGGGGTTTGCTTGTCCTTATTAAGTGCATTTAACAAATCAGAGCCTTTAGGTACTTTTCTCAATACGTCGCAGATTGTCGAGACAACTTGAACATTTCCTTGGGAGCAAGCGATATGTAGAGGACTGTAAGTTGTGAATGAACAAAAAACGTAATGTTTACTATATATGAGAAGATTTGTGTTTTTTTATTTAAATAAAAAATTAAGTAATTTCTTACTAATCTCCATCTTCATCCGAAGTTTTTATGGTATCAAACTTTTCTTTAATCTCTAAACTGGACCTATCTTCATCTGAAATAATTATCATAAATTATAGATTACTGTTACAAAGAAAATATAATTGTATGGCCTATAAATAAAACAAATCGATATAAGAGAGGGCGCCACGCTTGTTAATTGTCTCCTTTTCAGTGCAATTTTTCTACTACAGGTTAGAAGAGGAGAATATAACATATAAAAAAAAATAGACAATTCAAATTTACGTAGAAAATATTGATAATCTTAATAAAAAACTGACTAATCAAAAAAATCAAATATTAAAGATACTAGCCTAATTATTTTATTCACAGCTGATAATGAGTTATCTTGTTTCCTCAAAAAGAGGAGTGAAAATGAAATAATACACTATAGAGAACAGTTTTTAACGTCCGTTAATATTTTTTTGCTCATCCCTCTCTCTGTCTCTCTGTCTCTCTCTCCCTTCCTCCCTCCTTCCCTGTCTCTCTCTCTTTCTCTGTTTCCCTTCCTCCTCCCTGTCTCTTTCTCTGTAGTTTCTATCTCATAAAGCATGAGACAAGGAACTAAAAGGATCTTATAAAGTTATTTTAATGTAGTTTTTGCTTAAATAAAATAGATATATGAATATAGAAGAAAACAGCCTACTAAAAGGATTATAATAGGGCAGTTTGAGTGTAAATAATAGAGGAAACAGGGCACACCCTAGTGAACTTGATGTACTTTTGTTATATTACCTTGTAGCTTTCTTTTCTTTGGTGGTAGTTTTGCAGAAATATTCTGACTTGGACCATTTGTGGCAGAAGGTTGATTTGAAAGCTCTGACATGACATAAGCAGCTTCCAATTCCCTATTAGATCGAGGGTTGTTGTGTTTAGCCATCGTCGGTATAATAAACTGTTTTTTATATCCTCTATAATTCATGTTATGATTCGACAATGTTGAGAATTTCAAGTGTCAAACCTTAAAGTTGTGAGGAAACGTCTATTTTTGTCGTGAAAGGGGATTTCCAAGACAATTATTCATTTCACTTCTGTAGTTAAGTCAGTCAGTATTCACTCTGATGTTCACGACGATCGGTTATTCTGAATCTTCATATACAGGTGGTAAAGATGGTAAGTCGTGCTAAAGTTTGATTACCTAAATCAAACTATTGATAGATGTCAAATTCGGAAATTCCCTGTTTAGCGGTTTTCCCCGTATGCGCATGCGTCGCTGATGGCGTCGGTATAGAATCAGCGCCTTACCTTACTTGTAGGTTAAAGAAGTTTAATATAAAAAAAACTAAATTGTTTGGAAGAAGGATGAAATTCTTGAAGCTATGGAAAATCTATTCACGAAATGTACCCATACACATCACATCTAATATTTTAGGCCTTTTTTTTTCAACAATAATAAAGGTCGTATTGAAAATAAATATATTTCAATAATTGAATAAGAATGAATAGTTATAAATTTATTATTTATAAATAATTGAAAGTAAATATTTTAAACTCTTACAAACATTTAAAAAATTATTTTTTATCTATTTATAGAACAGTTAATCCGTTTTTCAAAGCATATACGTACACATAATCTTTTATATACTGTATACAAATAAAACACTGAGAAATAAGTAAAAACAATTTTTTATAGTATTTTTTTTTTAGCGAATGGACGGTTTTTGTCATTAAGAAAAACTAACAAAATAAACAAACAAACAAACAAACAGAAAAACATTGATATTTTTTTTAAATAGTAAATTATGTTGTTCTTATTCCATATCGTAGTTTTTTACTTCATTAGGTATTGTATGATTTATTTGATCGGTTGGAAGGCAATAGCCGTTATTCCTAAATTCTTTTAACCATTGTCGATGCTGATGCAATTTCATCTCTGTTGTTTGGCTATCGGTAGCGAAAGCAGTTGCATAAGGTCTATATTCTCGAAATCTATAGTAAGAAAAAACAGTAATTCTTAAATATATCTGTTGTAAATACATATAGATAAATAGAAGTAAAGTCTTTTATTACCTTGGATTAGCACCTGGTACGTAGGTTCCTCCTAATTGATATTTTAAGGATGTTGGCATAGTTTGACTGAGTGGTAGTTGAGTTTTATGATCTATTTTTAATAAAATAAACTATTCAGAATGTTTAAATTTCTATAAAGTTTAAGTGCAAACCTCCCAAATATTTCCGTTTTTTACTTTCTAAACATTTTTCAACATTATCTATAATTGGTACGGATAAATTCAGTCCATCTGTTGTTTTGCTTAAATAGCTATTTGTAGATTGTCCAATAGCCGTTCGTGATTGTCCAATTAAGCTCAATACTTGGTTTATGTTTGTATTAATTTTCTTTAAAGTATCCTCTATTTTTAATGCACCATTATCATTTTCTAAATTTCCCGATTTATGTTGGTCTACATTGTATAGGTGTCGTAGTTTAGCTTTAAATATTTAAACAATTTTATTACATTAATTAACTATTTAATATAGAATTAAAATATAATTACTCGAGTTTGTATCCAACTCTATTCTATCCAAAACATCACTAACACTAATTCCACTACTTTCATCAGACTCGGAAGAGTCTAACTCAAACATATTTTTTTTATTTCTCACTTTATGAAATTCTTTTACAATCTCTTCTTCGTCAAACTATAAAATGAACAAACGAATAATAGTTATTAGTGATTTTAAAGGGCTTATTTGCAATAAATATACATACTTCAGTATCGAGTTGATTCTTAACTGCCCAACTTTGCTTTTTTAGTAAGTGTTCCTTTTGCCTATTAAGGAATTGTTTTGCAGCAGTAATAGAATTCTGTTCGAACTTTAAATGTTCTTTAATATTTTTGTGTTCAGTTCTAGCTTTAAGTTCGTACAATGAAGAATCCATAATGCTAGAATCATCAGACCAGGCCTCATTATAGTCAATTCCCATATCTGACTCCAACATAGAATCGGATTTTCGTCTTCTTCTTTCAGGTTTTTTATGAGACATAAATACTCTGCTATCTATAACAAGTTATTTACGAGATATTTAACAGTCTATAAAGAAACGTTAATTTATCAACAAACCTATGTTACTTAAGCTGGGAGAACGATTTCGGCGGAAATGCTCTCTTTCTTCGCTTTCGTCGATGCGTTTCCTAGATTTTATGACGGTTTCGTTAGACCCTTCGGTGACCTTTTCTGATTGTCTTGCTAATTCGTCATTTAGAGACTCTATTTGTCTCTCAAGATCACTATGAAAAGAGAAAATATAAATATTAAACAAACCAATCAACTATATGTATATAACTAACTTAATAGATTTTTCTCGCTTTTCCTTAATGCTCTTTAAAGTACGAATTTCAGCCTCTAACCGATACTTCTCTTCTTGAAGTCTTTCAACCTCTTCCCTTTCTTTCTGTAGAGAATCATACATTTTTCTTTCAACTTTCTCAGGATCTTCTTCAATCTCCTTTCTTTGTTTTCTATAATTTTCTTTACGTTCTTGTAATTCTCTTTCTCTATCTTTCAATATATTTAGCTGACATTCGATATCCTCTGTTCTAATTTTCAAATCAGTTTCCTTTTCCATAAGATTATCCTCCTTAAAACGATAAAAAATTTAATAAAATAAAAGATATATTAGTAACACAAAGAATAATATAAACCAGAGAATCATTTAGGTCAATATTCATATCTGAATGAAAATTACTAGGTCTTTCATCCGCTTTGCTAAGTTTATTGTAGTAATCATAATCGCTCGTATGAAAATCGTGAGAAAAAGAAGCATATCGCTTAGGAGGGATCCTAACAGATATTTTACGATTTCTTAATGGAATAGAAGGATACATTTTTGACAAGTAGATTTCAAAACTAAAAGTGAAATATGCTAAAGAAGAGCAAAAGGGTCAATACAGGCCATCTGTTACATTTACAGCTTATTAGTCTTGTATTGATTTATGGAAATCGTAAAAATAGAATATATTTTATGAAAAGTTTACGTTTTTTTTCATTTTACGTTAAAAGCAATAAATCTCTGAATTGAATTCTAAATTGGGAGTATTTTTTTACAAAATGACATAGATTCTGACCGACTAAAGAACATGTATCGAATATTCTTCTAAAATACGACTAAGGACGAACAATAGAATATGACATTTTGTGTTTTAATACTGGTGTTACAATCCATTAACTTAATTACCTTTTTGGATAAATCTTGTTTCAAGTTCCGTACTCTGGTGTCATATTCTTTACGGATAGAGTTCAAATTTAATTCATACTCCTCCTTAATTAATCTCTTTTTTTTCTCCAACTCGTCTTCTACTTTTTCACGCTCTCGTCTCTCTTTCGCCTCTCCTTCCCTTTGCAATTTTTTTACTGATCTTTCTAATTCTCTTTCTATTCTTTCAATCTCAGCATCATTCTGTTCTTTAAGCTGTCGCGTTCGTTCATCCAAAACTGATTGATACTAATGGATAATACATCAATAATATTACTCTGATAATCCGTAATACTGTATATACAGAAATATACAAAGATTTTAATGACATACATCTTTTTCCAAACTCATTATTGTATCTTCTCGGCGCTTTAATGCGTCTTTCTCTTCACGAAGTCTTGTTTCTAATTCTTCTGTTGTTTCTTTAATTTCATTCCTTATTTTTTGGGTCTCCTGTGTAAGTTATGAAAAGATAAATTGCGCATATATACAGTATATATCTACATATATAAATTTATATATATAGAGAGAGAATTCTTTGTTTTTGATTGCAAAAAGGTACTATGCTTGTTTTTTTTTTGGTCGCATTCAACTAACAATTGTTTTATACATAAAATGAAAAGATATTGCTATTTTGAACAGTAGAATAGACATTCAAGAAAGATTATACATAATTCTCAGTAATCAGCTTATTTCCTTTTCTTATAGAAGATAATAATTGATTTATCTCTGAATTCTGAACAGTATTATTTGTCTCACTATATCCTATTGTAAGATGTCTATTACTCTTATTGATATTTTGCTCATTTGTTTTCATCATTCTGAGACAAGCGTTACGTATTTGAGGTTTGACATCTTTCGCATTCTTCAAGTTATTACCGTTAGTTTTGGTGGAATTTCTTTTCGTACTTTTCCTTCTGTCAACGCTTTTTTTTCGATTTCCTTTTTTATACTTTTGAGGCATCTTTCTATCTTTGACAACAACTAAGCATAAAGTAACCATACCTCCTGTTGACAGTATAACAAATGCTATAGTAAAACCGGGGAAAACTATTTGCAAAGAAGATGCTTCGGCTTCAGCTTTTTGGGATTGAGCAATTGTGCTCAAGCGATCGCAACGAAGTCCGACAAAACCTTTGGTACATAATCCTCTATTACAAGTTCCATCAGAATAGTCACAGCCACTCAGACAATTCTTAGGACATGGAAAGAGACAAAATGGTCCCCATCGTTGATTTCCTCTACAAATGGCTTTCCATTCATTTACAACACCTCGTCTCATGTCAGACCAAAAATTCTAGATAAAAGACGTTTCCTAAAATATTAATAACTATAAAGTGTGAAGTAAATTCTCGTATACCCGAAATTCTAACATATTGGGCATGTCTATCACTGTTGGTGTTAGAGCGCCACCATCATTTGTGCACCTCGATTCATAAACATAGCCCTCTCTCGCGCATCCTCGTTCACAAGTTCCATCATAAGGATTGCAATCATCGTTTAAACAATCCCCACACCTTTGCATACAAAATACTCCCCATCTTTTCATACTTTTGCATTTTTTCTTCATTTCAGAAGATGCCTTTTCAATTTTTGGAACGAACATTTCGTAAACACTTAAATCATATACTCTGTTGCCTAAAAAATCCAGTTGTTCATACTCAAGTTACTGAAACATCACTTAGAAGGTTAAAGAGCCTAAATATACCTGTGTTTAATTGCCAAAAATCATTTCGGACCGGTAAAAAAAGATGAAAGGCAAATAAAAATTTAAATAGATTATATCGGTCCATCACAAATATAAGATGGTTTCAACTAGCTTTGTTATACGATTTAAACTTGAATTCTATCAAGTCATTAACACGTCATACGATTGAATCAATTCAAATGAGCAGGAAAAAAAACAAGCATATGAACATTTGATTAAAACCTCTGAGAGATAAGTTCTTAAAAAAGAATAATAAAAGAAGCGTGAAAGAGTTGCTTAAATTGCGCTGTAAAAAGCTTTTATCTTTTTCCTATTTGCTAATACATTTTACCTTTTCAATACGTTCTGCACTTTTCAACTTCTCTGTTTCCAATTTTTCAGACTCTTGGCACTGTATTTTAGTTATGTCATCGTTTATTTTTTCTTTAATTCGATCAATTTTATCTTTCTTTTCTTCGTCCAATTCTTCTCTCATTTTTTCGATTTCGATATTTACCTACAATTCATTAATTAAACCACTAATTAAGCTCTAATAAAGCAAATGTAAGCCATAAAATTTCCAAGCTAGCCAACAACGTAAGATATGAACAAATCGATGGAGAAATTAAGTTACATATAATAATTCACCTTTTGTCTGATCTCTGAAAGTCTCTCCTCTTTTTGATCATCCAAAATTTTTCGGTCATCCTTTTGCAAATTGTCTAATTCCTGGTTAAGCTTTTCCAAATATTGTTTCTTTTCCGACCTATAAAGACTAAACTTTATTATCATAAATAAAAAGATAAACTTTCAAACCTTAATTTAGCTTCTTCATCTTTTTGTTCCTGTTGCAAATTCTCTTTCATAGCTTCTAATTCTTTTTCATACTTATCTCTTATCAGCTGTTTTTTTATTTCGAAACTTTCCTTGCTTTCATTTTCATATTGCCTAGAAAGTATATTTCATTTACTGATCATTAACATGTTTCAATTAGTTGTTAAAGTAATTACTGTAATCGGTTTTCATGATCTTTAGTTATTTTCTGTTGCTGTTCTTCAAAATTTATTCTCTTTTTCTCTTCCGCTTTGAATTTGGTATAAGCACCTTTTTTATCACTTGATTTACCTATATATGTAGCCACTTGATGTTTTTCACCATTAGCATTCGAAGCTCTCCCAGCCTCTGATGAACTTTTTCCAGTCAAATCAGGACGATCATGCATTGAAGCTGTAGATTTTAACGACTGGCTATTAGCAAGATCCTGAATGAATGAGAGTTAAAAAATAGTAAAATAGTATAGTTTGTAATAATAAAATAACATACACCAGACCCAGCTGGTTGTAGATCTTCCAATTCCATTAATCTTTCAGATATATTGTCATTAATGTGGAAATCCTGCAAAAAATCGTTATGTAATTATCATTATTTAAAAACAAAACATAAATAAAGAATGTAAAATTAACTTGACTAATTAATTACATAAATGAAACATTCATTGAAAGTTGAAAGTCTACTCTTTCTCTTGCTACACAATATTTTATTCTTGCAATTTTCATAATCTCTTAGGAAATTATCTACATTTATTTGATTTGTTAGCCTTGATGGTCTTTTAATCATATTTTCCGCAAGAAAAGGGTACTTTTTTTTGAAAAATTTTATCTTAATTAATATTTAAAGAGAGGAAGAACGTAAAAAAGATATCTAACCACATCCTTCCTGTAATCATCACTATCCTCGCTTTCAGATGATCTTTTTCTAGATTCTCTTTCATCCGATTCTGTTTCCTCGTAATTTGGGATTTCACGAGCAATGTCTTCGGGTGATTTTATTTGAAATTTTTCATGTAAATCTGCATCATCGTCGTCCTCATCACTAATACTTCCTCTCAGTTGAGCTTGAATTCTTTCTTGAACTTGGCTTGTTGAAGAACCTATATCTAAGTTCAATGTTCCAGACTTTAACGAGCTATGCGGTGAAAAATGCGACTGTATAAATGAATTAAAAAAAAGAATCCATTAATATTTAAAACAAATTCAAATATTTATTTCATTACGTCTGTACTGCCTCTTAAATAGGCCTCTGCCTCGTTAACTAATCTTGCGTGACCTTTTATTGGTCCTAGATGTGTTCCTTTCATACCTGCATAAAGATAAATAAGTTATAATAAAGTTATTACGCTGTGTTAAATACATTATAATTTAAAAATGATATCGATATTCTATCTCGTAATTGTCTTATGCAAATTTAAAAGTTGAAGGGAATTGCTGTTTTTGACGGAGGCTTTTTGTTATTTAGACGCTGATTTTACAAAAAACCAGTCTTATAGTTTAAACTCTGTCATCTTTATAAAATTTCAGATTTTAGAAAGTTAGGTTAGGTGATAATCAATTTACGCATATGAAATTAAATAGCAAAATCATTATTTCCAATTTATTCATTTAATTCTTTCTCTTCTCCTCCTCCTCCTCCTTTTTATCCGCCCTTGTTCCTTCCAGCTTTTCTTTGCATTTATCATTCTCCTTTATACACTCACCTAAAGAAGATCCCAAGCTATTCAATGATCCTGATAATAAATTTCCACTGCCTCTCAATGAATTTATAGGAGATAAAGATCTGCCAACAATACTTGCAGATGTCTACAAATGCATTAAAAATGAACAAAATACTCTTATCAAGAAGCAAATATTTGCAAACTTTGGCCTTTGTTTGTTTCGTAGTTGATTTAGATGTCTTTTTTTTTTCCTTTCTTCCAGCTCCTTAAATTGTGGACAAGTATTAACTATTAAAGTTCGTAATACTAATGATTAACTATTTACCAGAATGCAGCTTTTGTCTCTCTTTTTGCACTCGTTCTTTGTACAATTCATCACACGGATGATCCCAAATAGACGCTCCAGTTTGAAAATTAAAATAATATATTTCGCCTCTTTCATCTTGACTATAATCATGAAAACATAACTCATTGTCTTCAAATAGTATATAAACATATTAATTAACAAACCAAGGTTTCCAATGATCGGGCAGAGCGGCAGTTATTCCGTCCCTTGCTAACCACATCAGTTCAGGTTCAGTATCTGGATTGATGCCAATTACTGAAGCATATTCTCGTATATCTGCAATTCATTACTGTAAGATCAGAAAAGCAAATATTGTTTAAAAACCGTCTTCCGTTGGCTGATAATCTTCATCATATTCCTCCTCCAGTATAGTTTGTCCATTTATCATAGTCATGATGATCGAAGGATTTTATTCTGATAAATTTTGCATTTAAAATCTAAAAAATTGGAACAGTTAAAAACTATAAGACTTTCATTTGCGTGCTCGTTCTTGTTCTGCTGTTGTTGTTAACCAGTATATAAACGTACTGTGGAATTTCGGTTCTTACTAAATTCCGACTTCAACAATACCTTGCAATACAAAAAAGTATGCTATAGAATCTATTAGTTACAAAATCTCATTTAGGACAACACTTTCATTAATGATGTTTAAAACTCTTTAGATTTACTTATATCGAGAACGATTAAAGTGCTCAGCATAAATTAAATAGATAAATAATTAACCTAATAACTTGAAAATTTAAATATATAAATTAGTAATAACATGTTTACTAGCATTTTTTAAAGAGATTATCTTTAAAATATACAATAATCTCTGAGTAAAATATCAATGGATGAGAATTCTAATCTTACACTACTCAAAAGTTATATTACTCGAAATAATACAGTTACTCTCGGTATAGAGTAAACTAAGGGAATTCTAAGGAAAACCCCCTCACTACTAGCGCTTGTAAACAAATGAGAATATGAGAAAATCGACCGCAAATCGTCGAAGTACACCGAAACAACCTGGATCAGCTAGATCAAAGGATGAAATTTCTTTAAGGGAAGAAGAATACAAAAGATTAAATGCTGAATTGGAGGCAAAAACAGCTAAATTAGTCGAAGAAGCCGAAGCTGTAATTGCCCAAGACTATTCAGTTGTCTCAGATACAAAGCAATCATTACTATCAAAAATCGATTCAGATGATCTTCTAGAATGGGATGAGGATGCTTTAAGTACTCGAAGGCCTAGATCAAATTTAAAAAAGTCTAACAAAAGTTATCAATCAGATGCCGTAAGATAATTTTTCTTGAAGCATTTCTATTTTATCATAATATTAAAATACCAGAGCAAAAAACGTAAAAATGATTATCTAAATCCTTTGAATTATCTTTTTTAACAGATGAATGCAATTATTTCAAAAAATTCTTTATTTAACAGGAAGGGGATATCTTTGTAACAGAAACAAGAGATGAAGTGTATAGAAACGCCATTGAAAAATTACAGAATCAGAGTTATGATGAGAATGAAACCATTGAAGATGTTATGCCAGAAGCAGCTGGACAAATGGGCTCAGAAGCTCAAATTCGATTCTTAAAAGCTAAAGCTAAGGCCATGCAGGAAGAACTTGATATACTAACTGAAGAGTGTTCAAATAAAAAAGAAGAAAACACCGAACTAGCTTCAAAGTTAAAAACTTGTGAGGAAGAGCTTAGCAGATCTAAAAAATCTTTATCCAGTCATGAAGCAACTGTAAGAAAGCTAAACAGGATCATAGAAGAATCATCGGCAACATCCGAAAGACTAAATCAGGAATTGTCATCTCTAAAATCGGAATACGACCAGCTAACTAGATCACAGAAGAAAATGAATAGTGAACAAGGTGCCGTTGAAATTCGTCTACGTAGAGCTTTGGAAGAGGTCGAAAAATATAAATCAGAAATTAATAGAGCAAAATCAGCTAGAAAGGAATCAACGGAAGCAGATAAGAGGAGAATGAATGAATTAACTGCCGAAAATAGAAAATTAGAAAAACAAAAAAACGAACTTATGATAGGATTTAAAAAACAAATGAAACTGATAGATATACTAAAAAGACAAAAAATGCATCTAGAAGCGGCAAGAATGCTTGCCTTTACTGAAGAAGAGTTTGTCAAAGCTCTAGACTGGGAAGGTTAATGTTATTTTAAATTGTGTATTTAATATTCAATTTCCTGTTTCAATAATAATATAAATGAAATAAGTTGCGGATAATTACGATGGTTATGAGTTATCTTTAGGCAATAGGAGTCAAAGTAATTTTTATCATAATGAGAAGATTGTTTTACAGCTTTTGATGAAAATTCTTCCAACATTTTTAATGCTGCTTCTTTCGCGTTATCTTTCGAGATTGTTGAACAGCTTAGAGATCTTTTAACAAATCTTTTGGATATACCTAATTTTACGAAAAATGTCGAACTAGAATCCTTTTCAGAGGAAGAATCTGCTTTACTCGAAAAGAAATTTTTCAATCCAGTAAAGAAGCTTTTTGCCTCCTTTTTTTCATCTTCATTATTCAATTTTTGCTGTATTTCATATCGATCGCTATTTGAATTTCCAACGAGTGTGTGATACTTTTTATTCTTTTTATAATTATCGATAAAATCTTGTAAATCCTTACTAGATGATTTTTTTATAACGCAATCTTCTACAGTTGACGAAGGCCATGTGTTCCTCCTAACAGATGTCGCACACTGCTCCTTCAACTTTTGAGAAGCTTTTATACTTTGTTTAGCCAATCTTGATTTTAAGTCAGCAATGAAAAAATTACATATTTTCGTATCTTTTACATCAATAAGATAGTTTTTTAGGAGTAATTGAAAAACATCAAAACCTATTTCGTAATAGGCAACAATAACATCATAAACGGTAACTTTCAACTGAATTCCATTCTCTAATAATATTTTAAATAAATCGTATCCACAGTATCGATTATCAATAGCAATTTTAAAATTAATATCAATAATTGTATTATATATAAATCGAAATCTATTCGATTTAATATCAGTATTTAATAAATATTCATTAATTTCTATCAGTGCATTATCTGAATAAGTCTTTTCGAAAACTTCTTTAGACAATATTTCTGAAAATCGAATTAATTTTCTGCTATTTGTATATAAAAAGTCCATACTACGTAATCAAAGTAGCCTTGATTGTCTTTTGTTTCATCATAAGCATATATATAAATATGTACATGTATAGGCTGTGTTTCACTAAAAACAACTAATTAGGTAATATAATTAATTTGATAAAACTACTATTTACATGTATTTTATTAGGCTTTTTACATCTCATAGTTCCTATATACATACTTTTATATACATGTATATGCATCATTAATTCGACCTATTCAATAAAAATGATCAATTAACAAAGTCAAAGTATCCTCCAATAATTATTAAAAGTTGAATAAACTATTCGTTTTAGGCTAATCATCTTTTCCTTCTCGTACAAACTAGATAATGTACAAAGCAAGAGAAGATAAAATCATTGTATTGTGATTGTTGCAATGATGTTCTGTGATCAGTTAATTTATCAAAGAAGATTCTTTTTGAATATTTAACGGTAAAGATTGTATTGTTGTTTTTATATGTAAAAAAATGAATATTTCACACTTTTCAAGGCAAAAAGTTCTGTTTTAAGGTGAATTTCTTCTTCAATAGGTTTCTGTAGCAATAAAAAGGTATCGAGAGGTTCGCTAATTGTCATGTTAAAAGCAAATTTTATGAATCAAAACTACATTTGTAAGCTTTAACGACTTCCTTGATTTTTGCCCTGCAAACAGGACATTTTTCGAGTTGCTGGCCGCAAAAATAACATGTACATATATGACCGCAACGATATAGCATGCAATCAGCCTCCTTTTCGGTACAAATTACGCAATGAGTGTCAGTAAGTGGGCGAGTTGCTAGCCTAGGTGCATCATTTGAACTTTGTTGAATCAAAGCTAGTGCAGCAGCAACTTCTTGTCGAATACTTCTTTGTGTTTCAAACTGCAGTTCTATTTGTTGTTTTACGAGATTTGTCAGTTCTTTTATCTGCAATTTCATAGTAGCCATTTCTTTGTTAACCTATTCGATGAAGGTTCGGAATTAGAGACATATAAGACCTTAAGAAAGAAAAAATAGCAATTCGTACCTTTGAGTTATTAACGTGAACAGCAGCAGTAGCATTAATAACAGATACAGAATCAATGGAATCATTATCATTTGTATCCATGATTCCATATCTTGAAAAGTCATTTCGAGAAATATTCGATGGAGGTAAAGATCTTATAGCTTGTTGGACGCGAAGACCATCGGTTGCACTTCTATCGCGTCTGTCCTCTATATGTTGTTCAAGAGAATCTCTAAATCCACTAGCAAGTGTTGAGGATACTAGCTGCTGATGAACAAGACTACTTATATCCATAATTAGCTCTTCTCTTCTGCTTTCTGAATAGGATACACTGAAAAATATAGAAAACTTAAAATTAATAATAAATAGAATAAATAAAACCCAATGATTCTTACGTAGGTTCTTCGTGTTCTACTACAGGAGCATTATTCGTTTCGTTGGCGTTATTATTATTATTATTACTTCTTGCAGATGCATTTACATTTTGTCTCGCTGCTGGAGGTTGGAAATGGTTTCTAACAACATTTTCAAGTTGACGCCTAAATCCAACACTTCTTAAAACGCCTGAAACAGGTCTTGATTGAATAAGGCCTTGAATTTCCACCCTAACTTCTTCAGGTCTTTCTTGCTCTTCAGTTCTACTATTTGTCTCAAACCTAGCTGATAGCAAATTCTCAACAGCTGTTCGGTACTCTCGTCCAGTGACCGGTCTATCACCGTATTGAAGTCTTCGAAGTTCAAACATTATATCTCTGTTATATAAAGTAAAAAATTATGATTCATTTAGTATATCATCGCCAACAGATTAAAAATTAGCATTTAAAATTAAACTTAACGATATTTTAATAAAGAATTTAAAACCTTCTATTTCTTTGGAAAATGACATCAACATTTTTATTTTCCGAGTTAGAGGTTGAGGGATTAGAGCTAGCTGATGGAAGTTCATCAGACTCATCCATCGTTTTCACATTTTCCTCCCCCGAAATCATATTTTCGGGAGATGATTCTAGTGCCGAGTCTTGTTCCATTCTAGTTCGCTTTTTTAGTATAATTTTTTTTATCTTCACAAAATTCTAGCAACACCAAATATGTCTATCCTGCTTGTGTGATTATTTTTACCTTTTATAGCAATGTAGACTCTGTTCATTGCAAAATCTTTGTAAATGAGTAATCGCTTGTGAGTCATTGCTCTAAACATTCTCATATAGCTGTATTTAAGCCTTTAAATTCCTATTAAATGATTCAATGACAAATATACTGTAATATATTATGTTTTATTATTTTTAAGATGCTTAAATAGTTTCTTCTTTCGGTTACAAGTACTTATTTAATGTTTATAAATTATTAGGATTATTATGGTTTAAGAGGATAAATTATCAAGTGCTTTTTTAAAATGATAATATTGTTCGGTTGGATAGTGTTTAATGGACATAACTACATGAATATATATGCAGCGAAAATTGAAGTAATAGAAAGACAATTTGAAATCGTTACTCATTAAATAAAAAACCTACAACTTTGACAATAAATATTTGCTTATGAGTCAAATGTGTATATTGTCCGAAATTATGTCACTTAAATAGAATAATCTACAACTACATCTTTTAAATATTAATTTAGAAAGAACGGCAGCATGATTCGATAAAGTAAGTTGTAACGCAAAACGTTATTGGTTACACAATATAGCAGACGACGCATAATTTAAACAAGTCTATTGGTTAGTAAATGACAACTTCTCTTCTCGCATGGTCTGACCTTGACATATTGCGCAGAAATGCAAAATGTTAACCTCAGCAAATTAATACCTCCATTATATAGACCAAGCTACTATCCTGAAATTAATTTTAATAAAGAGCTATCTGTGATAAACTTCAATAATCCCTGGTGGTTAAATTTTTTAAAAATTTTCTTCAGAAAACAAACGTTTGAAGCTTTTAGTAATTTGGCAAAGTGGGTGACTCTCAATTTTTTCTTACTATCAGTTGCTGGTTTACATATTAGAAGATTTTAAAAAGAAAACATGAATAGATATTTTAATCATTCATATAGAATAAGTAAGATCAGTAGATCATTTCATGCTTTTAGAAAGCCAAAGCATTTGAAACTTAATTATAGGGAACCAGACAACTGGAATAATTGCAATAAGCGAGAAATTCATCCTTTTTGGTTCATAGGAAAAACTATAGCACAATTATCTGCCATAATTGGTGGAAGGTATGAAAAATAAAATGAATGAAATCATTCAATAAATAAGTTATTATCATTTAGATTTACAAGGAAATGGTATGCAAAATTATCCCCTGAAAAGAAGAAGGAATTGTGGAAACGTTTCACATGGAATAGAGTTGGGGCTGCTGTAGCTATTTTGTCTGGTGGAGCTTTTGCAAACTACGTCTATCATACAGAAGAAGATCCAATAACAAAAAGAAAACGTTTTATTGCTGTTACAGATGATCAATTACAACGATTAGTTCAAGTCGAAACGGATCAGGTTAATATTTAAACCGCGTCTTTTTTAAGAAATATTTCACTATGCTTAATCTCTTATTTCTATACAGATATTAGAAGCTAAAAAAGGTGAGATCCTGGGATCTGAGCATCCAGCATATGATAAAGTTATTAGTATTGCAAATACAATAATCAATAGAAATCAAGATATTCCCTTGCTAAGAAACCAAAAGTGGAAAATCTATATAACAAAATCTCCTGATGTTAATGCAATGGTTCTACCAAACGGAAATATTTTTGTTGAAGGTGGTCTGATAGATTTAGTAGGCTATGGAGACGAATTAGCTTTCGTTCTCTCTCATGAAATTGCTCATGCTGTCTTAAAGCATTCTGTAATATTTTTTTATTCATTTTTCGACAATATCTTACCTATTTTTTTCAGGCTGAAAAAATTAGCTACGCTATGCTACTTGATATAATGATAATTACTGTTATGGCGTTTCTTTGGCTATTTATTCCGTCCGATGGTATTGCCTTAATATCTCAATGGTTTTATCGTAGAGTTGTTGATGTAAGTTAAAGATCAAGTCTCTTCTTCATCTTCAAATGTTTAAACTTTAAACTTTATTTATTTTTATAGATTTTTATGCATTTGCCCTATGATAGAAAATTAGAGGAGGAGGCCGACGAAGTAGGACTTTGGCTTGCTGCTAAGGTATGAATTTATTTTTTCCTTTGAAAAAGTCTTTTGAATTTTGACCGAAAAAAAAATAAATTAAAAGGTAAGTTTATCTGATAATGAGATTTATTATCTATCAATCAAGAAAGATCACTCAATTCTTTGTGAAAATATTCGAATTTTCAAAATAACAATCAAATAACGTTTTTTTTTCTGAGAGTATAAGCTCTGAAATTTTGTTATGCAGGCATGCTTCGATGTTAGGAAAGGTAGTAATTTTTGGACTATTATGAGTATGTTACAAAAAGAAGAAAACACTGAAATACCCGAATGGCTATCAACACATCCTGCTAATCTGAAACGTCAGGAAAATTTAGATGTATTAATGCCCGCCGCAATCGAAACAAGGAAAGCATGTAATTGTTTTCCTCTATCGAAAAATGATCCTCGCATTCAATTAAGAATGGCAAAATCACTAGACGAAATATCGAAGGAAATTTCTAACCCTTTAGCAAAATAGGAATATGACACATCACCATTTAACTGTGGTTCGCTCACACAATAGGTTCCTTTTTTCTCTTTCTATAATTTTATTGACTATGATTTGCTGAGGTGTATTAGGTGATAAACCGAAAAAATGTCAAAAAAAAGAAAAGTGTCATTATCCAAAACAAAAATATTTATTAATGTTAGTTTTTGTCTAATAAATGTTATTCCTATTATCCCGGCTTGCTTAAATCGTGCACTGACATAGCTACTATCGACTCGGCGAGCGTTTTGCTTGTTTGGCTCTCGTATTTAGGCATCAAGAATAGGAGAAGTGCACCCAAAAGTGGTGGTATACCGGCCGACCAAAAGGCTACATCATATGATTTTAAATAATCATACAAAAAGCCTCCCAACGGAGCTCCTGCTGTCAAAGGTAAAGACATTAAGCCAAGAACAAAGCCAACACCTTGTGCTGCTCCAGACGGTCCTAATAAATCAAAAGCGATTGGTCCTATAAGACATACAAAACAACCATCACACAATCCCATGATTAGACTGATAATTATCAATTGCCAAAAGACTCTGGCAAATGGTATAGCTATGGTTACTATGCCAAAGACAAAGAAAGAAATTTGCTGCATACGAACTCTGTTTACGCCGTTCATGTCAGCCAATTTACCGAAAAGTAAACGTCCAACACCAGATGTTATACCCAAGCAAGTAACCAGTAGGGAACCATTATTATCTGGAAAAACGTCTGATGTGTGCTTCACCAAATGGACTAATGGTATAAAATAGCCAACGAAAGCTACTGGAATACTCAAAGCCCAAACCAAATAACCTTTACATTTCCAAATATCTATATTTAGAAATTTTCTAACAAACTTCAAACAACCTCCAACTCTTTCTCTGACACTTGTCGATGAACTGTGCAGATAAGTGTCAAGTTCTGTATGCTTTTGCTGAAATCGCGGTTTCCAAATAACTGAACAAAACACTAATATACCAAATTGAACAGTTAAAACCCTTAGTGTTCCTTTCAGACCGATATTTTTCAACAATGGACTAACGATAAATGGAAGGATGATGGTAAAAATTGCTGAACCACACGCAACTATGCCGTTGACCACTCCCAAATATTTCTTAAAATAATGTCCAAGGATAACTAGGGATGATGTATATACAAGTGATGATCCTATACCCGTCATGAGCCCATACGTTAGATACAATAATCCCAGTTTTGTCATAAACGATGATAGTAGCATTCCAGATGTTGCTAGAATAGCTCCAATAAACGAAATTGGACGAATACCGAATCTATCCACCAATATTGACGCTATTGGAGCCATAAAGAAAGTCATTGATATTTGAAGCGACCCAACCCAAGCTGTATTTTGAACGAAAAATTAGCCATTAGCCAAAAGTTATTATCTTGGATTTCAGCTATCTTTTCTTAAGTGCGAACAAGTTAACAAAAGAATAATACATTGCAAAATAATCAACGTTTAAATTTATATCACCGCCCGAAATGTTACAAATAGCTAGATTTTGTCTATATTAGTTCAGAATAATCCTTGAATTAAATAATCAAATCAAGGCTAAAGCTGATATTGAAGAATTTCACAACGTATTTGTTGACAGATTTACTATATACGTCTTTGTTTAATAGAAAGGTAAAACTCGTATAAATCTAGTTTATTTTTAACATAAGAAAGAAATTCAATGGAGAATGTATGATTACGTAATAACACTTTGAGCTTTTGAGTCGAAAGCGAAAGAAAAAAATTTAAAAGATAGTTCAAGTCTAAAGTCGATACAAAATTTGATTAATCTAAGGCCAAAATCTCCAACTCTAGTATAAGATAACTCTGAAAAACTATTCAACAGGTAATAGTAATGCTCGATTGTAAGAATAAAGTGCTAAATCTATGGAAAATAAGAAATAAGCGCATAATAAGATATTAGGAACACTATTAGCATTTGCCTTTAAAAAAGGTAATGAATCGGCCTTATACTTACTTGCTCTAAAAGCTAAATCACTGTCATTGTCTTCTTTAAAGTCTTTCATTATTTGAACATATAAAACAGAGAACGTGTTCAAAACGGAGAAAATAGCTCCATTCGTCCAAAAAGAGGCAAGACATACCAACCAAGCTCTGGCTCCACCATCCGGAGCTTGTTCAAAATCATCTGTTTTATTATTTGCCCTTAGATCTTCTCTAGAAACAAAATCAACTTCGGCTTTTTCATGTTCTATGAATGTATCCTTTTCATTATTTCGATCTATAGAACCAGGATGGGGACAGCTTTCGTCTCCGTTCATGTTATCACTCGAAAAAAAATAAAGAATTAGAAAATCGATTTGCAGATAAGATTGCTTTAGTTCAAAATTTCTATATCTTTCTATTATATCAATTCCTTTTGTGAACAGTTATAATTTTCAAAGCAGAAAACACTTGACGGAGTATTTCACAAACTTTCTACTATTTCTTATAAAAGTTATATCTTGCAAATGTCCTTCAGCGCCTTCAATACTTTAAAAAGAAACGTGCTAGTGATCGAATTAAAGCATGAACTTTCAACGACAGATAACTTTATAAATTGATTAGAACAAAGTCTGCTTTTGCATAAATGTAAAGGTAAAGGTAGAGGAAAAAATGAATCAAAACATTGCAAAAGAAGAATATCCAAGTCTAATAATACAATACTTATATGTCATATTACAATTATATATGCAATTGGGAATATATTAAAGTTATATCGTTATCATATAATTATAAAAAGTTAACAATGAAACTGATAAACTTTTACTGAACTTACCTCTATGAAACTGTCATAAGGAAAGATATAAAGATTTTTCAAAAATACCGATTCAGCTGTTTTTGACTCCCTTTAACAGAGCAAATTTCCGAAAGAAATTTCCAAGGGGATTAGTTTAATCTCTTAGAATATATAAACTACCCTATATGTTGGATAATAGAAAAGGGCCAATCTTAGCTCGTTAAATTCTAATGGAAAATCGTTAATACGCATCTTACCTCATTGGTTTTCTCAAGGCAGAAATATAAATATAGAAAATATGTATAGACTATATAAAGTACAGTATGTAGTATCTAACGATACATAATATCAGTATAAATCTGATATTACGCGAACTTTTTATACACCTATATCACACAAAATATATAACGACATATTAATAATTTCCAACATATTAGGGAGAATCGAATGAGCACTTACCTCATTTAACCATATATCCCTGGTTGTATTGTCTAATATAGCTTCAATATAGAGATATTATGATAAATATAGGCATACAGTATCATCTTTTAATAAACGAAAGTTATAAATGTTTAAATACACATAACCATTCAGCTATTTGATAAAATCTCAATAAAAACGTTTTTTTTATTATTGCTAAAACTGGTAATTCTTTTTTTTGTAGCGATAGAAAAACTGATTTCTTGATTATTGTTTTATACTATCATTGATAAATTGATATGTATTATAATTATATTGAATAAATGTATTAAATAAAAAAGTTAATAATGTAAAAAATATGCTTTCTTCTTGAACTATTAATATGTCATACTATTAATATTTAAATTTAAAATTTTCCTTCACATGGTAAATAAAAGTAAATAGTACTCTTCACTAATCTACTATTGGTTTAAACGTTTTTGCATTATGCAATCATATTCAATCGGAGAGAATATTTTCTCTTTTCTAACTCTAATATCTTTAGGTATAAGTTTTGAATTGTGTACTCATTTCTTTTAAATGAAGACTATCTCATTGATCTGTCTAAATAGTTTATTCTAAAACAATTTTCATTAACGATACAACAACTACGGTTGAATTGAGATGTAATCAGGGTAAAAATTGGACTCATTTTGGAAACTATTCTATTGATTATAAAGAACATAAGCAAGAAATTTTACAGGGCGGTAAAATCCTTAAGTTATATTTTAAAGGTGATGTTTCTACATGTTTTAGCTTTACTTTAAATAATAATATTCTATTATCAGACAATAATTACGATAATTTGGGATTATTCCAATGCAGATCAAGTCAAGGGCTTTTATTACAGGAATACGAAATATTGACTCTATATCCATCCATAACTATTCTAGAGAAGAACAGTTTAAACAGTTTTAGAAATTTTACAGATTTGGTATATCAAGGTGAAAATATCTCTATAAATTGTAGGGTATTCAGTAATCCTGAACCAAAGATTAAATGGTCAATGATTTCTGATATCGATGGTCGCAAAAAAGTATGTCTCCCAAATATCAATTGTAAATTATATAAAATAGGAAAATATGAGTATATTCTTGAATGGAAAATTCCGAATGTCACCCAAGATTATAGAGGAAATTATACATGTTCAAGTTGGATTGAACAAGATCCTGAAAATATAAATCACGATTTTGTTATTGTTAGAATAAGAAAGAACTTTTTATGGGTTACCCCACTTGTATTAAATTTTGGAGCTTTAGCGCTGCTAATTGTTATTATAAACTTTACGAAAGCGCTGCCAGATAAATCAGAAAAAGGATTTGATACAGCTTTGCTAAAGCCGACTAGAAAGTGGGAAAACCTGAAAATGATGGAAAATGATAATATATCATCTGATTCTCAATATTCTTTTCGGTAAATATCGACTAAGTTATGTAATTTTTAGAGTCTTTTTAAAATATTCTTTTTTAGAACAATGGAAACTTTGACAATTCCATCAAAATCCAAAACCAGTATTCAGACGTCATCCCTAGTTAATTAGCCTGTTTTCGAATTATGATGTAAATATCTACAACTTTTCTGTAAACAATTTTAGAATATAGTCACTTATATCAAGATAGTAAAGGTTTATTTTTCAAATAATTCACTGCGGTCCTGTCTCTTGGTCAATCATTGTATAAACGTTGAGTGTTTGTTACCAATCAACAGCCTCTGCACAATATATATATATATATCTATATATATATTATGCGTTCAGTGTTCAGCAATTGCAAGCGACTGCTGACAGTGAACGGAATGCCCAAGGCAAAAACTATGATGGGAAATTCATATTCTTCCTCCAGAAAACAAACAAGTAAGATATTGTTATGTGTCCTTCAATTTTGTAATAGTTCTAGAAAATTATTTATTTTTCCTTGCAATAATTTTTTTCGTTTTACACTTTTATTAGATAACCCAGACGGGGTACTTAAGCCGGGTGAGGATCCTAAAAAATTATCACCCAATGAATGGAAAATGAGATTAAATGATGATGAAATGTACAGAATTACTAGAGAAAAAGGAACAGAAAGTGTAATTATAATTTACCTTTAAAGCTTTGTCATAGTGAAGCATTCAACTTACTATTAAACCGATATTCTAATTCTTCACCCCTTACTCTATTTTCAATTGCAGCCTTATGTTGGATTTTACTCTGAGAGATTTGACGAAGGAGTTTATACTTGCGCATGCTGTGGAGCAGATTTATTTGATTCAGATACAAAATACAGCTCTGGTTGCGGTTGGCCTGCTTTTTATGCCGCTAAAAATGCAAAAATTGATAAGGGAAAAATTGATGAATCGCAAGCGAATGTTGCTAGAATTCAAGACAATAGTTATGGGAGGAAACGAGTTGAAGTTATCTGTAAAAACTGCGATGCTCATCTTGGGCATGTTTTTAGCGATGGACCTGCGGACAAAACTGGTGAAAGGTTCTGCATCAACAGTAAATCCATGGGATTTAAACCCAAAGAATAAATTGTTTACAATTTTTTCTTCCCACTTGCCACAGCTTCTCATTCACCTTAACTTTTATGATGTTTATTAATACAAAAAACTGTTAAATGTCACAAAAATGATCTTCTTTCTTTTTCAAAAACTATACTAAAGCATTACTACATATACGCCATCTGTAACCCATATGATAACTTGGTTTTACCTTAAATATTGTAGAAGGCGCTAATATCGAATTTTTAGACATTTTGTAAAATTGCGCAGGAAACAGCCTCTTTTTCGTTATCAGCCGTGAAAGTGTGTTGATTTTATAATTTTATCATTTTTTTTAGTACCATTTAGGAAATTTACAAAATAAGTTTAATATATTTAATGACTATGTATTTATTTAGCTCATTCACCAAAAAAATGTAGAAAAAATTGTAATTTTTCCGAGAACTGTAGCTTAACGCCAGGCGTGTGAGTGATAATATAACGTTTTACCTATTTCAGATGTCTCGGACTGGTGGAGTTACAGTTAAGGACGTCGATCAACATGATTTTGTCAAGGCTTTGGCCGCCCATCTAAAAAAGTAAATAACGTTTATGCTATTAACGTGTGAAAAATTTAACGTTCTTTGAAGGCGTTGCTGGACGCAAGTTAAACGTGCGTCCGGTGTCAATGAGAACGGAAATAAATGTCTTTTTTTGATAAAAAAAAATAATATTTATAGCTATTTTGTTCAAGTTATAATGTTTTTTTTACTAAAATACAGGAACCAACAAATTAAACCACCAGTATGGTCTGATTTGGTCAAACTTGGACGTTTCAAAGAACTCAGTCCGACTGATGACGACTGGTATTACACTAGGTTGGCGTCGACTGCCCGTCATTTGTACATCCGATCCCCTGCTGGAGTCGGAGCCTTTATGAAAATCTATGGTGGAAGACTAAGACGTGGAACTAGACCAAGTCACTTCTGTAGAGCTTCAGGCTCCGTCGCAAGACACGTCTTGAAGACATTGGAGACGATTAAATACGCTGAAAAGGTGACCAGTGGTGACGGTGCCAAGGGTGGACGTCAGTTGACTAAAACAGGAAGGAAGAACTTGGATACAATTGCCTGCCAGGTTGCAAATGTCAAGAAGGCATAAATGTTTATAGCGAATAAAATTCAAGTTTTTGAAGGGTGACCTACATCTAGTGTTTATCAATTTCGCGAAATAACTATTTCGGTGATAGGTTCAAACCACAAACATTCTTTAAACCATAATGTATTCGTCTCGATCTAATGCAACGCCTTACACCAAACATAAAATCATTGACTAAGTAACTGAAGGAAAGTAAAACGTTCGACTAGTGCATTGAGATATAATTATAAACAAATGACAATAGAAATATAAGTATATGCAATATTTATACTTATACATTTTTATATAAATGCGTGAAAAGGGGCAAAAAGCTCGATTTGTATAAATCAGACATGACTGACGTGAGTTTGCAGAGAGCCCAAATCATTTCTCTCCGCTTGCAAGCAAACTCCCCTTACTGATAAAACCGAAGCGGTTTCTGGAAGGGCCTTAACACCGGGAGGTAAGGCGTCAAAGAAAGGATGGGTCAAAGCTTTAAGTGACGACAATCTCTTTGACGGATTCTGCTGAAGGCACTGTTCGGCTAACGACAGCAAATGTCGTGCCTTCACCATACCTCTAACATGGGCCGCTAAGCCTACGGTAGGAGGCAACTTTGGAGGTTTCTTTGGCCAAAGAGGGAGCGAGGTGACTCCTGGCCAACTTGTTTCATCTGGTACCCCTAAGGCTCCCCAGATACTATGCAATTGGTCGTTAGCGTCTCTTGCCCCAGGAAAAGTTGGTCTTCCGCTAGTCATTTCAGTCAATATACAGCCAGCCCCCCACACATCTAAGGCCGCAGTATATTTGGTATCGCCCAGGAGGACGTCGGGGGGCCTGTACCAAAGAGTTACTACTTCGTGAGAGAAGGTATGACTAGGTACACTCGTCGCTCGAGCGAGGCCAAAATCGCAAAGTTTAACTTCACCGGCTTCAGATAGGAGGACATTATGAGGTTTTAGGTCCCGATGCAAAATTCTCCTTTGATGACAATGAGACAGTGCTCTAAGTAGTTGAAAGAACATTAATCGAATGTTGTAAATGTTCATGCCCGTTGGAGCTCTATTTTCCAAATACAGGGATAAATCAGTGTGCAGTCGTTCAAAAACGAAGGTCAGAGAATGTTTAGTTAGCACTATATCGTGTAGAGTAACGATATTTGCGTGCTTAAGGGCCTTTAAAAGAGAGGCTTCTCTTATAGCAGTAAACGGTGCTCCTTCTTCGGCTTGCAGCTTAACTTCTTTTAAAGCTACCTGCTGACCAGTAACTTTACTAATACCAGAGTAAACAGTAGCGTAGGAGCCTTCACCAAGGCGCTCAAGTTTTTCGTAGGCATTTCCATTCCCATAACTAGACCAACCCTCTGATCTAGGTCTCGATCGACGACTTGACCTCGTTCGTCTTCTTAATAAAACCTCCTCCTTCTGAGCTTGGAGCATATCGCCGGCGGAGTGATGCCGTCTGACGGCTGTCATTTGTTGATCATCGGGAGATGGGGCATCAACACTGTTAGCATTACCCATCTTCAAAAGCCTGGAATTGTGCCTATTAGGAGAACCATTTAATTGAAGAACTAGCATGTCATCCTTCGTGCGATCTTCCAGGGAATCTTCCCTCGAGAGAGCTGTCAAATAACATCAATTTAGACGTAGATACTGTAAAAGGAAAAAAGAATAACAGGCGTCTAATCTCTTAGTTACAAGTGAGGATTTACTGGTGGGTTTTTTCTCTACAGCTCTTAGAGAGCATCTGCTTCCATTATATTTATTATAAAGCTAGTAAATAGAGACAAGTATTGATTACAGTTCTACCAATAAGATTTTTCAAAAGCAATCAAAATCTTAAATGGGATATTATTAATTACGACGATATCTTTTTTCAAATGTAAACGCCACCACCGAGCTTCAAAAGAATGGTAATCAATTTTAGGCCTAAATATTTATTTTACATTTTTCTTCTGTCATTCTCAAAACAAAGAGTGACGTGCCTGATTACCCTTTCCTTACTTTTTTTATTAGACTGTGCTATTTTGAAATTTCATATTTTTTTTCTAATAAGCGTATTTCTTGGTAACAAATTAAAGAGCCATAGGAAATAAATGAGATCGGCGCGTGGGAGAAAATGAATGTCATTGATCGAGGGATTTTCTGTCGTTTCTGTAAGACTTACAAATAAATAGGCTTATGGTTTGAGCGTGTGGCATGTATTTATGTGTGTATGTGTGCGAGTGTGAGTGTATTTACGGCTATATATACGCAATATATAAACTGTATATATATATATATATATATATATATATATATATATTCACGTATGAGAGAGAGAGACTGCCAGCGTGTGCGCGATCGTCTGTGTATGCGTATTTGGCGAAAAGCAAAAAGAGGAGTAGAGAGGAAATGATGGAAACAGGAGAAAGGCAAGATTTACTTGACATTACCAGCAACATATGATGAGCTTTGGAAAATTATACAGCCAGCATAAGATGCAAATAGCATTTGTGATTCATTGGTATTCGATATCGTTAGTACACGAACTATAAAGTGTACCTTTTTTGTGTGATTGTTTTAGAGTTAATTTAAATATGAGAACGTAATGAAGAGGGAAGAAAAGATATCTTTCTTGTTTTGCGATATCTATTCTACAATATACTTAAATATCTCACAAAGAAATAAAAACAATAAGAAGAACATTTTTGTCAATAGCGTTAATAAATCGAATAAATAAGAGAGAAGAAAAAAAGATTGAAAAATAAATTAGAATGGAATCGTTAATTGAATTATAAGTGCTAAGTATCGAAAGCATTGCTGTTCGATCGGTCATTCCCCAAGTCCTATCTTATTGTGTATTTAAACTGGTTAAAAATTTTAAAATTAATTAGACACCGTTCTTAAGAGGATTAAGTACTTACACAATCTTCCAAACGTAGCTGATATCCTTCTCTGTAGTTTTTTTAATTTACTTAATTTCTTTCCTATGTAAATAAAAATATAAAACAATAAATTAGTAAATATTTTTAGCAAATTATATAAAATGCTCTGCGGGCTAGTAAGGCTGGTAATTATGTTGACTAAATTCTTTTTCCTTCCTATATTTACTCATTTCATTTCGTCATCAAACTTCTTATCTTTAATTCTTATATTATCAATACTCTTTTATCCATTGTTCGATACACTAATAAGCTAATTTTGTTGCATTTTTTATTTAATTTCAGTTTAATTCCACCCGTATTGAAACCGAAACTAGGCCTATATTAATCGTAAAAATCGAACAAAGAGGGTCCTAGTAAATAGTTCATATACAAACCGGAAGACGGACGATTTTCCCTCAATCGAACGCCGTTCGAGGGTGACTCTTCCTTTTGCATCGTTTAAACCAAATATTGCCGGACTACAACCGGATTTCTAAAAAATAAGTCTGATTTCAATCACACTCTGCCGCCATCTTGCTTAATTCTGCGATATTGTTGCCATCTGTCGGTCTGTTTAAGCCGGATAGAACCGCGCATGCGCAGTAGCGTTGACGACGGTAAACAATCTAGAGATGAGCGCTTCTAATAATAAAGTTAAGGTTTATTTGAGGTTAAAACCAATTAGAAGTGGAGGAAAGAAAAGTTATGAAATTGTGGATGATAAGGTAAGGCTTAGCTAGTAGAATGACTTGTTAAAATTTCTCGATTAAGACTGTTCCTCTAACTAGAAAAGTTTGAAGTAGATCAAGACTACCAACTTTATTATTTTAATTAGCCTTTTCTGAAGAAAAAGATTATGTAGTTTCTGACATACTTTTATAATTTAACCAGAAAAGATGCAACAACCTCGCATCGACCTTTATCAAATAAATATATATATATATAGCTGTTTTGCAGCGGATACACGTTCATAGATGTGGTAACGATCTTCAAAAGTCATATGTTAACAATCAAATAAGGGATTGGGAGTTTACGCTTAATGGAATCAAAGAAAATGTAAGCCAAACAGAGATTTATGATGATGTTGCTCGTCCTGTTGTATTGCAGGCCATGAAAGGCTATAATGGTTTGTGTTATCAAACAAGAGAATAAATTATCATAGCTACTTACATACATGTCATTTTATTAGCTACTATACTAGCCTATGGTCAAACTGGAGCTGGGAAGACCTATACAATGACCGGAGCAACAGAGAGCTATAGACAAAGAGGACTGATACCACGATCTCTGTCGGAAATCTTCAAAGCTATCGATCAAAGTATTGATCAAAACACTACCATTAGGTAATATCTTTGGTACGCGTCCCATTCTCTTTTCAATTAAGTGTATTTTTCTTCAAACTAAAGGATATCTTATGTTGAGATTTACAATGAATCCTTTTTCGATTTGCTGTCAACGGTTTCCGATGTCTCAGAATACGAACGTCAAAACCTTCACGTAACTGAAGAAGTGGATGGAAGCTGCTATATTAAAGGATTAAGTGATCATATTGTTAATAACGAAGAAGAAGCCTTAAATTTGCTTTTTGAGGGAGAAACTAATAGAGCAATCTCCTCTCATGTCCTCAACAAAAATTCGTCAAGATCCCATTGCATATTTACAATTTATCTGCAGACTCATTCTAGAACGCAATCCGATCCTAAATATACAGTCTCAAAAATCAATTTTGTAGATCTGGCTGGTTCTGAGAGGCTTAGGAAGACTAAGGTTTGTCATATAATTTAATACATTCTAAATTTCTTCACTAGAAATATTGCTTTTAAATCAATAATAGTCGGAAGGAAGAACTCAAACTGAAGCTGTCTATATCAACAAATCGCTAACTTTCTTGGAGCAGACAGTTCTTTCATTGGCTGACAAAAAAACTCATATTCCGTATAGACAATCTAAATTAACGCACTGTCTAAAAGATTCTTTGGGAGGCAATTCGAATACAGTTATGATCGGGAATGTTTGGTCTGAAGAGGAGCACATAGAAGAAACAGTAAATAATTAAAATTTGATTTTCCATGAGCTTAAGTGAAAAATTCTTCCCATTTAGATTTCAACTATTAGATTCGCCACTAGAATGATGAAAGTCCACACCGTACCGGTCAGAAGGGAACACGAAGACCCAACGGTAAACATCAAATATCCCTAATTGTAGCGTTACATTTAAAATAGACTTTTAAATTGATTAATAGTCGAGTTAATCAGATTAATAAACTTGTCTTTTCATAGAAATTGGTTAAACAAATGAAAACTGAAATAGAACATTTGAAAAGGGAATTGGCTATGCACGATACTTTGGTTAGTATGAAATGTTATATTAACAAAAACATAAACAGATTATCTTTATATTATAATCTCAATTAATCAAATAGAATATGCAAGAGGTAAAAAAATAATATATTTGGACTTTAATGTCGGAGCATGCATTTAATGTAAAATATATATTATATATACAGTATATATAAGAATATATACAATATATATAAGAATGTATTATTTGTAAGAGAATGTCATATTGTTTATCGTCTTTAACTTGTAAAAAAAATATCACTATTAAAGAACTGGATCACAAATCAGCATCTTTTTCAACTTTAGCCGTCACAATATCAACGTTAACTAAGATCGCATGCGTGTTCAATTAAATCACTAGTACGCATGTAAAAAAAATAACCTAATTAGTTTCTCTCACAATTGAAATTAATTCAATATTGGAAAGAAAAAAACGGAGAAACAATCACAAATGCGTTCTCAATTTCTTTAAAATGCCAACTGTATCATCTTAAATAATTTAATATTTTCCTCAATAGGTTAACAGGAGTCATGTGACGTACGAAAATCTCTCTGAGCAACAAAGAGGAGAAATAAGGGAGCAAGTTAAAAACTTTTTATCAGATCCCCAGTGCGAAATTGACGTAAGAATTTACTTAAGTCTATATCTAATATGTAAAATAAAAACAACTTGTCCTTCGCAAGCGGAAAATACTGCAAAATTCCATATTTATTGATTAAATTTTTACAGATCGTAAATATAAGGCAAATTAAGGGTGTGTTTGAAACGTTTCGAGACATATATGGGTTAGTTCCTTTTACGACTAATGAAGTCTTTTTACTTTGAATATCACACCTAATTTTTTTATAGAATCATGTCATCCGAAATTGAAAAGAACGTTGAAGATAAGTTTCGATCACGCTACACCCTACTTGACAAACAAGACGCCGCTGCTATCGCTCAAGCTCAGCAGGCTGGCGTACCGGTAATTTTCTTATTTCCTCAATATTGTTATTTCTCTCCTTATCCGACAATGTAAGATAAATGCAATTTAAACAGATTGATGACAACGGGGACTATCTGGTCGGTGAGACTGATGGATCTGGTTACGGCATACCAGGTGCAAGTGGTAAGCCTGTTCCTTCCAGTGCAGTCAATGCGAAGAAGAAGGAATCCAAAAAAAAAGAAAAACGTTCTAGGTAAATATCGGGATACATAGTTTAATTAAGAGAATAATAGAGATTGACATTTTACACTAGATATTAAACATGCACTAAGAGTTATATAAACATTTATCAATACCATAATATTATTGGCAGTCTTTTGGACGGGGACACAGAATTAGAGAAATATTTTATTATACAACATAGAGTAGGTAAATGTCTGGAGTCCTCAAGAAAAGAGTATGTCTAAATAGGTTTAAGGCTTTAGCTATAAAATAGGTTATGTATAACTATTCAATCAAATAACCGAATATATATTTTTTCAGTCCGACTACTAAGGGCCAACAGAGTCCCGAAACAAAGGGTAGAACTACTGAACAAACACCATCTCCGGATAAGCAACCGAAAACATCATCGATTGCTCCTCCTCCTGAACAAGAAAAAAAAGAACAGGAGCCTTCCCAAAATACCCCAGTTGAGAAACCTAGCACCCCTCCTCCCCGAAGCGAAGCTTTTGAAGAATTTAAAAAGGGATTGGGTAGTGAAATCAACAGAATTCTTAGTGAAAATAAAGATATATTGGGAGCAAAGAAGAGAGCTTACACAACATTAGCTCGCCAGATTAACCTTACAAAATCAGAAATTGATAGCACTAAGTGTAAGTTGAATGACATGAGAGATGAAAGAGAAAGTCTTGGAAATCAAGTAGATCAAAATGGAGCACCTATTATATCAGAAGAAGAGTATAATGAGCTAAATAGACTTAAAGGGCTGAAAAATTCGTACAAGACTGATTTTGAAGAACTAAAGAACCTGAAAACTGAAGTAGCTTATTGCCAGAAACAAGTTGATTTATGCAGACAAAAACTTATCCAGGGTCAGTAGCAAAACGTTGATAATTAACTGTATAATTAATGTTCTATGTTATCAGAATTTGATAATTGGTATGCCGAAAGTTTCCTACAACCTCAGGAAGATGTTAGCAGCGCCAAGGCAGGATTTGGCGCCAAAGTTGGAATACAAGCAAAAAAAGACGCTGAGGACGAACAAGAAAAATTTGATAGGTTACAGAAAGAAGTGCTCATGAATGATCCTAATTCTGCGGCCTTTTATAATGCCAAAATGAGAGTAAATAGAAGGGTAAGTTTACTATTTTTCTGATAAATACCATACCACTTTCTCTGTTTAGTATATCATAAAAGAGATATTTAAGTATCAGCTATTGATAACATTTCCATGTTTATCTGGAACTTATTTCTCGTCAGAAAATCTACACTAGCGCGTCCAGTCAAGTTCAACAGCAAAAACCTGGAACACCTGTCAAGTATATAAGAAACAAGCCTCCAAATTTACTTCAAGTCCAGTATTGAATAGAATATGTGCTCTCCTTGCGAACTTTTATGTGTAATGATCGAAGATTAAGCCTGTGAATACATAATAATCATTGTGTACTTTCTCGTTATAAATATGTAAAAAAAGCAATACAACGAAAAATAGCATTATTTAGCATGAAATCTTCCCGATGTGAAGAAATTCACATCAGGGGTAAGTTCATGCACATATTAGATAGATTTTTAATCGATTATACGTACCAAAAAGGCAACATTTTCCTTGAGAGACAATCTAACAAGTAGAGCCACGTGGTTCTAACATGTAAGGCACCATTATGATTCTAAAACAAAGATGGAGGCTGATTGGCGGGAAATTTAAATCTGAAAACGAACAAGTCATGTATATATACTATTATTATATATGATTTTTTAAACCTGGACTAGACTTAATCTTCATAGTAAATCCAGTAAGAAGATTTAGAATTAATCTCATAATCAATTGGAAAGTAGGTAATATATAGACAAGCTAAGATTTAGTCCAAGGAAAATTTTTTATTGTCAAAATAAGATCAAATTGTTTTGTCTTATAAGTATGTATCAACTATGGCATTCAGTTATTACTATATGACACAGAGAATGTGAAACCATATCCCTAAATTACATAGAAGGTGTTTATAGAATTACTAAATAGTATTCAAACTAAGAAATTATCACAGCAACAAAATCACATGTGTCAGTACAGAAACGACTAATTTTGTTTAAATTATGATATATTCGTTTAACCAGCAAAATTGATAGGACAAAACAAAAAAAGCCCAAAAAACCTAAAGTTCGTCATGGGGTAGTTTGTCCTGTACAAACTTAACGAGCTCTTCTAAATCTCTGCCTCCGTTATGTTCAGAGATTCGCTGACCGTTTTCAAAATAATACAAAGTTGGGAAGCCAGTGACCTAATTAGCAAGTGATATTAAACATAAATCAAATTTACATTAAATGTATTACTTACTTCATGTTTATCGCATATTTCTCTATTTTTGGTACAATCGACTTCAGCAATTGAAATAATCTCATGCCCTGCAAATTTCTTGCCTAACTCTTCCCAAGCTGGGGCCATTCTTTTACAATGTCCACACCATGGAGCATAAAATTTAATGAAATAATGACCCTCACTGATAGAATCTTCAAAAGTATCTACAGTAAGAGTTTGGACGTACTCAACTTTCTTGTCTTCAACGGTTCCGTGTTTAGCGTCGTCTTTCTTTCCTCTCATTGAATTAACAAATTCTTTTAAATCTTCAAAATCTCTAGGACCTGAATATTTTTCTACATATTTTCCATCAGTCATCCACCAAAGAGTTGGATAACCGGAAACTTCTGGTTTTTTACATGCTTCGCTGTCGGTAGTGCAATCAACTTTACCAATAGTAACTGTATCATCGTCGTTGAAAGCTTCGCCTAATTTTTCCCAAGCTGGAGCAATGTTTTGGCAGTGAGGACACCAAGGAGCATAGAATTTGACGAAATGATGACCTGTGTTTGTTTCGGCAAAATTCTTTGTGGTATATACTTTAACGTTTGTTACTTCAGCCTAAAAGCGAAAATTTACTATAAAATTTATATAGATTCAGTAGTTCTAAACTTACGGGAACTGTTTCTTCTTGAGATTCGCTGGCTTTTATTTCTGAATTTGTAGTTTTTGCCACGAATTCCTTAAATGCATCAATATTTCTAGCTCCAGAATATTTTTCAACCTATATAAAACATGTTTTAAACTGTCTGTGAGTATTTTAAAATGAGTTACCATTCTTCCATTGGAGAAAAACAAAAGGGTTGGATAACCTTTAATTTCATTACTTCCGCAAATGGCTTGATGTTGAGTGCAATCAACCTATGAAAAATAGATTTAAATTACGTTTAAAAAAAACTTTATAAAAACTATTTTATATACCTCGGCAACTGATACAGATCTATCTTCGTATAAACCAGCCAATTGCTCCCAATCTTTGACCATATTTTTGCAGTGAGGACACCAAGGAGCAAAAAATTTCACAAAGTGGTGACCAGTTTGAATTGCCGCATCAAAGTTATCATTTGTGTATAACTTAACACCATTTGATGTTTCAATATTTTGATTCTCGGCAGGTTTTTCAGTTGCGCCGGTATCTCCCTAAGAAATAAATTGTTTATGTTATCAATCCTTAACAAGTTTGTAAAGAAAACAATACCAATTTTGCTTGAATATATTGGTCAAAATCGGAAAATCCTCGTCCACCGAAATATTCATCACCTTCAGAGCTTGATGGTTCGAAATATTTGATCCTGAAAAAAAAAGATTAATCAGAAATAGCTACAATAGTAAAAAATGAGACAAACGTTGGATAGCCGTTAACTCCTTGCTCAGAGCAAATATCTGTGTGCTGTGTGCAATCAATCATGGCAATTGTTGCTTGTTTGGAACCTTCATTTTCGTTGTATTTTTCGCTCAGTTCCTCATATGCTGGCATGGTTCTCTTGCAATGACCACACCTAAATAGAATTTACAAGAAAAATTATACTAAGTAATTCAAGAATACATAAATTTAACATGAAAACTACATGACCATAGTTATAGTTAAACGAGTCAATAAATTAAATTTTAATAAGACAAGATAAATTTATATAAAGAGAGAATACTTTTTTCTTTGTCTAATTAGTTCTATTTATCTTTTTATCTGAGAATTTATCGCTAATAAAGATATTTCAGTTTCTAGTTGACGTTGAGGAATTCTAGGAAATACATTTTCAAAGTTAAGCTATACAGGAGAATATCTATTACAAAGGGTATTCAGTGCTTTTCACTGGAGTATACTATTCATCATTTTCCACTAAATGATTGAATGTTCATTTGTGTATAGACAAAAAAAATTAGGGACAATCGTTATTCAAATATTGAATATCAGCAAGTTGGAAGAGTAACGAAGCAGCATTGAACGTTTACAATCAAGTTGCAACAAGATTTCAGCCCTTGGAAACGGTTCAATAAGAGTATAACTAATCGATAAACAAGTCTTTTGTGTGCGACTGGAAGCGTACCTCAGTTTGTACACGTACCAACTGGATATAGAATAAGTTTATTATTGAGAAAAAATGAAGTGTAGAAGGAACTTCGAACTTAAATCACTAAATTTGTTTTTTGTACTTGATATTTTCAAACTATACACTCATAATGTTCAACATCACATGTTTTGCAAGCAAGAATGCTGAAACATTTCATCTCTTGTTTCTTAAAACTTTAAAAATATATAAAGTACAACTATTTCCCACTCCAATTAAGCAACTTGCTAAAGCTGTTACTCTACAAAGAAAATTTGGAAGACACATTAGTACACGTGTAAAGTTTACTTACCAAGGGGCATAAAACAAAACGAAATGTGGATTTTTTGTAACTGCATCCTTAAATTCTGTAGTGCTGTATTTCTTTACATATTTAATATCGTGATCAGCAAATGTCAAAGCTAATAAACCAGCCAAAAAGAGTAGACAATTCATTTTGCAACCGGCAAGTTAGGAATTCTGTTGAAAATGTTGTCTGCAAACGACTTATTTTTCGTATTAAACGACAAAAATTCTTAAATTAATATTATTTTTATAAAATAAGAATATTATTAAAACAGTAAAAGAAAATTTTTCAAAATATATTAAATACGAAAATGCGACGACCGCCGGAAACGCGTTGACAGCTTCCTTTTCCGATATCCATTTTGGAAGTGTATTGTTCTCGTAAGAGCTAAGGCCAAAATCGGCGACTTACACAGATTTACTTATTAATCGTTAAGTTACAGCAACAAAAAACGAAAGATTAACAGTTATGGCTTCTAATAACGAACTTGCGTGTGTATATGCCTCTTTAATCTTGGCTGATGATGGTGTTACTATCACGGTATATTCACGTGTTAAGCTACCTGACAAAATTGTTTAATTATTTCATTTTTCTTCAGGCTGATAAGATCCAGGCTGTTTTGAAAGCCGCTGGTGTCTCTGTCGAACCCATTTGGATCAACTTGTTTGCTAAAGCTCTAGGAGATTTGGACATCAAAGAATTAGTAGCTAAAGTTGGAAGTTCAGCCGGTTCTGCCCCTGCTGCTGCTGCCCCAGCTGCTGCTAGTGGTGCTGACGCTGGAGCTGCCGGTAAGAAAACACTTTAAAAACCTTGCTTTATTCACATTTTATGTTTTCTATAGAATCCAAAAAGGAAGAGAAAAAGGAAGAGTCCGAAAGTGAAGATGATGATATGGGATTCGGTAAGCATTGGTTTTAGTAATAATCTGAAGTATATTCTAAACCTTATTTAAATCATGATGATCGCATAGTTCAGCTGATACACCATGCAGAATCATTGCATATGTCTTTCGCTCCTAGCTGATATCGTCTTAGATTTATTTAAGAATGTTTGCTCTTTACCCATAACTAACTCACTTTTTCTCTGTACAGGTTTATTCGAATAGAGCTCAAAGCCCCAGGGGATAATTCAAATTCAATACATGTGTTTTTGAAGAATAAAATTGCGTTGTTTTTTAATAAAATTTAGGTACACTATTCACACACTGTAGGTTACACTTGTTTATCGAGAGATCGCTAGACGGCAGCATAATAGAATACTGCACCATCACGTGGTAAATCAAAAAGCCTCAGACTTCTCGAACTAAGATATTACTGCCCTAGTAACAAAGTTTTATAGGCTAATTTAAATGAACTTGAGGCAAAAGCATAATTAATGTCTAAGTACAAAAAGAAGCACGAGGATAGGCCCAGAAGGGCTACAAGTAACATCTTTGCGATGCTATCGGAGCGTCAGAGAAATGATCTTATGGTTCGTATAAAAATACTGCAGTTTGATCTTTGTTCACTTACTCACTGGAAATGCTAGCTCGTATCTCGAACCAACCATAGCCTTGCGTAGGAAGCAGACTAGTCCAGATATCATTTCATAATTCGATGATTAGCATATTTATACAAAACTCGACTACTGAAATGTTGGAATAGATTTCTAATTAATAAATATGAAAGCAAAAATGAAGACAGCGAATATCAGATAGAAATAGTAATTCCAATTAGTGAAGGTAGAGTACCATTTCTTTAACTTTACCAACAGGATGCTTTTAAACTGATTGATCACCATAAAGATGATGTCATAGATGAATTGGATCTAGAATTTATGTTGAAGTCTATAGGAAAGTCTGATGCCAAGGAAGTAGCTGCAGAAATGATGAAAGAAGTTCCAGGAGGAGGACCTATAAATAGGATTGTTTTTTTAACATTGTTTGGTGAAAGGCTGAAAGATGTTGATCCCGAAGAGGTCATTTTAAATGCCTTTCAATGCTTAGATGAAGACAATACAGGTAAACTCAGTGCGTCTGTAATATCTTACTATTCTGATAATGTTTATCATAGGCGAAATTTCTACTGAAAGGCTTCATCAATTAATGACGACTCAAGGGGATAGATGGAAAAATGAAAATGTGGAAGAATTATTTAGTAAAGCTCCTATACAGTCTCAGCAATTTCAGTATAAAAAATTTGTTCAAGAGTTGAAGTATGGAAAAAAAGAGTCTGACGATGAAACATAAAAGTTTCTTTCTTGAATTAATACAATTTTCCGCAAAATATTTCAGTTTGAAAAATTAAATAAATAAACAAATCAGATACTTTAAATTGAAAATATTTTCAACCATTTTTCATATATACAAGCAGTTATGCAAGCGTCTTAAATCCTTACTCATCGATATAAGCTTCAGCATTCAAATATTCGCGCATTTTCCGGACATCGTTTTTCTAAGAAAAAGTCTATGGAATTGAATTGCTTGACGCATTTGTTTGATATTTCGTAATATTAATTTTGGTATCAAGCTTAAAACCTGTTCATAAAATGACTGGCGGAAAAGTTTGTCAGTTTTTTTTACAAGGAAAGTGCAAGTATGGCGATAACTGTTGGAATGTCCACTCAAACCAAGGTAAGTCGCCTTGAGCGATGATAGATGTAGATTATTGCTTTTCTCATAACATTCTAGGCGGACCCTTCGGAGGAAAATCAAATAATCAAGGTCCATTTGGAGGTAAACAGAATAATGTATTTGGTGGTGGTGGCTTTGGAAATAAAAATAATAATCCTTTTAATCGGAATCAATCGAAGCAAGTTCAGACAATTAAAGATATGTCAACCCCTGAAATCATGTTTGTTTCTGTAATTAAATCTTAACAGAATAATAAATAATTTATCAACTGCAGTGATCACGTAAAATCTGAAATGAATACTTGGGAACAGAGTAAAATGTGGCCTTTTTCTTGTTTTTCAATTAGCAAGGATCTCCCTACTTTTCCAGGTTAAGAACATTTTCAATATACCTATCTTTTGTTGTATTATAATTAATATTTATTTATTTTCCTAATAATTTGCAAATGTGTTTGTTTGATATCAGAACTGAATGATATGTCTCCCGAAGAGTTACGGGCTGAGGCGTACGAAGCTCAAGCTACTAATAGCTTTCCTGCTTATGTAAGTGAATGTAAATGTAAAAAGAAGAAATATTTATATTCTAATTATATACCTTTTTAAATCTAGCAACAAAAATTCAGCACATTGGCTGCAGAATTTACAAAGAAAAGGAACCAGCTAAAAAATCCAGATCACATGGTCAAACAAAATTTGGTAAGAGTAAAATAAACCAGTGTTAATTGCTTTTGATTTAATTGTCTTAATTCAGACCAAAGTCATAGAAAGTCAATTACAAAGTTAGTAGCAATTGATTAGTAGTTGTCATAATATAGAATTTATTTTGATACTTTTGTAGCTTTAAATAACTCAAGCCAGTCATCAGGAGGAAGCAATATTTTTGGACAAACAGTTTTTGGTCAAACGTCGATGCAAAATCAGCAAAATGCTAGTTCTACTTTATTTGGGAAGCCAGCTCCTAGTACAGGGGGTTTTGGTCAACCAGCTCCAAGTACAGGAGGGTTTGGTCAGCCAGCTCCTAATACAGGAGGTTTTGGTCAACCAGCTAATTCATTCCTGAAGCCTGCAGCAGCTTCAGGAGGATTCGGTCAACCTTCTTCTTTCGGATCTCTAAATCCTACACCTGCTCAGTCTACCATTGGATTTCAAACACCTGGCAAAACTTTTGGCTCAAGTCCTCAGCAACCAGTCCAACCGCTTCAACCAGCAGCTCCACTTCAACAAACTCCTCCAACAAATCTATCTTTTGGTGGTATGAATCAAGCTGCACAAAATCCGATTGCTCAAAATCCAATTGCGCAAAGTCAGCCTGCACAAAATACAGCTCTGCCCAATTCTTCCTCCACAGAAAACGAAGATCCATTATATTCGAAATTATCTGCTCTGAATCCAGACGAACTCCGACAATTTCAAGCTTCAGAATTTAGTTTAGATAGCTTACCACTAAAGCCACCTCCTAAAGAATTATGTACACAGGTTCAAATATCCAGTAAACCAGCTTTTAGTTTATTTTCATAAAATCTTATAAATTTTAAATTGCTAAGTGTTTTGTTTTTGTTCTTCAACATGTAAAGTTAGTTTATCTGAACTTACTTGAATATTGTGTTTTTAAGATTAAAAGTACATTTTTAACAGTTGATATTATGCTTTCGAGTAAAATGTTAATTAATTAATATACTTATTTGTTATTTCAAAAAATATTGCAGGAATAATGAGTTATTCAAAAATAGAAATAGAATGTCGGAATAAACTGGTTGATAAATATGAATGTTTTATCACGCAAAGATAATTACTATGAACTTGTGAGCTCGATTTAATTTTTTCAGTATACGCCCCTATCCTCTAATTTGAGGATATGGCTGGAGAAATATTTAGGGTGGGTTGCTACCCATGGTATTGTCTAATACTATTATTTCTTGCGTTTTTATTAAATCAGATGAATAGGTAAATTTCATTAATGAGAAAGTTTTGTTTTTATTGACAATTTTTACTACTAAAGATTCTTACTTCCTGTTGTTTCAAAACCTCTTGCTCAGGAAATTAAGTATGGAAGTAAGGGATGTATGAGTAATTCAACGTTAAAGTTACCAAGCGATGACTTTTGTTCAAAAATAGAAAACAAAACTGAGTGTATCTACAAACAAATTAACGGAAGCGAAAGCTATGTTTGTGAATGGGGATACACGGGACAAGGTGTGCAGTATGAAATTGTTGCTGGAACTGCTTTTATAGTGATTTACACTTTTGCGGGAATACCTCTGGGCAGCTTAGCAGATAGATACAATCGGAAAATTATCTTGTCTATAGCCATTTTTGTTTGGTCAGTTGCTACGGTATTGACTGGTGTGATTCGAAAATATTGGCAATTGGTTCTACTCCGATTTCTTTTGGGTATAGGGGAAGCAGGCTGCACACCATTTGCAATATCAATAATTTCGGATTACTTTCATACTAATGTTAGAGGTACAGCTATAGGAGTATACAATTGGGGTTTGTACATGGGCTACTCTCTGGCATTTACTCTGGGAGACTTTATTGTTGATTTGAATATAAATGGTCAGGGATGGCGTTGGGTCTTCATATTAGGAGGTCTACCGGGTGTTGTTTTGTCTGGTATCATTTTATTAAGTTTAAAAGAACCAAAGAGAGGCGATTCAAATTCTAATTCTTCCCAAACAAGTGATGAACAAAGTTATGATGAATTGGATAATGAAGATGAGCCTTTGCTTGCCGCTGCAGTATGCAAAGAGGATGGACATATTGTTACTATTAATGAAAATAAAAGATTTTCACAATTTCTGTCAGCAGTCAAAGTATTCTTAAGACCTTCGCTTTTACTCCTTCTTCTTGCCGGCTCAATTAGAAATTCTGGCGGTTACGTTTGGGCTTTCAATACTCAACCATTCTTTGAAAGTCTGGGACAAACAAGAAAACAGATTGGTACTTTTATGTCTTGGATACCACTTGTTGGTGGTAGTTTAGGTGTACTTTTCGGTGGTTTATTATCTGATTTGGTTGTTAAACGATATGGAACATATATGAGACTTGCAGTGTTAATTGTATCCCAAATACTCGCAGCGCCATTTGCTGCAGGAGCTCTCTGGCTCCATACTCCTTTAGCATACTTTAGCTTGATTCCAAGTAATGTTATTGGTGAAATATTTGTAAGTGTAGCTCTGGTGGTCGTCGTTGAATTGGTACCAAGCAATTTAAGGTCATTATCGGTTGCCATATACCTCTTCGTAATAACGAATATTGGTGGGAATGCACCCCTTCTCGTTCCTGTCGTTCAGAAGGCCCTTGAGAAAAGTTTTGATAAGATTTTAGCACTAAGAAGTAAGATTTGTTTTTTTTTATACAGTTTTTAACGTTTTCATTTTATGTTATTTATAAGAAAATTAATTAAATTAAGACAATTTTTTTCTTCTGTCTTGTTCTAATTTTTAGTCACGCTGACAATACTAGTTTCGGGTTGTGGATTTGTAGCTGGCTTAGGTGTAATCGTCTCGTTTATCTTTTTAAGAAAAGAGTTGATTGCGCGAGGAGAACTCTCGGTCCAATATATAGTACGTATATAAGATATACCAAGTATTGTTATTTTGTTATAAGATTAAGGATATCTTTTGTTTTTTTTTTATAAATTATAACAAATCGATTATATATTTATAATTTCTATTTATAACTATTTTATCTATTATCTAATTTAATTGTTTCTCTTTGACAAAATTCGTCTTTTTTAAATAAGGGTTAAGAGCATATATAGTTTTTTTTACATTCTATTACAAATACCTTTTTTATTTGTCTTTACAGTAACCTTAACGCTACTCTTCCCTGGCGTTTACGTGCTAGGAAGTATATTTTTTCTATTAACGTGTCTTGTTATGAGGAGAGAGGTCATTAAAAGAAGAGGAAACGACGAAAGCGAGGTTAATTCCACTTGAATCGTTTGATTTGAAAAAAAAAGAATACTTGAAATACTTCAGGAATTACATATCTTTGGACATTTATTCTTTATTAACGGCTTATAAATTGTTTTTTAAGGCAAAAATTGAAAAGAAAACGTTACGATTTGTAAGCCTATTGATTTAATATTTTAATTATAATCAAGGCGCAGCGCCATTTTAAAGACATATTTTTCAATAAAAAAATGAATAAAACTGAAGCTGAAATTTCTCAAACCAAAAATTCTGGTAAACCAAAGACACCGAAGAAAACTGGTTAATATTTTTTCAAAATACAAAGAGAAAAGTCTATGATTGATATGTTAAACTTGTTTTCTCTTTTTTTTTTATAGCTTTCAGCTGTTTAAGAATATGTTACAAATTATTTATTTTAGTACTAAAGAACTTTAAACTTCACTTTCGAAGAAGAAAGATAGCCCTTGGAATGCTTGTCATTCCTGTTATAGCATCTTTTACTTTCGTTCTTCTGGTAAGATAAAGTTAGACTTGAGAATTATTACTATAAACAATTTGTAGGCGCTGAAAGAAATTGGCGGTATTAATAATAGAGAAGATAGTATTAGGGATGCGCTGACTAAAACCACCCTTAATGTCTCTTGCATCCCATACGTAACGAATGTAACAATAGGCTATAGGTATTTATACTTCAGTCGTTCTTTATCGAAATACTAAGAATAGACTGTTTTTCTTTTTTTAAAAAAAATTAGGGCACAAATAATTAAACAAGCCGAGATAATTCATGTTTTGGGATATTTGATCAATCAGGGAAGGGATGCTGAAATGAAAGGTAAATGAATTTTTCTAACTCTAATCTTCCATATACTGAATAGATATGATTAAGGATTATTCTCTTTTATTATTATACTTTTTAGTAAAAATGCAACAAATAAGTAAAAAAGAACTGTCTGAAAAAGAAATGAGAAAATATTTGTTTGTAATTCTTTGGTCTAAATCAATCTATGAGTATACTTTAACGTAAGGCAAATTACTCTAAATATTTAACCTTCTAGTAAAATTATTAATATAAAATAAAACATTAGTTTACCGTTACTCTCGGCCGATGGAAAACTATTTGAATTGAAAGGGAAAACAATAGATTTTACTGATCAGGAGTACAGTCTTCCTTATGAATTGTCTTGTTATCAATATCTTGTTGATCAAACTATAATCCAACTTCATAATGGAACTAATACTCTGGAGAGAAAAGTTACTATAAGTCGTATTCTCAATAGTGGAAATACACTAATTAATTCTCACTATTTATTAAAATACTCTGTCTTCTGGATGCACCTTTCTCTCAGTTTTCTTATATTTATTACACTCTCAGACCTACTATCTGAGAGGAAATCAGGTCGAAGGGATTTTTTGATAACCTTAGGTGCCAATGGTTCACTACAAACTCTATCTTGGATAGTTAAGTCATTTTTGATAGCTGTTCTAATACCTGTCATATTTTTAATTGGCCTTAAAATACCTATAAAAGGAATCAGCATCGTGAATTATACGAGTGTTGGAGTCTATCTTTTCTTCTCTATTATCTATTGTTTTGGGATTGTATCTTTTATGTTCCTTGGTAGTTTATTATATAGTAATTTAAAACTAGCTCACTACTTTTGGGCAATTATTCATATGATTTTGCAGCTGCCAATATCGTTATATATAATTGATGATTATGAGAAATTAGATCGAAATTTGAAATTAGCCCTAAGCTTTAATCCTTGTATGTTTTTGCATTTTAGTTTTCATCTTATAGCAAAGTATGAAATTCTTGATACCGCTTTTTCTTTTGATAATTTATTGCATCGTCTACCGGAAGACAATGTCTCAGGAATTGAGTTGGTGATGAGCTCGTTAATTTCTATTTGTATTGTGAGTTTTATGTATTTGATTATTAATAATTATGAAAGGATAAAACTAAGTAAGACTCTGAGGTTTTTAAACTGTGCTAGAAACTCTAACTCACAACTGCCACCTGCAAATAGTGATAATTTATTTGAATCTATGAATAGTAGTTCTGCAAATATCACTTTACAAAACATTAGCAGATACTATGGACGGAAGGCTGCACTGAGGAATATTAGTATCAAAATAAAAGAAAACTGTATAACGGCTTTCTATGGATATTCTGGTTGTGGTAAATCAACATTAATGAATATCCTTTCCGGTTTAGATAGATCATATATTGGTGAAATGTTCTTTAGAGACTATTTGGGTAAAAAGAGATCTGTTTCTAAAAATGGAGAAATTGGGTTTTGTCCTCCAAAACTCTCTTTGTATAGTAGCCTATCTATAAGAGAGCATATAAAATTAGCAATGAATCTGAAAGGAGTTAAGTGTAGTGAAGAAAGTATGGAGAATTTATTGGTAAAGTATAATATAGACAAAGATTTGAGCGAACTTTACAAAGATCTTTCTAAGATTAATCAAAAGAAGCTGTGTTTGTTACTAGCTCTAACAGGACCTACCGAAATTCTTATAATAGATGAACCTACTGTAGGTCTAAAAATTAATCAAATTCGAGATATCTGGAAAATCTTGAACAGGGAACGTAAAGATGGCAAAACAATTATAATTGCTACTCATTTCTTAGAAGAAGCTGAAATTTTATCTGATACAATTGCTTTTATGTCGGAAGGCGTTATAAAATGTTATAGTAGTTTGGCAGATCTAGAAAAGAAATTAGATGAAAATTATCGTCTGAAGATAACTAAAGATCCTTTTAAAATCTTTAATTATGCAAAGATAAATGAATTTATGAATGAGAATATGAGAGATTGCAGTATCTTAGAAGAAAATAGTTTAGAGCAGATCTGGACAATTCCGAAGGAGAATTTTGATTCTTTACCAAAATTAATCGGCTTTTTCGAAGAAGATTCAATAAAAGATAATATTGGTTTTTCTCACTATGTTTTGAAAACACCTTCAATAGAAGATTTCTTTCACAAAATTTCAAATATGGAATCATCAATGAGTCTTTCATCAGGTTCTCTCTATTTTGGAAGCTTTAAGAAATACAGTTCTGCTTTTATATTTTTCAATCATCTTAACGCAATGATGATGAAGAGAAGAGCGTTTTTTAAAAGAAAACCATGGACTCTCTTCTCATCTTTAATAATTGCTAACCTATTTTTGATTCTTATTGCAATATCATCGGCTGATATTTTTAGGAAGAATAGCTTACTCACCTTTCGCAGATTGAAAAGAACTACGGATATTGACATTCAACCTAGCCGTTTTCATAATGCACAGCATTTAATAGCTTATCAGAGGGCAGAGAATGAGGATTTTACTTCGTTCTTATATCAATCGTATAGAGATTTTGGTATTATCAGTCGAGTTGAAAAGGTTAAGAGTAAAGCGAAATTAACGTCTATCATTCTTCAAAGTAATGATTCCAATTCTGACAAGAAAAATAACTGGAAATACGAAACTGTCTTTTGGATTGATGAACAGGATAATATTGAAATATATTACGGTTCTAGATATACTTTGTCCAGGTTCTTTGCTTTGAATGTTCTGAGTAACGCTTTTATTAAAAAGAATGGACAGGAGATGCCAATTCGGATGCACTTTAAAACATTCGAAATAGATCTAAATGATAATTTCAAGGAATCTAACAAGGAAGAACCAAAATTCTTGGAAATAATGTGCCATTTTAATGATTGGTATTATGCAGTAACATGTTCAATTTGTATTGGAATTTGCATTGTAATTTCTTTGATTCCATCATTCATATTGATAATTAAAGAGGAAATTTATGGATTTAAAGATACTCAAATCTTGTGCGGTCTCTCTATAAGGTGTTATTGGTTGTCTAATTTATTAGTAGATACTATTATAGCAAGTTCACCTCTACTATTAATTGTGCCTTATACAATATATAATGGTTCTCTAATATTATCTAATGCATCATCTGCACTAATAATACTGGTATTCTTTTATGAAATAGCATTTATTTCATTCATTCACCTAACTATAGCTGTCTTACCAAATTCCTTTATATCATCAGCAATTGTAACAGTTTTAAATATTGTAGTATTGATATTCTTTCAAAATTTTTCACTATTATTCTGGAGTGAGATAATAAAATGGAGAATTGTACCTGTTCCATCTATACAGTATATTTATTCTCTGCTTCATCCTAGCAACTCTTTGACAAATGGACTAATAAAGCTCTTCAATAGGAAATATTGTAATACGTTAAATCTTCCGTATTTCCATTCTAATCTATTTGGTATTTATTCTGATGTAATTACTCTTATCATTCAAATTCTTGTTTATCAAATACTCATATTAAGAATTGATTATGGATCTTTTAAGAGTTTTTTTAAATATACTAAATCAAATAGAAAAAATCGAAAGATTTCTAAAAGAACTATCTCAAGAGAAGGAGAGTTTCAAGTTCAAAGTGAAGCTGTTATTAAATCTGCTTCTGAACTTCAACAAAAGTTTGTTTTTATTTGATTTTTATTTAACTTTTAAATAGTTTTTGTTGTTTTTTTTTTAATAATTAATGGATACAGCCCAAAAGAAACTGTACACAATCATGAGAAGAAGGTAAAAAATAATCTAAGGGCGTCTATTAAAAAAAAAGCTATTGTTTTTAATGAAATTGGACAAAAACTCTCTACCACCGAAATTGGTCCTTTAACTCTTGCTGTTGACCTAAATGATTCGCTAGGAATTTTAGGAAAGTATAGACATAGGAGAACAGAATTATTGAACATGATCGTAGGAAAAAGACGTTTTTCCAAAGGTTCCTTATATGTTAATGGAAAGAATGTTAATGAAGATTTAGCTAATATTTATAAGGAAATTGACTATATACCTGCTTGCTTTCCTCTTCTCAACGAGTTAACTTTAAGAGAAACTTTAACAACCATTGCTCAGCTATGCGGTTATAGAAATAGTAGTATATATGAATTGGTTGAAAACATCTTAAACAGTATATCATCAAGTGATTTTGGAGATTTTCTTATAAGAAATATTTCAAAAGGACGTAAAAAGTTGTTAAGGCACGGTATAAGCCTTTTAAAAGAACCTATATTACTACTAGTAGACGAACCATCGGTGGCTTTGGATAATTGTAAAAAGAAGATTGTTTGGAATTTGTTAAGTAACTTTATAAGGGATGGTAAAACATTGATAATAAATACACAGAATATGGAGGAATACGAAATACTCTGTAACAAATGCGCTATTATTTCCAATGGACATTTAATTTGTTATGGAGATAAGGATTTTTTAATTGAACATTTTACTTCCGGTTATAAAATAAACTTGAAATTAGGTAAAAATCATAAAACGCCTTTTGATATTCGTCTAAAAAGTTTTGACAAACAATGGGCGTCTATTGAGAATAAAAAAGTTTGTTTAAAGGATAACGGAAATATTGAAATTCTTTTACAATCGCCAAGTATAAATTGGTTTGAAATTTTCCAAACTTTGAAATATTGTATGACAAACTACGGGATAGAACATCTATCTATTCAAAAACGTTCAATAAAGGATGTACGTAATTTTATACTATATAAAGAAAAAGAGGATGCTGAAGAAAAGAGCGATCCAGTCTATGACGACAAAATGTGAAGAAGAACTATTGAAAGAAGATAATCATTGTATTATTAGTTTAAGTTTATTTCTTTTTATGTTAAAATAAAAAACTATAAAAATTTGAAAAGACTTCATTTTAATGGAATGAGACAAATTAGACTAATAAGAAGTATATTTGCAAACAACATAGTTTTCGTCTAAGGGTAAAAAAAAAATGTTTGTCATTTTTTTTAAACCATAAATAGCATTGAAATAATCTAATTTAATAATTTTAGAACAGTTTATTTCTTTTGAGTATTTGTTTTCTTTTTAGAATTTGACTTATTTCCAGATTTTGCTGGACCGAATGGATCTACCTGCAAAAATTGAATATTTTTTTTAAATATCTTATATGTTTGTTATTTTCATACGTACATCTACTTTTTCTGATTTTTTAGCCGTTACGACAAGATCGGTTATTTGAGAACCGTACTTTTTCCAATCTCTTCCCCATCTTGCTCTCATTTCTATATATTCGTCGTATTCTTTAGGCTTCATGAACTGTTTTGTATTACTGGCGCAAACCAATTGGTCTTTTTCAAGTTCATTTTCGTCTTCAATTAATTTTCCTTCAACTGTAAATATATACTTTGAGGCTTTGTTTAAGTTTAATCTGGTTGTTGCATGATCCAATAATTGGCTCAGACTATCACCCCATATATAAACTGCTCTATGAATACTCTCTCCGTTAGGATAGACTAATATTCTCTTGAGACTTGGCTCTACATATAGACGCGTGGATCTTCTTCTTCGTTGCTTCTTCCTACTCTGTTGCATATCTTTCATCTCCGACAAATGAGTAGTTAACTGATGAACTTTATCGTGGGCCTCTTTTTCTTCGTGAGAAGGGTGCATCCAATTACCATCGATTAGTACTGGTCTATCTGGATCGTTGGTGGATCTAAACACACCGGAACTTAAACTTTCAATTCTCCTTCCTTGAATTTGACGAAGTATATGTTTTTGTTTCTCTAATTCGTATGAGACATTAGAACGCTCGTCTCGTTCCTTAATCTGTACCGAATGCTTAGTTTCAACCTCTGTAGAAATCAAAAAAAGTCAGTATTAATAATATAAAACAATTCTTAGGTGAAAACTTTACTTTCTGGTTCAATGAATTGTTCACCACAAGAAAACCATGCTTCAATAGGATAAGGCAATATCATATCAATGGGAGGTTTCTCTATTTCAATATTAGCTGGTTTAGCAACTTCTTTCTTCGGGGCTGGAGGAGGCTCATCTGAATATAATTATTATTATTAATATTACGCTGAGGTAATTTGTTTGTAACATACCTAAAAACACTTTTATACTCATTGAGTAGTTTCTCTCTTTTGATTGAGGTAGACGAGTGAAAAGGATACTTCCATCCAGGTGATCCGCAGAAATTTGACAACAAAGTGGTGACTCGTTTCGCGATTCAACAATGTCGTAAGCTAAAACACTCTGATCGGGACAATAGAAACCAAACACATAGCCAGGTTCTAAGTGAATTCCACCTGAACTTTGCCATTCCTCTATTGTGGTGGCATCCAATTCATATTCACCCTCTGTCTTAATATCTTGTTGAACCTGAACTACTAAACTGTAAGCTGGCTTATCTTTGACATCATTCTTAGGATCAGGTCGCCAAATTTGAAGATAAAGTAAACCAGGCGCCTGGGCGTGATAATGCCATGCTCCAAGCGTACAAGGAGCAGTTACAGCTTGAGACTCGGGGTTTGGAATTATGACTATAGACGACCATTTATCTTTTAGAGGTCTCTCATCAAGAACTTGATGTCCATATATCTTTTCCACATTCTGTGATCCACTACTCTTTTGTTCTTCCTTTTCCTCTTCGACGGCTCTTTCAGATTGCAATTGTTGTTTTGCCTCTTCAACATATTGGTCGCGAACTCCCTCTATTAAACTATCAATGTCTAAGTACAGATTACCATTTGCAGTATAAAGTCTATTGGCTCTCCAGCCTAAGTTTAGGCGATGAGTAGCTTGATCCAGTATCTAAATAGATTGAATAAATATCAAAATAGTTCGTTAAACGTCAACAAATTTAACTTGAAACTTACTCCTCTAATACTTGATCCTATAATTGTTACTGGAGGTCTAAGTCTTCCGTCTCCATTTTTGTAGGCCAAAATTTTTACTGTGTATGGAGATCTTGCAGCATTAAGACTTTGAGCTAAACTTCGAACGGAAAGCTCCTGTTTCATTTTCTCAAAGTTCTTCGTCCATTCAAGAAGTGTATGTTCAGCCTCATGAGTAGATAAGTCAACTTTTCCCATTAAGCATTTAAGACTTCCTACTTGCTTTATTCCTAATTGTTTGGCTGAAGCCATATCGCATGTAAAGTCAACGTTCCCAATAATTTTCTCCATTTTATATCTTCCTCTTAAGGATCTTGCGCAAGAAGTACAAACCTTAAGAGGCGCCTCTCCTTTCTTGGCTAGATTAACTTCGTAACCCTATAAATAAAATAATAAACGTTTATTTAAACATCATTTTACATCAACTAAAGACAAACTTGTTGATCTATTTCGGTTTGTCCCATCACAGTTGCTGTACAGACATTAGCGCAGTTAGCTGCAGTAATTTCTGAAAGATAATTCAATATTATTAAAATATTAATGAAAAAGGCAACCGTCTTTAATTTAAAATTACCTAAGTCCTCTTTTGTAGTGGCAAAGGCGAGCAGTAAATTATTATCCGAGTCGAATTGCCATTTTTGATTTGCTCGGCCAAATTGAACAGTTTTCTTTGGAGCAACAACTATAGGATTTCCAATGTAAGAACACTGTACATCATCTTCTCCGTTCACTGTTGCTGATGGCATTGATACCGTCAAAACTACAGATGAATTAAATTTTGCGGCAATGACGCTGTTTTAATAGGAATATGCATATTAGAATTTCTCTTTAAATTACATAATTTATCGTGCCATATTTACCCGTTATCCCTAACTGACCATCTTTGGAAGATATCGTCAATTTTTCTCTTTACTAGAATTACTGATCTTGTTCGTCCTTCTGATTCTTCAATGCCCAATACCAGATCGCTATTGGCTCTTGCTACGATATACTCATCGTCTAAATAGAATTTTTGTAGTACTATTGAATTGCCAGTTGGATCTTTCCTTCTCTTTCTTCTACAATATATATGATTTGTATATATTTTTAAATCGTTTCGAATAGTTCTACAAACCGAAATTTTTTAACCAGCGACTGATTAGTAAAGGCCTTTTCTTGTTGATTTGCCGCCTTAACTTCATCTATTCCACCATTAGAAGTTCTTTCCCAAGGCCACTTTCTTTTATTTAACCAATCTTCAGATTGAATATGAGATCTATCATGGGAGCTTAATGATCCTTGATTAAAGCTTGCATTGTCCCCCTCACCAATTTCATCTTTCAAAAGTTCACCGTCGTCATCGCTCTCGGGACCAGTGTGAATTTTACTATTAACTATAACTTTTGCTCCGGGTCTAAGATTTTCAGCTTCCAATACTAACCCTGTATCAATTAGTTTAAAATTATAAAATACAGTTTTCCCTTAGAGAATAAAGTAGGCTTAATTAAGTGTAAACCTAGATCCTAATTAGTATTATTTCATTATTTAATACAAAAACCACAAGTAATCGTTAGCATTCTGAGAGAGGATTGGTTGTATTAATGGAAATATAAATAAAATATCAATTCGTTTACATAGTTATACTATTTAACTAGTCTTAGGTAAATATATAATTAGTGAATTTTTAATCCTAAATTAACAAACCTAACCTAGATTTTAATAATACTTGACTATAATATTATAATAATTACAAATATTGTTATATTTAATTAATATAAAGACTAATTAATGATAAATAATCATAATTTAATTGTATTTTGAATATGTATTTAGTATAAATATACTGTGTATAGCAAAATTTCTCATTTTTAGAGTTTCTTCTCTTTTCCTTTTGAATTATTTTATTATCTTATCTTTTTTCCTGTTTTCGTGCAAAAAAATAATTTTAATCAATTTTTTATTCTAATGAATAGCTTTTCATATTTTTTGCAGAAGCTTTGGCATTGAAAAACAAATTGAAGCTTGAAATATATTTTGTTTGTTTTTTTTTTTTAAAAAAACAACCTCATTGTTATCTTTAATAGTTTTTCCTTTTTTATCATTTTTTGAGAAGCCAGTAAAAAATAACACAAAAACGCACACATTTACATATAGAGAGTAAAATGTGAGCCCTTATTAGAGTTTGTAGTTTTGTTTCGCTTGATTAGTAATTCAGTAAAAACACATAATTGTCTAATTAAAGCTAAGAGAAGTGATACATTGATAATATTTGAAAATATTTTGTGTAAAAGTAGAGCACTAGCTATGTTTCACCTACCTTCACCGTCCCTTAAACGAACAAACTGCCTTATATGAGTGATATCCGATCCCAAATTCGATAATAGGTAGCGGCGCTGCTGTTCAGATTTAGTCATAAAAGGATTGCTCCAAGGTTCACCACAACTTATGTAGACCAATTGATCTCTATTTAATTTCTCCAAGTTTGTATGTTCTCTTCCCTTTTCGTCAAAAAGTCGACGGCCAGCAAAAGGTAGATTTAAAAGCGAAGTTGCACTTTCCAAGAACTAAAAAGAGAGATTTGAGGAATAAGTTACTTTCATTTCATCAGTTAAATGGTTATTTGTGCATTTAATGAACTATAAGACTTGTCTTTTGTCTCTCTACATTCAAAAGCTCTAAGTATTAATAGAGTTTGCCTTTCAATTTCTTCCCTCGAAAAGATTGATTACGCAATCATTTAAGCAATTAAAGGAAAAGAGATATTTTCTTTCTTTTTCTCTATATATTTACAGTATATACAGGAAACAAGTAAATCTTTAATAGATAGATATTTTTAAAGTGATATTTGTTTGTTATTTTGTTTGTTTTTACTTTGTATAACGTAAAATTTTGTTGGCGCCCTAATTTCGAAAAAAGTAGTGAAAATATTAAATATCAAAATAAACATAAAAAGGTAAAAGTAATACAAACAAGAATAAATTCCAATTTTAATATTGAAAGATTGTCATCGTTCTGATTCATGTCTTCATCTTCAGGATTAAATTTTTTTGAATTTCTAGATTTTCCTTTATTCAAATCTTTCTTCATCTAATTTATTTGTTTAATAGTAAAATATAATAGGTTATTGAAGAGAGAATATGCTCTTACATTTGTTAAATCCGGTCCAACAACACTAACTGCTTGACGTATATCTCTTACTCCATTCTTTAATGTTAATAATCTCAATGGTGGATTTGATGCAGGAGTAGATGATATCTTTTTTTGCATAGGAGGAGCATAAGGTAATAAGTAACCTTCCATCGGCCATTGATAATCCTAAAAGAATAAATATATAATGTTAATTTAATCAAATAAATAAACAAAACGTATTAAACCTCATTTAAGCTTCCTTGTTCGTCTACTGGCCAGGAGAGAGCTCTTTTACTCCATTCAGTGTTTTGTACTTTTGTATGTTTCCACTGTCCTAAGTTTTCTAATTTTTCTTGCTTGAACGCAAATCTATAAGAATAAATATGTTAGAGATTTACAATTTTCGTATAAAGCCAATAAAAGTTACTTTTGAGCTTTACTCCATTTATTATCTTCAATCAGTTCGCAAACAGCCAAGTAAATTTTTACGCCCGAAGGAAGGCCCACTTCTTCATTGTTTAGTTTTCCTTCTTCGTCATTCACTTTCGAACCAACATAAGTTAAAAATAGGGCTGGCTGACTTTCAGCGTAAATATGACCTTCCTTTGTAAACGTCCAAGTTTGACTTCTATTTCCATTTTGTTTCTCTTGTAAAGTTACAACGTATCCTTGTAGACCGATGTTAGTTTCACCTTCGGTTGGATGTCGTAGCTTAGCCGTTACTTTATGATCACTTGCTCCGAGAACCAATTGGGGTAAATGTTTACAGTGGATATATCTATCTTTAGAAAGGACCCATATTTGAGCTTCTTGGGGAAAGATACTTTCTTTACTACTTTTAACATCAACACCAACTTCCGGATAAACAATTAAGTTTGAATCGGTCTAAATGAATCTTGGTTTTATTATCTATACTTAATTCAAAAGAGTACAGTTCATCTTACCTTATCCACTAAATACGTTATATCAGGTGGTAATTTTGCAGTTTCCGCTTGAGACATAATTACATCAATGGTATAAGAATCTGCATGAGAAATATCATCTATATCGAAATTTTCACCAAAGCCGGAGTGAGTAATCCAATGGTTTCTATGAAAATTTAATTGTTTAATGTTTATAGGCGAAAAATTAAACTTTGTTTCTAATTACTTAGTCTTCCCATCAACTTCATTCTTCATTAGTTGTTCTCTAATACCGAAAAGTTTTCCATCGGTACCTTTATAGCATCGTACTTTGTCAACCACAGCCGAGACAGCGTAGGCTAAAATGTAAAAATGAAATAAAGAGATTTTTAATTTAGTGAATACTTTGATTTGATAACAACTTACTATGAAAACTCTTGAAATGATCGTCGAAACCTAACCAAACTTCTTGGTCATCTTGTAAATCGTACACGTTACATAATTCTTTTCCCGATATATCGAAAAGTTTCTTTGCTAATTTACGACTTCCACTTGTTCTAAAGGCTTCGGCGCAAGTGTCCAAAAGCTAAAATGGTATTTAATCTAATTATAAATCTAAACTTGAATACTTCATTACATGCGATAAATTACCTTTTCGAATAATTTCTTTTCCTTATCTTTATCATTCCTTAGTCCTCTTTCCATTAGTTGTATATTAAAGAAGACAATTGTTGGCTCGTTATAGGTTCCATTTTTAAACACTCTTAGCTTAACGTTAGCAGATCTTATTAAACGGTTATCTTTATTTATCTTAGGGATATGCTGATGACTATAGTCAGCAGCTAGTTCTTTCTCGTGGAATAAAGGTTCTTTTAGCTTTTCCATTTGCTCTTTTAGATGATTAAGAGCGTTTGTAAAGTCATCTAAATCTCTTGCAACCTGTTATAAATATAAAGAAATAAATCGAATCATCATACAATATTCACTTTTAAACGTTTTTTCTACTTACAATAACTGATGTTGACGAAATTTGTTTTAATTCCATTGAAAGAATAGTTGTAATATTGATACCAGAACGGAGTTGTTCCCGTCTAACATCGTCTGTTTCTATTGCAGCCTCTTGAGCCATTTGAAGCTGTTTAATAGTTGAAACGATTATGTTTTTGTTTAAAGATTGTAAAGAAATGGGAAATTAACCTGGTTTTTATAGATTTTAGCCTCTTTTAATTTAGCTTTGGTATAAGCTATTAGACCTTCAAGGAATTCGACGACACCTTTGGGTGAAAAAGGTTCTCCTGTTCCAACCCATACTGGTCCTAGAACAGGAGTTGTGCTAGTTTGCAAGCAAGTATCCAAAATAGGAACTAAAATATAAGGAGATATACAATAAATTTCATAATAAGTACAACCAAAATTTTTACCGTTCCAAAATCCAAGTAGCTCAGTTCCTTCCCAATCAAATAACGTCTTAGCAAAACCTCTCAAATCCAGTTTTGCAGTGCAGGCTACTAAAAACTATAAGAAAAGAAAAGAATTATGAATATATTAAGTATAGAAAATTTATTTAAGCAATTACCTCTTCGAACCTATCTGCATCAGCAACAATTTCAACACCTTCAGTTCCTTTTCCATTCTTGAATACTAAAATTCGTCTTTTGTTAGATTCCAACATTTTCCTAGAAAATTAGTTTAATTAATTAATTAATTAACATATTTATTATTTCAATTATTTTTAAATATGAATTACTTCATTCTCTTTGATATTCTTGGTTTTGTAAATTGTTTTTTAGTCTCCCCAGTCTGAACTACTCCTCCAACTGTCCAATTAACCTTTTTCGATAGTTTTATAGATCCTAAGATTATAAGAAAATATTATTAAATTGAAGTATATATAGTATATTTATAGGTCTTATATATAGAAAAATATTCACTCTTTGCTCCAGTAAACGGATCTTTAAAGTTTTCACCGCATGATATATATACTTCAGCATCTCTTTCAATTGAATCGTGTTTCGTAATTTCCATTCCATCGTCGTAGAATGCTCTTCTTGCAGCTGATGTCAATCCCAATTTATCAGTGCATAGATCAAGTAACTGTAATAAAAAATCAATTCTTAATCTGCCTAACGTTCATTAAAGGCAGTTTAATCTACCGTTCTAAAATCTGGTGCAGTAACCCTACAAAAAATGCTTCTATCTCCATTTTTGAAAGCAGTACATACAATGGGACGCGAAAGCTTTCGATAGAGAGATTTTACTTTTGAAGCTGCAAACAAAGAGTAAAAAATAACGATTTACGATAATCTGACTGAATAATAATTGTATTGAATTCGTATTTACCGGTCGATTTAGCACTGGCTGGTCTTGATCCATAAGTTGAGGAGAGGGGTCTATATTAAATAGGATAAAATATTAATGATATAAATGATTCTTTCTTCAACAGTCGTCTTTTTAAATATAAAATAAATTAAAATAAATATGCTTTAGTTTACTTTTAATGCATGAGCATTTTACTTATTTGGTGACTAATTGTTTGTAAATAATTGATGATTAAAGCATGAACAGAGGAAAAAGGGGATGGGTAAATTTTGAAACATTAACATGAAATTAACAACATATATACTGTATATATTTAAATATATATCGTGCAGCTAACAGGCCTCAACCAAATTATAAGGTTTTAGCACCAATCCCTTGTTCCCACCTTTGCCTATTCATAAAATATATAAAAAAAAGAATTATATAAATAAATACTGATTGCTTAAAAGCTTGAACAAACATGCTTTACAGATTTTCATCAAATATACCCTTTTTCCTAAGCGATATAAACGACAAAGAAACAACTTTTCAACAAAAGGAATACACTAATGACGAACCGTCTCAAAGTCCTGCATTTTCAATTTTTAAGAGAAAAATATTGTTGGAATAAGAATATTTAAATATAGATAAATGACTTATTCATACCTTCTGAAGGCGGGGGCGCTTACAGGCCTACCCCTCCTATATGAACTTTCGCTTGTGGCACTAGAATAGGCTGAAACTGGACGATGTCTAGGGAAAGCGTGAGTCTCCACAAACTTCTGCTTGAAAGGAGACGGTCCTGCGACAGTGCTAGATAAAAACAATATAAACATTAATTTCATAGATAATAAACTATTGTCAATATTAATATGGTAGTTTAAAAATATAGTACAATTATACATCAAACAGAAAGAGAGAGAGAGAGAGAGAGAGACCTTAATTCAATAATGCATAAAAAAAACAAAGAAACATAGACTAATTGAGATAAAATGATATAAATAATTAACAATTAAGCAAAATACTATTGATTTTTATCAGATGTGTAAAGAAGAGGGAAGTTTAATTTATATATAATCAAATCAAAAAGAGTCTTTTTTTTTAATAAACATAAGATAAGAATAAATGAATGTTTTAAACAAATATTTATATTTTAAGTTTTCCTTAACACCCAATTCTAGTTGGCTATTGATTATTGCTTTTAACAATAAGGCACAACTTTATATTGACCTTTTTTTTTAAAAATATGGCAAAATTCATAAAGAATTATATATATGTATAGGCTTAATATACTATAATATAGTTAAAAACATTAAAATTCCTAGAAATGATGAATGTTTTTAAATTATTGATATATTAAACGGAAAGAATTAAAATATAAAATAATATTTTTGTAATAGTTTAAGTTAGTTTAATAGATTTTATCCTTTTTAATTACATTTTTCTTTATATAGAGAAATAATATCTTGTTTTATTATTGTTTTTATTATTATTAATAATAATGAAAAGAAAATCTAACCATATTTTACCAATTGTCTTCGGTTTATTCATTTTCAAAAATACGTTTGAAATGATTTGATTAGGCCACGACTATTTTAATTAAGGTGAAAAAAATGTAATAAGAGAACTTACCTATATTTTGTAGGTGTGCTCTGCAATGCTTCTAAATAGCGAGAGACTAGAACATCCTCATAAGTAACATCTCCGGAACCGGCGTTAACGTGAACTGTTCTAGAGGTACTGCCGAACTCATCTCTTGATCTTGTTGTGGATTTACCACTGGTCGGTCTCATTCTTTTTCTTTCTTTGGCTTAATTTAATTTGATTTAAACGCTTTTAAGAATATAACATCCAATCGAGAATTTATTTCTGTATTCAAAAAGTATTTGGTAATATGAATTCTTTTTTTGGTGATGGAAATAAATTTCTTGTATCTCTAAAATTGTCATAGAAAACATGCGACTGCCATGTTTATTTTGACCGTATCCAGGAAGTCACGTGTTCACCGATATAGGAGTAACACTTGCTACTCTATAGTAATCGAAAATGGCCGTGAACATTACAATTAATATCTTCCTTCGCCATTTTGATTTGTTTTAAGAAAAATTGCGGGAAAGTTCAATTTAATTATTTCAAAATATATTTAATACAAAAAATATAAAATCAATAAGAGCTTAACCTAATAAAGTAATTTAATTAATTTAAATAATATTCAAGAATTTATATTTTTATGACACATAGAAACATTTAAAAAAAAGAATCTATATTTATTTTAAAATAGCTAAAAAAAAAATGGAGACAATTCAAAAATTACAAACATACTTATTTTCCACGTACGGTCTTAAGAAATTGTTCATGTTAACATTCTTAGGGCTGATACTTTTTATAACCATTGATCTTTTTTATCCTGCTAATATTGAAACTACAAAGAGATTGAGAAGAAAGTATAAAAACCAGGGTTCTATTTTGTGTTACTTGGGTTGTATTATGAATCAAGTTTGGTGTAATTACAACTGTATAAGAAAATAGCAAGAAGATAGAGATTATAGTGAATCGTGAAGAGACGGAAATAAATAATAACAACTTAAAACCTAATTAAATACCTTATTTATGAAGAGAGAAAATACTGCAATAAACTATTGATCTAGCTTAATAATAATTGAATACAAAAAAAATTAATTCTCCAGTAGTAAATGAATATTCATTTATGCAAATAATTTGCTATTTATGCATTCATAAATAAATAAATTTGTATCGTGTATATGTATATATATGAGGAAATATCTATATATATATATATATATATATATATATCTCACATAAATACAAGACTGATATAATATTATTATTCTGAGTCAATCCTCTATTGATTTCTCATGGATACCGTTACTATTGGCGGCTAGTTCTTTTGTCAACGCAACCACTCAAAGTGGAAACTTCAACGCTGATAATAACAAAAATGAGCTGGTACCAACTCCTCGACGGCGTCAAAGAGAGAACAGATTTCGATTTCAAAGGATCAATAATAAATATTGAAAGCAATGACAATCTTACTCCAAGTGGAGATGTGGCAATAGAAATACCATCGGATGACCTTACTGCTGTTATTGAGGCCGTGAAAGGAGAAAACCAAGTATAATAGCCACTAATTTATAAAAAATAGTGTTAAATTAATGCACATGTATATATTCACATTTTTTAACTATAGGAGAATTTACTTAAAGTTGATGGAGCAAATTTTAAATATCAACGATCTCTAATCAATGATTCGGAAACTGTAAGAAATTCAATCTGGACAATTCCAGAGGGGGAGAATACCCCTGGAGCTATTGTAACAGTAATTTTGAAAAGCAAGATAATCTTGCTCATTCGAACGTATGGAGAGAATAAAGATAACGTAGAAACTGCGAAAGCTCACAACTTATTAGATAGAATTATTCGTAATTTAATAGATTTAATATAGACTAACTGCAAAAAGTATATTTGGCATAAAAGATTGATTCAGATAGCATTCTTTTCTTCTCCGTCTCTCAAATCCTTTAAAAAATAATTGTAATATTTAACTTACGAGAACTTATACATTTTCTTAACAAACAATGAATTTATTGTAATAAATAAATAGAACAAACGTCAATCATTTTTATATTCAATTACAAATTGTAATTTTATCGATGAAATTGGGAAAATACAAAAAGATAGTCATCACCCTGGAGTGGAAACGGAAAGTCCTAGTTACCATAAATTTAGGAAGGGTTAATCATCGGTAAAAAAAAAATAATAATAAAGAAAAGTAGAGAAAAGCAGTATCAGAAAAGAAAAGGACGAGAGAAGAGAGAAAACACAAAGTTTATTTCTCTCTCTTTCTTTCTTTTATTCTTTTTTTCTTCTTTTCTTTCGATCTTTTCTCTTTCCTTTTTATATTTATCTAACTGATTTTATCACTTTGAAATGTCTTAACTTGAAAGTAGTAGTCGCACATAATATATATATTTAATCTTCGGCAACTTTGTCAAATATAAAGATAAATCTTTGGAATTAAGAGAAATTCCACCTCGTTTTATTTAAATTCTTTTTAAAAACATCTGGTGCTTTGTTGATTTTGAAGTTGAACTAACAAATTCAAATTGAACTTGTAGGCGTATTTCCTTCCGGTTACCTTGCTTAAGATAAGCTTGTCGTAATAATATCTAAGAGCTCTGGATAGTTTGTCATAAGTCATATTTGGCCTTCGCTTTTGTACTCCCCATAACTCAGCTAATTTTGAAGGTTTTTTAATTCTGAACTGACCCTGTTAAAAATAGTATTTTTGTTAATAATTCTTAATTATCCTAATTAATCATGAGAATATTCTAGTCGCGTTTTGTAATTAATTATGAATAATACGCTTTTAATTAATTAGTTTGTTATTGTTGGCTTTTTAAAATAAATATTTCTAAAGGATTGTTTAACGAGTTTGTTTTAAATAAAACATAATAAAACATATTACGCTGTTCCCTTCCCATTCAATTAAATCGGAATAATCGGATGGATTATTCAATAAATCAATTAAATATTGCCAAAGTTGAATTGGTCCAGTCCTAGGAATACCTTTTTGAAGAAAAAGTATTTATTAAATAACCTTGACACTTCTTTAAAAGTTTCCTAATTCATATGAAAATAAATTGAATAAAAAAACGAAAATGCCGTGTATAGAAGGTATAGAATTTCTTGATAAATTAAAAACCAAATAGTAGTTCAAGTTTCTTAAAAACTATAAACGAATTGTAAACAAATAATACGATTAGCTGGAGATAACTTTTTTAATAACGGAATATTATTAATCCATCATTCAATGTGTTAATTACAAATTACACATTAATTAACATGGATACATGTTTATTACACTCACAAAAGAATTAGGATAAAATTTAGGATAAAAGCAAACGATGTTTTGTTTATCTCTCTTCTTTACCTTTACACTCTATACTATCCTTGTTTCTATGTTTTCTATTAAAACAAGTATTTATATAAATCTTTTCAATTTAAATATTCAACAAATACAAAAGAAAATATATATGTTAATAGTTAACATTTGTTGAAAATGTAGATGACCTTTTCTATCTGTTTTTATCATTTAGATAAATAAAAGACTTTTAAAAGAATAGGAAAGAATAAAATGGAAAAAACAATTGGATAGAATAAAATGAAAGATTTTAGAGGCTAACCTATTGTTTTTGAAATGTTGCCAGTGTTAAAATCCCCTTCTAATTCGTCGATTAATCCAACAATTTCTTCAATATCATATTTTTCCAAGTCATTTTTACAAGTTTGAAATAAATGATCAACGTAGCTTGGAGGTTGCCTAGTCTCCATGCTTAGTTCAATAATTTTCATTTAGAATGAAAAGAGCTGTCTGGAAGGATAGGGGAGGAAGGTAGACAGGGGTTAAAAGACGAGGGCAAGACGATAGAGAGGGCCAGTGAGTCGCTTTATATATTCAGCTCGTTTTTTTTTGATTAAGGCCGGGGTTTCTTATATAAAAACAAATTTCGGTATGCCAAGCACGTGCGGTATGCAGGACGTAGAAAGATTATTTGTGTGCTATTGCGAACACCGAATAAGTACGAAAATGAACTTATGTAAACTATTTTTTATTTGTTAGTAGTTCTAAACTAAAAATATAAAAAAGAGAATTCCCTCGAAAGGAAATTTCCTACTAATTCCAATAAATAAACAAATTAAACAGACAAACAACAAACTAAAGAGAATTAAAGGAGTTAAGCTATCTTTTCATTTTATTATCATTTATACAATTTCTTTGTTACGTTTCCTTTTTTATCTTAAAAAAATGTGTAAATCATTTAACAAAAACTTGGCGGTAGGTAGAATGCATAGATACTTTTTTATTTTACTACTCTTTAATATCCCCATATATTCTTGCCTTTTCTTTCATAGACAATTTCATGTTACACATTTAAAAGAGATGTACTTTTAACTAATAATATATATCTCCATATTAATATATATATATATTGTACGCGTATTTATTTAAACTAAGAAAAGTAAGAGTAAAAGCGGTTAGCTTGTTAAACATTTTAAGTTTATTGAAATTGAAGTTAAGATATTAAACAGGAAATTTACTTTTAGTATTCAGTTTATATCCATATCTCTATACCGGTCGACCCTTTGAACCGGGCAAAAATATTTGAACAATACCCTCGGAATACTTTGTTATACTATCCGATATTAGCACCCATAGATCTCTTTGTTTTGGAGCTTCCTTTTTTTTTCTCTTTACACCTAAGATTCCCTAGATAACCTTAAAGCTTTAAGGCATTTTAGTATATTAACCAAATAGAACGTATGATTGATAAAACACTTGAATTTTTTATTAAATTATGTATTTTTATTGTTTTTGATTTCTAAATTTTTATTACAGATAGGGTTTCCATTTAAAATTTAACAATTTCTTTCGCACTTTAATATGAAATTGCTATCTACTTAATGACTAGATATTAGTATATTAATTATTAATATTTAGATAAATGCATTTATGTAAACAATGTAAGTATATATAAAATTTATATAAAAATACGATAAAAATCAAGAAAATTTGAAAATGAAAACGAATACAGGCTACTACTAAGATTATAGTTAAACAATAATTAAAATTTATAATAAATGAAAAAAAAAAAACAATTAAAAATTCAACACCATAAATCAGTTATTTTAAAATTCTTAGACCATGGCAAAAACAGACAAAATACTAATAAAACAGACAAAATATTTCTTTTTAAAACATATATTTAAGTAATGTAAAATGTATACTCTTATTGCTTTCTAATCACCTAAACTTAATTGTATTTTATCCTCGAAGAGAGCTATCAAAAGCATAATTCCAGCACCTGTTGTGATCCCCCCAATATGAAGTATCAAAGCAAACATAGTTGGATGACTGGTTTTACCACTATTTAAGTGAGGCATCATATCTGCTAAGGCAATATATATAAACATGCCGGCCGCTAAACTAAAAATCCATGAAGATGCGGTATCGACATTTCCCAGACCGACTCCTATAACCATTCCCATTAGGCACAAAATGGAAGACAAGATATTATATAACAATGCTCTCTTTACAGTCATACCGGCTTTTAATAAAACAGCAAAATCACCAAGTTCATGAGGTAATTCATGACAAAGTACAGCTACTGCTGTACTAACTCCACCCCCTATACCAGCAGCAAAGGCTGCTCCTATGGCAAGCCCATCCGAAAAGTTATGTAAGCCATCTCCGAATATTACCATCCAGGCAACGGCTCCCATACTATCAGGGACATCATGACTATGACCATGACCTTTGCTTGAAGTATCTTTTTCATAACTATATGGAGTGGCAGCTGATGCTCCAGGGCTAAGATCATCCATTTCATTAACATCATGGTCGCATTCTACGTCGACATCTGTACTTTCATCTCTTAATTTCTTTGACAGTTCTTCATCAGTCAAAATATAAGAATATCTTGAGTGATGTGTGCACAATCTCCTAGCGACACGTGGTGAGTCGATAGTCAACATTTTTGCCTTTCTTGACCGCCTTTTCCTTTGATATCTATTCAGTATGGACAAAAGACGTTCAGCAATGAAAAACGTGTATAAACCGGCTAAGGCTACAAGTCCCTTGAAAACTCCCGACTTGTCGGCATGGGAATGATCGTCACCCTCTGCGTGACCTCCTGAAAGTGCATGAGGTATCAAGTGCAACAGAGCATCACCCGTTAAAGAACCAATTGCCAAAGCGACTAGAAAAGATAATAGATGATCATAGATTCTACTTTTCATGAGAGGCACAGCTGCAACCCCTAACAAACCCACCATACTGATAACAAATACGCTAAGAAGAGCACAACCCCATACTTTTAAAGGTATTCTTGAAAAGTCGAATGCCTTCTTGCTAATGATAACTACATTTTGAGCTTCCTGATAACGTCGTTGCTGTTCAATACAGGCATGATCGTCAATTTGAGCAACAAGAACTGGGCAAACTTTTAAAAATTCGCTTTTGTTTATCGTCTTTTTCCTATTTTTCACCAAAAGTAATAACTCATCTGGTCGAAGGCACTGTTAGAAAAAATTAAATAATTAGTATAACATATTTGAATATATAATAATTTATATTAACAGCTGTTTTATTAAAAATGCTGCAATATAAAAAAATCGATCCAACTTATCTACATTTTGTAAAAATAGAATTAAATATTCCCACAGCTGATTATTACTGATTCTATTGAAGAACGTATAAAAAGAATAAGTTTAGGACCCTTAATCTTATTGAGGACAAATACTAAAATAATCCCTCCAACTCATTTTTGTTATAATCATTTAAATTATACTCTATTTGTTTTTTTATGAAAATACAATATCTTTTTGGTTCAGTAAAGTTTGCAGTTGAAAACTAAAATATTATCTCATCCATCTTATTTAAATATTCCATAATATTTACTAAAACTCTTTCCATAATACAGTATATCACGTTACTAAAGTACACAATTTTTTATGTTAAAAACCACCCTTCATCTCATCGCCTAAATAAAAAAATCATTTTTTATTTACTTTGTTCGATTGTATTGTCCTTTTTTGCCTGTTGGACAGTATTTCTTCATCTTTTATATCATTTTCTTCTTGTGGACTTGTTCCTTCTTTGCTCTTATTGTTTTGACTATCAGTTTTAGAATTTTCAAGTTTCTTTTTACCATGAACATGAGAATGGCTTGAACTCGTCTTTCTCTTATTACCTTCAAGTTCGTTCGTCGCTATGTTGTCATGTTCATTATCAAGATGGTGATCGTGATCATGCTCATGATCGTGCCCATTCTTGTCTTTAAGTGTTGGATTACCACTATAGGAATGCTCGTGAGAAGGATGAAATTCGTGAAAGCCTCCAGCTTTTTTATGATCAACTAAATCATGCTCAAGAGTAACGTTACCCAAACCCAATGCTTGTAATAAGTGTTCGAAACCTTCGAAAGGCATATTGGTTCCATTGCCGTACTTTTCAAAAATATGACGAAGGAAATACTCTTGATTGAATGCAGCAGAACATGCGACGATTAGTAAGGAGAAGATAATTAACCTACTCATTGTAAACTGAAAAGGGAAAAATAAATATATTTATTAGATTATTATGTATGGTAAAATACATATATTTAATAAATTATCTCTTTTTACACAGAGCCTAAACATATTTTATCAAATAGATAGTTGGTTGCACACCATCTTTAATACTTAAGTAGATAAGATATTGTGGAGGTGTGCATCAACAGTCATAGTTCATACTATACGCGGATCTTGTCTACAAAGTTCGTAAAGAAATGAAATATAAACCCAGTCAGGGGCCGATCAGTAAGCTACAAAATATATTGAACCTTTGACCCTATTCTATTGACTCATTCCAGATCGATAGTGGTTTGGAAATCGAATGTTTATGTTGTGACAAGAACACCACACAAAGTTGCAATGAAATTTTATATTTAAACAACCCTAACAGACGTAGTTGTTATGCTTTAACAAGGATTTTTCATTTAAATTGTATTTCATTCCATATAACATCTTTTCATGCTTTATTAGACAAATAAGGGTAATTTAATATCATCGCATTTTATCGCCCATTAAATAACTTAACGATGACGATGAAACCTGCTCTGATTGAAGGACTTTCTATCAATCGCACAATTCGTTTAGATATAATCTCGTACTTAGTATAAAGTAAAAAAAAAGGAAATACAACATGAAAATCTTTAGAAACATTCACCCATCTTTCGTATCAATAAATTGATTTTTAATCAAATTAATTAGCTAAGCAATTGATACAAACAACTTATTTCCTCAATTTGATTAATATCTCTTTATTTGAAAGTAACTTTTTTTTTCTGTCATTTAACTTATCATTAAATATATAAAAAGGAAATTTATAAGTAAACAATTGAAAAAAAAAGTGTTTTTGACAATAGCTACTTGTTGAATATTATCAACTGTACACAGTACACGTTAACATGCTTATTTTGGGGTAAACATAACCTATAAATAAAATTGTACAATCAACCAATGATTTTAATACCGGTTTACGATTAAATCATAAGTATCAATAGTAAAAGGCATTCTGAGACAAAATAGTTTTCTCTATGAATAATATAATGACATAAAAGTTAAAGCTTTGTAATTAACTGTTTCAAAGTGACCTAATTTATTTGGATATAAGTCAAAATTAAACCTATAGTTATTACATTTACATAAATACATGCATCATCAAAAGATTAACTCTAGAATAAAGTCGATTTTATCATACTAAGAACTATTCCAAGAGAAATGTAAATTAGATATTAATTTCTACTTACAATTTTTTTAATTTACTGTTGGTGACTGGAACTTTTTTTGTCTGAGGTTAGAAAGGTTATGATTTATACTACTAAACGCTGCATATCAACAATAAAACATATTGAACAGAAGTAGTATTGCTATCATTTTAAATGCTAAAAGAAAGTTCCTGAGTATAACCACTCAAAGTTCTCAATGCCGTCTTCAATCTCGAATAATTTTATTATATTAGTATTAATGATTACTTTTAAATATATTAATAAATTATAATACATATTCTCCTCTCAAAGGCTTTAAATAATAACAATGTATAAATATTCGGTTTATTTCAAATGATAACATTGATAAAAATTGCTTTTTTATCCAAAGTATTCTCTTCCTATCTATAATTAGCCTATATATTTCAGAAAATTATATTATAATTGTTAATTGTAATACCTATTATAAATGAAAAATTAGACAACCCTTGTTATCTGATCAACTGATTTAGGCTTGAAATGAAAAGTTAGAGGGAAAAATAGAAAACACACCTTGTTAGAGGAAAGTGATCATTTAACAATTGTGTAAGATCCTATAACAAGCAATATCTAATTGCAATAAATGGAATTTAAAAATTGATAATTTCACATACCTTTAATACTTGAATAAAGTTAAAGACTGTTGGACTTAAACTTCTCTAAAGGTATTCTTTCCAAATTGTAGCGAGATAGTCTGGTAAAATGGAAGGAAAAAGGAAAAGTGTTACATTTAAAGAGTTCAACTTTTAACTGTTCAGCGCCACCTGCATACTTCCTAACTGTCAATTATCCAATACAAAATAGTTTTTAGATAAATACTTTCCTTAATTATCAATAGAATCTAAGTAGAAATTTTCTTAAAACTATTCAATTATATTAAACGTAATATCCAAAAAGAACAAAAAGAACAGAACATTCTAAAGAATACTTCATTCGATTAATTTTTTTTTGGACATTATTAATGTAATTGTCTAATCGTCTGTTTGTTATAAAAGCAACTTTTTTTGATTAACTAATACTAAAAACGTAAATATTGAAAATATTTATATTTTCTTGTTGCCTGTCGTATATTGATGCCTATGTTATTACTAAATACAAAATTTACGCAGTTATGCACAAAATAACAAACAAATAGGAGAGATTGACGTAATTTCAGGAGGTTTTTACTCTTTCAAAGACAATAGTATTTGAAAAATAAATATGGGAATGTCATTTAATTTTAATACGAACAACAAAGTTGTACTCTCTAACACGCCCCTCCCACATATTCTAACCAAGTGCGAAACCACAAATTATAAAGTAAGACATTGTTCTAAGTCCATAGTTGTTTAAATTGTTGCTAGTTATAAGAGTAACATATTTATAGACATATGCTATTATATATATTTAAAAAAAAGATGATTAAAAGAGAATAGTGTGATAAATAATTAGAAAGTGTTGTTCTAAGTTTCTGGTATTCGCATAACGGATTTTTAAGATTAAATTCGAGGTTTAATACTATTCTTACAACATTATTTTAACAGTTTAATTCATAGAAATAAACTATAGAATTATTAATATTTTTTAGGACTTAAAATAAATAAGAGGTATATACTTTGAAAACTTTTTAACTATTACATTAAATAAGGCAGTTTTACTAAGATAACAATATAATATAGGCCTATAACATATAGCCAACATTATATTCACTGCACTGCTAATTATAGATTATGCGAAAAATAAGATATTAATTTTTGATCAAGTTATGATCTCTTACCTTTTAGTTTGTCTCCAATTAAAAAGTTTTTTGGTTCCAGTAGTAATGCTAGGCCTATACTATTGTAAAAATATGAGAAACTGTAGAGCTGTGTGCAGTGGAAGAGACGTGCGCAGTATGACTCGAAAATGACCTACTTGCATAAATACTGGACTCTCAAGAGACCTCAGTCATTTTTTTTCATTTTTATACTTCTTTTACTTTTTTGATATTTGCTCAATAAAAAAGAATTGATAAATTTTTTTTATATTCTTGTTAATTGCCGATAAGAAAATTGGAATTTTTCTCGATATAAATAGCGATTAGTTTAAACCGGATATAGAATTCGTAATCTTTGTGCGTCATCTTAGACAATCGTATTTTTGCAAAAATACCATTAAACTTTCTTTTCGGTCGAAAAATATCAACGGAAAAATGTTTCAATAATTATTTTTGAATATCTAATTTTTAATCTTCAAAAATGAGATTTATTGAAAAAATATTGTGAAAATCATAAGAAAAAACAGGGTGCAAAAAAAAAAACGGGTCACGTGACCTTTCCCAACACCATAAAATCAACTTTAGACTGCTTTCGGTGGTCAAAGAATACATCTGCGAAAGTTATATTTTCTTATTTATTTTAATATATAAATAATACATTTTTTGCAATATGGCACTCTCAACGTGTCAAAAATATTACTCTAAATGAAACTGAAGCCAAAAATACAAATTTACCTATAATAGCAAAATTATAAATGAGAATGTTTCACACTCCAACAAATAGAACATAAATAACAATTGATTGGAGAGTATCAATTTCAACCATCAAAAAACATAAAGATAACTACTGATAGAACAATTTAACTTATCAAAAGAGGTATAAATGTTTTCAAATTGTTCTTATCGAAGAATGATTTTTTTTCGCATTGTAGATTAATACATTTCACTACAACGTTAAAAAAGGATTTTGCATTTTTTTTCTTTAACCTTGCACCATGTAAGATTATACTGCGTTTATAATAAAAACACAGATCAATGATAATAGGCAATAACGAACATCCCTATCCATCCTATAAGGAGTCCTGCATTTTGGAGAAAGGCGTGTATGAAAAGTTTTTCACCTTTTCTTGAATAAATACTTGTCATTTCAGGTAGCTAAAAATAAAAATTAATCAATATAAGATTAATTTCTAATTTAAATAATAACCATGTGAGCTAAAGAAATGTAGAGAAAAGTTCCAGCAATGAAAGTGAGCATATAAGACGTCCAAAAAGTTTCTCCTATCTGGAATATAAAAAAGAAATTGCTGTTGTTAAATATTTTTTACAAAAATCTACTGTAAAATTTATAGCAAAATTATTTTTTTTATTATTATTATCTTTAACAAAAGCAGAATCTTTTAAAGGTATAATGATCTTTAGAAATCATAAGGAATTAGTATCTATAAAGACTGTCGTGTCGTTATTTTTTAATTACCCAAAGCAAAAGAGGTTGAGCTTTTCCATTTTTCTATATTTTTCTATTCAACTAACTACAATGTACTCTAGTACAAGTATAGGTTTAGTAGAAATACTTTTTTAATAGTAACTTTATAGCTAAAAGACCTTACCATTATTCCAATTACCATTCCAATAAAGCTTGTCACTGATGACAGAAAGTTATACCCAAGAGCCTGTTTTACCGACATACCAGCTCTCAGTAAAACAGCAAAATCGCCAAATTCATGAGGAAGTTCGTGGCAAAATACTGCAATAGCTGTACTCATTCCCCCGGAAATTGATATGGAAAATGCTGTTCCAATTGCAATACCGTCGCAAAAATTATGTAGACCATCACCGAAGAGAACCATCCAAGCGACAGGTTTGATTTGCTTTTGTAATTTATCAGCTTTTCCTTTTTCAACTGAACAATTAGCTGGCGTCCCATTCTTGTGTTGATGATAGTGAACAACCCGAGAGTGCTACAAAATTGATATAGTTGTTTCAGTTGCATATTAATACTTATATATACAAAGATACTAATATATATCATACAGTACATGATACTGTATATATTAATTAGAAAGATTAAGATTAAAGAAATTACCGATGCGGAACAGTCAGTATCGGCTGGACTTAATTCGCAGTCGTGGAAGACTTGTTGATGCATCTCATCAGCATACCTCTTCACCTCTTGATATTGAAAAAGTTGGATAAGATATTACGATTAATATTATCAATTTAAATACTGTTTTAAAAGCAGTAAGTATGTGGTCATTACCCTTAGAATGGACAGTCATAACAATATTGTCACAATGACAATCAGTTTCTTGTGGTTGATTATTGCTGTTCAAACGTGGTCTATCTGCCTCCGAATCATGAGCGTCATTAAATGAAACTTTATTTTTAAATCCCATTGGCTAATGAACAAAAAAATACTTTAAAAATAGTGCATAAGCCTGTGTTTTCACAAAATTACCTCCCCCTCTGTCAGAGGACAAGTTTTAGCGTTAGAGGTTAGTCCAACTCGTTCGGAAATTGTAGTTTGATTATTTTTTGTATCATTTTTGGGCTTTGTTGTCTTACTATCTGCTTTGGCTTCTTTCTTACGTCTCCGAACTTCTCCCAGCCAACTAATAATTCTTTCAAAAACAAAAAACGAATAAATTCCCACTACAGCCATTAATCCGTAAAATAAAGCCTTTCCATGTTTATCATCATCTTGGTGATTATGGCCATTATCATCTCCATGTTGATCTAAAATAGCCTGAAATTTTAAATGTCATTTTTAAAGATAAATATAACGATAGAATCTATAAATATCTTTCCTTAAATAGTCATTTTTATTTATTTGCCACAAAAAATTAATATTCGTTTTTTAATTAAAAATAAAAATATCTCTTCTCTCAATAGAACAGGTGTTTTTTGTATTAAAAAAGAGGATACAGTGATTCACAGAAGTCTTTATAGTATTGTCTTACACAAGTGTGTTTGATATGTGAAATACCATTTTTTTGTGTGCAAAGGATACATTAGGATGTTTGTCTCTTTTATCGATATTATATACATATATGTATATACATATATATATATAGAATATGGAATATAGAATATAGGTAGTTACATTGTCTTTTTTTTTTCAATTTCAAGGTCTGACCTATTTGAAAACTTACGTGAGGTATTAAATGCATTAAGGCGTCCCCTGTTAAACAGGATACGGCTAATGCTACCAAAAAATTTAACAGATGATTGTAAAAAACCCTCTTCAATAAGGGTACCAATACAGCACAAACCAGACTAGCCAAGCTTGAAACGGTTACTGCGCATATCGAATACACCCATATCCCTAAAATAATATGAAAAAATTGAAAATTTAAATTTAGAATGGAAAAATGCAGGGTTACATGACTTACATATTTTCTTATTCTTTTGTACTTTCTCTTTTTCAGTGCAGAGATTGCAAGATTGGTCATCTAATTGACTAATTATTACTGGACATAATTTCATAAAGTCGTCCCTGGAAATAGCATCTCTATTTTGTAAGCCTGGATACTGTGAATGATGGAGGCACAGATTCTGTATAAATAAATGTGAGTAAAAATGAAATTAGGACGGAATGGTTTTGCGAAACCTTTTGATTTTTTGTAAGTTGTTTATCTTTTTGAATAGAATTTGTCTGAAAATAAAACAGAATTTTTGAAGTACTGGTTGATATAAAAACAATAAGTAACACTATTATATGTCAAAGCATTCTTTAATTTAAAAAAAAAATAGACTTACATGCATTTCATCATTGTGGCCATCATGGTCGTCATCATGACTGCTATGATTACTGTTATGATCATGATCTTTATTTAAATGTAAACTGTGTTCGTCTTTATGTTCACAGTGAACTCTCTGATATTCAGTACCAAGTTTCAACCGTTTTAAAAGTTGACCAAAATCATCAATAGTGATAGTTGTATTGAAGCCTAAATTATCAAGAACATAATCGGGGGAGAAATTTCCATTCACTCCAGAAAATAGAATAAAGACTAGGGAGAAAACTGACAAAATCATGGCTGTTGGATTTCTGAAATAGTGGATAATTTCAAATAAGTGATACAGATCTTAACATTTCAGTATAAATTTAAATACGATAGAACAGGCCGAATTTCAAATTTACATGAAAGCCTGTTATATAATCTTCTTATTTTAATTTTATAAATTCTAAAATGAATGATAGTTACGGTTGACTGTAAGGTTAATCGATAAAATGTGCTTTAAAGCGGCGAAATATTCTTATTTGGCAAATAAAACTACTCTAGGATAATAAAAAATTATATCTGTTGCCACAACATTTAACTATAGAGGTTATTATTCGCTTACCGGCAATTCATTAAATTTGTACGGCCTATGCTTCACATTTTTTCACATACATATTTATACATATATATAAAATATATTTGCACCACAAGCGCTTTCGGAAAAATGATGAAATATCTAGAAATTTTGTTTCTAGCGATATAATTATTTAAATAAAATAATATGCTATATTTTAAACTTTAATTGATTGCTTTATCACAAAATACGAAAATACGAAATTACGACACTTCCTTGTGTTAGTTTCCGGTTTACTCGTTGCAGCACCATGTCGGTAGATATATTGGACTCATTAGAAGATTTAGGGTAAGCTGAGCGAAAATTGCTTTAAATGTTGGCTCTATGATGCAATTTGGCCTAAACCCATGTTTTAAAATAGATACAACGGTCCACTCTTGGAAGAACAAATTTTACTGGAATCCGTTAAAAATGGTGCAAAAAGTCAGCAATTCACTGGTTTGATTGAATTTTTGACAAAAGAAATATCGCAACTTGCCGGTATTGACGAGTATGTACGAGGCATAGATAGCGAGACGGATTGCGATAATTTTCTATTGGAATTGAGTGGCTTTTTGAGAGAATTTGGTAAATTTCTGTTGTACTTTAAAATATTGGAAAAATGATTCGAATTTTGATTTTATAGGTTGTCCTTACTCTAGTTTAATTGAAGGAGATCTCAGCGAAAGATTGAATAATGAAAAAGATTGTTTGGCCCTATTAGGTTGGTTTTTTCATATAGTAGCATCAATCTTGAACTATGTGTTCAAGTCTTGTCGACTAAAATTTTTGTAATCAAAATGATGATAATGAACGGCCATTCTTAAGTTTTATGCTGAACGTTCACCCAACTGAACCTTTGCAATACAATATTCTAATCATAAATCATTTGATAATCTTGACTTATGCATACTTTTTTTTTGCCTTAGATTATCTCTGTACCGAACTTCAAGCACTCAAAATGACGGCCGTTGATAATCCGAATCTCCTAACAGCAGCTTTGAACAAGCAATCATCTGTTAGTAAGATATATATGTTATACATTCCACTTTTATTATACTTATAACTTGTAATTAACTGCATATGAAAAATTAAAAAACTCACCAATTTCCCTTTTCAACCTGTTCACGGGAAATATCCGAAACAGATTGAAAGAAATAATTTACAACTGTAAATATTATTATTTCTATTATATTTTTCACGCTATATTTATCTTTTCACAGATGTGTTTAATGAAAGTAATTTTTTTTAAATATAGAATGAAAATGAACTAGCTGGAATTTTAAAAAAAATGCTGATAAATCTACAATTTAACAAACCGCCCCCGAATGTAACAATTTCTCAAATATTTATGAAGATTGAGTCGAAAATTAAAGAACTGACTGAAAAATATGGATCTAAAAATTTTACAAAGGGCGTTTTAAAAAGTCGTTTGTCGTCTAAACAACTCGAAACTGCTGCATTAATCAATTCCGCATTGAAGCAGGATTATAGTACAAGACGAGAAATGCTAATTAAGAGATTCGACGTAACTGTACAATCTTTCCGATGGTCTGAAAGAGCTAAAGTTAGTCAAACACATAACTATTTAGAAACACTAAATCATTTTTTTACAAATTTTTTATGATAATTATTCATTAGGCAAAAGAAAATGAAATTCAACAAGTGTATCAACCAGTCCGAGCTAAATTAAGGGCTCAATCATCAATAGATATTGAACATATTTTAGCTGCGAGGGAAGATCTTCTAACAGTTGGTAAAACGAGTAGTGGTATTGATCGAGAAAAGACGAAAACTTCTCTCAATAGAGTACTTATAGGAAATGTACCTGATCGGGGTGGAAGAGCGCATGAACATGATATTCCTCCACCAGAGATGCCAGCTTTTCAAAAACGACAAGCTGCTCCCCAACCTCAACGGCAATACAGCGGGAGAGGTGGTGGTGAACGCGGCCGAGGGAGAGGTAAGAAATTCTATAAATAGCTCTAATATCAGAATGATCAATTTTAAAAACTTTTTGATAGGCCAAGGAAACAACTATAATCAATACGGTGCCTCTTATTCTCAACAAGGCTATCAAGGAACAGGTACTGATGGATTCTTTGGAGGACAGCAACAAAGTTTTCAAGGCCAATTTCAACCACAGTATGGAAGTCAACAGAGTATGGAATTTGATGGGAGAAAGAACTACGGAGGAGAAGCTGGAGGACGAGGGGGAAGAGGTCGAGGAAGAGGTGGTCGAGGACGAGGTGGTCGATGGTAGAAGGACTAATTATTTATGCTCAATTCGCAATTCATGTTTTGAATATGCATATTTTCTTGGTGATATGTGATACAAACCAAATACAATTTAGGCAATTTTCAATTAGCAGTTCTTTATTCTGCTATAACTTAATAAAAAAACAGGAAGCGTTCCTATTTGCGTAGGCGAACTATAATTATAATGAAGCAGCATGAAACATCTTGTTTTTACAAATTTTCTATATTTGAAAAAAGCGTCATTCGATATGGTGCATCAATACTCCGCCTAATCAGCCAAAGGATGTTGAAGAGAAGCGCAATTGTTTCCTACAGAAAGAACTTCAAAAACTACATCCATCAAATTAATATTTCGAACCATCCAAGCAGTGTTTACCTCAAAATTTAGAACAAAATCTTAAACAACTTTATAGTTACAAAGAGACTTCTCCGATAGGGGCTTCTCTGCATCTTCGCATTAGTCTTTAATATTTCGCTTCCCGACTGAGTGAAATGGAAAAGATAATTTTCCTCTTTTGCTTATTTCAAGTAATTTTCGGTTCTGGTATTGGCTTTTATTCTTTAAAGAATTCAAAGTTTGAGCACAAAAAGGGAGATTTAAATATTGGCTTTCTCTTACCATTACATAGACGAGAGACAACATCTACAAAATATTGCAGTAACAATTTTCGCATTGTTAGTTACTATGATGCTGTTGCCGCAAAAATGGCCATTAGACAAGTGAATGAGGATACGAACCTTCTTTCTGGTATTAAACTTGGTTATAGCATTTTAGATGATTGCGATAACTTTCTGAGTGTTATTGGTGAATCTCTATTGTTTCTTCCTGAGCAGAGATTTGAAGTAAATGCTGTTGTTGGCCCCTACTCAAGTACCCAGGCTAGAGTGGTAATGTGTAATTTATATTTTTTATCATTCGATAATGTTTCATTGTGAAATATCATTCAAGGTTGCACCGTTATTTGGATTATATGAAATACCTCAAATATCAACTTCAGCGTCTAGTGACGATTTATCGGACAAATCAAGATATCCTTACTTTTCCAGAGTGGTAAGTCCTGATAAGTTCCAGGCTGTTGCTCTTGTTTCCTTCATGTATGAAAATGGCTGGAACGTTTTTACCATTGTCTACTCTGAAGGCCCCTATGGTGAAAACGCAGCGAGGTGGATAAAAAATGTTGCGGCACAGAGAAACATATGCGTTTCATCGTATATAAAGGTTCCTGGCCAGAGTACGAAGAATGACTGGAATCGTATATGTAAGAAGCTTAAGAGGGATACAAGGACAGATATCGTCGTTTTGGCACTTGGTAATAGTAATTCAAACTTTTTTTTTCGTAAAATAAGTGGAGATGATGTACTACTGTCGAAATTATACTTGGGAACAGATTCCCTATCATTTTTGGAAGAAAAGAGTAGATCTGTTGTTAAATATAATACTTTCTTTACGAATTTTCCATTCATAGAAGTACCCGGTTTAAGAGAAGAAGTGTATGGCGAGATTCCAAAAAATTCTACTGAAAATCCATGGCTTTACGAATATTGGTCAAAAATTTTTGATTGTAGTTGGAGTAAAACAAAACTTCATACGAAAATTTGTCAAACTCATTCAAAAATTTCCTCATTAAAAGAAAAACAACTTAAATTCTCTGAAGCTTGGTCGTCAGGTATTTATGATTCTGTATTGATATTCTCTCGAGTTATGGACGCGATTATCAAAGAAGATTGTCCTAATGCTACTAAACACGAATTGAACAGTTGCGTTACTGGACAGAAAATACTTGAGAAAACACGTAAGGGAACTTTTCCGTCATTAACAGGAAATGTCTTGTTTGATAGTGTTGGTGACGTAATTGGAGATTACGATATTGTTCAATTTACAGTGGCGGGCGATAGGAGAACTGTTGGTAAATGGTTTAGATCAAATAACACAATCACTTGGAAAAAATCTCCTATCGCCTGGTTTAGGAACAAAAAACCAAAAGGAATTTGCAGTTTCCCCTGCCCTCCAAAACATTATCGTATAACTTTCCAAACGACTTGCTGTTGGGAGTGTAGAAGATGTCGAGAAAATGAAATTATTATTGATAATTCTTCATGTGCATGCTGTCCAGAATTTACTTGGCCAGATGCTGAAACTGCAACAATGTGCCTGAATATAGAACCTTGGTCCTCAAAATTATCTGATACCCATAGTATATGCCTGGAATTATTCGCAGTCTTTGGCTTGGCCGCCGAATTGTTTATAGTCATCGTTTATATTCTAAATCGAAAAGTACAGCTCATTAAAGCTTCTTCATTGATTTTGTCTCTCTTTAGCCTATTGGGGGTTGCAATAATACTATTAACAGTGTTCTTCATTTTAGCACAGCCAACAAAGCAAATTTGCTATGTACAGAGAATTCTATTTAATCTATCCTACACTATATTATACGCACCTCTTCTTTGCAAAGTAGCTAGACTATTGAGAATATTCAGAGCTGGGACAGAAGGAAGAACTAATCTAAAGTTTGTTAAAGATAAATACCAAATAGTATTCACAGGAGTTTTAATTTTAATTCAAGTAGGCCTCACAAACATAACATTTATTATTAGTCCAGTACTGATAGTGCTGAAACAACCGTTTATCCACGAAAATTACGTTGAAACAACTTGTCAATATAGTATGTCGGCTCTAATTATTACCTTAACGTACAACATATTTTTATGTATAATATGCTGCATTCTGGGCTTCTTCTCGAGAAGATTTCCAGAGAATTTTAACGAAGCCTCTCATATTTTCTGTCTTGTTAGTGCGACTCTTTTTGTATGGATTGTTTTATTGTCAGCCTACTTTTCTTCACTTAAAGTTCAACACCAAATCCTACTGTTAGCCTCTTGTTGTCTATTAAACGGTTATATGACCCTTATTCTTTTATTCCTACCAAGAATCTACGCACTAAAATACGTACCACAGAGTAATCTCAAGTTTATCTTCTCGAAAACCGAAACAAGCGTCAACCCTATAACACAATAAACTATGTACTACAATAGTTTTGATTGTATCGTTGTAATTATTTAATACATTTATTTTGATTGTTCGAATATCGAGAGTAAAGTTTTCTTTTAAAAAAAAAAATGATAAAAAAGCAGTTCATGAATTCATAATTAGCAGAGAGAGAGAGAGAGAGAAAATTTGCCAGAAAAGTTTGTTTTGAATCATTTTATAAATAAAAAAAAAATAGGATAGAGCAGTAGAGAGGGAGGCAGAGATGAATAAAGGCAAAGAGACAAAAAAACGAAAAAGTGCAAAGCCAGGGAAGATGCTGTTCTTTGAAGTTTTCTTCCATTTACTTGTAAACGAAACGGAGATAGTATTGAACATTTTGAAAAATCGTTTTTTATTATTATTTTTTCTTCAATAGTTTTGTTGGATTTTTTGGTTCCACTCAGCTTCTAATCTATGTTTTCTTCTTGCTCTCTCGGCGGAACCGCTCTCATTCTGATTTTGAGAGGATGCCACTGAAGAACTACTCGAGCGACGAAAATTCGCTTCGTCTCTGTATACCTCGGCTGTTTCTATATGTTCTTCTATGTCGTCGTCATCATCGTCGTCGTTGTATATATCCTGTACATTATTCTTATGATAGAGACCGAGAGCAGTTCTTTGCTTTCTCAATTCTTCTTCTCTCTCATGCATTTCTCTCAACTCTCTTTCAATTAGGTCATTACTCCTTGGTGAGGGCTTTAGAATGTTTTCGCTGCTTAATCTTCGCGTTGTGCTTGTAGGAGTGTTTTCAAAATTCATTGAAGAGCTTGACGTTATCTGTCTTGCTGTACTATCTATTGAACCTCTTGGTGAATTGTTCATATTTTGTGGAGATTTATAAGAATTTGGTCTGTTTGAATCTGATAATTTACGTGTTTGATTTTCGTGCTTTAAAATTGACTTTCCTGCAGATCCAAATGATTTTCTATCGCTATTTGGCTGTGTTGGTGTAACTTCTGTATATTTTCGAACGTCAGATTCTGAATCTTTTGATGTAGTTATTATTCTGCCTTGATGTTTCAAGTTTTCCTCTCTTTCCTGCTCCAATTGAATTTCATTCTGAATCCTTGAGTGCACCCATGTTTTATAGTTCTGATTAGAATTCGTTTTTGCAATATTAGGCGGCGTTCCAGTAGAGAATCTTTGATGAGGAGAGTTTGACCCCTGTTCTTTTGCTACTTTTGGAGATATACCTTTCTCTCTCCTAAAGCTCTCTTCTCGCTCCCTTGCCAGTCTAATTTCTGTCTCAATTGGAGTTTCGTTTGTGTTCACTTCAAATCGACTGAGGTCAGTTTCGTCTTCTTCTAACAAAGGAGCTACTTTTACTTTTGCAGGTGGGTAAGATGATTCGGAAAAATGATGAGGAGATTGAGTCTTCTCTGTATGTTGAGAAGATGGCGATTCATTTATGGATGGACTCTGGATTTTCTGCATATTGGGAAGTATAGGCGTTGTTTCAATTCCATCAACTTTTGTTTGTAACCCCATTTTCTTTCGAATAATTCGAAGTTCCTCTTCTTTTTCCTCCTGCTCCCTCAATTCTCTCGCAAGTCTGTTTTCAGTTGATTGATTGCATGGACTTTCGTGGATTACTATTGGAGCAGGAGAGCTTCGTTTAAGAGAAGAAGTAGATGATGGAGTAGACAATCGTTGATTTACGTTTGTTTTTGGCGTAGAATTAGGTGTAGGTGTAGATGAAGGTGAAGTAAAATGAGTAGGCGTTTTAGCAACGACACTTTTAATAGGGGTAGGCGTATTTGGATTAGTGGTAGATGGTCGTGGTGACTGTATTTGACTTGTGGACGAGCGTTGTTGTCTAAGCTCTTCTTCCCTTTCTTTAGCTAATCTTATCTCTTTTTCTATTAAAGTCTCTTCCTTAGCCTATAATAATAATAAAAATAAAAGCATAAATTATAAAGCTAGCTAAAGGCTTTAATTTTTTTTTTAGATAAAAACCATCAACTATAAAAAAGGGATATAGGTTGGTCACGTTCCGAATAATAAATATTCAAAGTACGTGATATCCCTTACATTATCCGATTATCCTGGCTATTAGCTACAATTTTCGTTATTGGTCGCTAATCTTCATAGTTTGATTTCAGTTACATACTAAAGAATTCCTCTTAAATATACAGTCAAATATATTTAATTTACTTTAAAACTCTACTTACTGAATGAAAATTGGTTTCATAATTTCCATTAAATTCTTCATCTTCATCTTCGTCATGTTCATCTTCTTCATTCAATTCGTCATTAATTTCATCTTTATGAACGTGGGTATGTCTATCAACTTCAGTCATTTCTTGGAAATCTTGAGAATTTACAATAATTCCTCTCTCCTTTTTTAATTGTAATTCTCTTTCCTCATCTAAAAGTATTTCCTTTTCTATTACACTATCATATCGTTTGTCTTCCATCTTTAAAGTATTCTTATTGTTTTCTGATTGAATAGTAAACTTTTGCAGTTGTTTTTTCGCCACATTCAAATTGGCTATTGAAACACGTTCGTCATTGTTTACAAATCTTCGACCAGGTGTCGTTGTCGTTGTTGTTGTTGTTGATATTGTACTAGCATAAGTTGTCTTTGTTGGTTGTATTGTTTTAATAGATGACGAATTTGAATACGTTTTTGATGATGTTGCAGACAATGGTACGGTTGAAGAAATAGAAGAATTGCGATGTTTTACATCATTTTCACCTAGTTTAATAGAATTAATACAATTACAAATTATCAAAATTAAATAGGGTTAGGTATAAAACAAAGTACAGGGAAAGGATTTTTATTTGTTAACAAAACTAGGCCAAAGTAATCCACTTAAAAAAACATCTATCGTTGATAATATTTCATCACAATAAAATTGGTTAGAAGTCATTGTAAGAACGATATAAAAAAAGAAGTTAAATAATAATTTATAGGCGAAAAATCACTTGATTTATATATAATTGTTAAAGCATTAATATATGTCCTCCCCCCCCCCTCTCTCTCTCTTAACATGTCTTTTCACTATAGCCTACAATAAACAAAAGAAAAGGATTTTCTCTTTGAATATATATCATATTAACGTCTGTTAATGTTATGTATTTATAGATATATCAAACTTTATATATATCCTGAAGTTTTTATATTCTTTTCATAACTTATAAAACCTATTATATCGAAATACTATTACTATGAATTAACCTAATTTAAGGAATTTTTTATCCTCTACTATTTATACATATATATATATATATATATATATATATATATATATTTTAAATAAATATTAATAACATACTATATAAATAGGACTAATTATTAAATCGTGTAGTAACGATAACGTTAGCTAATGTTTTGTCAAGTTATGATGGTATCCGACGTATTAATAATAGTGGTGGTCGTGGTGATTATGTTAAATAAATATATATGTTTATATTTTTTTTTTTAAAGAAAAAAGAGTAGGACCAATGCTAAGAATTAATCTTTTGATAAATAAAAGTATTTTTTTTGCGGATATTATAGAAAAAAAATTGATATTGATATATTAATAACAATAGAATAAAGAAAAAGAAGGAATATCTAGATACTTTATTAAAGTATTAAGAAATTGTGAACAAACATTTAATAATTCTAGTTAATTAACATATTAGTAATATATAGAAAGAGAATAAAATTATACGCTAAATAAACTACGTATTATTCATATTATTATATATATATATATATATACTGTATATAGACAGTATATAGTTAAGACACCTCTTTCTCTTTCTCTCTTTATTTCCCTTTTACAATAAAAACCATGAAATTTAATACTTTATAAACGTATCGTTTCATCCAATAAATTGTTACTAATATTATAGAAATATACTTAAATATATATATATCTAATAAAAGCGCGGTAAAGTATTTACTAGCTATATATCTAATTTATTTACATAATTGATAAGGAGATAAAGAGGTATTTGGGAGAGAAAATCTAGTATATTCATGTTCAATATGTACTTATTAATTAAATTTGTTAAGGATATTAAGGTAAAAATGAAAGGGGTCAATGTAATTTAGTAGACCTATAAGGGTATCAATAGCCTCTTGAATTCGTTTTCTATTTGCAAAAATCGTTAACAATCATTCACAAATTCAACTCAGGATTTACACGGTGGCTAGTCATTATATTCTGGATTTTTACCATTAATCTTAATCTATACCTATTATTAATAATAACAGAACACACCTGGATTTTCTATAAAGTCAGCATGCTCATCATCATAGTCACCCTTGGAATATTCATCTAAAATTTTCATAGCTAAATTCGTGTAAAGCACATCTTCATAATCCTCACCCTGATTTAATCCATTATCTTCCTCGTATTCATCAGCAAATCTGACCCTCTTTTTCGTTTCGATAACATTATTAACTTCGTAATCAACACCAAAATCTCCTTCTCTCGGCTCTTCGTCATCTGTATCAACTGGATAATCCATTATATTTCTTTTAGTTTATCACTTTCCACTGTGTTATTATTTTTTTTCCAATATTTTCTTGATTCTTTTATTGATATTCTATAAATATTTTTTCTAATGTTTTCAGTTGCTTTTTCAGTTACAATTTTAAACTGTTTAAAAAATAAAAAAAAAGAATTTATCAACCACCTCTGCTCTCCTGTCTTTCTCCTTTCATATATAAATTTTAGTTGACAGGTGAAGTGTACCACAAAGAAATACCAGTATTGAAATTCCCTCAACACAGACGCCTTTATTTATTACTGAGTCACACAAACTATCTAAGATCGGCTCTCCATTCAAGCCACGCCCCCATTATGATATCAGTATCTTATTAAAAAATGACGTACCCTCTTTAAATGAGAAATAACAACTGGTAGAGTAGAAATATGTAAAGATAAATTATTTTCTACTTACCTGGCTAAAAACGAAATGTATAAATAAAAACTATACGGACTCTATGCCTGATTAGTATTATAGAACCCACAGGGGAATTTCAATGCTAGTTTAAGCCTATAACAACGAAAAATTGACGAAAGATACAGCTTTTTACCCAAAAATTGTATATCAATGCATATATACTGCACATGGAAAAAATTCTATTCTATGCGAAGGTTAATGTATGTACAATAGAAAAACAAATAGTACAACCTTTAGAAGCTACCGAATGTAAAACGTTCAAAAAGTTAGAGATAAGACTATGTGCTTTAGTCTCTAGGCCTAAAAAGCCTTGAACACACCTCTCGCAAAAAGAATAGATTTCGTGTTGGAATGTGAAAAAGATGCAGCTAAGAACAACCCTATTTCTTTACAATCCTTTGACTGGTTGTTGAAAAGTTAATAAAAAATCATAAAAAAAACCCGTCCCGTGTCTTAACATTAGCATTAAAAGAATTTCCTGCAATTTCATATAGGCTTACAATATCGTAAAATATCCCGTAAAAGAGAGAGAGAGAGAAAGAGAGAGAGAGAGAGAGAGAGAGAAGTATTCAAAAACTCAAGATAAGACATTAAAAATAGCAAATATTCGCAAAAATGCGTAATATTTAAAAACTATTTATATATAGTTACCTTGTTAGAAAAGAATTTATTATCAGTATAATTTAAAAGAAAAAAAACAATGAAAAAACTGTTTTCTCATCTTTAATTGTTTAAAAAAATTTCACAAATATATTTCATTCAAGTGAATTGAATAGAAGAATATTTTTCCTTTTGTTTTTTTTTTGTTATAGCGTCTTTTCTCTATCTTTATAGTTTCTCTTTCCATATTTCTGGTTGACTTTCTTTCTCTCTTAGATGCAATATAAAACATATTATATATACAGTATATCTGCGACATATGATAATCTGAATAATTCTATTGTTTAAAACTATAAAAGATATTTGCATAAACACATATAAGAATATGTGTATAAATATCTACATACAGATTTTAATTGCGCAAATAGTCGTTATTTTTTTTTTGCAATGACGAAAGAACGAACAAAACAAAGAAAACAAAAACAAAACAAAATGTTTTCATTAACTGTTTTAAACTGTTAGGGCGAGGTCGACAACCCCACTCTCTAATACTGGTACAAAGTACTCTCCATCCCTTACGGATAATAATAGAATAGTCTTATCTATATGAGATCTTCTTTTGAGTTCCCTGTGGCATGGTATCCATCTGTGTACGACTAAACCTTCTGTTCCCCTTTCTGGTACCCAACCACTCCAACCACTTTTACCACCTTTTATTCTCCAGTCTTCATTTGGAAACATATCTCGTTTTATACCAGAATTAAGAGATTCTAAAACTGCTTTGGTATTGGCAATTCGAACTACTCGATTATTTGCGCTAGCTTCTGTTGTGAACAGACCACCACTTATAGATTTTTGAGGTAACGAGGCCATTTGTATAGAAACACTATCATTACATGAATTGGCGCACCTTGTCCTCATATTATTCCAAAATCTTCTTACAGTTTCTGTTAAGCCCTTCAGACTCCATTCTCTACCCAATAGGTTCTTAGAATATAAACAGTGGGTATTACAATAGCTAGTTGTCAAAGGAGAAACATAAATAGGATATCCGATCGGTTGATCGCAAGACGAGTTGATCATATTTCGCAATGCTTGTTTAGCATTTTGTATGCTACCTCTTTCAGGATTTCTATTTCTGAGGAAGACCAATTCATGTAGTTGTCCCGCCCATAAACCTCGAACACATTCTCTATTTATCTTGATTAGTCGGAAAGACATATGCCTTTTATTTAACATAATTATTCTGTAGTTTTCGACGCCATCATCCAGTACGTGGCGAAGGGCTAGTAGGGATTGAGTATTACTCAAAACTGCTTTTCTCCATGCTGGATCTGCTTCGTGTGAGATCACCATAACTTCTTCGTGTTGACGGATAGCATCGTACAAGGCTTGACAGTCGTTATACTCTTCAGGTGATGTAAAATGATCTTGGTGTAATTTAACAGCCATTCGTATGGCCGGTGCCAAAACTCGTCTAACCATTTCCATGTCCGAAAATATCCATTCATCTCTTTCGCAAGCAATTCGAAAATCTCCTTTAAATAGTGAATGTAATCCTCTTAAGAAAGCATCAACAGGTAAATTTTGGGTAGCGCGTGAATGGGGACTATAGGCCGAAGCGGCTGAAAGAGCCCTTCGACCAACTAAAGATAGCCCGTAACAAAAACTCGTTAAAGTGTTATCATTTTCCGTTCTTTCACCCGCACAATAGCTTATCCATTCTGCGTAAACCGCCAAGAAGCTTGACTTTGAAATACCGTTCACTCTAGAATCATAGTCGTCATCTGTAGAAAAAACCGGATCTAAGTCAACATGATCATCCTGCTGTAAAGGTTCAAGTCCTCTAATTATCTCCTCGTTTTGAAGCCATTCGGGTAATTTTGGAGATGATATGGCATAAAAGACTATTGCTTTAACGTAATATGTAATTAGCACTCTTCTTAAGTCATTCACTGGAATAATGACAAAGCATAAAATAATTATTTTATAAGTATCTTCAAAGAACAAAAAAAAACTACCTTGAAGCATAAGGGCCGCATTATTATCAGTTATGCTATAACTTTCCAAGACATATTTAGTTGCTACGACTTGCCATGCCAACCAACGAGCGTTGAAAGCTGCATTAGCGCTCAGCATGCGTTTTATATGGCCTGGATGACAACAGCAGCAACCATCGTCCTCATCAAAACTTTCGGTGATAGCCTCTACCTCTCTTTGTTGGCAATAAGTCCCACGAAATTCTAAACCTCTTAGCTGAAAAGTTACCAAACCGTTGCCCAGTTCAACAATATGTACCAATGCATTTAGGTATTCTGATGCTAGAATAAATATGTCTCCTTGATTAACGCATCCCCACCGTCCTATGGTAAATAAATAGGGTTTAGACTTAAATTTTTTATCTACAGTATTGTATAATCATACACAGTATATATATATATTTATATATATATATAAATTTATCACAAAACAAGAAATAAAAAACGATACTACCTAGTGCCAAATCGCCAGCAAGTGAATATTGTAAAGATCTTGTTAAGTGTTCGTAGAATATAGAATTGAGATTATCGTCTCCATCTGTTCCAGGATGTCTGTCTAATTGAGTTGATAATTTTGTGTTTGTATTATCTAATCTCTTAGTTTTATAATTTTTCTCCCAAAATTTTATTGGTCTTATATAAGAAGTGAAAAATAATGCACTTCCAAGGATCGGATTAAGTGGAGCGTTTAAAAAACTTGAAACTAAAATTTGCACAAAAAGCATTGCTGAATCTGAAATTAAACAATAAAATAAATAATAGTAAATAAACATTTTTTTCAAGTAACGCTGTAACATACGTGGAACAGAAAACGGCTGTGCAAAGGCATGAAATGCGCTTCCCCATGTTATTTGCCAAGGTGCAATATAAGTGAAAACAAAATTTAACTTGAGAAGAAAATCTTGAAACTGTTTGAATTGAGATTAAATTAAATAGCGATAAAAAAAATCAAATGCCCTACCTACCCTTAAATAAAGTATACTTATAAAGAAATAATCGAGTAGGAAATGCTCAGAATACTTTTTAAAATCGTATTTAAATAACAAATAGGTTAAGAAGACGGTGGTATATTGATTTTGAGTGCTGGCAAAACCACTCCGTACCATTTTAATACTACAAACAACTGTTATCAAGGTAATTATCCTATAGAGGAGGAAGGAAAAATGAAAAAACAATGTTTAAAAGTTATGAATAGTATATATATATAAATAGCATTCTTACGGTAGAGAGAACTTTTCATCTTCAACCATACTTTTGGCCGATTTTGTAATTGTGCATAGGAATAAAGCTGGACATAAGAAATTCCTTTCGATAAATTTTAAAGCTATTCCAAATTTTTCATATTTCATAACTTTAGCAGCTTCTTTAACTTCGTACATTTCTCTTTCATGAGCCGCAAATAATGGTCTTGAGAAGCAGAACCAAGGAGTTTCGTGGCGCAACCATGGCAGTATGTAATGATTCGTTAAACCAAATATTAATAGAATATAAACTAATATATCATAGAGAAGAGGTTGCAAAGCGGGCGAACTGAATGCTGTTGAAACGTGAACAGCAAAAACCATTATGGAAGTTATTGAACAGATAATGATATCAGAGTTTAGTCTTTCTTTAACAGCAGCTTTTACGGTGGTTATAATCAATTCTGAAGCTTCGTTGTATTCGTTTAATCGTTTCGATGATTTCCGTTTTAAAAGGTCTTTTAGTAATTTACTAAAAAAAGTAAAATTTAATTAACTATTACTTCATATCATTAAATCATAAATATTATGATTGATAGAAATGTAATACTTACATTATTACTAAAGGATCACTACTACATCTACTTAAATGATAACAAACAGGTACTAAGAGGCCACAATAGACGGAGAATAGAGCGTGTTGAGAGTTTTCTTCCTCCTATTTAAAAATATGTAAAATTTATTATAAAAATCATATGAAGTAAAATGTTAAATTTACTTTTAAGCCTCCGTAACAAAATCCGTAGAGAAATGCTACAGTTACACAACTTCTTAATACGGTAAATATTGAAGAAACAATACCAGTTGTTGCTTTAAGAATATAATAAATTAAATGAAAAATTGATAATAGTAAAAGTAATAATATTTAAATTTTTATTAAATATTTACCATTTCCTCCGAACACGTTAATTTCAATCTGCTCTAAGAGATAAATGGCGAATGTATTTACTTGTGGTAATAATCCTATAGTAAATATAACGGGAAAGCAAATTATGAATATCTTTAAAACTGTCATAGCCAATTCAACAGTATATTCATTTGACAAGTCAACACCGTATAACGATATTTTATCTCCTTCTCCTTTTCCTTTTTTCACTTCGTCAAGTATTAATAGTAAGGAAGAACAAATTGCAAAATAAAAAGGTCTACTATAAACAATAATTCTATTATAACCCTGCGAAAGAAATTTAATTGAAACTGTAAGAATATGCTTAAATTATTATATCAATATAACTTACATGTACTGGTGATGAAGCATCTGGCTGAACACTCTTTAATAATGAGTATTGGCAGCCGGCGAAAACGAAACATAATATAAAAATTGAAAATTCGTTAAAGAAATTACGATCCAAGAGTAGAATCCCTAAAATTCCAACCAGCACAGCTAATGATACACTGCACAAATTTTCCAACCAATTTCCATTGTCCAAAAGAGCCAATAGAGATAGTCTATCGAATCTTATTTTTATGAATTTGTTGACAAATGGTAAAACGCGTAACTTGTAATAGAATTTAGGCTTTGCAACGGTTGAAGATGACGGAGAGCAAGGTACTGATGTATTTAACCTTCTATCACTGCTGAAATTTCTTGTGAAGCTTTGGACTATTTGCCCAACGTTTGACGTATCTGAAGTCATATAAGGCCTTGATATAGGCATTGGCATGCTCAATCCAACTCTTTCCACTTCGGATACGGACTCTTCTCGTTCCCCAACACTTTTTGCTTGCTGGCTTACGTCGCCGAAAGTATAATAACGTAATATTCCATTTTCATCAAGAAAATAATGAATGGCACCCATGGAAGTATCGTCGTGTGACGATGCTTGATGAGTGCCTCTATCATTTCTTGAGGATCCTCCAACGGCTCCTAATAGAGAGCTGGACTCTGATAAGGACGAGTCTTGACTTGAATCAAAACGCTTTTCTGGATCGGACTTGGAGCGACGCTTTTTACGACGGCGTCTCATAGATAGTGTTACAGAATGTTGCCCTCGATTGTTATCTAAATATAAAAAGTAATTACACATTTTTACAACATTGAAGTCTATAAGCTAAAATGTGTAACCTCCATCGCTCTTTCTCCTTTTCTTAAGTTCTGAATCTTCGTCCGTTGATATGTTTGTGGCTCTTATGTCTAAAACAAAAACTTTTAAATGTTGATAACGACTTAGCAAGCAAAATGTTACCATGAGCTTTACTTGTACTTGGCTCTAAATACTTTGTCGGAGTTATGGATGATGGAGGTGCATGAATTTCTGCAGTTGCTTTCCTTAAGCTAAGCTTTTGGCTAGGTTTATCTATATTATGCCAATGGGAAATTCTTCCGTCGTTTTTATCACCATATTCTTCATCTTCTTCTTCTTCTACTGGGATATTACATATTCTCTTTTTTCCATGTTCAGGGAAATGAAAAACATTTCGATCTTTTGGCATGTAACTTTCGGCACTTCGGGGGCTATAAGAGCCATTTTGGTGCTTCCCATCACTATCTGAGAAAGAGGTAGCTAATGGATGATCTCTCAACAGAGGAAATCTACTTCGAAAACCTGTTCGCCTGGGTGCTGATCTAGGTGGAATTCCTGAAGTTCTTTCATCCTCAACAGACATAGACGAGTTTGCAGAAGTGGGAAAAGGTTCCAGCTTCAACATCTCTAAGCCATGAGGAGAAATTGGCGTATTAGGGCTAACTGCATTTAATGATGCTTTTGATCTTCTAACTCTTTGGCAGGCGTCTGTACCAGCCCTATCTCGATGACTTGGTGGATCGGATTTTTGTGGTCTTTGACCAGGAGAGCTGTGTCTTCTCTTGGATCGGTCTTCAACTGACTTTTCTATTTCTTCCTCTTTTGGAATATTAATTGTTAGGGGTCGTCCAAGTGCATCCCTGCCTTTAGACTTCTTTTGAGCTGATTTTGCATCATTTATATCATTTTCTAAGCTTTCCTCTGGTTTTGATTTATCAAAGAGTACAGCTTGAGAAGTTCTAGAGCTACATTCAATAGGTTTTGCTTCAGCGGCATCTCCAGAACTGTACATAATTGAGAGTTCCATTCCTTGTTGGCTATCGCTGATGATACATACATATTATTATTATGATTTTCAAGAAATCAACCACAGCATAGAAACAATGTTTTTTTACATTTAATTGATATACTTACATGGGTAAACTACTCTCTTCTTCTCTTTCTTTATCATTTTGACTAGAGTTTGATTCTGCTATTACCTCATTATTATCAAATAATCTATGCAGGGCATAATTTATCAACTTTATAATCGTAAATAGAGTTGCGATTACGATTGCATAAACACTCCAGACTATGTAATTCGAACCAAAAGTCTGAAAGTATAAATTCTTGCAATTTAATATCTCCAAATCAGAAAATTTAATATCACTAAAGGAGATTTGACTATGAAAAAACTTACCAAATACAAAGTAAAAGGAAAACATAGCAGAAAAAGCCAAAGGTACAGATGGAATGTATTTGAAAATAAATTTTGGTGAGGATCGTAAAAAAATCCGCCTGTCAATGATGCCCAGATACCCTGTCTCAATATCTCCCAAATTTGTGCACCCATAATATAATTAAATAAACCTTAAAAGATTTTCATAAGCCACCATATTTGTTTTTATGATATATCGTAAATATTTTTAAAAAATAAAGAAATACAAAGTGTTTAGGGAATAATTTTCCTTTAGATTTAAGCGTCTTTTACTATTTTATACGAACATAGGATCAGAAACTCACGCGTTTCCGGTCTCGTTTTGGAACCACTTTTTCCGGTCAATAAGAAATATCTCTAAACAAATATATTTTTTATTAAATGGAATATGTTGAAAGAGAAGCTTCAGAGTCTGAAGACTCAAATGTACCCGATTCATCGGATGAAAATGAAGAGGAAGAAGAAGAGAAGAGTGGAGCAGGTAGGCCGCTTTCAAAATATATCTACGTTGTTTTCGTTTTTAATTTAATAAGTTATAATTATACCTCTGTTGTTGGATATTCAGGAGTTAGAAATTCACTTAATTGTATTTATTTGCTAAGTTATATTTACACATGCGAATTTTTGTAATAAATCAGTATATTATGAGCTAAGAAACAATTCCCATCTTAAACAGCATGCTTAACACTTATCAATTTGAAATTACTTTATAGTTGTACCTGGATTAATCAACGACGAATCTGAAGAATCCGATGGAGACTCGAGCAGCGATGAAAGTATTACCGGTAATAAACGTCTCGTTGATTCAGAATCGGAAGATATTATGGAAGATGATTTGAGGTTAATTGAAGAAAATACAGGTGTAAAAATTAAAAAAGTGAGTATAATATGTTTTTAATATATACGAGCTTCCTACAATATCTCAGATATTAGTTTTAAATGAATCAGAGTTTAGTTCAACTGAATTTTTTAAATACGTATCTCTTGATGCAAATTAATAATAGCTTATCATATTAGAAACATAAAAGAATCAAAATTGCTGAATCCGACGATGAAAACGACGATTTAGATAAAGAGTCTATTGATGGTAGAGAAACCGATTATAATTCTCATAGACAAGACGTGGATGAAGATGAAGATGGTAAGTTTAATATTTTCTTAAAAAACTATTAAGTGCAAATAACTATTCTTTAGATTTCATCGTTGAGGATGACGACATTATGGCTAATGCCCATAAAAAGGAAAAGAGAAAAGTAATTCATTATGCCAACGAAAATATGCAGGATGCTATGGATATATTTGGTGTAGACTTTGATGACTTGAAAATGGATGAAGAAGAAGAAGATGACGATGAAGATGGTTACTTAGAACGGGACGAGAGGAAAAAAGATGAGTCTGAGCCTATGTTCGAGCCGGCTGATGAAATGAAGTATTACAGACGTAAAGAAGATCATGGAATTCGACAAACAGACGCGCCAGAAAGATTTCAAATTCGTGATACACCTATCCAGACCGCAACTGAAGAAGAATTGAAACAAGAAGCTGAATGGATATTCACCCAACTTTTTGAAAAGAAAAAGCTTAGCAAGCAAGACGGATTTTGGCAATTATACTTTGGCCAAACTGATCGAACTGAAACTCCTACCAACGATAAATTGCAGGAAAGAATTGAGAAAGTCCTGCTATTTATTCGAAATCATCAGTTTGAAATTCCTTTTATTGAACATTACCGGAAAGAATATGTCAAACCAGAATTATGCGAAAATGAAATGTGGCAAATTTATGAATTAGACGAAAAATATATGCAATTAATGACAAGACGAGAAAATCTGAAAAACTTATTTCAATACATGCAAGATTTTACAGGGATTTTAGTTCAGAAAGATGATATGATGCCAGCAGGATTAAGGACTGTTACGGATGAAGATATTGACAGAGTTGATAGGACGCAATCTTTTGAAGAATTAAAAGATTTGCAAGCATTTTTTTCGTTATATTACAGTCAGCACACAGAACAGTTGCGATTTATCGCAAAACAGCAAAATGCTTTCCGAAAAGTCAAGGAAGAAGGAGGAGACGAAGAAAAGCAGAGAGAAGCTGTTGAAAGAGTTCAACGAGGTGAAGATTCAAGAATTTATAGAGTTGCGAAAAGGAAAGTAAATCTTCAAAAATTTTTTGAAGTTAAACTTGACGAAGTCGCCGATAAATTTGGTTTATCTGCTGAAAAAGTCGCAGAAAATTTCAAGTTTGATTATTTGAGGAATGAAGTCGAACAATCTGATCAGTTTCCTCTTGAGATAGCTAAGATGTACGTCTGCAAGGCCTTAAAAACACCAGAAATTGTTCTTAACTCTGCCAAACAAATGTTAGCATTACAAATATCTCATGAACCAGACTTTAGAAATACCATTCGAGAGAATTTCAGGGACAAATGCCTCATAAGCTGTAAACCAACTGATGCTGGCCTAAAAGCAATTGAAGCAGGACATAATTGTTACACACATAGATATCTGAAAAATAAACCAGTAAAATCACTTTTAGGAGCCATGTTTCTTAGGATACATGAGGCTAAAAAAGATAATTTGTTAGAATATCATCTACACATTGACCCAATAAATGAGCCGTCAAGAGATAGTGAGAATCGTCCTTGGTTCAAACCATACCTCGAACAGGTAAAACATTTGTTTCACAACGATGAATTTACTGACCTTGCTGAGCAATGGAATCAAGAAAGAATTGACGTTTTAAAAAAAGCCATTGACATTATATCGCCAATATTATATCGAGAAATTGAATATCTTTTACTTCAAGAGTCTTATGATATAGTTACAATTGAGGTAGCACAAAAAGTTTACCATGATATAAAAATTGGTAGATATAAGCCTCTGGTTACTACTGAAGCTGAAAATCCAATGTTTGCAAAAGTTTTAGGCATTTCATATGATCCTGAAGAAGAGGGTTCTGCTGCTTTTGGAGCTTTTCTAGATTCTGAAGGAGAAGTAACCGCCCACATTCGATTACCTAACTTAATAAGACAAAAAAAACCAAATAGTGATGAGGATTTTACGGACGATTTGCGCAATTTAACGGAGTTTATGAGAAACAAGGAACCCAATGTTGTAGCTATTGGCTGCGATTCACGTGACGCATCTGACATAAAAAAAGATGTAGAAAAAGTAATCAATCGTTTGTCGGATGAAGAAGGTTTATCAATAACAGTTGAGTTAATGCCGACGAAGTATGCTAAAGTGTTTGCTAAATCAGAAAATGCTAAGGAGCAATTCAGTGAATATCCAACTGTACTTTTGCAAGCTGTTTCCATAGCTCGTTATTTACAGGATCCTTTAATCGAACTTTGTCAACTGTGTAATTTTAAGAGAGATATTTTATCTGTTCCTTATCATACTAACCAAAGTGATGTACCTCAAGATTTGTTGATGCGAAGGGTAGAGTATGAATTTATCAATCGTGTTAATCAGGTTGGAGTGGATATCAATCAGTGCATAGCTCATCCACATACTGCTTATCAACTCCAATTTGTGGCAGGATTCGGTCCAAGAAAATCTGTTTACATTCGACAAATGTTAAAATACACTCGTATGGAAAATAGATCTCAGCTCGTAACAACATGTCACGCAGGCCCAAAAGTTTTCATCAATTGTGCTGGTTTTATAAAAATAGATACCAATGCTATGGGTGATACAACTGACAGCTACGTTGAAGTTTTGGACGGCTCCAGAGTTCACCCTGAGACTTATGAATGGGCTAGAAAAATGGCAATTGATGCTTTAGAATATGATGACTCAGCGGAAGGAGCCAACCCGGCATCAGCTTTAGAAGAAATTCTTGAAGCTCCTGACAGACTTAGAGATTTGGACTTAGACGCTTTTGCTGATGAATTACAGAGACAAGGGTATGGTATACGGCATACCACTCTATACGACATTCGAAAAGAATTGACAAATAGGTACGTATTATGAGAATATATTGTAACATCATTTATTCTATTGATACTAATTTTTGAAATCAGATACGAAGATACCAGGGAGGATTACCAACCACCTACAATTGATGAAATTTTCAATTGGGTTACTAAGGAAACGCCAGATATTTTCTTTATTGGAAAAATTGTTGATGCAAGAGTAACCTCGGTTGCTTATAGGCGACCTGGTCAAGACGAAATTGACGGAGCGAATCCAACTCGAAGTGAGAAAACTGGTTTATGGGCTTGTCCCCTTTGCCATCTTGATACTCTAAGAGATCTCAAAGAGATGTGGAATCATCACGATTCTGGACAGTGTCCAGGTCGACCACGAGGTGTAAATGTTGTTCTTGACAATGGTTGTAGAGGTTTTATACCTATACAACAGCTTTCTGATAATCAGGTATGCATTGTATAGTTGACTATAAACAAACTAATACGAATTTTCAAATTATCAGGTTACGGATCCCAATAGTCGAGTTCGAAGGAGTCAAGTCGTTCACGGTAGAATTCTTAAGATAGATCCGGAGAGATTTTGGGTTGAATTGACCACTAAAACTTCAGATTTAGTTGATGCTGAAGGTAAATGGGAACTTAGAAAAGATAAATATTATGATTACGAACTGGAACAGACCGAGTCAGAAAACCTAAAAAATAAAAAAGTTAAAGTCTCAGCAAAGAAGTATATGAAACGATTAGTGACTCATGATCAGTTCCGTAATATCGATTACAACCAAGCTTGTAAGATGATGGAAAGTGTTGAACAGGGAGAAGCAATATTTAGACCAAGTAGCAAAAGTAATGACCATTTGTCTGTTACCATAAAACTCACTACATGTGGCATTCTTATGCATTTGGATGTCACAGAACAAGATAAAGAGCATGAATTTACTCTTGGCAAAAGATTGTTTATTAATAAGGAAGAATACGAAGATCTTGATGAGATTATGGCTAGATGTGTAGCACCCCTAACATCTTATGTGAGAGAGTTGGAAAATTTCAAGTATTATTTGTCACTTGACATAATAATGGAAGAAAAGAAGAGGATAGCATACGTTTCAGAGAAAATAGCTGATGAGAAGAGAAATCAACCTGAAAGAATTTTTTATCACATCATAGCATCTAAAGACATGCCTGGGTATTTCATCCTTATATATCAACCAAGAAGCCGAGTTCATTACGAGTATGTGAAAGTAACACCAAACGGATTGAGATATCGAAATAAGATGTTTCAAACCTTACCGCAACTTCTAAAATATTTTAAGGAAAACTACAAAAATCCACCACCAAGCATGAAGCATTATTAAAATTTGGATTGTTATCATACAAAATGACAATTATTATACTGTATATATTTGTACACAAGAGTTAAAAGTTTATATTGATTTTTAGATGAGACGTACATTTTGTGTAAAGCTTTCCTTATTGGACAATTAAGCGCATTTAATACACGGATGAATTGAACGTAATGATGTACTACAGACTGCCTTCCTTCTATTACAATCTACTAATATTTTTACTTTCAACACTGTTAAAGCCTAATCAGCAAAGTTCACAATCGACTTAAACGTATTTACCAAGCGTGGAAAGATTATATATTATGTACAACTTGAATTATCTGAAGGTGAACTTGTAAAAAATATTTCAGCCTTCTGCTTCTTTTTGACCTATATTAAAATCTGTCGCCTCTGGACAGTATTTTGTAAATTTATTTCATAATTATGTAAAGAAATAATGTTACTGCAATAAACTTGTTGATGATTTCCATCTATATTTATAACATTTTTTTATAGGTCACGATATTAAATTCACAATAAGGCTGAACAAGTACATTTGCACTAAGTAAGACTAAATCTATTTTCGGTACTGAATGAGAAGTATCATATGGACTAACTTTAGGCTAGTCTGCAAACTCGATTAATAAAGTAACCATATAGCTTTCTATTTTGATGCATACATAAAAATTGATTTAATGATCAGAGGTTGACCGAAAATGATTATCCTTTTATCTGCTCTTGGGAAGGACCATCTGCTTCACAACTTTTTAGAAAATAAAAGTCCAAGGCTGCAGTTTCTCGAAACAGAAACTTTAAATTATGCTGACAGTTATCGTTTTCGTTTCTATTGTAGTTTCTATTCAAGGTTGTCAGGACTCAGGTTGTCCAAATGGGCAATCTTGTAATCCTTATACAAACCAGTGTGTCGTTGACCCACCACCTCCAGCAAGACCAGCTGCCTGGATAGGAGACGAACCAGATTTTTGCAACAGAACCCCAGATGATTGTAAGAGATTTAGATTGGAATATGATATTTCTCATCCAAAAGGAGACGGAGAATTCTGTGAAAATGGTACCAAAATTAGATGCATGCTACCAGATTTCAAGCCACAGCTAATAAATACCCCTGAAAATGAGTTTCGAACGATATCTTACAATATCTTTGAAAGGAGTTTCCAAATCACGTGGGATGGACAAAGGGAGAGATCTTGCAGGTAGTTTTTCATGATTTTCGACTCTTTTAAATATTACATTTCGTAACATTTCGGTTGTAGAATTCCACTTTGGGCTCTCACAGAAACTCCAGATCTTGATGTCATTTCTTTTCAAGAGGTTTTTATGGGTGGATGCTTCGCCGAAAGTCTGAACATTCGACAAATCTTAACATATTATGGCTTTCCATACTTTACTGATCTTCTTGACATTGATGATAGACCTTCTAATGGAGGAATTTTCATTGCTTCGAAATGGCCAATCGTTGAACAAGATATGCATATTTATAATGCCTCCGATGAAAATACTTGGGACTGGTTTGCTGCTAAAGGTGTTAGCTATGCCAAGATAAAGAAAGGAAATACCTTTTATCATGTAACCGGAACACATATGCAAGCCGGAGGTCCAGATCATTATAGGTTATCACAATGTGAAGAAACCAGAGACTTCTTGAAAACAAAGAATATCGATAAGTCAGAAGCTATTATCTATACCGGAGATTTCAATATTGATTATTGGAGTTCTTCACAAATAATGAAGACGTGTATTGAGACCATTGATGCCGATGTCCCTCCCCTTTCAGGCTCATTAAATTTAACAGGAGATCCCAGAACAAACGACGTTCAAAATTTGACAAATCCTAATAGTGGGGGAGGTTGGGTTGACTATGTTTTGCCCAGCTCGGTCAATAGAAAGCCAACAAATGCTTCACAAATAATACTTCGCGGTATGGATGTTGAAAAATTTGAAGTTTGCTGGTGTGCAGAATGTATTCCATTGGATCCAGATTATATCTTTCCTAATGATGAAGACTGCGAAAGAGTTGAAAGAGTTCGACATTTATCAGATCATCATCCAATCTTGGGAACATTTAAATACGATTGATAGAATAAAGTATTGTATAGACTTAACTAGTTGAAGAGTACAGTATATTGTAAAACTTGCGTAATATAATTTTAATAAACTTTATAAAAGTTCGGTTAATTGCAATAAATGATAAGAAGAAACGAAATAGCGGGAAATTCGTATCCTTTAGTCTCGACTAGGATTATTTTCTCTTCATTTAGAATCACCTTTAAAAGATTTTATAACCTCTCAATGATAAATCTAGTTTTTCCCAATACTTTATCTCCGTTTGAGACTGAGCAGATGCAAGTAGAAGCTTCGAACATAATACCTAGATAGCTTGTTCTTAAGATACTGGAAAACAATTTACCCATAGTATTTATATTGATCAAAATAGAGATCTGATTATGAGAAAACGTGGTTACAATGATTTTATATGAGAGATTACGACGAAATTATGTAAAAGATTTAGGTAGAATCATTATTGCTTTTAGACAATGATAATCCCCAAGTTAGGTTTGAAGACCTACATTGTGACACAAGTAATTATTTATCTTTGTGATCAACCATATGCTTCAGAAACTAAATAAAGTCAAAGTCAATTTAATGTTGTTATTCAGTTAAAAGAAGTTTTTTCAAGAAATATGAAGATCGGCTTTTTTCTTGTTACTTTATTTTGCATATCAAATGCCTGTGAGGATACTGGATGCCCCGATGGACAGTCTTGTAATCCTTATACGGATCAATGCGTAGTTGATCCACCACCTCCAGCAAGACCTGCTGCATGGATTGGCGATGATCCCGACTTTTGTAATAGGAAACCTGACGATTGTAAATTATTTGCAATGGAGTATGATATTTCCCACCCGAAAGGAGATGGTGAATTTTGTGAAAATGGAACAAAAATTAGGTGCATCCTACCAGAGCATAAGCCACAGCTTCAAGCCACACCAGAAAATGAGTTTAGAACTATTTCCTACAATCTGATGGAAAGGAGTTTCCAAATCACGTGGGATGGTCAGAGGGAGAGAACTTGCAGGTAAGTTTCTTATTTAAATGAGAATAAAAAGTAAAACTAGGCTATTTCAAATGTAGGGTCGTTTTATGGTTGCTTGAAAATCATCGTGATGTGGATGCTATTACTTTCCAGGAAGCATTTATGGGAGGATGTTTTTACGAGAGTCTCACTTTGAGAGATATGTTGGAATATTATGATTTTAAATATCATACCAAGACCGTAGACTCTGAAGATAAAGTTTCGAATGGTGGAATATTCGTATCTTCGAAATGGCCGATTGTAGAAGAAGATATGCACGTTTATAATTTATCTCATCCAGATACTTGGGACTGGTTTGCAGCTAAGGGAGTAAGTTACGCCAAGATACAGAAAGGAAACACATTCTATCATGTAACATCAACACATATGCAAGCAGGAGGATCAAGCGCAATAAAACCAATTCAGTGTAAAGAAGCAGCAGATTTTTTAAAAACCAAAGCTATTAGTCAATCCGAAGCTATTATTTATACTGGAGATTTCAATTTGAATCAATGGAGTGAATCTGGAATGGGTTATATGAGACAATGCCTTTCGAATCTAGATTCTGAAATTCCACCGTATCAAGGATCGAGAAATATTACTGTTGATCCAGAAAATGATTTAAATCAATTAACTGGAGGTGGTGGATCAGGTGTTTGGATCGATTACGTTTTACCAAATATAGTTCATAAGAGACCAGTCAGTGCTGTTCAAGTTGCCCTTAAACCAGTAGATCCTGCATCATTTCCAGTATGTTGGTGCGAACAATGTATTCCATTAGATCCTAGCTATATATTTCCGGACGATGAAGATTGCGATCGGGTTGAAAGACTACGCGATTTATCAGACCATTATCCAGTTCTTGGAATCTTTAAATACTAATAATTAATCCCAACTGCAAAATTAACTTTTAATTATATCTTTTGACTAAAAACATAAATAGTATATCTGTTCAAAAGAGATACGAAAATGATTTATATTTCGAAATCTTATGATCAGATCATTCTTTATATTGTAATTTTGATTATAAAAAGATAAATACACCTTGAATCATTTGCATGTTAGGGATATACTGCAAACTGTTGATAAATAATTTCCTTTTAATTATAGTAAAACTCCAATTATCACACTATCAGTTTATTTCTAATTTGAGATTGATTCTTATCATTTTTTTCCTATTTGCAATCATTTTCTTTAGATAAATCTTAATATCCAGATTAAATAGGAAGGTTTAACACCGTTCACAAGAGACTGACTATTAAGAATATGCATCATAACTGCACTTCAATTAAAAAATGACTGCTAATTAAACCACAATTTATTTAATAAGGTTATTGTATTAAAGGTGATCTATAATTCATGGAAACTATTTGTTTATCACAATTTATGTGACTTGACATGTGCCTCTGAAAATTCTTAATAAAACAAGATATGCACAGTTCACAGTTGTGAAACACCTAAGCCAAGATGAAGATCATACTAATTTTTTTGTCTATTGTCTCCGTAGTCTTTACTTGTCAAGATACTGGCTGTCCTGATGGACAATCCTGTAATCCATATACGGATCAATGTGTAGTTGATCCACCACCTCCAGCAAGACCTGCTGCATGGTTAGGAGATGAACCAGACTTTTGCAACAGAAGCCCAGATGATTGCAAGCATTTCAATTTGGAATACGACATCTCACATCCGAAAGGAGACGGCGATTTCTGTGAGAATGGAACAAAGATCAGATGTTTGATTGGTGAAAATAAACCAGAACTTGAGAATAGTCCAGATAATGAATTGAGAGTTATTGCTTACAATGTTTTTGAAAGAAGCTTCCAAATCACGTGGGATGGTCAAAGGGAAAGAACTTGCAGGTAAATCATTAAGTCACCTCACAATAAAACTTATTAATATACTATTTTCTCCAAACAGATTGCCTTTCGAGCTTTTAGATAAGAATCGTGATGTCGACGTTATTACATTCCAAGAGGTTTTTATGGGTGGATGCTTCGCCGAAAGTCTGAACATTCGACAAATCTTAACATATTATGGCTTTCCATACTTTACTGATCTTCTTGAAAGTGATGATGTACCTTCCAATGGAGGAATTTTCATTGCTTCGAAATGGCCAATCGTTGAACAAGATATGCATATTTATAATGCCTCCGATGAAAATACTTGGGACTGGTTTGCTGCTAAAGGTGTTAGCTATGCCAAGATAAAGAAAGGAGATACCTTTTATCATGTAACCGGAACACACATGCAAGCAGGTGGTTCATCAGATATCAAGCCAAAACAATGTCAAGAAACAGCAGATTTCCTCAAAACTAAGTCTATCCCTCAGTCAGAGCCAATTGTATACTCTGGAGATTTTAACTTAAATCAATGGAGTTCAAATACAGAAGCTCTGAAGCAATGCGTTCAGTTCCTAGATGCTGAGATCCCACCCAACGAAGGACCTCTTAATGCTACTTCGGACCCTAACACTAACGATGTTTTAAATTTGACAACATCCAATCCGAGACCAGGCAGTTGGCTTGATTATGTTATGCCAAACATTGCTCACAAACGGCCAACAAGCGCTGTTCAAATTGTTCTTAAACCGATTGGAACACCAGCATTTCCAGTATGTTGGTGTGAACAATGTATTTCATTAGATCCTGACTATATTTACCCAGATGACGAAGATTGCGATAGAGTTGAAAGAATTCAAGATTTATCTGATCACTATCCAGTTCTGGGCGTATTTAAATATGATTAAAATTAATCTATTGTTTAACTTTTGAGGTTGTAAAGACTGATTTTACAATTCTTTGGATAGTTAATAATTTTTTTTTTTGAAAAAAAAACAATTCAACAAAATAAACAAGTCAACTAGACGAAATTCGCAGAAAAACGATAGATTTAACAGTATTTATGCTTATCTATGAGAAAAGTCATATGTTTGGCTATTTTTCATTAAATTTCATTGTTCTCTGAAGGAATAATAATGAAGTTTTGTTCAATTGGAAAGTAAAATTATATAAATAAGAATAGACTGCGTATCGTTTATTTTTCTTCCCTTTTTAATATTATTATTTTAGTTATATGATAAAATTTCACAGAGATATGCGATCTATCATATCAAGCAAATATCAACTCATAAACAAGCAAATGATTGAGAGTTGATGAATCAATGAATCTATTGACATTTCTGAATTATTTTATTTATTTTGGAGATGTTAATAAGGACTTATATGCCTGGATCATTATCCCATTTTTAAATACTCATAGTATTCGAGATAGAAACTTACAAAATCGCTGTATAACTTAAAATAATGTATGTATTTACATATCAGAAAATAAGAGAATATATGATAATACTTTATCAATGGATTAAATCGTATATTTTGATAATACTTTGCTATCTTACTACCGCAAGAGCCCTACTCTTTCTTTCCTCTTGTAACCAATGTAACATTTCAGTTTTATCCCATTTTATTTTATCCTTATAAGGTCTTCCTCTCCATGACAATACATCATTGAATTTTTCTTGTAAAGTCTTCAAAATTGGTTCAAGCTCAATTTCAATATCATCTAGTTGGGTATAGAATTTTGTTCTCATACTCGCTTCCTTCAAACGAGAAACTGAGCTTCCTCGAACTCCTCTTTCGAAATATCTATTTCGAAATAAATACACAGAAAACTAATCAGCTGAAGTGAACATTAAGATAACGATAAAAACCTGTTAGGATCGCTGGCAGTTCTCTCAAAGTTTTCTAATTTAGCTACTATCAGCTCTCTTTCAACAGTTAATTCTGTTGCTTTCTCCCACAAATCTAAAGCAGTATAAAGGATTTCTGTTTCTTTTTTAGAACTATATTTAATAGCCATATCAAGCCGTTCAGATTCCGGTAGATGAAGCTTTATCCATATTGACTCTAAACGCTTTTGAATCTCTTGCTGTTTCTTTTCTTCAATTGTAGTTTCGTCTATAGTAATTTCAGTCAGATCTCTGAAATATGAATTACACTTTCGTATTATTTTTTATCAGTTTATTACACAACTTATTACCTTGTTGAGGATTTGGCGGTTCTTCTTGAAAAAACTCTGGTCTTACCCGACATTTGACTTCGGCTAGGAACTGTAATCGTTTCAATTTGGCTAGTTTCCTTCTTTGAAACACTTTCTGGTTGTGTTGCTCCTAAGCCTCCTAGTAATACTGATTGAACATTCCACATTCCTGGTTCATAACGTTCCTTCTCAGCCATCCAACTTTTTTGTCTTTCAACCTGCTCAATTCTTGATTGACGTTCAACTTCCGCCATTTTTTTTGTTTCATCTTCATCTTCTTCATCTTCATCCGAGTCGTATAAATGAAAAATAGTTTTCATATAATCCGATTCCTGAGTAGAAAGATACTTCAGGTAATCATCCGTATTGACAGTTTGTTTCCACCAGGCAAGCCAGGATGAATACGCCCTCGCTAGAAAGTCAGATTGCAGGAGAGAGTCTGTCTGATGTGCAGGAGCGTAGACATCAGAAGGGTAATCTTCAACTGCTTTGCCTTCGCCCTTAGGAATCATTGGAACAAGCAATTGTCTCCCTCTCGAGTCAACTGGTGGGTCTGAAGGTGTATGTTGCCAATGATTATACTTTGTTGCTTGACCCCAAGGTGGGTTCGATGTCTTTTTCAATACTTTATTGACAATTTGTTTCTTATGTGAAATTGAGGGCATCGATGAAACGCAAGCCGCAATTGCAGGATCCTCGTCCATGCTTAAATAATCTTTAGTAACAGTTCTCATTATTTCACCGTATACTTCGCCAACTTCATCGCCTAAGAACAAGTTAGAATCCAATTTCGCAATATCAGTATCATCAATTTCTCCCAAAAGTTGATTATAAACTGGCAAATGTGGACTAAGCATATCTGAGAATAAACAAACGCGTTCGGAAATTCTTGCAGCAGCTCTTCTAGTTTCAGCAGCGGGTATTGAAACAGAATCTGGTTGAGGATATTTAGGATCTCTGACATACAACCTAAAAAAATAAAAAAATTACATTACTATCCTAATGATATCAACTATCAATTAATCTACAAACTTTTCTTCCTCTACTCTAGCCCTCTCTCTTTCTTCTAACTCTTTTAGTTTATCGTTTAACTCTTTCATTCTTTCATCATGATTACTGTAGTTTAATTGAGCTTGAATAAGTGGAGAAATCTCATCTAAATCATCTAGTTTTGAGTCTATTGAGCAAACTCGTTGAATTCTTCTTTGTTTAGCACCAAGTTGACTTTCTTCTTCATTTAAGAATATATTCATAAGTGAACTAGATCTACAAGGATATTGTTTAGGAAGATCAAGTTCCACAGAAAGAGAATCCAATTCGGCTGAGAGCAAATTAGGAGCAGAAGGGAATTTCTATGATTTTAAAAGATATTTTTATCTTAATTGTAAAGAGAAATATAAATAGTAAGTAGTGAGTATTTAACATACATTTTTAACTAATCTTCCCAGCAGCATTTGCGAAGATGACCTCTTCAACTGAAATTCTTCTGCCTCGTATCCTACCAAACAAATACAAAGGTTATAATCACAAATAAGTCTCTATTTAATCTTACCGATTTCCCCAGCAGTTGAAGATTCGAGGAGATTTTCATCTATATAAGAAATTTATTTTTATATACAAACGCTTGTCATAAACTAGATAACTCTCTTACCTGAGTCAGTTCTATCTAGAAATCTATTGACAGGCAAGTCATCAATGATCCTATCTAATTTTTCCATATTAAAATCTTTAATATTCTCTGCAAGCTACAGTTTAAAAAAATAGTATTATTTCAATGAAAATCACATGGGAAAGTATGTTATATATATATATATATATATATATATATATATATATATATATATTTATTTACATCTTCTAAATGCTCTTTTAGCGTTGTTGGCTGTTTTTTCTTATCCCTTCTTTTCCTACTGGCTAGAAGCTATTTCGTAATAGTATTATATTATTTGAAATTAATTATGTTATGTAAAAGTTTACCAATGCTGATACGCTTAAAGTTTCTGTTGCTGGTCTTACTGGTCCATGTCTTTCTTGTTTAACTTCTTTACCTCCCGTTTTAATATCTGTTGCAATATATCTCCTAATTGCTAAGATATTGAAGCTAGTTGATAACAATGTGATAAATTTTTTAGTCTTTTTAGCTATATATAATAAAATCATTAGGAAACTTACTATTTATTGGCATCTAAAGATATTTGAGCTTTAAGACGACTCAGATTGGCCACTGAACTAAAAACTCCTCGACTATTCATTTCTGAAATGATACATTCAATTCAAATCTTGAATCAAACAATAATGGAATAGTTTACCTTGCGCTTTATCAATGTAATGAAGAAAAAGTTGTTCTGCAACTGTAATTAAATGCACAGTTATTCTTCGTTGTAGCTCTTTATTTTCTTCTTTCGTCTATTAATAGATGATAAAAAAATTAACAAATATAATTATTATTTAACTAAATAACAAACCAAAAGAGGATCATCAACTTGTAATCGTAATTGAGACCATGTACCGCTTAATTCGCTTATTAAGATTGCAGCCTTTGATTAAAGTAATTTTACAAAATTATTAATTATATAATAAATTGAGTTTGAAATAATAACCAAGCTCTGTTGATCGTCAACTGAAATGTGGGCAAGTGGTCTTGATGATATTCGACGCCTAACAAACTCTCTCAACTTTGATAAACTTCCAGGTGCTTTTTTAACTTCATCCTTCAATATTTATTTACATTTCAAGATGAATTATCTTACATTTTATAGAATTTTTAATACAGACATTTATAGGTGTAACTGGTCTATCCAATAATACTCCATCTTGTGTTACATTTCCTTGGCAAAATTCATAGGAATAATTAGTAATAATTACTCAATTAGAAATAAAACACACTTACTTCTCTTTTGCTGCAAGTCATCAAAAACGTGAAGGGAATGTAGCATATTTTCGCTACTTGATGGTAGATCTTTCTATTAATGATTGGTAGGTTTTGTAATTTTTCACATGTTTCATTTTTAATAATAGCTTTATACTTACTGTGTTGAAATTAAGTGCATTGAATTTATATAGCCCATCAGGACCTCTTTGGCTGCTTACAGCCATTTTTTAACTTAAAAACTAATTAATGAAAACTCCTATAAAATGTTTGGCACGTATAAACTTTGACACTTTTCCTTTTTTTCAATACATTTTTGTAGTTTGGCACAAAAGTTCGTTTTGTTATTGTTGCTATGGTTGAATTATCGTCTGCTTTTCAAGATGACAGGGACAATACAACTATAGAGTTGTATATTTTTAATTATAATTTTAGGCTTAATTGAATAAAGACAATCATACGATCAAGATTAATTTTATCACATGTATTTCAATTGAAATTAAATAAAACTAGAGAAAGTCTCACATGAAGGTAAAATAATGAGAGTAAAAGATCGGAATACGGAACCGTACTATTTTCTGTTAAAGTTTAAAAAAATAGGTTATAACTACTTATTTTCAATGGAAAACATTGAATATTTGACAGAATTTCTCCCTCGATACACAAACTACATATTGTATATAGGCTGGTTATAGTTTTGAGGATATTGCATATAATTTGTAGGTCTATAAGCTTGTTGTTGATAATATTCCATAGGTTTCTATATTAAGTAGAAGAAGGCTTATTAGTATAGAATACGCCGGACGATTGTCATGAAATGAATAACTTACCCCTTGTGTAGTGCTCATAAAACTTTCTGTTTTACAAATTAAACAAAAAAGGGAAAAAATAGAAACTTTAATATCTGTTATATAAAAGTCAATTACTTTCTTGTTTAATATTACCTGGTTTGGAAGAGCTTGCGGAAGTGTCGGCAGATCTTGACGGACCATTTGATGAATAGTGCCTCTTATAGTACCGCCAAATCAGGTATAAAAATATTAATACTACTCCAAAAAGTATTAAAGGTATTATAATATAACCAATGAATGCATGTTTGTTAGCGGAAGTTAATTCGAATGTGTTAGTTGTGTTTCTTTGTTTGATTAATGGCTTTTTTGTAGTGAATTTAGTTGAAACTGTCTCTACTTTCTTAGTTGTTGTGATCTTCCTTGTTGATGAGAGCTTTTCAGTAAATTTCACTGGAGACTTGTCGTCAGAGTATAATTTTATCGTTGTTAGTGTAGTAGTAGAATTAGGAAAGACGGTATTGTCACTATCTGGCATAAGCAATGGGATAAAGTACGAAGAGGATCCAGCTAGTGCACTAATTGCTATTAATCCAAGTCCAATAAATGAAATTTTGCCTTTATGATGCCAACATTTTTGACAAATTGTTGCTTTTTTGACAATCACTTTAGGAGCTGGTGCAGATTCATCAATTTCTGGATTACGAAATGAAGTAATTTTGGTGATTTCTGGATCGAATTCAGCAGGAGGTATTTCCGATAATTGCTTAATACTCTTAACAAAATTATGCATTTCGTTTTTGACTACTTCAGGACTTTGATTTTCGACTTTTTCAATTGTTATTGCTTTAAGATCTGTAAATGTATAGAAAATCCTCTCTATTCTAAAACAGAGAAGAACAAATATTAATCCACCTTAAAGATTTGATAGTATACGAAGAACTTTTCAAGGGAATATCCTCCTTCAAATTCGTTTATTATTTCCGGATATTTCTCCTCAAAGGTCTTCTTATTTATAAAAAAACTCCAAATTTTATCTAACTCATCTTTAGCTTCCTGATCATCTGGATCATTTTTCACTTTTCTTATTTTAAACAAATAGTATGAAAGTAAACGACTAAGTTAAATATCTAGAGTATTAATTTATCAAAATGATATATACTCTTCAACAGAAACGTATCTCTTATGTAGTGATGTAAAAGATACACTTTTGTACATTTCTTCTAGATATTTCATAAGTAATTTGCTTATTCTTGCATAAGAGTCAACATTCTCCATATCCCTTTAATGTTGAATAAATACAAGAAGATTATTTTGCAGTTTATTTACAAAAGGAAAATTTTAATACGGTTGCTTCTGATGTAATATGAATTCGAAAGAATTCCCAATTTTGGATAATATGCTGAAATAATCATCATTGTTGAAGAAAAGCAAATCTTTGTTAAAAATTTTATCAAAATCCACTGATTCCACTTCAGTAATTTCCTTGTTTAGATATTTCATATTCTTAAAGTCAAAAAAGAAGTGTACTAGGCCTAAAATAAAACAGCAAACCGTCAAAGAGATAAATATTAGCTACAGTACTTAAATATGTTTTAAATCAATGAAAAGAATACTAAACGGTAAAACCTGTACGATTTTTCCTGCCAAGCTACTCTTGGCGATTGCCAAAATTCTTCCCCATAGTCCAATCGTATTTTATCGAATTCGGCGCTAAGTATACGCTTAATATAGACATTTTCTTTGGGAAATGATATGATAAAATTTCCAACATCAATTAGATCATTCGATATTTCTTTATATTTTGAAATGTATCTGAAATGTTTGCATTTTATTTTGATAATAAATTTATAAGTTAGTTAATTTTTACTCTGTTAAATCATTCTCCTTTGTTTTTACAATCTCGAACATTTCTTCTAAAGTGCTTATCTTCTTGAATAGGTAGTCTATTACATTTTTTAAAAGTTTATATCTGCCTTTACTTTCATTTATATCTTGGCTGGTATCTTCAGAATATTTTCTTGAAAAGATTTTCATAAGAAAGAAAGCGTTAATCATTTTATTGTTAATAAGAAAATATACTTGTAAAGATTTTCTTCTATTTCCTCAATTCCTCTAATAAATTTTTGACAAAATTCTTTTTGTTTCTTTAAGTCTAATGCTTGAACATTTATTACTTTTTTTAAATTATTAAAATCTTCGTCTGACAGTGTGTTATCTTCAGCACTGTACAAATAATAGTTATTGTTAAAAAAATCTTAAATAAATGAACGAATTAAAGAAGTATTAGGTCTAACTATTTCGCAACTAGTTTTTGATAAAATACTACTGGTTCCAAGAATATTTTCCCGATCCTTTCAGGTTCTAGAACCAATTTTCCTACATAACTAAGTTTCATCGGCTTGGATAAGGGATTTTCGGGTATAGTTTCAAAAAGTATATCGTATCCCATATCCGCAACGTCAGCTAGAGGATGGAATTTGACGTTGTGATCTAATAAAGAATTTTTATTACATTAATATAAGTAAGTAAATAAATTTTTTACGGTAAACAAGTTTAATTATTACCGTAATTCAATTTTTTTTCACGAATTACCCTGTTTTCTATATTTACATCGGCTACAAACGGTGGTCCTTTGAAGTTTTAGAAAAAGTATATAACAATAAAAATTATATAGAAGAGTGGATGAAGTATAGTTATACTTTCATTAGATTCTTCTATTCAAGAAAATTGAATATAAAAAATTATTTATTAAATTGATATTCTACCTTTTTCGCCTGGTTTTAAAACCTTCCTGGCTAAATTGAAGAATAACTTTCTTTAAACTGTAGGGAACTGAAAGTTTTTGTTCTTACGTGGTTTCGGTGGCGCCGGTTCCTTATCTAAAATTAAAATTAAAGACAATAGATAGCTAGAACACACTTAAGAAAACATTTAAGTCATACCAGATTTCAGTATAGGATACTTTGCTTTCTTCACCTTATCTTCTATTTAAAAGTAAGAAAACAAAGTATTTTAGTTCATAAAATAGTTTATGATTTTAATAAAAGCAAAAAGAGCAGAAACTTAACCCGGTTTATTTAATCGCTCTAGAGTACTATCACTATCATCACTCCTATCACTTCCAGTCTTACTTGTTCCTTCCCCATTTCGTCCATCTATTTTACAATAACTATTATCATCGTAATAGTTTAATATAATAAAAAGTAAATTACCTAATTTTTTAACTGTAATAATTAAAAGAAGTTAAAAACAAAATGGAAAAAAATACAATAAATTAAAGAACATAGAACCTTTTCCAACTGCGGGATTAATAAATAGAATTGTTTGCTTATCTCTTATCTAATTATAAAGATTTAATCCATAAATTTAATTAATATATTCTGATATATTAATAATTGATTAAAATGAAAATATCTATATTATTTACATGATGAACTATTGTCTTTGACAAGTAATTTGTAACATTTACTTCTGCTCTTCCATATCCACTAATTAAGGTAATAATGAAAATAGATAATAAATAAAATATAATGTTTAAAGATAAAGTTTGTTTCATTTTTTTTTTGAAAAAAAGATGAAAGATAAGAAAGAAATTATTTTAAATATTCCTTGTAATATTTTTTTATTCAAATGATCAAACAGTTTTATTTATCTAAATCTTTAATTTGTCTTAATTGCTCTCCATCTGTAACGTAAACTTGATTTTGAAAATCGCTTTCTCCGTTAATTTTATTACCAACATCAACTTTTAAGGACAAAGATTTTGTTTTCAGTTTCTTTGATGACAAATGAAACCATGTGATATTCGTTAAATGCTTTTTAATTGTAAGAAAGTTGTTGAGATTTATACCAGATCCCGGCATAATGCATATTCTGTTACCATAGTTTAGTAATAACTCCTTTAATAAATCTATACCTTCCAAAGCTGTTGATTTTAAACCAGAAGTTAATATTGTTTTAAAACCATAATGAATCAACTGTTCAACTATTTCGCTGGGTTCTTTTACTTGATCGAATGCTCTGTGAAAAGTTAAATGTAAACCATCAGCGACCTTTAATATTTTTTCAATAGTAGACTTGTCCAGTCCATCCTCAATAGTTAAAGCACCAATCACAACACCACCAACACCTAGCTCCTTAAATATTTTAATATCCTCAATCATAGTTTGAACTTCCTCTTCATTGTAGACAAAATCACCTTGTCTGGGTCTTATGAGCACGTGAATAGGAATATCTACTCTTTCTTTAATCAGTTTCACCAAGCCGATGGTTGGAGTTAATCCACCTACTATTAAACACGAGCATACTTCAAGTCTATCAGCACCGTTCTTGAAGGCAATAAGGGCGGATTCTAGAGAATCTATGCATACTTCTAACATGATCTATATTGAAAATATCCTGTTAAGAAAAAGTTTGTTGATTAATAAGAATAGAGTCGCAGGTTTATATGAGAGCCATACAATTACTTACAGATTTTGCCAATAGGTGGTGTTAATTATCTATTATTTATTTTTTTATTTTCCGTTCAAATTATCCATCGAATATATGAAGCTTTTCTAAATAATTACCTATAAAACAGATAAGATAAAGTATGATAGGAGTTAAAAAAAGAAACTTTATTAAGGCAATTGCAAAGGGGTGTCAAAAAGTTTGCAAAATTTTGAATAAATATATTAAAGTAACCGTAACTCTTTATTCGGTATCAGAGTTGAAGGATTATTTATAAATCATATTAGAATTTTCTAATTGAGAACAAATATCGATATTACTTAATTCAGAATAACTTTTGATTACTTTGGAACATTTAGCTCAAATACAAGAAGAATAGTATCAAGCACTGAACGAAAGTGCTAAATTCTAGATTTAGATAGGATATAAACAGTATATAAAGAATATTACGAAATGTTAAAGAATTAATAATAGAGTATATAATTAAATAAGTAATTTTTAATAAGAATATAGATATTCTGTGCCTAAATAAATTTGTGAAATAAACTTTTAATTTTTTTTGCTTCACTTAAAATGCTCTACGTACATGTTTTAGTAAGTCCCTAATTGTTCTCGTATTTCAATATGGTTAATAAACATAAAATTAAACTAAATAATTACAAATATTTCATTAATAATTGTTTCATCATTTTTATTTAGTATTTCTTTTTACAATTAATAAAATGCGAAACGACTCGTCTGCTCCATGGCAACGGTAAAAGACCGCTCAAGCCAACACTGAATTTGTTATTTCCCTAACATAACATGGGTAAAAAGATTAAAAAAGACGACAAATCCCCACCATCTGACGTTTTTGAACCTGTCCAAGTAGACGCAAAGGAAGCCAAGACAGGTGTTTTGCTTTTAAAATCAGAAGAAGAAGATGTTGTTGCTAAAGCTGCCCTTTCTCTGTATAAATTTGCGGATAAAAGCGAAGAAAATAAAGCTACACTACTTGAATTAAGTGCAGCTGAGGAACTATTAAAGTTGATCAGTCATATAGATCCGATAGTTAAGAGGAATAGTATGATGGCTTTAGGAACTATGGCTGCTCATCCAAATGTTCGGAGGTAAAAAAAGTCTTTTAACTAGTATTCTAAAGTGAGTAATGAGTCTCTTAATAAACAGATATCTTCGTCAAACTGAAGGAGCTACATCTACCATTGTCAATCTTTTATCTCCCGAAGAATCTATTGTGGTACATGAATTTGCATCTCTGTGCTTATGTGCGATGTCGCAGGAATATACATCAAAAGCTGAAATTATTAAAAGTGGAGGAATAGAACATTTAGTTCGCCTTTTGGGAGTTTCTGATCCTGATGTAATAAAAAATTCCATTGAAACTCTGACCCTTCTTCTTCAGGACTACAGTGCCACTTCATTAATAAGAGAAGCAGGAGGTTTACCTGCTCTATTGGAACTTTTAAAATCAGAATATCCCGTAATTCAGCATTTCTCTCTTGTTGCTATTGAGAGAGTTTCCGCCGAGGCAACTAGTAGAGCTGAATTAAGAGAATTAGAAGCTCCTAGTCTCCTCGTTAACTTAGTTGGAATTCCCGATCTAAGCGATCTTCATGTGTTTGCTATTTCGGCTCTTTCAGTCCTTCTTATTGATACCGAGACAGCAACAAAAATGCTGGAAAACAATGCCTTAAGAAGACTTTTAGCTTTTATTGAAGATACTAACGCTCCGGAAGATGAAAGCGGTGGAAAAGAGAGTGGGAAAGGCAAGAAAGGAGGTAAAGCTTCGGATGGCAGATCTAGTAAGAAAGGAAAAAAGAAAGACAAGGACAGAGCAGATTCTGCCCTCCCACCATCGGCCACTCAGCCAGTTATACCGACATTGCCGCATGTAAAAGAACATGCAGCTAGAGCAATCGCTCGATCTGCTCAGTCAGATGCTGATATAAGAAGGATTCTCCACGAAGCTCAAGTTGAGAAATTGTTTATAACACTATTAACCAATGAAGTTTGGTCGGTTCAAGTGGCAGGTGCTCAAGGTTTATCGGCGATCTCAGAATCAGTAATTTCAAGACAATCGGCTGGTGAATTTGGAGCTATCGAAATTTTGTGCAAATTACTAGCAAACGAAAAGAATGAGGTTAGAGAAGCTTCGGCAACTGCACTCTCCCGTCTAACTTTATCTGTTCCGGCCAATTGCTCTATTGTTGCTAAGCATGGAATCGATAATCTTATTAAACTACTTCTGGACGATAGTTCTACTGAAACAACTCTTTGTAGCGCTTGCGTTACAATGACAAACTTATCTAAAGACGAAAAGTCTCGAAGCGATATGACTTCACATGGAGCAATTGGAGCCTTGATAAAAAGATTGAAATCGCCGTCATGTTCTGTTCAGAATCGGGTTGCTCATTGTTTGGCAGCTCTTTGTACTGACTTTGATGCACGAGAAAAATTCAAAGAAGAAGATGGCTTTGAATCTCTTCAACAACTCCTCTATTCTAATGATGATGATGTCAGAAGGTCAGTAAGCTGGGCAGTTTCGGTTTTGGCTCAAGATGATGAATGTGCAAATACTTTTGGAGGTATCTAAGCGTCTCAACTTTTCTAATCTGAAATAATAATTATCTTTTGTCTTAGGTTTAGGAACAGTAGATACTCTACAAGATATGCTAGAATCAAAGACGAGAAAGAACGCTTTTACACAAGCAGCTTTGGACGGCCTCTTGCGACGTCATCTTCCTGCTAAATGGGCTTTAAATAATCGCCTTGATTTTAATGATACAATAATCGATGGCTTCTACGATGTTGGTAAAAAAGCAAAAAATTCAAGAAAGTTATGTCCTCCCCTTAGTTTCTTTTTGCGCGAACCAGTTCTTGCTGAAAACAAACCGATAATTTTAATAAATGCAGTTCCTGCAAAGCCTCCAACTCCCCCTCCAGTAGTTGAAGAAACTCCAGAAAAAGGTTCCTCTAAGGGAAGGAAGAAGGAATCAAGATCGTCAAAGGGTAAACAAAAGGCACAAAAAGAGAAGGAAGAAGAGCAAGAAGAACCATCTCCGGAAGTAAGAAGTATAGTTTCATCCTCTGATCCAGAGATTCCGGGAGATGATCGCTTATGCGACTATTTGAGACATGTTCAAGAACGAATAAACCCGTTACCTACCACAAAAGATCAGGTTACAGCTTTGGCTAGGTATGTTGCCGATTGTATGGGAGGAGCGACAGATAATGTAGATAATATTCCTTGGGAGTTATCAATCAATACTTTAAGGCAGAACCTTCAATCAAACATCATTCCGATAGGACTAATTCAAAAAGGAATATTTCATCACAGAGCTCTCTTATTTAAAGTATTAGCAGATCGTCTTGGAATAAAAACGTCGTTACATAGAGCTGACTACAACAGAGCTTGGAACGAAGTGGCACTAGTAGAAGACGAAAATGGAAAGTACCCTCCAGTCTTATTTATGGTAGATTTGATTACACTTCCAGGTAGGTTAATGAGATACGATTCATTGGAAGCTCGAGACTACATATCTCTACCGAGTGCTTTAAAAAGTAACTGACTCACTGATGCATTAACTTTTTAATTATTAATAATAAAAGTATAATAATTAAATACAGATATGATAAAACACAAATTTTTTAAATTCTATCAAGTATATCGTAAATGTTTTAGTTAAAATTTCAACAAAATAATAAAGATTTGCCGAAATGCTAATAAAATAGAATAAAAGTAACAGTGTACAAATTATAAATATTCATTAGATTTGAGAATAAGTGGCATAAGAGAGCTAGGTAATGAAGTTAACAATTAATTTATAGATGTTTTGTTCCTAAACTGAGAGCAAAATTAGAGGTTAGTCTTTATAACATTACTCTTTACTTTTAATTTAGCTAATAATTATAGTTGGTGTAAAATTATTGAAGTGTTTGTTACTCTTTATTTAATGAATTAATTGAAGAGTGAGAGAATCAGAAATGGAAACTTCTCATATTTAATCTTATCCCAGACGTATATTGATAGAAATTTCCCATGACAGTGAAAATTTAGGCAACGTTAAATTTAAAGTAGATTGTTTGTCAGTTCTCAAATTTTTTCTACAAACTAACAAACTAAATTATTAAAGGTTTTAAAATCTTGAACAATGACTCCTACTCTTTTACTATATTATCTATAACAGATACAATCTATTCATTATTCTCCTTTTCGCTGACAAAATCATCTTGTCGTTCTGTATGTTCAACTTTTGATTCTATTTCTAAATTATCCTGCTTTACTATTTTAGATTCAATTACGGAACTGGAATACATAGGAATAAAAGATTCAACGAAACCGCAATCCTCTGTTAAATTGGGTAGTATCCATAAATGATATTTACCACGAGTACTTGTCCAAACAATGACAAAGATTATAGCTCTAACTGAAAAATGCATACCTTATGATATCTTTTGAATAAAAATTTGAAAAACACTCACGAATATATAGAAAGAAAAGTAGACCTATAAAACCAGTTCCCAAAATAGATAAATAATAGATACTATCTCGAACTTTGGGGGGCCAGAGAGGAAATAGACATATACCAATCACTCCAAGAACAATAAATGAACCAATAATCCAGGTTTTTAAAGAAACTGGATCATAAACCCAAACGTAATACTAAAAACAAAGTGTTACAAAATGATAAATGCAATACAAAACGTCGCCTCACGTTATCTCCATCTTTAAAAATTTGCTCTTCATGCTCCAATATAAAGATCTTTCTCTTATTCTTTTTACTTTTATTCTTTTTTCCATCTTTTTTATCATTTTCTCTGTATTCCTTCTTTTTCTTCTTTATTTCGCCTGGGGTTTCTTCTTTCTTCTTACTATTTTTTTGTTTCTCAATTCGATGGAAAAACCCTTTATCTAAGAGCCTGCAAACAAAAATGCAATTATATTTCAAGATAATAGCTCTGATTAAATTTTGCTTTTAAAACTTAACTAAAATGGCTAACATTTGACAAAAATTGACGCAAGACTGTCTAGTTGTAAACAGGATAGGTTTTCTTGAAGCCCATTTCGAATCCAGTAACTTATCCACGATATCTTTTCCTACATATGAGTTTCTATTAAGTGATATCTGATTTCTGTGAAATATGTACATGTATTGTTATTTACCTGTAAAACCTGCAAAATTTCTTCCAGGTAGGTCCATCATATAATACTCCTTTGTTTTAATGTTAAAGCGAAGAAACTTTGCTATACGCGTTTCTTCCTTGGTAATAATTTCATTATCCTTTTTCAAAAAAGAAATCAGAAATATAAAGTAAAATTTTTAAATTTGTTTCTTTTGAATTGTTAAAAACAAAGCGAACCTCAAATTTTCCTTTATTCCTTCTTTTATTCACCATTTCGCAAAACAAACCTTTCGGATTTTATAAAATTTCAAATATGAAAACAGGTATGTTGTTCCATAGCATAATATACCATTGAAATTACGTTTTGGAATATGCAGATTCTTATGGAGGAATTATTCAATTTACAGATAAATTCTTTAATAATAAAAGTTTGAATAAAAAAAATCCATAAATAACAAGCCACTTTAAAATTTCAGCTATTTTTTAAATCAGCTGCGTAATTTCGCAACGGAAAGTAATCATCGAATATCGCTCTCCCAGAACTTGCATAATTGAGCACTGTCACCTAAAGAATAATATACTGAAAATTCTGCTTGTAAACTATGACATCAGGTAGGTAATTTTTATAGAATTATAATTATTCTAATGGAGTCTGCAATTGCTTATTCAGTAAATGAAAAAGTATTAAATTGGATTCAAAATCCTACCAAACAAGTCTCTACGATTACTAGGAATCAGCTGCTAGGCGTGCATCGATATAAGAAAAGTAATCAAATTAATCGAGAAGTTCTCTGTTAATCGATTGTGATATCCTCCTTTCGTAGCTTTCCGTGATTGTCACGTTTATATCGTATGTGCTGTGATATTCAATGAAGAAGGAGAAGTTTTATTAATACAGGAAGCTAAAAAGTCTTGCTATGGTAAGTGGTATTTGCCGGCTGGAAGAGTTGAAAAGAACGAAAATCTGGAGGAAGCTATTCGAAGAGAATGCAAAGAAGAGGCAGGAATAGATTTCCAACCAACAGCCATTGTTAGAGTGGATTCTGATGGTAGTTGGTTTCGTTTTACGTTTGTAGGAGAAATCATTGGAGGCCAATTAAAATCACTTGAAGAAAAGGATAACGAATCATTGCAAGCTAAATTCATCAAACAATCTCAACTCAATAATCAATACATTTTAAGGTTTGCATTATTAATCTTCACCGCAATCTTTAGCCTAAAACTTCAATATCTTAATAGGGGAACATGCATCTTACAACCAATAAAATCTGCTCAACAGTTTTTAAACAGTCGCAATAGGAACTCTATACTTTCGATACAAAACAACCAAGAATACTACTTTCATAGAGCTATTATCTATCAAAAGTTGTAAAACTAATTAATTCCTCTTGGAAAATATTCATCTTTTTTTTTATTAGGGTCAACGAAAAAGTTCACGCCTTAGTGTTAAAGAATAGCAATGATTTTCCAATCATTACATTCAGCGGTGATACAATACTCAGTTTATGTGGAATTTCTCCTTGCAATGTCAGATTAAATTCCATCGGTGTTGTTAGTATAGAATTTAGCAGAGAACAACCTAACAAGGACCATGGATTATGCATAACGATGCTATATCAAATAGAAAATACGGAAAATTGTGATAATGAAATAAATGTAAAAAAAGAGTTAAAATGGCAGGTTCTCTCTGAAAATGTTTCTCAAAAATTGATGCAATACACAAAATCTCAAGTACATGGAGTATATGAAAAACTTGGCTAACTTCTAATTTATTTTTATTTTGTTTTTCTTTCGCATAAAACTTTAATAAAAATTCTTTCTAGTAAAAAATCCCTAATAACAAAAAAAATATGAAATATATACAGAATATATAATTACAAGGTTTCCTAAAAAAGTGAAAGGGAAGAAGAACGTCAAAATTCCGATAGAATAAAGAATGTTTAGTTATTTATCATCTCTTAGCCTTAAAATTCCTTCAAAACATTGGTATAACCATTGTTGTAAACTTTTATCATTAATTTTCTCGCCAGTGTCTATTTTTAGAGCTGGCTTTTGCCACCATATAGAAACAATTTGCGATTCGTTTAAATAACGTGCTAAATCGTTATTTCTCTTGACAATATTAACTATTTCAATTATCATATTTTCTTTTATCTCCTGTTGAGTCTGAATTAATCTTGTACAACAATCTTTCAGCCGACTTTCGTCTCCCGTATCAGTTTCAATAGAATTTACACTAGAAAATAAAACAAACATAACCATCCTACACATAACAGTCAATAATTCCGTGCTATCATAGATGTTTGGACAAACATTTAAAGAATGATAAGCAGGTAACAACTTTTTCTTTCCATCCATACGATTAATCACTTTGAGTTCGTCTTTGTCATAGACAAGTATGTTCTCAAAATCAATTTCAATAAATAGAGCAAGCTCTTGCTCCAAACTTCCTTGTTGGCAAAGAACACCATCTTTAACAGACTGCTGTAAAGAATCAATTTGTTTAATGAGTTCTTTAACATTACTCCAGTCAGGTAAAGACCTAGAACTTGAATCATTACGTTTAACTAAAATTTGTATAAACTTTTGCTTCTTCTGTGCTGCTTTGGAGAAATTGCGTATTTGCTTATGTTTTTCTTCTAATTTTAATTTATTACTCAATAAATTTTTCACTTTCTCCTCCATTCTTTTTTTATACTTTTCTGCTGTTTGTAGTTGCGCTTCTTGTGATTTTAAATGTATATGAGAAAGTAATAACTCTCTACTAGTATTTAGTCCATTGTGGCTATAACTTTCGACTAAATCCTTTTCACATTTCTCCATCTTTTCATTAAATTTTTCTTGTAGTTGAGTCGAATTGTTTAAAAGTTTTTCTGTGTCTAAAAATGTTCTTATGAATTGTCCATCCGCTTCTTTAATTAATTCTTTTACAGCAACTAAAGTTTGGTTAGAATCTGAAACATCCTCTAATTTTCCTTTGTTATATTTCATCTTTAAATTCTCCGCGTCATTCAAGATATTGATATTGGCGGTCCTATCTTTAAGACGCTCATTAGCTTCCAGAGTGGATGTTAACAGACCTTCAAAGATAACTTTAGGTTCACACTGCTTTAATATATCTTCTACTTCTATCCAAATGTTCCTATCACAGCTCTCAGACTTGAAAAAAAAAGATATATTAAATATAATATTTATAAAAAATTTAGTAAGAGGCTATTAAATAGTTTATTAATACCTTTAGCATTGATGAAACATGTGTTTGTATCTTTTGACAGCATTCTACTATGGAACGAACGTTATGCTTATCAACGTAAAACTTCTCTTGGCGAACCTTGAGTGCATTAACCATTTCTTCTAGAAGATTAATAAGTTCACCAGTCTTCTTTACGAAAGCATCTAACAGAATAGTTTTTATTTTTAATTCCTCCACATTTGATACATTACTATTGAAGACTTCTTTTTCTAGTAAATCGCAATCAGATTGCAATCTTAAATTCTTTGATTTAGTTTCTTCCATTTGTAATTTTAATTTTTTATTCGAATCCTGAATTGCTTCTAATTTGTTTTGGTTTTCCTTTAGAATGGACAGAGCGGCTAATTTCTTTGTAGTTTCGGCTTTTGATTTACTTTTTGCATGTTTCGTGAGCCATGAAATGGCTTTTGACATGGAATTTGTTCCGAGTTTCCGCCTGAATGTTGATGGATCTATTTCAGGGACTTTCTCAAGATGCAAATCATTTTTCATCCATTCTTTCAGGACTTTAGCATTTGCCATAGCGTTTGTTCCTTAAATATTCGTCTTGTTATTATCAGACTTTTTAACGGGAAACTATCCAATATGGCGCCAAGACATTTTCGTATTCAAAATAATAAATTCGAATAATTTATTCTAACGTTTTCTTCTAAATTTATAGGTATATTTAACAAATTATGATTTTCTGATAAAATACGAAACTAAGCGTAAATCTTCAATATGGCGGCTGTTTAAGGGAATCTGTAATATGAGCGAATACTTTTTGCTAGTTTCTCAAAAATAGAGATTTTCTCTTAAATTACTGTTAAAGTTTAACTTTGTCTCATTGTATGAAATACTATTTGTTTGAGATTGATTCGAGGAATATTGATTTAGTCAACTATGCCTTCGACATCATTCCATTTCAATGAATCAGATGTAATCAAATTAATTTTGGAATTCTTGCAACATAGGACTTTAAACATCAGTTTGTTGTCTTTGGAACGAGAATCTGGTGTTATAAATGGGATCTTTAGCGATGATATGCTATTTTTAAGACAGTTAATACTGGATGGCCAGTGGAATGATTGTATAGATTTCATTCAGCCTCTGAGTTCCATCTCTCTCTTTGATTCAAAGTCATTCCAGTATATAATAAATAAGCATAAGTTTATTGAACTTTTGTGTTTAAAATCTGAACCTGGATTACAAGACCATGATTCAGCAGTGGATGAACTTGTAAAGTGTTTGAATACTCTGGAGAATTTATGCCCATCAAAAGAGGAGTATAGCAAGTTATGCTTCTTATTGACAATACCTAGGCTCTCTGAGCACCCGGAATTCGAAAATTGGAACCCCAGTAATGCTAGAGTACAATGCTTTATGGAAATCTATCCCCTTGTTGAAAAGTTTCTTCCAGTAGATAAACACGATAAAAGAGCAGAAGAGAGTAAAGCTCAAAATGATCGACTATTGCAACTTGTCATAAAGGTATTTGTAGTATTTATTTTCGATTACGTTTAATGACGGGCCTTTGTATAAGTTAAATGCGGTCAGCTATGTTGCTCATGAATGATATATTATCGATTATCAAAACATTACGAAGGTTTTTGAACTACTGGTCTATGGTTTACGTTCCCTCGAATTTTTGGACAATTTATGTTATTTATAAAGAAAATTGTAAAGTAGCTTTTGAACAAGCTACTATTCACGAAAAGAAACTTAATACGAAATTTCCGCCTTCTATTAATACGTCAATATGCTCTATCCTATAGGGTGCTATTAGAGTCAAAAGAGGTCATTATTGACAAAAAGTCTAATAAGCCAAAATTAGAAGGTGTTAGAATTATTTATAGAGAAGAATTAAATTTCCTTTCGCCTATTTCTATCGATCAAATAGAGAAATGATAAATTTCTATCAAAATAGCTTCTAGGTATAGTTGTGTTAGTAATGGATTGATATTATTTTAATATTTTAGATACACTTTATAAAATAAACAAATTGCGCACTTGAGAAAGTTTACAACTCTTAGTTATTTAACGAAATTTTTCTGTTCTAAAAAAGAACAAAAATACAAATTTCGGAACGTTTTTAAGTATCGCACTGAATTGTTAGTCAATAACAAAAAAATTTAATTATTGTATCAATTTATAACTAATTTCTCCCAAGTATCTAAATTATTTATTTAAAAAGAAATATAAAATGTGCTATTAATATTGTATTGTATATATTAAACAAAAATTTATCCCTTTTATGAATAGGGAATTATGTATGAAGCATGTGTCGATTATTGTCAACACAAGGCCACAAGTTCCGAATATGATTGCAAAGATTTGAAACTGCAATTCTGCCTAAATCGTAGTGGATTCGCTGATGCAGATTTAAGTTTACTTTCATGGCTGCAGGCCTTACCCCACGATACTTTTGCTACTCCTTTTGAACAAAAAACGCTGCGCGTTGATGTTACTCCTCTTGACAAACCGGTTTTGGAAGCTTCGTGGTCTGAACAAATCCTACTTAATCCTGTTAAACCAAAAATGTTTCCGCATTCGGCAATACCGAAAAGTAAAGCAGATTTTATGACAAGGTGTGCTAAAAAATATAGCCTCTTAGAGTTACAAATTTACTAATTTCATTTAATCGTAGATCATTAAATCCTCAATTTGATGGATTATCATCAGGATTATCAAGTCTTCAATCTGCTGATAGTTCAGCATCTTTACTATCTCGGTCATGCGCAACTTTCCAGCTAGCATCTCACAATCCAGATCGATCGAATCCCTTGACCACCAGTGTGGATAAGCTGTTCGAAAATCGAATTATTGATACCGAGACTCATGTTAGAGTTGAAGAAAAGAAGAAAGAGAAAACATCAACACCCACACGGGGAAGCACCGATTTATTTAAAGAATATAAAAAGCAAAGAGAACATTTTGAAGCAGAATTGGAAGAACAAGAGAGAAAACGGTTAGCTTTGAAAGAAAAGTTAGACGAACTTAACGACAAAGAGGCAGAAATAGTTGAAAAAGATAAAAAAGATGAATCATATGTAAAAGGTGAGCTTTTATTTTATTTCTTGTAATGGCTTTTATTAGACATTTACCTATGGATGTTGTAAGTTATTTTTATCTAACTAATTTGATAGGGGAGGACTTGATAGTTGAACCGTATTTTGGAAATGAATAGAGTAATAGTTGTATTGAATTCTTTTGAATTAAATGAGTCTCTAAATTGAAGTTTTAAGTTTCTATCGATATTTAAATTTAACGTACCTATTGAAGCTGAAAAAAAGATAATATTTAATTATGTCGTATCGTCATGACATTTTTTTTGAAACCCAAATACTGTCTATTCAAGTGCCCATTTTTGTTCCCCTATTAAATTATGAAGGTAAGACATGCGTGATATTGCCTATAGAAATAATTTATCACAAATTCATCTATGTAAGTTCAAGTTTCGGTTTTCGTTTCTTTTTTTTTGCATGGGTGTGACTTATTTTAGAATCTGAAGAAAGTGTAAAATTGGCTTATGACAAAGAAGAGAAGGAGGGAAAAGATTCATCCATAATGAGTATGATAAGGGATTTACATCATACCTTAATTGAAAGTGAAATACCTTCAGAAGAAGGAGATGTTTCTGACCCTTTAAGTTTGCTATTTAGGAATGAAGGTGTTTTTTCTTGTTTTTATTTTGGATGAATTAACACTTTAACTTTCTATGATTTCGGTGCTTAAACAGCAGTAAACTCAAAAATTATGTTATATGCAGGAACGCCAAAACGATCTATTAAAAAGCCCGTTGGGCCTATTAGTAAAGGTAAAGGTTTACACAATATCGGGCATGCAGCCTCTGTAAAATTAGATTCTTTTTGACGTCATCTTATTTCGTTGGAAGAACACTTTACACAGATGGCGTTTTTTTATCCATGGTTTTGGTGATTACTGCTATAATTAGATAAATCTGATTGTGCTCTAGATATTTTCCTGCCTGCCTATAAATAAAAATAATCCTTCTGCTGTGTAATGCTTCCTCTCTTTGTTACACAAGAAACATACTTCATGATTTAAAAAGACTGTTTTTATCCTTTTCAAAAAGTTTGCTAATATTAAAAAGAAAATATGTTTCGTTGTCTTGCATATTAAAAATGCTTACTAGCAGTTAAGGGTTATTGAAAAGTAGAGTAAATTTTTTGCTTATTGTTCTTTTCTTTACTCCCGTTTACAAATCTTGTAGTATTCATGCTAAACATTTCTTTATAAATTTCATAAACAGTCAATAGAAGCTCCAATGCAACAGCAATTGAAGGAAACACAACGCGACCCACAGCTATAAAGGTTGGTATTTAAAAATTACCAAAATATTTTTTTAGGCCTAGTAGAGAGTTAAAACGTATTTTCATAGGTCTATTTATTGATTTGAATGTACTTTGTAATTTGCGACAAGTAAATAGGTTATAAAAATTTTTGGAAAAAAATGGGTCATGTCAAAGTTCGTATGTTAAAATCACGATTTTCGCACGTTCATGTCAAAGTAAGCCAGACCAAGAGTTTATTTGCTTATCGATGTTGCATAAGAGTGAGTCTGGCCTAAACTAGGCCTTTATTGAACAGTATTTCTTTCAGTTTAGATCTTACTGCGACAGTTGTTAGTTCACGTCTTATCGTAATTAGTTTTAGCAAATCAAGTTTTGTCAGTATTACAATAAGAAAAAATGGAAAATAATAGTATGCTATCAAATCGGAGTTTTACATCGTCAGGATTAAATACGTCAATCTTGAACCGTTCGATGTCACCTTTCAAACTAACCAATTGTTGTCCTATTCATGGTTTTGGTAATCTAGAAGATTTGTCTGTATTTTTCACAAGGGTAATATTTTTTTAGCTGTCTAACAAAATTTCAATGCTTTACTTACTTGATTTCCTAAGATATTGCAGAACTGCTATTTGTGTAAAATTGAACATTTGATATGTCAATAACCTTCACGAAATTAAAATTTTTATTAAAATTGACACAGCAAAACATGTTTCTTTATCTATAAAAAGTTTGATAAAAGATGTTAAAGATTTGTAAAAATTTGTATTAATATGGTCCTTTAAAAATTATCAAATATCTTTTCAAGCGGATCTAAATTGTATTGTAAAGAAAAAATTTATAGACTGTCTGTGTATTCATGAGCACACCAAGAAAATTATTTTGCACAACGATTCTCTGTATGAAGTTCCATTATATTCGATAATTTGATGCTTCAACGAATAATCTATTGAAAAGCTTAAGGAACAATTAAAAATTACTTTCTCACTTTCGCCCTTAAAAACTAGTATAACATCATAATTCTCAAGTTTAACTGCATTTGTTTTCTACTATGATTTTTAATTTAAAATTTTCTTTTTATGAACAACACGGTCATCTAAAAGAGCCGTATTAGCCTATTTTTTTTATTATATACTTTTCTCAAAGTCTCTTTCAATCTTACCTCATAATCTCGTGATCCACTAAAGAGAAGTGGAGATATTTCGCAACTATGAGAAATGGTAGGGGGACCATATAACGCAATCTTAATTAATAGGGAATATTAGAGACTTTTTTTAAATATGAAAGGGAAAATACACACGTTAGTGAACAGTTTATTGTGTCGATTTCACACTTTGTCGTTATTTTTCTAACTTTTTTTTATTTATTCTGGATTGTATAACTTTTTTTTCGGTTAAAAATATTTATATATTTTTAAACCAGATTAGCTGTATTTTACAAATTTTTTGACATTAAAACTCCTTTATTCTAGTGTAAAATACGAGTTAGTCTAATTAATCTTATTTATAATAGGTAAATATAAAAACTTTTTTTTTATCCAAATACTCAAGTTGGTGGTTACTACTTTTCATAGCACAAAATATGGATTAAGACCGCAGGACAAGCCCGTTATAATGCTTATAATGATCTGAAAATAAACACATAATAATATTGTACTTTTTTATTAGATTGATAAGAAATATTTCCAGATATGAAAGCCATTTGACATTTTTATTGCAAATTACAACGTCATTAAACAATCCCCCAATCTCCCGCTGCGTTTGTCAATAGACACTTTCGTTATGTTTACGAAGCAGATAATCGAAAAAGGCCATAAACTGTGTGTTCTATAATATTAAATGAAGTATATGACTATTGAAAATAACGGATTAGTCATTTTTTTATTCTTTAAAATTTATGACGACAGAGTTTGGTTGCGAAAAAAGTTCTAATATGAAAAGATAGTCAATCGACCATTAAATCGCTTTTATTCAAACTGTGGTTATTCATTGTATTGTGTCTAGAAAATGTTTACACTTAGTTAGAGTAATTTGTCAAAATATTTCATTGTTATCGATAATAGACACTTTAAATGACGGTGATCATGTAGAAAATGGATATTAGATTTGAAAGCTTTGATCATAAATACGCTCGCTCAATTTGTAAAAAGTTTTACTATAAATGTTAACTATCTAAGTATAAATGTTTAGAAGTTGAGCTTTTTGGCGCAATGCAAAAAGAAAATTTAAATATATCTATATCATATTTGTTAGAATTGCTTTTAAAGAGGAACTATTAGTATGCTAAGGAAAATGTTTGGAAAGAAATCCATTAAGAAACCAGATAGAGAAGCAACTTTAATCTGCTTACAAATCTTTCTTATATAAATAAACTTGAATAAAGTCTGTTTAAATATGGAAATTTTATATATTTAAAGTCATTTCTTCTTAAACAGATTTACATTGATAAGATTATTAATTGGTTTATTAAAAGCATGTCTTTTTAAATAGGATCAACCAAAGCCGAAGTTTCTCCCTGTTGTTCAATGCGATGATGTACAAGCTATTAGGGCAATTGCCATAAATCCTCGAGGGTCATTATTCTGTGTTGGTTCTAATTCTAAAATCTTGAAAATATGCGCATATCCACCTGTAGCTAATCTAAGGTTTGTATAGAAACATACTTTACTCTTAAAAAGAGTTCAATAACCCAAAGAAGAAAGCCGAAAATATTAAGTTTAAATATATTGTACACCTGATATAAAAACACTGTAGAAGTACCTTTGAATTGTAGCTTAAGTGTTTTTAAATACAAATTGAAGTATTTGCGGATTTAGAGAATCAATTTATGAAACTGAAGAATTTCTTTTTCCTTAAAGATCTGACCATGAACTGGTTCCAACTCAAGTGGTTGCCCAACGCCAAAAAGTACACAAGGGGTCAATCTACTGTGCAACGTGGAATCCAGCTGGAAATTTAATAGCAACTGGTTCAAATGATAAATCAATAAAATTGTTACAATTTGATGAAGACACAAATACCATACGTAAGTTTCTGTTGCCATTTAAATTAATACGTCTTAGTATATGTTGTATACAATGCCTAATATTAAAATATACCGAAAAATGCTTTCGTCCATTTTAAACAGTTGGAGAAAAAGAGTTAAATATTCATGATGCTACAGTTAGAGATATAATATTTATGGAAGATAGCTCTAATTCAAACACTTTAATGATCAGCGCTGGTGCTGGAGACTGTAAAATACACGTAACAGACTGTGAGACGGGAACTATAATTAGAACTATGAAAGGGCATTCTGGTAAGGATATTTTCTTCTCAACTACGCCCTTAATATTAACCTATAATATCAATTTTCTCTTTCTAAACAGGTCATGTTTATGCCCTTCACGCTTGGGATGACGGATGTCGCTTTGTTAGTGGCTCTCATGATAAAACCGCTAGAACGTGGGATTTACGAACATCAGCGGCGATAGACTTAGTTCCAAGCCCTACAGGCAGTGCTTTTGCTAACGTTGCTGTAGATCCATCTGGTAGATTGTTAGCATCAGGTCATGAAGATGCACAAATAATGTTGTGGGATATACGGGGTAAAAGACAATTACAAACATTTAAACCACACTCGTCTGATGTGAGATCTGTGCGATTTTCGCAAAATGCCTATTATCTACTATCAGCCAGCTATGACGGCAAAGTTGTTTTGACGGACTTACACGGTAAACTCTAACGAAAGAAAATATTTTATTTGAGCAAATATTATATTTAGATCGAAGATTTAATCTCTGATATATTTGTAGGTGACCTCCTTCAACCTCGTCCAAGTGTTGTAGTAGCCGAACATAAAGATAAAGTTATACAAGCTAGATGGCATCCGGAGCATCTCTCCTTTGTTTCTTCAAGTGCCGACAAAACTGCCGTCTGCTGGGCCTTACCAACAGTGTTTAAAGACTTTTAAACTCTTGCACTAAAAGCTTTGCCGTTAAGTTAGCACGGACTGTCTCCTAAATTTCTTTTTACAGTTTGTTTTTAGTTGCCATGCTTGAAATTATTTTAGTTCTTTTTTGCTACTATTTAATAGTATTATTGGTATAAAAACTACATGCCTACTAATAACTGCTTTCTAGTCAGTTAAGTCATTTTTGTCAAAAATCTCGATTAGTTTTCGTGTATTTGAAAATGACGACTTAATTTACGAAAATGATGAATCAATAAACAGATGAACTTCTCAAGTCTAGATTTATTCCTTCCAAAAATTCGTCCACCAATTCATCGATAATTTCCCATTTATTTTTTAAGACAGTTGCTGATATCTTATCCCAAAGTTTTTCTAATTGCTTCATCTTTTTATAACTAGCTTGACTGATTTTGATTTTTTCTATGATAAAGTGTTTGAAAGCTTCACCAACTAATCTGATTGTTTCCTTGAAGGAATGTTTCATTTTTGGCAAACTATAAAAAAATTGTTCATATGCAATATATATCATAATTTTGTAGTTGATACTTTACCATTTTTCCATCCTTTCCAAAGTCGATCGTTGCCTAGATCGCAGTTGATTACTGTCTCTCTGCCTACATTTCTCCGAGTAACTTTCATTTATCTCTTTATTTAGTTGGGTTATGATCGATATTAACTTTCTAAATAAATTTATCATTTCCTGTTTATTTAAATATTTCAATTAATTTTCTATCCCAAAAAAGAATTATAAAATATTATTACTTCTTCTGTAGTAATCTCTTCGTGTTTTAATCTAAAGCGCCATCTATGAACAGTTTTTATTTCAATTTGTACATCTTCATTTACCATTAACAGTTGATTCCTTACATTTTCCATTCCAAATTCTTCTAATATTTTATTTAACTAATTCAAAGAAATAATTTACCTATTAAATAATTAATAAAAGTAAAAGAAGGGAAACAAACTTCATTTCGGCAACAATTGATTGGATGGAATAGGGATTGATAATTATTATGAAATGTTAATATTTCTTGAAAATTGACTGCTATGTCAGTTGAAAATTCTCCTAATTCCCTTTGTACATGGAAAATTTGAAGGAAAATATCTAATAGTATATGCATTATTGCATTGTCGAAACTTTCAAGTAGTATTTCGCCATGAGAGAGCCTATCTCTTAAACGTGGTCCATTAGGATAAACAAGTAAATCGAGCAAAAGATTCTATATTCAAAATTGATATAGTAATTTCTTTTGTTTGATTTGCTAATACAAACCATAAAACCACTTGAAAAAATCGAAAATAATTTGTTTAAGCTATTATCTGGTAGTATTTTGTCAAATATCTACACAAGATTGACAGTGATTGATGTGTGAAAGAAGGTATATTACTAGCAATATTAAAATTACCTCGTCCAAAGTTGTGAATAAAGTTGAATCCTTCAGAAAGAGAATCCATTAATAAAAGAATGAAAAGGTTAAAGGCTATATTGTATCAATATTTACCTCTGCTGTTAATAATCTTTCGGAGCATTTGTTGAAGAGTACAAACATTCTTCTTAAACTTAACTCTAATTGGGGTATTAGAATGATAGCAACACACCAATATCTTATTGATAATAATTAATACTATTAAAGATCATTTATAAGATTAATATTCTATAATAATAAAAACTACTTTTCCATTTTCATTAATCTTATTGCAAGATGAAATTGATCTTTCATATTAGTTGAAACGAAGCCATTAGCGTTCGTATATTCTTCAAATATATTAAGCTTTTCGCATAAACTTAATCCCTCTGCAAAAATTATTTTTGTCAAAATAGACTTTGAATGAAACAAAAGAAAAAATAAACTCCAGTTTCTTACTACAAAACATTTGTTTTAATTCAAAATCGTACTTTCTTAGATTATATAATAAACGAATTTCGTTATATTCCATCTTTAAATTTCTTACAGATTCGTTCATTTTTAATAGGATAATCATTAAAAACTTGGCAAATCTAGTAATATAATTAAATTATGAATAGATAATTGAATAAACTATATTAAATATTATATCAACCTTAGTTCAATTGCTTCCAAACTTGAAATAAATCCATGCCAAGCTAAATTTCTTAGATTTAATGAAATTGGCGGTCCAATAAGAATTTGTAACATATGAAGAAAATTAGGATTCAATATTTTTGATAAATTTTCACTTTTCAACAAATCTTTTAAGAGTGATGGGCATTGATTTTGTTTTGTTAATAACAACTATAGAAAATAGGTTATTTAGTTGTTTATCGTTAATAAATAGAGAGAAATTTATTAATTTACTAACATTTCCTAGGAATCGTTCAATTATAGCCGTAATCAAAAGTAGTTGAACAATCTCGTATGTATGATCTTCGCAATTTCTAGGATGAAATACTTCTAATAGTTCCTGTTGAATATGTTTCAATATTTAAGAATTAAATGTTTTCTTTTAACATAATGATTATCTATGAGAATATTACTGTTTTATGAGGAAGCCAATAGAGAAGCGTTGTATTCAAGTCAAATTCGTTTAGATTAAATTCTCTTGATTCTGTAAAAACTTTCCTCAACAAACGAACACTTTCTATAAAATATTCTCTATCTGATAAATTTGGATCTAAAATTAAAGAAACTATATTTTCTTGTCTTATATAATATATAGATATATAGATATATATATATTTATTTATTCTAACTTGGCAGGGATTGCATAATATTACAAATGTCAAAACTATGGTAAAAACTTCTATTATCGTTCAATAAAGAGCATTCTTCTAGTTTTTCATTCTTCGTAGCAATTGATAGTAAATTTTTTACTGTTGGAGAAAGATACGAGTTTTTTTCCGAAGTGTTGGTGGACATTTTGAATAGTTCTAATCAATATTCAAAGAAAAAAGGCGAGTTTTATAATTACTAATAAAAAGTTGAGTGATATTTGAGGAAGATATGAGTTCAAGCACTTCAACATTATTTTGTAAGAATTAAACTTTCTCTTATTTCTACTAATAAGAATTCCTTTTATCTTGATAACACATTAACTAAATTCTTTTTAAAAAAGTAAACTTTAAGATAAGTTTCGAAAAGATCTTATCCAGTTAGGAAATCTAAAATGACCGATAAGATATTTGAGATAATGGTGTAAGTTAGCGTCTGGTGTCAGCGGTCAATAGCATCGTTTAGACTATGAACCATTAAGGAATTTATAATTACACTTTTATAAGGCGTTCTCTCAGATCTAATCGAGTTAGAATTAAAAAAACAAACAAAAAATTCATTGATATAATTAAAGAATGTATTCCTTATCATTTTTAAGCTATCCAAGCTGATGTTTACTAATAACACCAAAGAATAATGGGGTTAGTAAAAAATATATCTATATATTCATTAGCTGTTAGTTGTACCACTATAAGAAATTATTTTACTATATCAGTTAAATTCTTCAGTACTTTGAAAAAACCTAGTCATAATATCAATTAAATGTTGTACAAGTACCAAACTTTTCATTGGCTGTTTTCAACATCTTCAAAACAATTTCAAAGAGACAAGTAGGTTTTGGAAAGTCATTATCCACAAGATTAACCAAATAGTACGTATCGTGAATATGCTCGACAATTTTTCTCGATTTTGAATCAGGTGAGTAAATTTTCCCCCATTGCTCTTTCCATAGCGAGAATGCTTCATCCTTCCAGAAGGTGAAAGCTACAGGATCAACAACGGTTGGTTGAACAATCTCCTTTCCTGTAAGATAGTTAAAATTAATAAATTAAATTTTTATTTTCTTAATTAACAATAAATTACCTGGGAAAACTCCCCAAGTTACGGCCAGCGGTTGAAATTCGTGGCAATTTGTAAATTGTTGCCCTTGAGCATTAATAATATGATAATTCACATTTGGATAATCTTGCAAAACTTCTTTAAGGGTGGTAGCAAATTTTTCATTAACGAAAAATTCTAGGTAAGCCTTTTGGAAAACATATCCGTTAGAGTTTCCCCATCCAAATTGAGGATCGGAAGATGGTGCAGCGCATACATTTGGTTGAGAATTTATCGTCAAGACTCCCTTTTGATTGATATCAGCCAAATCTTGTAAGATTATTTTGGTTTCTGGCTGGATATTTTCATCGTTCCATGGAATTTTGGATACCAAATTGCCTTGTTTATTTTTACTCGAAGTAATGTAAGAGTGAAAGACGTCAAAAATGTCTTTCTCGCATGTCAATTCTTCACCCCACATTTTTAACTGCTCCTCCTTTGACATTCTATTACTTAAGTAGAAAATATGATGATCAGTTAATTGTCCAAAAGAAGCTGAGCTAGAGTTTCCCCAACGAGAATTTGGAAATTCATCCCATTCAGATGTTCGGTGAACATAACTCTTTTGCCTAAGCTGCCAAAATATAGGTCTAACATCTTCTTGACATCTATTATGATTCGCTGTACGTTTCCACGGAAGGGAACGCTGAGGATCAACCGACCATAGACCTATGGCCTTTAGAATTTCAATGGATGCAACTTCTCTATTTAAAGTATAGAAATGGAAACCGTGAACACCGGCATCAATCAATTGACGGCAAAGTTTTACGCATTGGTCAATTCCAAAGTTTCTGATGGCCTCATCGTTCTCCTTAATTGGATTTATTGAATCAATAATTTCTTGGGGCACTTCCAGCTTGGAGAGCTTTACAATATGTCTCAAAGATCTATATTCTTGAATTGGTAAAATACCAGGTATGATTGGGCAATTGATACCTATTTTTCTACAATCCGCTACAAATTTAAGGAAATTATCAGCCTTGAAGAACAATTGGGTGATGATAAAGTCAGAACCAGCATCAATTTTTTCTTTCAAATGCAAAAGATCTTCCTCATAAGATGGACAATCAGGATGTCCAGACGGATAACCAGCTACACAGATAACAAAGTAGTCTCCAAATTCTTCCCTAATATGTTTGACAAGATCAGTCGCATAATTAAAGCCATTTTCAACATGAACCCATTCATCTTGATTTTCTGGAGGATCGCCTCTTAAAGCAAGAATATTTTTTATACCCATATCTTTCGCCTTTTGTAGGTGTTTTGTTATTTCTTCCCTGTTGAAAACAATTTGAAAAATATAATCTTATTCTTTATTTTATTTTATTTAATAATAGAAGATTTGGGAACTAAACTTTTCTCCTCTTTTTTTTTTACAAATAAGCTGATATACATATACTATTATGGATTAATTGATTTTTTTCGCCTTATGAATAAATTATGGATTCCTTTGTTACTATAGCAATATCAATTTAACACTAAAAGCAAATATAGCTATCTTTTTTTTTTTGAAGTAGTAGCATTTTACATATTTACAGGATACTTATGACGCCATCTGTTGGTATATTAACCATAATATAAACAATCATTTAATTCGTAACTAGTCAATTTGGGTATAATTCTGTAACTCAAAAAACCTGATTTTAAGATAAGGAATAAATAAGCTATCTTTTTACGCATTATTTTAATGGTAAACAATCAGAAATTTGATGTAAAAGACTGAAATTCATTTTGTTCCTGAATTTCGACCATTTTGCTATGTAAAATTTGTTGGAAAATAACCGATAGGAAAAGCAGTCAAGCACTTCGTAACTCATTGTTTACCTCGTTTGACCACAGCATGTTAAATGCAACATCGTTTCCATCCCACAAAAATTTAACATTGTGCTTGCAATCATGGTCGAGCTGGTTGGTTTATTTGATCCTGGATCTCCAGCAGGATGCCAAGTTATGTCGCAAAATAAGGGAGAACCAGCACTCATTCTATCGAATCTACCGACTAAATTTGCAGCACCGTTTGCTGTACGAGGTGGAAAAAATTCCAAACTGAACCAACGTCTACCATGGCTAATACGGTCCTGGATTCTATCTATCAAACGTCTATAACGTTTGGCTGGTAATTTGGGCTGATTTGGCAATCTCTCATCGTCTGAGATACCAGAAGAACTACTGTCTTCGAAACCCTTATTATTGCATTCGCTAGACATTCTCAGTGATCGCGAGCGAAAGAGGACGATACAAAAGCTTACAGTCTTTTATAATAACCTGAAAGCCAATCAGCAGTCTAGAATAATTTCTAAACCAATGAACATACTAGATTTATAAATAGTGACATCTACAGCTGAACCATATTGCTATGGTGGATTTTTCAGACACTAAATGATTAAAAGATCTATGTAATAGTTTACAAATTTGACTCAATATTCACTTTGTTTTATAATTTATCTAAAAAAGTACTTTTGACCTAAAGATTCTTGCAAATCATTCAAATAGATATTTGACTGAAGTCGAATTGGGTGTATTGTTGAAAAATAGCGTAATAAAGTTTAAGATTACGCACTACTTAATTATTTTTGCTAATGCGTTTTCTCATTGATAACATTTAATCTATTATTAGCTATCTACGAAAGTTATCTGAGATGTTGATATCTGAAATGTCAATAACCATCAGAAAAGTGAGGTTTATATTATCAGAGTTTACAGTGTCCAGATTTTCGAACAATATTTGTTCACAGAGGCGCTAACTGACCCTCTTTATTTAACTTCTATTGACTTGGTTATCGAACGAATACAGGTTTGAATGGCAAAACCATCTGCAAAAGAGACTAGTGGTAAGAAATCTATTACTGACCTTGACAAATTCTATAATTTTTCAAGAAAAAAAAAGTTTATCGTTTATAGAATGTTTTATGAGCGATAATAAGTGATTTTTTGTCAGATGGAATATTACAATATATTACCCAACAAAATAGACCGTACAGTGCAACGGATATTTTTAATAATCTCCATGGAAAATTTGGGAAAACGGTTTAAATAATATTTATTTTTAATTATAATACATTTTAAGAACTTTATCACTTAGGCTGTTGTTAAAGCATTAGAGAGTTTAGCAGCGGATGGTAAGCTTGTTGAAAAGATTTATGGAAAACAAAAAGTCTATGGACCCAATCAGGTTTTAAAGTTTATAAATTCACTTTTCGACCTTTGACAAAATTTCGTGTCTAAGGATTCTATGCCGTCAATACCCCCCGATGAGTTGGTAAAGATGAGACAGAAAGTGGCTGAACTACAAAGAGAAAATGAAGAATTAACCAAAAACGAAAAAAAGCTTGATATGCGTTTGTTTATTTTACTCTTAAGTGGCCAATTTAGGATCTTTATTTTGAAATAATTTAATTTTAATAAGTGTCGAAACAATAAGTCAATAGTTTAACTAGCAATAGTTTATAAAATTTCTTTTTTTTTAAACTGGTTGATTATTATTTAATAGTTATTTCTGAGAAAAGAAATGCGATTCCAACAAATGAATTGAAACAAAAAGTTCAAGACTATCAAAAACAAGTAAGCTTTTGATGACCACAGAAAAAACTTGTACTCTGATATATTTTCTAGCTTCAAGATATAACCAAGAGGGTAGATAGTTGCAAAAATAATCCAAATGCAGTTTCAGCAAAGGATATGGAAAAAGTTCGTTTAAAACATTCATTTTATCTATTTTTATTCTGCTAATTTGCAGATAAAGAAAGAAAGAAATAAATTTTTGGCATTTTGGAGAAAAAGAAGACGTATTGTTAGTAAAATATATTACAAATTTTACATTATATTTTATTATTATATACTTTTCGTAGGCTAATGATATTTTGGATGCTATGTTAGAAAGTGGTGACAAAAAGAAGAGCGAATTAATGGTAATTATTATAATTTATAGATTTCAATTATTTAATACCATATATTTAATAGGAAGAACTTGGCATCGAAACGGATGAAGACTACAATGTAAACATACAGACATTCACCGAAGTGTAATAAAAGAAAAGGCAAAAATAATTGTAATTTTTTTGTATATCAATTGTCGTTAAAACTTTTGTGTAGCTATAAAAGTTGTATGCGTATTAAATTTATTTTCACCTTATTACTGTCGAAAAGCTAATATACTATATTTACATTATGTGAAATAGTTATAATAAAAATGTTGTTTGCAAGTACTACATGAATTAACTTATTCTAAGACCAGTTTACAAAAATAAAATGGGGTAATATTTTGCATTTCGCACACGATTTTATTGTTACTACTTTTTATCGCTCAACTAAATTTAGGTTTAATATGGAGTCATCATCCTCCGAGAGTGATAATGGCATCGAAGAAAAGTTACGTATGGCTGCTATTACAATAGAATGCATAGCAGGTTCCCAGAACCTAACTTAGTATTAATAGATTTTCAAACTTTCAAGATATTTTGCAGAACCCGCTAAGAATAATGGCTCAAAAAGAAAACAAAAGAGTAAGGAGAACGAAATCAGTTACCAGTATGTAAATTTTATAAGTAACGGATATCAATTTTGTTAATTTATTTGAATAGAAGTGAAGAAAAGTCTTATTTAGCTAAGAAATTGGAGGAATTATTAGATGAGTAAATTTTCAAAATAAAATCATAAGGATATTTCTAATAGTTTATTATACATTTTCAAGAAAAATTAAGTATGTTAGTAGTTCTAAAAACACGAAAAAGGATAAGTCTGTTAAGAAGGATAGTGGAGTTAGAATATATCCAAAAGGACCAAAAGTATTTAAAGTTATATATGATGAAGAAATTCCGCAAAAGAGGAAAAAAAGAAAATCAACATCAACTTCTTCGTCAGATGATGAAAACCTTCTGAGAGATGTTGCCGTTAGCGGATATGATATTTTAAAGCAATCAAGTAAAATTGATATAACTTGTATAGGAATTAAAATTTCATAATTCTTTTCATTTTCTTTATCTAGGTATCAGTTGAAAAGTTTTATTCCGATATTAGTGTTCACACTGTACTTTGTACATTACAAAACATGATTCAAGTGGAATCATAATGTTAATTATTTAAATAAAATTCTTTTTATTTTGTTTGTAATCCTACTTGAAACACTTTAAAACAGTATCACTTATAGTGTGAATAAGCTTGTTGTTTGAATCTAAATAGCTTCGTATCCCTAACCTTAATCTCTTTTTTGACTTTTTTAAAGTTTTCATTGTTAAATCCCATAACTTAGTTTGATCTCTGAACATATATAACTCTCTAATGTCGCCAGTAAAATCGAAGAAATCTCTCTGTAGTGGTATTAAAAAGAAACTGATATCATCACTGAAATTAATAAAAAAGGAACAGCAAGACTGTTAACTTACTGCATCATCTCCAGATAATTCAACAGCGAGATGATCCTGATTATCCTGTAGATTTATCTTAAATTTCATTCTGACCTGAAGAAAAGGTGGACTGAGATCTTCTTCTGCAAAAAGAGAAATTTTAAAAAAGATTTAAACTTGTAAAAGAGAATTTACTTTCGTGATTTACACAGATTTTGAAACAGCTTGGACACATTAAAGATACAAAATCATTCTCTTCCATTTTGTCCCTAAAAAAAATCACTTAAAGGGAATAAACGATAGAATATTAAGAACCAACTTTTCCCAACTTAGAAACATATTTTCAATTGAATTATTCGGAATGATACAATCTTCGGCAGGGTTTATGAGACCTTCTCTATTCGAGGTGAAAGTTAAGATATTAATAAAGCAAAACAGTTTTAATATTTTAATAATTTACTCGTGTGAACAAATGTTACAATATAATTGTATAAATTGATGATTTTCGATGCTTGTAAAACTTGAAATGTAGGCCTCAATTTTACAAATTCCAGGTTGTCTGTCACTTTTTTTCAACTTTTTCAAACTTATAAAACTTCCATCGTGTCTAATTTCTATCAAAAGAGAAGAAAAAAAAATACTCTCTTTTTTGTATGATTAGGCAAAAATGTAATTCACCAGTGTCGACATCTTGAGTTAGGAGAATTCGGTCTTCCTCATCTTCTTCTACAATCGTTTTGTTATTGCTATTGTTAGCATTGTCAGAGGGTTTTACAGTAACAAGCCTTTGAAACATTTTAATAATCGATACCCTTGGATCATCATCGTTTAAAACCCGAATATCTCTATTGAAACCTTTTCCATTTCCGTGGACACAAATTTCATAATAATCAATTTCTGCTTTCTTTCGTATATCCGCATTAGTGACTTCGATATACTCACCAAGCTGAAATAAAGTATCTTATCATCTCTGTATAATATTGAAGTAATCTTGTACATTACCTTTATTTTACACGCTTTTTCGGCGTGTTCATCATAGACGAAAATGTAGTGTAGATATTCTTCATCGGGGCAAATTGAATTATTTATCTCCTCAACCTCATCCTCTTTAACTTTTGCCTTAGAGAATCTGAATTAAATAAGCAAATAAATGTGAAATTTTAATTTGATTTTCTTTAATATTATACTTTAAACCCTTAGTTCCATCCCAAGCCACTAAAACGCAACAAAATTTTTTGTTTGATAATCTTTCCGCAATATTTGGTGAATACATTTTTCCTATAAGCTACAATTAAAGAATTTAATATTAAAATAAAAGAAATGCATAGAAACTGCAAAATAATAAACCTGACAAACGAAATCAGTATAGCATCGATGACTTATAGTTCCAAAATTATCTCCTTTAACCTTTCCTCTGCTTTCGTATAGACTGCCAATATTTCTTTTAAGAACCTCAATACTACTAGCATCGTCATCATTGAGGTATATATATTTTTCATTCTTTTCACTTTTTGCGCATAGTTCAAAGGTGAGATTAGACAAACAAACAAAATCTCCAACCTATGGAAATTTTTATATAGCTTTTTATAGAATAGATTTTAAATTTAAATAGAGAACTTTAATATGCTTCATCTGATCTTGAAATTTTTGATGTATATATAGATCATACGATCTATTCCAAACTAGGGCAAGTAAGGGTGATATAGACTTCGTACAATCTATATAGTCAGTCAAAGGCGAATTTTTTAAGTGTCTGCAAATATAAAACTTATATATTAATATATAATAGCGAAGATGACATTCATTAATAATACTTTATAGTAAAGAGTAACATACAATTGAGCTTTAGTTCCATCCCATATCTTCAATAAAAATTCACTTCCCCTTTCAATTATAGCTAAAATTTTACATCTCAAAGTAAACGGGAAATTTTCAGTCGCCAGATCGCTTATTGCAAATTCTACAGATGTTTTTAAACCGCTTGAATTTATACTAGGTTTTTTACTCTCCCAAAATTTTCTTAATTCAGTTATCTACATTAACAAACGGTGAAGTAAACGTGATCAAAAAGCTATACACTGTATATATATATATATACATATATAATGTATATACTGTATATGTAGTAAAAATTAATTCTTACATATTTTATATATGGTCGTTTGTATTTAAACTTTTTCCTTCCATAAGTCAAGGGAGAGAGCGAAGAATTTACGTCACCAGAAAATTTCGCCCAAGCAGCTCCAACACTGTCAGATGCAACACATTGCAATTTTTCGTTAAATAACTTGCACTGAAATAGAACAAGACGTATTAAATATAAATATTTGAGTATATGTACATACCTCCATCCGCTTAATTATAAGTATCTCTCCTTCTTTATTTGGAAAAGGGAAATCAGCTTCATTTTGACTAAATAAAGTTACGCCTAGACGTCTATCCGATCCTGATGTATCAATCAATTTGAGAAAGAACTTGTACTCTGTTTAGAAAATAGTTCATTTATAATAACATTTGGATGAATAAGAAATTCTTACTATCATTTTTTAATGATTTAACACAATCCGAGAAAACAATTATTCCACAGATATTATATTTCGGTCCGCAAGGTTTCAGTTGACTAATTGGAACAAAGACATCTTCCGATAGTGACTATTTAATAATATAATATACATGTTATGTTATTGTATTGTGTATTATAGCTAATTCTATATAAGGAAAATATATAAAGTGCATACGAATTTAAAATATATATACCTGAACTTCGGAGATAAATACCCAAACTTCTGTCAAGTTTGGCGGTACATTGTTAGTTTCCAGTTTGTATTCATGTGGGCTGTTGACATTAGCTGAAGCATTTATTAATGCTTTATTGAAGATAAGAACGTCCTAAAAATTATAAAATTTTTCATTATATCAATTTCATATAGGCGAAAGGAACCTTAGGTTCGATAGCATCTAGTATTCTGCTGTATTCTTTCGTCAGAAAACATTCTATCATCTGATCTTCATTATCAGGATCGTTTAATATTATTTTCTTCCAATCGAACTTTTTAGTATGTGAGAAAGCTTCTTTAATTTCTCCCTGAGAGAGAGAAAAATATTAAATGCCATTGGAAATTTAAAACAAGTATATTTTATTTTTTTTTGTTTACCACTATCCATTTACTTTCATATTCTTCGCCCACTTTCAGATCGTTGATTTTAATTATTTCAATATTCTTTTTATTTATAAGAAATTGTCTTGCGCTCTCTAACGGATTAGCTGTTTGGAAAATTTGAATTTTCTCTCTAATTCCAGTCATCTTCCAAATATTGAATTATCGCTCAGAGGTAAGCTGCTCTTATGCGCGGGAAAAATGTGTTCCCTTTTCGAAACAAATGTTTTAGTAAACAAAATTCTTTTTAAAGGACTAAATAACAATATTTATTAAAATCTTAAATTTAAACATATCGAAAAAGTGCATTTTGATTTATATTATTAAAGAGAACGATAAAAGGTCGAGTTGTGTTTTAAAAAGTCATGAAACAATTTCCCTTGAGGGTGACAGCCAAAATATATACTTTCCTAGCAACATGTATAAATAATTGAGACCAATATAAGTATTTCACAACATTGAGAGTATTCAGTAATATTCTGAGCTAGGAGCTATGTCTCTTTCTGATATTTGAAAGAGTTTCATACGCCTTTTGAATTTCCATGAATTTGGTTGTTGCTCTTTCCTTTTCTTTCTGATCTAAGTGTTTATCAGGATGCCATTTTCTAACCAAACTACGATAAGCAGCTGATATTTCCTTATTACTTGCGTTATCATCTAATTCAAGAACCTAAAACATATCGGCAAAATGTATAAAAATGCATATATTTAAAATATAATTTGAATTAATTACACTATAAGCGTTAGCTTCTCCTTCAGGATCAAGCTGAATTTGTAACATTTTCCACATTTCTACCCAGCCATGTTCCTTTGAGAATAATTAATAAAATTATACAAACAAATTTTTATCAATAGATACCGTACTTGATAAGTATTGTATAACTCTTGTAAGGTACTCTTTGTATCTTTCCAAGCAGGTGATGTAAAGAAATTGTGTAGTGCATCCTTAAGTAGAATTTTTTCACCGTCCTTTGTTTCAACTGTTGCGTTCTGATATCTATAAAATATAATTGAAACATCATATATATATATCTATATATTCATATATATTTACGGTACATTCCCTTAATAGAACAATTATTATGAAATGAAGGTTATCTTATAGATGTACTAATTATTTTACTTTGAGATTTCCTTTGATAATAATAATGAAACATTTTTTTTAGTTATATATTTCTTAAAATTTTACTTACAAAGCTAATGTTAAAAATAATGAGTATATTGCCATAATAATGAACATTATAGAAAGAGCTTTCGCACAATGGGCTCTTTTTAATCCAATAGGCTTCCATGATTTACCTTTCCAATTAGATAATACTGCACAGAGTAGAATAGGATATCTAGAAAAGAATACAAGTTTTTCTTAGTTTTCTATAATATAGATTTAGAACATACGCTGATGAGTAGTCAAAGAGAAAAAATACAGATCCACCGTAAGCTCCAATTAAACACCATTTAAATGAAATTCTTTCCATACCAATATTTCCAATTAAAGAAACAGCTAAAACGTATAATAAAATGAGATTCTTATAAGTTTAAGGTAAATTTTAAAAATAAAAGTAATATCACCTAAAGCAATACCGAATGGTACAAAAATCCAACCAACAAATATTCTAGTTATAACAAGGAATGTACTGTTTTGTTCGTAAATTTCGACTGGAAAAATTGAAAAGAATAACGTTTGTAAATAGTAGCCAAATAGAATTTCAGCACAAAATCTTAAGAGGCTGAACTTTGGTGCGGTTCTACATCTTTGAATTGCTTTTAGTTTGTCTACATATTCAGAAGTGAGATTTGATTCTTCAACATAGTCACTTATTTTTAAAATATGTCTGAAGTATTCAATACCAAAAGCTCCGAATGTAAACCACATAAGTAAAGCATGTCTATAACGGCCTAAATAAATGAGATGTAAGGCTATGGTCCCTCCAAAAAACCATAAAACGTAAGCTATTAATAAACTCTTTTTTCCTTCTTTGATCTTTCCACTATCTTCATTATTTCCATTAAATGTCTTTTTATTCTTTAAAAAGAAACAATTTTTAAGATAAAAACCCTTCTATCTAAGAAATTAAAAGAACATTCATTACGATCTATTTATTTCTTACTTTTTTAATTTGTTGAGTTGATATTGAATCACTCATCTTGTTTTCAATAATTATATTTTTGCTTTGTTGTAATTAAAGCATCCTACACAAGAATTAAAAAAACGAAGGTACTATTTTCTAGTTTTCGTCTGCTTGAAAATTGATTAACAAGTTGTTCAAGCTCGTAGAATACAACTAAGGACTAGATGGCGTGAACATAATCATTTTGAGTTTTATAATTTTTCGTTATAAAACTATTATTAACATAATTTTAAAAATTAAATCTACATCTTTCATAAATATTTGAAAGTAATTAAATTTCTATAATTAACTTTTATTTAGAAATTTAAGGACGATAATATAAGTCTTTTCAGATATAGGTCCATTTTTTTTTCTCTCAACCGATCTCAATTTTTCCTGAATGTTAAACGATCTATAAATCGAAATCGATTTTTTAAAAAAATCAAGTATACTGTAAAAATTCGTATCTTCTTTCTAAAAATAGAATAACTAAGATCCCTAATTCATAGAAAAGCAAGGCTAAGTTACACATAATTAAATAGAACGATCTAGAATATACTGTATATATTCAGTACATATATTAGTGATTAATAACTTGTTGCATTATTGAAACCAAGAAGAAGTTTGAATTTAATAAATTGAATGTTTAGTTAATTACAAAATGCATATTTTTATCATAATATTCGATAATCTTTTGTTCTAATTGAAAATTGTTTATGTTTTATTTTCACATTAAAATTGTTATTTACTTTCGTTTTTGAATAAATATTATTGATTTTTGGATATAAATATTAACGAATTATATTAAGACAAAAATTAAATTCGATTTATTATATTAGTGTATATACCTAATTTTATAATAGAAAAGTTATTTTTTCTTCTTGCTTGACAACGACCTAAAGAGAGCTCTATCGATTGTTATAGGTTGAACTTAATAGAAAGTATAGAACATAGCCAGTGAACTACTAAAAAACTCTTTTATTTTACATATATTAATATTTGAATACATAGAACATTCAAATTAGAATCTAGTTAGCTGCAATTATTTACTATAACAACAAATATAATGTTACTTTAAGGCATACAGAGGATAAAATATCATTCATTATCTGTCATGTAAGATAAAACTATATGTAGAAACTTTCCCCTTCTGTGGGAGATGTAATAAAATCTATTATGATGATTTTAAATAATAATAGCAAAGGCTTAGAGGTTTTTATTTGTAGTTTACCTATCGTTAAAAATAACGATAACAGTAAAATTTTATAGTTATACTATATTGACAAAAAATGTATCTAACCTTTCTACCTCTCTCTCTCTCTCTTTAGAGCCCAACATATATATATATATATATATATATATATATTGTATATATATATATATATATGCATTAGGAGGAGTACGTCTAATTTACCCATGATGGAAGATTGATGTAATTATTGATTTGATATTTTGTATGGAAATAAACAGACTATCTTATTAACACATATAATTATTTAGCTATGAAAATAAAACGAAACAAAACCATACAAATATAAACTATCTTGATCAATCTCAACTATTTGCTATTCAAAGAGAAGGTCGTTTGATCACGTGGAAAAAAATCTCTCTCTGTCTCTCTCTGTCTCTCTCTCCTTTAGTATTAACAACTAAGAGAGGAAAAAACTTATGGTAAGGAAATAAGATATAAATAAGAAATTATTATTAAAACTGTAAAAAAAAAGTAAATAAAAGTTTATAATACGATAGCACTCGTTGCTACAGATAAATAAATATTATATTATAATATATTGGTGTTATTATTTTATATAGGATATAAAGAATTTTCAGGGTTATGCAGAAGGGGATTGACATTAACTTTATGATATCTGCCTATAGAAATCTATATTTAAATACATATTAATTTTTCTTAATAGACAATTTGTATTTTTTTATAGTTTATATTTGCATTTGTTTGTTTATCCTCAAAATTCTTTTGTTGCTTTAATGATAAATTCTCTCAAGTAAGGCATTTAGAACTCATTGATAAGTAATTTAAATATGAACGCACAAGGAAAGGTAGGTGGCGTAAACAAATGGATTTATTTTAGCTTTTTTTAATGTTCTTTTACATTTTTTTACATTTTTTGGCACAAGATAAAAGTTTTATATCATAAATAATCATATTACTCAATATAGTTTACGGTAAATAATATTATATCATCTAAATTTTAAAAGATGGAGGACGATAATATGAGTTCTTTGAGTATTAAAATTACTATTTACTTTTTTATCAGTGTACATTGTAATTTTTTTTATTTTTATGTTTATCGAACATTATTTTTAAGAGGAATATGGATTTTGCTTTTATTTGGAACATAATGTTTATTTACTAGCAAAACCATTCATAACACTCTTATAAAGAGTAGGCCTAGATATAATGATAAATAATTCGTGTTTATTGTTATTGCATATGCAGTTTTATAATAGAAATTATTGCGTATAATTTTAGTAAAGCAAGACTTTGGGCTTAATATATTGAGGTCTTTTCACAACGCAAACCAAGTTATATATAGGGCGTCCATGTGTAAAGAAATTTTTATGCTGAAACCAATGACGATTGGCTGGTGTTTCGATTAAATATCGGTTAAGATATCGTTCTCGATTCGATTTCGGAAAACACGTTAATTTCTATCTGCATAGTGAGCCTGTATATTCGTAAAGTAGTAGAGTCCTGAATGATTAAATATTTTTAAGTTTGGTTTTTTCTTCCCGCTTAGTCCAGATTTTGGGTTTAAAATTATTGTAATTAGGAAAAATGAATTATAACCCACCGGTATGTTTAAATTTATTATTCTATGTGCGTCTTCTTTGTCGATACTCGTCGCTGTATTATGTATTCTCCTGCTTAACATCGGGCGGAACAGCCTAAACAAATCATTTCTTACTTTAAAGCGTGCAAAAGTGAAAAATCACGCATCCTTTACTGTTTTTTTTTGAATTAAGTATATGAAACATTTATATTTTCAATAATGATTTACTTATTTATATTTTCTTACCCTATATAAAATAATGAAGTTTAATTTCTAACTCATGGTTTAATTGACAAAAGCACTGGTTGTATTTTACGTAGGCATATACTCTCCTTTCCACTTAACTTGAATTTATTTACAATTTGTTTCTACGAATGTATGCGCCATAATATAAAACATTTGCGTCATTTTTTTTGTCTTTTTCTCTTCAACCCAATTAAGAAAATCAGGAAGGTTATTGGGATTTTTTGAGCCTAGCAAAGTCGGATTTAGATTAAGTAAGTGTAGTATATATTTTTTTAATTAATTAAGACATAATGTTGATTTTTAAAAATATTTCTTATAGTATAGTCGATTTGTACATAGTACTTTTTGTTTTTACAGACTGTTACAGTATGCTTTTTCTTTAGTAAAAACAATATACAAATAAAGCAGAAGAGATTGTTTAGTTAATTTGGTAAGGAAAATTATATAATTATTAAATATATCGTATGGAAAAAATTACACGTAAATTCATATGGTTCTCTCTTTTCAGGTAATAACAATATAAAAAAAAGCGACAACACCAGCATTAGATAATCCTTCCAAATATATGATATATAAACAAAAAGTAGTTTAATAAATTGCATTAACCGTTTTCTCTTTCTTATTGTTTGTAAAGGAAAGTTAATTTCAATAAGAAATAATGTAATAAATACTTTTCTTTTAATGCTTAAGGGAGGTTTTAACAATATCTTTTCTCTTATTTTTTTTTATTTTGTCTTATCCCTTCTCTTTAAAAAAAGAAAAGATATTAAACTTATACATATTTGATATTCATATCGGGAAAATATTCCCTAAGAAAAGGTTTATAAGGATCTTATTAATTTTTACCTAATAAATATTTTACGTAAAAGTAAGAAACAAATCCTTTTTTCATTTAGTGTCGGGTTATAGTATTCTTTTCTAAATTCAACACTTAACTTTTCATTTCATGTTTTTAATTGAATTTGTATTCTAGTTTTCCTTTTAAAAATCATAAATCTTTGATTTTAATTGTTAATGAAATATGCTTTAATAAACAAAGAAAAAGGAGAAACTGATAAAATATATTCGTGGTAAATATGAGGTATCGAGGTCATAGAGAGAATAATCTGCTTTGAAAATTGTGCCAAAAAATTTGCTTCATTAAGAGTGAAATTTATGATAAACAATATGAAAAGGATTTTATAGGGAACTTGAAAAAAATTTGATAAATTGAATTAATCAAAGAAAAAGACTATTAAAATCCTTTTTAAGTAGGCAAAATAACTTTTTTGAAAGTAATTATCATTAGAAATATAATATTGTTGTCCAATTAATAAGAAACTTCTAATCTTTATCATGGAAATTTTTCAATAGGCAAGAAATCATACCTCTCGTCACAAAACAAGGAAAACAGCTCAAATTTTGAAGCACCGTAGTATGACAGCATCTGATTTATGCCTATATGACGATGCAGCAACAGCATTAATTATAGATCCATTTTTGGAGATAAAAACTCATAAGATGGAAATAAATAGACCAGAATTTCTAGATAGTGAAAAAGAACAATTAAGGAGTATTATTTTTGAAGCTATCAATAAACAAGACTTTGAGAGAGCATATGAAAATATTGTAGATACTGGTTTAATTAGAGAATTAAATACTAAGAAATTTAAAGATCATCTCTTCCTCTTCTTTAATTTCTTTAAGAAATCATCAGGATTCCAGATTGATTTATGTGATCGTTATATATCTGAGGGTAAGAAGGGAGCCAAAATCATATCAACTAGGAAATGGTCGAGGGGTGAGAGAATTCAGGACCTCATCGGTTGTATTGTTGAATTAACTGATAAAGAGGAAAAAGAAATTCTTAGGTATGGAGAAAATGATTTCAGTGTGATGTATTCAACCCGCAAAAAGTGTTCACAATTATGGCTGGGCCCTGCAGCTTATATTAATCATGATTGTTGGCCAAACTGTAAATTTGAGGCCAAAGAAAATGAAAAAGCTGAGGTTGTTGTTATTAAGGATATAGACGTGGGTGAAGAGATACTTTGTAACTATGGCAGTGATTTTTTCGGTGAAAAGAACTGCTTTTGTGAGTGTATGACTTGTGAGTATATGGGACGAGGATATTTCGCCCAAGTGAAAGAAACTGATGAAAAAGAGGGCGGATATTGTTTAAGATTCACTTCAAATCGTAGGCAGAGATTTGATGCGAAGAAGAATGAAACAAAAGATCCTAAGAACAATGATTCAGCATCCAAAGTTCGGAAAAGGGAGAGATATCAAACTGAAAAATTAGATAAACGAATTGAAGAATCAGCGAAAACGTCTTTTAGAAGAGTTTTGCGGGAGAATGTGTAAACTTTCTGTATTGCTGAAAGCTTAGTTCAATTTTATCTGTTATTCTATATCGTCTCAGTCGTTTTTTTTGTTATAGACTGCCATTTTGGAAAAACTGAAGTAACACTCTCTATTTCTCTCTATATCCTTTTTCTTTTCTTTAACATTTTAAAAATCATCATCTATTATTCTTATAGCGTTTTTAATTCTTATTTTAAATATGTTGATGAAAATGATGAACAAAAAGAAAATTATTACAAGCTCTTGTTTTCCATAGCTTTATGTCTTTCACAAGCTTGAGAGCTTACTTTTTTTTTATTTTACGTTAAAAGTTATTATAAAAAAAATTAGGTTAAGTATTTATTGCATTAAAAGAGTTTTAAGATTGTGATCAGTGTTGAAATAAAGAAAAGAAACTATGGCTCATTTTAGAAAAGAAATTATTATTACTATACTTTTTACTATCTAATATTTATTTTTTAAATAGCCTTAATACGATTTGCGCTAGTTTTAAGACTAATTACTGCTAATTTATCATCTTAAAAGAGTCTTTACTTGGATATATATATATGTATTTATTTATACTTTTGTTGTTGATATATTCAATTATTTATAAACATGTAAGTTAATATTTTAAACATTTGTTTACAGGGCTCATCTGCACAGAGGCCTAACTGTGGTAGATGGAATAACAAAGCTTCCGCATCATCAAGAAATTCACTTGAAACACGTCAGCAAGCAGCCTTTCCAGGACACTCTTACGGAGAGTTTCATCCCGCAAATAATAATTTAAATTGGTATGACAATCCACCAAATAATTTTATGAGTGGAATGCCCAATTATAGGAGTATTCCTCCACCTCAAGGCCAACCTCATCAGGAATTTAGGGGTCATCAACCGGGCCCACCAGAACGAGTCTTTCATAATCCATTACCTGAGAATATGCGAGAAAATGTTGATATTAGCCTGAAAACGGAAGAATATCCTGTTAATCGAATGTATAATTCTAGGTATGATCAGGAGTTGAGTTATAGAACGAACCGAAATAATTTTAGCTATAATGATTCATATTACGTAAATGAAAAGAAAAAATATTGGGCCAATCCATTAGATAGCCTGAGGTTGGAACTTGAAGAAACCCCTCAGCAAAATAGCAAAGCTAATGCTTTAAGGGCTGTTTATGAAGAGCTACAAGAAAGGGCTAATTCTCCTCCCAAGCATCTACCACCGGATATATCGGCTGCGCCAAAGAGGTCCATTCTGAAAAAAACTTCCACTTCAAGGCAAGGCGTTCGGTTGGATGAAGAAGAGAGCTTTTTATATGGGTCAACAATAAATACACCAGCAAGAAATTTAGATTCCATCGATGAAAGTATGTGCGAACTACGTAAAAAGTACGAAATGCAAAAAAATCTAACTTTTGGACGGAAAAGTAACACGGATCTTTTAAACAATAAAAGAAATTTTAGCAATAGGCCAACATCATCAACTGACAATCAAAGTTCAAATTATTCAGAAAGTAATGGCAATGAGGAATCAGCTATTTTACAAAATATATTTCAAACGATTGGAGTTTCATCCGATATTCAAAATTTAGTTGAAAAGCAAAGGAAAAAGAAATTGGCCGAAAAAGAAGAATTTAAGATAAAGCAAACTTCTTCGACTTTTATGGATGGAGGACTCTTTGAGGCGATTGAATCGAAAGGAAAATTTGCAAAATTTTTACCAGAAGATGGAGAAACTTATGAAGAAAGGGCCAGGAAATATAAGGAAATAGAAAAGGAAAAAGAAGATATAAGATTGTCTGAAGTTAAGAAAAAAATCGAATCGAGAAAGCTTGAGGAGAAGATAAGTCAACGCCCCACAACATCTGAAAAGAATGTTAAAGATATTGACATCAAAGGTAAAGACGAACCAACTTTAAAAGAAATCAGAATTGATCCTGTTGAAAGAAATCGTCTTTTGGAGAAACATAAGGAAAGAATTAAACACCTGGAATTAGCTGAGCTTGAACTAGACAGGTGTCGACGAACACAAGTTGAATGGATGAGGAAAAAGCAAAGGTCCAAAATTGGGGTTGATGAGGGTATCATTGCTGAAAATGAACGTCTTCAAAAATCAATGATAGATAGGATTAATTTATTAAGAAAAGAAGCCGATGATCTGTCAAGAAGAATAGGCTTAGAAGATGCAAGTGAAATGAAGACGGTTGAATTTGATAAGAAATGTTCCAATAACGCAAGCGAAGAAGAGTCAAAGCGAAAAAAGTCGAAAACAGAGTACGATTTTATAGACGTAGGAAATCACTGGTGCCGGCTATGCAACACTGTTTCAGTAAATGTTTACGAACTGTTCAATCATCTAAAAACCAAAGAACACGCCGAAAATGCCGATCCATTCGATAGGCCTTGGTTACCTGAGCATTTAAAAAATCAAAAAGTCGAAAAGAAAAGAAGTTCTACAAAAGCGCCTTTCAAAGGTTATTTCTTCCTTTTTCTTTCTCTCTAACTCTTTAATTAATCTTTCTTTCCATTGTCTTTTTCCTATCCTCAACAATAATTACGCTAAACTCATTTTTTAAATAAGCTTAAGGTCATGAAGGGCAAAAGAGTTTACAATTTGTTAACAGATAAAATACATACTTTTTCTTTCACAAAGGTGTGGAATTTATGATGCCAGTTAACGCATTCTATTGCAAGTTATGTGATGAATTTGCCGGTGATCATTTATCTGCAGAAGATCATCTAAAATCCAGCGATCATAATGAAAGATTTCGTGTAAGATATTTTAATAGAAATTATATATTAGTATTTAATCATTTGATTCCTTTTTGCACTAAAAAGCTCTATTTGCAAGAAAATCCTTTGTACGAGAAACAATACCATTTAGAAAAAGCTGTTAATCTTGCTAAATGGAAAAGGAAAAAAGAAGATGAAGAACGGAAGGAAATTAGGCAAGATATTCTAAAAAATCGTAATGATATCATTATTGAAAAGAAAGCGGATGAGAAAAGAAAAATCATTGTTGAAAATAAGAATGATTCGGAGAAATCTAATAAACCAGACGTTAGCTTCAGGACGAAAATAATTACTGGGAAAATTCCAGGGATTCATAATGATAGGAAGAGAAAGTTATTAATACCTTCTACATCGGTAATTTTTTTTATCTATTTCATCGTATATCATCCTTATCTTCATTTTTTCTTTTAAATAAAACATAGGCAAAGAAAGGTAAAAGCGCTCAAGAACAGAAGGTAACGCAATCTTCGTCTTCCTTATCGACGCCGTTACAAGTACCTTCCTTATCGTCATCATCATCTTCTTCTTCATACTCTAATTTAGCAAATAAGCAAAAAAATCCGAAAAATTCACAGGATAGCGCTAAATTATCAAGTAAGACGATATTTAATTTCTATTTATATACACAAACAGAATATAGTTGAATGTAATTTTTTCTTCGTATCTATAGGTGACGATATGGATCTAAGCAATTAGCATTTTCTTTAAAAAAGATGTACGCCATAATAGGCTCAGGGAAAGAATTAAAGAAAATAACAATACTCTGCATATCTTCTTTTTTATTTTTGTTGAATTGTTGAAAAATATCTTCCTCTTTTTTTCTAAATTTGCTCAAAAACTACTATGAAAAATTCTATGTTTCTTTTTTTCTATAAGAAAATTGTAATACAGGAAAAATGTTGATCAATTTACTATATTATAATTATTTCTTCTTTGTTTTAAATTAGCGCCATCTATAGGAGAAGACAGAACGTCTGTTTTATTCATAGTTCTTAATTCTACGAGAGTTTTAATTTATTAATGCGAAAGATTACTTTATAGATCTTATTAAGTTGGCGAAGAAGTTAAAAATAGATTCTTCAGTAAATTAACAAGATGGTATATGTAACCAGCATTTTACCCTTTGAGCTGTTTTTATATATAGACTCGTTTAGCTAAAAGGATTAACTGATCGCCTCTCAATAGGCTCATTAGATTCCGTCAACGTTTCATCCTCTATTTAATTTCCTTCTTTCGTCGAGATATTCCGCTCTTCCGTTATTTCAGTGCATTTTTCCTATTTCCATTCCAAAGCCCTGTTTTCCTTCTCTTCGAGTAGGATCATTTAAAGGAATGGAAGAATCCTAAGATCCTTAAATGAATTGGTTATTTCGGTGTATTATAAAAAATGGAGCAATTCATTTGTTAAAATTTACACCTGATTAAATAATTAACCTGGAATGTTAATCTCTATCGGTTCGATAACTTAACTAGTCTAAAACATTAAAATTATGTAAATTGATTATGCCAAATTGATTTTCTAAAATAAACATGAGATTCCCAATACTATACAATATAGACGAAAAAAAGACGAAACAAAAGATATGGCTGTTAATCAAATTGCGACAAGAATCACTATTTCCAAAATAAATACTCTGTTTCCTGTTTGGCGGGTCGTATAGGTTTTGTAGCATCTTCTTTTTGTCCTGAGACGTCTAAATCCAATAACGTTGCCTGACGCTCTAGCTTAGGCGGTGGGGTCTCTTCAACAGTTGATTTTGCCGATACATACGAGACGTCATCTCCGACCGATTCAGAGGGTGTTGGAGTTACACCTTTCCTTAGAATAGACGCCGGTGTTGGTCTTGGCCGTGGCTGTATGTCTAAAGTAATAGGTCTTTCCGCTGTCGGTTGAGTTTTGCGATTTTTAGAGGGTGGATTTGGTAACCGGAAGGCATCTAAGGATTCATTATTATCGAAAGTTACATGCTGAGGAGTTTTTGGCGTCTCCAGTATACTACTACTAGCGTCGGAATGCTGCCTTGTAAGCTCAATAAATTCTCTATCTTGTGAAGGGGAGAGTGACATTAAGGCTAATCTTTCGTCACATTTTTTTGGACTTGGTGAACCGGAATATGCTGTCACCATGCTACTAGTTCCAGTTGAGCTCGGTGTACGAAGGGGTGGTGCGGAAGACGCCATTGGAGTGTTGGAGTTGGAAGAGAATTCAGTTTCCGTAAATCGTACGGGAATGTCGAAATTAACGGACGGTCTGTAATGAGTTTGAACGCCATGATAGGTATTATGATTAATTTTTCGAGGCGTCGCGAACGGAGTCGATGAATTTGAAGACGTCAGACGGCGTCTTGGGGTAGAAGCCGCTGAACTTCGCTGAGAGGCCAAAAGTTGTGGATGAATTCCAGCACCATTTGATAGACGAACATCAAAACCGGCTCCAGGACCTATAGACAGTATACATTACTCAGTGAATACTTAAATACACAATTGCAGACACACTTACCAGCTAACATTGCTGCCATCATATATAGTACATTATCGGTAGGCTTTCTAACGGCATACCTTTTCATAGGCGTTTCAGTGCCATTCATTTGAACAGGTTTGTCAATAGTTTTTGTAAATTGGTCGAGATTCTCCGGCCATTCATCGTCGTCATATTCACCCACTTCTCTAACAATATTTGCACCTGAATCTGCTGCTCTATGTTGAGAAATCGGTAGAGAGGTAAGAGTTTTTTCTATATTTGGAGCACCCCTTGAACCAGCATTGGCCGAAGCTAATGACCAAGAAGACCTTTGGCTATTTTTGTCTTGTTTAATTGAGCTTGGACCCCATGTTTTACCTTTGATACCATCCAATGGATCTATAAAATTTTAGGGAAAGTATTTATTTCTAATAATAAAGTCAAAAGATACTTCATTATTGATATTTTTAATTTCCTACAACGAGATGACTAAATGAACAATATAACCATGCTTTAACTAAGATATAAAAGCATATACTCTGTTATATCTCATTTGTAACGTATAAAAAGTATCGGGATAAAGATAAATAATAAGTCGCTCCTTTCTATTATACTAATACAGAAGTTTTTATGACATCAGCCAGGAATAAAATTGACACAAGCAAAGGATTAAAATAACTACAGTATAAAAATTCTGATAAAAGCTTTGCATTTCTTAAAATTAACAGATCTTTTCATTCAATATAATAGTTAATAAAGTATACAAACACTATATTAAGGGGTTTAAAGACAATATAATAGAGAGGGAGAGGCTAGGTAAAAGGTTAGTGTAGGTTAGGAATTTAAATAGCGAAGGGATAGGAATTTTAAAAAGTTTTAGGATAAATTAGCAAAGCTTTTATAAATTATCGAATAAGTAAAATAGAAAATAGAAAATGTATAGAAAAAGGGGTTTTAAATATATTATGCGGTACGTTTCTCTTTCCTTTTAAAATAAGGAATGATTTGTCTATTTGGGAGTAAACACATTTTAAAAAAAAATACAAGACATGCTATCATGCTCCTTCTGGGACTTTTATAATTTTTGTCACTCACAAGCTAGATTTGGTGCCCTCAAAACCGGATAACTAGTAGAGGTTGGTGCATTGAAAAGCGATCTTTTTGGAATTTTGTCTTTCAAATCTGCTGATCGAGTGGAAAATTGACCTTTGATTTTTGCTTTATAGACAATAGACAAACATAGCATTGTTCAGTGTTGAATATTTTATATAAACCTATAATAAAGTTAACCTAGAAACATTACATTTTACTTTTATAATTTATAAGAAAATTTTACAACCTACCACACTAATAATTAGCTTCATTAATGAATAAATAAATATCATAAATATTATAAGGAAATCACTTACATGCTATGGCCCTTAATCGACCAGGACTTTCTGTCTTAACAGTAATGTTATGCCTAAAATCGGAGGGAGTTGAAATGCTCTTGCCTTTATCCTTATTAACAAGCAATTTCAGTCGACTACTTTTAAAGACGCCTTTCCTTTTCCTAGGAGAAGGTTTCCCTTTACATTGCTGATGAATCATCATATTTAATTCTCGTTCGATCAAATCAATTTCTCTTTCGGCTAACTCCCGTTCTCTTCTCTTAAGCATTTCATCATGCTCTCTTTGTAAATCAATTGCTTTTAATAATTCCTCTTCCCTGTTTGCTATTTCAGTTTCCTTAGATCGGAGATCGTCGAACATATCAGCAATTTCAATCTTCCAGTCGTCCTGCAACGTTCGGAAACTATCTTGCGGAGTTTGAACGAAATCTGAGGAGCCTATTTCCTCCAGAGAAGTGAGAAGATCAATAAATGACGGTCTATCAGATGTTTCAGGCGACCAGCACCCTAGATTTTTAAATAAAAAAAAGAAACTGGTAGTTTATTGAATTTAGATTATCTATTTATCTTTTCTGCTTATATATAAATACGATTATATATACAGTATATATATATATATATACTTATAAAATATACCCAATTTTCGTTTATGGCAATTACACATTAATAAATAATATCAGTATAGAATAGAGAAAAGATTATCTTAAATGAACTACATTTTGTAAATCAATCTACATGTTTTTTTTTTAGTATAGTAGTTTGACTATTATCTAAATAAGACATTAAATGAAAAAGAAGGAAAATCTATATTTTTTTTCTTTATGCTTTTATTTTCAGTCTAAAAAAAAAGTGACCTTGATGTTTTTTTTGTTATATATAACCAACCTAGACTGGGTTTTTTTTTTAAATTTAACATATTTGTTAAGTTTGAATTAGAAAAAAGATATATAAATATGCAGTATATATAAATTTATATACTGTATTTTTCTGAACTGTTATTCGAAAAATTTAATGAAATTGGGTCACTTAAGGAATGTTTTAAATATTCAAGCCTATTTTAGAATAAAATTTATTTAAAGAATTAAAAATAAACTTACTGTTGAGGAGCATCTGAAATTCCTGAGGGCAACTTTTCGGAATTGGTAAAGTTAATTTATTTACTGCTACTCCATAAGCGACAGCCAAATTATCAAAGTCCTTATATGGAATTTCACTTGTAAGTAATTCCCACAAAACAACACCGAAGCTCCAAACATCTGAAGCTTTAGAGAACCGGGAATTTTTTATTACTTCCGGAGCCATCCAAGCGTATGTTCCAGCTGCGCTCATTCTCATTGAATGACCCAGTTCCCTCGCCAAACCAAAATCAGTAATTTTAAGGGTCTTCCGTAATAAATCTTGAGAAGTATCAGCATAGGAAATACTTTCTGCCAGCAGAACTAGTTGATGGTTAAAGAGAAAAAAAACTTGGTTATTAAATTCATCAGGCTGTCTAATTACAAACTTTTAATTAAATAGGATTGGCCTTTCGTAATTTACATTATCGCATACTATTATTAGGTTTCGCATAAATAAATACAGCTATATATTACAACAATATAATACATACTTTAGAATGTTAGATTCTAACGTATGGAAAATTAATGGGTTGTTTTTTAACAAAAAAAAAAAGAAAAGTAATTTTTTTTCTTTTTTTTTTTATTGTATACTTTTACGAACAGTGAACAATTCAAAGAAATTTATAATATGTAAATAAACCTTAAAATGAATACATAATTATATTTCTGTTTAACAAACAAAAGAAATAATATGACGAGAAAATTTAATGTATGCTAATTCACTTTAGCTAGTGATCTTAATACAATTATATTAATATATGGATTTAAATTTAGCTAGTTTACGTAAACACCGAGCTAGTTACGGAATGCGTGTAAATTATAGGCCAAACGGATATTTAAAGCCTATTAAAGATAAGTTGTTTACAAAAAAAGGTGTATATATAATTCTTAAGGATTGACTGGCCGAGAATAACATAATACTTACTGTTATCGGACTTTAAATCCCTATGTATAAGCGCCATAGGCGCCTTATCGTGTAAATAATGCATGCCATTAGCTATCTGCTGAGCCCAATTAACCACAACATCAGCCGATAAAATTCTCTGAGCTAAAATCCTGTTTACTGACCCTCCATGAGCATATTCCATAACTAGACATAAATTAGGTTCCTTCAAACAAACACCTTTAAGCAGAATGATATTTTGATGGCTAAGTAACCAGAATAATTTAGCCTCTTGTCTAACATTTTCTTTGGTAACGGATAACGGCTCTTCCGGATCCTGTTTGGCCAATTTAACAGCCACAACCTCACCATTCCAGCAACCTAATTTTAAAACAAAACTAATAAGCAAATATATGATAAAGGAGTTAAAATATTATACGTAAAATAATAATAATAATAGAAAAACTTTCTCAGGGAATCCTAAATATACAACAATTTTTGTCCGCACAATGTGCCCTCTTTTTTTTTCTGCAGATTGTCGGGTGGGGTCTATTGATATAATATTGAAGTAGTAGCTCATGCCTTAATGCTTATTATTTTTATGATCGTTTACAAGTACTAAATGTTGTTATTGTTCTTTTTATTATTAGTTGTTATTATACTATATTTTTCGTACAAGATGTGAGAATTTTATCCTAAAAATATTTGATAAAGAAAATAAATTTTATTTGTTCATGACTTATCACGTTCGAATTTATCAAAATTCTTATATATAAAGTTTTTAAAACCAAGTACACATGTAATTAATGGCAAAATTCGATAAAATTCACTTTCTTTGTTCAATATCAATTGGCTAATTTCTCTTTCTAGTTAATTATCTTTCATTGTTTTATCTTATGAAAGGAGGGAAAGCAATTTAAAGCTATCTGAGATACTTATTGTTGCGTAGATAATTATATATATATATTAACTTTATGTCAAAATTTTTGGGAATAATTTATCGGTGGTTTTACGACTGATCGGTCTGATAGTTTGATTTTATCTGAAATATTTCTTACCTCTATAAACTTGGCCAAATCCTCCCAATCCAATAACGTCCTCTAAGCTCAGCTCATTGAAATCAATCTCGAACGGTCGGGCGTTATCATGGGAATCAGGAGAAACTTCTCCAACTTTCTCGTGAACGAAATCCGCTGGGAAAACACCAATCTTCTCCTCTATTTGTCCGGTCCACCACCCAACGTCTCCAGAAATTCTATGATCCTTCGATAAAATTTGAACCTTTTCTCCTCTTCTCAAAGTTAACTCGTCTTCCCTATTAGCCTCATAGTCGAAGACGGCCGTCCACACTCTTTCCTTCTCCTCCATAGACGGCATCTATTGTAGGAACTTTGATTAAGATATTTTCGATGATTTAGAGAGCATGTTGAACAAATTGCAACAATAGAAGATAGAATTTAGATAATTATGCACTGTAGTTCATTATTTTAAGACGTTTTTCTATGTTTCTTGGCTGTTGGAAACAAATGGACGTCGGGAGGTTGTTTACGAGCGCCATATTGGATATCGATAAGTATACTAAAAACTGGTATTTGCTTCAGAGAAATATTTCTCCTGAGCAGGATTATTCTGGCGAACATTTATTTATTTTATATTTTAGTACTCTTTAATTAATCAAATTAATAAGTATTAATAAAAAAATAAATATAAGCTGGACTATTTGAAGGTACGTTTATCAATTATCGTTCTAAACCAGAGGTCTAATTAAAGCTGTAATAATGAAGGATAGTGTTTCTAGGATTTCTTTTCTAATGCACTCCTTGTATAACAAATATCGTATTTTTTTTATAATAGACAGTAATTTATTGTAGTTAATATTGATTTTGATTCCTCATTAATAACGGTGTTGTTTTTCCAATTATCAGGTTAAATATGGGGCAGGCCAGTTCCAGAATAGCCAAAGGAGTCCTATCGCCATTTACTCAAAAGACAACGAAAGAAACGCCACCTAATAATCAACTTTTAGTTAGCCCATTCGTTTATGTGGTTAACAGGTAATTCTATTGTCAATTAGATAAACGTTGTAATTAATTTAAGATATACAACGTAAAACAGCGGACTCTACGTCGATGAAGATGGTTTTGTAGCAAACGAATTCTATGTTCAAGTTCATGATAGGGCAACTGGAAGGAGAACAATGAAAAAAAATGATCGAGTCAGACCATACGTAAGATAGACATTTCTTAAAAAATTAGGATTTTTCAATTAAACTTAAAAGAAAACAACTTTTTTAGGGTGAAATTAAATTGGATATACCAAGAATAAAAGTCGATTTGCCAATTGTTATTTGCGAGGCACCATCATGATATAACTTCACTGCAAAACTCTTCATTGTAGAAAAAAACCTATAAAAAGAAATGTAGATGATTGCCTCAATTGATTTTCTTTTTTAATTAAATAAAAATTGTACAGATAAAAGAACTTCTTTTTTTTTTAAATTGTTTTAATTTCATAATTTCATAGAAAAGATAAATGGCCCAGCTTACGTGTTCTTTAGATTATTATTTTTAACTGATATATTCTCTCCTTAATTCCATTCTCGTGTCATACGTACGTAAATTGCTTTAGACATATACATACATATATTTGAACAAATCCCTCTCTGTTCCGTTTCATTTAATTCAATTAAGCTTTACGAAATGTACATATGTTTTAAACTGTAATGTGGTTGATTAAAATTTAACTGATTTAATAAACTCTTCAAAGTAAATATTTTCAACAAATACGTGCGTTAAGTTGAAATTCTAATATTAATCAAATAATCCTCGTCTGAAGAAGAAACTTCCATTAATACTATTCACAGGAAAGTATGAAAGTCTGAACTTTTTTCTTTCGTGGACTCCGCGATGTCTAAAAAATTGGAACTAAATTATTCTTTCACTGTAATTCATTGTAGTATATATTTTTTTTATATATTTGCTAGTGATGAATATTTATGAAGAATTTCTTTTGAAGATTCTAATAAAATATTGCCTATCTTATACTTTTAAACAAGCTTAACTAATAAAACTAAACTAAAATTTTAGCTAATATTTTGCGCGTGAGGTAAATAATTGAACTTTAAGTTGCTTTTGATTTGTCTTGCTCTTAAAATGAGGCATTTTGTTGATGTGAATACGGGTTCGAGGTTGTATTTTAGAAAAAAGCAGAAGATTTTATAGACTGGTCCGAATGGAACATGTGTAGTCTGGTTCTATTTCGGTTTTTTGGCTATGTTTCGACCTGACTAAATTAAACGTATTACCAAATGAGTTATCCTAGAAATAGATATAGACATGAGACATATTCTGATGAAAAATATAGACGACCCAGGGCAAGGGATTTTTCGGATTCTGGAAGCAGTTCAAGAATTCAAACAGAATCTGTCGAACGAAAGAGAACGCAAGAAAGTGAAGGAAGAAGACGAGAGAGGAGGCAAAATTCTTACGTCCCATCAGTAAAAGGAAAAGTTACGGTGGTGCATAACACAAATTATGAAGGAACAAGAAAAAGAAGACGTCCAGAAACGAAAGAGGTTTGAATATAATTTTGAACTGAACGATTCGATGCACATCAAAGGGTATTTCCTATGCATAAATATATTTATACATGTTATCAAATTCATAGGAAATGTGTGAAACATGGGCAACCAGAGCAGAGAAGAAGAAGCATCATATGTTGCGAAAGAGGTAGAAAAATTTTGCAATATTTGCCAAAAATTATCAACTTCCAAGAAGCATCTTGACTATCTAATATTGTTTTTTCATTTTTTTCAATAGCGGTAAAGAGCACCTATATGATGTTCCATGGGAGTATGGACATTACCGAGATACAAGCGAAGTCTTCCCAAGTCAGATGAATGAAAGACTGGATATAAGATCTAGACCCCCTTCTAGTAGAAGATCACGATCAATTTCTATACCAAGATCGGAAGCTAGACATTCCGAAAGAAGATCATATAAGGGTTATGAAGAAGATGGATATCCTAGAAATTCACATTGGGACGAAAAACCGTTATATGGCGATTTAGGTGAATATAAGAGAGACGGTCCAACCAGGACGGAATTAGAATATGGAAGAGGCTTTTTTCCTACTCGCAATCATAAAGCTAATTTGGGTGGAAACTATGATTGGGATAGGGACAGAGATAGAGATAGAGATAGAGATAGAGAAAGAGAAAGAGATAAAGAGCGTGACAGACAACGCGAAAGAGAAAGGGAATGGGAGCGGGAAAAGCAAAGAGAAAGGGAAAGAGAAATAGAAAAAGATAGACTAAGGGAAAGAGATAGAGACAATCGAAATTCTTTTCAGAAATCTCGAAATAAGCAGCATTTATATAAATATAGACTGAGGAGAGATAATTATTCGGACGATGAGGAAAATTCTACCTGGCGAAAGTGGAAAGCCGGAAGGTAAATCTATTTATTTGTTCATAGATCGTATTAATTTCTAATAAGATATAACGAATGGTAGATATAACGATGAAGGAAAGGAAATTGATCCTTACGTTGATAAATCATCGAAAGCTAGAGGTTATCACAAGGAATGGCACAGAGCAGGAGAAATGCCTGTCTGGAAAGCTGGTCGCTTAGACAAGGATGAATTAAGATCTCATTTTGTTCGTCAAGAATCACTTTTATCTCAAAGAACTATACGACTGTTGTCCTACCTATGTGAGCAGGGTTTGGCAGTGAGCCTAGATGATTTCAAGAAAACGATGCTTTATACCCAATATTTCGAAGAAGAAGATTTAGATAGTTATGTTAATTCTAATTCAACTTTTTTAAGTTTAATAGGTAAGAAACTTGTATCTAAAACCATTCAAGCTTGTTTAATTTACTTTTTATTTTACTTTGCTAGCATTTGACGAAAAGAAAGTTTTGAAGCTTTCATCAGATTTATCTATTTGTGATGAATATTATACAATTCAGGAATGTTCTAAAGAAAAGAATTGCCGGAATCTTCACATTTGTAAATTTTTTGTTCTCTCCCAATGTGTTTCAAAAGACAATTGCAATTATGGTCATAGTTTGACATCGCCCCATAATGAAAAAGTCTTACGACGACACTGTCTTATTGACCTCAGGCCTGAGTACATTAAAGTGATTGTAAAAAACAACAGGTAGCTAACTCTAGTCTTTTTTCTAAGGCTTTTCAATTAGAAATATTTTATTTTAGATCGGCTGTTTGCTGGCCACGAGCTTGTTCATATTATAATACCAAACACGGGTGCCAATTTGATATTATAGGTGAAAGTTTAAAATGTACGTCTATGCATGTCTGCCTTGCGTATCTGCGTGAGGAATGTGATCAAGAAGAATGCCCTCGATCTCACAATATCTATGACGAGCAACCACGGAATATACTGACGAGATTTGGTTTTAATCCAAACGTAGATGAAGTTGAGCTTTTAGTAGAGTTGATGAATGCTCCGCACTTTTCAAAAATGTATTTTGAACAACTTATGGAGAAATCTATAGAGGAAGATGAGGTAGAAGAAATTTCAAGAAAAAGAGCTGTTATTGAAAACGCTTTGGAAGCAGAGCTTCAACAAGAGCAAGAACTGCAACAAACTGCTCATTCTGCTAAATATATGGCTTTGAGAAAAAAATCGAAGTTTGCTATGACGAATTTTCTGCCTGCCTCAAATTATGTAAACTGCATTTGATAAAATAATTTCTTTTACGAACTAATCATTTTTGTCTTTTAGGCTTTCTTCGAACCTGTGCAAAATCTACCATATCGCTTAACTGATACTCCATATATTTGGCAGTATGAAAAAAAAAATTGTTGGCATGATTTTGCTGAAGAAGAGTGCTTAAAACTTGAAGAGTATTACAGCGATCCGAAGAATGTTCAATGCTCCGCAAAAGCGATAAAAGTTGGAACAGTTGAAGTTGACTTTGAAGAATTTGTTTATTCCTCCAATATGTTTGCGTCTGGGTCTATTCGACGATTCTCTTTCGACTACAGTGGTTCAGCTGTTATCGATGGCCCAAGTTTAACAAAATGGCGATGGTACTATAACGCAGATAATACATGGGTAAAGTACGGGAAATATCATGAAGGCTTGAAAATGGACATAACCCAAGAACAATTAGAAGAGTGTTATAGCAATGACAAGTTTAGTGTTGTAGAATTTTCAACGGAAGGGTTAGATGGGGAGAGTCGTCAACTTTTCGAACTACAAATGGGCGAAATGAAACAATATAATTTGAAGACAGGCAAGGTATACTCAATTAGAAGAAGACCTATTTATGATGATGGATCTAGAATACTAGTTGACAATGAAGAATATAGTGATGGAGATATGGAAACAGTTGAGCATGGAGAACAAGCACAACAAAGCTCAATAGAGAAAACTCTATGTTTTCTTCCAACTGATCCTGGACAGCAGCGAGATTTTTTGATACCTGTCAACAATAGAGAAATTCTTTCAAAGGGAGTTGAAGACAAGCCTGTATATAAAGGACAGCCAATATTATATACAAGCTCTTCAGCTGATAATCGAAATCCTACAGAGTCTGAACCAAAGAACTCAATGGAAAATTTAGAAAGAGAGGAGGAAACAACAAATGAAGCGACTAAACTTGAAGTAAAATTAAATGGTCGGGTTGAGTGTTCCGAGAATAAAGATATATCGAACGTGGAAATGTCAACTATCGATCAGCAAAAAACGTCAGAGGTAGATGAAATTACAGAAAGCACGGAGATTACACATGTGGAAAAAGAAGAAACTAAAACGAATCAATCTCAACTAGGTAATTTACCCGTCAAAAAAATTGACGATTACGGTATTGAAAAATTTGCAGATGAGTCGATTTCTGAAGCATATACCGCGATAGAGAGAACAGAAAAGGAAATCTGTGATGAAGACCTTGAAGCTATGAGATTATATGCTGAAGTCGAAAGAAGAGGATTGTTAGACAATTTAGAGAGGAAGGAAGATGTCCCTGGAAACATCGCAAGAAATGACGAAGAAACTTAGCAATATTTAAAATTTAATTTTTATCCTCCAACAGAAGAACAGCTTTGGTATCAGAGAATAAATTTAAAACGAAGTTTTTTAATTGGAGTATTTAGTACGAGTTAGCTATATGTATTATAAAGAAGAAATGGTTCATTATCAAGGCAACTTGACAATTTTTAATGGTGCTTGAATTGAAACGTGTTTATTGTAAATCTGACTGGATGTCTATAATAGTGTTACAGTATTGAAAGGAAATAAGTGCTTGTACAAATTTTCTACCTCGAGTTCTAATTCTTCTGAATCGGTGACGATTTCTTATGATTATCTGTTGTTAATTTGACAGATGATTATAATGTAATAGTTAGAGATCAACTGTCAACCCACTCACTATTTTATTTAGGTAATAAATTATTAATTTAAACTTTGATGCTAAATAGCATTGTCTTTTCTTATTAACATTTCATAATATTGGAGGTTATATTAAACAAAAAATAGGGCCTGAAACTTGACTTTTTATAAAAAGAGTATTAAATGCTAAATTCCGGGCATCTATATATATACTGTATATAAAATAGCTGATAGAGATCTTGATGAAAAAACCTGAAGAATTATGTAGAGTGAGTAAATTATTTGCTAACATTGCAACAATAGATGATATTCACAAGGGATTGCACAGGTAATCTGGTTTGTATCTTACTATACTCTTTTAATCAGTTCGAGAAGATGCCTTTTAAAGTGCGTTTCTTAAGCGGACAGTACTGCAATTAGAAGTGAATAAGTATCAAAAAATTTTCCATCTAAAAATTGTCTAGTTTAGTTACTGCAATACTGTTTACCTTTAACTTTACTCATTTTCGTTATCCGATGGCGGTAATCTCTCAAAGGATAACTATCAACATAAACATCTAAAATATTCTAATATGTAAAAAGTGACAAAGATCTAATAAAAAAATTCAAAGAAAAGAAATTTTTCTAGATAATTTATAGAAAATGACGTGAGTCGACGATATATTTACGTGATAGAATCTTTGCAAAAGGAGATTCTCCTAAATCTATTTCATAGGAGTGAGAAATTCCCATGGCAATATCAACCGCAATGACAGATGGTGTGAACAATCTAGGAAAATGTCAATCTTATCCCAAAAGGATAGATACACAATAGATATATTTATAACAATGAAATAAAACCTTCTATTGTACACACTTTGATGAATTTACCTCAAATATGTCTCGTGCTATATATTATCTATTTTATTAAAGCTCTGTTAATTGCTACTCTAACATCATATTTTTATAAATTAGGTCGTAGGTGATCTATAGATAGAGAGAATTGAATCCCCTTTCTCTTCCGTTACAGAATGTAGATCTTGATCTCCGTGATTATGTCATTGCCCTTTGTTTATTGCTTGATGACTGCTAATTTTCGTCCGAAAGGGATTGACTTCTTAACGGGTTGTCAACGAGCATCACCACTCAGTTTGCGGTTTGTTACCCTTTACCATATTGATTTTGACGCTTTCCACTCTTTTGTCAATGAGTTTCTGATCTTGTATCAAAAGAACAATATTTCATAGTATAGGCTTATTCTATTCCAATTTTTTAACCTTATCTACACTCAGGGCACAACTATTTAAAATAGCATTCTTGATGACCTTTGGACAACCACTGTCATTTAATTTTCCGACCAATTGAATACTTTTCTATGAAATTTTATAAAATCTGCAACTGGCGAAAATCACCGTGTTGCGTTACCACTTCATTTTCCCTCTTTCTAAAGTTTATCTTTCAGACTATAGTAATATTTTAGCAATTAATATCGTCTATCGTGTAATTCAAGTAGGTTTTAGATTTTCTGCAGTCACATTAACAAAGCTACTAATATTATTAAAAGTTGACATTTAACACTTCTAGACTAGGTTTATCAGTTTAATTTGACCCAGTTAGACGACGTTCCTAAATTTCAAAGCACACCTTTTTATGTATTAAATATGGTAGAATGTATCGAAAAGCAAGTTTGAAAGTTTGTCCTTGATTCCATTTCAGATTGAGTTATGGTTTTCCTCTAGAGAGTGACTATGGGGGTGTGATCATTTATTAGCATTAAAGTATCTATAAGAGTTCTTAGTTTTCCCTTTTTATTAATAGCTGAGGTAAAAACCTCAAAATGTCAAAATATATTTTGACACTCTTGTAACCTTTAAATGATATCTTAATGTAGAGATTAAAAGATTAGATAATAAATGCGAAATTATGCTAGATCATATACAAAGAATAAAGTATTCTTTATGCAAGACAACTTAATTGCCATAAAGCATCATCGTACAACTTTGGTAACAACGGTCATTGTTAAGTAAATAGGATGGTTTTTAGCATTTCAGACACGACGAATTCTGCAATTATTAATCTTATTACCTTCATTGTAGCTGAGAGCGATAGAAACCGGTTGTAGGGAGTACCAAGTAAAGCCACAGAATTAATTATAACTTCCAGGAAATTCTATTCCAAATGCTATGTTCATTGCTTACTTTATTGTAAAAAGGTCAGGAAACCAATAATTATTCAGGTAAAGTTCAAATTAGAGAACTGTAGATGTATGTTAGAACAAGGTCATCGTTGGAAAATATAATGATATGGCAGAGCTTATTAATGATGATGTAAATAGGAAACAAGAAGCAATTCTTGATGAAATATCTGAAAGGAGAAGGAGAAGAGAGAGAGAGAGAGAGAGAGAGAGAGAGAGAGAGAGAGAGATAGATAGACAGATAAACAGACCATTCAAAATGGTTTATAATTGCAAGCAAATGATCATTATTAAATTTATAGATATATAATTTATAAAGTTATATAAAAACAAATTATAGGATAATATTTGAAATTAGTATGAATATACAGCATAGAAAGTATTAATAGAGATTAATAAAGTCTTTAATTAAAAGCATAGAATGTCAAATATGAATAAATTCAATTATGTAATAGTTTTTTTTTATTGTATAAGTTTTATAAAATAACAAACCCTTTTTTTATTAAAGAGCGAAAAAATTTTTATGATAAAATTGTTGCGCATCTGTTACACCAGTAAATGCGCCATGTGCAGAAATAGTTAGACTAAAACTGAAATATCTCTACAGTAATATACTATCCATCTCATTATGTGGCCTATTTACCCTTCAAGAAATATTACATATACAGATAAGCTTAGAGCTTTAAGAATATCATCGAATTTAACAACCATTGCTATTTTCTCAGAATGCAGCAATATCTGGAATATTCCGAAAAATCGTTTAGTTGCAAAGTACAATTTTAACTTACCGGAGGAGAGAAAATGGAATAAAACAGCAACTTTAATTGCCGGCTCAAATTTTGATGGAGTATATGAAGATAGGAGTGGAGTTAAGTCGCTTCCTTTTGAGAGTTTAGCCCCTTTTGCAGGTGTTGTTCTTATCAATTGCGGTGGAAATAATGATTATGAGAAGGCGAAAAATGTTAGCAAAGGAATAAAATGGTTATTAAGACAAGAGAGATATAGAAGATTTTTTTGCGAGATTATCCTAATTGAGCATGAATTTAGTGAATTTCACGATGAATTATGGAAATCCCTAAACAATTTATACCCAAAAACAATTGTTTGTCCTGGTTTAGACTTTGGTAAGCATTCAAGCGAACAAAATCAATAGTGTTAATTCTAATAGAGTAGACATATACTGTATATACGCATATTTTATAAGTAGACCTAAGTTTAGACTATGTGCCTGGTTCACAAGCATGACTTATCAATGGTACCATGCTGGCAAACCATACGAAATAAAGAGTTTAACCAACAAAGCATGAATTAATAAATATGTATACATTGTATACATATTAAAAAAATAAAAATAATATAATAAACAATATTTTTTTTATAAAAAAAAATATGTTCAAGAAAAGATATTTCTACTCTTCTCCTTCTCCAACTTCTTCATTTTTCTCATTTTCTTTGATATTTCCATAACATATCCCAATTAGATTATCCGTCGAGTTACTCTGGCGTTACTACTGTAATTAATGAGGGATGTTCAAAAAATACTCCCAGAGATTGTCAGCCATTGAGTGTACATAATGTTCTTGCTCCTAAAGTAAGTTCCATAATACTTTGAAGGGTTTCTTCTAACAGATTATTTTGTTTCTAGCCACCATGCTGTTCAAAGAATGGAATTACTTTCATCACTAATAATGATAGTATAGCAGCTGCTACTATGGTGTCCCTTATGGCTTTAAGTTTAATAATGGCCGAAAAATATGGTACAAAATTATTAATATTATCATCATATTTAAGGCCTAATCTCCTTTTTTTTAGGAAAGGGATGGATACCGAATTTCCTTGGAAGAAGAAGCGAAACAAGAAAGAAACTTTCGCATCCTTTCGTTCTCAGAAAGTTTATTAATAATTTACAAGTGAAATTCGGTCCTGGTATTAAACCACGTAATATTCTAAACCTAAATAAATCAGAGTTTATTGCCTGCCTTAACTCAACTTTTGAAAATATTGAAGGTAAAAAGTCCAATTTCCAATTTAATATGCAAATTAGTTTCAAGTATAAATATATTTTTTTTTCCAGTGTCCAATATTCAGGCAATTGATTTACCGCCAATACCAAACTATTTTTATTTACACAAGTTATTATCTGTCGAATCGAAGGAGAATATAATTAGATATGCCAAGTGTGATGAAGTGGAAATGTTATTCGAAATCGAAAAGAGCATTAAAAATGCATTTAAAATTCCAATAGAATGTTCTAAACAAAATCGACCAACGAACTGTTCGAAAGTTCTTGATTTACGTTTAATTGATGATTACGTTATTTGGGAAGACATTGCTATGAATGAAGCTGAAGATGATGATACTAAAAGTCTTAAAAAACGAAAGCAAGACTTTTTATTCGATTGTATTCGCTCAGTAGCGGCTAATTTAAAATGGGAGAAAATTGATGAAATTTTCCCGCCCTGTGCAGATTTCTTGGAATACTTTCCATTACTTCGTAAATATGGAAATACCTTCTTCCTTCCGGAAACTTTCGATTTGAGCTCTTTAGCAAAACTATCATTAGATGTAGAAGAGCCAAAAATTTTCGTACTTCAACATTTGGTGCTATGCGAATGTGCGGAAGAAGATATAATGAAATTGTCCAAAATTAAACATATAACCTTCGAAGTGGAAAAAATTCAGTATAAAATTCGAACGGATTCGCCAAATTTTTTCGAATCTGTTCGATTGTTAGACGACCCAATTGTAGAGAGAACCCTTCTACTTATTAACGAATCGAAATGTGACGATAGAGAAAAGTTTGTTAAAAGGGTTCAAACTTCGGTTTTAGCGAGATCAAAACCAATTATTAAATTAAGGATTAACGATAAAGAAGAAAGTTCAAATGAGCTACGGAAATATCCAGAAGTTGATGTCAATTTTACCTATAATTGCGATATTAGGGCAAGAAGCGTTCGAAAATACTACTCAATAGATGAAGATATATATCCAAAGTCTAACGTACATTTTGTATTGTTTTCCTCTGGAATTGATTGGATTCTAATCGACAAATTGAGATCTAGACGATCAAATATTGGTGTTATTCGCGATAACGTGAACTTTATCGAGGATGAGGGGTTCGACAAAAACGTTGACGAATTTGGAATGAGTAGCGCCACCTGTCAACTATTACTAAACTGTGGCGATGTTACATCATTAAAAGTCATCTCCAAAACTGGCAAAACATCTTTGGATTATTTTAAATTCGGAATGATTTGGTTGGAGAAGAATTTAGAAAAGATTAAACCCGATTTTATCATAATACCATTCAACGTACCAACGTTTGACTTTCAAATTGATAGAATTCTAAAGAATTTTGAAAAAAAAGGAATTATCACTCTAGTTTCGACTTCCGAAAATCAATGGGATTTCCCTTCATCATCAAGCAGCGTTATTGGAGTTGGTAAGTCTTTGTTGCTTATAAATTAAACTACTATTCCAAAGTTTTTTGAAATCATGAACAGGAGGTTTAGATTCAAATTTGAGGAAAACCCATACTTACAATACCGATATCCACGTTCTGAGCGAAAGTGTTAGAGGTAGATTTATGAAATAAGCATCTCTTTAGTACTCTCATTCACTTTTAACTCGTTTTAGTTCCATCTTACCTGAAACAAAATTCAATTTCTGGAAGCTCTGTCTCGGCTTGCGTCAGTGCTTGTTTACTAGCATACATATTGGTATCAGTTGGTTCGAAGTGGCGACCATACGTTCAAAATGTCGTCGTATTGAAGAATTTCCTGAAAAAGTTGGAACAAGATGGAATTTTAAGAGTTGATAAAAAACATCTCAATTCTGTTATAAAAACTTGTGTTGGTTCCTGGAGGAAACGGAAGAGAATTCAACAATGCAAAAAGTTTAAATATGGATTAATTTGCATAAGTTTCATGGTGGTACTGGTTACCATTCTCTTTTCATATTTTAAAATTTTTTGAATGGAATGACTGGTTTTTCATTTTATTTTTTCAAATGATATGTAAATTAATTTAACATTTGGTTATGGTCTAATTATAATTAAGTTTTCTTCTAACTAACTGAAGGAGATTTCTAGATTCCCTTAAACAGTTTAAAAATATACATTACAGAAGAATTACTCATCTGTTTCTCCTCATATTCAAAAAGTCTTCATCCATCTATCAGGATTATTAATCGTCATGGTGTAAAGACACAAGACAAGATGATTCTATCTAAACGGATTATGGGATAAAGCAACAGTTATAAAATCAATATGTTAACATCTCTTGTCAAATTCTTAATATAATAGATATTATAGTTTGTTTGTTCTTTTGTTAATTTAATATTAAACTATAAATCTTCAAAACCGTATAGTAAACACAAAAGATTTTCCATTATTTTTATCAAAATTTCAATTCATAAACACTCTCATCATAGTTCAGCAAGTAATAGTTTCCTTTGGCTGAACTGGAACGAAAACTCTGTGAATCCAATATAGTTTATCAGCTGGTTTCATAGTGTAGTGGTTATCACGCTCGCTTTACACGCGAGAGGTCCTGAGTTCGATCCTCAGTGGAACCATAGTTTTTTTCCTGTTTTCTATTATGTTTCCATAAATTAGAGTATCATTAATAATGAATAACATTAGTTGGGTTTTTTCCCAATTCTCTACCTTCTGTTTTTCGTTTCTATGTCCGTCTACATTGGAAAAGAAACATAAGGGTGATTATAAGAGATTATCAGCAGGTTTCATAGTGTAGTGGTTATCACGCTCGCTTTACACGCGAGAGGTCCTGAGTTCGATCCTCAGTGGAACCATAGTTTACTTTTTTTGTACATTTTACTACTTGAATAGTCTTGAAGAATTTAAAATAAATATGGACACTATACAAAGTTGGAGTAATATTCGTTTTTCGCATGAATCTTCAACATCATTTTACTGATAGAAATACTAACATTTTCCTTCAATTGGCTATAGCTAAAATGTATACTTTTTTTTACGAAAATTGATTATACTAACAATAAATTAATCTAATAATGAAAGGATCGGCAAAGTTTGGATTGACGTTATCGCAGGTGAAAGAATAGTTTATACTTTAAAAAAACTGTTTTAAAGCTAACCCTTTTTATTATCGTCAGTTTATGCTCAGGACAGAAGTATTAAAATTATATAAAGAATTTATGCGAACGTGTAAGAAAATTCCAGAAAGTCATAAACGAGATATGCTAAAGTACGTAAGAGAAGATTTCAAAGCAAATAAGCATCATTCGGATGATGTAAGTTAAACAAATTTTTAACAAAAATAAACAATTATATTGTCATTTTTGCAGCTAGCAATAAAGATGCAATTGAATAGAGGAAGAAAATCTTTGAAACAGTTACAAACAATGATCGACCTTCAAAAATAAATAAAATTTCTTATATTTGATTTGTTTGTATTAAAGTATTAAAGAATTTAAAAAAAACAAGTTTCCAATAATGAATTTTGAAACGCTCAATAGTATCGTATAAAAACAATGGAGAATTCGTCTGTAATAGTTTTTTGAACTATTGCATAGAAAGAACATGAAAGGTGAAATCATAGTCCACAACATCTCTAATTCTCCTCAAGTAGCGCCTGCTTATTCTTGATACTGCAGTGAATCCAAACTAAAATTGCTAGAGAAAAGACTTGAAACGTTAATCCTGTAGAAGTTAAATTATTGATAGCTATTCCACCATAAAAGCTTACTCCCATTAAAACACTAATCATTCTGTAAACTGAAAGGGCAACGCCACAGAATTCATTTCCACAGGTAAGCGTAAAATATATGAGAAGAACCCATGAGAAAGCCTGTGTGATTGCTGTCACGATCAAGGTGAACGTTGTTTCCAAAATATCTCCTAAGGATAAATCATCTTCGGGAAGTTTTACTACAAAGAATATGGCGAAGGATAGCACGAGTATTATAGAAGAGTATCTTGTAGCAGCTACCCATGATATATTAAACTTGGAACATAAAAATTTCAAGCTTACAAGAAATAGAGTTTCCGAAAATCCAATTATAGCGCCAAAAATATAGGTCCATTCATCATAGCTAAAGTTTCCAATGACTTTTATTTAAAGAAAGCAATTATATTAAGTGTAAACTTTGTATTAAATCTATATATATTACCTGATAGGAAGCCACCCAGAAATAGAATAAAGGAAAACAAGATAACCCTCTTCTGACCGAAATCTTCGCAGAGTAACATCTGACATAATATTATGAACAAAGGAGTCAGCTGTCCTATACACAGTAGGTTTGTAACTTGATAATCCTTGAGTCCAGTAAGAAGGGTTACACGATTGACCCCGAGGAAAAGAGCAGGTAACGATATAATACCAAGCTCTTTCATATTAAAATTTCCATAGTTTAAAATCTTTCGAAAGCCCAGAAAATGTATTGCTATAAATAGTACAACTGACTGTGTAAGACAAATTATTTGTGGTGGTCCAAAATCATAGAGCGATAAAAGAGGTCTCTGACAAAAATTAGCAAAAGATATCGTTAGTAACATGAAGCATAGCTTTCCATAGGGTGAAAACAAAGCCTGTTTCATTCCATCATTAAATAAACTACATAAGACTGTCATACTTTAAGAGAAAGAAAATAAATAGTAGAATTTTCTGCAACAGATCAGTTTAGGGCAAAATATTTCGTTTTGGTATTCGTAAATAGAGAAAACGAAACTATATAGCAACAAATTCAATTTTTTTCTTTTTAAGTATTATTTATTATCAACAATCAAAATTTAAGAATTTATACCGTCTAAATAAATTTATATTTCATGTCATTCTATTAATTACAGTGATGAAATATTATAAATTATTTTAAAAATTCTAGAATTCTAAAGTGGGGAATATGTAATGTTTTAAGAACAAAAAATATTAGTAGCATTATATATTTACAAAGAAAACAAAGACACAAATAATTTTTTAATGAAAGATTTACATTTTTCATTTTATGAACAATGTTTACGTCATATCTTCTAACAATCTTCTATAATATGGACTATATCTTTATATATTTATATTGAATTCATATATATTCTGTATATACTGGTATATAAGAGTCTTTCAAATCAATATAGCAATAAAACAATCATACTTTTTTCTTTTATAAACTTTATTATTTATTATTTATTTTAAACTGCGATACTTTTCATAAACCATTTTAGCAGATACTGCGTCTTCTATGGCCATACCTGTATTTTTTTTATGTATAATTATAATTGAGAATATAAATAGATTAGCTTATTCAGATATTTTATAAAAATATATTTTTTATGACTAAGCTTACCGACAGATTTGAAAACTGTTGTTTCGTGCCATCTTGCTTCTTTCTGCCCGTTAATAACTTCTCCAATTTCGGCATAGATTTCGCACTTTGTTAAAAAGAATTTACATTAAGTTTCTTATGCTGTTTTCTTTTTTTTTTTATTAAAGAATCGCTTACTTTTGAAATTATTATATCACCGGTTTCTTGACAAGCTGCTTCTTTCGAATCAACGTAAACAACTGAGCTTCTCATTAGATCGCTTTCCAATTCCTGCCATTTTGGTTTGACCGCCCCAACCGAATTAATGTGACAACCAGGTTTTACCCAATCCTTATTTAAAACAGGTGTACTTGTAGATGTAACGGTACATATTATATCAGCATCTTTTACAGCCTCTTCAGCAGTTGTACATACCCTACATGGTTTACCTATAATAATAATAATAATAATAATATGCAATTTTCATATGTTTTTGTTATACAAAAAGGGAAAAATGACAAAAAGAATCAGGAAAAACGAGAAATATAATCACCTAATTTTTTTGCAGCTATTTCGGCTGATTGAATATTTATATTCCAAATTCGAACGTCATCGAAATTATACAACAAGGATAGCGCATTAAAATGTCCAGTGCATTGGACACCAGATCCAAGAATGGCTAAAATCTTCGAAGTGGGATTAGCTAAATGTTTCGAAGCTATAGCAGAAACCAAACCAGTTCTATATTCTGTTATAACTGTTCCGTCCATTATCTGTAAGAGGAGAATGTATCAACTATTAATTTATCATTCTAACAAAAATAGAATTCAGCTTACAGCTTGTAAAGATCCATTCAATGGATTGTACAACATTATATCTGATGGATGAGTAGGCTCATCCTTGTTCTCTGGGTAGAAGCCGACAACCTTCGTGGCTAGAGCATTCTCTCTTTGACTAAAGGCTGACATAACGAACTGACGGCTGAGGAAAAGAATTTCGTTTATAAATTTATATCTTTAATGTTTACAAAACGTGCAAACATTCTTGAAAATCATGTACGTTTTAACCTCTTGTTTTGACAAACTTTTAGAAGAATAATAGATCGTCCTAGTTGTCCATATAATATTACTAGAGTTCAAAGAGACCACTTGTTACGAAGTATTTGCTAAGTTATATTCATGTATTAATTTAGCTTATTTAATTCTATAATCAATTGTTCGAAAATTTCAATAAACTTACGTCTAATATTAAAAATTATAAATTGTATTACGTAAGCTAACCACGATGATTTGACTTATGAACACGAAAAAAAGAACCGCTCAAAAATAAGTCCAAACTCGTACCCTTTATAGTGATCTACAGGAATGGTAAGTCTAAGTGGTTGCTGCGTACCTCCATCTTCTCCTTTAGAGTAATCAGCCAATGCAAATTCTAGTTTTTCCATCAGTACTTCTGCATTTATACATTTTTTTACGTCTTCTTTTGACAGTATATCAAGACTTGGCTCCATTTTCCGGTCTGAATCGATTCGATACAAAATCGAAAGCTATCTATAAATAGATCAAGTTGATTTTTCACTTTATAAATAACAATAAAAACCTATTTTTATACAAAACCAACAATTTTAATTATATATTATATAACTTTTTAAATAATAAAGTACACTAAGTCAAATTGAACAGTTGTACAAAACTAAATATAATTTTTTCTCCGATATCAAATCAATATTGAAATATGTTGAAGTTAAGAAAATATGATGAATTATACAAAAAAAACTTATAATCCAATGATTTAAATATATAAATGTTATTAATTGATTAATATACACAATGAATATCAACTTATATTGTCTAAAATAAGTGATTAATTATCTTTTTTTTAGCACATCTTTAATACGAAAGATAGGTTGATTCTTTAAATTTAAATTTAAATTTTCTTTTACTTATTTAGTAATTTTTGTCTTTAAAAACTTAAATACAAAATAACAATAGATATTCCTGTTTATCTATAAAATTTCCTTATTAAATTTACCTTTCTCCTGTCTGCTAAGTTAAAAAATTAATAGAGCTATGAGAGGTCTTAAATGCTTATGTATTCTGATTATCTCGGTAAGTTTATAGGCTTATAAGAATCTACTACAAATTCTTGTTAAAAATTACGAAATTTTTTAAAATTTCAGATAAAAGCTATAGAGTGCGATTGGAAATTTTATGTACAACCACTTAATTTATCTTCAGGTTTGCTTAATCCTATTCAATAGATAAATATGCATAAAAAAGAATTAGAAAAATGTATACTTTCTACTTTTCAATTTATATATGTATATATATATATATAAATGTATATATATACAAAAAAAAGAACAAAGCAACGAGCTCATATCAATAGGACTACATTTTTGCTATCGCCTGACAAAAATAGGACCATGTGATCGTTTTGTAAAAGTAGAAACTAATAATATCATTGAATATTATGTTAAAGAGGAAAAATTGTTATCGTTTAGAACTATTATAAATTCATCTGTAAGATTAATTTATTAATTAATTCTTTATTTAATTAATTGTCGTTAAAGGAAGTTCGAAATAATACTTACTTAACAAATGTGACGTTTAATTACTTGAACTCGTCGAAAAGTCAAATCTACGACTTAAGAAGCTTTGTGAATGTAAAGGAGAAAAGCAAAGGCGTTGAGAATTTAATTGATAAGGCGAATAATTCATCTTTAAAGTAAATAGTTAGATAACGTCAACAGCTTTATTATATAAATTATTAAGACTTTGCTCTTAGGTTAGGTCTAGAGTATGTAATTAATTGCGCTGAGAATTATTTTGGGCCTCAGTGTTCTAATTATTGCTTTCCGAAGGACGATGATTTTTACAAGTGCAATTATACTACCGGAGAAAAAATATGTCATAAAGGTATAAAGTGTATACTTAAGCGATGATTACAACACTCAATTAGCTTCTTTAGATATGCATAATTTTCAACTCCATCTTTAAGGTTGGAAAGGCGAATATTGCCAAGAAAAGAGTTACTATTGTTCCGATTCTATGCCCTGCGATAATGGTGGAAGGTGTACAATCATTAAAAACCAAACTAAATGCATTTGCCCTAAGGATTTTAGTGGAACTCATTGTCAGTATGTCCTCCTACCAACCGAAGAAGATTACAGTGGCGAAGAAAGGTTAACAAGCCCAGAATATACAACCAAAAAGGTTAAAAGTGAATAGCTCTTTCTGCACTCTAGGTTGTCATTATACTTAATATTTTCTTATGTCATTTAAAAGGTTATTAGGCGAGACGATAACATTGAGGTTAAAACTTTGTTTTATAGTATTAGTATAAATATTACATATGTATCTATTTATTTAATAATCTTAGGATTCTGTAGCTATAACTGTTATTAGTTGCATGATAATAGCTCTTGTTCTTGTCGGAGTGATTTTTTTCTTTTTCCTAACAAGATATACAAAGAAACATAAGTATATGGCGTTTATCTATTCAAGACGAATCCAATAATTTTACAATATCATTTACTTTTAGGGCGAAATCTGAGAAAAAGCACAAAAAAAGAGGAGAGAAAGGTAGTAAAAAGGAATCCAAAAGAAAAAGCCCAACTAAAAAAGCGGCTGAATCAAAAAATAGTTCAAAGCATACTTTCAAGAAAGGCTCATCAAAGCACTCTCATATAGTTAAGGAAGATACAACTGCCCCTGTTAAGGACATTTCTATTGCTGTTGATAAAACTGAAAAAAGTGCTAGAAAAAGTATTGCTTTGGAAGATGCAAAGAAAATAGACAAAAAAGATTATATTGTTTAATAAATTGTATTTTAATATGTTTTTTCATTAAAAATACTAAAATTTAATTGTCTAAATAACTGTTACTTATAGAGCAACAAAAAATGTTTATTTTTTAGCTATTGAATTACTCTACAATCCCTCACGATCTCTAATAACTCTACTTTTAATATATCTTTTTCCAGGCTTAGGTGCCCATTGATGTTTTGTTGTATAAAACATTTGCATAAGTTCCTCATTCGAAGGGTCTCTTTGTTCTGGGAAAGTGTTTAGAACTTCAGATGCAGTGTTGTTGCTTATTCGATCAGCCTCCGTCCTGACTATAGGTTTAGTATGCTCGTAAGGAAAATCTAGTTCTTCCGGATGCCAACAAATAATTGCTGAACCATCTTTATTAATTCCAATTTGAGGTGATCTAAGTGGTATAAATGTAAAAGTATAAGTATTTAAAAATCATATCTGAAAAATAAAAAGTACCCGCATAAACTTGCAAACGTCCTCTGGGTGAACCATGCTGAGGCGGGCGATAATACTAAGAGATAAGAATTTCCTTTCTTATTTTTCATTTACAATGATTTGTTCATAATTTTTCAAATTAAGATACTACCTCTGCTTCCTAGAGTTACTTGAAATTGTCTTGATGAAAGTCTTAGATTCCTGACTAAGTTATTCATAATTAAAAATACGGTCTATTGACTACAAATGGACATTGCAACATAAAGGAAACAGCTTCGTTATCATAGTCTGTTTAGCTCTGAAAAGATGGCAGCTATCAACAATTCATACAAGATTCGAACTAATCTGATTGGGCATACTCAAGATGTTCGTTGCCTGACTTGTTTGCCAGACTTATCAATAGTATCAGGATCCAGAGATTGTACCTGTCAGTTATGGGTGCCTGAAGCTGATTCGATTAACTACAGTAATTGTTTGAAATATACCGGGCATGAAAATTTTGTGTCTTGCGTTACTACACAATCCAATTACATCATAACTGGATGCAATGATAAGATAATAAGAGTCTTCGAGCATGGCACTGAAAGACCCTTATGTGAATTGAAAGGCCATTCAGAAAACGTTTGTACAATAACTGCCTGTCATGATGGCAAAATTCTGTCAGGATCTTGGGACAAAACTGGTAGAGTTTGGATGAATCAAAAGTGTATCTTTGTGCTATCGGGTCATGAATCTGCTGTATGGGCAGTTGCAATCTTAGAAGATGGTGAAACTATGCTAACAGGTAATAATAAGTATTTTTAACTTAAAAAAAAAACTTTATTTTTTCACTTTCAGGTTCAGCTGACAAAACTATTCGAATTTGGAACAAAGGAACATGTCTGCAAACTCTCAAAGGCCACTCTGATGCAGTTCGCAGTATAGCGGTCTGGGGAAAGGATAAATTCTTATCATGTTCGAACGATGCATCAATAAAACTTTGGAATATAAATGGAACCTGTTTGCAAACTTTTTACGGACATACTAATTACGTTTACTCCTTGTCTATAATTAATGAAAATGAATTTATCAGTGGCGGAGAAGATAGATCAGTTAAAATATGGAGAAATGGTGAATGCGTACAAACTATATCTCACCCAACAGAAAGTGTTTGGGATGTTTGTGTTTTACCAAATGAAGATATAGTTACTGCTGCTTCTGATGGTAAGTTTATCAGTGTTATTTACTTAAAATTGTCTAATTTTTGCTGTAATTAAGGAATTATACGAATATTCTCTAAAAATCCTGAAAGACAAGCTCCAGATGACATTCAAGAAGCTTATAGCCAATCAGTTTCTTCATCTACCATTCCTGCTCAAATTGGAGATATAAATACAGATCAATTACCTTCAAAAAGTGCATTACTTAACCCGGGAAAAGCGGATGGACAAACTATGATGATAAAAGATGGAAATAATATTGAGGCTTACAATTGGGTTGCAGCCGATGGTCAGTGGATTAAAGTAGGCAATGTTGTTGGTGGTGCTAGTGGAAATAAAACTCTCTATGAAGGAAAAGAGTATGACTTTGTTTTCGATGTAGACATTCAAGAGGGAAAGCCGGCATTAAAACTGCCGTTTAATACCACAGAAGATCCTTGGATGGCAGCTCACGAATTCTTGGAGCGAAATGACCTTTCTCCACTGTTTTTAGATCAGGTTTGTTAGAAACTGTATACAATTAATTGGTTAACTTTGTAATTCTAAAAGGTCGCAAAATTCATCGTAACAAATACAAAAGGAGCAACCCTTGGCTCCAGGCAGGATCAAGGTTTTGCAGATCCATTTACAGGCGGAAATCAGTATGTTCCCTCCTCAGTTTCTGGTAGTACAACACAAGCCCCTGCTCCACCTGTTACGTCCAAAAGGGTGTCCAATCACTTTCCAGTTGAGGAATTTCAATGTTTCGAAAATATAAATTCTGCTCAAATTTTTGAGAAACTGGAAAAATTTAATGAAGAAGTCGATGAGTATCTTCAGTTGAAAGAGTCAGAATTAACAACTTTGCACGACCTAATAACGAAAACAAAGGCTAAAATGTCATCCGATGAAGAAGATACCGTGTGGAAGAGTCTTTCTTGGTCTCCACAGCTAGCTTGGCCTTGTCTGGATATTCTTCGGCTTTTAGTCCTTCGATATCCAAAAGTCTTTTGTTCAGAACGACTTTTTATAGTTTTGAAATCATTTATAGATATTTATTCAGCTCCTTTTCAGTGCCATGCCTTTACTTTGAGAACATTTGTTAACTGTTTTAGTAGTTCAGAGGGACGTCAATTAATATCGTCCCAATTGGATGACGTATTGGATGCTTCAAAGATTATGATGAAAGGTGGCAATAAGCACGTTCAGATTGCTTTTGGAACGCTAGCTCTGAACTTGACCATAGCCCAAACTAAACAGATGGGTTTTGGTATCGAAACTGCTCTTTCTGTGCTGGAATTCTGTTGTAAAACTTTTACTGAGTCAGAAGCTAAATACCGAGCTTGTGCTGCTATAGGAACTTTATTGACAAAGAGTAAGTAAAAAATAGTCTTAATGATATATAATTTACACGCAACATTTACAGACGATGACGAAGGAGTAGCTCTAGCCCAGAGTTTAAGCTTTACTGATATTCTTGATGAAATGACCGAAAGAGATGGAAAATGTGACCCGAGAATAATTGATTGCGTGAAAGATATAAAAAAATTACTTTCATAATGTAATAAATTGGCATATGGTATTTTATAATCCTTTAAGTAGTATTTATCTGCCAGCAACTTTTTACTGTTTGTATTTTCATATTTCATTATCTCCAAATTAAAACAAGAGTCATTTTAAAATAAAGAGTATTCCTTGTTATTGTATAAGCTTTTTAGCTTTCAATGTGTACTAATTGCGTTTTTCATCTTTTTCCCGTACATGATAACTATTGGTTTTCCCTTATATTCATAACCATTAATTAATTTCAGTGCTTCAGTTGCCTCGTCAGAGCCTGGAATATTGAAGATATATTTTATTATTTATATTTATAAATATAAAAATAGAATAAATTCTTTAATATTTCTACTGACAAGGAAATGTGATGAAAGCTTGTCCTCTCATTTTACCCTTCAGTAATCTACATTCAATAGCTTCATCTTTGTTGAATCTATTAAACAGCATGTGAAGATCCTCTTCCGTTATTTTAGATGATAAATTCTTCACAAACAATATCTGTTTAGCCAATTGATATCAACAGAATGCACTTATGAAAGTTATTTTAATATTTACATTGTTCTTTTCTCCTGGATTATAATCTTTAAACCTCGGAATAAGTCTTATTTCGTTTTCAGTTAATTTGTACCTAGCAATAGAATCACTTGGGATTATGTCGATTGTATCTTGCCAGTTCTCAGGCTTAGGTGGAGGACCAATGAATTTATTTTCAACTTTTTCCCATTTATTATGAGGATAAACATCTCCCAAATCATTGTTACTATCATCAAGTTGAATATCTATGAGGATCGTACAACTAGAGTATTTTTTAGCAATAATTATTGTTTGCCTACCTTTAAATTTATTTTTTCTTTCTTTTCTTTTATTTATAAGATAACCCTGAACTTTATTTTCAACTTTTTCAATAGTCTGTTTTAAACAACCACCCTCATCTTCCATTAATTTGCTCTGTTCTAATAAAATATCATATAATTTGGCTTTTTCCTGAGTATTTGCAAGAGATCTTTCGAGTTCGAATCTGTGTCTTGATAATTTTTTACTGTTACGAAACACATTTGTCTTTTGAAGATCTTTTTTTTTCATGTTTATTTTTAAATCAATTTTGGCTAGTTTTTGAAATGTTACTTCAGGATTTTCTAATCCTTTTCTCTTCTCTCCCTGTGGTGTAAATATCTAATGGATAATGTAACTACTATTTCAATACTATCTTACTCTTCCGTTTGAATTGGATAATTTTAAGTTTATTTCTTCATCTGTTAAACCGCATGCTTTTAGCTCTTCCAAATATTCAACTTTTCGTAATGCGATGTTATATTCATCCAAGGAAGTAGCACCAGAGGTTTTAACATCTACATTATAGCTGCCAGATTTGGAAAACTCTCGACCTCTAGCTAGCTGCCTGAATGAAAAAAATATATATTCAGTTTAGCGAATTATGTTAAAGAAATACAAAACAAGACGAACTCATTGAAGGTAACTTTTGTAGCAGTCTGTTGCTCAACTAAACATTTTATTTGTCTTTCATCCTCAGTTTGAATATGATCTTCTTTTGGTCCTTCTGCAATAAGCTTGTTCTTTTTAAACATACTCTTGTTGGTTTCTATCTCTTTTGTAGGCAAAACATTACAAAAAAAATCGTAACCAGTTTTCTCGATCGTGGTTCCATTCTTATAGGATACAGCCTCTTACTTTTAAATTAATTAAATCACGAACGACGCTAGGAGGGTTCTAATGAAAGTAACAGAATAAATTAATTGCTTTCATTCCAATGACATGAATATAATCATAAACTTATTATTCAAATATTTAAAAAAGTATTGAAGAATAAATGAGAAAAAAATGTTTATGGAATAACAATGACTTTCAAAGGTTTTTTAATACTTGTATTCTCTCCGTTTTGTTTAAACAATTTAGCTGAACCTGTACAAAAAAATTGGCATATTTCAATGGACCTAAATAGCTTAGATCCTAAACTTGACGGCAATTTAAGGTATTCACCAGCATGGGAAAATTTAAAAGATCAAATAAATGACTTTGCTAATTCATATACCAGGTATATTACTCTTTACATAACGTTATTATCAACGATAAAGATTTATTTACTTAGTCATAACAAGGATAAACTTTTAACAATGTCTCTTGTCGGATTAATGTATGAATCAGATAGGGGAGGTCAGGCACAGACAGATAGATTTTATAGAACGACTATTGTTGTTATAAATTTGTTGATAACCATATTTCTTAGTATTTTGTGCAGCCTAATAATCTATAGAAAATATTTTCGAAAAATCTACGAAGAATGTGAAGAAGAATTAGCTATTATCAAAAATAAAACTTCAACTTTTGAAAACAATGTAAAAATGGTTTTTCCTCCTCCCCGAGGACTACCAAGTGATTATATTCCAGATTATGCTAATCGTGTTCATATTGGACTAGGAAATTATCAAGATTCAAATTTATTTCCAATAACTATTAGTTCAGCTCAATACATTCCTTAATGTATGCATTTTTTGTTTCTGTGTTTTAATACTATATTTTGTCAATTAAATATTCTTTATCATACGTGAGATTTTACGTCTCCTTTCCTTTCTTGAGAGCGAAACAATGACATTAAAAATTTATAACAACAATAATACAACAGTACAATTTTTGAACAATATTAAATTATTAAACTGTGAATTGGGTGTATATCACATATTAGTGAAATGGAAACAATTTGAAATTACCATTAATTCAAAAGCACCGATTCCTTTAGTATAAAGCTAATGCCTAAATACTTAAAAAGCAGGCAATTATATATGCAATACCAAATTTTACATTATACATGGCCAATTTTTTAGGTAAAAATCTTAGGTCCTTTGCCCTAAATTCCTTTTCTACTCTAAAGACTTCGTAACAAGTAAGAACAGGAAGTATAAAAAAGACGCTCCTATGTATGACACAAAGCATCAGTACAACATGGGGAATGAACAAGAGAAAACAAAATAAAATATATGAGCCTGTCTCTCCAAGATAAATTGCAAGCGTGACTATTCCAGCAGCCCTATCAGTTTCCCTATCTCTTGTATTGTTTGCATGTAATATGGCTTCGGTGTTGAGAGCAAGGGGGATTGCGTAAATTAAGGTTGTAGTTGACAGTTGCCCACATTGAGTGAGGTAGGCAAACAAGACGGTTATAGGTCCAAATGTTAAAAATATGATAATATCCCCCAGTGCAATATATTTGAGTCCCAGTCCTCCAGTATATAAAAAACTTGATGATAGGCCACCAAAGTAGATTAATGCCAAATGTTCGACTTCAGCTGGTGATATTATGCATAAAATTCCAAATCCAAAACACCCGAAAATATAAAATAAGCTACCCAATGTAGCAATATTATTTGGAGTGAGAATTTCGTCAACCAGCGTTCTATCATCACTTTTCTTATTATCAACACCCCTCTTAAAATCAAAATAGGTATTAACCAGGTTACCAGCCGAATGAACACTCAAAGCAGTCAGACAAGAACATAAATATATTAGTAAACTAAAATTCGATTCTATCTTATAAGATAGAACACTACCTAGTGATACTGGAATCAAACTGGCGCTTAAAGACCATGGTCTTAATGCTGCTATGTATTGTCGTAAGAAACTGTATGTTCCAACCGATCGTATTTTATGTTCTTTTTTACTTCTTTTGGAGAAATTTGAGTCTTTATCCATCTTGAAACAAGATTGCGATAATTCAACCATAGGAACACGTGTAGCAGACGGTACTCGAACCAATAGTATCGTGAATTAGAAGATTCGCTGGAGTTTTATTCTTTTTAGAGTAGTATGGTTGCCTGTCTCTCGCTTAAATCTGGAACCAGTCAGCAATGGATCCTACAGATGATATTATGATTAAATATAAGAACATTGCAGCATCTCTCAAAAAGTTAGTCAATCTGCTAATGAACACTAAGTCGGTCGATAGCTTTAAATACTCCGTTTGAAAAAACAAACTTTTTAACAAATATTATACCGTTTATAAAAGAATTTGCTGAGCGATAACAGCAGATGCAATTAATTTATAATATTTGGCTTAATAAACTTTTTCAATTTTTCTTTTAAAGACGATTCCTAAGGAAGCCTAACCTTTCTGAAGGAGCAGATCACTTTAGTAAGTGTGAAATATGAACTGTTATTAATAACAAATTGACATCTTCAATTTTCATCTGTAGGCAGGGAAGCTCGAATTTTAAGAGATGAAGAATGTTTTGAATATTCAGCATTCTTCAGTCTAGCTCAAGCAAGGTGAGAAAATCTGAAAAAATAATTTTTTTTTACTAAACTATAACTAAACTTGTCATCTCTTAGATGCGAGCACACACTACCGAACTATCCTGGAGAAGCGGATGCACTTATATGTGCTGCACAGTCATTTTTGGAAGCTCACATGCTCGAAACGGAACTTAATTGTCCGTCTTTCAGAGAAAATTTGTTGGCTGCATCTAATTGTTTCGACCATGCTATAAGGGTAATTTATACAATTTCGCGATTAAAAGAAATAATTATGTATATATTATCAATTCTTTAGGTTTATATTGAAAATAACGAACGATGTTTAGCTGCTAGTCTTTGTATCCAAATGGGTGATACACTAAGGGTAACTATATGCTTACTGAAAAAAATGAAATTTTGACCAGTCTCTTTCATCATATAGAAATTGCACCTGCCTGACGAGGCAATCAATCATTACGAAAACGCAATGGAACATCAAAAGGGAAATGTCACTGTTGTTTCACAGTGTTTTAGGGATATAGCTTCTTGTAATCTTGAAATAAGTAAGTTCTAAAGTATATGAACATCAAGCATTATTTCATATCTTCTTCCATAGAGAACTATGAAACAGCTCTAAAGACTTTAACAGATCTAGCCACCTATTTAAGAAAAAATGGACGTAAGTTTCTACACTGATAATTCTCAATTCTATTCGATTTAAAGATTTCGTATTACGTTACATAGATAAGTCATCTTCCGGCAAAGTGTTAGGAGAATCTAGAGATATTTTATGTGAAGCAGAAATTAATAGAATACTAATCCTAATGTTAACTGAGCCAATGCAAAGTAGATTACATCCAGCAAACGCATCTTTGATGGAAACTTACTCCTGGTTGGCCGAGGATTACGAAAGAGATACATTTCTACCAAAAAATATGTTCCTTCTACTTCAATCAGCTTTTATGGCAAATCAAGCCCGAGACTTTGAAGCTTTAAGTGATTTATCACAAGAATTAAGCCCATTTTTGAATGTGGAACAAAAACAATTGTTCAGTTTAATATTATCTGAACACTGTAGATGAAATAATTCTATTCTAACTTAGTAAAATACTATTTTATTTTTTCCCTGTATTGTCTGTAACAGATATAAAATATATTCAATTAAGAAATAAATAAAGCTGTAATAAATTGTATATTGTGTAGTTTTCAAAAAGTACAATGTTGAAACAATTTTTAACAATGCTTTTCAATTTCCTAAAGCAAACATTATACAGACACAACTGGCATGATACATTTAGTCATACCGTTTCAAAATTAGTTCCAATTTTTTCAAATTACAATGTCCAAGAGACTTGGAACCGAATAGTTGCTATATATTAATTTGTATATTGGTATCTTACAATTATATATATATATATATATTTATTTATATATTATCAAGTAGCCTAGGAAAGATTTTGAGAATTAGTAGTAGTTTTGATTTTAGGATAAATAGTCATGGAAAAAGAAGATTTTTTATACGATGTATCTGCAAAATTATCACCTAAGAGTATTGAATGTTTATGCTCTACAACAACCCCAGAGGTTGCCATCGTTGTTATTAAAGAACAAACTGGAATGAACATCGAAGTGATTGATGATGAGTGGATAGCCAATGGTACACTTAATCAAATCATATTACTTCACTCTTTGCTAAAACAAATGAGCACAGAAATGATTGACGTTAAACCCAAAGAGGAAGCAGTTCCTTTAGCTAATGTTACCGTAGAAGAATTACCTTTAACTCAAAAATCAATGCACAGTTGTGATCGATGTCCATACAGCACTAAAAGAAAAGAGCATTTAAAAAGGCATATGCAAACAGTTCATTTTGGCGTTCGAAAATTTTTGTGTCCCGAATGTGGAAAGAAATTTAAAAGAAACGATGCTCTTCAAGATCACCTTGCTACTCATGATCAGGAGACCAAAAAATTCTTTTGTTGTCATTGTGAACAAAGGTTTCGAAGAAAACATCACTTAGACGATCATATGAGAGGACGACACTCAAATAAACGACAATACTTATGCGAAGAATGCGGTGTTACATTCAAAACTAGAGGCACTCAGAGACGTCATCAAATAACTGTTCATAATAGTGAATCCATATTTAAATGCACAATATGTAATAAAGGTCTTTCATCCAAGTACGCCCTAGCTCGACATGTCAAAGTACACGAAGATGATGGTAAAGGCTTGGATCACAGTCAAGATCTGCTTTTAACGGTTGATTCTCATACAGAATTTATAACTTAATGTTTTTGGAATGAATTTTTCTCCAACTTTCTGCTGACTAAGCAACTTCTTGGCATAGCCAAAAAAACAAACTTTTATATATTGTTATAAAAAATAGGAAACGTTAAAAAAAATCAAATTACATTTTTAAAGTAATCCTTTAATATTACTTTTGAAAGTTGAATACATATACTAAAAAATTTGTTATTTTCAAGCTTTTTGTGCTAAAATCCCTACTTGATTTGTTTTTTGTTAGTAATAGGGAACCAGTCAATGATTTCAATAGTTTTCGAAATATCAAGAAGTGACTTGATTTAATTATTTTCTCTAATAGCTTATTATTTCTTATTATTTGAGGAGAATCATGGCTACGTCAACTGGAGCATCTAGGGGATCAAAAAGAAAGAAATACAATACCAAAACTGGATTTGAAGAATTTGTTAGCAGTTTCAATTGGTACTTTATTTTCGTTTTCTAATAATTTAAATTTTTTTTTTAATAGGGTGGATATATGTCAGCTAAAATATCTAAACTACAAGATCAATTTCATAATATCGAAGTAGATAAGGAATCAACAGGTATTTTTCACGGTGTTTCGATTTACGTTAATGGATACACTGAACCATCTTCGGATGTCTTGAAAAAAATAATGAAAGAGAACGGAGGAATCTATCATCATTATTATAGCAGAAGATATGTATCTCATATTATAGCAACAAACTTACCAAACGGTAAAATCGATAAATTAACTGATCAAAAAATTGTAAAAGCTGCTTGGATAACTGAGAGTGTAAAAGAAGGAAAACTATTACCTTATACCGATTTTTTAGTAGTTCCACCTAATCAGAAAAATCAAAAAACGTTGACTTTTACCAAAACTGTTACTTTTGATAAGAAAGCACAGTCAAATGAAGAATCACCAACAAAAAATAAAAACTTTGTGTCAGATTTTTACAGTCGTTCCAGGTTACATCATATCAGTAATTGGGGAGCAGAATTTAAGGAATACGTAAATTCATTACAAAAACAGGAAGATAGAATCTTCCCGGAAAGGGAAAATCTACAGAAATTTATACAGAACGAAGATCTTCCTATTTCTTCTGAGGCTAAACTGCAGAAAATTTATATGCATGTTGATATGGATTGCTTTTTTGTATCTGTTGGATTAAGGAATAAACCAGACCTTAAAGGTTGGCATATTTTTCAAATTTGCCCTTGAATACAAAAAACATGTAAAAAAATACCAGGTAAACCAGTAGCAGTTACCCATTCTAAAGGAGGAAAGGGAAAAGGTGAACAATCTTCATTGTCTCATTCAGAACGTCGGAACTTTGAAAAAAATTATTATAATAACCGAGAATTTCGCGGAAAGAAGACGAACACAACAGGAATGATAAATGAAACGGAAATGTTTTCTGAACATATGGGAGAGCAGGGGAAGGAGAAGGAGGAAGAGGAATTCTATTCTATGGCAGAAATTGCTTCCTGTTCCTATGAGGCTAGAAAGGTAGCTTCTTTTATTTTAATCAAATTGATCATCTATCTTATAGATGTTTAAAGGCAGGAGTTAAAAATGGAATGCTCATGGGAAAAGCAAAGAAATTGTGTCCAGAATTGCAAACAATAAACTATGATTTTGAAGGATATTCAGAAGTTGCTAGAATTCTATACGATACAGTTGCGAGGTGAGAAACGGTTGACCATGTTTCAAAGTAGATAAACAATTGATCAATTATCTCCAGTTTCACACATGATATCGAAGCTGTTAGTTGCGATGAAATGTTAATTGACTGCGTCGATGTTCTAGCTGATACTGGTGCAAGTCCTATGCAATTTGCAACTTATTTACGGGAAACTATAAGAGAAAAAACCGGTTGTAATGCCTCCATTGGAATAGGTCAATATACTTCGTAATCTACTATTGGCCTATATGTATACGCTGTCTTTTTATAAAAATTTCAGGAAAAAATCTATTATTAGCAAGATTAGCAACTAAAAAAGCAAAACCAAACGGACAATTCTTAATGAAAGAAGAAGAATCGTTGGCAATCATCAAAGAATTACCAGTAAGAAATTTACCGGGTGTTGGCTGGGCATTAGGAAAGAAATTAGATACGCTAAACATCAAAACTTGCGGCGACTTACAGACAATTTCCCTAGACGTTTTACAAAAGGAAATTGGTAACAAAACGGCTATCAACCTAATCCAATTTAGTAAAGGCATAGACGATAGGTTAGGAATTAAATTCTATTTAATCTATTAACTGTATTATCTCCTGATTCTTTTTATTTTATAATATATCAACTATTTAATTTTGCTTTAGAACGTTAAAATCCCAAAAAGTACGAAAATCTGTTTCGGCTGAAATTAATTATGGTATTCGTTTTAAATTGATGGAGGAAGCCGATGAATTTTTATCCAATTTATCACAAGAATTATCAAATAGATTGCAAAATATTAAAGCCAAAACTAAATGTCTAACTTTAAAATTAAAAATAAGATCTGAAGGAGCTCCGAAAGAAACAGCTAAATTTCTTGGTTTGTTAATCTACACGTAATTCAATCTACATTACATTCATATTGCATAATTAAAAAGGTCACGGCATTTGCGATACTGTTGCGAAATCAACAACCATAGCCATTGCAACAGACGAAAGTCAAATAATTGATCAGGAAGTTTGCACTTTATTAAGGATGATTAATCCTACTATAGAAGATATGAGAGGAGTACATTTCCTATAGTTTTCAATTCATAGTTTAGTGATTATTTTAATGATTTTTTTAAAACTGAAATAGGTCGGTATTCAAGCAACAAAACTACAATTTCCTGCAGAAAATAAAAGTATACCAAAAGTTAACTATGGAGCTGATATTACGAAATTCACTGTTAAATCTACCAAGCAAAATAGTATTAATCCTGTAAATTCTGATACAAAAAATTCTCTATGTAACGACAACAAACTTAAAATAAGGGAGAAAAGGTTTAATAAGAGACATAATGTTTTATTTGCATTCATTTAGAAACATATTACAGCATTAGTCCTGAAACTTTACCACCTTTACCATTCGCTGGAGGATACGAATTGGATGATGACGATGATCACTCAATAACTAGTTTTCAACCTCTATCGTCGCATGATAAAATCGTTGATGAAGATGATAATAATAGTCAAAAAAATGAAAATGAAGGTGACAAAAGTATATATATTATCGACCATGTTCCACCTCCAGATTATCTCTCTTACTCTAAGGTTTTCATTTTTACCTCTTTTCTTGACTTTTAAAATAAAAACAAATGGTTTATTTTCATAGCTTGATCAAGACATTCTCGAAGAGCTTCCATTAGATCTTCAGCGCGAAATACAAGCCGAATGTAAAAAGCAGCCGAAACCATTACCTAAACCTATTATCAAAACACCAGTAAAGAGATCCCCGAAAAAGAGAGCAAGAAAATCAAAAACATCCATTCCTTCCCGATTTCATACACCTTCGCAACCAACTTTGACAGGTCTTGTTGAAAAGTCAACCAACAAACGAGAAAATTCTATTAGTCCACCAAAGCTGGATATTGTTAAAGATTCACCTAAAAGGCCAAAAGTAACAATATGTGGTGCTGAAAAAGAATGTGAAGTAAGAGAACTACTAGAAGAATGGATTAAATCAACAGACGAACCGGAGAACGAAGATTTTCAAAGATTTATAAATTATATACTTGAATTGATATCTGACAAAAATATGGAATTGGCGTATTCTTTACTTATCTTTATGAAAAGGTAATAAAAATCATTCTTATTATTATCGATATAGTTATAATCTCTTCTTTTCACTATAGAAAACTATCATCATCATCAGTGTCATGGAGAATGTCTTATCAAAATGCTATAGAAGATGTTCAATTTGTCATCAAAGAAACCTATGGGGGAAGCTTTAAACTGTAAAAAATTATTGCATATATAATAAATAAATCTGAATACAAAGTTTCGAAAAAACAGGCAATTGTTCTATTTTTTTATTATTAACAACATGATTAATCTATTACGGATGTTTACATCATAAAAAATAGGTATTTTCTCAAAACGGACGCTTACATAGACTTTCGTCTTATATTGATTGCATAACAATTTGTAAAGTTAACACTAAAAACTATACATAATTTTACTTAGCATATAAAATTTTATCGATAATACTCTGTGTAATCAGTGGGTTAATATTGAAAGATAGAAATCTCTACCAGTTTTTCATAGGCCAATTTTTTACAATATAGGAGAAAGACACATCTTGGATTTTCCAATTCTATATAAAAGTAGTTTCCATTTTACTATACTAGTAAATGAATTATATTAAATAGATTCTTTCTTTGCGGGAATTATAAAAGTGTTCTTTAATTATATTACATAAGAATATTGAAGATATATAAACAGAAATATCTATAAAAGCCTTCAACGGAGAGTGTCCTCAAACATATTCAAACATGAGTCGATATGATAGAGAACTTGTGACTGTAAAGAAGAGTCAGTTAAAAAAATTCTATGTTGATTACATTAATCAAAAATGTATTGCTAAGCACACTAAAGAGTTGAATACCGGATTAATGCAACTTTACAAATCTACTCAGCAGTTGCAACATAATTTTAAAGAAGCCATTTCCCTCTGTCAATTTCAGAATGCAATTATTTGTGATCTTATGTACAAATTGATAGAAAGTGGAACTATTGAGGAGAATTCCTTTATTTCAGGGATAGAGTGGAACAAGTCTGAAAACAATGATTACAAGGTAATGAAGAAAAAGGCTGAAAATGTTAAAGATTTTTTATTATCTGTTCAAGATTTTGGAAATGAAACTAGAATACAAAAATTAGAAGAAGAACGAGACAAACTTAAGGGTCTGGTAGAATCTTATGATGAAAAATATAAAGCGCTAGGAGATCGTCTAGTGTCAATGCAAAGGGATTATATAATATTATCAAACCAACTGGACGAGAAGAAAAATTTGTTGGAAGCCTTCAATAAAAAGCTGAAAGGATTACAGGATGAAACGCAACCTAACGAGTCACTTTCTCCGAAAGCTACCGGAAAGATAAATGTGCAGGAAGTAAACGTTAGAGGAGGGGCTGTCCTCGAATTGCTATCGCCAAACAAGCTGAGAGAAGATCCTGAAGGTACAGATAAGATGATTTCGTGTGCTTATTGTCACCACTCCCACCCTTTGAATGATTATACGAAACATAGTGAAACATGTCCAAAGAGGAGAACATTAGTGAAAAATTTAAACAAGTAGTAATCTTATCAAACGACTTTTGAGATATAAATTCATAGCTATGAGTGTCATTTATTTAAAAGATATATAAGGCTTAATTTTCTCTAAAGTAAAAAACTAGCTAATATATAAGTTAAGCATTCATTGGTTAAGAAATACAGAAATAAAAATAAGAATTGTAAATGGTTTCATGATGTGATTATTAGATCTGTAGTGACGCTAAAGCGTAGGAGACGTCGTCAGGGCTAATTTGAAGACGAATTTTCGTGTTCATAAAATATCTTGGGGCAGATTTTGGATGCATTTCGATAAAGCCTACGCTATAGAGACTCGATATCATCTTAACTAGACCATCCAAACCAGCGATCTTTACGCCATCCATTCTGCTTAATGTTTCATAGGTACTCTTCACTCTTTCCGATTGAACTTCGTCTATACCAGTTCGTTTCATTTCGGATATTATTGCTTGCATAATATAACGTTGATGAAGTGGGAGATGTCTTATGGCTGAAACGACTGGAGACGATAGAATATCTTCAAAAGCTCTTTCAACATCGCCTAAAGTCACTCTTTGACCATTAGCCAAAGAGCTAGCGTATTTACAAACGTGCAAAACTCTTCTTGCATCTCCTGAGAGTGACGCCACCTTTCTTGCGGCCAACTGAATAGCCTCTTCATCAAAATTTCTAACATCCTTCAAGTTTCTTTCAACAATGGTTTTGAGTTGTCGGAAATTGTACGGTTCAAAAGTCGTTCTAGTCAGGCCTAATCTAGACGATACTCTGGCACAAAGCACCTGCTCGGGTAAATCCATGGCATTAGCAACAGCAACAACGACTAATTTGGCGAATCTCCACGTTGGCCAATCAAATAAACTATATACAACATCTTGTTTTCGGTTGCAGAGCACATCAAGTTCGTCAACAATTAAAACCGTTGGAAATCTTCGAGGGTTGGATATATTCCATCTACTGTCCAAAGCAGATTTGGCTTTCTTCCAAGTTGTCTTTTTGCCTCCCAATTGCTCCCATATAGCTACATAGGTCTGGTGAGGCTCTGTCAATTTTAGGGCATTTATATGCACCAAGTCAAACTTTGGAAGATCTTTGTCAGCTTTCAAATTAGCAATAACTCTTTCTAAAGTAGCAGTTTTACCAGTTCCAGGAACTCCGGAGATGTACATACAGCCTCCCCCTGAAGAACTGGTTATGTGCGATTCAATCCAAGCTATAAGATCATCGAATTCTGTCTCTCTTCCAGGCAGAGGGCTTGTTTCTGCCAAAGACCCAAATGAACACCTTTTGGCTTTTAGCTCTTTATCTACTCTCTTTCGTCTTCCCGGTGTCTTAATCTTTGAGTTTGGAGAGCTATCCCAACCATCGCTGTCTTCATCTTCCTTATATAAAGTCTTTCTTACTTTGGAGCTGACCTTTTTATCATCATTCTTCTCTATACGACGTCGGAAAGATGTTTTCTTGCTGGTTGACAGACAGTTTCTTTCGGAAATTCTCTTTTGAATTTTAGGAGTTATTGCAAAATCCTTATCCTCTTCATCATCAGATCCTTTTTTAGTTTTCTTGACTGATCTACTTGGGGTTTTTCTTAATTCTCTAATTTGTTCTTCCATTTTAATAGGACGTGTAGGAGTAATGTCTTCATCTGGTTCTAAAATTCTGCGTCCTTTAACTGGCGTTCTTAACGAGTCACTCCTTGCAACTTTCTTTCCTGTCGATAAGCATCTTCTTTCATCAGCAACAAGTCTTCTTCTAACCCGTTTACAAGGTGTTCTTTTTACTACTTCATCTTGACAGATATTTACGCTTAAATCGCTAAGTCTGATCTTCAACGGAGGTACTTTGTCGAATTTGGCTGCCTCTTTGATAGCCATATCGGCAGCTGTCTGCGAGTCGTAATATTGCTCTAATTGACGTTCCGCAAGAATTCGAGCAACGCGTGGCCGCTTTCTTGGAGATTTAATTACCGTCTCCTCAGTGGAAGTTCGTTTTCTCTTTCTTGGTGAGAGCGGTTTCAAATAAGATCCTGGAAGGAGTGGCTTAATTTCTTTCATATCATACGATCGACAAACAAAGAATTGGTCACTATCGATATTGTCTACATTATTAGTTGAATTTAATTCTCGAACCTGTACGAAATAAACTACGCGTCAGTTTTTTATCCAAATTGTTTGCTCATTCTGCTTTCTCACCTGACATTTAGAAAGAATAGTTTCAACATCAACATCATTATCTAAAACCCTATAATGATTCATTAAAATCTCATTATGAGATGGAACTTTCTTCTGCATCGCTTTGGATAATTCATGACGTCGCCAATACCATTGAATTACGGCTCGCTTGTTTTCGAGTTTGTCACCTACAGAAACTTGAGGTTACTTTGAATAGATAAATAAAATAGAATATCAACCATTATCAAACAAATCCGAAATTCTTCCGATAAATGCTTTATCTACATTATCGGGCATGTCAGCATTATCAATGAAAACATAGTCTTTAACTCTGTAGATGACTCCATCAATTGACACGCTCCTGAAAAAGTATATATTATCGTCCAATAAAGGTTTGATTTGTAATAAAAATCAATGGACATACTGATAATGAATTCTTCCTGTATTTTCATCACACTTTGAATTTTCATCTATCCATTCTGCAACTTTTGAAGATCCAAATAGGTTTTTTGGAGCTTGATCGATCATGTTTTCCACTATTAGCTAGAACGCGGGAAAGTTTTTCACTCTTTAAGTTTACCAGTTTCCGTATGTGAGAAGAATATTTTACTTTTAAAGCGCGTTTAAATTCTCTTGATCTTTACAAAGTTAATTTCTTAAAATAACACGCAATAGGACCAAACAAGCCTGTAATGAATTTAACACGAAAATTGTTTTATTTACGAAACTCTTTCATAATAATAATAGAAGAATTAATAATAATAATAATAAAAATTAAAATAAAATCATGAAAGAACAAATCGAACGTCTTTGATGGTTTTTTAGTTTCTTTGAACAGTTGATAAATCGCAGAATGCTCTTGGCCATGAAAGAAATGGAGAGACGGTTGGATAGGTTGGAGAATATTGTAGAGGCAGTCGAGATGGAAAGTTCGGCAAAAATTCAACCGACTGAAGTGGCAGACGTTCGGGAAAGTATGGTATATCAGCAGATTTTTCAATTTTTTCTTGCGTAGGCTTTTCAACTTCTACGTTTCGGGGAGATTCCGGTTTTGTAGGCCTTTTAATTGCTTTCGGTTGTTTAGTAGTGCGTTTAGCTCTAGAGCGTTTATTTTGAAACCACGTCTGTTAAAAGTAGTAATATTAAAACTTAATTAATTGTCTATAAAGTAATTATGCTATCATATTAATTGACATAGATACGGAGGAAGATACTCTTTTTTAAAAAAGTAAACTCAGCCTTCTATTTGAAGAGAATATAAGTTTTTTTTAAACGAACCTGAATTCTAGCTTCTGCTATTCCTGTTTCATCAGCTAACATCTCTCTTCGTTCAAAATCTGGATACGGATCTATATTAAACGCTTCTTCAAGAACTTTAATAGATTTTTCGCTAAAAATCGTTCTATTTCGGCGTCTCTTTCCTTTATTACATTCTTTAGTTTTCATGCTTAAGTCCATGTTGTAGGTATGAAGTTTCCACTTCGAATGACGTTAGGAGGTGGAAGCAAATTAGGCTTACGTTTGTTAAAGATAACAAGATCGTTTGCGCCGGATTTAAATGCGGAAATGAGGGGCGTACCTAATTTTTTTAAGACTAATTTTCTTTGATTTCAGTAACAAAGTTTCTTTAACAAAAATTTAAGTAAATATTCTTATATTTATTTAATATTTAATTTGTAAAATATAAAACATTCTTTACATACATTTACCTTTAAAATATATTGTTCGAACGAACAGGAAAACCCCCTAGATAAGCCTCAAGTGATTGTAACGTATTAGACGACTAGTTCAAAGGTTAACAGCCGACTGTCTTTAAGTAACCCGAATGTATTTACCAAACATTTCTTTTCGGTGTTAACAAGTGTCATTAACACGTCTATTGTTATAAGTTATCAAAGATTAGGGTTTAGTCTTTCCTCAACAAATATTCGTTCTCTCGCTAAATTTACTAAATGATTTTACACTTGTTTAGATTTTTTCATATCTTCTTTTATCTTTTCAAATCCTTTCTTTAATTCATCGTTGAATGTTGATTTAAACCGATCTCCTTTTTTTGCTATTTCTCTCATTTGAGTTTCTGAGAACTTTTTAAATGAATCGTCGCTTATTGCCTTAAACGAATGAAATAGATAGGCTACATATTGAGCTGCCCTTCGCATAGGATATGATTCTGACAAACGTTCTACCAACTTTTCATTTCTCGATAGCATTCTAATTGAAGAAAAGTAATTTATATCAATCTATATACGCAATATATGCATTTATAAATATATATAGAGTAAAATATACATAGATATCTAATTATATTGTTTCTTTCCACGTTTATCGTAAGCTCCTTACATGTGTGAACGATAAGAGAACTACTCGGTCAACTTATATTTTTGGTAATTTTACTTTCGTCATCAAGAAAGAATATGATTTATTTTTACCTTAAAAAGACTTGAAAGAAATTCATATTTTCAATTTGCACTACTATGTATAAAAACTATAAAATTTCGTAATCAGTAAGGAAATTTAACAAGCCAACGACAGATCGACCTTCACCGATGGATGATATGGACAACGCAATATTTAGAATGGAATAATATTTTAAAAATTATAAGGTCAAGGTATTAATACAACGTGATTCTGAAAACCCCTAAACTTGTTCAGGGGATAGATCGTTAATTATTTATTATTTTATATACTTTTACTGTAATTGTTAAAAACGACATTAATGATGACTTGCGCTCTACGCAATTCAATTCCTAGGTTATGTTCATCTTTTACGCAGTACTTGAATATGCAGAAGGCAACCTTTTTTTCTAATCGTATAATTGGATATTCATCTCTAATGCTACAAGATGGTTTAGATATACAGGTTTATTGATTTTACCTATTTGATTCTTAATTTATGTATTATACTATGATAGAATTCAATGATTAAGATAAAGAGAATCCGTTTAAAAATCTATGTTTAAAACTGCTTAATACCCTTTTATATATACTTGTCGACTGCAGGAATTACCTGTTGTGATAAGGAGAATGGATAATAGTGAATTTCCGTTTTCAAGTCAATGTTATTCTGGCGAGAGAATTCGAAAAGTTAGCGTTCAAGATCTGAATTTTCAAAATTATTTACAAAGCTGTCGTACAACTGAACAAGTCTTGAAATTACTGGAAGTTCCTAGTGAATCAGTAACGGCTTATAGTGCTGCTTTTGCTCTGCATAGGATGTGCCAACTGGCTACTCATTCGTCTCTAGACCAACACATTGATTGTTTTTTGAGAAGGGCTATCTTAAGAGAACTCTGCGACACGATCGCCAAAGATATCCAAACTTTAGATAACAAGACCGTATCACAATTGATTAATTGCTTCTTGCAAACTAAAGGAATTCCAGAGGAATATGTCGAGGCAGTTTTTATCGAAGGTCAAAAAAGAATTGCTGATAGTGCTTTTTCCATGGATGAGTTGTTATACTTGTTAAGCTTGATGTCAACTGTCCCAAATAGTCATGCGGTTGAGCTAACAAAACTTGTATGGATGCACATTACAACAAATCGATCAAAGGAAATAAATGAAGCCAATGTTGGTCAATTATGGCATTTAGCTCAGTACGTAATTTATAGTATTAAGTAAAAATGTCACGAAAGTATAGTATAGTTATTATTAGTTTTCTTATTGCTTTTGCTTTTTTTCTAGATTTCTCGGAGAAGATATGAAATATACTTTGAAAATTTTAAACAAATACATACAATCATATTGGTGGAAATTGAATACACCCGATATATGTACAATTAGTAAAACTTTGTTATATCAAAAGTACTATTCTTCTCAAACTATGACTCTATTGGGACGTTGGGTCATTAGTTATATGCACAAGATGAGAAATGAAGAATTATCACATGTTCTAGCACTTTTCGACGCCTTTAATTTTCACGATAAAAATGTATTAAGGGCTTTGGAGAGAATAATACCCTCCAGAATTTCGAATATGAATAGAGCTATTGTTGGTCAAGCTATGGATTATTTGAAACAACAACGTTACCTATCTACACCTATATTAGATGCCGTTGCAAGGGATTTTAGTAGAAATTCACACGAATACGATACACATGATGCTCTCTCTTGTCTGAGGTATAAACAATTGTCAACAATATAATCAGTAGGATTTAAAGTTGATTCAAGTTAAAGATTTCTGATTATCTTAACTTAGTTTTGACTGATATCGCTTTCAGAACCTGTTTTATAGAGTAAATTTTGTTTCCCTATATAGATTATTTGGCTATTTGAGCTATATGCCCAAGAAAAGCAACGCTTTCTTTGTAGCTGTTGAAAATTTCCTGCATAAGAACTTTAATACTTTTGCTGCTCCATCCATTGTTGAATTATTAGCATCATTTACTTATTTACAAGTCTTTCCTATTACCTTCCTTAAAAAAGTTTTTACACCTCTCTTCATATGGAAACTTCAATCTGTTGCCGATTTACACATTCAACAATCAGCATATAAACACTTTTTAAATTTACAAGCAGCGGTAAAAGTAGAGCTTCCCCAGAGGTCAAGAATTAACTATGTCGATAGATCGAGTTTAGGAGTAAGCATAGGAGCTATCTCTGGTAGTGCATTTAAAGTACACCTAGAGATTGCTGATATTTTAAAAGAATTACACCCAAACATAAAATTGAAAGAAGCCGAAATGCCTCGATATACCGCTCACTTTATCAGTAAGATTATTTATTATATAATATATTTTTCAAACTCATTCATTAAATATATTCAAATGAATAAAAAAACCAAACAGATTACGAAATTGACGGTTCAGAGAATTCTACTATTATAAATGATATGACTAAAAAGTAAGATATATATTGATTATTTACTCATTATATTACATATATATATATATATATATATATATATGTTTTCTGTTCTTTTACTATAGATTGGCTGTGATCGTTTCAATGCCTGATCACTTTTGTAGTAATTGTTCAAATTTATTGGGTACCTATGCTTCTAAAAGACGGCATTTAACATCATTAGGCTATACAGTTGTTGAGGTATGTAACGGGTTTCTTTTTATAGATTATGGCTATATATTTTATGACTAATTTCCTGTTTTATAGGTCAATTACGAAAAAATGTATTGGAAAAATAAAAGCCGAAATGAGAAAGTGGAATATCTAAAAGAACTTATAAATCCTCATTTGGTCGGGAAATCATCTTACTAAAATTATTGTTCCCAAAAAAGAGACAAAATACTAAATATTTACTTGATAAATGCAAAATGAATTTTTTTTGTATATATAGTATATAGCATATAGTACATAACAAATACAAGTACTGTTTTATATTTTCAAACACTAGATGGCAGCTTTAGTACTGTTCTAAGCAAAACAAAGCCGGCTTATACTTTAGACGTTTAAATGGCTGTTTATGTTGTAATTGGTAAGTAGAAATTATTTTATGGTATTAAAGACCATGATAGTTATTTATACTTAATACTCTATTTGATAAAGTAAAGCAATGAGTATAAATATACCTGTCGAAAGGTTAAATTCTGAGGGGATTATTAATTTCGCAACAATAAAATAATGTATTACCGCTTAGGGATAATAGCGACAGTAGTGTAGTAAATGGAAGTATAATCTATTTAACCGTTCAAAGCTTCCATATAACGTACTCTAAATGATACATTATTAGATATGTAGAGCGATTAATAATCTTTTGTAGGCCTACATCTGGGAATTTCACCCTGTGTATATACTGCTTATTCATGATCAGAATAATAAATAGAAAGAACGGGAGAAAGAGAGAAAGAGAAAGAGTAGGGAGGTAGATAGGCTTCATTTTTTCCTTGTTATTCTGTTTTTATTCTATTAAAAACCTAATGAAATTATATTTTTCAAGCACATAACGAAAAGAAAAAGAAAAGAGAATATTTTTACTAAAAAGTTGTTTTTTAATTAAAAAAAAGAATGAAAACTCTTGAATAAATAATTTTTTAAACTATTAAAGAAAGAAATAGACGTTAAAAATATAGTTTTTTCATATTATTATTATCCTATTTTCATAGTTTTGGCTAGTTGCAGAACATCTGGACATATGGTGGCTTCTGTTAAATATTTCGTTTTCTTATTAGTCATGAAAAGAGAATGAAATTCATTTGCAATTTTTTCTTTATAGTAATTAAGAGACGGGGGAGAAAATATTTTATTTAAATTCGCTTTAATATAAAAACTTTAATAACGAATCAGTCATTTTACTATTAGAAAGAGAAAGAGTGACCGAGTAGAGAGAGAGAGAGGGCGAATGTATAAGTGTAGGAGCGAATATGAGAGAGATTGAGAGGTTTTAGTTCGATTTTCTTTCGTTTTAAAATAATAATCTATACTCTTTTTTATTGTAGTCAGAGCTTAATTTCTTCATGTACTGACAAACATCTATATTTTTGATATAGGCCTTTAAAAAGAGTGGGGAGAGGCTCGTAAAAATTTTGTACACTAACAATAAGAATGGCCAACAATACAAACTCTACAAATACCGAATCAGTTGAACTTGATAATGTTACCAATGGCGGAAATGGAAAATATTTTATGACAGGAACAATAAGAAGAGGAAAAGAGGCTGGTTTAGTCGAAGTTCAAATTGAGCTATCAGAAAAGGACATAACTAGAATTCAGGATAATTTAAATAGTGATAAAAGAGATAATATTAAAGGATTTCAATGCCAACGAAGTTATGGCATACATATTCTTATATTAACATTGCTATTTACACCGTTTGCCTTCATTATTGGAATTTGTACAAACTTTTACTACGGTACAATATGTTGGTATAACATATATTTAATCTATAATGAGAACGAATCGATATGGAAGAAATTATTATTTTGCCCAGTCCTTGTTATATTCTATCCGCTAATAATAACCTGTCATTGTTTAGTTATTGGTTTCTACTATACAATTAAACAGGTAAAATTGAATAGCGAAGACTGGAATACTGAAATGAAAGATATCGATAAAGGTTCTTTACCATTTTACTGTGACTTATTAGGATATCCCGAATGTAGTCCCTACGACCTCATTACCCTAGCAGAAGGATCTAGTTCACCTGAACCAGATTTTAGATCATCAATAAGTACCAACGAATAAAACTTATACTCTCTTTTTACCGGTGCTGTTTACCTTCTTATTCTTCTTTCGTTTTTCCGAAGTATACACTTTAAATTTTATATTTTTCATTCTCTTTCTTACTATAAATATACGAAAACAGAATGTGATAATATACAGGATATTATGTTTTTATATCTATCTATCTATCTATCTAAATGTACACTTGTGTATTATAAAGTATATATACATATATATAAATTTTTATTAAAATACAAAAGAATACTTGTTATTTAGCGTTTGAAAGACAAACTAATTTGTTAAACGGGTGGAGAAATATTTGTATTCGGAGCGTAAGGTGATAAAAGTTTTCTTGTATGTATTCGGAATCTTTTATTTGCCTCGTCCTGTCTCTCATCTAAGATGTATCGTGCGTAATCTCGATTCTCCTCCGTTTCCGGTATTGTCAATAAGGGCTTGTGGTCGATTGGTAAACGGCTATGCGATTGGCTGCTCGTTGCTAATACCTAATGAAAACAGATACAATTTGATACTCATCTTGTAAAAATAAACCCATTTTCTTTTACTATTACCTTAACTTTTTGGCTTCGACTAGGTGACGTCATTGGTCTTTGAGTAGGGGAGTTTTCGTTATTTTCTAAAGGAGTTTGATGCCAAGTTTTTGCTCTAGATAAAGTTTCACGATATTCAACGTCGAGGCGTTTTTTGCTATAATAAAAACAATTAATTCTTTTAATTTTAATTATGAATAAATTTGAATATTGATTAGTTATATATCCAATAATAAGCTTCAGTAATTAGTACAATAAGGGGTGACAGTTGACATGCATAACAAAGCTAATCAAGCTAATAATGATTATGGAATATTTTGAGATTTCATGCTAAACTCACTGCAGAGCTCGTAAGTTCCTTTGACCTATGAAAATCCTCTTTTAATAAGATAATGGAATTCTATTTATCAATTTTTAAACGACTTTTGAGGATATCTTTGGTTTTTTTACACGTTTTTTTAATTTCTTTAAATCAATGAACTTTCAATGATAAATTAGAAAAGTAAATATTTTATGGATATTTGAGAAGAGAAGAAGAAGAAGGAGAAAGAGAATAAAAAAAATAGATATATAGTTACCGAAATGCCAATTTTATTTTCTCCTTCATTTCCTCGCTATTTTCCAAAACGCTGAGCCATGGGGTTGCCATTCTCATCTGATTTCTGGGTAGAATCAACGGAGTGAGTGAAGGAAGACAAATATCATTGGTTGGGGAATGCTTTCTTAAGTGATGACCTCCTAGTAGATTAACATCCAATTTCCTTAGGAGGAGAGGACTCTTTCCATTAGATAATGAAATAAATAATTGTAAGGTTGCATTTAACAATCGTTTATGCTTAAGCGTCGCGTGAAAATGTAATAGGGACGATATTTGGTGAAAGCCCATAACAGATAGGACAACTCTTGCAGATGGTTTCCTCCAAACTGCTGCTACAGTGGCATCAGTTACATAAAGTTGAATGTCCGTTGAATGTTTAGTTATAGCCAGCTGTTTCGTGTTAATTTTATAGATATATCTTATCAAAATTTCATTTAATCAAGATAAAAGAAAACCTTACCAAGTCGATAATATGAGAAATGCTATCTTGAGTAGCAGGAAAAAGCTCGTAGAGTGCTCGACATAATTTTGGACTATTTCTTATGTCGAGACAAGCTCTTAGAGCATCATATACCGGAAGCAATAAAACTTCGTTATCGTTGTAAGGAAATACAACAAATGGTTCGGAGAGAACGCCGTCTTTGGCCTGAAAACGAAAACCTAAAGATCTGAGTATGAGAAGAGCTTGAACGTTCGAGGCAAGATTGTCATTTAACATTATAGTCTGACTAATCGGCATATGATTATTTAGACGTTTTATCGACATATCGAGCTGTTAGAAATAAAGTTAATAATCATAATTAATAAGATAAAAGATTAAACTATAAATTAGTCTAACCAAATCAACAAGATGTGGTAAGACTTCCGGTTGTTGATCATTTCGAACCAAAAGCGATGATAAATTATTCATAAGCTCCTCTAGAATATATTCTCTGCTTTTCTCTATTACAAGTAAATTATATATTAAATAAACAAAACACTTTAAATCTTATCTTATACTCCACCAGTTGGCGTTAGCGGTGACGGATTTAACGGATCCCAATTATATTCTTCTTTAAATTTATCTTCAGCCTTATCAATTAATTGATCTAATTGGCAATGCTTTATTTCTTGTAGGTTAACAAAAGCATCTTTTCCTAATAGAATAAACGAGGCCCAATTTGATTTTCCTTCAAATCTGATAAATAATTTATAACCTTTCATTTTTAATTTAAAGAAATGTTAATTAAATAAAATCTAACCCTTCTAATTTACTAATTTTATCAGAAGCAGTTCTAATCGCATCGCTAACCAAGCAACCTTTTAACAATACCGTATAGAATTCTTTATAGAATAACAATAAGACTTCATTCGGAATTGGCCAAAGTGATGTTACAACGCACTGTGCTCCTGCACTTAAGAATGAACAAGCTAAATTAAAATTTGGTTCAATTTCATCTCTTCTTCTTTCGCTCCAAGCGGAACTGAGGACAACTAGACTGCAATTGCAAGGCATCGATGCAATGTCGTCAGTTGTTACGATATATGAATTCTTTTGTAGAGGTTGTTCGTGGGTCAATTCGGGATCTGGTGAGAATACCAGTAAACCTTCGGAATTGCATCCTAAAGTTGCTGTCAATAGAGAAATCATTAATCGATTAATAAAAAAAAGGCAATTTATTTTCTATTCCTTACAGATATGTAGTATTGTACTATTTCTCATACAGTAGAAGAACATAGCTCTGTTAGCTTCCGCTCCAACCCAGGGTTTTACTGCTAATAAATCGGAAACTGCAAAACATTCTTTTTGCATAGCTTTTGTACAAGAGTTTAATTTCATTTTCTTTTCGTACAGTATTACTTCACCAATTTTTGGACAGCCTATCACGTGACACTTATCTTGTTGACTTATTTGTTTAAATTCCGGAATTTGTACATCTGAAGTAACTATATCAGTGTTTGTATGGGTTTTTAGTGTCAAAGTATTTAATGTGTTTATGCCAGTTATTCTCTCAATTGGAAGGACACTTCTAACAAGACTAATGGCAGTAGATTCTCTAGAAAGGGATTGTTTGCCAGACCTTCCCCCAGCTCTAGATGTCAATAATCTAGGATTCGATGTTTGCCTCAGGTTCATCGTGGGGGTAGATGCCATTAGTGTATCATTTAAATTTCTTTTCGCTGTTTTTGTAATATGTTTTATGCATCCTCCGTCCCTTGCCTTTTTCCTATTCCACTTTAGCTCATCCTTTACAGCGGCTATTTCTAAGTCAGAGTAGATTGTTCTCTCTAAGAAAGCTAAACTGGGAAGTAAGGTAATGTTATATTTCTTTCCAAGTCTTTCGTTCTTAACATTCTCTAAAAACGTCCATGGAACATGATATAATATTGATTCTGGAATAATGACTAGAGAGGTTATATCTTCTAACATATAAACAATAGGAGATATGAGAAGATCGTAAAGTTCCCTCAAGGCTGGTTTCTTTCGTAATTGTTCGTATTCTTTTCTGATATGCTCTAAAGATGATTTTACAATTAATTCCGATTCGACTTGAGCATATTTAACAATTCTTTCATCAATCTTCTTTTTCTTTTTTCTCTTCTTTAATCTTTTCTTTTCAACTAGGATCTCGCAACTAGACGTTGAATCTTTCCTATCCGATTCTGAATTATACGAAACCTTTTTACCATCAATCGTAAAGCTAAGGGGAAACGTTTGTTGAATTAGGATGTCGGCACTATTCAATTCATTCCTAAAAAACTCTTCAGAGGCTATTGAACTTGTTCTATTAGTTATTAAGGAAGACTTTCTACTTTCTGTTGTCAGCTTCTTTTCATTCAATTTTCCGAATTGTTCTCGAATGTAAGTCAAATCTGCATCCTTTCTAGGCAGACTACGATTTTCAACAGTGTAAGAATTATTTCTTTTTACACCGTCGTTCTTTATTTCATTGATTAAATTAAGTAGTCTCGTCGACATAGTCTCCTTCTCATAGGATTTTCTAGAAAAGAACTTTACGAGACCCTTCCTCGGTTGTAAGATCCAAAGGTAATACTCATTTTCTCTAATGGTATAAAAGAGAATTGTAGATTTTTGCAGATTAACAGCCCTTTGAATTCGTTCGAAATTCCATTGAATTCCCATAGCTGGTAGTATCGGATTAGAAGGTTGTGCCCTTTGTAATTCTGCAGAGCAGAGAGCTTCCTCGAAACTACATAGCTTGTTAAGAACATCCAATTGACAGGCAAAACAGGTATTTAATTCCATGCGTAATTCTTCCGGACAAAAGGTTCTTTCTACTTGATGTTGTTTAATCTTACTCTCGAGGATGGGTATAATATTTGAAAATAAAGAACGAGCCCTGTCTAAATCATTCGCCGAACGGCTTGAAGCTAGAATACATGCAGATTTAACGTCGCAAGCTAACATTATATCTTGCATATCTTCTACTTTTGTAAAATCAGCAGAAGAGGCTCTATCCAGATGGAAGAGTGCTCTTTCATTCTTTCCATTTTCAGCGTATACCTTACCTATAATAAATATACAAGATAATATAATATAAACAAAAAAAAACTATCCATTGTATATTTATTTATCTTAATATAATTTTACCAATTTTATAGGCTGATATCACGCTATTTCTACCCTTTTTCGACATCATTTGATAACATTCAACAGCTTTATCGACGTCTTTCAATTGGGCATAAGCGTCTCCAAGACTTTCGTAAATATCTGATTTTTCAGTGTCAGAAACGAAATTTAATAGAATTTCCAATTGTTCCAAGTAGACCAAAGCTAAATTTGGATGGTTTAATGAAGCATAAACGCTTGCAAGACAAGAGTAGCCTGTTAAAAAGTTATATAGATAAATTATGCTAATTAATATTTATTAGTTTTCATCAACCTCGAGATAGCTGGTTCGGAATTCTTTTACATGATCTTAAATAGGTTTTGAAATGCTCCAGGGCATTGATTAAATCTCCATTGAGACTGCAAATTATACCAAGGTTTAAATGACTTTTGGCTTCTTCAATATTACCGTGTTTTTCTGCTAATACCATATAGAGTTTGGCATGATGTTTGGCTTTATCTAGTAAACCAACAGCTTTATAGGCCAACGACAAATTTAGATGAAGCGCACAAACGAATTTTGGATCATGATCCTGTTCCAAATCCGCTAATTTCTCATAAGCGACTATAGCTTTGTGAGTAAATCCAAGTTCTAAGAATATGGAGGCTGACCCTATTAAGGATTTACTTTGATAATTTTCATCATGGCACGATAGTGCAACAGCTTCACAATGTTCGTAAATTTCAACTGCAGCCGTTAAATCACCTAATTTCGCTTTTAAATTAGCCAAGGTTAATAGAATTCTCATTCGTATTCCAATAGTAGGACTATTAACTTGTAAATTGTTGGCTACTTCCAGGATAGCCTGAGCTTCTTGAATATATTTACTTTTAGCTAAAATACAACCAACTTCTGCAAGTCTGGCTGGCGCTTCTAAACTTAATAATACTTCATCGTCAACTAATTTTGAAACAAGATTAGCCAGTGATAAGGATAAAGAATCAATATTTTGAAACCCATTTTCTAAAGATATTGTAAAGTATGATAAACTCTTCTCATAATCGTCCAAGTGAAAATTTATAATCCCTTTCAAATAATAACATTTTGGATTTAATTTCTGAACTTTTAATACTTTGTCTAAATCTTCATCAGCCTCTCTATATAGACCTAATTGGACATTACAAGCAGCTCTAGAGTAGATTATTTCAACATTATTTTCATCAATTTCTAAAGCTTCGTTAAATTTATCTGATGCAAGTTTAAAATCTCCCTTTAGAAAGGCTTTTTCACCCTTTGATTTAAGCTTTTTAACGGTTTTAATTTCTTCTGCTTCGGATAATATTGAAGTAACTTCTGCAGTGTGTGGAAGCGACATTGATGAAAGTTTATGGGAAAGTTGAAAATCCATTTCATTTAAAAATTTCTTTAAATATTTTAGTTGAATGACATTGAATATCCAGTTGTTAATACATTTTTTTTCATGTATCCAAAGTTTGTTTATATTTCACCGCCATGGCAAAAAACGCCATCTTTTATTGGTATGACTAAATCGTAAAGCATATAACTACTTACACCTAAGGGAATACTAATTATTGAACGCCTGTTAAAAACTAATAGTTTGTTAAATATGTAATACTAACGCTGTTTTATTATTATTCATTAATATATTTATTAAAGTTTGAGTAGTTTTAGATTACTTCTTGGAAAATTTAATTAAGCTTAATAAGCGTTTTATAGAAACAAACAAGGATTTTAGTTTTAGAAACTGTAGTTTATATAAAGAAAATGTTCTTTTTAAATAATTGATATTATATTTCTTAATTACTCTTGGGATAATAAAGAGAAGAAAAGGGGAAGAGAAAGTAGAGAAAGATCAGGATATATTAATAATAATTAGACGAAAGATTGTCTCCCACCTCCTTCTCCTCCTCTCCCTTTCTGTGTGTGTCTTTGTGCCCCCTCTTTCTCTTAATAAAGTTATTCTTGAATGATAAATCTTTATAATAGCTAATAGTAATTAATCCCAAAATTTTACAAGATTAGTCAATAATATAAACCCACGTGTCCATTAACACCATTATTTAAACTCATATAAGAATTTAAGATTACTTCAAAAACAACGTTAGGATGTAATAGTGATAAGTGATATTACACTAAGGGGAATTATTTATATAGCTTTCAGGAATAAACGAATAAGATATCTTTCTCTTTATTCAACTCCTTCCTCCATTTTGCCTATCATATTTTTTCAACATATTTTTTATTAAGTACAATTCTTATTTACTGAATTTTAAATCCGGTTGAATAAATATTTATAATGAATATTTATAATCTATAAATATTTAAACGGAATGTAAAAATATCTGTTATTTACTATTTAATTTAACATCTATTTACATTTTTCCTACACAAAAATCGATTAATTAGTATTTTATGTGATATTATGGATTGAAATTCAATATTTAAATGTGCACGCAAGAACCAGTTTTTTTCATTGGTTTATCGAAATGAAATCTGGTTCCTGTCAACTATTTTTAATAATGATTTTCATTAAATAAGCAATATTATTTAAGAACCTCTTTTCTAACAGCTGTTACCGAATACTATTGCGCATGCGCCAGAATCAACGTGTATTTTTTTTTATTCAATTTATAATAGTGTACAGATGTAGATATTCGTATACCAATGCATAAAAAGATGACTTAAAAAAGGATACAGTTGATATTAATTATATACTCGGATATAGTCTCAAAAACATCATTCATTCCATTGCGAAAGAATTTGTATTAAAAATACATTGAAATTAAGACTTTTTTACTTGCATTTATTAAGTATTTAAACAATAAAAATGGTTCTGAATATTTTGAGTTCTATGTTAAGAACAAAAACTTATGATAGTCATGAAACGAAATTGCACAAATGTTTAAACATATGCGATTTAATATTACTTGGAATTGGTTCAATGGTCGGCTCTGGAATTTACATTGTTACCGGAGAAGCTGCAAAAGAACTTGCCGGTAAACATTTACTGTTTTATGGAACGTTTTAGAAAAAAAATTCTATTCTGAAATAGATCTTTTCAAACCAATAAACATTAGATATAAATTTATAAAGAAAGAAAGAGAAGGAGAGAGAGGGAGAGAGAGAAAGAGAGAGAGAGAGAGAGAGAGTAAAAGAATGAAAGAAATCGCAAAAGATTGTTAAATTGAATATCTAAGTCATTCAGAATATTTTAACAAAATATACATTTATTTAATTTTACTATAAAATTACCGGATATACTATAAAGCAAGTTTTTTTTATTAATAGACATAGCATTAAAATTTCACAGGTCCTGGTATCGTATTGAGTTTCATAATTGCTGCAATATCAGTCGGTTTAAGTGCTCTGTGTTATGTGGAATTTGCAGCTCGAGTTCATAAAACGGGCGGCATCTATTTATATACTTATATGTGCCTTGGAGAATTTTGCGCCTTTTTGATTGGTTGGAGTACCTTAGTTCGTAAGTTGAAAATTTGATTAGTCAACTTTCGTTACACTTTACATTTAGTTTTATATAAAGTTAATAAGTTTCTATTAACCTATATATATATTTTCATATGTTTTTTCCTTTATTTCTTTTAGTAATTTCCGTTGGAGGAGCGACGAATGCCAGAGCTTGGAGTTCGTATTTGAACAGTTACACCGGGAATAGAATTGAAAATTGGACGATTCATCATGTGGCAGATTGGAGATCTCTATCAAGACCTCTAGCTGGTTACCCAGATTTTGTTGCATCAGCAGTACTTATTGTTTTAGTTGCTATTGTTTCAATGGGAGCCAACTGCTCTGGAAAGTTTATGTCTGTAATGACAACTTTAAATATATCGGTATTATTGTTTGTTAGTATAGTTGGTTTCGCTGGTACAAAATCATTCAAAAACTGGACATTTAATGGATTTCTTCCATTTGGAATTTCAGGTGTCATTGCAGGTGCTAGCAAGTGTTTTTGGGCACTATCCGGATTTGAGGCTATATTTACGGCAGTGGAGGAAGCAAAAACACCAAAGAGAGACATTCCTATTGCTACCGGCTTATCAATATCTGCTGTTACCATCCTTTATGTCATGACTTCAGCAGCCATTACATTAGTGAAACCTTACAATAAATTAGATCCACACTCCCCTATTCCGAGTGCGATATCGTCGACTGGCTGGGAATGGGCAAGGCATATAGCAACAATCGGTCCTCTTCTTGGACTTACGACTACATTATTTACATCTATTTTCAGTTCAGCTAGGCAACTTTACGCTATGGGCGTTGACGGCCTTCTACCTCCTATAACAGCCAAGGTTAACGACTGCTCGAGGTTACCTCTCTTCAATATCTATTTTGTTGGGATTCTAATGGTTGTCTCTGCTTTGCTATTTGATCTCAGAGATCTTTTATCGATGGCCGTTACAATAACACTCTCCCAGTACCTTCTTGTGAGTGCTGCAGTAGTTTATCTACGTTATAAACCAACTGTCCCAGTTCAGGAAAATGGTTTTTTACCAGTTAATGGGACAGACGAAGACGGTTATGCCTCAAGCGAAGAAACTAATCTCATGTCAAAATCAAAGGTTCGAAGGTCTAATGTAGGCAGTTTACGACAGTGTATAGTAAAACGTGGCTGTAAGTCATCAGTTCCACAAGGGCACTGTGTTCTTCTCTCCATATTGCTTTATATTGTCGCCTCATTTATTTTCGGACTACTTATTAGATTAAACGCTTTCAGCTTTATGCTTAATGGTGATGAGCCTAGTGCAATTCTACTCACTATAGTATGTGTGGCCTTAATTGTCCTAATTATCGTAATCTACATCCATGAAAAGTCAGATGCCAAAGATTTCGTTGTTAAGACGCCTTGCGTGCCTCTAATTCCCTGTCTTAGTATATCTACTAATGCTATACTGTTAGCTGTCAGTGCAAGTTGGTCAAGTTGGATAGTCTACGGTGCTGTTCTACTAAGTGGAGTAATGATTTATTTTCTCTATGGCATACGACATAGCACACTAAATGATGAAAGGACAACAAAGACCTCTTCAGAACTGGAATTGCCTTTAATCGAAGATGACGACGACGAGTTATAAGATTTTCCTCAGTTCTCTGACAAGTATACTCTGAAATTACTAGAAATTACTATAAGTCTGATCTTAACAAAGTAATGAAAATCATATTTTGACTTATGATTTAGGCTCTTTGAATAGTTGAATATAAAATATTAGTCTCTTTGTAATAAATATATTCATAACAAAAACATTCACAAACCAAGACAATATCTTTTATGTACACGAGTCCCATTTAGGCATGTATAAACGAACAAACACTCGTTTGCAGGTTGGACGTACTCTTGATATACTAGTAAGGCTTTTATCCTAAGCTGTCACGTGATGCTAAGATAAAATCCTCGTTTGTAAAAAATTGTGTGTATATATATATATATACTGTATATACATACATAAAATAAATATAATATATATATATATATATATATATATATATATATATATATACAAATAATTATCTTATTTAGATATAGACAACGGTCTCTAATAAAAAGACTAGATCAGGCTATAACAACGAGAAATAGTTTGTGTTTGATTTTCTCAAAAAAGTCCTCACTTCCTTGTCTGCTGTTTCCTCTCTTATAAAAAGTTTTTATCGAGTCAGACATGAGCTATGGGAGCTGAGAAGTGCGATCTGGAATCAAACATACCCCCGATACTTCCTAGCTTGACGATAGATGAAGAATTGTGAGATTTTACACTAGCTGGAGGGGACGATGGTTTAAATCTACCGTATGAGTTGGCCCCAATGCTACTTGATAGTTGAGTAGTACCTGTAGAACTATGATTTGAACCTTGATTAGAGCTGTGAGATAGTTCTGCAAGACGATCGGCAAATTTTGTCAGCTCGTTTAGTAAACATAGGAAACTCGGTCTTCTGGTAGGTGATTCGTTCCAACAGTCAATCATCAAAGTTGAAATGATTTGTGGAGTGTCTGGTGATGGTCCAAGAATATGACGAAGTTGAATCTTTTCCATGACCTCTGCATTTGAGCAACCTGCATAAGGTTGAATACCCTGATTCCACATTTCCCAGAGAAGAACGCCAAAGCTCCAAATATCTGAGAAAGTCGTAAATTTACCATACATAATGCTTTCGGGTGCCATCCATCTTATAGGCAACATAGATGAATTTTGCACCCTGTAGTAATCGCAGGAGTAAATGTTTCTGGCTAGGCCAAAATCTGATATTTTCACATTGAGACCCTCCGTCAAAAGCACATTACGAGCAGCTAAATCTCTATGAACAAACCGCCTGTCTGATAAATAAGCCATCCCAGAGGCGATTTGAATAGCAACAGTTGTCAAATCCCTGTTAGAGAGAGGCTCACCGGCCAATCTTCCATTAATTGAGTGAAGAACTAGTAGTTCGTGAAGGTCGCCCTGTGTCATATACTCGAATAGCATACACCATGGCTGTTGGCGAACAGAAACCCCAATGAGGCTGACAACGCAAGGATGTTTGAGATCACGTAGAAGACGAGCTTCCCTCTCGAATTCACTAATGAGCCCATTATTCGGCCCGTCGTACTGTTTGAGCGTTTTAATTGCCACAGTCTGTCCTGTATATGACAATTCCCCCTTGTAGACTTTTCCAAAAGCTCCCTCACCCAGTTCATGGAGGAAGATAATTGAGTTCAAAGGAAAATGAGGTATATTCGGTAAGTTACTATGTCTATCTAACGCGTGTTGATGTTGACGTATTTCGACTGCTTTCAGAGGGGTTCCACTCCACGAATTGAAACGTCGCTTTCGGCACCAGCAAATGCAAATAAGGCCAAAGGTAAGGAAGAAGACGACAGCTATAGATGGCACTAATATCACCATTAGAGTATTGAAGCTCTTCTGTTCTTCTCCTGAGTCGGCTATATTTAATTTTAGGGGAGAAAAGAATAAACAAATTATGAAATATTCGTATAGATGTCGCTACGTATTATTGATTCTGTCAAGTTGTAGGTTAAAAAAAAAAAGAAAAAGTAAAGCGCAGAGATTATCTAGTCTTAACTTTAGGCCTATATAATTATTAATACGATATAAAATACTATAATAGGCTTATCTATCTGCGTATTTTTTTTTTTGTTGACGGGAGGAGAAAGGAAGGAAATAATAAATTACAAGAGAAACAATAAAAAACTCACAGCATCTTTTGATATCGCATTTTTCAACTATTATCCCACCAGGAGATGCCTCTCTATAACACCAGGGGGCATCGTATTGGCCATTAGGATTTCGGCAATAATTATGACCTGCGTAATCCTTGTAAGACTTCCCAGTCCACTTTTTACAGACCTTGCCAGAAATTGTCCGACTAACAAATCCTTTATATGAACTGCCATTGTCCTTGTAGCAGGACGGTTCGTAGTTATCTGTACAAAATACGTATTGATAAAGGTTTTTAGATGATTATTGTACCTGACATGTGCTTGTCAGTTCTTTTTTTTATTTTGCACTTGTATGGTAGCTTTGAAGGAGAGATAGAGAATTATATCTAATTTTATTCAAAATAACAAGTGTACCGTAACAGATAAATCGTAAAGGTTATAACATTATTAGATAATGTTTATTATTATTTTTTCTCCTATATATTTATTATTGTAAGGTTATGTTATCATTAACTTCTTAATAGTTTAATTATAGGATATTTTATAGAAAGGGGCCCGGAATTTATAGGAAGAAAGGATTTTCTTTGGGTCAACGATTCGTTCGTTAACATTTAGTTGACAAATCTCCTCCCTCTAATCAGTCAGTAATACTAATCTTTCTGATTAATCAATTGCATCATAATCCGTCTTCTTTATTTTTCTGTCGACTAATTGGACCCTACACTGCATTGTGTTAATTACGTAAGGGGTAGGATACTAATGGGTAGAATTTATACATGCAGTCGTAAATATCCCTAAAGCAATAATGATTAGCTTGAAGGAAAATGCGTTATTCTATACGTCTCTCTTCTCTTGCTACCCAATGGTACTTACAATTTGATGTGGGTAATTTTACACAAAGACGGTTATCTGGCAGTCCTTCGCACGACGGTAGTTGGTGAGAGTACTGATCATATTCCCGAGAACAGAACTGGCGCTTAACCCATTCGCATTCGGATTTACATAACAATCTCGGCTGAGAGTTGGATGAGCAGGATGTGTAACGAGTAAGGCACAAGACTCGCTTGAGATAACTCTTACAGGTTTCGCCCAATTCATTAAGAAATGGCAGGCTCCGGGAATTGATCTCCATCAGTTTACTTTCGATTTGTGATTGGGTCGATTTGCTGCCGACAAATACCATTTTATCCCCAAGATATTCTGAACAAGTTTCTCCCCTATACGGTTCGCAATAGCCATCGCTGGGAGGATCCCTGTCCAAATGTACAATTTCCGGTGGTCTGTTAATTAAACAAAATATTATAAATCTCTCTTCTTTGTATGTATAAACACTCGTAGAATGTTTCAATTTGTCTTGTGGTGATAGAAAATCATTCATTTTAACGCCCCATAGTTGAAATGTGTAAATAAGCTTTTCGTGACTGAACTAACAAGTATGAAAAATAGCCTATTCTATTTTCTCTGCAATCTTTTTCTTTAGAAAATCTATCTTTCTCCTCACATCTATTTTCAAACGTCTAGCAACCGCCTATACAGTTGAAATAGCAATATTTACGTAATAATCCTTACTCATTTCGTCATACGACAACGATTTATTAACAGGAGAACCGTGTATTGAACTTCAAATAGATTAATCGGATATGCAGTATACGTAAAGTAGGCCTGCATTTTCCTTAGACTAGTGTTTCCAGCTATTCGCCGGCTTTCTCTTTAGCGCCTTATAACTAGCGTTTCGTATATCTTTTAAGTAAATTAGTTTACTTCTATATCGAAATAGTCCGTATACAATTTCCTGATTATAATTAATCAAGCATAGAGAAAGAGTAAAAATGGAAAAGACAGAGAGAAAGAGAGGTAGAAGGACAGCTTTAGGAGAGAATGAGAGGAAGCCCACGCATTTTATTGAAATATTTCCCGTTCAACTGTCTTAACTTGAATGTTATTTAAGAGCTTCTTCTGTCTTTAATTAAAAACAAGAAATGACATTTCATTATATATAGAAAAATTGCTAACTGTTCACTGTGTAAATGAAGTGAATAGATTTATTTTTTCTCTTTTTGCCAAATAATCACGTGACCCAAGTCTTTGGATACAATGTATATAAATAGGAAAATATGCAATAGGAGGTAAACAATAGAAATATAAATAACCCTATTCACACATATAGGCGTATATACTGTTCTTATATATATATATATATATATATATATATATTTATATTTATGTTTATATTTATATATATATATGATTATTAATAATGTATGAAGAACATACTAATACTATGCTTACATTTTGTATTTATTCACCAAGCATCTGCTGGGATTTTTTTATTAGACATTTTTTCTAGTTGTTAATAACCCTTACATCTGTCTTAAAAATCGAACATTCATATATATATATATATATATATTAAGAGTCTATTATGTTAAATTGTCGGTCAATAATAAACTGGGACCCTTGTCTAAAGTAAACTAATAAGAAAAGTTGCATTAAATATCAGGTAGAACCGTTAATTAATCGTACGTTACTTTTTAAACTGTCAATTTAATCTCGGTATATCAATCGACAGTATGCAGGAAAAAAAGGAACAGTCGAAAGCAAATTTTAAACGGTCGATATAGTTTGCACAATCAGTTTGTTCGAGTAAACGCTTCGTAAAAAACGCTGGGAAAAAAATATAGAACAAAGACGCCTCGACGGCGAGCGTGTGTGCACGTGCATCTGAAAATAGGCTATGACTAATCGACCACCCGCCGCCGTCACGACATTCAAGTGTAATCATCATGCAAATTTCTGGAATCGGGTCAACGCGCACGAGTATTGTTATTATCTTTTTCGGCTCCTTTTTTATATATAAAAAATGTTATTATATACATTAGTATCCTTAAACGAGACAAAGATTTATGTTTAATTGATTAGTGTGGTACTCGACAATAATAGAACTATTCTCTCTAGTCTAGGCTATTCTATGGATAAAGCATAATCTTAGGGCTTCAAATTTCGTCATTTATCTTATTTAATGTACCCTATTTAACTTTGTAAAAAGGAAAATAAAGGGACAGTAAGGGGCTTTCCATTTTCCTTACCACCTACAACGTCTAGATACACTTTCGCTCTTTTTTCTATTCATTGCACCTTTCTCCACCTTTTCTCTCTTCTTTTATTTCAATGCTAGCTGGTCTTATTAAGCGGAGTCAATACGCGTGCAATTGTCTGACCCTACATGACCTCAACTGGTTTTCCATTACCTATTATTACAGAAAACTAGCGTATAAGTTGATAAGCATGCAGTATTACGGGGAATAATTTTACTAATATACAATTTACGGTTGTAAAACCCTTTAATATTCGAAAGCTTTTAAATGAGCTTAATCTTAAAAGGGGAAAAGATGGTAAAGGAAGTTGCTTTCGTGAGCTTAATAAAAATTTTAGCGTTATTATCGATTATTATATACTTCACCTTTTAAATGGCATATTTTAGTATACAGGGCTCTTTAGCCTCTTTTTTTTATAATAGCTTAGCAGAATTATCATCTTATCAACGTTATCTATTATGATTCTTCAATTCTGATATATATATATATATATATAATCTTATATGCATGAATGCATGTAGGTTGAAAGTTAAAATTATAATTATAGGCCTTACGCAAGGTTGAATATATGGCTTTTAGAAGTGTTAAGAAAAGATTGTAAATAGGTAAGATAAAAGCTTTTCTCTTTTTTATGTTACAATGCTTAACAGCCACCTTGTTGGCAAGGTCACGTGATGGCTATAAAACACCTTCAATCATCGCAACAAGTGTTACAAAAAATGGCTGCTGATTACCACCCCCTAGTTGCATAGGCTTGATAAAGAATGGAAAGAATAGAGAGGGTGAAAGGCGGCAACGAGATTTAACGACTCAAATGAATCGGAACACCCAGCTGGCGCATATTTTCGTCCGTTGTTAAGAGCTGTCGGGGCGTTACTACCGTCTCATTATTATGTCATTTTTCTTCCTATTGACAGAGTACCCTCCTCTTATTTTACATAACACATCTATATGTTATATATAGACCCACTTAGATAGATAGATATGAGAAAATTAAAGTAGAAATATAGGGTTCTAAGGTCTCGTATACCCCGAGCTATACTTTCTTAATAGCTCTATATAAGGGATTTAATAACTAATGCTTAGAAATAAAAAAAGAAAGGTCTCTTAAATGGGAAGTGATTTTTATCAGTCTTCGCTTTGAAAAGAGACAGTCATCATTATGTCTAAAAAATCTTTCAATCTATGATCAAGTTATTGGCATCTAGTCAGTCAGGAGTATATCTCCTTCCATTTGACAGCTGGTAATTCCCCCGTCCACCGTTAGGGAATTAGTCTGCCGTCTGTACGAAGGAAACTACCAGCTATAGGCTATAAGAAAATATTGCAAAATACATAATAGTAATAATATGTCGTGACTATCCTTTTACAACTACTGGAAAAGATAGGCTGATAGTTTCTGTTACTAATAGCAACGTCTTTTGTCTCCCCCTACGTACACTTTAATAGATGAATATAGACTAGAAAAAAAAAAGAAGATTTTTTTTACCTTGTAACTCCTTCTCTGTTCTTTTTGTGTTTTCTTCTACCTCCCTTCTTTTTCGGTCGATCTACTTTTTCTTTTTTTAATTAAACGACGAATAAGGGATGAAGTACTAATTAATTATATGCTTACTCTTCGGAGGGCCGACTGTTAGCGTTGCTGTCGTATTTCTCTCACCAAATTCATTCCTACCAATGCAAGTATAAATTCCGGCGTCTGATTTCTTCAAGCGTTTTATTGATAACCTTTTTTCGGAGAGGAACAATAATAAAGCATATATTTTTTTCGTTAAATAAATTGATTCTTTTCAATGAGGATAGAAAAGGGTACTCGAAAGAGAAAAAAAAGTCATGTGATCAACTTACTCTCCCCCGTAGCTGGTAGTATGAATAGAAATTCGATCATTATTCTTCGAATCCAGGACAATATTATTCTTTAGCCAGATATATGTAGGTTTTGGATCTCCAGTAATATCGCAGACGAAGATGGCTTTTCTGCCCTCGTTGGACGATATGCTCGTCATATTATTTGTATTTCGAATGTTGCCTGAGGAAAGAGCGATTTCGTATAAATAAATTAGCAGAAGGGACGAAGGGATTAGCGGCAAATTTCATTAAGCGGATGGGACGGCTTAAAGCTCAGTAATAAACTAAGCAGTAAAAAAAATGAAGGATTTGTACAAACAATTTAAACGCCTTACATAACTACCTACAATTGTCGAATTTATCACTAAACTATCCTTTCGGTACAATTAGATTAGACGCAATATACGATGCTATATAGTCTGTAAATTGAATTTATTTCAGCTTCCGTTTGCCGGTCAGGTGTTTACATCATATAAGTGAAAGATAATTAAAAGAATCTATCTATTTGTTAGTTTACTAGGTGCCGGAATTTTTCTTTTACTAAACCAATGTTAACTTTCCCTTTTTCCTTTTCCTCTTAAATATATACCTACAAGTGTAAACACCCTTTCCAAAAAGAGTTTATGGTTCGTGGCAAGTATGAGTGCTGTATAGACTTTATATAAAGTAAACAATAAACAATATTATCCAGATCTTAAGCCCCGCACTCTTCACCTTCTATTGCTAGTGCTTGTATAAGGATTATATTTATGATATTTTGTAATGGGTGATCCGATATTTTGCTTTTCATGTTCCTTTTAAAGTAGCTAATGCTCATTAACAAGTTGCACCTGACCCGTTAATATAGAACTGGTTGAAAATTGATGCGCAAGGAGCAAATGTCAGATGAAGCGCGTGTTTCCAGAGTCTGTAAATTAGTTTTACGTGCCGCATTAGTCGAGCGACTTATCTTGATACTGACGTTTTCCATTCGAGGGCATTTAGTTGCGGTAAAAAAAGGAGTACACTTTAGCCGATTTAAGTCAACTCTTATCAGGACTTGCCCGTCTCCACGTCTACTTCCCTCATGTTAATGGGGTTTCAAAGACCTACAAACATTTCACGTACAGTGAAAAGAGTAGAAGGGCCAGGCTTATAAACCCTTAGGGCTGACAAACAAATCGGAGAGAGTTCAAACGCTCGAAAAAATCGAAAGTTTGCCTCATGAAAGGAGAGACCGGAGAATGAAATTTTTTCGCCAGTTAATTTCCTATTCATTATTTTTAAATTGATGATAGTAGAATAAAAAAAGAGCTACAACAAGAGACGAGATCTATTTAAATCTCCTTCATGGAAGATATATATGGTGGTTGGTGCCCATATTTCAACGCACAAAGGGCAGATCTGGAAAGTATCATTTCTAGTTTTAAATTATAGATGAAAACTGTAAAGCACCCGTTAGCTGTCAAAATTCATAAACACAAACTATATTATGATGAAAGCAGGCATTATGTTATCAAAGTCTATTTAATATCAGTAAGATGAAAATAATAGGTAATTACGTAAACAAGTATTGGATTATATTGAAAAAAAAATCAATTAACAAAATATAATTAAATTCAACGTTTCTTTCATCCTACTTATTAGAAGTTGATGACAACCGATTTGGAAGACGTTACAAAAGACGCCCAAACATGTAACATGCTACATAAATGGGCGACAGAACAAATCGTCTAATGGAAAACTTTTAGGGCGGCATCCGGTCTTTGTGGCTTTTTTCTATTGAAAAACTTTCTATATAAGAGACGCTCATTTCAATTTCTATTCATAAAAGTGTTGTAAACTAGCAGAATCAGGTTTCGGTTACAAAGCTTAGCGAAATAAATAAACTATCGAGGATAATAGGTGAAAACAAAACAACGTTCTAATTATGTAAAATTAATAAAAGGACAATAAAGATAAATAGAGAGAGAGAGAAAGAAAGGCATAAAATAAGAGAAGTGGAGATGGAATGCTAGCTATAATTAAGGAATTGTTTTTTCTCTTAGCCAGTCGGTTGCATTTCTAGTTTCTAAACAAGAACAGGGAAGACAAACATACTGACAGCTGGATAGCAATAAAGGGCGAGCGTAGAAAATGTATAGGTAAAATTTTCATCTAAAAACACCCA